TGCTGCTGCGCGACCTGACACGAACCTTCGTTCCGCCCTCGACGACCGTCCCTCCGTCGCCTCGCCTCGCCTCGCCTTGCAAAAAAAAAAAAGCTGCAGGCCCACCTTAACCCCCCCCCCCCAGCTACGTTCTACAGGAATGCCGAGGGGCGGACAGTCAGCGATCCAGGAGGCAGTTGCTCGGTAGGCTGGCCGGCAGCACTGCTCACGCACTCGACTAACACACCGGTTCGGTCCGGAATTAGAACCAACTCGCATAGGCTCAGCCCTACCCGGGCTCTAGGACGAGGAGCCGTAGGAGCTCCGCGCCTGGTTGCCTCTGCCTCGCAAAGAGATTGGTAAGCAGGGGTTTTCTGCCCTAGCGGGCACGACAACGATGGTGGCACCGTAGGGCGGCGTCGATGCTACCCGCCTACGCTTGTCATCTCATCAACATGCGATGCGACGCGCTGCCAAGTTTGGCGCACCGCTCGCGAGTCTCCTCTCGCTCGCTCGCCCATTGCTGCCTCGCGGCGGCCACGCGTACGTGCCTACGCACGGGTATAAGCCCGAGGCCGGACGCGGTAGTCAGGTAGGTATAGGCGGAGCAGCGCCAGGTCCCCCGTCGCTGGCACTAGCCAGGCAGCGAGCGCCCAGCTAGGCGGGCGGGCACAGGCATCGAGAGATCGTGAGCAACCGGCGACAACAGGACGGCCGGGAAGAGACGAGATAAGCAGAAGTCGACGGCGGGATCTATAGGCTCCCGGGGGGTGCTGAGGCTGCTTGGCTCTGGTGTGGTACGAGTGTGGCCGGCGCTGATTGGTTACCGACTGGCCGGAACGCTTACGACTTAAGTGGGCCCTGGCCCCCGGATTAGCCACTGAGAGCGCGTGGCCAGCGTGGTCGCATACAGTGCCACATTTTAGGCGCTAAGCGCAATGGCCCCACCTTCCCCGCTAGGTATTTAGCCCACTTGCAGTTGGAGGGGGGGGGGGTGGGCGCACTGTGTACCTCGGAGGGCGGTCCCTCTCTCGCGCGTCCGGTGCAGGTAGCGAGGTAGCGTGGAGGTACTGGCCGGGTAGACTAGGTACCTAGGTACGTGGCATGTGGCTGGCCTCGAGATGCATCATCGCCGTGTAGCGCAGAGAGACAGATGCACGCACACACGCACGCTCTGCGTTCGGGCCTGCGGACGTGGACGTATGCGAAGCAGGTTGGGGGAAATCGATGTAATCATGCGGCTTACCACGGCACAGGCTGTCGGGACGGGACACGGCGAGGTGATTGGCCGAAGGTGGAGAGGAGACCGAGAGAGATGGAGAGAGACTGACAGAGACAGAGAGAGATAAGTCAGAGAGCAGCATACGGAACCTCCACGTACATGCGTTGTGTTCTACGTTGCAGGGTGAGATCGCCAAGCCGTCAAGCCCTGTACGTGTGACACCGTCTATCTACGTTTTCTCCTCCTGCTTCTTTTTTTTCTCCTGCTCATTTTCAATTTACCCGCCCTGGGTGCAGCGAAGTGTCCACTACCTCTACCACTGCGACGGTGGGTGTAAGTGCGGTACGCAGGTGGACCTCTTCGCTAATCCGCCTTTTCCGACTGACTTGACCACGGGCCCCCCTGGTTGCCATGTCGCAATCTCTTGACGTTTTCTTGTGTGCTGGAGACCATCCGCTTCCCCTTTGGGCGCTGGGCTCGCCGGCCGACGCACGAGCTCGTCAAGTCAGCACAGTCAGGAAGACGCCAAGGAGGATTGATTTGCATTATGTATTGTCTGCGTCCCAGACCGTCGGGTCCGACAGCACACCGCCTTGAGGGGACGGGCTGTCTAGGTCAATGATCGTGAGCGTTGCGCGAGCTTTGTACAGTTTTTATCACAGCTCGGCTCCATCCATAGGTCGGCGGTGGTGAGGGGCGAGGAAGACGAAGAAAAAAATAAAAAGAACCAAGCATTGCGACGTTTCATAGCTAGCTGACCTATACCCACCTAGTCCACCTTGCCTACTGCCTTACCTACGTGTGTATATGTATGTTATGGACTTAGCATTACCTGCCTACGTTAGCTGCCGCCGTCACCTATCACCCCATCCGTGCTAAGACGGAGAGAGAGAGAAGAGAGAGAAAGAGAGCGTGTGTGACAGACGGACAGACCCGTCGGTATGGTTGCGTAAATCGGTAGGCAGCGATACGAAGCAGACGCCAAGGGCGGGCATACAAAAACAAGCTGCGACTCCGCCAGCACATGGTTACATCCATCCGCCGTCTCAGACAGCAGCACACCTAGCCTACCATTTGGGGGCTTCGGCTTGAGGGAAGCGTGACGAGCACCCGAGACCGGGCCAGGAGCAGAGCAGAGCACCATGCTACCCGAGAATTCGACCCCCCCCTTTCTCCCCCCCCCCCCCCTTCTCCCCAAAAAGCCCGTGCTGCCTGGCTGGTCTCGCTCCAGGGCCGCGCCGATGGGCCGCCCTCTGCTTCGTACATGGGAGCCCTCCTCGTCGTCGCTCCCCACGACACCGCTTTCTTCGCCCGCAGCCAGCAGGCCAACGTCGGGCAAATGTCAGGGTGGCATGAGGCGGGCCTGCGAGAGATGGAGAGACACAGAGAGAGAGGGCGGCATTAAACCCGACCGAGTCGTCGGGCTGACGCTGGTGGGATGTTTATCTGGGAGATCTGTGTACGGCATCTCGCGGTGGTTTCCCCTCCTCCCTCCCCCCTCCCCCCGTTTTGGGGGCCTCTCTCTGGCAGTTCCTTGGCCGCAATGCAGTCCACGTGGATCGTTCAGGGTACTCTCTCTCTCTCTCTCTTTCTCTCTCGGCGGGCGACGTACGTAGGCGGGCATGCAGGCCCGGTTTAGTTCGTGCTGGGTAGAGATAGATGACTCTGGGCGGTCGACGAAATGCTGCGACGTGAGTGGGAGCGAGAAGAGGAGGAGGACGTCGCAGATAGGGGAGAGGGGAGGTCGCAGCAGTAAGAGGAGGTCGGCAGGTGGCATCTCGCACCGAGTCCAATTTTTTATACCTGCCTCTCTCGTTTTCCTCTGCTCGCTCCGTCGAATCGATAATTCCCTACCCCGTGCGCCCCCGTCCACCCCGTCCACCCCGTGCACGAATCCGCGAGTCCCTCTCCATAGCCCGTGCGATAATGCCAATATTTATTTCTTTACCCACACTCGCATCACCTAGCACACATACACCGGCTCACTCCACCCTCGTTCGCTTGCTCGCTCTCCTTCGCCCACTTCTGCCGCCCGCACCCACGTACCCTCCGAAGCACGTAACCATGCGTGTAGCGTCGACGTATATGAGTATATGGAGGTAAGTATCTTGCCAGGGGAGGTCGTGTAGCTGACAGGGACATTGTCGGAGATCGATGCGTATACGGAGAGATGCATAGCTCTTATGCATGTAGGTATGGGTATGGGTATGGGTATAGGTATAGATAGGTATAAGCCGGCCTACCTTGGGTGACTATTTACGTAGATATCCCAGGTGCTATATATGGAGGCAGTAGAGATCTCACACATATGCGACTTTGTAGGTATATCGTATCGGGCCTGCATGCAACGCGCACATATATAGATATTAGGTACCTAACCCAAGACAACCACGACCCCATCAGCGCCAGCGAGTCCCCGTTGTCCGTCCATCTTTTCTTCTTCTCTGTCTGTCTGTCTGTCCGTCTGTCTCTGCCTGCACTGCGACGAGAGCTAGGTACATGATTCTTTTCGAAGAATGCCGCGATTGGCCCGGGTATATTACCTGCAGTCGGTACGTACCTCTGGGTGTCGCATCCGCACATGTGAATGTACCTAACATCGACAAATGCACATCTCTGGTAATAATGCATTTTGTGCCTAGGTACCAACCCAAAGGCACCTTGGGAGGTACCTACCTAGGTAGGTAGGTATCTACCCTAGCTCAGAAGGCATGGATATATGAGTATATCTACCTACGTGCACAAATAAACGTACAGCGGGCAAAATACATGAGCGTGTACATCGTGCATCGAGGAAAAGGCCGCCAGGTCTAACCCGAGTCGGGTAGTCGAGGCACGCCCAGTGGACCCCAGCGGGGTCCTCCCTGTGGATGTTGTGTGGGGCATCGCGCTCCCCCCCCCCCGTTTTCGCCCGTCTCAGCCCACGCCCAAACCGTCTCCAGCTGTCTGTCGCTTGGCCCGGTTCCAATCCGTCGTTTTCCCCCTTCGCTCTTCACTCCCGCACCCTCTCTCTCTAGATAGATAGACCAGCAAGTAGTGGGAGAGGTAGGTCAGGTCAGGTCAGGTTAGGTGCCTACATACAGCTACTTGCACACACATGAACCTCCTATCGCTCTCTCGATTCAAACGCTGGGAGCTGCATCCTTGCCGTCTGCCGTTCGATTCTCGTTTATCTTTCCATACACTCACTCCGTCTAAGGCGGGGGGGGAAGACGGCGGGCGACGAGGCCGGACCCCAATCTTGTCGACTCCAAATGTTTGCTGGCTGATCCGTACCCAGCCAAAAGGCGCCCTGCCGGAGGGTATCGAGGGTGTCGAGGGGAGCGCGTTTACTGCCTAATCACCGTTGTCTTGACCATTTCGGAACCGTCGACTAGCTCTCGGCGGGACTCCCGTCTTCCCCCTTCACGCTTCTCCTCGAGATCCTGGGGGGTCTGGCAGCCACAGTCCGCCTAGGGGAACCTCGTAGTGCTGGTCTCCGCCGTCACCGTGGTCAGCCGTGCCCGGTCAAGACCAAGGCCGCGCTACCTCTCTACTTGCCTGCACAGCCGCTGGCTCGTGCTTGGCTGAAGGATCGCGATGTCCCGCAAACGCTAGGAGCCGACTCGTCCAGGGAAACCCGCTGTGGGCTCTCCCGCCAGCTACGGCTAACCGCCATCTCGAGCCGAGTCCCCGCCGCCCTGGCAGCACAGGACCGTTTCCACCCTCCGCCGTCCAGCTCTATCGAGAAAAACAAGGTTGACGTGGTGATGTGTTAATACGGTCAGTTTCCCGGCTTCCATGACGCTGCAGAAGTTGGCCTGTCTGGGCCTGCTCTCTTCGCGCCTCTAAATCTACTAGTTTAGATGGCGTTTTGTACGCGTCAGGTGATGAGTGCGCCCCCCCCCCCCTCCCCTCTCTCTTTCTCTCCCGCGGCAGAATATCTTCAGCTGTGTTTCTCGACTTCTCTAGTGGTAGTGCCGACTTGGGGATCGCAGGGTCGACGGAGACGGGGAGGGGAAGAAGATGAAGAACAGCCACAGAGTGGTCAACCCTCCAATCGGCACGCCGAACCTCGACATCTCGGGGGGATCCGCTCTCGACAACTTCATTTCCTTCGCCTCCCGCACAGAGCCCCCAGCACGCTTAGCATAGCATCACTATATACCCTCTTCATTATAATCCTCATAATTACATGTGTTTGCCCCCCCCCTTCTAGGCTAATTATCACATATCATCTCGTCATTTCCCTCTGGTTATTTCGGAGCCCGAGCATACCACGCAGTATACAGGGGAGCAAGATCATGCAGAGACACCCTCCCCCCCCCCATCTCGAGTATGAGGGCATCTGCCTAGTAGTGTCCGCCGCGTCCGCCTTATAGTATTGATCAGACGTTTTCTCGCATAATGCTCTGAATTGGCGTATCTCCCCAACGTCATGTCATACCTGGGAAGACATGCCGCGGGTCAAACACCATTGCTTACCTACGTGCTCATGCTGCTGCCGCCGCTGCTGACAAGAACGGCGCTGGGGTCGGTGGCTACTAATTAAGGGATTCTTCTTTTCCACCACACATTCTCAACGCCATATCCCTGGGTCAATCCACCCCGGTCGCTCTGCAAACCCCCCTGCAAGTTCATGGGTCTTGTGTATGTCTGTACATCCACCCACCCATCTATCCATACATAGATGCCTATTACCTCTCCGTACCAGACTGAGCTCGACAGGATCCATACAATACCATACAATACACACATACACGAATTCCGTCCGTTGCGCAGGTACCTCCTCGGTACCTCTCTGGTTCATCCAGCTGGGCTCCCGAGTCTACATAGGCACAGTGCTTGCACGGTCTACACCCTGTCTCGCCAGTCGACTACTACGCAGGTCCTCTTGTTCGCTTATGAGTAGTCTTCGATTTCCGAACAGGGACCTCATGTGCAAAGGTTTGCTTTCGTCCCTCTATTCCGTGCCTTACCCTACGGCCCCGTTTTATTTCTCTCGCCATGCTAGAATTTCCATCTCTGCCTGCCCGTCCCAAGCTGCCACATCTGCCCAACCCGCTACTTGGACCTGGCCAGCTTCTTCTCCTTCTTCTAGATGGAGGTATGACTAACTACCTATCTAAGATCTAAGCCTCGACGAGGCTTATATCTCCATTCTGGCCGTCGTGGTCCGTACCAGATGTCGGCGGAACCCCTGCTTCGGGCGCTTAGTGGCCATGCTCCGGCACCACGTTCTTGATCGGACGGCACACACACACACACACACACACACACACCAGGGGGGGGCAGGGGGAGGGGAGGGGAGGGTTCAGTCCGATCTGGCCATCAGGGAGTCGCCCGTGGTGAGTAGTAGGAGTAGTAACACTTACAGCGGCGGTTATTCCTGCATGCCCGCTACTTCGTCTCCGCACCCAGCAGTTAGATTCAAGCCCTCCCCCCCTCGGCTTGCCCTGTCACTGCTACCCTGGCCGTGGAATCCTTGAGGAGTTACCTCGAATACCGAGAGAGATGAGACCAGGGTAGTACGTACTCGTGTCCCTGCGTGTGGCCTGTCAATGTACATACGTAACGGGGTGTACTCATACGGTCCGAGACTCGAAGCGTGGAGGTAGCTTCAGGATCATCTCGACGACGTACATATGCCCGCCAGTCCCACCTCAATCTCGACCTCCAGACACGGGATAAGGCTCTAGCTTTTTCTACTGCACACACGTCTTCGCGTTCTTCTCTCGCCCTCGCTTAGCCACCACCTGAAAAGGCACATCTCGTCTTCCCTGTTGCTCAAGTGACCTCAATCACTCCGTTTACCTCCTCATACACCTCTCTCATCTTAATACCTCCCGAGGCCAGCCTCTCTAGCGATCCATGTTTGTAAATACCTTCACAGGACCGCCCACTCCTCCAACTGGTCTCCCCTCTCAAGACGAATCTTTACCCTGCTTTTGGGAATCGTCAGCCGACCACTACTTCCAACCGCTATCTCCCACACTCGAAATGGACGACAACGCGTATGCTCAGCCAAGCTCAGGCCAGATGCGCAATAGTCTCTCGGGAGATTCGAATATGCACGGTGGTCGGCAGCATATTGGAACTCCATCCAGCTCCGGCTACACTCACGATGTTCCCACCACCTACGCTGCGGTAAGTCCAGAACCTCACCCTCGTTCCCTTTTCGTTTTTCTTTTTTGGGTTCAACGTTGGGGATACAGTTCTCATCGAACCTCTAGGTGGCCCCGTTCAACACTTACTCCGCGCCATATGATTCTTCCCTCCCCACGCCGGTATCCGTGGCTGGATCTCCTCCGATGAATGAACGGACTTCAAAAGCTATGCGCCCGTACTCCCAGCATCGCGCGACCTCGCAGCAGCCCACTCCGCCCAGTACTTCGCGCCCGTGGCAGGGCTATCAAATGAATGCCGGGGCGACCTCGCCGATTGCCCTGCAGCAGCCCAACCCCGACATGCTGGAGATGCATGGCCTGGAAACTCATTCTCCCGACGACCATGGACACATGGTCTCCGAGCCCCCATTCCAATGGGGTCAGTACGCGGTTTCCAGCGTCGAGGCGCCAGATGAGATGCAGTCCGAGATGGCACACCCGTCGCTGTTCCCGATGCCGGGCCTGGTGCCCACAGATATGGGCAGGCCTCTGACTATGACTCCCTCGCATATGCCTCTCCCCTCGACGCAAACCCAGGTTCCCGTCCTCAATCACTCCCCGGACCCGCGAAATATAGCCCCTTCGTTAACACCGATCGATAACATGCACCAGAGCTACTCCAGTATGGCACATCACCCCCAAGTAATCATGGATTTTGCGCCATACAGGAGGAAGCCGACCAAATCCTCGAAGAGTGGACGCTCCAGTAGGTCGGGGAAAAGGTCCCGCGCGCCCAGCCGGAATGTCGCGAAGCGCGCCGACGTGGCCTCCGTGGGCGCCGAGCAGGCGTCGGCGGACACCACCTCGCCGAATTCGAAGACGCTCGGTAGGAACATCACCTTAAAACCCGGCGCCTCCGAACAAGATCGGTACATATTGCAGCTAAGGTGCGAGATGGACAACGACAAGGGGAAGGGCATATGGGAGGAAATCACAAAGAAGTACGAGGAGCGGTTTGGCAAGAGGAGGCAGGAGTCGCTCCAGATGAACCTAACTCGAGCTGTATTAAAATTCGTGCAGTGGCCGGCCTTCGAGGTAAGTAAACATTGTCTGCGCCAGCGCCTACTGCTACTGTGCCCATAGCTAACACATCGGCATCTAGGACGAGGCCCTGATACACGCTGTCGAGGAGCTAGATAAGCGCCGCTACTCAGACTTGGCGAAGCTGATGAAGGAGAAGTACGGAGGCTGCCAGGCCTGGGAGTGGAAAGAGGGACACATCCTGAAGCGATTAGTCGAGCTCGGCCTGGAAGAATTCGACTCGGAAGACGTGAACAAGCCCCGGCGCAAGAAGAGGACGGCGGCCAAACGACCGGGCGACAAGCAGTCGTGGGCCAACCCCAGCGTCGCCTTCCCCTACGAGGAAGACACCCGCACGGTGACCTCGGAGCAGGAGAAGTACATCCTGGAGAACTACTGCAAGCAGGAAGCGGAGTCGCCCAGCGCGGACATGATGCACGGCCTCGTGGAGCACCCGGGCTCGCTGTCCGCCCGGGGGAGCGTGGACCGCGACCCGTCGGAGAGCCACAGCGAGCGGGTGGCCAAGCAGGCCTGCGACGAGATCCTGTCCAAGAGGAACGAGCAGATGTACGGCGTGCTCGCGATGGACGGCCGCCACCACCAGATGTCGTAGCGCCACCGGGCCTGCCTATCCTTCCCGAATACCTACCACCACTCCCCTTGTCACTCTGCGCCGTCGAAGCTAGCGGGCTAGTACTGCTGCAAACGCGCGTCCCCTTACATCAGTACCCTTACCATACCTACCTACCCTCGGCGGGCTGAACAGCCAGTCGCCTCGCGCCGAGGGAGGGAAACCTACATTTACTACGTTAGAGGAACACACATATTTTTCAGAGGGCACGGGGGGAACCGAACGGTCTTCGCGCCACCGAGCATGTGCACAGTAGCGCCGTCCCGGCTGCTCCGTGTCTCGGGATAGCAGGGACTCCCACGTGGTTTGCGGGGTTTTTTATTTAATTTTAACGCGGGCGTTGTCGGCATACTACTGCTTACGGTCTTTGCATGCGCAACGCTATACACATCCAGCTTCGCGGCCTCTCCAGTCCTTCAGGCGGTTTTGGTGTTAAGTTGGTCTATGCGGAGTCGGTCATTTTGCCATGTTCTACTTTTTATTTATTCTACTCTTATTTTTACTCTTCTACAGCCGTGTTCACACGATAATCCCGGTCCCAGCCGTTGGGAGTCGCCGTAGCTAGACACGTATTTGCAATTTGGGAAAGGGGGGGTGAGACACGCAGAGAAAGCGTGTGTGAGAGAGAGCATGGGGTCTCTAGTTGGGTTCATTGAGAGTTACGAGATTTTTGAGATACCGAATCGCCGGCGAGGAGTACGGAGTATCAGTAGCGATGTCTCGGTTGTTAGTAACTGAGTCCTCTTTTTTTGTTATTCCTGGTCTGTCTTTCCAGATGGGTAGTTGGTTGGTTTGAAGGGGGGGGCCTGTCGATAGCACTGCTCGAATTCCAGGGAGTTCGAAAATCCGAAAATAAAATCACTTATCTCCTTCGTCCGAGCGAGACACCTGTCTATCAAACAGACTGGGATGATGGACCACGTCACGAGGTGAATTCTGTCGGCTTTGGCGGTGTCCCGCTCTCCTCCCCCCTTTCCCGGTGGCTTAGCACTTATATTTGTCAACTCAGTCTCCGGGAACGCCCCGGGCCGGAGATCCCAGCCTACTCCATTTATTTCATCTAGCAGCAGGCGAGGGAAGCTAAGCCTACGACTGCCATGCATACGCATATAGATAGACGTGGTGCCGGGTATGGGCGTAAGCTAAATCCTGCAAGGGAGAACAGATTTGGTAGCCAAGCCGCACGGAACGAGCACGGGACGTGAATAATGACAACAAGACGAGCCAAAATAGAGAAGAGATAAGTTAGGAAAAAGAGGCGCGGTCGCGCTTGTTTCTAATTCTACACAATAGCCGCAACGTGCCCCATAGCCTAGGCGGTTTCTCTCTTCTCGACGCGCGGGATGCTTCCCGACTGAGACCGAGTTGGTTCACTTTAGGATCTTAGAACACGAGGAAAGACACGTGGAAGCTGCCACGGCCCCTCGTTGTATATGTGTATATATATAGAAAGATAACAACTCGTGAATACGGGTACAGGCGAGATGCTCAAGCTCCTACTTACCCCACGGGCTACCCGTTCTACCTTGCTGGCGAGAGGAAGTACACGCAAAGATCAGCCCCGAGACGAGGTACGACTGGCACGTCTCGACAGAGAGCTAGTCAGTACACTACCGTCTCCCTTGTGCGAATACGGACGACGAGGAAACGCCTCCTCGTCGCTGGGATTTAGCCACCCGTTGTCGCTGTTGCATGGTTGAGAAATCTTGTGACCTGAGGTGGATGTGCGTGCACACCACCGACGAGCTATTTTCTCCCGCCGCCCCGGTGGCACTACATCACGCCCGCCCGGGGGGGCGGGGGGAGGGCCAACGAAACTCGCAGAAAGCCCCCGCGACGCTGTGCGAGGCGGTTCGACTGGCTCTCGGGGGACGTGATAGGGTTCTTGCAGAGGGCAGCATGCGCGCGACGGACGATTATCGTCATTACCGCTATGGTCATGGCTACTATCGCTCCTCGGCCGCGACGCCAGTAAGCCAAGACCGTACGTACGTGTCGTGAGGTGACAGCCCATCCCTGCCGCCGGCGCCAGCCAGCGCCACCCATCGATACCAGTCATTCAGACTTATAACATGGCCCGCGTCCGCGGCACCTTGCGGCCGTCTCCTCTCGATAGGGGAGGGAGACGTGCGTGTATCCGCACCCCGGGGACGATCCGAAATCGCGCCCGCAACACCGTAAATACCTACTACCTAAGCTCATCATCCATCCTCAGCGCGTTTCCAGTTCGTGCCACGGCCTCCTTTACACGGCAAAGATCGCCTGACTTGCCCGCTGGAAGGCCGTCCCTCCCCTTCTTCTAGATCCGCCTCCCACCCCCTTTTCCTTTCCTTCGCAGGGTGGCCAGCCCAGGAGCCAAAAAAAAAAAGATGCCCCGGACTAGCGGAAACGGCGGCCTCTACTATGTGTACGCACGTAGCGAGCCGGTTCCTCGTCCGTCCGCCGCTGAAGCGAAGCCTGAGAAGAAATTCGGGGCCGTAGGCGCGCCGCGAACCGCGTCCTTGGGAAATTGGACGTCTCGCAGGTCCCCCGCCAGGGAAGAAGGAGGGAGAATAAAGGGGGGGAGGGGGGCTGGCGCAAACGGCCTCTAGGCTGGTCTGTCGGCCTATCCCTGGGCGCGTACGTACCTATAGCTTTCCTTGTAAACGCACACATACACACGCTATCTTTCTTTCTCCCTCTCTCTTCTGTGTCTCTATCGCATCACACCCTCCCCCCTTTAAGCGGCCCCCACCCCTCCCCTCGACCCCCTTCTCGCGCGGCAGTGGCAGGCGAAACAGATCCCATTGCTGTCCGTCACTGCGGCTCCCCGAATGCGCGCAGGACTTGGGCAGAGAAGGAGGGTGGGCGGGCGCCCGGCAAGAGCCTACGCCTGCTGGCGCCGCACCCGTCGTGCCCAGCCGCCCCATGTCGGGTCTCGCGCGCGAAGACGGCGGGTGATAGGCCCTGGAGCTAGGGCTAGGGGAGGGGGTTGGCCGGCAGACCACTAGGACAGAGAGAGGGGGTCGACGGCGCTTCCTACGTGCCTGTCTACCCATCTGCCCATCTGCCCGCATATGTACACCTGCATCCTTGTGTACATGCCTACCTACCTACCTCCTAGACGCTGTGCCCCCGTGCCTCTTCCTGCCCGGCAACATGCCACGTCCACGAGGAGGCCGCCTTTCTCTCTCTCTCTGTCTCTCTCGCCCCCTACTCTCTTCTCTACGGGGTCCCCGCCCTCTCTCGCCCCCCTCTCCCCTGCCACGTCTCCTAGGCAGGTCCTGTCGCATTTCGACCAGACGACGCAGCGAACGTCGAAGGGGGGAAACCCCACGAGCCCGGTGTAACGTGACTAGTGCGCTATGCAGAAGCCATCGCCCGTGCTGCGAGTGGATCGCGCCAGGGGGGAGGGGGAGAAGACGTGGGAGCACAGATACAGAGCGAGAGAGAGAGGGAGGGAGAGAGAGAGGGAGAGGGGAAGAAGAAGGGGATTGAGCAGGGGCCGGGGGAGGGGACAGGGCTGCAGTAGCTCGAGCTCCTGAGCCCGTTCTTCCTCTTCCTCCCCTCCCCTCCCCTCTCGTCTTCTGCTTCTGCCCGTCTCACCCCCGAGAGACCGCCCGCCCTAATGCGGCGGCGATCCGAAGGGTTTGGAGCCGGCCTAAGTGCTTACTTCCTTAGGGGCGGCGGTGCCGTCGCATCTGGTGAGACACGCATGCGCGCGCGCCGCGGGTGCGCACTAAAAAGGTCCGCCTATTCAGGCCGCCGCACAGCTAGCTGGCTGACTGGCCGGGCGCAGCAGGTAGTGGCGTGTCCGCTCGTCGAGCTCAAGAGGCAGGCAGCCGTGCAAGAGAGAGAGCTGTCGTATCTGTACGTACGCTCATACAGGCCATATGAGGCCTGTAGGTATAAATGCCCACCTAATGTAGCCAGAACCCAGTTCTGAGCCACCTAGTTATCTCGCACTCTCTTTCCCTTTCTCTGGGCCCCTCTCTTTCTCTTTTCCCGTCCCGCCTTCCGCGAGAGGAAGTCCAGCCCGACCGCCGTCTTCCCGGGCGAGGGCAGGGGTTTGGGGGGAGGAGGGGAGGGGAGAACTGCCGCCCAGGGAAAACGACGAGAGTGCGAGCGGACGAGTGAGTGAGCGACAGAGACAGAGACAGACAAAACCGGGAAGGGGGGAAAACACTTGTCACCTTGGCTGCCTGGCTGTATGGGCGTGACGGACCCGAGACTTTGGATCCGAGGGGAGGCAGCGCTTCCGCGCTTATGCGCCACGTATGCGGACAGCGAGATTGGGTAAGTGTCCGGGATGTTGGCGGGAGGGGAGCGAAATTATGAAATCTCTAGTGTATCTACGACACGCCCACTACATAATTTTTCTCCTCTCGCCCCCTCCCCCGTCCCGCCCGCCTCTCCCCGTCGTCTTCCTCATCCTTTCCTTTCTCCCGTTGGCAAGGACCGGTGAGCGCGACTGACCGGTCTCCTCTTCTCCCGCCCCCCCCCCCCGGGGGGCGACGAGACGTAAGCATGCCAATCACAAACCGAGAGGAGCCACGATGCCCGCTTGGAAACGCTGTCAGGCTATCTGGACGCCTGCGCGGCGGCACCGACGTGCAGACCTGGCTGCCTGTCAAGTCTCGACATACATATGTAGGGGCTATTTACACTGGCCCAGGTGCCGGTGGCCATGGTTACGCACGCGGATACGTGTATGTACGGAGCGCTGTGCTGTGCGTGCAGAGGTTTTAAACGGGGAAGCAGGCCGTGAGCGAGACAACATGAGGAAAAAAAAAAGAAAGAGAATCAAGAAAAACCCGGATTGCCCCGGATGGTGCGGTCCCTGTCGCTGATCATTTGGCACGGACGTGAATCGAAAAAAAAAGGGTCTCAGAGCGAACGGTAGCCGTCGAGAGAGGCAGGGCAGGGGTTATCACAACGGTATTCCGAATGTATCGTGGCCTGCGTTTGTATGTATACAGTATATGCGGCACCGGGGTTGTTAGTCTTGGGCCTATGAGTATGCCTGTCCGTCCCGTCTATCTCGGTCCTCGGCTCTCGCTTGACACAAGCAAATGATGCTAATCTACTTCCTTGACTTGTCGAGCTTGGCGAACTCTTGCCCACTTTCTGCCCACCGAGCTCTGGAGGACCGTGTGCTGACAGGGCATGTGTCTACGAATACCGATGTTCCCGTTTCGGTTCCCACGATCGTCGGCCCGTAACGCTAAGTCCCCCTACACGGAAAGGGGCAGGAAGTGCCAAGTCAATCCATGTAGGAAAGAAAATAAAAAGTCCCCTACATGTGCGATCCAAGCGGACTAGATCCAGAGCACGCGAACACCAGCTCCAGTACCACCCAGCCCTCTCCTGATCTGGACGTTACCGCGGGCGACCTAGTGGCTGATACATACCTATGTGCTGCCTATTTCGTATATATTGTGTGCGTATATGCGTACTGATATTCTGCGACGGACACCGGGGAAGCTCCCCATTCGAGCGATGTTGAGATCGATGGGCATCGAGGAAGAAGAGAGCGCAGGCCTGTCCCTGCTATTAACCCCCGCGCAATATACGCATCTAATCTCTGGCCCGCGGAGGCGAAATTGATCGTGCGAGGTTAGGTGGAGAGAAGGTTTAGGGCAACCCTCTCTCTAAATGGACTACACCATGATTTGCTGCTTTCCGAGCCTGTCTCTTCTCTCTTCGAGGATCAACTCCCAAGTGTCCTAAACGAGTTCAATCGTAGTTTACCGAAGAAGCTGCAAAGTCTACACGTGGATGGATTCCCACGTTCTGGGCTTTGTTGATCCCCAGAATTTCGGAGCCGAGCCGCGGGGTTTAGGGGGAGAGTCAGGGATTAGGGAGCTTGCTGAAGCCTCTTGTCTCTGGCGACTTTCGCGGCAAATGGATCGCGGTTGTGGAACGGACTACTGGGGAATTGCTTGTTCGTGGCGGTCTTCATAATTAGACAACGGAGATCCATATCTATCAGGCATTGGGTAAGCGACATTCGTCTCCTAGGCCTGAACAAACGGTGTTAATATGACGATGGCTTCAGGGGCAGATGCCCTCGAGAGCCCATTGGCCGAATCACGATCAGGGGTGGAAGTTGCTCGAATGTTATTTGAAATAGGATCGAGTGGAAGGTGGATATAGCCGTCCTAGACTACGAGACGGACGTTTGCAGCGGGCTACGACCGCATCTCATGTGTTACCCTTCACCCTTCAGCCGCAGGAGGCATCGAGATGCTGCTCACTACGCTCGCAGGATGTCAGACCAGACTGACCGGGGGTGGACAAACAGTAGACAACATGGGTGATGATCAGGAGTCCAACGCCGGCAGGGTGCGTGCATGTGTGGCTTAAGGGTGGTAGGATACCGGCGAGGTAGACAGCAATTCCCGCGGCCATCTCGGCCGGTAACCGACTTATAACGCCGGCGAAGGGGGGTATTAGACCCGAGGGGATCGGATCGGACTAAGTCCGGGTTTTTTGCAACGTATACCCTCGACCGTCGCGAGTGGTCGCGTACAGTGAGTGGATCATCATCAACGTCATATTGGGGGACATTTCCCATAACATGGCAGCGGCAATCCTAAAGACTGATCCCTTGCATCGTTCCGGCAGAACATGTCAGGCATCTGATAAATTCGCTGCCCTCCTGCTCCTGGGCGATCAGGAGGGCCGGTACGTAAGGGGGAGATCCGGTTCCGCATCTAGACGTTCTTCATATAGACGACTTGGGTTGATTTCAAATCAAAATAGGTCGGCACGACGACCGGGTAGAGCGAGAAAATTGGGTATCGGCGACGTGAAGATGCAAACAGCTAGTTATCTGATCAACATCCCAGCCCTTGTCGTCTCGCTGACCAACTCGTCAGTTGCAGCAGATCGAGGAACGAAGGGCAGCATGCGGAGACGCGAATCTCCTCTCGAGCCTACTCTTCGTGTGCCGGTGGCGAGGCTCTCGACCTAAGGCTACCTATTTTGCAAACCGAGGCTTTGTATCGACAACGGGAGTCCAGAGCCATGTGGCACAGGGTCTAGGATAGATGACAGCAGGATGCGCGACTTTCCACCTAGGTATACCCGCGTGCGCACTGTGCACGACTTCGTACCGTCGTACGCAATGGTGTCCCTTTGGTATTAGGTAGGTAGGTAGGTAGCAACCGCAATGGGAGCAGAAATGACCAAGGTGGAATCGGTGCTAATTATGCGGTCAGGGAACTCGACGGTTTTCGACGTCGTGATCTCACATCGCGAGGTGGAGCGTTATGGGGTAGCAGAAGGAGGTCAAAACGCGAAGGACAGACGAGGCGCGACGACGCGACGACGTACCTAGGTAATTGTTGGTAGATGTGGTGATACCCAGATAAGATAAGAACTTGAGCATGTTATCGATAAGAATCACCTCACTGTCTGCACGTGCCTCTACATGCCGGCTGCAGGTATCTTATCTACCGTTGAGAACCCGATGGCGGCTTAGGTAACTATCCCTCTCCCTATATCCTCCCCCCGGCACGTCGGCACGTGTCCTCTCACCCCCAAGTCGTTGCCACAGCGAGCGCAGGTACAAAAGGTACTATCACCCGCCAGCAGCAAATACGTGCAGTACCGTTAGTGACGGATGTATCTCTCATCCAACCCGGTTACTAATCCAACCGTTCAACAATCTGCAGCTTATCCGCTTCCTCAAGGACAGCATTGCATCACCATATCACCATCCTCTGCCATCTAACGTTTCCTCCCCCTTCCCCCCCCCGTATATACCCTCTCTCAGCATTGCCGTCCCTTCTCTAGCAGCCGGGGCAGGGTACCCTTCTTTTTTTGTCTTGCCTCGTTCTTGCGTTCCGTCTATTGCGCTCTATTCTCTCCTTTCTTACCAGGTTGGCGCGGCACCGCGAGGGCTCCGCCCGTCGATTCCTCGCTCCGGCGTTTCTTTTTCATCACACATGCATTCCCCTGCCTTCTCCTGCCGGCGATGCCCTTGCTAGGCATGGGCAGCGGGAGACTGGCGATCCTGCGCGACTCCGCGACTGACGGCCACCGCACCCGGCTGCTTGTGCTCTTTGCGCTCTTGGTGTCGCCATGGCTGGGCGTGGCGAGGGCGATGCGCCCCAGTCGCGCCGCCGAGTTGAGGCAAGAGACGGTCGGCATGTTCTACCACGGCTTCGATAACTACATGAGGATTGCGTTCCCCGAAGACGAGGTATGCACTGAATTCGACGTGAACGAGTCGCGCGATAAGACCTCTCCGGTTGACTTGGACTGGCGCATCAACTCACAATTTACAGTTGCGGCCCGTCTCTTGTTCTCCCTTAACTCGAGATCCCCTCAACCCGAGGAACATTGCGCTCAATGATGTCCTGGGCAACTACTCCCTAACTCTTATCGACAGTCTCTCGACCCTCGCCATCCTCGCCTCCGCGCCCCCGGATAGTAGAGACACGGGCCCGAAAGCCCTCGGCGATTTCCAGGATGGTGTTGCCGCCTTGGTGGGTCAGTACGGAGACGGCCGACCCGGCCCGTCGGGCCAGGGTGCTCGCGGTCGCGGATTTGATGTAGACAGCAAAGTCCAAGTATTCGAGACCGTGATAAGAGGTGTCGGCGGTTTGCTCAGCGCCCACCTATTCGCCGTTGGCGACTTGCCGATTATTGGCTACGACCCGAGGACTGATGAGGATGTCGACATTCAGAAACATCCCATATCCTGGCCCAACGGTTTCAAGTACGACGGACAGCTGCTGCGACTCGCCTTCGACTTGGCCCAGCGCTTGCTCCCGGCTTTCTACACCCAGACCGGATTGCCGTATCCGCGGGTCAACTTGCGTCACGGGATACCGTTCTACCATAATTCCCCACTCCACGGGGGTGTCGCCTTGGACCCAAAGCCGGCCGAAGACTCACCCGAAATAACCGAAACTTGCAGTGCCGGCGCAGGGAGCTTGGTGCTAGAGTTCACCGTCTTGAGCCGGCTTACGGGAGACCCAAGATTCGAGCAAGCGGCCAAGAGGGCCTTCTGGGCCGTATGGTCGAGGAGGAGTAGCATCGGCCTCATCGGCGCCGGTGTAGATGCCGAGGAGGGCAACTGGATCGGAGGGTTCACGGGTATCGGCGCGGGGATCGACAGCTTCTTTGAATATGCTCTCAAGACCCATATCTTACTGTCGGGCCACGAACTGCCCAATTTGACTGTGCCCAATCAAGTCCATGGCGAGAATTGGCTCGACCCCAACCAGATCTACCGCCCTCTTACCGATGAGGACAACTCTCCTGATTCCTTCCTGCAGGCTTGGCACCACGCCCACGCTGCGATCAAGAGACATCTGTATTCCGGCCTCCACCATCCGCATTACGTAAATGCGCACATGTCTACGGGGTCGCCGCAGGCGTACTGGATCGATAGTCTGGGCGCATATTACTCTGGCCTGTTAGCGCTTGCCGGGGAACTGGGCGAGGCCATCGAAACCCATCTCGTTTACACGGCTCTCTGGACTCGTTACTCCGCCCTTCCGGAGCGGTGGTCCGTCCGTGACGGGAATGTCGAGGGCGGATTGGGATGGTGGCCCGGCCGGCCGGAGTTCGTCGAATCCACATACCACCTATATCGTGCCACCCGCGACCCCTGGTACCTCTACGTAGGCGAGATGGTGATGAAGGATATCAACAGGCGATGTCGCACGAGATGCGGCTGGTCCGGCCTGCAGGACGTGCGCACAGGAGAGAAGAGTGACCGGATGGAGAGCTTTTTCCTAGGGGAAACCGCCAAATATCTCTATCTTCTATTTGACTGGGACCATCCCCTTAACAAGCTCGATGCCTCTTACGTGTTTACTACGGAGGGACATCCCTTGATTCTCCCCCGGAAGAAGGGGGGGAATCGAGTCCCCAAACCGTCGCCGGGAAAAGCCGCCCAACCCTACTTCGACGCTCATTTCACTACCACGTGTCCCCGTCCCCCTGCTCTCCCCCCTCTGACCGGCTCTGCCACTGCTGCGAGGCCAGACCTATACAATGCGGCAACCCTGATTCGTCTTCACCAAATTCCCAACATACACGGCATCCCTGACGAATCGGTTGTAAATTCGGGTGGTCGCAGGGCGAAGACGAGTCTGTTGGCAAAGCCAACAGCGAACTACACCCATTTCCCCTGGACATTACCTCCTTCCATGTTACCGACTGACGGGGTCTGTATCGTATCGAAACAAGCTCAAACGTCGGTGATCGAATTCCCTTCCATTTCGCAACAACCCGCCGGCAGTGCTTTCAATCTCATGTTCGGCGGGCATAATCTCGTCCGTATGGGAAGCGAGGGCATTGCGATTAATAGTCTCTCTAGCCTTAAGCTGACCCTTCTTGCGGAGGAACCGCCGGAAACTTTCGAACGGGCTTGGAGAGTCTACAGCATCGGCAACCTGCCCCTAGGCCGAGACGAGAAAGTGTTCATCGGCCGCGACGTTCTCCAGGACATGTCGGATCCTCTATTCCACCGCATCCGGGACTCGGTCGTCGTCGACCTCCTTTTGCAGATCGAAATTCCTGAGCCGTCGCGAGAGCAAAATTCGACTTCCGCCAGCCGGGAGCCTTCTCGCGAGACCCAAACGACCATCGAACCCGATAAACCTATTGTCGGCGGGACCAACCTCTTCAGCTCGCTCTTTCAGCAGATTACATCCGTTCTGCGGGAGCCGACTAAGACTACGCTGGGCCCCGAGCCGATGCCGAAGCCCGAGTACCGGTATATAGAGCTGCCCGCCATCACGCCGGTGGGGGTCGGAGCTGCTCCGCTGCCCGATATTCGCGAAGCCCCGAACCCCCACACGGCAGGTTATATCGAGTCGCTGTCCTGGCAGCGCATCTTCTTCGCCGACCAGGCCTGCGAAGGCAAACTCCCCGACACGGCGCCAAGGGGTCACCAAGTGATCGTGATGCGTCGAGGCGGGTGTTCCTTTTCAGAGAAGCTAGCCAACATACCGTCGTTCGCGCCGAACCGGAACGCGCTACAGCTCGTCGTCATCGTGTCGGACGAGAAGGACGAGGAGGAGGAGCCCGAAGACGAGAGCGGCGCGTGGAGCTTCAACTTCATCCGACCGCTGCTACACGAGCCGCAGAGGACACCGGCAGGTATCCCGCGGCATCACCCCATCGCCATGCTGATGACGGCGGGCGGCCAAGAAGCGTACGAGGCGCTAAGGACGACGAGGAGCCTGGGGATACGCAGGAGATACCACGTAGAAAGCCAGGGGCTCAAGATCAACAATCTGGTCGTCCTGTGACCGACTAGAAAAAAAGAAAAGAATGACAAAGTCGAATGGTGCATACATAGAGATGGGTGGGTAGCTAGTTAGGTATAACTAGGCACCGCGGACCTTAAGAAGAGGCGTAGACAGATAGCGGCGCGTGGTCGTACGCTGTCCGGAGGGAACGAGCTATATAGTGACGACGCGCTGCGATGTAGATATTTGGTGCTCGCGACTATGTATGTATTTCCGTAGAGAGAGCCGTCGAATGCATGGATTGACAGTACCAAGACACACGCCTCCTCCTCGGGATACGCGGTTGCCTGCCGCCGCGTCTCGGGGCCGACAGGGCAACGTTTTTATATAGATAAAGGGGGGAGGGGTGAGGGCAAGAAAGCGAGCGAACGGGCCAACGAGGTGGATACGGCCCGGGACTCGTATTCGACTTGTCCATGATCATCGATACGTTATGCTGCTGCTGCTACGTAGACTGAAACCTTGCCTGTCGTCCCGAGTCCCCGCCGCCGCTAACAAAAGGCCCCCAGGAGGCTGCCTCCCGGAAAGTTTCCGTTGGGTTGGCGGGGGATCGCGCCAATGCGTAGCTGGGTAGGTAGAGGGAATACCGTGAGTCTGGGTCTGGGTTCGGGATACTCACGTTCTGCAGACCACATACATACACAGGTGCCGCAGCCCTGTCCCGCCCTGCTCGAGCCTCGCTACCCTAGCAGCACCGCACCGCTTGCCAGCCACACAACGGGTACAGCGGCAGGGGAGGGGAGGGGAGGGGGAGGGAGAATAGGCTTTCCAACCTGCCCTCCCCCCCGTCGTCGCAGCCGGCGCGCGCTCACGAGTGGGCCACCGACTGCCCGCCCACTCTCACCCTAGTGCGGACGCGCTGACATCACACGCACGTGGATAGATAGATAGGTAGGTAGGTAGGTAGGTAGTAGCGCCTGTGGGCTAGCGAGCCGAGCGCACCGCGCAACACCGCGGTGCGGCCGCCCTCCCTCTAGCGCTGATTCCGTGTCCCAAGTCTCTCTCTCCGTCGTCGCGCCGTCCGCGCGCGGCGCCAGCCGTCTAGAAAGTGTCTCGGCTCCCACGACGGCTTCCAGCCGATATGCGCGCTAGGCTGCTCGCGAGCGCGCGCAGGCCTGCCGGTCTGGGCCGGAGGCGGCGCGGCGTCGAACGGAGAAGGGTGAGTGATTTGCGTCTTCCTCCCCCCCTTCCCCCGCCCCCCGGGGCAACAATTAAGTTCCCTGCGCGCCGGGCCCGTCGGGGCTATCCGCGGCATGCCGATACATACCTTACACGCCTGGGTTAGGTACCTACAGGCAGGCCACGTACGCATACTTCTCTATTTGCAGGGAGGCACGGGCCGCGACGTATAGTTTGCGGTGAGCCGCACAGAGGTGCATGCGCACGTACATGCATATATATACATACATATAGAGGAGGAACATCGCTAAGGGGGTGGGTGTGCTAGCTTCGTGGTTATGTACGTGGGTTCTTCGGTAAGAGGAGGTGGGTATGTGCGAAGATCGCCCGTAGAGAGAGAGCTAGCTGGCGAGAGGTAGAAGTAGGGCGAGGGAGCGTGATACGGGATGCTTCGGATGCGCTCTGGTTGCGTCTGGATTGTCCTGTGTCGCGTGACTGGAACTCGAACCTTGCTCGCACCACCAGACAAGCGCAAAGCTGGTGCTGCACTGGTGTTTTGCAAGTTCGGCGAGTCTAGTATGAATAGGGATATATGAATCTACTCGGCTGTATGGTATCGGGTAGTACATGGCCGCCGGAGTGAGTACATGTCTCGTCCGGCTGACTACGAAGTGCCCACCTATTCAACGTGAGAAAAGACTAATTCGGGTCATGAGCCGATTCGACGCAACCGAGGCGGGAACTGTACCATATAGATACGCACCATGTACCTACGCTACGGTATAGTTGAAGCCATAGACGGGTCAACCCCGAGTTAGCTCCTCTTCGCGGTCGAGTAGTAAAGGAGGGGATGATCGATAGATCGATCTTAGGCCGGACGAGAAACCCGGACGCTGCCGCACGTGTCATCGGAAATGCCATGTCTTACGAAGCCGGCCGGTTACCATAGCACTGGATGGAGCTTATCGCCCGGATCCATCGCTTCTGGGCTCACGATGCATGCGAGCAGAGGAGACGAATGGTTCGGATTAGAATGCTGTATCGTGACCAGTCCAGGCCAAGGGCCCGCCTTATCAGACAGCCAGCCAGCCGCATTCTTACTGATGCTGTCAGTGCAGATACGAGAAAAAGCCCGAGCTAGGTTGCTAAGAGGCTAGATCCATGCTTGGCCCCTGGCGACATTCCAGCGGCGTTCGCATTCGCACCACCCCGGCCCAGTTGCCTAGGCGATCGCTCGGTAATTCGTTTATCGCTGACATCTTTCGAGGTATTAAAAATTCAATTAGTATAGTGTGTAAACTAGTCCAGCCCTCATCCTCTTCGTGGTCCGTCGTGTGTTCATATTCTCTGATTAGCGTCGAAACATCATGCCTCGACGCCAGCCCAGCCACATCCCAACAGAGGTGTGTTGCGTGTGGGGGGTTGTGACGAGAACTGAGAGCGTGTGGGTGTAGGCGTGAAAGGACCCATGGACCCAAGTCGAAGGGCGAACCGCATTGCGATCGCTGCTCAACTCCACAGTTGCCTATGCGATGCACGCATTTCTCATCCTATCGGCCTAATGCGAGTGAGACCATCCCATTCGTTGGATATCGGATTCGATTCCCTGGATTTTCAGTCGATCGCCCCGCCCCGAACGCCGGTTGCCCCTGGTAGCCACATGCTCTCTTGAGAATCATTCCAGAAAAATTGGAAGTAATGCCGGTATCATGCTGGAGGTTGGTCGTAAAAGGGGTATGTCTTTTATTTCCTTTCCCGCATCATTACCGTTTCGTGTTGTATCGGAGGGCGGAGCTCTTCTTTTCCTCCTCCTGAGTCCGTCCCATGGCGACAACGACTGTGTTCTTGCAGACTCCGTAGCTACAGCACTCCTCCGGTGACATCTCACCGCTAAGAATGAGGTCTCGTTTTGACTAGACAGGCATTAGTTGCCAGTTCCGCGAGTCCGTGAGTCGCCGCGCAAAGAGAAAAGACAAAATACCTACGTCAGGACAGCGAATGGGAGAAGCCTCGACGAGAGATCCCAATAAGGCGAGGGCCGAGATGACTGATAGCAAGAGATTGAACAGCATCGTGAGAGTTCTGTTCAACAGTGATCGAGATAGGTGATATAGGTACTGTATCTCAGATGCGTATGGTTTGGGGGGGGGGGAGAGAAGGGTGAGTTAAAAGACTAGTAAGACTCGAGTTTCCCTTGTCGTAGTTGCGATAACAGCGCAGGAGGTTTCGTGCAAATGGCTTGCGCAACGAGGGAAATCCCTTGCTTGGCGAGTAAATGATTTGTCGAGAGACGCAACGAGTGGACGTCCAACCAACAAACACATAACAGTGAGGATGGTAGGAATATGTACTGCGAGAAGTTGATCACGCCAGGCCCCTAGACGAGGGAGAATGAGCGGCGGGACTGCGTAAATTATAAGCAGGACGGGATGGGTACCGACTAGAGTGGAGCGAAGCCAGGACTGGCAGAGAAACAGCCTCTTCCTCTGCTTGCTGTCATCGGTACGCCACACGAGAGGAGCTCAGCCCGTTTGCGGGCTAAGGTGTGTGCCCGAGTCAACGTCTCGGCCCACCGCGCACGATGACCGGCTGGCCAACACGATGCGGCTGGACTGTCCATGACCTTGAAGGCACGCGGGTGGCTGTAATCTCATTCTTAGGCCACGCTGGGCGGACCATGACGGAACAGCAACGACGGGGAGGGCTCGAGAGACAAAGGCCGAGTCTGCCAGTCGCCCGCGGCTGACTGAATCAACTGTCATCCGTGTACGTGCCCGCGTCTCAGCGCCCACGAGGGGACGAGCCGGCTGAGGTTGTGGTCCGCTTTTTTTCTTCCCAAAAATTTTTCTTTTGCGAGCGAGACACCCAACCTAGCAGAACCACGGTAAGCTTCTTTCCTTTCCGCACGGGGACTCCGTATCCAGCAATTTAATAGCCGAGTATGGGAGGACTATATTCGTAGTATATGCGACCATCTGCATATCATGGAGCGGGTGTCGGTACTGGGATAGCGAGGGGTGGGTGGTGAGCGAGCGAGGATCAACACGACCGAGTTAATAGCCTTTCGGATACTCGCGAAAGCGAAGAAGAGCCGCAATTGGATGCAGACTCGAGAAGGCGATTCAATACGTAGATAGAAATAGAAATGGTGGTGCGGTAGCCCCGTTCCAGCGGCCGCCATTCCAGGGGTGGAGGGAGAGAGGGAAGGGATTCAGCTGGATGAGATTTGGCGGCGCCATGGAACCGAACCCCAGTATTGTGCTGGGTACCAAGGAACATTGCTCGGGGCCACCTCCCGGAAAAGCTTGAGTCCGACCCCCCTGGCAGACTGGGTCTGGCCGTTGGCGGCTGGCAAACCCGACATTTACAGCTTCTTCGCCATCCAGCATTTCGGCATGACCTCAGCTCGTAGCTTAGGTAATGGGTAATGGCTGTCTGTTCTATTCTTAAAGCTAGAAGAACCTGGCCGAAACGATTCGCTGCGTCGGGATCACGCTCACTCCCTTCTTTTCCTCTCTGCGCACTACCACTACTGTGTAGCATGTGCTCTTCGTCGTCGATGGGCGCCCTCTGGGGGGTTCTCGTGAAGACCCCTAGTTTACGAAGCCCGTATCGAGTGCGCAGACCGTCGGCCGACTTTGCGCCTGTCCTCTAATGTCTTACCACATCACGAGAACCGCCCGTCTCTCTCCCCCTCGAGATCGAGCTAGAGCGCGGCCCCTCCAATCGAGGCCTGGAGAAATGTCGCGAGGCGCACGTACGCTCCCCGCAAGACACCCTATGGTCTTAGGCATGTCTAGCCGAACTAGGATTCGACATCACCGCATTGCCGAAAACACCTAGGCACAAAGACGAAACGCACGGGCGATACCCTCAACCAGCATTCCAGCGTTGGTCTTCCCAGACCGGTGTGCCACCCCTATCCGTACAGATGCTTTACCTGCGCATCAGTATGGGCGCGTCCTGGTGAGGAAGCTCCCTCCCGGATTCTAGTACTGTGTGCGGCTAAGGCATACCTATACGTGCGTATGTATTCGCTTGCTGTCCATCCGTCTCACCCGTTACTCCCCATCCATCCCTTGCGATAAAGGGAGCGGTTGGCTCTACAGTACTTCTATATTTACAGTACTTCTATATTTGATTTCTTCCCCTCCTCTTACCGGCCGGCCCAGTCGAGGAGCCTCGATCCCGGCTTTCCTTTGCGAGGCTTCTCTTTACAAGTCCCGAACCGCTCAAGGTCGTCTAGATCTCCTTCCGGACGTTTCCACTCACAGGCAAACTCTGATTCTTGTACCTTCAACAGAGCGCACGAACGCCGAGGCCTGCCCATGGTTAGAATCCGGCCGACCCCCTAGTCCCGCTGCCGTCTACAAGCTGTCAGCCACCCCCTTGAGGTTGCCTGTTAGGAGGTTTGCATCCCTTATAGGGTCGGCCACTACCATTTCCCTGGGTGTGGACTAGGTATGCTCGAGCATCCCGTCCTATAACGCGATAATGGGGTTGGCACTTCGACGACAGCAACCCACGCGCACGTCTCACAGCCGTCATCGTGAGCGCATGAACGGCGTCACCGTAGACGGTATATCGATAGGGCTGGGGGTGGCAAGCTGCCAGCCGGGAGAATGGACACCATACCGACACATCACTAGCGCTCAGTAGAGGAGACACCAGAGCCAGATCGAATGTTTCACCCCGCCCGAGCAACGCTGCAGGTTTGCTTGAACGGACTTAGACGGTTAATCTACACGGCGCGTCGCCGGCTGCCTTGGCCGCCCGTGGCTCCGCCGTGGCCTTCTCCGCGCGGATAGGCGCGTCTTGCAGTGCAACCACTAACCCACCCGCGTATAGAAGGCCACCAACTGACGTCTGACGGCATCACTTACCCGTAGACAATACAGGCCTTGTCCAACGGCAGCGCCAGTGCGACGGGTATATATATACGTGCTGTGGGGGAGCCCCGGGACAGGGGTATGATTGGATCGCGAGCCCTTCCGGATTCCGAGATGGGGCGGACCACGCACCGTAGCAAGCCGCAGATGTGATGCATCGCTGCCCCGTCATGCTATCTTGGCCTCCATCCGACTACTACGCAGTCGATTTCTCGCGCACAAGCTTGAGCTTTGAATTCCATGCGCGCCCTCTCCCTTGCTGCACTCTGCCATGGGGCGGAAACATCGAATCGCCCATCTGTCAACCCGAAACCTCGAGATCGTAGGTGGTACGAAGTTTGTCGCCGTTCTGGGAAATGCGAGGCCCGGTCTGCTCGTCATACAGAGCTGAAAATAGGGGACCGAGGCTTTCTAGACTTGCATCGCCTTCCACCAATACCGCCGCCGCATGCCTTGTACAGCATCCTGTCGTGCTCGTGGCGGGCCGCCAACATCCTATGAGGCCTGTGGTTACGCAGTCCATAACCGCTTGGTACTCCTCCTCCTTGCATGTTACCTAGAGTCGCGGGCAGGCCTCGGTAATCTATTTCCGGCAGAGGGAGATCGGTACTTCAAGGTCGGGTTTCTCATGCAGCCCAACCGCAAACCTGCCCAACCTTGGGGAATTGCGAATAAGCACGTAGGCATCTTAGCGCTCTGCAAGATCCATAGCTTCCGCAGCGTCATTGAGAATCGGCGAAGGAGATGTTGGGAAACGGGGGCGAACCTAGACAACGTGTGCGTCCAAGATGGGGGAAGAAACGCACCAGGATTGGCTTATCACCGCGTCGTCGCCTGGCGCATAACTTCAAAGATGCTAGGCCATGCGACGAGCCACTTGGTGATCGCAATAGTCAGCTTAAGCTTATACGTCGATCGGTAGCTCTCTGCCTATCCTCACTTCATATGAGATAATATGCTGTGTTGCGCGGACGGGCGACTCCGGCTTACAAGCTCGCCCCCCCATGAAGCACCCCCAACGGAACAAAGGTTGCGACTCCGTCTCCCTACATAGATAAAGGAGAAATGTATGCTTCGGTTTATCGCTGAGGCTGGCTGGGTTGAAGCTCGGAGTGCATGATGATGCATAGATAGATAGCCAGATAGCAAGCTCTTTAATAACAAAAGCTCAAGGGTTTTGTAAGTGATGCTTATCAGCCAATCGCATCGTGGATTTCTTGGTTCGAGCCAAGCCGATTCAGGGGGACCCTGTCTCTCGGCTTGAGCTCTCTCAATCTTTACCCCTGTTCCCCCGTGCTTGACTCGGTACTGGGATTGGCTTATCTACGAAACATACTTCCCAATCCGGGATCCTCCTCTATAGCAGGGTTGTCGACAGAGATAAAGCTATCAAGCTACCAGACAGGAGAGCTTGATCTAGGTAGACATCGGCGGAGGAGCATTCGGCATCCCTTCGCGTCTTTACCACTTCGATCTGAACCCACCTCGGGAGACCTCAGGCCGGGCCGGATGTATGGTCCCGAGAATTTACTTGAGACGACGAGACAATTACGTAGCTGGGCACAAGTTTGGGATTTGGTCAAGCTGTTGACATGTCCTGACAACTTGCCCCAAGCCTCAGGTTGAGTATATACACATATATTAGGTATACTAAACAGGCAAACAGCCTACAAAGGGCTTTTGAGGACCCGGGATTTTTGGCGAGAAATTCCAGACTGTCGGGGCACACATTAACATGGAGTAAACCGCACAAGAGAAAAAGTAAGAATTTTTTTTATCTTATCCCCAAAGAGCTGTTGTTGTGAAGGGTAACAAACGTCGTCCCAAGTCACTATGGAGTGTACTGGACGGCAGAATTGCTCGTGTATTAACGTGTGGCTGAGGAATAATATACCTCCCCGTCATCTCTAATTCAGAGAAAAAAACCCGAAAAGCTCTCCTCATCCTTTCCCTTACTCTTGCATCCATCCGGCGATCATCAGACGAAGCCATCAATCGGAACCACCCTGCGTCTCTCCCCCCTCACCCCCCTCTCTTCCCCTGCTACCTTGACTAAGGTAACCAACTCCTTATCCTCCCCCCAGATCGCCAGCAACACCAGTTGCAACAGCACACCACCAAAAGCAGCTCCCCAGATCCCAATATCCATCCAACTGGGCTCCACAGCACGGGATAACCAGCTGACTCCGAGCCCGGAGGACCACAGATAACGTCCTGTTGCTACAGTGCCATGCAACATATCTGGAGTCGTCTAACCAATCGTGTCATATACCCATACCCTCTTGGGACTCTGGAGGTCTTTCAACCTGGTTTCTCCTCCCCGAGAGCACACAATATCCTTGCATCACCAGTCGGGTCTTGACCTCCGTCGTGAGCTGGCCCAGCGCTGTGCTACGAGATCGCCGAAATATCACATACGCATGCTTGATGCCACCCTAGACGGCACGGCTGCTGATACAAACGCCTACCCCTCCACCTCTTTACACACCTCTTTCTTCACCTCCCACCCGTCCTATTCACCTCCCGCCTATCCCATTCACCCCCTGTTATCTATTTGCCCATCTTGGCTGCCTGCCTGCCTGCCTGCCTTGCAAGTAACCCACCACCTTTGCTGGACCCTCTTTTTGCAGCTGCCTCCACCGGCGTACTCCGAAGCAAGCTGACTGTCGCCTCCCCTTCCCTTTGCACCCGGCCGCGGAGACGCCCTACAGAGCACACTTGGAGGAGGAACGGAGCCTGACGACACAGGCTGGGCTGATATAAAGGTCGAGTCATCTGCAAACCTAGAGACGTCAGATCGCGCCAGCCGTGCCGCTGCCGCTTGCCGTTCTCGGAGCACAGAAAAGACGAGATCTGAAAGAAAAGAGAGAGAAAGAGAAAGAGAATAGCTCTCGGTGGCTCCTAGCAACAGCACTAATCATAGCTAGCTGCCCTTGGCCTCCCTTGCTCCCACACACACCCACCCCTTTATAAAAACACACAAGACAGAAACCCCGGCAAGTAAGATGTCGCGCAATATGTCGGCGGCTGCGGACCGCAGCAGCGAGGCCGACAGCGCGCAGAAGGAAAGCAGCGCCGGTGTGACCGACTACGGCGTGGGCTACGTGAGCAGCGGCGGCGGCGACGGCGTGTACGCGCGCGACCTCGAGGCCGGCGGGTCGCTCTTCGCGAAGCTCCAGCGGCTCGCCGGCCGCTTCGGCGTCGAGCAGCGCGGCATCGAGCGCGTCCCGGCCGCGGAGCAGACTGACAAGAGCATCATCCAGGTCGGCACTTTGGTAAGCGAATGGCCTCCCCCCCCCACTTCGTTCTCCCCCGTCTCCCCTTCCCGCCCCGTTGCAGATAGACATGCGGACGCATATACGCCGCAGATGGCGTGCACATAGGCATCTACATGTCCAGCAGCATACGGGCGCGCAGGGCCCTCTCGTCGTTGGATCGGACCTGGCTAACAGCAAGGGAAACAGTGGTTCTCGGCCAACATGGTGGTGTCGTCGTTCGCGATCGGCGCGCTGGCGCTGCCCGTCTTCGGCCTCGGCTTCGTCGACAGCGCCCTGACCATCATCTTCATCAACTTCCTCGGCGTCCTTCCCGTCTGCTTCTTCTCCACCTTCGGCCCCCACTTCGGCCTCCGCCAGATGGTCCTGTCCCGCTTCTGGTTCGGCTACTGGGGCGTCAAGCTGAGTAAGTCCTCCCCTTTCCTCTCCTTTCTTTTTATTCCGTGTACGCACATATATATATACGCTCCCCACGTGTGCCTGCACCCGTCGGGGGACGGCGTCGCGGAGAAGCAGTCGGACAGTGGGCCTGGGCCGCCGGGAGGATGAGGAGCGCGTTCCTTAGCGAGAAAGCTAAGAGTCTGTCTGCTTACCTCGCATACCCGGGGCCCCGACATCCATGCCCTGCCTCTCCTTGGCCCTGATCTCCACGTGCCTGTCACACACAAGCACACCATTTCCGCCCCTTGAACCCCCCTTCGCTAACCACACGCCCCCTCTGTAGTCGCCGTCTTCAACGTCCTCGCGTGCACCGGGTGGTCCGCGGTCAACGTCATCGTCGGCGCGCAGTTCTTCCACGCCGTGAACGGCAACATGCCGGGGTGGGCCGGGGTCGTGACCATCGCCGCGGCGACGCTCGTGATCTGCACCTTTGGGTACCGCGTCGTGCACGCGTACGAGCGCTGGTCGTGGGTCCCCATGTTCGTCATGTTCCTCGTCGTGCTCGGCACCTTCGCGGCGCGCGGCGGCCCCGGCGGCGTCGGCAGCGGCTTCGACAGCCTCCTACCGCTCGCCTCGGGCCCCCGCGAGACCGGCGCGGTCCTCTCCTTCGCCGCCTCCGTCTTCGGCTTCGCCACCGGCTGGACCTCGTACGCCGCCGACTACACCGTCTACCAGCCCGCGTCGCGCCCCCGCCGCCTCGTCTTCCTGTGCGTCTTCGTCGGCCTCTTCGCCGCGCTCTGCTTCACCGAGCTGCTCGGCGCCGCCGTCGCGACCGCCATGGCCCGCGACCCCGCCTACGCCGCCGCCTACCGCGACGCCCACGTCGGCGGCCTCCTCGCCGAGGTGCTCGTCCCCCGCCTCGGCCGCTTCGGCGAGTTCTGCATCGTCCTCCTCGGCCTCTCCATCGTCGGCAACAACTGCCCCAACGCCTACTCGGTCTCGCTCACGCTCCAGGTCCTCTCGGCCCGCACCCAGCGCGTGCCGCGCTTCCTCTGGACCTTCGCCGGCACCTGCGCCTACGTCGCCGTCGCCATCCCCGGCTACGCCCACTTCGAGAGCACCCTCGAGAGCTTCATGCTCGTCATCGCCTACTGGCTCGCCGTCTACGAGGGCATCGCCCTCTCCGAGCACTTCTTCTTCCGCCGCGGCTTCGCCGGCTACCGCCCCGAGGACTACGCGACGCCCAGCCGCCTGCCCCCCGGCCTCGCCGCCGTCGTCGCCTTCTGCGCCGGCGCCGCCGGCGCCGCCCTCGGCATGTCCCAGCACTGGTACACCGGCCCCATCGGCACCCTGTGCGGCGGCGACGTCGGCTTCGAGCTCGCCTTCGTCTTCGCCGGCATCACCTACACCGCCCTCCGGCCCTTCGAGAAAGCCCACTTCAAGCGGTGAGGTGGCGAGGAAGAGAGAGAGAGGAGAGGAGAGGAGAGGGGAGGGGACTGCGTGTGAGATCTAGCACGTAGGTAAGCAATCAGCATCTTAGGAGTTCGGGCGGGACGCCTCCTAGAGTTGCGTAGATGAAGAGCGGAATCAGAAGAGAGAGAGAGAGAGAGAGAGAGAGAGAGAGAGAGAGAGAGAGGGGAGCTATTCTAAACGGATAGATAATGTACTGTGTCTTTTCTGCCTTTGCGTTTGCGTTTGGCAATCTGTTCCTATCACTTAAACTATATGTATATAGAGGCGGGGATTTGCGCGATCTGAAGGAAAAAGAAAACCTTGATCTGGTGGATAACGGGACGGATGACGGAGATGTCACCGCGTCCAGACACACCACCTAGAGACGCACACTGGGAGAGAGAAACGGTTGGGGGAGGCGGTAGCTATTATCCCTGCTCACGCCGTGAGCCCCCGCCGTTTCTAAACCCAAACATGCACATATTTTCAGTGGGAGGGGATTTTTGCCAGCACTGGGTTGGTCATGTTCGCTTTCTTCGTAGGGAGGACCCGAATCGCGTTCGCTCATGTAGCACCCCGTGCCGCGTTGTACTGATGAATGTAGAGAATTATATTATTTTTCTTGCGGCCCCCGCCCCAGTTCGCTCCGAGAATCCTAATAGCGCCCCGTCGCCTCTCCGTAGTTTATACCTAGATAGTGGACGCCAATCACCACGGCCCCCTCGCATCGTACAAGTTCGTGAAGACGTTATATATCTTCCCGTACCAAAGCCCACGATGTAACCGGTCTACAAACCGACCCCTCGTGTCGACCCCGACCCTGCGCCGATGCCTCGGACGCTTTTTTTCCGAAACCCCTCTCTCCTCCAACCCCCGGGATGAGCGACGGCGACGTAAAGGACTTAGGTAATGGATAGCCCCTGTATGTACCGGGATGCTCGGAGCGATAGGTAACGAGGTTCTTGTATGGCCAGCCTGCCCTCGCGGTCGATCTATCCACGACGAAGCCAACCTCGGCGGCGCAGCCAACTGCTAGCCAGATAATACACAGTCGAATCTAGAAAAAAAAAAAGTCCAAAATGCAGCAGTTCGCCCGTGAATGACGTTACTATCGCGTTCAGGCATCTCGCTTGCAGTGGTTCGGCACGTCTTTAGGAAATGTCGTAAAGGGAAGTAAGTGTGTGGTTGTAGTCGTGTGCAACACGCCCGAAGCCGACGGCGGTTTGCTCACCGACCGATCTCGTCTCCGTGGTCGTGCCGAATTCGTACCCCAGGACCGTCGCTTTTTCCTCCGCGTTTCGGAAATCATCAGATGCTCGGCCCTAAGAATGTAAGGGTGGCACGTATCCCTTCGGGCAGCTTTGAGTTACCCGCGACCTCTCACGTGTCCTACCGAACGAACATCATATGCTCTCTCCTGCAGTCAGACGTCAGGAGAAACCTTTATCTCATAGTCGGCATCCGCCCTATGAGCAGCTCAATATCTAACATATATCGCTTCCGCCTTAAGATTGAAATTGGGACTTCTGGAAGCTTTCGGCGGAAATATCCCCCGGCTTACCCGATACTACCGGCGTCGGAGGGATCGGGCTTGTCTGAGACGCCGTGGTCGGTTCGCTGGGGGCGGCCTTGATGGCGGCGATGGGTTGGCCAGGTCGTCTGGCTACTTCTAAGAACGTCGCGGGTAGGTATCCGAGACGTCCGTCCCGGGCCCGGCAACGCCACCACTCGCTCGGGTTGCCCAGCGGATCGCTCTTGCTCAATACGGCGATGAAGTCACCCTTCTTGACGGCCAGGTCGACACCGGGTGTAGCATTTCCGGCCTCGGGAGTGAAATCGTACAGCACGCGGCAAAACTCGAGCTTAGTGGGATCGAGAGGCGCACTGTGAGCGGCAACCTGGACGCGCTTACGCTCTTCCTCCTCGGCCGTAGCGGCGAAGGCTCGGATCATCTTGTTGAGAACATACGGAAGGCCGAAGGCAGCGAGGATGAAGAAGACGAGGGGCTTCCGGCTAGGCTTCGCGGCTGATGGCCCTTGACGTCCCTCGAACTGGGCGAAGGACGCCGGGGTAAGCGCGGTCGCGTCGACGGGAGGGGGGCGACCGGTCAATTTAGCGATCAGCGTGCGAATCCATCGCATCATGGTGAAAACGCCGAGGAGGGATCCCAGAGTATTGCGCAGATTCCCGAGTTGCTCGGCCACCGATACCATAGCTGCGACCGTGTTAGCGACAGATGCCGGTGGCGTCGAAGGCCTCTGAAGGATTCGCTTGCTCACTCACCAAAGAAACTCGAATGGGTGGCCATGTAGGTGCTCTCGAGGATCTGCGCGAAGCCGCTAAAGGTACCAACGATCCCCTCGAGCATCTGGAAAGTAGCCTGGGTGCTGTTGCTAAAACGGCTGGTAAGGCTGTTGGGATTGTTCGGATCATTTGGCATCATCCCGGGCATGCCGCCGTACATGCCCCCATACATACCACCGTAGCCGCCGTAACCGCCCATACCACCCATACCACCCATGCTACCGTACATTCCGGTACCGTAGCCTCCGTATCTTGGGTAGGGAGAGGAGTAAGGGCTGTATCCAGAGTTATAGGCGGCGCGATTGTACGGCGACGCATTCGGGTTGGCGGCAGCGTTTAGGGAATCAGGACGGGGAGGGACATTGGGAGTGGCGGAGGCGGAGGCAGTAGAGGACGCGGGTGATGTGACGGGGTTGGAAGCCAGGGGGGTTGTTGTCGTTGCTGCTGTCGGGGCGGCGTGGGTGGCTGGGAAGCGTGAGCAATTCCACCTTCAGGGTCTGGTCGGAGGGCGGACACGCAGAGGCAACACGCGTAGCGTAAGCGCAGATGGGGAAGACTTACCAGTTCTAGTGCCTGTGGCGCCGGGACGCTCCCACGGCTTGGGTGGCGAGGCCATTGGAATTGAAATGCCGGCAAATGCCTCGCAACACGCTGATCGGCCGCGACGGGTTCTGTGGATGGATGCGAGATGAGGCAAGCAAGCGGCGTCGTGAAAGAGAGATGGACGCGCCGGGGAGGTCGGCGGAGGATGGAAGGGGAGTGAGGGTTTTGGGGCGAGGCAGGAAAAAGAAGGGGTCAGAAGAGACCTCGGCATTAGCTCGCTGCAATAAGTCGGCGTCCTAAGAGACAGAGCCCAAATTCGGCCCACGGCCTCGACCCCACGGGCTAATTCCCCCGTAGCACGTGATCCAGACCAGCCACAGGCTTGAAGAGGTACAAGGTTGTCGTTCCCGGCCTAGGTAGGTACCCAGTACCTGCCCAGTACCTGCCCTCCACACCCGAGGCTACGCAAGATAAGCGACAAAGTCGAGCCATTTGGTGCGTGCGACGGTACGCATCGCCGCCTCACATATGTACTCTGTGCGTAGGCGGGTACCTCGGATGAGCTCGCCGCAGCCCGTACCCACGCTCTACGCCGATAACCCCTATATATCTATATACTCCCTATGGACTCAGCACCAACTGTGTGGATCCCCGCCACCCTGTTCACCCTATTCACTGCCAACGGCACCTTAGGAGATAAGCCAATATTCACGATAAAAACGGCAATATTGGCCTGGACCCAGTTGATATAAGTAAGCTGTTCAACCAGCGGTTCTAGCTCCTAGTTTTATCTCCTTAGTAGATCAGGCTCAGGTTCAGCATCCTAAAGATTCGCATACTAGTTACTTACTTACTGGTGTTGTTGGATCACAGGAAGCGGTCCAGCCAAAACGCACAACTGCACCGACCTGGCTGCAGTAACCGGATACCCGCCTATAGAGGTGTGTCTCTTACGCGGGACGTGGTATGCACGTTGTAGTACTATACGCATACGTCTATTATATGAGCATATTATATAGGCGCGTACCCAATCTATCGCATCCACGGCTCGAGACGAGAGGGGTTTCTGCATCTCACACCCGAAGAACAACCCCCTCACCCACACACACACACAACCCGTGCTTACCAGTGGTAGCATCTGTTCGAACCAGCCAGAAGCTGGCAACGACCTATCAGGTGTTCGGTGCCTTTCCATACATACCCGAGGCCGTCCGAGGACCATATATATCGCTAGATCATATCATCCGATCGACTTATTGCTTTAACGAGAAGCACAAGCGCCACGGAGGTGGCAGAGCAGAACGAAAACCAGGTGGTGCTTTGGGTCTCGGTGCGGTGCAGATCCCGGACCACACCTGGGCTTCGAGATGGCTACCTCCTCGTAATCGGTTAAGCCGCTTTGCATGTAGCGACGGGTTTATGAGAGTGCTTCTACTAGTAGAACGGGAGGAGTCGAGTGACATCGTATGGCAACCCCCCCCCTCCCCATCATAGGTAACTTCTCAGGCCTCCCCTGTGAAGGATCTGAGAATCTGCTAGAGAAATAGGAATAGAACAGGCAAAGGTATTTCTTGCCCTTTTTTCGAAAGAAAAAAAGACACTAGCCTACAACGATTACACCTCAAGTTTGCGCTCACAAGAAGCCGTTTCTTCAGCGAGAGAATGCGACCACTTGGCAGTCTAAGAAGGAATGTGGCATCCGGTTTGGATGAATCTACCCGAATTCGCTTAGGCCCTCTAACAAAAAGGAGAATCTGTTCTGTGAACTGAAACAATATATGTGCAGACGTAGTAAATTAGGAGATTGGATGCCACCTTACGTGAGAATTGACTCCGCGAAGCGATCCGGTCCAGCTCAGGGGGTGCGATGCATCGGCCCCGGCCCAGGGCAAGTATGCTGCTGCCAGAGCAGCGTCAGCCACTGGGAGTAACTAATGTTAGCATCGTCGCCTGGTAACGCCGCGTGGAATACGGGAGACATTTAGGGCCTTACGCTATCACAACGGGGTTCCGTCTTCCTATTATCGGGCTACCGCGACTCGGCGGCCGACCTAGTGGTTATCGGTCTCGTAGTCCTGGAGGCTATGGAATCACGGCTTCCGCGCGAGTCATGATTACTTTGAGATATTCATCAAGAGGTCCGGCCCCAAGAGCAAAGTGACGCAACGCCCGTCGGAGTTAACGAAGAATGGCTTGCAAATTGGAGAAAAATCAAGAAACAAGTACAAAAGAAAGGAGCGAGAGAGAAGGGGGGAGCGAGAGAGGATGCCCCTGGGAGTATATGGGGAGTAGAGAAAGAAAATTAGGCGTACGAGGCGAAACTACCACTCCGTATTATCGACACCTCACATTCGTTATGTATATATATATAAATCACAGAAACAGTTCTTAAAAACTGACGACACCGGCCGCCCCCCCAAACGTCGTTTTTCATCTATGCAGCATGCGCGTGAGCCTTCCTTCCGCGTCATCCCCCGCTACCCATGGCCTCTAGCTCTCCGTCCATCCCGAAAACAAACCCAGCCGCTGGTCTATCCACCCGCCCGTAGCCCTGCCTCCCTGGCGCAAGAGAGAAAAAGGGAGGCGGGGAGGAGGGTCATTGGGCACTGGTCGACTGACCGACCGATCGCTCGCCCGCCCGAACTCATCGACTGAAGGGACAAAGGGAAACAAATCATCGCGATTTCGCTTCTTCTTCTTCTTTTCTGTCTACGACAGGATACCGAAGGTCATGAGGGAGAGGAGGTTGTCGGGCTCGTCGTTGACGAGGTTCTCGACCTGGTTGGCAGTGAGGCTGGTGGCGAAGTCGAAGTTGTCGTCGAGGACCTTGATGGAGGCGGTGGAGGAGGCCTCCTGGAAGACGACGGCGACCTTGATGGGGCGGTCGACGGGGCGGTCGAAGTAGTGGGAGTCGCCGGTGCCGGCGGCGAAGTGGAAGGTGGACTTGGCCTTGGTGTCGCCCGAGCGCAGCACCTCGATGATGTCGGCCTCGCCGCAGCCGCCCTCGTTCGGCGACGCGTTGTCGCCCTTCCAGCAGCTGCACGCGCTGTACTGCCCCGTGCGCGGGATCGCCCCGTTGAGCATCCAGAACGCCGGCATGTCCATGTTCCACCCGGTCTTCCCGCTCAGCGGCATCGAGAACTCCGCCAGGAACACCTTGTTGGCGCCCTCGAAACCCTCTGCAGGGAAAAAGAGAAAGAATCGTTAGAGCAATCCTCGCTATCTGGATAAGAAAACAGGGGAGGGGAGGGAAAAAAAAAAAGAGACAAAGGGAGACAAAGGGGAAAGGAGGGCTTACTGTAGGCCACGGTGCCGGGGCGGACCGTGCCGCAGCTCTCGTCGCACTGCTTGTCGGAGGCGATGATGACCTCGGTCGAGTCGTCGATGAGCCCCTCCTTCAGGACGGTGGGGGATGGGGCCGCCTTGGTGCCGTCCTCATTGGTATACCCCAAACTGGCACCCCAGACACTGCGGCTCCGCAAACAACGTCGGTCAGTTTAACCTTGTCCTACTAGGCCGTTCTCCCGGGTCTTCAAACACCAGGGATCGACCCGGCATGAAGGGAGGCAGGGGAGGGGCAGTCAGACTTACGTGTCGAAGGTACCGGACACGGCCGGGTCGCCGACGTTGCCGAGGAAGACGAGGCCGTCGGCGACCTGCCCCTTGGCGCTGTAGTAGGCGACGCGCTCGAAGTCGCCGGCGGAGACGGCGGTCTTGTCGCTGCTCTTGGACGCGGCCGCGACCTTGACGTTGGCGTCGACGTTCTGGACGGACTTGTACGCGCCCCCAGCGGCGGTGTCCACCTTGGGGGAGGCGGGTTTCGGCGACGGGGTCGCGGCGCCGCCGAACCAGTTGTTCTCCCAGGTCTGGGTGACGCCGTCGATGACGGCGGTGACGATGTCGGCGCGCTTCGCCTGCGGGTGGTCGTGGTGCTTCTTGTGCAGGTGCTGGTGGCCGTGGTGGTGGCGCTTTGAGGGCGCCTTGGCGGCCTCGGTCTGGGTCCCGGAGGACGACGGCGTGTAGACCGCGATCGACTTCAGCTCCAGGGGACCCCGGAAGTGCAGCGTCAACTGCGGTTTTTGTTAGCGACTTGCGCGGAGGAGAGGCTGAGCCCGCCAAATCCATGGATAACACTCACGTCCTCGTTGAAGGGGGCGATGGGACCGGAGTAGACCTTGTCCTTGAACGTGCATGCGCCGTTGGCGTCCATGGAGGCGACGGCTCGGTACTTTCCGGGGATATCGAGACCAGCATATTTGATCTGCTTGACCGAGTTAGGGCAGAAAAAGTTGCCGAACTCCTCGAAGGCGTCGTTACAGTAGCCGGCGTTGGCGGCGGAGGCCGCGGCCACGACGATTGCGGTCGAATACTTCATAATGGGCGAGATCGGGATGTCGTCGAGGTGTTGTTTTTCGGGTTGTCTATCCCTCCGAGCTGTATTCTTGCTTTCGTGTGTACGCTTCGCGTCTCTCTCGACCAGGTAAACCTGTCTTAGATCCGTTGGAATGCAATCTTTTCTAATCCTACTCGAAAGTCTGGGCCGGGAAACAAAACATCTATCAAACGAATGTGGGGATCATTCAAATCGAAGCGTACGTCAACACAATAAAGCGTCGTCGAACTAATTTGAATGTCTGGTAAGGAGCGGCTTGGTGAAAAGATCACCAGTACAATGAACGGTTAGGAAATGCTTCCGGGCAAAGAAAGACGAGACAATAGGACGAGGCGCCGAAAAACGCATGTCTGTGTAAGGGTTGAAAGAGAGGCAGGAAAGGGAAGAGGCGGGTAAAGAATGAATAAGAAAGGGGGCGAGAGAATTGAGATTAAAGACAACTACCCAAGAACTTGGCGGCGTGGAGGGAGTCCATAGACGCCACAAAGACGCCGGGATGTCATGAGGACCAGAGCTATCTTGTTAGCCTGTTGGATAATTGGAGAAGGGCCGGGACAAGGGGATCAGGGTAATACCAGAGTCATGTACCTGCATCTGCATGAACCAGCGACATGGACGATGCAGCATCGTAGGCGTGGCGTCGTATTATGGATCAGGGGGATCTACCCACACCTGTCAGTATTTTGGTCCAGGAACGTCAATAGGAACACACCACTGGTCCTCCCTCTGCCTCTCCCCCTCTCTCACCTCCATCTCTAGGTAGGTAGGTAGGTGTCTGTTCAGTTTGGACCCCTTCATCCCACACCAGCCGCTGAACAGGAGGGGGCCTGATCGCCGCGATGGCAGCGCCGCCTCACAGGTGTCCACCAACGGGTAATATTACGATCATTGGCCGCGTAGTCTGACAGGACGGATCACTTCGTGCCCCTGTCGTGAGTCAGTACCAAGCTTTTTTGTGGATGTGACTAGATCGGCCAGATCATCACAGCGCAAGCACACGCCTACCAGTCACGTACGCACGCACAAACCAGAGAAACATACATTGTGGACTGGGTCGCGGAAGAAGAGCTGGTTTTGCTGGCTTAATACTGTCTATCCACGCCACGCCAGCCTGCCGTGAGTAACATAGTGAGTAGGTATGAGAAAGAAGGACGGCGAAGAGCTGATTTGAAGAGGCCCCTATTTCTATAGTTTTACTTTTATTTTCTCCCCCATTCTTTTTTTTAACCTCCGGCAATTCGTAGGCCGTGTTGAGCTTGTTTCGTAGAGCGTCGCCTGGAGAATAAACGGGAGGAGGATCAGGGATGAGGGATCGCAAGAAAAAAGGAAACAGAAACCCCCGAATCTCTCTTACCTAATCCGTATTCACGTCCCGTGCCATGGCTAGCAATGTGGGATCGGCCAGGGGAGGTCTTTAATTGCACCAATTCGGAACTCTCTAAGAGCCCAAGCAGTAACCCCAGGTCTTCCGAGGTCGTATTGTATGAGAGAGAGGGTCTGGCCGAATGTCACTGGAACGATCGAGGCCGAGCGCTCTACTCCTCCTAGGTTTAATGAGGACTACAGCCGAATGCTAGGCGAGGACCACATACATACCCTGTGCACACACATAGATACATACCTACATACGCATGTGTGTACGGGCTTATCCAACTTAGGTACTATGTCTCTATAGTATCTGCTATTTCGCGAACTTACTATGTCGTATCTGCATATGTGTTGGTTCCCGGACGAGGAGAGAGAAAAAGAGTTCTGAAGAGCTGCCGGGCGCAAAAGCCGAGCCTGGCATCTCTGGTTGATTCGATGATAGCTTGGCGATTCTGCATATGCTCTAGATTACCTACATATGTCGATTCGTCTTGTCTGGTGCACATTCCGACACGTCATCGTGCCGGCTGCATACATATGTATGTGGTGGTGTGCTGGGATTATCGCAGCCTGGTTCGACGCCGGTACCAAATACCGTCTTCGCCTCGCCGGAGCGACCCCATTCGCTAACGAGAGCGGTGTTCCTGGCGTTACCCTAACCTCCTACATACGTGAACCTGCAAAGGGCTTTCGTATGCGCGCGGCAGTGCAACTCATCGTAAGTGGTGATCTATCACCTACGACGTACCTACGTTATTTCCGCTCGTATTCTTCGTTCTCTATCCCTATCCCATCATCCTTTCTTTTTCTCGTTATTTCCTCAAATGTTGGGGAATCGCCGCCATCTCGTGCCAATCGACGGCTTCGCACCCCAACACCCGGAACGAAGCCCTCTCTGCCGTGTAATCTCACTCAGCACCACACAGCCAGGAGGACCCGCGAGGGACTCGTCTGCGGTGCTGATAGGGTTCTTCGCATCCCACTAATACCGACGGCACCTCAGATATCCGCGTCTTTGTGCGCGGGACCTCGAGTTTCCCGCCTAAGGGAAGAAGGCGGCTGTAGGTACCCGAAACCACGACCACCCGACCGTGTGTTTAATCTAGGGAGACCAAGATGAATCCGGATATGGGCACCGTAAAACCAACAAAGAGAGTTCTAGAATAACATACCCACTATTTCGCCCTACAATCTGACTCGCATCCAGCGACCTTTTATTACTAACCATGGCGGCAGGTTGCCATAAAGGTATGTTGGCGATTCTACGGAGGGAGTGTTAAAGGTGGGTATGCCATTGGCATATGAGATGAGTGTATATGCAAGCACGCCTCTGTTTCGACACAGCATCTCGAAGAGAGATCAAACACAAGATCTTGCCTCTCGTCAATGAATTGGGACTGTCGAATATGTTTCAACTCTCGCTTGGCATTTTGTCAATGCTTTCCGTATGAACCCGGCCGAAACGGGGCATTCGACCAGAGCTGCGACCACTTTACCGCGTCAATATCGTGGATACTGGGTGGAGAGGGAGAGGAAATCGGACGAGGTGTTTCTCACACCCCTACCTACGGGTCTGCCCAAAAAAGAACGAAGACGAAAAAACCAGGAAAATGGCCGACGTCCCCAGGAAAACCTGGAGGGTTGCTGTTGACCCACCAATGGTCCTGTTTTCTTGTTTACTATGCGCCACAGGGTGAACGTGGGCCTCGTATTGAAAAAAGGCCACGAGATGTGACTAGTAAATAACGACCAAGAGTAAGTTACGTGTGAAATATGTAGACGAGAATCAGCATGCAGAAGAGCCTGCATAGAGGCATGATATGCCCACGTTGAGATATCCAAGTCGCCGAGAGATCAAAGACCTATTAGCCCCGAAACTATTAGTGGAAACACTCTTCTGCAAAATTACATAGGTATGTAGGTACATATACCTACATACCCCCACGCGTCTTCATAGTATCAGTATCGGTGAGTGGATATGGGACCGAGATGCAGAGAGATCTGTTTCTTCCGAGCTACCGCCCTGGATGGCCTGTTGTCATCCTGAACCATAATCACCTTACCATACGCGTAATACCGACTATCTATGTGGGCAGTAACGAGCGGTCAAGCTCGTTCTATTTCATTACTGGGGTCGTAAGACTGTGATTTCTGGAGACAATGCTCGGGATGCCTTCACGCTAGCATGCGTACTGCTAACAAGATGATGACGCGTCTCTACAGCGGCCAGCACATCTCCAAGCCGTGTGTAAATCTTTTGAAGGGGTCCCATGATTCCGCATGCTCGTAGCAACTCCTTCGTTTTGACGAGCATATGCTATGCCCCCGGCCTTCATGAGATCGCTTCCCTCGAGATCAGGTGTTGAAGAAAGCGTGTAAGGAACGAAAGAGGGATCGCATAGTCCACACTGGCTTTTATATCGACATCACCTTCGTAGCACCCTAGATGCCATATCCCTGCTGGCGTCGGAAGCAACCACAAGTCCATATTGCGGGCATGTCGGCATCACATTCGTTGATTCTCGCCAGACATAGGCAGGGTTGGAAAGTTACGAGCCTGCAAGTCAGATAGATGGCGGCTCACCGTAGCATAAGCATTCGTTTCATTTGCTGCTGATGGAGACTCGGCCTGGGCCGCGGCGTTGCATAGGGAATGCAGTCATCTTCGTTCCTAGGCTTTGCCCCTTGTTACGCCGCGTTACCCTACCCATGAGGCTCTACTACTTATCACAAGTGCATCGACAGCACCTAACGACACTATGGTAGGAGTCGTGGCTGATGGCCGGCCTACAAGGTGCTGTTGCCGCTATAAGAACAGGAATCACCGAAACCAACAGCTCGCTCGCGTCACATCGTCATTCACGGCATTACCGTCCCTAGGTAGGTATATATAGGGTTAGGAAGGGTGCTATCATACAGGCGTAAATCGCTCCTCCGAAGCCGCGACGGCTGTTGGAGGTCCTGAGTCTTGTCTCGACTTCACGCGGCCCAGCTCCACTGTCCCGCCATCTCCGTGCTCCCCGGTGAACAGCGTCGTCGCCTCCGAGTTGAGCGGGTCGAGCGGGTTGGGCTTGCGCTCGGGGCCCTTGGAGCGGGGGACGTTCCTCATCACCTCGGGCTTCGAGGACGGGTTGCGGCCGCTCAGCTGCCGGACGAGGGGCTTGAGCATCGGGACGGAGGCGCAGATGAGGCCCAGGCTGGACTCGAGCGTGGTCCAGATGGCGAAGGAGAAGGAGTCCCACTGCGCGTACTTGGGGTTGAGGAACTCCCAGGCCACGGCCATGCGCGTCAGCGAGGCGCACGCGACGAAGATGCCCAGCGTGAGGACGAACGCCAGCGCGACCTTCTGGCGCACCGGCAGCGTCATCTTGAGGACGTGGGGGAGCACCAGGCCGATCAGCCACAGGTCCGTCAGCGTGTGCAGGGCCGCCGACGCCGTCAGGATTGGGTAGTAGGCCATGCAGTGGCCCACCCGGATGTCGAACTCGTACCCGCCCTCGACTGGGTTGCAGATGAAGAAGGTGAGCAGGAAGAAGACGGTGCCGTAGACGACGACGCAGCCCATGGTGGCGAGGACGAGGACCCGCTGGTACGGCAGCTTCAGGATGCGCAGGTAGAAGAACAGGATGCTGACCTTGGTCAGCACGAGCGACAGCTGGTACGTGCTGATCGTCGCGTAGGACAGGCGGATGCCGACGGGCCGGAGCCGGAGCGGGATGTTGCTGAACCTGTGCCCGAGGCCGTACTCGGTCTCGACGCCGACGACGGTCACGACGGCGACGGCGAACAGCCAGGCGAGCAAGATGAAGGCGTCATCCCACCACTGGTTTTTGAGGAGCAGTCTCGAATACAGGCGGCCAATGACGACGAAACTCGCGAGGATCAGCGGGGTGATGATCCCGGCTAGGATGTCAGGGACCTGGGAGGGTCCCGTAAGCTGTTTGCGGATATCGTTAGCGACGGTGGGCGTCCCGACGGGGTGGTTCCAGCGGCATGGCTATAGCCGACTAGGCGGGTCGACAGAGACGAATGTGGGGATTTCTCACCTCTAGCGGTACTGCTTTGGACGACATGACGGCGTGACGCTACGAAGAAGATGGGGAAACACAGAGAGAGGGCATAGAATCGCGATGGACCAGGGAGTCGAGCAGCGAATATGAGAGGCAAGTTCGTAAGTGCTTATTGGGTTCTCGTCGCTCACGCTGACGCTAATTCCATTTTATACAGCAACGGCGGGAACCCCTCTTCTTTATGAGGCACCGATTTTTATCTGTCTCTCTTCTATTTCGCAGTGTCAGCCGTCACGGCGGCGATCGGTCCAGCTGCAATCCTGCCAGCCAATCCAAGGACGACCTGCTTGGCGATCAACCGACGATCGTCCAAGAACCCCCCCGCCGCGGCGTTCACCCGCACATCGGTGAGAGCGAGCGCCCACCATTCTCCAGCCGAGCATCTCGCGACGATGGCTCTGCGTAAAAGGACTGCTGACAGGGTGCCATTCCGGACCGTGGCTGCATGCCGGCCATGTCCTCTGGGCTTATCAGAGCTTGGATTGTCCGTTCCCCGTCCCCGGCTTGTCTCTGATCGTAGGGCTGGGTTAAAAATATCGGGAGCCCGCCAATCGCGGGCCAACTGCCTCACCCCTCCTCGAATCCGTAGGCATGGATGTAGGTGTGTGTGTGTGTGAGTACTGCACTGCCACGCCTTGGCGCCCTCCCGGCCGGGGGCTCCCTCCAGTGTGTGCACGCACATACTCATAAACCAAGACCTCCTCGTCCAGGGCCTGAGCAGCTGAATGCCCAGCAGCTTATTTGTGAGTAATTAGGGCCGACGTGCCCGGGTGCCTCTCCAGGTGTGTAGAAAGCTCCGATATAGTGCAGGCGGCTGTTTATTTATATAAACCAAGCTAGGATGCTTGGTTTTGCCTCTGGATAATATAAGATGGCCCGTATCGGCATGGTGCACACTATAAACAGCATCAGCGCTGGCGTCAGAACTGAAAACCAACAGGACGGCCCGGTCTCGTGATGAATTCTCTCTTTTCTTTTTTTTTTTCTCTCCCCTCCCTTGGGAACATCCTTCGGAACGTTTTACCACTTTCGTATCCGTGCTATCGCGCGAGGATCGCAAGACACTGCTGTTGTCGACCTCAATCCTTCTTGCTGACGTTGCTATGTCACGATATCTCGCTCCTCGCCGGACACGAGAATTACTCAGCCAGTGAGAACGGCTGATAGAGAAGGGAATACAATCTATCCGTATTTTCGCAATAAGAGTCCTAGGATCGGCTTCAGAGGTGTCCTCACCAGCTCGATACATTATCCATAATTATACCTAGGTATCGCAAATGCGGGCTTGTGAGCCTTTTGCCCCGTTCCATTACTCTCTCAATCAACTCTTAGGTACCTCATAAATAGAGGAGCATTTCTACACCATGCCGTGTACCAAAAAATTTTCTTTTCCTTTTTTTAAAAAAAATTAATTTTAGACAGCGGGAGCGAGGACATGGAGGAGGAGATAATGGACTTCTAGAATGGCGGGCGGGCGCCGAGACACGCCCCCTCATCTCCTATTCTAGATTCGCCGTCGCAACCTTGCTCCACTGAATTTCCCCCTGGTTCAAGACTGATGAACAACGAGCTCGGGTGGCTTCACACAATCGTGTTCCCTTCACATTCTACGTCGTAAAGACTTGTGGATGTAGTATTTAGGTGCCATAGCAAAGGAAGCTCGGGGCAATAATTGCATCCTATTGTCGGGTTATAATAGTAGGTAGGTAGGTGTTTGTACATCTAGATCGGTTCATTGAGACCATCTGCACTCCAGCAACTAAAATAGGTCGGCTGAAGATGTCCACACAAGAAGATATGGCGTCCATGCATATCATATCTCGACACGCTACTTACCATTATCATGGATTCAATGGATAGTGTGTTGAGAAAACTTCTTATGATTGGTGCCGCGCGAGGATGGAGATGTGTTCCCCTTATTTCGGTTCGACCGCCGTTGTATGGGTTTCGATGCATGTCGCGTGGCCTATCGAACTCCATCACAAAGCGCATCTTCAGTAACGCCAAGGGGATACGTTACAATAGAGCTTTGCCCAAGCCAGCCGAAAAGGACTATTTTGCTTGTTTTCCTTGGTACGGGCCAGTCGATATCCGAGAGCCGACGGCTCTCCCCGAGGGCTACGCGAAGACAATACATGGTATGGTCAACCAATCAACTGTGAAGATTCCCCGCCATAGACGTTGTATAAAAGCTCGTTAGGTAGCTACACATGGCTTGGGTTTTGGATCATATATGTTGCAAAGTCACGGACGATATGGACGGGCTATGATGCTGGTGGTTGACTCTCCAAACTCCTAATAGGGGCTCAACCTTGGGACGGGTTATTGCTTTCTTGTCGTCCACTGCGGTTACCACATCTATTAGTCCCCTCCCCGTGTGGGTGACGAGATGCGCCATGGCGCTAGAAGAGGAATATAACAGTTCCCGAAGCGGTAGGCGTTTTGCTATCGCCGGCCTTCCGGTACCGTCGATGCCCACCGAAGCAACCAACCGGATACAAATACCCCCGGTCCTAGGTGAGAAGTGACATCGAAGTTATCGGTCCTCCTCTGAGTCTATCGGAGTTAATGCCCATCATCAGGCCTAGTCCTCCATCTCACGAGCTCTCGACCGGACGTTTCTTCGCTTGCCCAAGTAACGTTAACAGTATCTCCCCCTTATATGCTGATTCTCGTCTCATACTATACCACCACGAGCCTGCGAAACTCGGCCGATGCCGATGGCGTCAAACCCGTGGTCAGGGGCACAATAAGCCTTGCCCGTGCTATCGCCGTGCGGGAGGTGCTGGGGAATCCTTCGATAGTGTCAGGCCTCTAACAAAGATACGTCGTAAAAAGCAGCTCTGCAACCTCAGGGGGCCTAAGCTCGTTGGGTTCGGGAACTCGGGCTATCATCAGCCTCTTCCGGGCCGTTTATTTACGTGGTCCGCCACTACAGCGCTAGGGGTACGCGCGATGGACGAGTGACGACTCTCCTCGGGCGGTGCTGTGGATATTCGGAAAATCGCTACCGACCCCTAGGCATACCGCGACACCTAGGGTCTTCTGAGCTAGGTTGAACATGTAGAAAATTTCCGGACACTCCCCAACCTCGCTTCTGGCGGCCATAGTCCCCAGAGGGAATGGGTGGTCTTGACGCTGAAAACAAATACTTCCTAGTCTAGCAAGGTCTTTGTCTAAGACAAAGAGCACGAATGCTAGTAATACCGGGGGCGAGGGGGGATATTATTTCCTGTCATAAATGCGTACGGTGGCTGGTGAGAAAAATATGACCCCCCCGGTCCCCCATCTCACCCCCAAAGCCATCTACGTCAGCTAAATGGCGGATAATCCCGCCCCAAGAAGCTATCTGTGCGGGTATACCCAGCGAAGCAGCCAAGTGGTCTGGACCGGCAATTAGAGCTACTGTGCCCAGCTTAAGCTAGTAGGGAGACTCTCGAATAGTGCCGGTAGGGGGAATACCTACGTAAGGGGTCGACAGGAGACCACACGGCGTAACTCGTAGGTAGATAATGAATACATACCTAGAGGGGGCCACGTAACTCCAGAGACAGACAGGGGAACCTTGGTTTATTTCGACGCGGGTTGTCAATTATTTCCACGTTCTCATCTTCCAACCCCCGCGGGGGAATCAGCAGTAATTGCGATTACGCCATTGGGGACGCAGATCGTGACATCGAGCTGGGTGTGGAATCAGGATCCCGCGAGCCCGCCTAGGGCCAATCACAACCGGGTCCATCCACTCGAGCATTGCGACAGCTAACCCTCGTGATGGCGAAGTGCTGTGTTGCTGTCCGTTATCAGACTAGGTAGATGCTACTCAAACGTTCGACTCGTGGTGGTAGACTATACTCCAGCTCCTCCCTCCTCTCCCGTTGGCCTGGTCCCCAGCTGTAACGTCACGCGTATGACCTACCCGGCGTGCTCGGCCCTTGCGTCTGTTGTCCTTTATAAACTCGCCCGCATCCCTTCTACTGCCATAGCAACGCCGTGATTCGGATAGCCAGGTTGACGCGGACACGCTCGGCCTTTCGGACGGAGGAGAAACGCAGAGACATAAACCAGCAGTACGCCACTGCCGTCATGCCTGGCCAACGCGCTCCCACGCCCAAGGAGGTGGAGGTGAGCGAGTCCGGATTGGATGCCCGGGACTCGTCCCAGCACGAGGCGGAGGAGGAGGTGGTGGTAGAAAAGCAGAAGGTGCCGTGGTGGTCGTACATCTGGGACTACGAGCCGGGGCGGACGCGGGAGGAGCGCGTGTTCATCCAGAAGCTCGACGTGTTCCTGGTGACGATGCTGTCGCTCGGGTACTTCATCAAGAACCTGGACCAGACCAACATCTCGAACGCGTTCGTCAGCGGCATGAAGGAGGACCTGCGCATGGACGGCAACGAGATCAACATCGTCGACACCGCCTGGACCGTCGGCTACGTCATCGGCCAGATCCCCTCGCAGATTGTGCTGACCAAGGTGCGCCCCTCCGTCTGGGTGCCCGCGTGCGAGCTCCTCTGGACCGTCCTCACCTTCTGCCTCGCCGCTGCCAAGACCTCCAACCACGTCATCGCCATCCGCTTCTTCGTCGGCCTCGCCGAGTCCATCTTCTACCCGGCCGCCCACACCATCCTCGGCTCCTGGTACAAGCCCTCCGAGCTCGGCAAGCGCGCCTGCATCTTCCACGCCTCCTCCGCCGCCGCCAGCATGTTCTCCGGCTACCTCCAGGCCGGCGTCTACCGGGGGCTCAACGGCGTCAACGGGCTCGCCGGTTGGCAGTGGCTTTTTGTAGGTCCCCGGGGTGTCTTCCCTCCGCCTGCCCCCCCTGCTCTCTATCCCGAGAGCGGCCCGTTTCGCGCATTGCTGATCTCCCCCGCGTGCGCGCGCGTGTAGATCATGGACGGGGTCATCAGTCTCCCGATCTGCGTCGCGGGATTCTTCATACTGCCGGACCTGCCCGAGAACACGAGGGCGTTCTACTTGAGTGAGAGCGTAAGTTAACACCCGCCACAGCTAAGCATTCGGCAAGAAGAAAAAACGACCTAGATGCCGTATTGACATACCTACAACTAGGACCGCGAGATGGCAAGGACGCGCATGGAGAAAGCTGGACGCGCGCCGCGCACGAAGTTGGGACGCTCGACTTTCAAGCGCATCTTTAGTCAGTGGCGGGACCCGGCCCCCTGAGATCAGCTGCGACAGGACTGACTGGTAGGACAGAGCGCTGGCATGTTTACCTTCTCACGATTCTGTACGTCATATTCATCATCATCGGCCCGTCGGGGAGCGTCAACCCTTTTGCGCTATGGCTCAAAGCGAAAGGCGAGCCTGTGGAAAGGATAGTGAGTAGCCCACCCTGCCCCCCCCCCCCTCCCCTACAGAACCGCCCTTGAGGTATACTAATAGATCCCCCCCTCCCACTCTCTTCCCGCGGTAGAACATCATCCCCACGGCGTCTTCGGCGATCCAGCTCGTGCTCACGGTGTTGTTCGCCATCATCTCGGACGCGATCCGGCGGCGGGCCAGCATCATGTCGATCTCGACGTTCCTGGGGGGGTTCTCGGCGCTGATGCTGGCCATCTGGACGGTGCCGGACGGGCTGAAGTGGTTCTCGTTCCTGCTGCAGCGGGCGTCGGTGCCGTACGGCCCGCTCAGCATGAGCTGGGCCAACGAGATCTGCGGCGCCGACGCGGAGGAGCGCGCCATCGTCATCGGCGTCATGAACTCGATGGGCTACGCCTTCAACGCCTGGGTCCCCATCCTCACCTACCCCCAGGTCGACGCCCCCCGCTTCCGCACCGGCTTCATCTACTCCACCGTCATGTTCGGCGCCCAGGCCGCCATCACCGCCGCCGTCGCCTTCATGCACAAGCGCGACCAGCAGAGGAGCCGCCTCGGCGAGGCGGGCGGCGGAGAGCCCGAGCGGGCCGACGCCGGCGTTACTGTGAGCTCCTCTCTGGACCGCCCGTAAATCTTTTTGGTTGTCAGACGATTCTCAACATCTTAGGTCCCGCTTCTGAGTAGCCATGTTAGTTGAATCACACACAATTGCAGACAAGATCACGCAAGCTGCGCTCGCTCTTGGTAAACGGACTTGGTTACACCCAATGTTACTGAGCGTTGACTGACGTAGAGCATAGGTTCAAGAAGACAGCGATATATAGGTAGGTATTATATGTATTATGTAAGAGCAACGGTTCGATATAATATCCGCTACAACTATACAGGTAGACGGCTCTAGATTTAAAGAAGAATGTATAGTAAAATCAGGATTTGCTTGCTTTTGCGCTCCCCGCCCCCCCTCGAGACCAGCTTCCGCACTTGCGTAGTTGTCTGTTCGCTTCCCACGGCCGACTCGAGTCCTCCTCCCCGCTGTTATTCACGGAGCCCGCGTACAGAGGCAGATCAGCGGCCAATGTGCAACTCACGAGGTGCCCGCAGCTCCGTTCTTCGCTTAAAGCACTTACTACTCGTCATCCTTCGGGTCCCACGATCCCAGGATCATATTACCTGGCGCGCGTTGGCGTTAGCCCGCGAGGGGCCCCCTCTAATCGAAGAACAGGGAAAACATACCGTCGGGTGACGAGGGCGGCCCGCCGGCGCCGAAAGGCGGGTAGGGCGACCGCATGCCGCCGGCGGGGCCGCGCGGGCCGTACACGAGGCCGAACTGCGGCGGCGGCGGCCCCAGCGGCGGGCAGCCGGGGCAGGAGTACGGGCCGGGCCGCGAGCACTCGGGGCAGCCGCACGGCGCGCCCATGCCCCGGCGGCTCTGCATCTCGACGAAGCGGCCCATGGGGCTGGCGGGGCCGGGCGGGAACGGGGGCGCCCAGCCCTGGCGCCTCCCGGGCGCGGGGTACGCGCGGCCGCCGAACGAGGGCTCGGGCGACGACGCCCCGCTGAACGAGGGCGCGGGGGACGCGCGGCCGAACGAAGGGGAGCCGCGGCCCGGGCTCGAGGGGGAGTCGAGGGGCGAGGAGGGGCGGTAGGACGAGGTGGGCGGGACCCTGATGGCCGGCCGGCTGACGTTGCCCTCGCGCAGGCTCGCCCGGATGTCGACGACCTCCTTGTGCTGCTCCCCGAGCGAGGTGTCGCCGTAGATCGGGAAGATCAGCGGGCGGTCCCGGGACGTGAAGACGGGCTCGCGGCAGGTCGGGCAGGTCGGGTTCCGCACGTTGATGTGCTCCTTGAGCCAGTTGTAGAGGCACACGTACCCGAACGCGTGGCCGCAGCCGGGCAGGACGGTGTAGGCCTCGTGGGTGTCTCGGGATTTGCTGTCGTAGTAGCCGTTGACGAGGCTCAGGTTCTTCGTCGTGCAGATGGGGCACTGGATGCTGAGCCTAGTCCGGGTCTGGTCGATGATGTTGCCGCTCTCGTCGAAGTGCTCGAGCACCTGGTGGAAGTTGGTGGTTTCCACCGTGTCTGTCCGAGCTGGGCTCATGATGACGACTGCTGGCTGTACTCGGATGACTTTCTCTTAGAGTGAAACGTGTCTGACTGCAGCACTTGTGTTCTGGAGCGGATGAAGGGGGGGTTGTCTTGTGGGATGAGCCTGGTGCGATGGGGGATAGTAAGAGCGAGGGTACGGAATTTCCAGGCTTAAATAAATTCATGAGGGAAGATTGCCTTGGAAACTGCCGGTTCGCAATTCGATTCATGGACCAGCTGCACACGGCGGTTGTTTATAACTCGACCATGACACAAAGTCCCTGAATCACAGGGGAAGAAGTTGTTCTTTGGTATCACCAAGCTCGACATCGGCAGAATGAGTTATGATTGGCCGATGAATCGCAGCCGAAGAACGGTTCTTTAGTTGTGTTGGGTTATGATGCGAAACAACCAGACAAAAGGATTCTCCATCCTGTCTCTCGAAGCTAGTAGGCAAACAGCAATGGGATGTATGCCGTAGGAATAGCATCGCATGAATCTGAAAACGAGTTTGCTCGTCGCCTGATAGTCATGTCGGGCACCACCTATTATCCAGTATCTACGGGCGGTGGCCATATCCTCGAACAGAGCCTCCCGTCTGCGCTCGATAATTCCACGGCCACCCGAAGAGGATGCTTGAATTTGCGACTCTACGAAAACTCGCCCAGGCCTTTCGTGACAATATATGCAACGTGGCCTGATAGCCAAACTGCATTCGAGTACGTTCTCTGTTCGTGGCCCCCGAGACTGATAGAAGCACAGTATACAGAAAAGACCTATTTTTCTTCACAACTCACGGCTGAATGTCGGCTGGAGCGTCTCCAGGAATAATGACGTAGGAACTAGGTATGCCGTCTACGGCGCCAGGTTAAGCGACCGCTGTTGCGAGGCGAAACGTAGGTATATACAAAGCCATACTAATAAAATGCGCGCGTGCGACAGCATGTGGCTCTATTGACGGGTGAGGGTATTCCGACATCGGCCCGCGGAGAGACAGGCGTCCGCATTGTCTCTTGTCCCGATCGCAGCACGCGCTATGGGACCCTCGTTCTCCTGTGGCATGGTGGCACGCGGTGCCAGGAGGTACCTAGTTTGCCAAAGACCGCGGGTCAACAGCCAACCTTGAGCCATTTGACTGGCTTCGAGAACGCCAAAACATGTGCATCCTTACCAAGGCCGACGGTGCTTCTATGGGTGAAGGAGGGAGGAGGGAGAATAGAACAGGTCACGTAAATAAGCCCTAGGAGGTAGGTACCTAGGTACCTAGCATACCTCCTAGGTACCTGCAGGATCGACAAGAGAATCTAACCGATACTCGAATATCCTCGCTGTTCCTCGCCTAACGACGCAAAGTACCTGCCGACTAGAACCTAACCGCATCGAGCCCGCCCCCTAACCCCAATCCGCGCTAGCGCTCCATCTTATCTAATCGATCTCGTACCATGAAGAGACCACCTCGACGTCACCAACGGGTAAGCTTAGTAACCGATTCCACCGACATCTTCCGTGGCCCTCCGCCTCATCCGCCCTTCTATCCCCGTCTACTCGCCGACGCATTCCCATCCCTATCCTTATCCTCCCCTCTTCCCTCTTCCCTTCCCTCCTATCCCTCCCAACCTCCCCACCGCACCACCCCCTAACCCCCTATCTCTCTCCCTCCCCCTCGCCCGGCCGACTATGCCCCGGAGCGAGATCGCGCCCCTGATCAGCACCCGCGGCGCGCAGACCATCACCATCAGCACGGACGGGCGGCGCCGCGCGCGCGCCCGCTTCGCCACCGGCATGTTCTGGGCCCTCGCCTGCCTGTACGGCGCGGCCGCCGTCGGGCTCGGCGCCTTCGGGGCCCACGGGCTCAAGAAGACCGTCTCCGACCCCGCCCGCCTCGCCAACTGGGCCACCGCCGCCCACTACCAGGTTCGTCCCCCCCCCCTTCTTCCCCATATCTTCGGTGCCCCTTTCGTAAGGCTCCCGCTCCGGCAAAAAACTAAAAACTAAAAACTAAAAACTAAAAAAAAAAAACAGCTCGTCCACTCCGTCGCGCTCCTCGTCGCCTCGCGCCGCGAGGCCCCCACGCCCAACCCCGTCGCCGGCACCCTGTTCCTCGCCGGCATGACCATGTTCAGCGGCAGCCTGTACGCCCTCGTCCTCGACCCCGCGCGCTTCCGCTTCCTCGGCCCCGTCACCCCGCTCGGCGGGCTCTGCCGTAAGTCTTCTTCGCTCCTCCTCCCGCCTCGCGCCTCTCGCCTCTTTTGCCGTCTCCCCCGGCTAGCCCGCTCGCTAAAAACCCCGGGGTAAACAGTAATTGGCGGTTGGATCACGCTCGCCTTCCAGTGAGACCACAAGAGAGAGAGAGAGAGAGAGAAAGAAAGGAGGTACTTTTTCTGCTTTACGCCTTACCTCGTGCTCGCGCGCGGGAGAGAAGAGGAGGAGCAGCCGGAGCCATATCCGACCTTCCCCCTCCCCTGACGCCATGGGGTCCCGCAACTAAGCAGGCGAATAGGGGGTGGAAGGGGGGCGTTGTTGTCGTTGTAGGATGAGAAAGACTTGGCATGCGCGGGGGCCGCAGGGCGGCGATGTATTCGTGTGGGCGCATACCGGCCGCGCAATAGCGCGGCATCGCTTCTTCCCTCTCTTCATTTCTATCCTTCTGTTCGTTTATCTACGTCGACACGAAGACGCATCCCGTCTTCCTCGGCTAATCACATTTACCTATAACAAAGAGAGAAAGAGGACGGAGATTTAGCCGCAACAATACCTACCTACCTACCGTATTTCCACTTCGCGGGCCGTAGTTGAGCGCTTCGCCGCCTGGCCTTCTACGCATCGTCTCTCCCCGCGTTGGCCCTCAGCCACCTGATGGACTTGGCTCATTATTACCTATAGTTCTAGCTAACTTGCCTCTCTAGTATCTGAGCGCGTTGCCCAGAGATAACTAGGTTACTACCTCGTAGAACTACGTCCGTAGCGCGAGTTTGCAACAGCACGCGTTGCCGTGGACAGTCGTAACCATTTTCCCTCGTCGACGTCGTTATCCGTCCTTTCGTATCGGTGTATTGTGGCATCTCAACGGGTATGGCTAATGAGATAGCTAAGCAAGTCTCCAAAAAGGGGGGAAAGGGGGGTTCGCAGGAGTGGAGGCCAGAACCTCCTTACACCTGTGCATATGCCGAACCGTCCCATCCCTTTCCATGCAGGGTATCTTCTCGCAGTCTGCTCTTCTTCAAAGAGGATCATGAATCATGAACCGCCACCCGTAGTTCGCTGCCTCCAATGGACATCCAGTTGTTGGAATTTATCCCAGTCGTCCCCGATCCTAGCACCCCAGTTCGCGCGGAACACTTCCTCTCCCCCAACCCGTTGTACGAGACCCTGTAGCCTTTCCCGAACGAACGCGAGGCTCTGGGTAGTCCTCGCCGGGCTGTACCACTCGAGTATTTTGAGCCTCTCGTCTTTGACCGTGTCCCAGTCTTGCCGTTCCGGTTCCCCTGCATACACTAGCAGGTCACTTCCAGGATGGTCATCGTTGTCGAGGATTTCCGACATGACGAACACCCACATCTTGAAATATTCGCGCATCTTTTGCAGAACGAGGTCCTGCATGACTTGGGGCTCGAGGAGGCGTGTAAGGGCCAAGAGAGTCAGCTTGTTCGAAATGTCTGCTGTGTATCTTGTCGCTATGAGGAGCCATTCGGCACTGAGCCAATCCCAGACTCGATCCGGAGGATCGAGTGAGGTGAGCAGCTCAGCAAAGGTCCCGGGGTCGAGGACGGCGATGTGAGAAAGCACCTCGAAATAATCACACAGAACGGGGGTTTGCACTATACGTCGGTCGTCCCCGTCGATCGACGCCTCGTGATGCGTATGCAGGACTTCGAAAATATGCGGGAGCAGCCCCGTCTTCATCATGTCCCGGACGACAACTTGCAGCCCGGTCACGCCTCCGAGCTTGTGAGAGAGCTGCAAGTAGATCGATGCATTCGCCGCCGCGGCCTTGACGAGATCACGACTTCCCGATCTAAGACAGCCAGCGAGGGAGCTTAGAGTGGGCTCCCTCAGCTGGTCTTCGAGCAATGCTTCGGGGGCGAGGACAATGTAATCGCCTACGAGCTCCACGTATTCGCTCACGTGCTCGTTCTGCAACTCGAGCCCCCGGATGGCGATGCGGGCGAGATGGAGAAGGTCTGAAGGTAAAGGGGGCGTAGTCTGCGTCAGGGCGCTGCGCCACAACTCTAACACTTCGTCGATCAGGTACAAGTAGATTTCGGTATTTTCCTGCGTCGCCTCGATGATCAAGGGGACGATTCTGACGTGATAGCGCTGCCACTCGGTCTTCAACGAGACCACCAATGCTTGCATGATAGCCAAGACCGACTGCTTCAGCATGGTATTTTGGTCGCCGGCAGACTGCCAGATGGCAGGTAGCGTGTCCATTACCATGTCGCTGAGGTGGTGCACCTGGGTGTCCATGCGTTGTACGAGGCATCTCGTCGTCTCGAGAATCGCCAGCTTCGTCTCGTCAATGTCGACCTGCTGCAGTAGGCCGATGAGCTCGGTAAAGATATCGGCTGCAAACGGGACGAACAGTGCTTCCTGGAACTCGATCTCGTCGACGACGCTTTTCAATTGCCTTGCGGCCGTGATGCGGACGACGATATCGTTGCATCCGTCTCTGGAATTCAGAAAGTGTCGGAAAATCTCGTACACCAAAGGGCGGGTTTTGTTGTCCATTTTCACTGGCACCCATTGGCTGAGAAGGATGGCGATCCTTCTCCTGAGAATCTGGCACCATTGCCCGGCTTGCTGCGCGTCGGCCGCGATCGTCGTCCTCACCATCTCGCCGAAGTCGACCTTGTCACAGACGATCGGGGCGGCGAGACCCATGGCAGTGTAAACTGCCTCCTTGATCGCCAGGTCTGCCTGCGGGCCCCGGGCCAGCGAGAAATACGATAAGAGGGGCTCTACGAGAAGATCACTGTGATGTATGACCAGGTCCAAAAACAGTCTTTCCGCGCAAGGGCGCACCTCCCACTCGTACGCATTGCCCTGGGTTTCCTCCTGCTGCTCCCATTCTTGCGGTTCTTCGTTCCAGGCATCCAAGTCGGCTTGGCGAAAGGCGAAGAAATGACTAATAATCACGTTTGCCATCTGCGTGACGAAGTCATCCGTGAATACGTTGGCCTTGACAGTTGCGATCGCGTCTCGCTGCTCCTGGAGGGAATCCTGAGGACGGTAGCGGATCGTCTGCTTCGGCTGGTGTACCAGCTTGATGCAGGCCCTCACCAGGAGTAGGCCCTGCAGCGCAAGCCTCTCTACGAGGGGGCCTTCGGTCTTAGACTTGGACTCGCCGGCGAGATTTTCTTGTCGTATTCCGCTCGAATTGTTGAATATCTGGGCGAACTTTGCAACCAGGTCCCAGTACGCGCGAACGAGGTCGAGCGAGTTGGGAAGGGACGCGAAGCTCGCGGGATACTCCCGCGCCATCTCGATGTGGAGCTTGGCGAATTTGAGGAGGTGCTTGCCGATTATGTCGGCATAGGGCGCCACGTTGGGAGCATCGCTATCGACGAAAGCGAGGAACTGCGCAAAATGCATCTGGGTCAGGCCCCAAACCCTCCGGACGGTGTCGTCCTGGTGAGGATTTTCGTAGCCAAGCAGGAGAAGCCGACGAAGGGTCTTGAGCGCCTCGTGGCTGTTCTCCATGGCCAGCAGGACGCGATCACCACCTTCACCGCCATGGGACAGGGACGCGATCCACTCGGACGTCTTGGCGTCGTATATTTCGGCGAGCAGGTAGACAAGCTCCGGCGTGACATACTGAAGGGCGGTCTGAGACTTACGCAAACGTGCCGTCCCCAGTTCCTTGACGATGTGAAGGAGTATCTTCAGCGCGCCCGAGAGTTCAGCCTGATTGCCGTCCTTGGTGGCCCTGATGATAGCGATAATCTTGGTTAAGGGATCGGACCAAGCGTTGGGGTAGTCGATGCGGACAAGCTTGGCGACGACGAGGGTATTTTGCATGGCTAGTTGCCTGTCCTCCTCGCCGATGGTGCCCTGGAAGAGTCTTTCTCGTATGGCCTGCTTGCCAGCGGGTGGGATGGTGGGCTTCGAGGCATCGAAACTATGACGCCAGCGCTTGTTGATGCCGTTCTTGAGTTGAATAATGGCGAGGAGCCTGACATCGCGGGGCAGGGATTTGTCCAGAAATGCGGCCTGCCAGAGGAGATGAACGTTAGCGGCGTTGCCATCGAAAGGGGAAGCGTTCCGAGACAGAGACACGCACGTGGAGGGTTGGGTAGTAGTCCGGGCTAGACTCCCAGGCCTCTAGCTGCTGCGTTGCCGATTGGCGGCGGTTGGTGTCGTGGGAGGAGGCCGACTCCAGGGCACGGCAGAGCTCCGGGAAGCTGAGCGGCGTAGCAGCGCCGGGAACCTCGATGGCGAAATCCATCCTGACGACCTCAGGCTCGGAGCATGCTGCGTGGGGGTTCCGATGCCCGTACGGAAGGCGCCTATAATGTCGGGACGACGCTGTGCCACGACGTCGAAGAGGCGATGCTCCTGTATACACAAAACGTTTACGGCTCGGAGCGTTGAAAAATGAAGAAGATGGAAGCAGAAGACGAGGGGCGAGTGGGTATAGTTGTGTCTTGTCTGCAGCGGCGGGGGTCGGAGAGGAGACGGCCACCAACACCGTGTACAGCGTATGAGTGGAAATGACACAGGCTTTGGTGGTGGTTAGATTGAAGCTGTGGCCGACATGTGCAATGGAGGAGGGGGTCTGGGACGTTATTCCGGTGTGCAACTCAACAAGAGTGCGGGCAAAGTTTTGCAGACGTTGCTCTCGAAGTGGCCATGATTGGTGGAGCATCGAAGGGACAATGACGGATGTACCCTCGATTCCGTACTCGAGGCGTTGACGGCGGCTGAAGGCGTACCTAAGCTCAAGTGTCTGGCCAGGTGGGCAGCCCGGTATCCAGTATCATACTAGCAGAGGTATGCATGTGTGTACCTTAGGTACTTTAGGAGGTACCCAGCCACAGGGAACGGGCAGGTTCCTAGGCAGGTACCTGGTACTACGTAACAGAGCCCCGTCGAAGAATTCATTTAGAGGGGTGGTAGCAGCAGCACAACACCCGGCATAGCAATACCCAGCAGGCGGGCAGGGCCGAAAGGAGACCCAAGTTAGCGGAGGTGAGGGATCTACGTCGTCTGTGCTCTACTTGTAAGCTATCCGTCATAGCAGTGCCTCCGGGGGCCGGCATGGAGCTGCTCATCAACCAAGTTCGTAAACATGGAGAAGCGTCGTACTGAGACCTGACACTTTTGCAAGGTAATAATACCGGACGTGCTATGGAACCTGTATGTACGTACTATAGGTATGTATGTACCTGCACAAATGCGTTTATACAGGGGTGCTTACCGAAAGCTCCACCGAGCGGGAAACGGCTCTTTTAGGGGTCGATGCTACATAACGGCATGCCGTAGGTACCTGGTACCTAGGTATGTACGTGTATACCCCTGGAAATAAAGCTTCTATACCTGCCTCCTTAGGCTAGGTACCTAAGTTGGTGGTGATTCGGTACCTGCATAGGTTCCAATAAATGCATGTCCTGTGCACATACCCACGTGCTGCCTCTGTGGCGGCCGTATATCCGCCAGTGACAAACCTGGTGTTTTTGGATCTCAAATCTCGAACCACACGTCACGTAACGTGCCCAGATGAGCATGTAACCAACGCTACCAAGCCGTCCAGGGACTCCGGCAACAAAGATGGCATGTTCGCAACCCGTCCCCCCCCTCCGTCGTTGTTGTTGTTATACCGTATCAAGCATCTCCCTACCGCCAACCTACATACAGCTAGCCGTGGTCTCGCAAACTAAACAAATACGAAGGCGTTTTCTATAGCATAATAAATAGGTTATTCCTAGCATCTACACGAGGTAGCAGCGTGGAGTATCCCGCTCGGCCGCATTGTCCGAAAACAAATATCCAAAAATAGGAGGTAGCCAAGAGTGCGAGAAGTTGGTGGAAGCATTAGAATTGAGAGAGAGCTAGGTAGCGATTGCACCTCGAGCTATACCCTGTGCAGATGAATTTACCAACATGCAAGACCTTGAGCGGGTTAGCTAGGTACCCAAGGCTTATGCGGCTGGGTTGATGGCCGTTAAAGCCGCCTGCCTACAGGGGTAGTGTGCCAGGGGTTGTGTGTATGTGTGTATGTACATCATGGGCAGTCGAACAGAGATAGGCAGTAGAGACAGGCAGGTGGGCGGGCATGTGAGTCGATCGCCGCAGGATTGCGCCGGTAGATACGCTCAAGAGATCTCGCGAATACACAACTACAACACTAGTAGAGCCTCGGTGAGTTTGCGCGATCCTAGCAGGATGGGTAGGTAAATTTCGGGTCTTAGCCCGACCTACACCCCCCACCCTCCTTCGCCTTTCCCTCTTTTTTTCCGCCCTTTGCCTGGTCGAGTCTATCTCGCTGCCGTAACCGTACGCGTGCGCAGGTGGTACGATGTGTTATCGCACGTACGCGCGCGCGTTCCCCCTTCTTGTCCTTGCTTCTCCTCGCTGCCTATCCGCCAGCGAACTCCCAGGCTCCAGCGCTGTGTAGAAAACAAAGGTATCACAATCCGCTCCTGCTATGCGTACCTAGTCCCAGGCTATATCGCCGTCGTCATGCTTCGTATATGTCGGTGAAGTTTCCGGTCGGCCAGCTGTCGTTCATCGGCCACCCTTCGACGTGGTAGACCTGCTGGTAGGGCTCGAGGCTGAGGTCGGGGACGAGTGTCGACGCCTCGTCCAGGAGACATGTCGTAGGTATCGCGGCCCACGTCTCAGATGCCGCGACGCCGGGCCGCCAGCAGCCCGGGCTAGGTCGTGGCGCCAGGTACTCCTTCGCGACGAACTTGATATCCTCCGCAACCTTCCGCGAAAGAGGCCACATCTCCCCATGTGCCGTGAGGATCTGCACAATCCTATTGATCCGTTCCCTAAAGGCGGGCGAGTCCAGCCCGAGGAATACGCACGCGTCGAGGTAGGCCTGCGCCACCCGGAGCATTGCCGGTGCTACCACCGTGCTAAGGCTCCTCGTAGGTAGGGGACGTCGGAACAGGTCGCAGTAGGAATTGGCAGCGTGGATGTCGATCGGATGGGGGTTCCAACCGAAACCCCTAACCATCTGCCCCTTTCGGTCGGGGCCTTTCGCCGGCCCCAGGGGAAAATACTCTCGTATGTTGAGGCCGTTTCTCGGTGCCGATTGCCTTAGGCGTAGTCTATTGCTGGTTTTAGAGCAAGTTAGCTTTCCGCAGCAGCCTGTAAATGTCATCACGCGCGCAAACTAACACATGTGCGAGGGCGACGCTATGGTACAGCACGATGTCGACGATCCCATCCGGATCCACCAGGTTCATCTTCCAAGTAGGCACGCGTCGCAGGAAGTCGCAAATTCGAGAGTCGGCCCGTTCGAATATTTCCGACTTTTTCTCGTCAGGGGCCTCGTTATATCTAACTAGAAACTCGGTTTGGATCTTGCAAATGTCGATGAAGTACGCCATTGACGAGAAATGCGTGTGTCCTAAGCTGGATTGCGTCTCGTACTGCGCTTGCGAGACCGGTTGCGGAATAATCTACGGGGCATGTTAGAGGCGCGTGTTTATTCGTTGGGTAGGTGGAGATGGGCAGCTAAGATAGATAAGGGCGACGGAGAGAGGTGATGGAGGAAGGTGACGTAGAGGAGAATATCGCGTCGTAGGGACTGCGACGACAAGTTCTTGTCGGCCTGAAGAATAAATGACGCGAGATAGGGGAAACAAAAGTCCTTACTCCTGATTCGTATTCCCACTCTTCGCAAGGCAAATCTACATCGCAGTCCACATCGGCAATGGTAAGTGTGGACCCGACCTCGGTCACTACGCGCAGGGAGTCCTGGAAGGCTAGGCACCACCAAGTCCTTCGGTAGCTCTCGGCGAGGATGGAATCCGACGTCCCGTCGGCGAAGGCCTTCTGGTTCATGCCGAGCTCGACCGCCATCGTGATCGCCCGATTTGCCCAACCGGCGTGGTGCTCGAAGCTCATCTCTCCGAAAGCTGCGAGACTCAGATTGAGAAGGCCCTGGACCGACTGCACCGTAAACGGCAGCGACCCACAGGCCGCTGAATAGGCTACCTCTCTCAAGTCATCCGACGGTACCTGACTGGTGTAGAGCGACCCGATAAAGTTGATAACGGAAAGTAGAAAGTGGTACGAGTCCGGGTCTGCGGCGACGCGGCTTAGGAAGAACCTCTTGGGCGGCAGACACGGATAGCTCGGATGAAAGTAGGTGTAGAACAGGTCAATCATCAGCTCCTTTTCGCTTCTCGGCGAGCTGGGTTGGTGCGATTCCACGCCGACGGTCCAGCCGCCGGGCAGGTCGTGATGGGACTGAACGGAGGAAGCTGCCGAAGAGACGTTAGACGTCGGGAAGAGAGAACCGGGCGACGCGGCGGCCGACGGCGGCTTGTCCGATATCAAACTCCGTTTCTTCGGGTCGCGTATGCCCCGTCTCGACTTGGCGTAGAAACACGGCTTGTCCTCCTGCTGACAGCGGTTGCAAGCTGGCAAGGTGGCGTCGCACTTGACGTGCTTGCTGCGACACTGCACGCAGGCCAGCGACACGCGTATGTTGGCCTTGGACCGGTTCGCGGGCTTCGAGTCCGAGCCGTCCGGCGACGAGACCGTCGAGGCTTGCCGGCTGAGGCTGTCTGTGGTGGTGTCATTGTCCCGGCTCATCCCCATTAGATCGGTGGCAACCCGAGCGGATTTTCCTGCAGAAGTTGTTCGACAAGGCTTTAAAAAAAAAAGAGAAAAAGGAAAAAGAATTTGCCGCCGACAGCGCTGGAGTTTGACGGCGAGAGCTTCGGTTGGGTGCAGCTTTCAGAGCCTTTGAAACGGACTTGACTCGTTCAGCCGGCCGACGAACGATAGGGCTGATGAGCGGCTCCTCATATAAAAGAGCTGACAGCAAGCTTCATATTTAGTTCTGACAAGTGTCTACCAGCATCAGGGTTCTCATGGCGCAAGATGGGTCCAGATACCGCCATGTGGTAGTGTAGGTACATGCCCGTTATGGATGCTGGTCCCGACAGGTGTGTGAGTAGGTATTGTATATGCAGACCCATGACTTCTCGGGCTTTCTACCAGCGGTGGACACACATCTAAGCCATCAGCCCTAGTGGGGCCCACCGGCACGGGATGGATTGGGGGTGCGAGAGTGCGAGAGAACTCCAGCGGAGTTGCGATTCTGGATGGTCGTGGGTGGTTGTGGGCGGTTGCGTGGTGCGGCCAGGGAGGGAGCGGACTCGAGAGCTCGCGCGGACTCTGGGCGGCCGAGCTCTGCGATCATACCTCCTCCCTACACGCACCCTCAGACCGCATCCGGCCACCTACACGCAGCAGCGCTACCCTTACATGGGGATTGGCATATTCTCCAAGGGTGGCCGGGGGGGGGGGGGGGATCTGCTCTCGACTCCCAATTGGCGCGGTGTAACGATGCGTACATGCATCTCCAGCATCGCCTCCTCATTCATGCTCCGGTAGCATGTCTTGGTCCATGGCAATCTGGCCATATAGGAGTGGGCAGCGATAGAATGTTGGTCGAAGGTGAGCACGGCTTGCCTGTTGGTGATGTTGTAATCAGGACGCACTATAGCTTTGGCGACTGATCGCGGTTGTTAGGAGGAGGGAGGGCGTATCTGCCTTGATCCATGCCTTTCATGCGCCAGGTTCGTATTGCCTTAGGTTAGGAGGTACCTTGGGTACCTACCGTAGGAGGTACATTGGGCAGATGCCTCAGGTACCAAACCCGAGGTACCGAGGCAAGGTACCTTAGGTACAGATATAAGACATGCATACCTGCATACATTCCGAGGCAGGTACCTGAACCTACCAACCTTAGGTACAAGGCGGCGGCAGCGTTCCCTCGCGTGCCTCAGGTACATTCTACACGTACAGGCCGGCAAGGAACCTCACATGGCATGGAGGAGGCGTTCTCACTACCTCCCAGCCTAGGTCGAAATCCCCAGACCAAGCGATGTCAGATCCCCTACCCTGTAATTATCTACCGTCCAAGGTCCCTCCCTCTCTTATCTTTCTATACTATAGTATATTCGTCCCCTTTCCCGTATCATCGTCGGGCGCCGAGGTTAGCCCGCGTTCTCATGAGGTTATTTATAGGCAATATGTTTGGCCGTCGCTTTTGCGTATTCGTCTACACGTGCTTCGTTGCCGGGACGCGGGTCCTTAGCCCGATCTCGTCTACTGACCACGGCTGGTTGATCTGACGGGATAAGATCCAGCCGCCACCATCCTATCGCTGCCTCATCTTCTTCTTGCGTCGGAAAGCTTTCGGCGTCGCGTGCAAGCCCTCGGGGCGTTCTCGCAGATCAGCAAGTACGTGATCATCTACTCAGGCAAGGTAAGCTCGAGAGTATCCGACGATACGCCGGCCGCCTTAGCCCGTTCCCTTCGCACGTAGCGTGGGATGAATACGACGGCCCCCTTTCCCTTTGAGGCTCGGTATCAGGATTTGGCGATAGCGTGTATGTGTGCATGAAGGCCTTGGAGTTGCTAACTAGGGCCTTGCTGCTAATAGACCGAGGGAGAGAGGGCTTAGCCACGCACGGTGGTAAGTAGGTCTGTGTGCCTGCAGACAAGCCCCAGGGTAAGGAAACGGACAGGCCCTACGCCCATCCCCAGGGTCCTACACCAGGGGGGGATCCGTTGATTACAAAGGCACTGGGGTGCGAGCGCGCGCACCGGATTGGTCTATCGGTATTGACTCGACTTCTAGCACGCGGCCCTTAAGACGGACTGCTATTGACGCAACACGTGTTATGCTGGCGATGCCCGGGCGGGAATGGGTTGGAGTGCATGTGCTGGGTATCCCTGGCGGTCGTCCAGGTACCGAACCTGTTCACTAACCTCCCCCAACACCCCTAACCCCTTCCCCTACGACATCGGGCTTAGGTGCCTCCTGCACAGGCGGGCAGTGGGCAAGGCGGGCAGTGCCACGCTCCAGGGCCGGGGGTTGGGGGGGCCTCTGTTACTACCTATGACCACATCGATAACGTAGCATAAACCAGCCAAGGCGAGTCCGCCGGCAGAGCTCGACACCAGGTTGTTCGGTCCACTGCTGCAGCGGGTACCGGTGTGTGCGCCGGGGTACAGCACCGCACCGTGCTCGACGCCTGCCAAGCACGGTGCCTTGGCAGCTAGTTTCGCCGGGCAAACACGGTGCGCAGCAGCCCCCCGGTCTGCGCCGGCCAGGTATCGCGTCGAGTTTTGCCGAGGTTTACCAGAGCAGAGCCCGCCAAGCCGCGTTGGACCCCATCAGCTCGCCCAACCTCGGCGTACCCCGAACGGGCCGACGGGGGACTGAACCTAGGACACAAAAACTCCCGCCCGTCAACGTCACTATGCGCAGCTTTCCCCAGATTCGTCCATCCCTCCCGCCTTTCTAAGCCTCATCAAACGTTACAGTTGCCAATCGGCCTCGACGCTCCTCAACACTTCCCAGATACCGCCTTGCGTGGTTTTCCTGCTCTCGTGGCTTCGGGGTCCCCAAGCCATGGTCTGATCGAGCACACCGACAACAGAGCTTGGGACCGCCGCGTACTACCATGCGTTCGCGCCGATGAGCACTACCAGTTTCGCCCAAGCCCAGCAGCGCCTGGCTGCCCGACGGCGGGCTCGTGAGCAGGAGGCTCAGGCCCGACTCGTCGCGAGCCGGCAAGCGTCGCGTGTCTGGTCCGAGGTCGCACGCCTGCCCTTTCCCTTCAACCGCGTCGGCGCCGCGTCGCTGTCGGCGTGGGACGCGATCTCGACGCGTGAGGGCACCCGACCCGCCTTTCGAGTCGGCCAGGTCGATGCCGAGCTCCTGGACGAGGACCTCGTGACGCAACTACGCGACCAGGTCGGCGAGGCGCTCAAGTACTTCGGCGCGAATATAAAGGACGACTGGTCCGCCGAGATTCTCCTCGCCCTCCGGCTGGTGCTCTTCAAGCTTTCGGTGTGGGACCACGACGCGACCTACGGCGCCGCCCTGCAGAACCTCAGATACACCGATGCGAGACGCGACGGGCCCGTCTTGGTGCCGCCGAGCAAGTGGCAGAAGAGCCTCTATGGCCTGATAACCGTCGGAGGCAAATACGGGTGGACGAAGTGGGAGAATTGGCTGCTAGACCAGGACAACGGATACGACCAACCCTCGCCAACGGTTCATCGGCTCTCGAAGTTCACGTCGCAGCTCACCACCCTCCACTCGGTAGCCGCGTTCGCATCCTTCCTCGCCTTCCTTCTGCACGGGAGGTATCGCACCATATTGGATAGGGTGTTAAAGATGCGTCTTGCCCCACCCACGAGTCAGGTTAGCCGGGAGGTGTCGTTCGAGTACCTCAACCGCCAGCTGGTGTGGCACGCCTTCACGGAGTTTTTGCTGTTCGTGCTGCCGCTCGTGGGCATCAACCGATGGCGGAGATGGCTCAGCCGTACCTGGAAGAAGACGAAGGAAATCATCCACGTCGGCGCGGAGGGCGACGGCGCCGGCAAGCAGGGCGACTACGCGTTTCTGCCCGAACGCACTTGCGCCATCTGCTACCAAGACCAGAACTCGGCGATGTCCGAAACCGAGGTCCTCGCCGCGGCCACTTCGAGCGGCGTCATCGGATCGGCGCAGACGGACATTACAAATCCGTATGAGACGATCCCCTGCGGGTGCATATACTGTTTCGTATGCCTGGCGACTAGGCTCGAGCGCGAGGAAGGCGAGGGCTGGACCTGTCTAAGATGTGGCGAGTTGGTGAAGGAGTGCAAACCGTGGAGCGGAGACGTGTTGGAGGAGCAGTCCAAGTCGCCGTCGGCAACTACGAAACACGTCGGCTTCGTTGACGAAACCCCCGTCGCCAACCGCCCCGGGCAGGGTGAAGACGCGGATCGCCAGTTGAAGAACGCAGAGGTCCGGTACCGGCAGCCCTCAACGGCCGCGTCCGACACCCCTGACGATGAGGATTCCGAGATCTACGAGGAAGAAGAGGCCGGCGTGGGGGAAGATTTCAACGAATAACTGCCGAACATGGATGCATCTTAGAGACTGCAGCGCCCGGATGATCCTGCTAAGCCGGAGGAGGCTAGAGATCTTCGGCTTCTAGCACGACGCATGTATGCCACCTATTTAGAAGTAATACGATACGATATGCACATTATGATCAGCTTACCCTCGTTCGAAAACGGAAACCCGATATATATTGTATGCAGCAGCACAGCACAGTACTGCCCATACCTGTAGAAGAAAGTAGCAAAATTTCGTGCCGATCGCTCTTGTCGCCGACCCGCCTTGTCGACTCTTATTTTCTCCCCAGATCCTATCACACGACGTGCATATACATACTCCTTTTACAGAGCCCGACGGGGACCGTGGTCCAGCGTTGTACCCAATCTCTCCCGATGTAGCTCACCGTAGTGTGTATTCCGCTGTGCTATTGCGTCGCGACGGGCTTTGGTCTATGCGGTTCTGATAGCCTAATGGCCAAGTCTAGTTAGGGCCAGGGGTGCGGCCGGTGTGTGCTCTGCAGGGCTGGTGCGGGACAGGAGGATGAAACTAAGTTGCAAGTTTACCCCGTCGGCGTTTACTCCGTGCCAGCGTCTTTAATCCCCTGGAACCCATCTGTCGCTTCTTCTGTGGTTGGCTCGCATATGCGTGGTTGACTTCCCCGGGGCACGTCTAGAAGCCAGTTCTCATCAGGGCAAGGGGAGGGGGTTGGAGGCGCCCAACCTGGAGGGGTCTCAGGGACAGGGAAAGTTCCGGCATTCCTCAAGGAGAAGACTCGGGCGTTTTCAGCTCGAGAGCCCAATAGAAGGTGGAAAACAGGAGGGAAAAAAACCTACATCATTATGCGGTGTCGTTTGGCATGCTGACGTGTAGCTCTCCCGCCGCTGCACTCCACCTTTTCCCCCTGAAGCGAACCGGCTGCCTCCCTAGATCCTATGAAGCACCCGAACTTCATCCTAGCATCCGATCCTACCTTGACTATCCACTCTTCAATCACCGCGGATATACTCTCTTTCGTCTCTTCATCTACGCGCCGTCCTGGAATTCTTTTGTTGCGTTGTCAGTTGATGCCGAAACATACGGTCGAGGGTCTCCCTACCATGGCGATCTATACTAGATCCTCGAATTCATATCAACGATACGCTCCGTAGTAGCTGCAATGTTGGCGATATTCTTTTAACACCTCTTCATCATTCCCCTCTCAACGGCTAGTGACAACGACAAGGTTATTCTCGAGGTCGCCCATCCCGTCTTACATAGGATAGGCGAGGAGAAGCGCAACTAGATGGGCACAGGAAGTCGAGTAACGGGCACTACCCGCTCCCGCCCTATCACCACGAAGAAATCGATACTGGTGAGTCTCTGCTGGGTCTCTCCATCCCCAAATCGTGGAGAAAACTAACTAGCAGGTCAGTCGGCGTGCGCCGCGAACCGTCCGTTATCTACAGATAGTCTCGCGACTAACCTCCCCCGCATACGCGTGCAGGTGAGCTGTTCCCCAACGGCGCGCAACTAAACAATATCTGGTAGGTGCTAATATGCTCCCCGACGGAGCTCGTCTCCGCCGTACGCATTCGATGTTGCTTGTATTCGCTCTGAGACAGCTTCCGCACGCGACGCCCTCCACCCCTGGGCCGCTCGACAGACGCATCCCTCCCTAACGACTTCGGGCCTGGCGACTTGGCGTGCTCTCTAAGACCGACTCAGCTACGTGCGTACGTACGTGGCATTATATGTTCACCGTGCCGAAACACTCTGTGTTCTCGAAGCCTCGAAAGCTCCACCGTCTCGCAGGTAGCAGACGTCCAGGTGGAAGCATTCCCCCCCCAAGGTTGCCCGATCGGTTCCTGTATGTTGCCGCAGCCTGCACGAGGTGTCGTCGACTTCTGAGGGACACCGACAGCCGATATTTCTCGACCGAGACTGCAAACTCGGGAGACAACCTTTTCCCCTGCACTCCCTCTTTTATCACAGCGAATGCGAGTCCTCAGCCGGGCAATGTTTCCCCCCTCCGCGACCCGCCCCGATCTATAGCTACGAGAGTTGACGTGGAGATTGGGAAGCTAATACTATACCTTGCCTTGGTTCCCTACGTAAGGCCAGGCCATTGCCGTAGGGAACCTTTGCGAGTAGCAGCTTTGTAGCTACAGAGGGTTCTCTGCCCGGTTTGGGTATTTCGGCGCACGCGACGTCTGGTGAATAGCGAAGACCAAAGACGCGCATAGACGCACATACACACGTATACAACAAGACATGTTAGGTATATGGCCGCCTCCTGTATATATATGCCTACTGTTATGTAGGCATGCACCTCTAGTACCTCTATTTCCACTGCACACATATGCGGAGAGTAACCTAGCTTGCCTAAGCTTATCGAGCATACGGAGGTAGGTATAGGTAGATATATCATATGAGCGGACTAGCTACTTTTTCTTTTCTCCTTTCCTTCTCAGGTAGCCAGCCAACACATCTTTGCTCCCCCACGTTCCCGTGGTCACTCTGCGCGCAATCTATTCATCCATCCATTGCTTGAGATAGCGCCGTGACATAGGTATAGCACGTACACACGCTTGGCACAGCATGGACAGGGGGGGGAGGTATGCTTAGGTAGGTCGAACGAGGGAGCAGAAGACGATAGTTGCCAATCGAACCAAATGCCGTGAAATAATATCCTAGCACCTATACTACCCCGGGGGGACCAGAACTTGAAACATTTCTGCGGAGTCGGATGAGCTTCAGGGGTACCTAGTGTATACATCCGGCGGGCTAAGAAAGCTACCTACCCATCATGCAAAGTCCATTGGCATCTTCTCTTGATATTAGCAGGGCGGAACGAGCCCCGTAGCCGCTGTTAGCTAGGATACTTGTGGGCCTGCTAATGTGGCTATATTTCCTCTATTAGATGGGTAAAGGTGCAACTCCGGTTGCACGCAGGTTGGCCCGCGACCTTATCCACTCAGCGTCTGGAACAGGATCCTAGATGGAAATCAGTAACGGAGAGGGCTAATGCTAGGAGGCTACGTCTAAACGGCCTCTGACCCCCACACTCTGCCCACCCTGCCTTGCATGCCTTCACGCATCTAGACTCACATTTCCGCAAGAGAACAAGCCTGAGTATATTTCGAACTACTACCACACGCCGACGTTATCAACTCATACCAGCTAACTAGTAATGGAGGCATGCCGACGCGGGAAACTCGGCGAAGTATGAAAAAGTGAACAAGAGTCGCACCTCGATCACCGGCTGGTTATCTTGACATCGACTAGAGAAGTCCTCAAGATGTGTAAATACAACGATCAGCAATACCATCACCTTAGGTACCGGAGTGATCGGGGGCACTATTAACCTCACCACGCTTGAAGGAGCGCACCAAGGCTAAACACCAAGGACGCTTCTGTCGTGATGCAAAGCCTGAAACAGATGCAACAGGAAACCCAATTCAACTTAGATCCACAAGACGACCAGGAGCCTGACCAGTGTGCCCACCACCGCTGGTTCGCGTTTCATTCGTCTACTCTCAAGCAACAGTTGATACCTTGGCAGCCATGATGCCTTCATCCACCAAGCGATAGGAAGGATAGTCAGGGCAAACCCGATACTGATACTGCTAAGAAGACGCCGTCCGTTTGGTAAAGAGGGCGAGGATTTAGATTTTGCCGCGCACACTTAGTGAAGCAATCTGGGCATCCCACCCAAACTCAGGTAATATCACCTTCTTCTCTCACGTCTTCCAACAGCTCACTAGTCTTTGTGTACCACCCACTCCAACACTTGGGAATAATCATGCTCGGGGAGGGAAGGGATCCCAAATTTGGGAAGTTGCCATTTCTGAAAGCCTTTTCTATCTTGGCATCATCGCATCATTCAAATTGTCTCCTGTCTTCCAGTATTTCGTAGAAAATCGAGCCAAGAGCCAAGATTTCATCCTTAAAGCTATACTGATAGGCGGCTGAACAATCGAGAGAGAGAGAGAGAGAGAGAAAGTGGGCGTGTAGACGAGTGTGTGTGTGTGCATGCGCATGCGCAGGTATGGAGTATGGAGATTATCTGCCATTTTAGCTGATAGAGAAAGATGATGAGTACAGGAGAGATATCTGGGCGCGAATGGCTCGTCTCATACCGTCCCAAACACAGCTCTCTATGGATAGATGAGCCTACAAAGCCACCAACCATAGCGTTGAGGTCATCATCTAGAAAGATATTATTGCAAGATACGTTGCAGTGCATCACACCTTTAGAATGGAGAAAGGATGTGGCGTCAGCGGCCCGTCCCGCCCATCGGAGTCGACATGACAGAGGTGGCCTTCGAGGAGAAGATCGTAGGTGTTGCCGAATCGAGCAATGGAATGCGAACTGTAGGATAACACATCCACCGAAAACACCGTAATATCTCAAAATTGTCCCTCTCCAGTTGTTACTGCCCGAGCTTAGCCGGTTGAATGCTGCAGCCTCTCTCTCCATCTCTCGACCGTCGCCAGCACTGGGATAACGTTTAGCTACAGCATCGAGCCGAAGCACCCAAGAGGATATCCTAGCACCGACTGTTGGGCTCCCACCCGTGGTGCTGGAAAAAGTAGCGTCGACTCAGAAATTTGCGAGGTTTTGCTGTTAAAGTTACTAATGTCAGTTAGCCTAGCTATAATATGATGATCAGCCCCAACAAATTAAAAATAAATTGAAGCCAACCATGATGACTACCTTTCTCGATGTTTAGGGAGATCTGGTCAGCACACATCGTACAAGACTCGTTTCGCCTGTGCTAAGTATTCGAACATGAAGGATGAACAGAGCTCTCGCTCGCGGTCATAAGACACAGATCGAAACGCTACTTGAAGTTCCCGAGGATGCTTTTAAGAGCAAGCGCGTAGTCACGTCTTGCTCCAAGGAGATGTCTGTATAATCAGGCTGTGGTGTTCTATTCATATATCTGTCGTACGAAAGCCCCGCCTTTCATACAGCAACCGTGAGTTTCGGTGCAAAGTCATCCAAGGTAGATAGAGTCCACACCGGATGGAATCTCCCAGTTCCCAGTTCATCCGGTAGATCCGTAATCACCTTAGAGATCAAGGAAATGGAAAGTTCCGAGACTCGTAGGCATGTCGTAGGATGTAAAAGTCTGCCTCGTAATGTGCGTCTGGACGGTGGATATATCCGCCGAGAGCTTTGGACGGGAAACAATACGCCGAGTTCAGCTTTACAGAGGGATGTCCATGAAAAAGCATGGTGAAGCTGAGGAGCGGTCAACCACAATTAGCGCCGCAGGATCGTGAAGGAGAAGCCCCTGAAGAGAGGCGAGGACGGACCTACAAGAGATGAGCATTGATACATGCTAGTAGAGAATGATAGAGAGCTAACTCCGGAACCTAGACACTTCATACCGAGATCCGAAATATTTATACTGCGTGAGCAAGATAGGCTACTAACTGCGACTAATCACATGCCTAATCACTGGCACAGCCCCCCGCGCTGATTGTGTACAAGGGGGAAACTACACGGGGTAAACGTTTATGAATGTACTGAAAATGTTATATGAACGAGTCTTCATTCTCTTGTACGAGCACTTGGGTCTGCTAACACCGAATGCAGGGGGTGATCCGACTCTGGCAAGGTTAGGGAGTCACATTCTAATGCCATTCCATCTACATAGCGATCGAAACTTAGTATCACAAATGGCACCAGTTGTATCAATACCACAGTCTACTTAAACACCAGCGCGGAACTATATACAGCCCACGTCTCGGGCCAAAATCTAACTGGTATCCTTACTTTCACCCGGCACAACTAAGCTTTTGGGCGGAAGAGCTAGCCGCTCTCGAATCACATCGCCGATATCTTCCCAATCGCACATCCCCCCCTGGCCCACGTCGCCGCAGGCCAAAGCCTTACTGCTGCCGTTAGTTCCCCAACGCCATACAAAAATGCCTGCTAGTGATGTAAGGGAGACAAGGGGGTAACACAGGGAGTCGCCTTTGCGGCAGCAAGACCTCGTACCATCCCGCCCTTGCGTCGGCCCCGGCGACGCCCCGTGCGTGCGTGAGCGTGGGAAGCTGCTGCGCCGTGGCCGGCTGGGTCCGCGTGAAGGTGTTCATCGAGGGCGCGACCAAGATCCTCTTCCCGCTCGCGGGGTCGTTGTCCTAGGCGCGGATGACGGTCGTGAGGTCGAGAGGATATTCACGCCTCGCACCCACGGCTCGCTCCGCTCGTCCTCGTCCCGACGGACAGAGTCGGCCGTTGGGGAGGGAGGCGAGGGGGGCTGCTCCCGCGACTGGCCGGCCAGGAAGCGCGCCGCGTTTTCCGTGGGGATCACGCAGATCGACAGGTCGGGACAGTCCGCCAGCGAGGATATCCAGAGCGGAAGCTTGATCGCGGCGACGGAGCCCGCGATGTCAGCGGCCACCGGGCAGGTACCGAGGTATATAGGTATATCGAATAGAGTCAAAGGATAAAGTAATTGGGGAGCGATATATTGAAGGCAATGAATGTGCTACCCGCCCCCTCCCCCCTGCCCCTGAAAGTTAGGTACCCCCGACCGCCCGGGGAAGGGAAGCACTTGCGTCTATATGCTCTATGCGCGGGGCGTGAATGTCTCAAAGCTGCTTACCGCTGGCGGCAAGGAGGAGGAGTGTCTTTGCCGTCGTCGAGCGAGCGTGCCACGTCGGCGGCTGCAGATCGGGGAACGGCCTCGGCCTCGGCCACTTTAGGTGTTGTAGCCACAGTAAGAGGATGCGTTCGGATAATCCGATTTCCCACGTAGCAGCCGATGACGATAGCGGCCTGTAGGTATTATTTATCCCTGTAGAGATGACGGAAGCTCGTGGATGCCTTTTATTAGTCAGTTTAACAAGCGCGTTTCCGTGCCGTTCACGGGTTCGGTGGTGGGGATATAGGTAGGTACTTACCTAGTTTATGTACCTAATGTCCGCACGCGGGGCTTAACTGCATCATGTATATGTATGTATTATGTATGTATGTATGTACCAGGTGTATGCATCACCTAGGTAGAGGTATCTAGGTATAGAATCAAGGGTTCGGCTAAGAATAGGTACCTACATAGCTGCCAACCAGAGCTGGGGTGCATCCCACATCCCCCGCGGGATGGGGCCTTACACACTATGTTGCGTAAGTCGGCATTTCTTCCGCTGGGCACACATACGTGTATTGTTGGCTTGCCCCGACAAAGCCGTGGAACAACCAGGCAGCTAACACAACCGAGGTGCATTGCCACTTGAGCAAGTCAGAGCTACACGGCGAGAGTAAGACGATAAACTGTTGCCGCTTTCCGTAGCGACTAGCGACTGACATACTACCAGCTACTGGTTTCCAAGAAGGCGATATCGGGCGTACCCGCGTCTTCATACACGGCGGGCATGGTGGTAATCACGGGTACGCATACGCTATTCCACCCTTTCATTTTCAATGCAAGACGTAAGTTTGTTGAAAAGCTATGGGTTTGAAGCTTTAAAGAAATCCGCCATAGGAAGAAACCCCAGCTTACACTAGAGCGTGGGTGTAAGTATACATAATCGACATATTCGAGAGATGGTTAAACATTTCCTCTCATAGTCCAGATTGTTTAACACCCATAGGCCTTCGTGGAGTACTACTCATTTGCGCGTTCCCAGTATAATACACACATCCATGCCTCTCATTCCGTCGCCTCCGGGGGCGATCTAGGCATACACTCAAGTTAGTCCTCCCAGTAACGTCATAAAAAGCGACGTTCGAATTCCTGATGCAACTTCGGACTGATCTCGTCGCTACTCAACCCGTCAACTTCCCAGAGAACGCCCTTCTTTGCGTAATGCTCCAGCAGAGGCTCGCTGGTCTCCTGGAACTTCTGAAATCGCGCTCTGTAGACTTCCTCGCTATCATCGGCGCGCTGTACAAGCGGGTCACCTGTGATGTCGTCGAAACCGGGGACCTTGGGCGCGTTAAACGAGGTGTTATAGACCCGGCCAGAAGGCTCGTGGACCCAACGCGACGCGATCCGCCGCATTATGACATGGAAGGGCGTCCGTATGGAGACGGCCCAGTTGATGGGTACGATACCATCCAGTCTCTTAGCTTGGGCGGCAGTGCGTGGAAAGCCGTCGAGCAGAAAGGAGGCGGCGGGGTCTTCCAATGCTTGTCTGGATAGGGTTGCTCCAGCCAGAGGATCCGCATCTAGGGCCGCTTCGTAGGCGCCCACGACGTTCGCAAACAGAGGACCGTCCTCTTCCAACGCAGCCGACGAGGACGAAAGGGTCATAACATTTGGTCGCCCGCCAGCAAGCCAACCGCGATGGTTGAGCTCATTGGTAATCAGCCGCAGTATAATGTCGTCCGAGACAAGCCCGCCGGTCTTCACGGTCCTCTCGACCTTGATGCCGAGAGGCGTCCTGCTCTTGACGTTTTGGCGCAGTAGATCTCCAGATGAGATGGCCGATAGCTGGGGGAAGCGCGCGAGGAGCCGTTCGGATTGTGTGCCCTTACCCACCCCTGGGGCGCCGATGAGGATTACTCGGGCCGCTCGTCGGAGGCGCATAGTGCGTAGGAACGATTCGGAGATACCGGGGTTTGAAAATGCGCAAGAGGATAGGTAGGCTCTGACGTTGCCCACCGATAGGAGAATTTAGGGTCCGAAACGGGGCAAAAGGCCGTTGAATTGTTGCGGTCTCGGGTAGTTCTCGGATGGTGGTGGGCGATGATTCAGATGACGGAACACCGTCGACTCTTTGACTGTGGAGAGAGAGACCCAGTCGTGGGGAAGAGACGGGGTAGATCAAGAGGAATCCATTGTGTCGATCGGAGCCGGATATCTATAGGTACGTCAGGTAGATGAATGGGAGAAGGCCTGGGGTAGGGTTTCGGAGATGGTCCGGCAACAAGGCAAGGAGGAGAGAGAGAGGGAGAGGGAGGGAGAGGGAGATGATGGGATATGACAAATGGGATACTAGACAAACCTCGAATGATGTGAAAAGGACGGAAAGACGAGAGCGAGTCCGTCTCGGAGGGGTGCGTGGAAATGTGGAGAGCAGCCAGCCAATGAATGGAGGAGGGTTGGAAGCTTAGCACCAGCCCGCCGAGATGAGGTACCTGCCTTCTAAGTACCTCAGGTACTGTACTTGGGCATACTTGCAAGTCTCGGGCCTACCACCTCTGCCTCCCTGGAGCGATATATGTCCAGGCCCCCTGAGAGGAGCTTGTTGGAGGGACCTCAGTTACGGTCCATACCTATAGACACACACCTCTTGATAGACGTCGGGTTAATGTACCGGATGCGGAGGTACCTACAGGTACTTTCCTGTCCACGCATATAAGTTTTAAACTGTAATTTTCCTGAAATGGTATGTGGAGGTACCTAAAGTGCAAATACCTACCTAGGTACCTGTGCCAGGTAGGTAGGTACCTCCCATCCTGAGCATAGAGTGTAGACACCTCTTACGGTAAGTGATACTATGATTACAAAAATAACAACCTTCAAGCTTGACTGAATGGCATACCTACATGGGAATGTGTGCATATAAGCTGCATGCACCGATTCAAGTACATTGGATACCTAAACACCTGCGGATATGCAGGCAGGCATCCATTCAAGGTTGCATGATGCCCGACCCGAGTGCACATCAGGTGCCTACATCTGCCTCCACCTCTTAGAGATACCTCCTAAGTAATCTACCCGAGGAGGTAGTAAGTCCCTAAGGTAGGTAGGTACTTAGGTAGGTAGACACATTAGTACCTGACACCTCTGGGCCCTACCCCAGTTGTCACCTATTCAGACACCTAAGACTGGGCACATTTACAAGATACCTGCCCTTAGTACGGGGTATTGGAGTAATATGGAACTCCAGGTGCCTCCGGCTTCCCCTAATTGTTTAGTGCGATTCCGGGGAGACGGGGAAGAATTGTGTACCGTGCAGATATGTACATACCTGTACTTAGGTACCTAGGTAGGTATGCGGTAGATGACAAGGCCTCTACAACAAGGGCTCTACGTCAACAACTCCAAACCGTTCCGGCGATGTAATACAGCTATAGGTGGGCGCATCGTATGGTCTATAGGGCCTGACGGTGCCCGTCGATATCTAGGTACTATATGCCAGTTATTCCTACCGTGGGGTAGCATTACCCCGAGGCTGGGACCCCAGAGTCCAATGCTAGGAGGTAACCGGAAGGCCACCCTAGAATCCCGGTTTCTGCCGTTTACACGTGAAGCCCACCGCGCTGGTGACTCTTTACAACCGCGAAGTCGTTGAACCGCTTCCATGGTAGGAACCGGGGTTGCGCGGCAATGCCTAATGGTAAGCCTCGGGCAGATATAGTCTCGGCTATTAGGTCCAATGCCGAGCTACCCACGGTTTGAGGGCGTACAGTCAAGTGACATAAAACTACATTAGGTAGTCGACAGACAGAGTGGCAAGCCCCAGAGCCATCTTCGGCCCGGATATGCCTGGTAGAATGCGACACCCGACGTCGATGGGTTCTCCTGCTCCGCGATAGCACGTGCTTCCACGCAGAGAGGCTGTTGATGGTAAATCCATTGCGCGCACCCTTCACGTCGGGGCGATTGGTCCGGTAGGTAACCTGTCCGCGGCACGTAGCACGGTGTCTGCGGGCTTTTGACTGGTCATGAGGGGAATTTTTATTCCTCGAGCTTGGTCGGCGTGGCCATGATGTTCCACAGTACTAGGTGTCGCCTTCGACAGGCTCGAACGAGCTAAACACAGCCCTTAACCCGCGAGGCGAGGCTCCTAGGTAGATCCCGAGCCAGCCTCTCCAGCTCTCGGCGGCTCGGGTACCTATATCGTACAGTCGGTCCTCTCGACGACCAACGGCCTCTCTCGTAGCGCTATAACACGCCAAAACCGGGCAGGCATATATAATATATCACACAAAGCCTACCCCCTTCCGGTTAACCGCCGAATCCGAATCCGCCGCCGCCGCCGCCGCCACCACCCTTCTGTTGCATCTCCTGCTGCAATAACTCTGACACCTTCAGGTGAACGTCGAAGAACTTGGCGGCGCATCGGTCGAGGCAGACACTCTCGCCCTTATTCAGCTCGGGTTCTCGGTAGTCATTGGGGACACACTTCTTCGCACAGGCCCGAGTGAGTCTAGGAGGGTGTGTTAGGAAGCACTGCACATTAGGAACGGCCCGTTCTCGCAAGCCTACTCCGGCTTGATCTCTTCTCAAGTGCGCGAGCCAGGGAGGCGTACCGGTTATGCATTTCCGTCAGGAGCTTCATCTCGGCCTGTACGGCAGCGATCTTTTCCTCCGAGGAGGGTTGGGGTCTCCCAAATCCGAGGAACGACATTTTTGGCAACGGGGGTCCAGAGTACGAGGAAAGCGTCGTAGTTTGTGTTTTCTCGGAAAGCTCTGAGTTCCATACAGAAGATTGGCATTTGACAGAAATGACAGCTCATTACGTAATACAGGTACGAACGCCGAAGGCGGTTATCGGATTAACAGCCGTCCCGGTTGAGCTCCGCCGGCAGAAAAGCGAAACTTCTACTTGGTACATGTCGAGGGGAAGTCAATCACAGGCTTCCCATCGTCAACACCGCACGTAGATGGCGAGCTTCCTCAGGGGAGGCCGCAATTGGAATATAAATCCTGAGAGAGGCCGCTACCTGGCAATGGCAAGGACGGCCTCGCCGCACCATAGGTAAGTCTGGTACGGTCGTCCGCCTCCCCCGTCCTTGTTTTATACCTAATACCGCACCGCCTTGATGAAACTGCTCTTAAGAACCGTTGCGACTGACACCATATTATGGTGCTTGATCTTAACTAGCCAGCTTATCTGAGCCCACACACCTCCCCCCTCTATAATTTCAATTGCCTGTATAGAGACATCAATTCTGACGGATACCCGTCTGCGTCTAGCAATGAATAGCCAGGCATACCTCCGGTTCCTCCGTCCGTATCTCTACCGGATTGCCCCGGCTAGAGCGGCTGTGTATACGCGGTTCTCCTCTATAAGCTCGCGCGGTTTAGTTCAAGGCAGAGACTTAGCCAACTCCGGGTCGCGAAAGTCCCCATGTACCAGACGGCTGCATGTTGTTGCAGCCAAGAGGGCTGCAGGCAGCCATTCTGACGCTCCGTCAACGGTTCCAACCACGACCGCAGCCGTCCGTCAGGTTGTCGTGGACTCTCGAGTCCAAAAGCTGAAGCAATGTGGCGCCCTTCACTATCCGAGACTCGGAGACCGGCCTAATAGGATAAGCATACCGGGATTTCGGGAGAGATACCGGGACGAATCTTCGACCCCGGCCGAGGAAATAGTTTTGCTAGAGGGTCGGGTCATGTCAGTGAGACGGTCCGCGTCCAAACTCGTGTTCCTCACCATTCTAGGCCAGTATCAGCAAGTCCAGGTCATGATTAGTCTAAGTTCGATAGCCGAGCCAAAACCCACTCCCCAGCAATTCAAGGACGCCCTCCACCCGTACCTTCGCGGGGACATCGTCTCCGTCACGGGCACCGCGGTGCGGACGAAGGCGGGCGAGCTGACTCTCAAGGCAATCAACATGCCCTCTCTCCTAGCTCCCGGTCTAGCGCAACTCCCTGAGGATCTATTCAACCACGAGACGATGGTTTTGAATAAGCACATAGATATGTTAATTCACCGCCGGACATCGAATATCTTTCGCCTCCGTTCGCATATCATCAAGGCCATGCGAGATTTCTTCCACGAGAGGGATTTCCTCGAAGTGCAGACGCCCATCCTAGCAGACTACGCCAGCGGGGCAGCCGCCCGACCATTCCTAACATCGGCCGCCGAGTTACACCACAAGGAGCTTGCCTTGCGGATCGCTCCCGAGCTGTGGCTCAAGCGTCTGGTGGTGGGCGGTAACGACAAAGTCTTCGAGATTGGTCCCGCTTTCCGCAACGAGGGCATCGACACTACGCACAACCCCGAGTTCACGATATGTGAATTCTATTCTGCGTACTCCAATCTGTCCGAGTTAATCTCCATCACGGAGGATTTTGTCACACGGCTGTTTCAAAAGACCAAACGCCTCGTGGAAACCGAATTCGAGTCACTTGAGGGGCCGAGAATGGATTTACCCGAGGGGAACTGGGAACAAGTGGAATTTATTCCAGCGCTGGAAGAGGTCCTTGGGTTTAAATTCCCGGATCTCTCGCTACCCGACGCGCTACCGAAGCTCATCGAACTACTAGACGGCCGAGTCAAGATTGAACAAGGGCCGGAGCTCACACTAGCCAAGCTCCTCGACGACACCGCCGGCCAGTATCTCGAGCCTCGGTCCCAGGAGAAGCCCCTTTTCATCATCCACCATCCCGCTTGCATGGCGCCTCTTTCTAAATCGTTTACCTGCCCTAAGACGGGCCAGCTTGTGTCCGCTCGTGCCGAGCTATTCATAAAAGCGCGCGAGATTGCAAACATGTACGAGGAGGAGAACGATCCCTTCGAGCAACGACGCAAATTTGAGCTGCAACTGGCGTCACGGAGCCACCAATCCGGCGAGGCAAACGGTGATGCGCTCGAAGTGGATGAGAGCTACGTCCGAGCGCTAGAGATCGGGCTACCTCCGACGGGAGGTTGGGGCTGCGGTGTAGACCGACTCATTATGCTTCTTTCCGGAGCGCCGCGGATCGGCGAAACCCTCAGCTTTGGGACTCTGAAAAATGTCGTAGCACTCCGGGCAGCCGCCTAGGGGACAGTCGCCCAGAAGATCTGATGTCGGCCCACAGGTATCGGGAGACACAGTCAAATAAGTATTAATGAAGAAAGCTCGAGGCTCAACTGAGCGAACCTCGGTGCGCGTCTGTGGCATGAGGATCGGCTCCTCGGGTTCCCAGTCTCATAATCGTAATCTATCCTTGACTTGAGGGCCAGCATTCCTTTCCTAAGCATTCGTTCATATCCCCTTGCCAAGAGTAAGAGAAGAGAGAGAGTAGTGCTAGTGCCCTCCACCCCGAACTTGCGACAAGGGGAGCCAGAGGAAAGCATTCAAATGGAGAAAACTAGGTTGCTAATGATTCCTGCGTAGTTGATTCTCTATCGAAGCTTATAGAGCAAAGAGGCCAACAAGCGTAGAGCCTTCGCCCCCCGCCCTTATTATTCGAGCAAGTTTGGGGGCTCTACCGTCCCAAAGCTGGGGAGAACACCGCCCGATTTCGGGGACCATTTTTGATATCTTGCACTTCTCTTGTGGTTTATATTTATGGAACCCAAGGCTTGCGATATATTCCTTTTCTCCATTTATGACTCCCTCGATATGAGAATTTTACTATGCCTATCATAAACGGCCTGGCGATGTGGGCGCATCCATGTCATAACATGTTACCATATCGACGGTGTGAATAAACGATAGACCATCTGGAAACCTACTTCCGATGTCTTCACAGTGGCAAGCGCAAGACTATGACAAGAAGCAATTTGATTTTAGAAGCCAGAGTTTATATAACGCGGTGGCCGCGCGTACTTAAGCAACATGATCCGCCGATTCTAACATCGCCGTCATCTTCATCAAGATCTGCCTATGAAGCCTCCTTTCAGGGAGGGAACCCACTATCACAAACCGGCATCGTGGCTCCCGTACTAAGCCCAATAACCATCTCCAGATTCGCTGCTACCTCCCGATTCACTGTTATCGGTGCGAGGCTCCTCGCCCGCACTCTTCTTTTGCGCGGAGTCGAAATCGACGCTCTCGAGGGCAGTGGTGTCGTTGTCGCCGTCATCGAGGCTGGCACGGATCAGGGCCTGGACGCAGCGACGGTAGTAGTAGACCGCGTCGTCCCAGGAGGCGGCGCGGCCGGCGACGGCCCTGACGTGCAGCATCAGCTGGCCGTCGCCGACGCGGGCGCGCTCGAAAGCGATGCTGCGGTCGAGGGCGGCGCGGGCGTCGCGGTTGCGGGCGCGCTCGGCCGCCGGCATGGGCGGGCCCTTGTAGTAGCGGTGGTCGAGGGCGGCGGCGTCGCCGCGGCAGCGCGCGACGGCGGCGGCGGCAGACGCGCGCCCGCGGTCGATGGACCGGCGCGCGAGCCGGGCGGCCAGCACGACGCGCTCGCGCCACACGTGGACCTGCTTGAGCTCGGCGGGGGCGGCGGGGCCGGGGCGCGCGTCGCGGACGAAGAAGCCGCAGTCGTCGTCGGGGAGCGGCAGGGCGGCGAGGACCGCGGCGCGCGGCGCGACCGACACGTCGTAGAAGGGGAACGCGCGGTCGCGGATCTCGGCGTCGGAGGCGGTGCGGCGGGCGGTGAGGAAGCCGGCGAGCGAGGGGGCGGCGGCGGCGCGGCCGCCGGGCGGCAGCAGCACGCGGGCGACGGCGAGCTTCTCGCCGTAGAAGCGCTCGGCCTGGCAGGCGAGGAGGGTGCCGAGCTGGCAGCCGGCGCACTCGACCTGGTCGCGGGCGCGGTGGACGGACTCGGCGGTGAAGAAGAGGGTGGGCAGCTCGACGTGGCAGAAGGCGCAGTGGACGAGGGCGAGGCGGCCGCGCGCGGTGGTGGTGCGGCCGATGGCGCAGGCGTCCATGGGGGCGCCGGCGGCGGCTAGGAGGAGGTCGTTGTGCAGGGTGCGCTTCATGGCTTCGTAGAGGCGCTCGTTCTCGCGGGGGCACGCCGGCGGCGGCGTGCGGCGGGGGGGCGGGTGGTGGGCGCCCTCGTCGAAGGCGTAGAGGTTGTACAGGGCCTCGAGGACGTAGCGGAGCGCACCCGGCGCGAAGGGCACGCGCTCGAGGAACTGGCGCATGCCGGTCCCGGGCGTGAACCAGTCGACGCCGTGGGCCAGCGCGAGGGGCACGGCGACGGCCAGGACCGCCGCGACGGCGAGCCGCGTGTCGACGAGCCCCTCGTCGGACGGGATCACGCCGTACTCGCCCCGGCGCGCCTTCCCGCGCGGCGGGCCGAAGTAGTAGAAGGGGGAGAAGTCGGCGTCGACGCGGCTCAGCGACTCGTCGCCGTTGCGCTCGATGACGGCCTCCAGCACGGCCACGGTCTCCCCGAAGTGCAGAAGCTCGCAGTTGTGGACCCCGAGGGCCGCCAGGCGCGGCAGCCCCTGCAGGCACAGCTTGAGGATCGGGACGTCGAGAAACATGACCGAGTGGAGGTGCAGAATGCGCACGTTGTTTCCGCGGACGTGGATAGCGCGGACTGCCAATGTCGGTCAGCTCTACGGGCGGTTGTTAAAATATCATCTGGGGTGGGCTCACGGATTCGGTACATATCGACAACACAGCGCTCCGCGGTTGGCGGTCCGAGGCCACGCCCGGCCTCACCGCTGGCGTCCTTGCCCGCAGCATCCTGCTCCTCGTCGTCGTCGACGAATTTACCCCTGACCTTGGAAAAGAACAGGAACGGGCACGAGCCGGGTTTCGGATGCAAGTCGTCCTGGGCCTTTGCGTTCGCCTCGTCGATCTCGTCGTCCGTGAAATTGACGTTGAGAAAGACTCCGTTCGTCAAATTGATCCGCGTCTGTCTGCGCGTTAGCCGACGCTCGGGAGGGCACCGAGCGTTCCGCTTATGAGGGTTTCCCCGCCTACCGAGACTTGGTTGATGGCGAACATCAGCGTCTGGCAGGTCCGGCTGAGATTCGACAGATCGCCCCAGCGGCTGCCCAGATGCTCGAGCACCTTCAGAGACAACTCCGGGAGCCTGAAAAACGCGGTGATGGCGGCCGGCTGCTCGCATTCCGGCAGCGCGAAGGAGCCTCTCATCGAATCCGCGCGGGCACCGCCGGCCGTAGAGGCTTTGGCAACAGGCCCGCGCCGCGGAAGCAATGGTCCCTTTTCGAGAGTTAGCGAGGACAAGCGGATCCGTTTTCGTCTGGTCGACTCACACTCATAACAGCATTGGGCACATGCGGATACCGATCCAAACCGAGAATGGCCTTGTCCAGGCCGCAGACGGGACCCGGATCCTCGATTTGGTATGCTGGGTTGTTGTCACCCTTAGCTAGGGGGCGACGCAACGGGTTGTACTTGGCGCATTCGTAGATGTCTTCGTCGGTGCGGCCAAGTCCGTGCTGAAGAGTGCCGCGGCTACGGCGGTAGAAAGTAAGATCGGAAACGATGGGGGATCTGTAGCTCCTGTACGTGTGCGACAAGGACCCGAAAGACTCGTATCTTGCAGCGACGGCTAGTTCCAGCTCGATGTCTTCGGCGCTCTGGAGAATGTTGCCGGCCCCACCAGCCCTCGTGGGATGTTCCGGCTCGAGGAAATACGCGTGCTGGAGTTTCTCGGAGTACTGGTCCAGCAAGTTCGGGACGGGCGTGACGCCGATATCCTTCGGATAATCCATCTCGGGCAAACAAGGCCCAGGGACGACGCTGATGATGACCTCTATATATCGTGAGCGGATTTTCGCCCCCTGTTTCCTCCTCGGGCAGGAAAGGAAGGCTGGCGTAGTGAACCCTCTAGCTTTTAGGTTGGTCCAGGCATAGGTATCGGAAATGGTATCGAGGACATTGGTTTAACGAGAAGGCGACTTGGCGGATGTTGAGAATGCCGGTGGCGGGGGAGGGTTTGCGGAACTCGACTTCAGAAGGAAGACACGGGACAAGAGGGTGGAACCGCGTACCTTCAGTGGTTACTGGTGCCTGAAACCTACGCTCAAGACGGCCTGTATACGGCCTATGTGGGTTGAATGGCGAGTATAAGGTCGGGGGGGGAAGTCGAGCTACAATATCATCTCCTGACTGATGGTCCCTGAAGTTAGCAGACGGATCAAATGCTAGATACTGCTGAGAAGGGTGCTTTCGTGGCGAAAATATCCCCCATCCCAAGCAAACAGACAGCGCGGGTAGGTGATAGGAGAATCCGTGAGAGTATAATCAGGGGGGGGAGTTTCGGTATAAAGGGGGGTCCAAACAATAACTGCCGTCTTATGATTGGCAGTATGTCGTAGTCTAGGGCCGTCGGCAATTTTGAGGCCTCCGGACGAATCAAGAGGTTGGTAGACTCTCAGAATGAGACGATTGGGAGAGGAGGGAGGGAGATGTATTTCCGCTCTTGGTTAGGGCACCGTGTAGGACGGGCAGTGGTTCTTAGATAGGGTTGATGTTAGGTAGGGGAGCGAGCGATGGACTTCAAGGTTGATCACGAGTATCGCTACAGGGGTGACGACCGGAGAGTACTAATATGGTTTATGAAGGTATCCTGTGGCTTCTCGTAGGCCTCGAGACTGGGACTTGATAGAGGACGAACGAAGCAAGAGAGGGAGGCTATCGAAGGCCACGAGCCTAGGGAGGTTCGCAAAAGTAGCTTGATGTTTACGCGTCCAGTAGTCACTAGGGATACAAGATAGCCAAGTATTCCGAGTTCTCATAAGATGAAAATACCTATTTATTCTCGCGCCCTCGAGAGGCCGTAGGTTCCAGTGACAGCGGAACAGCTAGTAGAAAGGGGTGCGTTGGATGTACGGGGTACATTGTTAACCGCGTCAAGGCTGCTTATTAACGATATATACGGAAAGTAGTTCCCGTATGTAAAGATCGACAGGGCAACAAGACTGAGGCTCTTGTGCGATAAGTCCGGCCTACCAACAACATCTCCTCGGCCCCAGAGAGGTCACCGGCCATGACCAGTAGAAAGCCTGACTGCGTATGCTCTGGGGCTATCTTTGAAGAGGTTAGCCGTTGGAAGGAGAACAGAGACGTTCCGGTCGAGTAACAGACACATTAAGACGTCGGCCGTTCTTCGACGGCCAGGACGAAGAGATTCTCGAGGAGTCGATATTATCCATCTTTCCACTGACGGTGTCTGCCCAGTTACCCGGGATAAGTACATCGAAGAGGAAACAGAGCCGCGACGCAACCAGTCCCATCGTTCACCCTCATCATTCGCTCACGGATAACAGGAGTAGCTACAGACCGCGAGGGAAGAGAGATCCCACCGACTCCGAGAGAGGAGGCCACGCAAGGACGGGCCAATCAAGTCCCCCCTAAACGTCACGACCGATTTCCTTACCTCGGTTGCCCGACTCCCTGCCCGGTAAAGGTCGAATGAGGAGGGATGAACAGCAGGACCAAAGGCAGTATATCCACATGGTACAGGCCACGCCCCGAGCACGATCAGCTAGCGAGATAGGGAGGAAGTTTCGGACGCGATCGGGGCTCGAGAACTGAAAGCGGCACCTGCAGGTAGCCGGCAGGTCTTCGATCCCCGGGTGCGGCCGTCCCAAGCCTGAATTGGGTGCCGCTAGCATCTCCCAAGCAGAACCGTTCGGGCATTCCAAGCCTCTTACTATACAACGCGAACGAGAACTCCCATGCGAACGGGGCTGGGGACCGAGCGGTCCCATCACAGCAAGTCCGAACCGAAACACGTACGGCAACCCGCGACCGTCAAGGGGAATAGATTGGGACGGCAAGCTGGGACGAGGTGGAGATTCTAACGCCAGCTCTACACCACGACCAGGCCAGCTCGACTTGGGGCGTTTTTGGCGTCGGGCAGGGGGTTACGTCCCCATCCCAGGGCGAGGCAAACGACACGGCCCCGTGGCTCGCGACAGCAACTCAGCCAGCCAAATCCTTTCCACGCAACATCCCCACCGAGCTTAGGTGGAAGGCGACAGTGAACCATCGCGGACGGTACTCGACGTGCCTAAGCCACATAAGCTACGAGGGGCAAGGGGAAAGAGCGCGCGCACGCCGGTCCCAGGTCCTCTTCGGCCCTGGGACCGACGGCCCAAGCACCGAAGCCTCCGCGACGCGCGGGAGCGCCATCGAAACGCGACCCAGCACGAGCACACGCGCGCGGGCCAGCAGCAGGCCTGCGGCGCCGTGGAATCCGCCGGGGGGCGGTGACCGCCGGCCGAGCCAGGGGATCCGGAGGGAGGGCGTCCGCCGAGGCGGCGGCGTGGTGCCTGGCGCGGGTGGCGACGGCCGCCTGGGCGCCGACAGCCACGGCGGCGACAGGCCTATCAGAAGTGCGCAGGGGCGCCACCGCGCGCGCGCTGCCGATGGGCGACTAGGGGGGGGGGGGAGAAGGGAGGAGGGGGGGTGTCACATGCGTGGGCGAGGTCAAGTGAGAGAGTATTAGTAGGCGACGAAGGAAGGGAAGGACTAAGGATCGACGGGGATTTGGGGGGGGAGGCGAAGAGAGGGGAGGGGGGAGGAGCTGCCCCTCCCTCTCCCTCAGGTGTGCGATGTCGCCGTCGGAGGGCGAGCGATAATAGGCTTCTCAGCTCGGGTTTCGCTGCCGGGTTTGCCGTGGCGGGCCAGAAGGGTAGGCAGATACGGGCCTGGTAGGTAGCGTGTCCACGTCTAGCCACGGCCGCGCATTGGAGGCAGTAGGTTATGGAGTAGGCAATGTCTGCTCGTCTGCCCACGCAAGTGGTGTGTAGTGGTGTTTTCCCGCCTTGCCTATTTACCTGCTACCAGGTAGACCGCCATTTTCGGGCTCAGAAAAGACTCCCTGCCTCCCTCCCTCTCTGCCTTCTGACCAACCTTGTCCCCTGGCCGGGCAAGCATCAGCAGGAGTCCCGGGATGGCGTGCTGGCGTGCGTGACTGCGAGAGAGAGAGAGAAGGCCGCGGCCCCCCCCCCCCTCCCCTCCCCCGCCCAAGGACGGATCGATCGTAGGCCAAGCAGACGATGGCGCATGGCGCACGAGCGCTAAGTGCGAAACAGACGATGCAGAAAGGAAGAGAAGGCGAGAAAAAAAAGGAACCGCTCGAAGCAAAGACGCCATGCTGGAATATACACATCCTGCGAGGTAACACCGACGGGAAGGGTACCTGCAATTGGAGGCACATGCTACTGACATGCATACACACACGATGGTATCGTGTCGTGGAGCTGGGAGGAGGAGGGGAGGGAGGGGTATGGAGAGGAAGGGAGGGGGGGGGGCGGGAGCGGGCCCAGCTACGAATCTAGGTTAGGGAGGTCAGTTCGCCATCTCACCTCTCTCGTGTGGTGCGCATCACGCATGCCCGCCCGCTTGGCGGGATTCGTTTCTCGCCTGAGGCAGTTCGTGGGCGGGCGAACCAGGAGGAGAATCGGAAATCCGCGGCGCGATGCGGTGCGATGCGATGATGAGTTAGTTGGGCTGGGCTGCGATCGACCTATCGTCGCGCGTGCCGCCGTGCTGCTCGTCAGGGGCGAATAAGCAGAGCAAGAGTAATGAGACCAAATCAAGCTGGGAAGCGTATCCATCTAGAAGCGGGAGAGAGGCGGCGAGGAGAACGAATAGGATACTATACGCGCGGGTGGTGTCCTTGTTGTTGTTGCGATACACACCGCATACCTACCACGTACCCACGCATATGCACGCATGCGGATATAGATATACACCTGTATGCACATAGGTATATAAACAAATAGATATAGGTATATCGGTAGGCACTCGTTTACAACAGCTACGTGTGCAAACATAGGTACTCGATGTGTGGAGTAGACGGGTCTGTCCGTCCTCATCTATCTATATGTGACGACGACCATGCAGGCCAAGCGGAACGCCCACGCTGGGCTGAGCGAGCGACCTTGTCGTGTCCTGTCTTAGCCAGGCTAACCGCTGCATTGCAGCCAATATACTCTGTATATTGTCTTCTCTTCGACGCAGTCCGCTGCGCGACGGACTGGAGACACACGCACACTTTACACACTTACACACCGCATATGTACGCAGACACATGCATACGGACACACGCCCTCATGGGATGGACACAGGTACGGCGCTGCTGCAAGCCAGAGGGTGGGGATGCATGAACGTTGACAATCCGTCCTGCAGGCCCTCGTAGAGAGGGGGGGGAAAGGGAGAGAAGATCGTTGCAGGTGTGTAAGTAAGCAGGATTGAAGAAGTATCCTACATACATACGTACCCGCACATCGACCTCTACACACGTAGGTATACGTATGAGTAAAGGTATGTACGCACGTCCGTACATGGACGCTTTTGCGTGCTGGCGGGCTGGGGAGTCGGATGGGGATGGGATGGGAATGGTATGGTGTGGGATGAGGTGACGGTGCCAGAGATGGGCTAGTCCTGTATCAGACGCCAGGGATGGAGGCGCATGCTGGGGAACGAATAAGAGAAAGTCTTGATAACGAATTACTTGGAGGAGAGGTCACCGCCTCTTGTCGCAATGGCGAGTGACATACCAAGGAGAGACAACAGAGGCAGAGGGACGCAATGAAGGGACGCAGCACCTCCCCGCCTCTTCTCTCGCTTGCTCTTGTCTTCTCTCCTCCCCCTCCCCTGCGAGGGTCTCCGGAGATAAGACGAGACAAGCTGAGACGAGCTTCTGGGCGCGCCCCCTGACGAGCAGGTCCTGAAAGAGGGGGCAAGGCATAGAGAGCGCGAAGGTTGTTGGTTCTTGGTGATAACACCGACGTACATACCTACATAACGTACCCCTACCATACGCGGCAGGTTACGACGACGATCGCTGACGAGAGTGTTCGATGACGACGATGACGATAACGAAGGGAGGTATGCATGCTGCTGCTGCTGCTACTACCTAATGAATTATCGTGCACAGCAGTTGTCCGCCGCGGAATCGGAGATTTCGACAATTCGCGGCTAACAAGTTCTCTCTGCTTGGGCAGGGGGGTTGTCCAGCTGCAACCCGGCGAGCCAGCCAGGATAACGAACCTGGAGCCAGACGTCGGGAGAGGACAGACGAGGCGCGCCACATTATCCGAATCTGGCGCCCGAAGAGAATACGACGCCGCGATGGACAGGTACGCTCGATGCTACGATATATGACTGCGGGCGTGTGCGGATGCGACGTCTGCCTGCCTACACGGAGGTTGCCTTGCGTACGGAGTCGCATATGAGTAGGAACCGTGGTGTTAGGGCCCAGCGACCCTTTTCTGCCCACCTTCCGCGGACACGACACACACAGATGTGTGTATATATAGGTGGCCCGCCTACTTTCCCACTCCGGGGTGCGGCGAGATATGGGAGGGAGCCGTAAGCTGGGTTGGGCCGCCTTGTCACGACAGCAACCGGCGGGACTTGTTAGTGATTGTATGAGTACAAGAGAGGGGGGATGGGAGGCAGGGAGGAAAGGGGGTGAAAAGAAAAGAAGAAAAAGGAACAAAGAGAAAAAAAAAGAGTACCGACAAGTTGCATCGATCGCCTAACCTGCCCAGCCCGTCTGCCTGTCTCGCCCAGCTTAATCTCGGAATAATTTGCTAAGAGGACGTGCTAGGATCCCTGTCGGCTGGACCGCCGCGGACGGCAGCTCTCGAATAGAACCGCGTTTCCTCGCTTGTCCTGGACGGATACGTACAAGAGCGAAACGAGACCCAACACTACGAAGGAGCGCGCAAGGCAAGGTACGTAGGTATGCCTGTGTGTGTGTGTGTGTGTGTGTGTGTGTGTGTGTGTGTGCATCTGTGTCTGCGCATATACTGCACCTACATACATATACCTACCTACAGACAACATAACACACGGGCATGTAGGACGGGTATGCATGTGTGTATTGATTCAGGCAGAGGCAGACGTGGAGAAAAAATGGTCTCCAAGCGTAGATATGTCGGGAAAAGAAGAACAAGAAGAAGAGAGGAGGATGCGGACTTCGGCTACCGCATCAATCCGTTGCGTACACCCATAAAAAGGGGGCATGCGCGCATAGTGGGCGATCGATGCCGGCCATCCCTAAGGAGAGAACAGGAGAACAGATTGGCCGGCCCGGCTGTTCTCCTCCGGGCATTCGCAGGGTCGTGGTAGAAATTTTTTTTTGCTCGCCCGGGCTTGGTTTAGCATGCGGTAGTTCTCGTCGCAGCGACGGTAATGCCAACTATGCTCAATAAGCATACCGTTACGCATATCCCCGACAGCAACCTCGTTCCTGGGAATATGCGTACGTCTTGCTGGCATATGCGCAGACATCTCGCTGACCGATCCGGGACCCGTTTCTGAAGCCGGCTTCACGAGCTGCTCGCTGACTGCCCAAGTATTTAAGGGAAAGGCTGTGCGTGGGGAAGAAGAGGGGGAGAAAGAAGAAGAAAGCTCCCCGATTCCTCGTTGTAAGCGGGGGCAGTAAAAACCAGATACATCTCAACTTGGGGCCTACGCATATCCATACCCACCTACATGAGTATATACTCATAATAGTGCCCACAACCAACAATACATAGGCATTCAATACCTTACCGGGCGGAATTTACGTAGGTAGTCATCGGAAAGCTAGCCGTGAATCGCCCTGCTAGCGATCAATCACCCCGCCGCGCTAGATCACCCTTTTCGGGTTGGCAAGTTCGCGGGGAGCCTGTCGCAACAAGCCATGTACGTTTTCGAAGCGCGTGGCCTGCAAAGGCGATGATGAGTAGGCCACCGATACCGAGGGACTTCGCACTCTGTCTCCCCCGAAAGGCGGTAAAAGCCGGAGGCAATACGCGCGAAGGATAGCAGTGGTCCAGGAGAGGAGAGGAAGGAGAAGATAAGCCCATATTGGGATTTAGGACACCGTTATGGTCAGCGAGGCGCCGTGCAGCTCGTTTGTCCTAGAGTCATCAGATCAACATACCTTATCTCTCTATTCAGGTCCTCTGCCAGCCATTCAAAGGGTGGTACGCTGCCGTGTGCCGTGACACGGGATTTGGCAACAACCCCCCTCCCCTCCCCCCTGCGGCGGGCGGAATCGTAGTAGGCCGGGAGGAATCTAGACCTGGGCATCACATTTCTAGCTTTCCTGATATCTGCATGAACGAAGACCAGCAGCGGCAGGGGGAAACAAAGGAACTTGAAACTTTGACCATGAAATAATGGCGATGCTATGCGATATATCCCCGTCTACTTGCTACGTAGTACTACATATCGAAACGTAGTCTGGGGAAAATGCCGCGCGTGCGCCCCTCTATCTCGACGCTGACTCGTACGACAAAAGAATTCCCCAGAAAGGAGAGGGGTCCGTTACGGCAGAGGATCATGAGATGACTGACAGCTGTGGCAAAGCTGTGGGGGGAGGGGACGCACCAACGGCCCCAGGCGGAAGCAGTCGGGCTTGAGATCAGCCGCGGGACCAGCGCCATCGCCAAACGGCGAAAAAAAAAAAGGGAGGGGAAGGGGGAGGGGGGAGATATATCGCAACCAAAGAGGCCGGTTGCAACACTAGAGCAGTCATGCGCCAGTATTTAGGAGGTTTCCTCGATCGGAGTTCAGGCCTTCGAGACGGCTGCACCGCATTCATACCTACATAGACATTCATAGAGCTGGGGGGGGGGCAGGAAGGTAGCACTGCGATAAAACGCAATCCCAGCTAAAGGGGGTCGCGTGGAGGGGCAACTTGGTGGGATGTGCGTCGGCATCGGTACCGACGGTCACAGTATATGTATTTATATACTTTCAACGTGCGGACGGGATCGAGTGCCACTTGGACCCCGCGGCTTCGTTCGTGTAGAGAGTGATGCGAGTGAAGTGACAACTCCGATGGGGAGAGGGGGGAGGAAAAGAAAGAAAAATGGAAAAGGGGGGAGGTTGTGAACGGCTGATCGATGGTTATGCGCATAGCCGGCAAACCTGTGTATGTTTCAAACGCTGCCGCGCCGAAGCTGGACTACGGAAGGCGAATGCGACTGAGACGATCGACTGGCACCCTTCTGCTCGGTTGCACACTCATCTTATGCAAACGCTCGCCGCCGGGTTGTCCCCTCGGATTTGGCCTACGCCGTAGGCTCTCTACTGAAAACCCTCTGCGCGGGTCGTGGCACACGAAGCCGCCGCGATATGCTATTTGCCGCCGGCCGTTGATCTAGTCGTCCGTTGTCGCGCACCCATTTCGCTAGCCGCCTTGGTGCCGGCGCCGGGACGATGGGCGAGAGCCACCAGCTACCGCGGGCGACTTGTGTGTGTGCCTGCACTGTACACCGCACACGGCAACCTCTTCTCGGCCTGTTTACGGGTCGTGTGATGTAGGTACGCGTCTAGCAGGGTAGCGAAGATGCTTGACCTGTGTCTGGCGATTCCGTCCAGTGTCAAACAGGCCTCTCTTTCCCGGTTCTAGCGGGATGCAACAACGATCGAACTGTAAGAATCGGGCAAATCGGAGGATATAGGCCGCACGCTCTCGTATCGACTCTCGAATAGCGGCCGAGCGATTTAAAGCTCTGCTTGCCTTGACTCATACATAAAAAGCCTAGCCCTCGTTCCAAGCCCATCGACTTTAGTTGGGAGGGATTACGTATCAGAATGGCTTCGGGGGAGAACGAATTCGACCAGCCTAAGGGAATAGTGCCCGCGTGTGGGTGGATTCACGCAGCCTACTGGGGCGATCAAGTGGATCTCGAATTGATGGATGGCAAGACATCGACGTTTTCTTGGGAAGACGAAAATAACTAGTCGACTGGCTCTTTGTCTAACCTATCTGGCCAGGGGGGAGGCCAAAGCTCGGGGAGCAGCGCGCTATGCGGGTCTGGCATGCGAGACAACTGCATCGGTTATGTAATTCGACGACATCGTGCTTCTGCTTCTCCTTTTTTCTGCCCGGATGCGCATGTTGTCGAACGGGTTCGAATCATTTCTTCGGCCACGACGAGCCAACACGAAGGAATCGTGGTCGATTCCGTCCCGCCCGAATCGCCGGTTCCTATTCGTGCGCCGGGCGCCGATTTGTTGCGATAGGCACGCTGATAGCTGGGCCGCCTAAGATAGCGAGATACTGGTTGAGCAATCTGTGCTTTTCGGCCCTGAGAATCGTCGAGAGCTCTTCGCAGGAAAGATAGTCGCCCGGGGCCCACTTCCCAGACCCCGTATTGCACATAGCAGGGTCGAGATGCCGCAAACGACTCGTCTGGAAATGCCCGGCGGTTAGGAATAGATGAGACTGAACCGACTTGACATTGGCAGAGCCTCATGAAAATCAGGGCTCTCTCTGTACGCAAGCGGTGGCGCGCACCCTGAAAGCGTGAAGGGATGGACTGGGACCTGCAATCAAAAAGCATCCCGGCACGGAGAACTTATCCTAGGCCTATTTTCGAGAGGGGTGGCAGCTCTTTTTTTTTTTCCCCCTTTGATTTCTCGTCCTGTCTTCTTCTCAGCCTTCTTCTCCGTCTTTTGCCTAGGCACGGCGAGGAGGGAGCGCGCATGGACACCTATAGACATGGTGGTAACTTTGGATCGACACCACGTACCGACGAGCCAGTGGGGGAGATATCCACATCATTTGCTCTCGAGCATTGGCATTTCTCACATGTGCGAGAGCGCGTACCATTTGTGCTTCCTGCAGCGACAGACAGAGAGCGTAAAGCCCTCTGCCTGCCTCCCTCCCTGCCTCTTTTGGGAGGTACTAAGTCGAGATACCTATAAGGAGCTTGCAGAAAAAAGGCGTGAGCAGCCCAGATGTCGGTACTTCTTGGGCGAATCCCTAAGCTACTCCTGGCAACGATGCTGGAGATCTGCCCTCGCCATCCCACAATTCGTCCCAGTTATGAGCCAATTAGCGCGATACGCCGACCCTCATAGGAGGAGAAGCCATCCACTCCATGGCCCTATGACCGTGGGTTGCAGAGCAATACGTACCCGGGGCCACCACCAGCCAGTGCTGAGGGCATCTTGCATATCGGCTTCATTGGATGGATGTAATGGATATTTGTGTTGGAGTTGCATCGGTGCGATCACGACCGTCCTATCACCAGCGCGGTCGCCCGATTCCAGAACCGAACCTCGCTAGGTTCAGTCAGCGGCGCCCTTTGCTCTCAGACTGTGCGCGTATGTACCTCCTCTCGCGCGCACACAGCAGCCACCTTGCTAGCGCTGCTGCTCCCGCCAGCATCAGAAAACGGGCGCTGGCTTCTTATCTCGAAGCACTGAACTAGGTACCTAGGTGCCGAGCGCCCATGAGGGTCGTACCTCAGTGCGTATGTGTACGTGTACATGTACATACACAACACCGTAGGCCGTGCGTGTATACGCCGGAAGCAAACCAGCGGCCACGGCAGCTTGGCGGTTACGTGTGTCAGGTATATAAAATGTGCTGTAGCCCAGTCAATAAACAGCAGTCAGCTTAGATCGATCGCCAATGTCCGAGCTTCTGAACATTTCCAATATTCGGAGGCATCGAATTAGAAGCGTCAACTTCTCAGACCCGGTGGCCCATCCGTCGAAGGTTTTTCTTCCTTCGATGGAAAACCGTTCTCTCCCGACGACCCTGCTTGGGCCAACTCTTCTGCTCTCCGGCCAGGACTTGTCGGCACTGGGGGCAAGGAAAACGGTCCTGTTCCCTTCCCCTTTACCAGTACCCCTGTCACAGGCCCATGGCTGCTCCTGCACCGGTGCATATTTAAACGACGTTGTAATTTCATCGGGCGAACTAAGCATGGCCTTCATTTTAGAAAAATACGTCGCAGGCACGGACCAATATCCGCAACACTTGCGACCATGACCCGGCCAACAAGGGAGCTAGAGACCTGGTTTTTTGGGCTCTTTTTTTTTTTTTCCATTGCGAAGGGTACCGACTTGCCCTCAGGGAGTCAGGAAATGTGCAGTGTTCGGCCACCTTCCCCTTCATCTCTCCCCTCCCCTGTGCCGGCGAGTCTGGGAATGGGAGGTGTTTAAGTATTAGCACGTAGGTATGTGTGCACGCGATGCTGGCGGAGGGCACCAGCCAAGCTCAGGACCTACTATGTAGAGTAAGCATGTCGCAGCGAAGGCAGGCCAGGTTCGGACTGGTGACCAGGTTGTGCAAGAGACGATGGCGATGGTCGAATCTGCTAGCGTTGGTAGTAGGCAGGCTAACGCCAGCCAATAATCCGACCCCGTAGTGGCGTTTCTTGGGTTTGCGATAGAACGATGCGTACTATATGTGTAGTCATGTAGACAATACCATACACTAACTGCGGTATACACACGCCGATACAATACATATACAGAAGACGGCGGCGGCGGCGGCGGATCGATGGATGGGGAATTGGGACGGGAGCTGATGGGACAGACGGCGAGGGGTGGATGGATAGACGGACGGATGTTTGCCATTTGCTGTCACGATGCCTGCCAGCTGGACCAGCCTAATCGCAGCGAAGACTCATCGTCATCCATCACGGGTGATGAATAATAGGTGTCATGGGGAAGGGCCGCTTACATTGCCTGTATACCTATCTCTCTAGGTACCTCCCTATGTACTTGAATAGCTACTTACCTCCTAGGTACCTGTAGTGAGTCTGCCCCTTACGGTGGCTACATGCTATACGCAGTAACCTTACGTACCTGGGTATGTACTGGATGTAGACGAGCCGAGAGCTGCCCGTCCTTTATTTCCTCTTTTCTTTCTTTTTTTTCTTTTGGGTTCGCCCTGGTGTTGTGTTTCTTTCCCTGTATTCGGTTCCTGCCCTTTTGTGCTTCCCCCTTTTCCCACCGGGGCCGCCCACCAAATCCCATCAACAAGCAAGTGCGATGTGCTGATTTGATGTGGGTCGCCTGTTTTCCCTCAACCATCTGGGCATCCGCGACCCGCCAAGCCCCACTCGTATCCCTGTGGGTTGTCAATTAATACCGTGCAGGAAACGCCGTACCTGGTACCTCCCAACCCGCCGTCGCGCCCAGCCCGACGTGTACCGTGTACATCCGGCCCGGCTGGGTACTCCCTCCCACAGTGGCAACTACGGATGTCCTGCTCCCAGCACACCGTGGTCCCTTCCGTTGCCCACCCCCCCCCATGTCACTCGCCCTCCTGTTAATCACGAGGCAATAATAAATAAGGGAGCACCAGGTGCTGCTTCCCACCTCTGTTTCTTCCCTCCCACCCTTCTTGTTGCACTCGCATTTCCAGATACAAGTCGTGCTGCTTTTCCCACTCGCCACCCCCCAAGATTTGTAGAGAACGCTTGCTCGCGAGACGCCGGAGACTCGTCTTCTCACCATCTGAGTAGTCGTCTAATTCCCTCCCCCTTTTCCTTTTAAGTGATACCCGTCTTCTTGATACCCAAATTTTTCTTTTCCTTAATCCAATCCCCAACACTTCGCCATGGCCGACGTACAGAAGCCCGTCGAGGTCCCTGAGACCACCCCCGCCGCCGCCGAGCCCGTCGTCGAGACGAAGGTGGAAGAGACGAAGCCCGCGGAGAGCGCCCCCGCTGCTGAGCCTGCTGCCGCTGCCGCTGCTGCTACCGAAGCCCCCGCCGAGACCGAGGCTGCTGCCGAAGCTGCCGCTCCCGCCGAGGAGGTGAAGGAGGCGGCGAAGCCTGTCGAGGCTGGCACCCTGGAGCACAAGGGAGCCCCAGCCAACTTCCCCAAGTATGATACACTGGTCCACCTGTCTTAATCTGTAAGGCATGTCCAGCTGACGGTTGGTAGGAACTTGATCTATACCAAGCAGCACTTCTGGTTCGGAGCCGACGCTGTTCCCAAGGAGAAGCTCGTCACGTACCTCAAGAATGAGAAGGTGACCGACGTTGCCTACCATGTTGCCTCGTGGGCCACCGAGACGGGCAAGGGTCTTCTCTTCTACGGGAAAGAGGGCGACAAGGAGACCCCGGCCGGTGCCATCCAACTGGTAAGGCATCCAACACGTGATCCTGGGGATTAAGCTGACACGCATGCTAGGCCGAGGCTTCCGAACCCGCTGTGGAAGGATCCCACAAGTTCACCTTTACCGCGAAAGGGCACAAGCACGCTTTCAAGGCCCCTACTACAGCCGACCGTGACAACTGGGTCGAGCAGCTGAAGTTGAAGATTGCCGAGGCCAAGGAGCTTGCTACTACCATCACGGAGAGCGAGGTGTACAAGCAGACCCTTGAGAGCTTCAAGCCTACCCCTCCTCCTAAGGAGGATAAGCCCGCTGTTGCTGCTGCTCCTGCTGAGGGTGAGACCGCAGAAGAGGCCGCGGAGCAGCCCAAGGACGAGGATAAGGAGGAGGCAAAGGACGACAAGAAGGAAGAGCCCAAGCGTCGATCTGCCAGCCGCAAGCGTACCTCTCTCTTCGGCAACCTGCTCGGCGGTAGCAAGAAGGAGGAGCCTAAGAAGGAGTCTGCCGAGGACAAGTCCGCTGAGGACAAACCCGCCGAGACTACCGAGGCAGCCGAGCCCGCTGGAGATGCCGCTGCCCCGGCCTCTGAGGCCCCTGCTTCCGAGGCGGCTGCTGCCGAGGAACCGAAGAAGGAGGAGTCTGCCAAGCCGACTCCTTCCAAGCGCACCAGGTATGTAATTCTAGAGATATATCGCGGGGCCTTGCTAACAGATTGCAGTCTTTTCGGTAACCTATCTTTTGGAAAGAAGAAGACTGAGGCTGAGGGCGCGCCGGCAACCCCTGCTAAAGATGCCCCTGCTACCATCCCGGAGACCCCCGTTGCCGAGGCCGCCCCTGTGATCCCGGCTGTGGAGACGAGCGAGCCTCTATCTGAGGTTACCTCTCCCACCGAGGGCGCCGAGGCTGCCCCCGCCACCAATGGTGAGACCAAGAAGGAGAAGACCGAGAAGCGCAAGTCCACGCTCCCCTTCTTCGGCAAGAAGGAGAAGTCTACCACGTCGGATGACGAGGCTGAGAAGGTCAAGTCTCCTCCCTTCTTCTCGAAGCTGCGACAGACGGTGAAGGGCAAGGGCAAGGCTACTGAGAAGCCCGCTGAGGAGGCTAAGGCTGAGGATAAGCCTGCGGAGGCCGAAGCCTCTGAGCCTGCCAAGGAGGCTGCTGAGGAGCCCGCTGCGCCTACCGAGGAAGCCAAGGCGGAAAAGCCGGCGGCGGCTGCTCCTGCCCCCGTCACTGCTGCCGCGTAGAGTGCGAGTGATTCTGCCCTACGGGCCGATGCTTGATGTTTTCAAAGGATAACCATCTCGTTGGGCTTGGTCGGGAACGGATCTGCATTTCAAGATACCCCACAAGACTGGTTCTGAACTGATACCCCCCGTCTGCTTCCAATTTGGCGGTCCACTCCTGCTGTGGAGTCTGGACTGTGTCTAATGTGGAGGAGATGGCCTACATGATCTTTACACGAACGCTTTTGACACGTTTTGTCTCGATTTGCGTGGAGAATTGCTTTTTCCAAATCTTTTCCTAATACTCAGCTGATACCCAGTATACCCCCTGTCATTTGGTTGATGCGGATCAGAAAATACCAGCCATACAGCGCAACCCTTTCTCTTACGTTGACGGTGCAGGACGCGGAATACAGAGGTGCAGAGCTGCTTTATGTCAAGCTCGTGAAGCCCTCACGGAACAGACGTCGCGCGTAGTGTTGTGCCACGTAGGGTGTGCACTCGCGCCGGCTGAAGCATTCTCTTAATAGCTAATAGATACTCATGTGTTTGGCGTTGCTACAACCAGCTTGTTGTGGACCCTCAGTGTTGTGATCTCGTGGGTACTCTCTGCTCTTATCATGTTCGATCATGTTCCTGTAAAGTTGACTTTGGTTTCGTTGCTTCGCTGCGGTGTATACGCTATGAACCCCTGTGTGTCCGTTGTTGGTCTGTTTCCCCGTCACCATTGGAGTGGCCCGTCGGATCAGCCACCTTTCTGATATCCGTTGGCGTCCATCAACTAAAGCGGTCCACCCATTCCACCGCTTGATGCCGTGACTAAGACAAGGATGGTTTAACTAATTCCAGATTTGTTGGCTAATATCAACAATCCTATGATTATTATTAAATCTATGACATCCTATCAATAGTAAAATCCTTCGAGGTCAATTGTAACACTTGAACCAAATTCAACATGCATCTCGCTGCTGTGTGTCGCCTTGGAGGCGACTCCTTGCTAAATACTCCTCATTTGAGGGTTCACTTGCGAAAGATCTCGCTCCTGCGAATCACCAATTCTAGCTTGCCTTTGCTGGACCACCGGCCGTTTTCTCGAGCTCGACGCGGGCCTTGGGACAAACACAGAGGCATAGCTACTGGTGCAAAATAGAATCCTGGAAGCACAACGACACGGTCGGTTCTCGAAGCAGTCATTTGCCTTCGCTCCGGTTTCCCAGCTACGCTTACTCGACAAGTTTATTCGTGGAATCTCTTGCGTCAGCGGCAGATCCCCTAGCTCGCTCGTCCTCCTCCAAGTTTCCAACTCGACGTCCACGCCTGCCGCGGGCTTGCTAGAGCAGCTTGAGCGTATGCTACCTAGTTGGTGGTGTTCCCACACCTGAACAGGGCATTCACATACGTTGCGACGAGATTCTACGCGCGGAGACAAACGCTTCGCAGCCCACTCCCGGCAGAGGCATTTTCGAGATTGGGGGTTTTGGCTCGCGATGCTCCTTGTCCCAGAGGACATTTCGACGCCGTGGAACGTCGAGGGTGTGACCCAAGCAGGAAATAGCAGCCTTGCGTGAGAGGACGAGGTGGGCGTCGTCTCACCCACACCCAGCCTAACCGACGTGATCCCGCCATATGCAACCCCCTTGTGCGTCATGCAGGCTTTGATTACGACGAGACCTAGCGAGCCGGATTGCGTATTACACCTGGCCCCTATCCGGTAGTTCGGCCGCTGGTCGAGCGGTCGACCACCCTCCCCGAGCTTACGATTACCTCAAGGCGTATTGGTTCATCGAGTCAGACACTCGAGTGCCTACTCACGTACACGCCTGCCTCGGGTCAGGCGTTCGTGGCAGCCGTCGCCGACGTATTTGCACCTAAAACTGCCTACCGCCTCCAGCCTCGGTGAGGCTATGTCAGAGGAATATCATGCCTAGGAAGCCCGCACGTACGACACGAGGGATGAGATCTCTCTACCGGCCGCAGGCTTCTGTGAGCCTACTGCTGATGGGCCCCGACGCAATATGTGATATCACAGTGTTCCACGAGCACTTGTATACATCCCACTATGAATCGAGGCTTTTAGGGGAGATCTCTTTGCCGCACTGTTTCACGCCTCCTTATCTTCTTCCTCTGCCCCTAGCCTCCTCCTTCTCTTCTTCTCCCACTCCTCGCCGTGACCCATGAAGCCGTCATCGGCGGCGACTACAACGACAGAAATTGCGTGCTTCCCTACAGCCCTCCCGGATAAGAACGAAAAACAGCGACGTCAAACCCAGCGCAAAACTCGAATATCCCTAGCCCCGGCCACAGAGTCACATTTGACGCCTACACCCACCCACCTCCTTCCAAACACCTCCTCCCCTATCTACTTTCTGAACACTCCCCCCCCGGCCGTCGCTCAAATATCGCACGAACCCCTCCCCGCCTAGGGCGCACCCGCGCGCGCACATCCCTCGTCGCGCGTATCTGCCCGGATACCGACTGAACCCCGGCGAGCCAGGCCGCCGCCATGCCCGCCAACGAGAAGTCCGCCCAGGAGGAGAAGCGGCGCCAGGAGGAAGAGAGGCGGCGGAAGGGCAGCGACAGAGGTAGCCCCTCCGGAGGCGGCGGCGGCGGCGGCGGTGCTGCGCCGATACCCTGGAAGGACACGACGGGGGGCGGGTCGAGGTGCGGCTGGGGGCGCTAAGCCCGGGCTCGGGTGGTGGATATTATTAGATTCTGAGGGTGTCTGTCTGGAGGAGCGCGGGGGAGGCAGTGGCTGTGTGTACCTACGGAGCAGGCTGAGAGGGAAGCCGGAGAGAGGAAGGCGAGGAGAAGGGAAGTGGGGCGAGGTGAGAAAGGCTGAAGGGGATCTCCATCTGCTGGGGTTAATACTAGAGACGTGCCGTGGCTTAATACCGGGCGCCGCGGATAATACGTGGTAATATGCCTACCTACCTACCTAGAGAACTCGGGGAGGGGGGAACGGCAACACGAATGGTCCCTTGCAGGCTGGTGTAGATCTCGGTGCTTCAGCGGGGAGGATGCGAAGGGTCGTAGAGGGGCGCTGTTTAACTGAGAGGGGAGAAGGGATTGGGGCATCTCTGTATTTCGTCAATAGAAGGGGTTACCACGGGTAGCTGCTCGTCGCCTCGGCCGGGAGCGGCCCGGATACACAAGTGTCTGGTTGGGTGTGCGTGCGAGAGGTGGAGACTTTAAGGGGGGGGAGGAATTTGTCTCTATTTTCCCTGTAGACGCGGGCACCAAATACCGAGTCCTTGCGATGCCACCACAGAAACTTGGGTCGTATTCTTGACCCCCCCATAGGCGACCTTAGGAAAGGAAGAGGGGGGGAGGGGGACTTCCTCCTCCTTAGATAACCGCCGGGACACGCACATAGTACCAAAGCCTCGCCTATTGCGGTGATGCTGCGAGTAGATGTCTAGTATTTTTTTTCATGGGGAAGTTGGAATTGAGGTTTTATCCGAGCTGTAGCTATGTCTAGTTATCTAGTGTCATTCCTCCATCTCGTAGAAGCCATGACTATCATATAAATCCCCAGTCTACCCATGCGATGAAACGGAGAAAGCTCGGCGTTGCCAGAGACCTGGACTAATAAGGGCATAGAAGGTCTGATTTTGCCCGTAGCGTTGCTAAAACACACAGAGACCAGATTGGGTGTCCGTGTTCCCAAGCAGCCATATATTTGCGGACTGGATGGGGATAGGGGATATGCTGCCTAGGCTGTTGGGCCTAAACGATGTCATTAGTATGTTATCGGACACGGGCTGAAAGGGTTTAGGCAGGGGAGGCGAAGGGATTGGGGGATGGGGTTTAGGGCTCTGGGGGCGAAGAGGGCAAGCAGGCGGAGGGCAACTAACTGAGAACGGATAGCAGGGAATCCACTTCCACTATAATATCGCCTGCAAGACCCAGCCACTACAACACCTACACATGATCACGGCCAAGTTGATGGCCGGGTTGTCACGGACAGACGGGCGACACCGGACCGGACCGGACGACCCACCAGCGGTGTCGGCTAGTCCGCAACGATGTCGTCTGCATAGTGTAGCGGCATACTCTAAGTGGAGGCCGGCTTCGTAGGGGCGCTCTAGGACCACCCAGGCCTCGGCCGCATGATCCTGGGGGATCCGCTCGTGCAAACGAGGACATCGTCCATGTAGGCAGGCGCTAGCGAAGTCACCGAGGAACCCCTTTCAGCCCACTGCTTTATATAGACGCCGAGGGCGACAGGCTGCCTTTAAGAGCGTTAGTGCAAGACGCCTACACGGGGCCGCGGCTACTACTTACGGCAGCAGGTAGCCGTGCCCGCTTGCAACGCGCTCGGCACACGCGGAGCCGCGCCCCTCCTTATCGTGGCAGATGCGTAGGGCACCCGCGCAGCGGTGGCAAGGGGGGGAGGGCACGAGGGCCCACCGGGCGATGGGTGGCAGCAGCCCCAGAGGTGGTGGGGGAGTATTAGGGGTAGTAGTGGCGCTAGAGCCAGCGCAGGCGGCAGCCGCCCGGGTAGCGGGAGGTTGTCTTGCTATAGGAAACCGATCAGCACGCAGCTGAGCGCAAGGAGCAGCAGGACAAGCGAGATCAGCCTTACTTGGGGCGCCTCCGTGGCGTTGCTGCTGGTGCTGCTACTACTACTCTCCTCAGTAGGGGCATGAGCTGGTCGCACAGGGGCGACGGCGGAGGCGAGTAAACTCCCGGGGTATTGCACCCTGAAGCCAACGCAGTGAAGTATGGTGCTAGAGTCAGACAGTTAGCCGTCGTGCCTCGAGCCGTAACTCTATAGTGCCCCCCCCCCCTCTCCCCCATTGGCAAGTGCTCGGGTGGTAGGATGGGGCGATGGGCTGGCTTACTAGATCGTGGGCATTGTCCTGGAGCCGGAGCCACCAAAGCCTTCCTCAAAGATTAATGGAGATATGCCATCATTTCCGGCTCAGCCATTCATTGTCTTGTGTGAGGCTCGCCGTGCCGACGGGCACGTAGTTCGGGGCCTTCGAGAGCGTTTACGCTCGGGAGCCATAATACTGCCCAGGGTAAGGACAGAAGAAGCTATAGAGTGGAGTGGTTAAATAAACGGGAGAAGCAAAGAAAGGGTTACCTTCTGGGTGGCTTAAGGTTGGTTGCGTTCCTAAGCGTACGTACCATGGTGGAGTGCTTCGTGTAGGCTGTTGAGACGGGCCTGGGGCAGCAGTTAGAGGCTATCTTTCCATCAAAGTCTGTCTATTATCAACCTACCCTCGCCAAGGTACTAGCCCTGGACTGCTGTCCCAGGGCGGACACCTGCCCCATTTCGATGGTAGAACTCGCCAAAAATGTCGGCAGACATGATAGCTGTAGGACCTGCCAAAATGCCTACAGACGTGGTAGCTGATAGTGTGGTTGCTGGGTGTCTATGTTGGAGAACTGGCTATTCGCCCATGACAGTAGACGATAGAGCGAAGTGATTCTGGTTAGAATCAGGAGGTGGTCCTGGTTAGGATCATGATTTGTGGGAGTGATGGTTCAAGTTGATGGGCATTGTGCCCATGCTGGTTGAGCTGAGGCGAGTTGGTGTCGGGGGAAGTGGAAGGGAGGAGAAGGAAGATAAAACTGGTGGAGGAGCCAGATATTTATATGCCGCAGAAATACTGCCGCTGGGAACAAATCGTAACAGGAAAGGCGGTAAGTGCAAAGTGTTTGCCCACTGTTGTGAAATCCTATAAAGGTGTTTGTCCAAGGACACAGGAAAAGGGGGGGGTACAATGCCCTGCAGCAGCTTGCCTGTCACAGTAGAAATTTACAACATACTGGTTCCATTGAAAGCCGTGTGAGAAAAATAACGGGATCCTTGATTCATGAGAGAAATCGCCAGTATATAGAAGGGTTGTACCGAGTACACGATTTAATGCTAATAGAGGTAAATAAACAGGTTGTGGGCGGAATAGATCTAAATGGTAACACAGTACCTATTTGTATAAGCTCAGGGCAACATTATCATAACACACGAAATAATTACCAAGTATTGCAGGTTGTACTGGAATGGGATATCGAAAAACAGGCCTGCATGTTCAACCAGTGGCTAATATATGACATACTCCTGACTCCTGACTAGTGAGGGTTTTGTGAAGAGACTACGGTGGCCTGGATGGCTCTAACAGCACCTACAACTCTAGAGCATAGTTGCCGGTACCGCTCTACGGGTAGAGAGAGTCAAGTGCTCATCTAGTGTGAAGGTATCTCGGCCGAGGATGGCAAGCTTTGCTCTGGATAGTCCTCTTGGAACCTATTTATCGACTTTATCATGTTGGGCGCCACTCCCCTGCGCAAGGTAGCACTACGACACCGCCGGGTCTTAATGCCGTCAGTTTTTTCTCTATTTTTGGCGCGGATAAGAAAACGGGGTTGATATTATATTAGGAATTTTCAGGTGCTTGTGGGGTATAGTATTATCATTACACTATGAGACTTAATAACCACTCATTAACATTGTCAACTTTTGCAGTTATTCCTCGTACTCCCGCTCCCACGCAATGCCGCAGGCAAATCAGCTCTACAAGTAGAGGAGGCTCAACGCCGCTAGGCCAACGAAGACATAGAGCAGCCCTCTGCGCGCGTTCGTGTGCCCCGATACGGCAGCGGAGGGCGTCGATGTCGGCGCGTTGCCGCTCTCCGGCTCCGTCGTGGCGGCGTCCGCGGGCGGGGAGGTCGTGCTCGGAGCCGACTGGCCGCTCAGGCTCTCGGAGGCGCCCGACTCGGTCGCCGTGCTCGACGTTCGCCCCGTCGTCGTCGTCGAGCGGGTGGGGATGGGGAAGCCGAACCGGTCGGTGGTGGCGGGCGTCAGAGTGGTGATATCGGGGGCGGGGAGGGTGATGTCCTCCAGGGCGAGGCCGGAGGTCAAGGCCCACAGGCACTGGGCGACCTGGGTGGGGACGTAGTCGCCGACGGTGCGGTCGCCGTAGCTCGCGCTGGTGTAGGTGACGAGGAACGGCGCGGCGTTGTCGGTGTTGGTGCCGGCCAGCTGCGCCAGCGGCGTCGGCGACCCGTCGGAGCACCGCGTGTTCTGCGCCGGCGCCGGGCGCAGGCCCCCAGCCTGCGGCCCCGTCAGCCCGCAGCAGACCAGGTCGGACAGGTTCATGGCACGGTCGCGGGACCCGGCGATGGACCTGAGGTCCCTGGCGGCGTTGATGATGCGTCCGTTGCAGCAGAAGGTCTGGAAGTCCTCCTTACTCGTACCCAGGGTGTCGTTCGCGCACTCCCACCGCTCGCCGTTCCCAAATTGGATCGGGCCGAGACACCACCTACGGGACGGAGAGTTAGTTCGTGGATTACTGTGTAGTGATTGTAGTTCTGGAGCCAGCGGGACAAGCTTTTCCGCCTACCTCGGTATCGGATCGATTGGGATCTTGGTGGTGATGGAGGAGGACATGGTGGATGAAATGGTCGAGAGGCGAAGGAGGTTCCGCGTGAATTAGTTTGCGAGAGGTCTCGACGTCCGACGATAGCGTGTAAGGATGGGAGGAAGAAGAGAGGACATCGCGAAGCCACGCAGGGCAGCGGGAGAGGGATCCTTTTCATTTAGGCGGCCACTCGTGCTGGGCGTCCAGGGGGGCGGCATTCGGACTCGTGATGAAGCCCACTCTAGTTCGGCCTAGCAGAATCCTGTCCCGAGCCATCTTGAGAAGCGTTGCCAAATCACCGCTGCATGCACAAGAGAAGCACAGAAGGCTCCTTGATGCCGGGGGTGGGACGAAAGCGAGGGCGGCATTGCCTCGCCAGTCTGTCCTCTTGCTACCTCCGGGCTTTGCCTATCCAAACCACCTCCTACTTGACGATATGACATTAGAACCAAGGAAGACTATACACATAAACTGGGGTATAATAGAGGTATGTGTAAAGATAGGTACCTATGTACATGTATAAGTACGTACATAGAATTAGGTAGTAAATGGGCCAATCACACGGCTCCGACACTCGTCAATCCGGGGTAAGAGAGACGAGCAGGGAAGAGCAGCCCAACACTTGCATAAGCGAGGGGGGCCAATGTTGGGGGCCGTCATGCCACATCGAGAGCGGTGCGGTAACAGCTTCGCCGTAACACGCCACAGATCTCCAGTCCCTACTACGGATATACCTGAGTCTGCGCGCTCCCGGGAGACGGAGATTAGGTACCGGCATAGCAGAGAGAGAGGAGAGATAAGGCTCTACGTGACTAGCTGTGACCCCCTCAAGTGGAAAAACGCTAGGACTTGTCGGGGCGACGATGCTGTCAACCCATGCCTGGCCTCTTTCCACCGCACAATGCGATGAAGACGGCGTCTCGTCGCTCCATCGTCTGTATTCTGTATGCGCACAATATAATACTTACCTAGAGAGGAAAATACCTCCTCTTAACGTCCATCCATTAGTCTTTAGGTGCATGTCGCCTGTCTGTGTCCTCTACACCGCGCCAATCTCGGGCCGAAGTGCCTGCCCACGACCGGTACTGGCCTGCTCAACACCCTGACCTCTGGCGACCAGCTTCACCGCTCGCCGTCTTATCTCGAATGGGATGCGCGACATCCTGCCGTGTTCGCATGAACCGTCGCAGTAGAGCGAGAGAATCGCGAACCGTGGCTACGGCGCCGACGGGCTGACCGGGTTGAATGAGAAAGAGAGGCGAAATTTAATCAATCGAAAAAGGGTCGCGTTGACGACGCGATGATCAATACCCCCCCTTCCCCCCCCCTACCCCAGCGATCTGCGCGAATCCCCCGATGATCGCGCTGTCATTGCTGGCTCCCTGTCGCGACCTGCCTCGCCCATCGCGCGTACAAGCAGCGGATGCAGTTTCGGAGATTTCCCGCCGACGCCGCCATCCACCCCCGCACGCTTGCCGCGGGACGCTGATTAGAGAAGGGAGCCCAGCTCGAGGTATACCTAGGTAGCTCCACACGACCGAGTGCGCGACCGCTTCACCTGCTGTGCGGTTCCAGCACGGTACTGTAAGCCAGACTTTTTATTTTTTTATTTTTTATTTTTTTTAATGATATTTATGAGTAGTGGTTGCAGGTATTTCCCTACCTGCTTCTGTAACTGTTGTGAAGCCCTGCTTCCCTTGCGAGCGGTAGCTAGCTCGCTGGCCCCCGCCCCCATTTCCTGGTTTTGAATCCCGTGCGCCGTTATCTTCGCGAGAGTGTCGTAACTGCTTACGAGTAGCGGAGGACAAGTTCGGGGGCTTTATGCTGGCTTTGGGAGGGAATCGTATCTAGGATGGCGGTCTCGGGAGAGAATGCAGTGAGCTCTGTGAACCGCGGTAGGTAGGCTTCACCGTCACCGCCAACTCCTTTTCATTCCTTCTCGTGAAGAGGGTATTACAACACGATGACTATCCCACATCAGCCCCCTTGTTCTCCAATTATCGACCCCGACGGCGACGATGATAGTAGTAAACACGGAAGAGAAAGAAAAAAAAACGACGGCGCCGAGACCCAGCAGTGTCGTCGTGCTACCGCGCGCAGGAAGATGGCATCCGACGGGCGACGACCAACCCAGGCGGACCAGTCGGTTTCTCCGTCCCTGTGCCACGGCCACATCTCCAGGCAACATCGAGCAAGCGAGCGAGCGAGGGAGCCGGCGACACGAAGAGCGGTGATTCCCCAGCCGCAGCCGTCGTCGAGTGAAGCCCTCTCGTACCCGAGGCAGACAGGCCGAGGGGGCCAGATGGATGGGCACCCGAGTAAGCATACACTACATAGGTAGCTCTGCCTACGGCGTAGCGTATACAGACAGACGTATATGCGTGTATGCGAGAGAGCCTCTTTTTTTCTCTCTCTTTCTTCTCCCGCCCAACGTTATTCCCCGTCACCGCCGCGGGTATCTGGCCCCCTCCCCCTCCTCCTCCTCCTCCTCCTTTCTCCCCCACCTCTCTCCCTTCTCCTTCCCCCCTCCCATTAGCTCCCAACGAATTGCGGAGGATCTTGGCCGTCAAAAAGGAAAAGAGGACGAGGGAAGAGGGAAGAGGGAAAAAAAATTTTCGCCACCGATCGTAGTACGGTACAACGCCTACAGTAAGTCGTAATTTCACAGCTCTCCTCTGACCCTGTTCTCCCAAGCCCAGATCTGCTGCCGCTCCCCCCTACCCTCCCACACGCGTAGGTATTTAGATACACACGCAGGGCCCCCAGGGTAGGATAGGGGGTGGTAGGGCGAAAAAAAAGGGGGTGAGGGGGGGCCATCCCGCACCTACGTACGCATCCCGCCCCCGGCCGCAGCCGCAGCACAAGCGGCGGCAACGGCGGTCAAGAGATCGGCAAATGGGAGCGAAGGACGCGAACGCCACCCCGCGATAACGAGGCGGGGAGGGGGAAAGCAAGAGGAGGGCTACCAGGGAGGAGGAGGAGGAGGAGGAGGAACACGAGGAGGAGCTTGTATATATGCACCGGTGCTTGCCTACGTGCGCGCGCGAGAGAGCCGGGGAGAACGTAGATAGTGTGCGCCCACCGAACAGCCCACGAGCCAGGAGGACGTCGGGGAGACGAAAAGTCCAGGGAGAGAGAGGGGGGGATGTAGAAGAGCGGAATTGAGGAGGCTAGACCGGAGAGGAGATTAAGATAGCAGTAGCAGATGCGGTGGCGATGCTTTTTTTTTTTCTTCTTCTTTTCAAATCCCGTCTGCCCGACCTGCCCTGGCCCGATCTTGCGCAACTCTACCGCACGTAAGTACGTACGCACGCACGCACGTACTTACTACCTACCTTGGGTACCCCAGAGAGGGGGCTGCAGGCAGCGCATGTGTATATATGGAGGCGTACGTGCGGACGGACGGACGGACGGACGGGAGGAGGCAGACGAGGCGCGGGGGCGAAGCTGGGTAGGTAGGTAGGCAGGCAGGTTAGGTAGGTAGGGTAGCTCGGGATTGCTCGCTGGAGACGCGGCGCAGCGAAGCGCGTAGGCGCCCGGGTACAGGTACCTACCTACCTACCTACCTGTCTACCTTACGCACCCAGGCAGGCAGGCAGGCAGACAAGGCCAGGCCAGGCCAGGCCAGGCGGGTGCTTACTACTGGGTAGCCAGCCTCGCTGCCCTTTTCTGCCTGGCTGCTTACCTGCCTCGGTGCTTACGCGCCCGCGCAGCGGCGAGGCAGGCCAGGAGGGAGGGGGAGTAGGTATGGGGGCGACGAGCAGGCCCGCCGAACGTGCGCGTATGTGCGCGCGAGAGAGACAGAGCGAGAGAGAGAGAGAGCGCAGATCCAGGGACCAGAGCTGGGCTGGGCTGGGCTGGGCGTGGTCCCCAATGCCACCTCGTCTACGGGCCGATGCTACCGTTTCAGGGTCTCAGGTTGACGACCTCCTCCTCCTCCTCCTCCTTCTCTAACCCCCCCCCCCCCGGCGCTGGCGCCCGCGAAAACCCGAATCCCCGACCTGATTTGTGACGCCGTCGATGTGCCGACGCATCGTCACCTTCGTGAATCTGACGAGTCTCGTGTGATAGGTGATAAGGAGAGACACGCAGAGAGAGAGAGAGAGAGCTCACCCTCTTTTCTTTCCCTTTCTCTCTCTCTCTCTCCAATCTTTCCCTGCCTCTCTTCTTCGTCGTTTCCCACGCTCCCCCCCCGCAACCTGCCGGCAATCGCGTTGTGGTCGGCATTGGGAAAAGCGGGAGGTGGGAGGAGCATACCCTACATGTGATAGATTCAATTCACAACCGCTCTAGGCAACCCGCAAGGTTGCGCTCGTTCAATGGCTGGCATTAGAATCGATTATGGGATTATGACACTCTCTGAGCGAATCATGTGAGAACAAGAGCTCGATATCACCGCCATCATTCGTGTTCCAATAACGCCATAACCATGCAACCCCTTCGTGGGGACCTCCCCCACCATGATTACGGTTGCGCTGAGAAAAAAAAGTTGAAACGGAAGATGAGGGGAAAAAAATAACCAACAAAAGAAGCCGAGGACCGAATAACGCTCTCTATTCCGTCCAAATCGCCCCCCGAAAAATAAACCCTAGAGGCATCTATCATTAAATTGAGAAGGGAAAGATTTTCCGCGATGTTATCTCTTCTTTCGTGTGCCGGTAATGAAAATCCCCACGAGCCGAAAACCGGGGAGGAAGGAGGGGCGAGTTGATGTGTGTAGTTTATTCTTCTTCGTCATGCTCGACGAGGGTGATGATGGGGTGGTCTCCCAGTAGCGCTTTGCCCTTGAGGTTCGTAATCTCGATCATGAAGAGATAACCCATGAGCTTCGCGTCGCAAAGCTCCACGAGTTTTCCGGCCGCGGCGGCAGTTCCTCCTAAGGCATAGAGTTAGCTGCGAGGCAAGCAGAGAGGCGCTTAAGTAGGAAAAAATGGCCGAACACAAGCAGAGACAACCCAAGATGGATTGGTATACGACGTCTCCCATGTGCCGATGCGGTACTACGCTGTTTCCGGTCGGACCCTGCTTTATATATGCGTGTGCCATGTACTCCACGTTGACCCGGCTTGGAAATATCGTGAGGTGCGGGATAGGCATGTCTTGATTATGTAAGTCTCTTTTTGAGACTCGGTAGTTCGAAGAGGGTGGTCGCACCGATAGCGGTACTCCATTGCTTCCCGGGCAGTGTTGATGACCAGGATGAGCTTCGGCGATGCAATCGGCAAACAGCTAGGAGCTCCCGGAATTGCTTCTGGGCGCCGATAGCGGGGGGGTACCCCCGGGTGAGAGCGGTAAACCCGGAACAGGAGAGGCCAACACTAAATGAAGACGAGCCCCGCGACTCGGCGACGGCGAGCCGAAACGCCCGCTTCGACGTAGAACACCGGTGATGAGGGGGCCAAGGAACAGGGGACCAGGGGGGGGGGGGAGAGCATAGACGAGCATCCAACTTACCCGTAGCAATGATATCGTCCACGATCAGGCAAGTCTGGCCGGGCTTGATGGCGCTGATCTGCACCTGGAACTCATCTTTTCCATATTCCTTCATGTATTCCACGGTCCGGCAAGCGCCCGGCATCTTGCCTTTCTTTCGAACGGGGACAAATGGACGGTTGAGCCTCAGCGCGAGCGTAGGCCCAAAGAGAAATCCTCGTGCCTCTAGGCCCACAATCACATCCGGTATCTCGTTGCCGAATCGTTCGCGGATGAGGAGGACGAGCACGTCCAGGAGGGACTCGAATGCGACAGGGTTCTGGAATATCGGTAGGATGTCGATGAACTTGATGCCGGGGATGGGGAAGTCGGGTTCGTATCTTAGCGAGTCGATGACGAGCTTTTTGGCGACCTCAAGCTTCTGCCGCTCGTGACCGAGCAGGGTGGTTACCGATTGACCGGCGAGTTCGGCGGTACCGGAGGCGGTGGAGGTGGGCTCTCGTCGCGAGGCATCGGGAGCAGTGGTGGGCGTGATGCTTGGCTGACTTGGGTGGGTGGCCACAGACTCAGCGGTGATGTCGGAAGTGGCTGGACCGCTCATGCTGAGGAAGAGGGAAAAGAGGAAAGGCAGAGAAGGAGGGACGGCGGTAAGGGGGGAACAGACGATATGTGTACCCGCGAGCAGAGGAGAGAATGGGAAAATTTTTTGGGGGTGTGGCACAATCGAAGACTCAGGAGGGGAACAGAAAGGCGAATGGGGCGGGCTGCGGGCGAGCCTGGGGCAGAATTAGACAGATAGACAGGGCAGGCCAAGTCAGACAGGCAGAGAGACAAGGCCGCCGAAGTGACCGCGGAGCAATGTGAGCCAGGGGCGGATATGAGAGGGGAGGAGGAGGAGGAGCAGCACCAGCAGCAGCACCAGCAGCAGAACCAGCAGCGGGAGTCAGGCAGGGAGACCAGGGAGACCAGGTAGACAAGTATAGCCCGCTTGCCGCCAACCCGGGTGGCAGACAATTATGACTGCAGCCCTAGTCGCAGCAAGGCGCCGGGGGATCAGAGGGGACGGGATGGGACGGGACAGGAGGGAGGTAGATGTGAGGTACGTACGTGTACCGTACCGAAAGCGAGAGAGAGGGTTGACGGGCAACGTTCGACAGGGTAGGGAGCGACGGGGAGGGCTAAGACAAGGACGAAGCTGTTCAGAGCGAGGTGAGTGGACGGGTGGGAGGGGAATGAGTAAGAGAGCAGCAGTAAGGCGGGAACGCAAAGTGGGATGGATGGATGGGCTTGAGGTTGAGATCCTATTTCTCACTCTGTTTTTTTTCTTTTTTTCTTTTAATACATTCTCTGCTCTTCTCTCACCCCCAACGCGGGCCTTTTCCTGCCTTTGTTCTTCATGCCTCCCTTCCTTCGCATATCCCACTAAATTTCCCAGTTGGCGGGGCCCTTTTTTTTTTTTTTTTTTTCCTTTTTATGGGTTCCAGCTAGTACTACGTAAGTAGTGGTGGTAGGATGTAGAGGATTAATTAAGCACGCTCGGAGCTCGCGGCCGGGTACATACAGGTCCGTACCCTCTCCGTAGATTTCCGGATACCAAATTCTACAAGTGCCTACGAATAATCAAGGCGCTGCATGCATGTACTGTACACGCGAAACCCACCAACCGGCTAGCCGGGGCCCTAAGGCAGATTCTCGGGCAGGCTTAAAAACTTGCCCACTTACCGAGACGGGCAATGCCTCGACGAGAGAGAAAGAGTATTCAGCAAATCGGATTGCCGGCGACGGTCCAAGCAGCGCTGAGGACTAATATGCTGCTAGATTCTGTACCCCTAGCTCCATCACGCAGTCGCAGTCACATCCGCAGACACGTACATCGACAGGCAGGTCCCTAGGCATGTAGGTACGGCCCACGTATCCTACAGATATGAAATACACATCTATATATATACACAAGTAGGTAAGGATGATGATACAGCTAGGTGTGCGATGTTCATAGGTGGGTGGCCTGCTTTCTGTTGGCGACGGCGACGGCATGCGGGGGCGGACGTTGTTCAGCAAAGATTGAGCACGCATCTCGATACTCGTCGCATGACAGGTAGTCCATACCTGCCTGCTGTAGGTAGCTACAGAACATACGCAGCCGGATTCTTTAGCTGCCTAGGCAGGTAGGCAGGCAACCTAACTTGACTGCCTGGCAACGAGAGGAATAGCCAGCACGCATGGTGAACACCCCTCTGCCCCTCTCTCTCTCTCTTCTCTCTTCCCCTTCTCTCCCGGGCCATCGCGCCAGGGTGGGCGGTGCAGGCCCACTATGTTGGTACGCTGTTCGTGCCACTATGCCGAACGCAGAGCTAGAGTCGGCGCTGGGGCGGGCGTTATCAGGGATTCTCCGTCGACGATGGCTGACCCGGCCGACTCTGTGCTTTTCTTAGCACCTGCATTTGCCTAATCGAAGCCGTCGATTCCCACGCAAAACTCAGACGTGTCGGTAAGAAGCCCACGCGCTAACCTGAAACCGCACAGAGCGCTCGCATCTTCCGCGGCACGTCCAGAGACAACACGTCCGTCTGCATCTTGTCCGTCCCTGTACCCCGTAAGCAGGTTCTACAAGTATATGTGCTGGTCGCCGGTATGAGTACAGCTATACACATACCTAGCAGACGCCACCCATATATAGGTAGGCATAGATGCGCCGTTATGGGTAGGTACCTAAGGTAGGTTGTGTCTGCAGAAGCGTGAGCGGTCATGCATGTACATGCGGTGTAAAGCAGCTCTTAAGGCGAGGTCAAGACGGAAACTAACAATGAAATAAAATAAAAAGAAACAGGAAAAAAAACCGTGCTAATAGTATATGGTTAGCACTAGGCAGGTATCTTTTTATTTTTATTTTTACGCCGATTCTTCCTGTTTCATTCGTTCTCGTCCCTCCCTTACGGGGCCCTGTCTCCGGAGGGGATCCAGCCGACGCTTTCTAGAAGCATGGAAATTGGGCCAGGTTCGTCGGAAGGAGTGGGATGATCAGGGGCGCCGTTACGGGTATCTCGCTGCAAGAGCCGTCAAATGTCGGTCGAGAGGTTGCTGGCATCCGCGTGTGCACGACGTCGATCACCTGCCTAAAGGACTCTCTCGGTCGTGGAATTGGGGTTTTTTTGCTGTGGGAATCTCGACACTGGTCGTGGGACGGGGACTGGTCTGGGTCTCCAAAGTCGGGAGATGGGGATGGAAGAGGGGCGCACGCCCAAATGGGACAGCATCTTGCTTCGAAGAAGGCAGATTTGCGCAAGATATCAGATGTCAGAAAAGACTAAATAATGAATCGGATCATACCTCTCAGCAACCCCGTAGCGTATACGAGGTGAGAAAGCTGCTGGTGAAGCCACCCCGAGCAGCTCCTCTCTCGCCTCCTCTCCTCATTCTTGTTGACGAAGAACAATTTTGCACCTTCGCATCCTTGCCTCCGAAGCCAGGCCGCGCAACGTTGGCCTCCCCAGACGCGAGGTACTTTCTACAAATATAGGGGTATATATGCCTGAGTTAGGTACTTAACCTACCTACCTACCTGTGTAGGTAACCTTCACGCATGAAAATTCTCTGTACACACTACAACAAGGTACTGGCGGCGACCTGGGTGCCTCTACGGTATAGACATGTAGGTATGTAACTGGTCGGTTAGGTACCTTCTTCTAGCAGGTAGAGGTACAGGTATGCAATGTAGACGGTACGCTCATGCTAGAGAGGACATGGATGTCATGGATGTGAACATGCGTTGTTGTGCGTCCACATTTCCGACGGATGCTGATATGACATGTGGTAGGATGTATATAACCGCAGTGCCGGCTTATATCGCCAACACGTTGAGATTTCAGGTATCTGTTACTAAATGCTATCGGAGCCGACGCTGCTCTAGTATGATATTACCTACGGTCTGCTATATTACCTTGCATGTCGCACGCCATGCATACCTATGAGTATCTCTAGGTAGGCGGTAGGCGATGCAGACCGGCGCGTACTACTAACCCACCTAGGTAGATTAGTATTAACCTGCAAATTCGTTAGGCACATAGGTATAAGCGCGCCCGTCCGTCGTGGAGACATGGGAGAAAGAGAGGGGAAAAAAAAGGAAAGGTGGAGAGGTTTCGGGCAGACATGAAAGCAATGATAATTAATAATGATTATAGCTTATGGAGAGGAGGGGGGGGGAGGGGGAGCGTCGGCTTTTTTCTACCCCCAAAAATGAGGATAATAATAAGAATGAGAAATTCTACGAAATCAAGGACCCGTCGCCCGTATCCCGAATAAACTGCGCTTATCATGGAGCGGGGGAAACGCGAAACCGAAAGAAAAAGGAGAAGAAAAAGAAGAGACGACGACGACGATGAGTAGGAAAGTACCTACTAATGAAGGAGGTATATAAATTGACTAGGCACCTAGCTCTGACCATAACCCCCCCACAGACCCTCCCGCTACTTTCCCTTCGCCCTATCATCGCCCTACCCTCCACGTCTTCTTCCTCTCTCTTCTCTCCCTCCATCGTCCACGGCGTTGCATTGCTACCCCGACCGGCGTTAGGCGTTTGAGCCTCTCCCTTTCGCGAAGCCCTTCTGACTCATCGCACTACTAAACACAGCCGCCTACTTACCCGTACCCGTCCGTCTCCTCCCTCCAAGACCGACCCTCCACTACCTTTGGGGTCGACTCGCAGCCCTGGCCCGATTCCGTCTTGATACGGCCTCGGGTCCTGGCTTACCTGCCTTAGGCCTAGGTACCTGTGGTATGTAGGTATTATGTGCTTATGGATGGGTGTATATCGCCGTACCGTATCTGGGGGAGACGGAGGTCTGAGAGCGTCCCCAAATCGCCACCTCGACGCTGTGTGGAGCAACTCGATGAGGTGATTGAGGTGATCGTTGACTAACAAGGTGCTATCAGCACTACCCGAACAACGTCCCGGGAACTGCATCGACAGCGGTCGGGGCCCAGCGAGCGAGGAGCTCGTTTCGAAGGATCCCGTCCTGGCAGCTGTTTCCTTGGGGAGCCGCTAGATCCCGACGTGAATCCATGGTCGCCGTACCCTCGCGCCAACGGACGGGGGGCTCAAATCCCACTGGCCGATGGGGCTCAAAGATGGTGTTGCGCCTCAACCAGCTTGGCCTCTCCTGCAGTCGAATCAGACGCGCCCATTAGTCCCCGTTTCGATCGAGGTGGCACAACGCTCTCCGGGTCCTGCAACCATATCTTTCGCATGCTTAGCAACCAGCAACCGAGGCAGGGGGATCGAGCTGCTGTGACCAACAGATGTTTGTTGTAACCACACCGCACCGTCCTACTTACATGCTGGAACCTGCTCTAGAGCTCGTCGAAGGCGCTTAGCATGGCCTCGTCGGAGCCCTGGGATCTGCCTGGCTACCTATCCGGAGAGCACACCCGGATGATTGGGCGCCGGTTGTACGGGGATTATGACTGCTCAGTCGCCAGGCCGGGTTTTTATCCTCAACTTGGCATCGAGGATTGTGCCGATACAGCCTCGCACATATTAACCTGCCGGTTTCGCCGAATCACCGTGGTCAAGCTCCTACACGATGCCTATGCATTAAATTGACCGGCCGGCCTTATCTGTCGTCTCCGTTTGCGTAAGCCGACCTTTCTCGGTCTTGGGAGAGGCCCCCATCCAGCTACGGGCTAATAAGCGTCCGTTCGTGTTCTTGGGAAATGCATTTCTGCTGATAACGGACCTTGCCTTGCTACTTTTATTACCAACTGCTCGCGCCACTCCCGGTACATGTTCCGTATATCCCATCCACCGACACCCTGCCGAGAAACGGGTAAGCACCAACTCCCGTGCGTGGCCTACACCCTTTCCTTGTCGCAGGCGATGTGGCTCTCTAACCACACCGGTTGGCTTGTCTCATCTCGGTACTGTACGCCCAGGTCGTTCTATTCGTGGGATTTCGGCAAGTCGAAGACAACCACGCCGCAATCCTATTCAGTGATGCTACAGCACGCCTTCTGGGAGCCCCGGTTGGACCTTCGGTTTTCGCGTGGGGCGTTGAGCGCTCCCCGTATGCTCTTACACTCCCTCCATTGGCTTCGCTTCCAAGCCGTCTCTGCATCGGACTCTCAGTCCCCTAAGTATTCCGGATTCTCCCCAGTTCCCCGCATGTCGAGCTATCCTGACCGCGCTTTTATTCTCCTCCAAATAGGTACGGGGGGGGAGAGGGGAGGGGGGCTACGCCAAAAGTTAGTCATCGCATATACTCACCGCCAGTCTCTTCTTCTAGATTGGTAGATGGAATCTACTACGTAGAGGGCAATCCACGAACCACCGTAGACCAGACGACCGAGCGGTTCTGAAGGGTTTGGGATGTCTCGAAAGCGTTATGGCGGAGTAGACACCAAACATCGGCAACGCCAGCCTTGTCGATGGATGACGTCGCCCTAGATGGATCTGCACCTCCGTCGATCACACCGAACTACACATATTACGCCCACCCATCACCCCTGGGAGCGTTCTAGGCTTTCACAAGCAATTATGTTGCAAGCTTAGAATGAGCTCCTGCTCTCGGTAGAAGAAGAAAACGCGCCTCGCTCCCTCGGCCTGCCCGGGCGCCTTTCCCCTCCGGGTTGACATGCCGCCCCGGAGAGTCGACCTTATCCACTCTAGGTGGTTGACAGACGCCACCCCCCGTATCAGAGGGGCGCACGACATCTGCAACCGGCCGATTTGGACAAATGCCACTATAGTTTCGTTTCCACCTACTGCCGTTCATACATGACCGAGCCGATCTTGGGACAGCCGGGGATATCCGGCTGTACAGGCGGCCGGAAGCATTCTCGGATGTAGCCATGATAAGTCTCTGTCGCGCATCGCAGACACATACACCTCCCCCCCCCCCCCCCCCCACGCGCCTCTTCCTATCTGCCGGTTCCACCAATATACTCGAGTATATGATACTATATGTGAGCGAAATCGCGCTAAGCGCGATGACTGGCCACGCATTCCTCCTCCTCTTCCACGCCTGTCCCCCCGATACACCACTTCGCTCAGTGTTTACGATCCCGGTGTCTGTTTACTTCTAATTGATCGACCGATTTTCAATTTATCGATTCCTTGTAAACTTTTTTTTCCTCTCTTTATCTCTTTGGTTTTCCTCCCAGGCCTAGTACACCGGGTATGCAGTATTTCGTGCATTATACCGTGTCTCCTCCCCAATGAGCGACTCCACTCCAGTGCAGAGATAATAATGGCGCTGCAGTACAAACAACGCAGGCTTAGACGGCCCGGGAACGAGCGGGTTACTTGCTCCTCTCCTTGCCTCGCGGACGCGCGTGTTTCGGTTTGCGTCCTTGGATGGCGCGAGATGATTAGAGCATATGCACCCTTCGTTTTCAATCCATGTCACGGCTACACACCATCTCTGCGCAAGCCACATCAGAACAAGGTATATTAGTTAGGATTTAGCTGCCCTCGAAGAGGGGGGAGGGTAGGGAGACACATCTTATTGTACGGCCATTATTCTAAAAAGGGTATCATCTACTCCGCCTTGGGCATCTCTGCATGGGCCGCTGGAATAATAGGAAGAGCAACTCAGAGCAAACAAAAGAGAACACCTGACAGGCTCGGGCAGTACACGACCCGGCGCTTGATAACCACCAAAAAAAAGGCCTATCCAGTCCACCGAGCGTTGTTACCGGTTTCTCGAGTACCCTGGGGAGAGAGCCGTGGAAAATGGACTCGATCCGTCCGCCCTTGGATATCGAAGCGCACCCACCAAGCAAGCATTTGCTGGCCACGCTTAGCCGAGCTGTCGAAGAGAAAAAAAAAAGGTATGGAGGTTTACCCAATCCGGGCATTACACATCAACGAAAGCAAGAGATTTCTCTCCGGCACCCATCGTCACCGAAAGTGCAGCCGTATGATCGAAAATAGCATGCTTTGCAATACGTGCAGCATGACGGCCACGCTCGTCGGCAGCAGCTCGGGCCACACTGCCAAGTCCATCTTGCCCTCGACGTTCGCGTTGACCCCGAAGATCCACCGGATCAGGCCCCCGAGCACGATTCCCGCCGCCAGCTCACAGGCCCACGTGATCATGGACGCGGAGAAGGTCAGCTCGAAATCGTACAGCTCGTCGGGGTCGTCGAAGGCGAAGTAGGGGTACACGTCCTTGTTGGCGCCGAAGTGCAGCACTAGGATGCTGCCCAGGAAGGTGAGCATGCTCACGTTCTGCGCCAGGAAGCGGATGAAGACGTTCCGCGTGCAGATCTTTTGGTACGACGCGTACGACAGCGTCGTGAGCCCCAGCGTCGTGAGGATGCGGTGGTAGATTTCCGTCATGGTGAGCGGCGTCAGCACGATGAGGAAGCCGGACGAGAGCGCCTGCAGCCAGATGAACTGCGAGGGCGAGCGAAGGCGCGCGTATAGCGCGCGGACGTAGGTTTGATACGTCAGCATGAAGTATCTGTTTTGACGGACCGATTAGCAAGCGAGCTTCTTCCGCCCTGCGAGCGAAGCTAAATTCTACGGGAACCCCGGGGGATGGGGGAGGTAGGGGGGTTGGTTCGCCTCACAACTTGAAGATCCAACTCAGGGGGTAGCTGCCGACCCGCTCCCCTTCATTGATACCGAGGATCCACGCCGTAAGTGCGTCCAGCAAGTGGACCGTCACGACCCAGCTGTAGACGTAGACGATGGTTTCGAAGCTGTTGTGCGGCAGCGTCCGCAGGTAGATCTCGGCGTACGCCTCCCCGAGCAGGTAGGCCAGCAGGCTGACGGCCAGCGCGAGGCAGAACCATATGAAGCGCACGAAGCTGGCGGGCAGCCAACTGCGCCGCTGCATCAGCGCCGGCACTGCGCGCCGCGACTCGTCCACGACCTGGAGCGTGGCGTCGGGGTCGAACGGGTCGGACCCCCGAGTGACCAAGCCCCTGCGGCGGCTCTGCTCTCGGGTCGCCGAGATCGAATCCCCCTTGCCGGTCCACCACGAGCTCGTGAAGATACGCTGCGTCTCGCTCAGGGGGTGCCGGAGGCCAAGGTGGCGCTCGTGCGTCATCAGGATGCAGAAGGCGATAGCGACGGGCATGGCCATGATGACGAAGGTCCAGCTGATCCAGGCCGTGTTGTGCACCGTCAGGTAGCGCGCCTCGGGGACGAGGTACACGGGGAGGGGCGCGGCGAGAGAGAAGACGGCGATCAGCGAGACGGTGAGGGGAAAGCCGAGCGTGGACGGCCACCAGTTGAGCGAGTAGAGGTTGAACAGCTTGGTGATCCAGGTCAGGGCGGTGAGGTTGTAGAAGCCGTAGTAGACGAAGAGGAAGAACCAGAAGTTGACGCGGACGCGTGCCTCGCCGTGACCGGGGGCGCGGTGATCGCCCGGCGGGGGCTCCGGCGGGGTCGCGCCCGAGTGCGAGGGTGAGAGCGGATACTGCGGGAACGGGAGGGCGCACCAGCCTACGGCCTAGACGTAATCTCGTTAGCACTCGACATTCGGCTGTTACCCGGGTAACTGGCGGCTCTTAGCTCTCCCGCTTGCCATCTCGCGCACGCCCATCTACATTATATATGGAGGTAAACGTATTCCCCCCCCAACACGGTAGATCCGCGTCGGTGACAGCCGAGCGAGTGACAGACGGGTACCAAAGATGTGAAAGGGCAGAAGAGAAGAGGCAAGAGGGGGATGATGGTTCAACAGGAGAAACTCACCAGAGCGGTAGGCAGGAAGACCAGGACGCCCCATCGGCTCCACCAGCTGTTAACAACGCGCTTGACGGCCGCCTGGCGGGGCGCAATCCACAAGTCGCGGACACTCCGGCGGGCGAGGCGGGCGAGGCGGCGGCACGAGCGCCAAACGCGCTTTCCGGCGCGCCTGCCGCCATCGAAGCGCCCCACGCAGCCGCCGTCCTCGTCGTCGCTATCGTCGTCGCTATCGTCCGGGTCCCCGTCCTCGTCGTCGTCTTCGTCGCCGTAGCCCGAATCCTCGTCCCCGGGCCCGGGGGAGACGAGCAGCGCGCCGTAACCGTAGCCGACACGGACACTACCGCGGCCGTCCTCGCGGCGGGGGTGGCTCCACGAGACGAACGGGGGCGACGCGCGGGCTGAGGATGGTCCCCACGGTGCCGGCGGCGGGACGGCGCGGAAGCGGCCGAGCAACGGAGAGGCGTCGTTGGCGTGCTGGCGGGCGGCGCGGCCGGTCTCGGTGCCGGGGATGAAGGGGAAGAACTGTGGCATGTTCTTAGGTAAGGCGTTTTTTTTTTCCTTAGGCGTTCTTGGCTCCCACCCCCTCCCGCCTCTCGCCTCTCTCTCCCGTTGTTGTTCGGGTGGGCTGTCTCGCCTCTGCCTTCCTAGATTTTAGATTTTACAGCTGCCTTTTCCCCTCCGGTCGCTCGCGCGCGATATTCAAGGACGGCGCAAGCCTCTCCGGCCTTCACTCAGCTCCTTGTAGCTTTTTGTAGATGGGACAGATGGCTAGGGCGATGCCAGGGTTACATGACAGGGCCGGGAGAGCGCGTAGGCTACGTCCGACGGAGGCAGACACTTTGCGGTCGAGGCCAGTGCTGTTTCTAGGGCGGGTCGGCTTTCGATTTCTGACTTTTAGCGGTATGGGGCGTAGAGGGTGGCTGTGTGAGAACTCTCTCCCTCTCTACGCGTATGTCTCGCTCTCTCCCCTTCTGTCTCCCTTCCTCCCCCGAACTCTCCCTTTCCTACTTGTTTGTCGATCTTCAGGCGCCCGGGAGGGCCACAGCGGAGGGGGGAGGGTAAGGCTGGACTAGACGAGAGGGATGATGGATGTCAAGTGGGGGTGTCAGGGTAGGTAATGTGGCATGTCTGTGCTCGTGATCACGGTGCGCGGCTGTCGCAGGGTCTGATCTGATTTCTCTGCCTGCCGTGGTTGGTTACCTGAGTTCCGATCTGCGGTACGGTAGTATGTGTAGCACGCGGGCGTTGCGCGCGGGTGTGTATGTGTGTGAGTGTGTGTGTGGCGCAAGAGGCAAGACAACGAGAGACATGGGAGGGGGGGAAGTTCTGGAGCGGGAAACTAGAAAGGGACGGTGCGTGCAGGCGTACATCCGGACATCCAACATCGAGCAATACGTCGGAGCGGACATGCATCCAGACACAAGCATATACAACCCCCCCTCCCCCCGCCGGCGTGCACACGTGTAGGTAAGGTAGAGAGATAGGTAGGTAGATGGCTGGTGGGACGGAGGGGGGGAAGGGGGGATTAGATACCTAGGTATGTGTGAGGAGGCGGGCAGGTAGACGGGCAAGGTCAGCAGCAAGGCGTGTATGGCGAGGCGAGGTGAGGACGGATGCGAGGTGGACGGAGGGACGTATCGTCGGTATGCTGGCGTGTGTGCGGGTTGCGAAGTGGGTGTGGGATGAACAGGTGGGTGGTGCATTGCAGTGCAGCGCGGCGCAGGGTGCTGCGGTGGTGGTAAGAGGTGCGGTGCGTCGGAGCTTTGCCGCTGCAGAAGAGGAGAGCGCGTGACGATGACGGCTGAGTATATAGGTACCTATGTAAGGTTGCATAGGAGATAGGAGGTACCTAGGTATTATCTACTCGGGTTAGGTGTAGGAGGTACCATAGGGGTACTTGGAGCCAAGTACCTGTATGCGGGCACGAAGGCGGGTAGGTACCTCCCTATCTACCGAACCTACGTACGTAATGCGCGATAATTTCACAAGGCTAGGAATAGCTCGCGGGCACGTGACATCCTGATTAATTATTCAATAAACACCCATTCTGATCTTCTCTCAATATCGGATACTCCCCTCGATCCCTTTGCATCCTCCTCTGTCCATCCATCCAGCGACGACGTCGGGTCGTAACCAAACTCCTTCCGCAAAGCAACTAAACCCCCCCGAACAGATCCCAATAAACGCAAAGGCACACGAGAAAACACGCCGCAAACAGAGCCAAGTCCCCCCCGTCACCCTGTAGCTGGCGCACGCGGCTTGGCGCGGTGCCTGACGGCCTCCCCCCGTCTAGCCCAAGGTTGACGGGCTTCCAGCCTCGAGCCTCGACAGTTTCATCAAGGCCCACCATCACCTCTTTGTCAACCTCGTTTACTACAACATCATACTCGCGTGGTCGCGGCCGAACGGTCGCTGTTCGTGGCTTTGTCAATGGCGTGAAAACCCCCCGATGGCACGTTGAAATTGTAATGCCTACTTACCATGCAGAGAGAAACGGCGCTTGTTTCCCCGGTCTCCCGCCCTGGGTAGGATGAGAAACATTCTGAGAAACATGCCGTCGGGGCCGTCCATTTTAGCAATCTGCCCTTCGAAAGTGTCATACATGGCAGTGTTCAACTCGTGTCCCTTTACCAAAGGGTAAGCTGTTAGGTGTCCGCGTCAGCTTTCGGGCGATGCCGTGACTCCTGGCGAATCGACTAACCGTGGGTGAGTATATCTTCGGGCCCTTCCTGGCTCATAGCTTCCACGTTGACCGGACGCCTGAATGAGGCAAGATCATACTGCACCCAACGTTGCAAGGGTGTGGTCAGGGTGTATCTGACTGCTTTCAAGTACAGCCAAAATCGCTGACAAGGAAGCCGCTTGTATGCATCCATGATGAGAATGCTGTTCCTTCGTCGGACAGTACCGGAGAGGTAGCCACTGTGGTGATCGACGGCGCGCCACAAGGAAAGCATCAAGGACACTTGCTCGGAATCTTCATCCCACGTCTGCGCCGTTCCGCCTGCCAATGACGGGTTAGCTTGTTGTCGCGTTCTCGTCTTTGAAGCGACAACTGCCTACCTAGTCTCTCATAATGCTTGCGATCGACGAGGGCGTCCTGACCGTGTGCCATCATTTGTTCGTAAAGCCTGGCACAGGCCAGGTTCCTCACGCGAGATGCCTCTGTGCCTGCGATCTCCTGCTCCCCACTCAGGTTCCATATCGGCTGCACGACCCTGCCTTTGGTGCCCATGAACTTGCCCAAGTCGGAGAGGTATCGCTGCTGTCGAACCTGGTCCTCTCCGCCTAGGTTCTTCCCTACTACACAGGGCTCTGTCAAGAACCATTCCAACGTGTCTAGGAACGTGTCCTCCTTATTAAAGACGATGCTCGTACCGTGGAAGGCGTGGTCAAGCAAAAGACCGTTGACGACCCGCACGTGATGGTCAGATATTCTGAAGATAGGAAAGGAGAACCTGTCATTCTTGTCGTACGGTGGTTTCCACCCAGAAGGGTATATCCGTCTCGTATTGCTCATCCTTTGATAGTTGCAGGTTGCCTTGCGCACGGGGAGATCTTCCAATAAGGACTTTCCAGGACCAAAAAAGGCTTGTCGCATAAATTGTTTCTGCATCCTCACACCTACGTCGGGAATAGAATCATCAGTAGGCTCGGGAAGATACTGGGATCGCATAACCACCATGAGCCGCGGAGATACAGGCGAGAATTCGTGGCAGCGCGGACACGAACTCGAGTACTTGCCGGTGTCCTTGTCTTGAAACCGGATCGTCGGCCCTTCGCAAACGTTGTAGCTATTCTCCGAAAGGATAAACTCGGAGCGCGGGCTCTCTGGCGTGCATATTGTCATGTAGGCGGAGCCTACTTCGTCGATGAAGAACTGGGCGTGGGAGAAGTAGATGCTGGTCTGGAGGTGCCGCTCCCAGACGCGGTCCGCGTCCATCTCGACGTCGATGATGGCCTCGAGGGACTCGTACCAGACGTCGATGGGCCGGGTAAACCCCTTGCGCCGCATGTAGTGCGCCATGAGCTCCCTGTCGTCGTCGTCGTAGTCGTCGACGGCGGTGCTGGCGTGGTACTTCTGGTAGAACTGGCCGCCGCGGAACTTGAGCAGGAAGAAGAACTTGCGCAGCAGGTCCTTCTCGGCGCGGGTCATGCCGACGTCGGCGCGCTGCGCCGCGTGCGCCGCCACGATCCGCCGGTACAGCGCGCTCGCCTTCCCCTCGAGCCCGCCGAACTTGGTCTCGAGCCGCCGCCGGTCCGCTGCCGCCGCCGCCTGCGTGTACATGTCGTACTTGCCGCACACGCGGCTGACCGCCGCCTCGTCCGCCGCGAAGCCCCCCTCCGACAGCGCCAGGCAGTTCACCACCGCGCTGCCCGGGTACTTGTTCTGCTCGTAGCGCCGCTTACGGCCCCGCTTACGCCCCCCGCCCCCGCCGCCCCCCGCGTCGCGGTACACGTACGGGTGCGCGAAGTTCCGCAGTAGGAACTGCGGGATGAAGTGCTGGTACTCGCGTCGGTCGGGCGCCATGTTCGCGTGCGGGCGAGAGTTGCGCGACGGCGGAGGAAACAGGCGCGGGGGTCAGACGATGAGGGAGGAGAGGTGGGCGTCGGGGCGCCCAGCCGCACCCAGTCCCTCCGCACTGGCCTGCCTTTGGGCCGCGCCAGAGAGAGAGGAGCCAATGGAGGCGTCGGCCCCCTAGGGAGGCCTCATTGGACGAGCCAGGTCGTGTTGTTGGGGGCACAACCGCATCTTGTTGCCGCACGGAAGCGTCTCGCATTCTTCTGTGTATCTGGTTCTGAGTAGCCAATAGTACTCGGTACTACTTGATTAGCGATTGGCTTCTTGAACCGGCTGGGTGACGGCCAAGACATTTTATCAGAGTAAGTAATGGTAGCACAGTCAATCCCGCCCAAAGTACCACTCGTTGCACCGCCTCGGCCTGAGATGGAGCTGTTGACGGGCTTTGGAGAGGCCATGCAACGGGCCCAATCCGGAATCCGGCTCGACGCAGAGAGGAAGAAACGGGACGTAATCTGCATGAGATAGAAATACAAGATTCTTGGGGCGCCTAATATACCTACTTCTTACTCGTGTCTGTATAGGTACGTCGGTTTCGTGAAACCGCCCCAAAACACTCTTTAATACCTAGGTATCCGGTTCCTCGAGATCAGACCGCTTGGACAGTCCGGGCAGCTGACAGAGGCTGGAAAATCTAAACGACCTTTTCGAGTAATAGATTTCAACCTACATTTACCATCGTACGGGGCCAGTTAGGTAGATTTAGAGTTGAATGGGTGTTATAACTTTGAGGTGTAATAGTGTTTATTACAAGAGACGATTCAGGGCCGGGAATCAGATTGGGTTAAATCACTTTCGGTTGGTTACCATCCCGGTTGCTTTTATTGACGTCTTCAACTAACTAACAAACGAAATACAACTTCTTTTAACTTAGTGCTATTAATCACAACGCGCACTTCCATGCCGTTTGGTTTGGTTATACCCAGGAAGGGATTAGTCACGGAGCTCGCTTCGACCCATCCGCGGCTACGAGATGCTGCGCCGAGTTGTCCCCGCAACGTCCGACTTCGTGTTTAATCGTAGAAGCGGCCACAATGCTGAAGGGATCCACATCGGTTTACTCACTATGGCTGAGCTTTGATTCAAAGCTAATATGCCCACTTCCTCAACTACAGGGAAGACAAGGAAGACAGCAACCAAGTGTATATAGAGCTTGGTTGGGGGAGGATAGCAGGCCATCCAGAATCCACACTTCCTCCAAGGTTGTCCTAAGAGAGAGATTCTTCGCCTGTCTAAGGCATTAGTAAGAACGCGCCGTTACGAGCCCCATACTGCCATAGACCTGCTTATATGACAGGTATTAGACGCCGACGCTTCTCCACCGGGTCCGCAGGCTTGTGGCTTCTCCGGTAACCAACCTACACTTGCTGAAATTTACAAGCCGCTTCATCGACCTCGATCAGGTGATCTCGAGTCCGCCGGAATTTATAGCTCAGCCCACAGTTTCTAAGCGTTGCTCTTACTAGCTGCCAACACGAGGGCTGATAGCTAGGTATAACGTCCCCATCCTGCGCCGACTCCCATAATAGAAATCCTTCTTCGCCCCACGCCGAAAACGGCACTCCCAAGCACCAGCCACACCTAGAAGAACACGGACTAGCAACTTTCGGGGTAGAGACGAAGCCAAGGCCCGGGCCACCGTCCGCCGGACCTGGCCTGACCTGCGCGAGCTCAGTTGGCTCAGGGGGCTAACAAGCCAATGCGAGGATGCCATCTTGGTCCGGCTCTCCCGTGTGCGGCCATAGCTACGAGAGACGGCCAACGCGGCCCTCAGCACAGCCATTTTGGCCTGGGGACACACGATACAGAGAGGAGGAATATCCTGACCGGTGCAATCTCGATCTGAATCCACGAACGAGAGAAGGAAAAAAGAAAAAAGAAAGAGAGGCAAAAACATACAACACCGGGGATTCGCTGGTCGTCACCGACCCAACTACTAATCCGGCGGTATCCGGTTTATCTAGGGGGGAGCGGACGGGACCCCGAGTTCTCCGAATCCTATGGTCGTATGTGGTAGTTCGCCGGTCGAATTCCAGCTATATACCTGTCTACCCGTCTACCCGCCTGTCTCTCGCCACCCCCCGCGCGATCGACGGTCTCGCCCCCCTCGCACGGCGCGCCCCCTACAGTCACCGACCCTGCATTGCCCCCCCCCCTCCCCTCCCCCGAATTGGGCAGGACGTAACGCCTCGCGTCTCTGGGCGGCGAGACAACAGGGCGGCGGGTCGCGAGGCGGTGGCGTCGGCTGGGAGCGGCTCGCCGCTCGGTCTCGCCTGGCTTGGCGGGGGGCTACGTGGGCGCTGTGCGCGGAGCTTTCGCTACCCGTTCGCGCGCTATACCGGGATCTCCCTAGTTTCCTGGGGCCGAAACCGCGGCTAGCCGGCGTCGTGTTGCCCGGACGCGATGCGCCAGCCTCGAGGCGCGCCGAAACCGCGGTCTTAGCGGAGGGGGGGGGGGGGGACTTAGGTTCAGGGGGGGCAGGTATAGTAAGCAGTGGGTGCGAAGCTGGGGCAGCGAGCTACCGAGTAATTCAGACTATCGAAACCTCTACCTACTCTAGCCGCCTGTTGACGCCATTTACGGCCGTCCCATACCATGTCATAGCGCGTGGCTCACCGGGCAGAAGTTTCGTGTATCTTTTCTGCGCGCGGTGGTGGTCCTAAGGATATTAGGAGCTACCCTAAAGCTTGGAGAGAGCAAATGAATACAAGAAATCATCGTTCCTATCCCCTAATTGAAAAAACGAAAAAAAAAAACACGAGAAACCCTCAAATTCTCTAGGTATGCTCCGTAGTTTGCGTGCTGTGTATGCCTCTACTTTCCTTTCCCTGTCGGCCCCTCCCCCTTTTCGCGCCAAGACCTGTGGTGAGAATAGTAGAGGGAAAATTTGTAAATGCTGCCGATATCTGCGACGGCCTTCGTTCGCGATCCCGGGAATGTAGTTAAACTACTGCTACGTAGGCTTATTCTGCGTCCGTGCCCGCTCGGCCTTGAGGTAGTCTAGCAGGATCCCCTGAGGGGCGTCCTCGCGACTTAGGAATACTTCGACCATCTTGAACCCTCCACCCTTCAAGCCATCGCCCTCTAGGACCTCCTGCAGGTCGCCCCAGGTTCTCACCGACGCTGTGTAGGTGTCTTCGCCGGCGCCGAAGAAGCCGGGCGCTTGCAGGTATCGCCAGGCCGTGACGTCGTTGTACGCTTGCTCGAGCCCGTGGATGCAGCGCTCGATCGTGTACCCGTCGTTATTGATGAGGAACAGCACCACGTCGAGCTTCTTCCGGATGATAGTCCCGAGCTCTTGCACGGTCATCTGGAAGCTGCCGTCGCCGATGAACAGGACCGTGCGCGCGCTCTGAATTCCGTAGTAGTCGGATGATGCTATAAGCTCCCTCTGCGCCAGCGCGGCTCCCTGTGCTGCCCCGAGCATGTATCCGATCGACAGCCAGGTGACCGGCGTGAAGAGGCTGGCGTGAGGCGGAAGCTGGAACTCTCGGCATCCAAAGCCCGCTGTACCTGTCTCGCCGAGGACGATGTCGCCCGGTTGAAGGATAGTGGAGACGATGCGCCAGAACTTGTCTTGGGTGATGTTGTCATCCCTCGAGACGTCCGAGAAAGAGTGGGAATAATCGCGGGGAAGATCAGGGTAGGTTTGGTACGGCTTTACCTTCGCAAAGTCTACTTCCTTCAGGACCTGCGACACCGAGTACCGCACTGGGATGTCTCTGAAGATCTGACCGCCGATTCGGATTTCTGCGTCTGTAAAAATGACGGCGACTTCGGCTTTCGGTATGCTGGAATAGTTGTAGGTATTGCTGGAGCCGAAGTGCGGTCCGAAACACAAGATCAGGTCCGACCCGTTTATAAAATCCTGGACGCTCGCGTCATCGTAGCTACCCTTGTAGATTCCGTGGACGTTGGGCGCTGTCTCGTCTAGCAGGCCTTTGCCAAACGGAGACGTCCAGGTTGGCCAGCCGGTGGACGTCACGATGTCCTGTACGTCGGGGACGATGCCGAGCGCTCTGCTCTCGCCGTCAACGTATATAATAGGCCTCTTGGCATCTTGGATCCTGGCGACGACCTGAGCTATGACGGCAGCTTGGTGTGCAGTTGGTGCTGCACGAGGGATGCCGATCTTGGAGCCAAGTCGTGCCGCCGGGATGGGGGCTGAAACTAGGTCGACCGGTACTTCAATGTAAACCGGTCGGCTGTGTATGAGACACTGTTGTAGAACATGGTCAATTTGATCGGGAATGGTCTGCGGATCCCGGAGGCTAGCCTGAGCCACGGTAACGTGTGCATGCATCTGCGCGAAGCGACGATATTCGCCGTCATTGAAGGTGTGGTGAATTAAACGCCGTGCGTCCTGAGCGACCCTCGACGGTGTGCCAACGATATGCACGACCGCGGCACGTTCGGCGTAGGCGCCGGCGATAGCGTTGATGGCGGAGAGCTCGCCAACGCCGAAGGTGGTGATAATGGCCCCGACACCTTTTATTCGTGCGTAGCCATCGGCGGCGTACCCAGCATTGAGCTCGTTAGCGTTACCAACCCAATCTAGGCCGGCGGGCTCGACATAATCTAACAATGTGAGGTTGTAGTCGCCGGGGACCCCATGGACGGCTCCCACGCCCATCTGCCTTAAACGGACAAAGAGGTATTCGGCCAGCGTGGTCGTACCCGACATTTTAGGCGAATAAACCCAAGTCCCTAGCTAGGAAGATGAGCAATGGAAGAAATTAAGTGCCTTTTAAAAAAGGAGCCGTAGGGTAGGGGGGAAAGAACACCAGAGGGTGATATTTCAATGCGGCAGTTCTGTGAGGGGTGTTGCGGAGGATAGGATGGAGAGGATTGTTGACATATGGAGAAGGACGGGATGGGTGGCTTTCTTTAATAGGAATAAACCCTCGGGGACGCTTGTCCGCTATATGCCGGGTACTGCCATGTGCGAATAACCTGCTGTGATCGTCGGAGTAGACATGCAGCTCCAACAGTAATCCCGACTACCCCGATGCCACCGGGTTCCGACTTGGTATACGCGTTCGCTTGTCGCATACGAGGCCGAATACTCCTGCTTTCTCCTTTGGGGATTCGAAGCAAGCCCAAAGTCCTCGATGCTATAAAGACTCGGCTTAGGGTCCTCCGGTCTCGGCTGCAATAAGAGTGTGCCGCCATCGCTAGACGATGGAACTACTAATACTGCCAGCATTGCCAAGTTGTCGTTATTATCGTCACGGCCGCTACCTATCACGCAACTAAAGCTATGCTCTGTCAAAGAATCGCCCTTCTCAACGAGGCGAGGGCACGTTCGGGACTGCATCCCCCGGGATTCGCCCCGCATGTCTCGTCCGACATATACAAGACGGGGGCTCCCAGCTCTAAGCCGAACGCGAAGTCTTGGGGCCATCGGTTCAGCATCGAGAGCGCCGGACCAAAGGCTGCAACGCTCAGAGCCGCCTCCCGGATCTCAGACCCGTCCAAGATCATATCCCTGGGAATTGCTCGGCCCTCTCCGGAGCACTACCCCTGGGAGTCGTTGGTCATGCGAGGGGCCGACAATAGCGCCGGGTCTGCGCTGCGGGTGGGTGACGGGCTGCTCGCAGGTCATCGAGAAGTTCCTCGCCCAGTCGGGAGTCAGCACGCAGGCCCCGAGCGGCTCTTCGCAGGTGATGTTGTACAAGCTCCTCGATGAGCGCTGGGGTCACCAGGGCTTTATCGACTGGCTTTGCGACCTATCGTCGCGGTATCGCCGTCGCCGGGACACCTTGATCGAGGCCTGCGACCGCTCTCTGCCGTCTGATGTCTGCTCTCGGTCTGTCCCGGTCGTCGGTATGTTTCTCTGGGCCCGACTCGACTCGACTCAGCACCCGAAACGTGAGCAGCACTAGTCCTCGGATGATAGTGCGGTATCGCGAACTCTGATCGATATCGAAGATCGGATTTACACACAGCCGAGAGCGACCGGCGTGTTAGTGAGCAAGGGAAGCTGGTTCGCAGCCGGCCAAGGACACCCCTTCGACATCCTTTTCCGTCTAACGTTTGCGGCGGCCCCCGAATATCATCTGGAAAGGGCTGTGGAGCGATTCGCGACGGTTTTGCGAGCTGAGTTTTTAAATGCCGTGTAAAATCTAGACGTCTTTGCATATATAGAGACAGTTAAACCGAGTCCTGTCTGTAGTTTTCGGTCCCATGGAGGAAGGGGTGCCCCGCTAAATTGATCCAGAAGTCCGATTCGAAGTCTTGAGGTTGGAAATTGTCCCAATCATTCCAACACCCGTCGTTGTTGCTCGCTGAAGAAAAACCTGCAGAGGGTTCTGTTGTCTGCTGATCAACTGGGTTTTCCAGCAACGCGTTCGACATGAGCTTGTCGAGGACGGCTTTGATCGTCTTGGTAGGTCCGGTCAGGAGGGCATAGTTCGGATCTCCAGGCTGAACCAACGCCCCCGCGTCTACTTCGACTACTAAAACGCTCAGGTCTTGGATCACCTTCGAGATAGACACTTCTCTACTGGCGACCTTCAGCGACTGGCGGGCCAGAGATATGCAGATAATGCCCGCCGCTGCCAATCCATAGTAGACGATCTACAACGAGTTAGCAAACGCCGTCTGGTTCTCGAATAAGGTTTAACTCGCCCTCCAGAGAAGCGATGTGCCCGAATTAGCCAGATTCTCTCGGAGAATAACTGTCTCGATAACGAGACTCAGGATAGTTGCTAAGATGACAATAAGTTGCACGTCCAGCTCCTCTATACGACGTACTAATGCTAGATGGAGTAGGAACATGACATGGAGGTGGTTCAGCCGAGCGCTCACTGTGAAGTCACGTTCTATGGGGCTTCCGTCGTAGGATTTGAGGTCGCCCTCGAGTCGATACCGTGCAGGCAGCGTCAACCACTGGGCTTCGGTATGCGCTTGTATCGTACTATGATCCTCCGTTAGTGTGTGCCCAACTCCTTAAGCAAAAAATAGGGGGGTTCTGACCTCGCCTTTCGGATTCTCTCTTCGTAGTTACCCTCTCTAAGAAGGTCGAGAATATCTTCTTTCAAAATCGCGCACAGGGCGGACCACTGAGTATCGGCGACGTATTCGAATTTCTCGTTTTCTGCCCAGAGGAACTGGAGTTGGACGACGTAGCTACCCGCTCCTCGCGTATTTTCGGCCAAGTGCCCCAGGAAGTCGAGCTGGCAGTATTTCTGATGGATCCTAGGAGGGCGACCAACGAAGATGGAGATATTCTTGTCTGCCGAATACACGCGCAAACGCAGCTTGTCTGAGGGTCTTCAAAAAACTCGGGATCGGTCTACCATCTTCGATTCGCTCGTGGTATCCGAGCGCGAATAAGGAACTCGTCACGTCTCCCAGTTTTCGCCAATAGTGGTGGCCTGTGTCGTTAGAGCCGTGTTGTCGTGATGAGAAAGATTGCCATTATTCAACTTACTCTGGTCGCCGTCGGAGTAGGAATGGAGGATGAAATTCTCGTACTGCAGCATGAGCTGCAAGTCGTTTAAGCAATCCAGAGAAAGCGAGGCATTCAAGCAGCGGTCCGAATAGTGCATGGCGAACTTCTGGAAATGGTGCCGCTCCTGTGTAGAGGCGTACAGCGGTTCGTAGGACCTGGTGTCGGCCGCAGCACGGGAAACGACAGTAAAGAACAGGCCCAAGGTCTCCCATCGGGCCCCCTGCCGCGAAATATCGGCGCAAAAATCCTCTAGAGTAGTTGCCGGGGACGTATTGATCGGAAGACATGAATGGACGAACAGACTCCTAGAGATCTCCGCCCCGTTCTTGCGCCCCCTAGTTAGCTGATCCGGTATATATTCGGCCGTTTCAATGCAGCATTCGGTCAAGGCACCGGCCAGGGCGAGATTCACCCCCCCCGAGAGCCAGGTTTTGACGAGGGCGATCCAGTACTCAACTTCACACGAAGCACAAAATTGCTCGATCAGGTTGGCCTCGTGCGAGACCTTGGCGTCGTTCTCGGGGCTCTCGGACCACACGTCGATGTCGGAGCCGTCGGCATCGTCGACATCGTCGCCATCCCTAGGCCGGATATGTCCAAAGAAGGTGGTATGGCTAGAAGAGCCAAGATACCCCGGGTTTGGCCTGCGGCGAGATCTAGTCCAGTAATATCTCGACGGGGATATTCTCACGTTGGACACGCCGCTGGGCAGACAATCAGCACACACACACGCATACAGCACATTCGGGCATTCTCAGTGAGAACTCGCGACGAGTACTTTCAACGGAGGTTCCGAGGCGGTAGTAATCATCTTAACGTCTCGCCTGGCGCGCTTGTTGTTAGTTGCTTCTTCTTTTTCTTAAACGGCCTCGCCCTGTAGAGGCAGCTGGCCGCCCGGTCCTTGTCACGACAGCGGGAACATGCGGGATGCAGGTGATCACAGGCCAGTTTGGCGACGCGGCACGGATCGCGTGCAGGTCGCTTCACAGGCATGTTGTTATGCTGGCATACCCGGCGTCGTAGATTATGGTGGTGTTGAACGAAGGATTGCATCCCTAATTCCAAAAGTGAGAAGCGACATCGGCGTAAATCAACTCCCCGATACCTACGTAGGCAACGGTTACTGCTCGCTTATATACATAGGTATGTATGTACGCATAAATATTCTACTAGGGGTTGCTATCGTTGTTTTTCATTTTTCATCTCCGCTTGCCGCCGCGTTCAACACCTTGCCGACGATATCGTCAGGCGTCTCCTCCCGCATCTCCAGCAGCTCGACATCGGGATCGTCTCCCGGCGCCACGATGCAGCGCGCCGCACCCGGTTCATAGAGCTGATACACGAGGAGGTCTAGAATCCAGCCTCCGTTTCCTTCCTCGTGCTTCTTACGGCCACTTTCTAGCCGGTCTTTCACGCTCTCGCGCCGGATTTCCCATGCTTGGCCGGTTGCGCGCTGGAACGCGTCCAGCAGCTGGTTTTGATTCGTCTGGATCGATCGCGCCTTGACGAAGCGGTTCGCAGTCGCATCCGGATGGGTCAGGACGCCCACGACGGCTTGCCCGATGCCCTCTAGCGTCGTGCCGGTGAACTCCTCAGAGCCCGCGTCGTAGATGACTGCGGACCGCCGTTCGATATCGAATCCCATTGCGGGGAAGCGTCTGATCGCCTGCCGAAACCGTTTAGCATCTGCAAATCGACCGCTCCTACGGGTCCACGCAGATCCTTACCCAGTCGATTGGATTGCCGATAGTGATTCCGGTATAGGTGAACCTGGGATTGGCCTCTGCTAGCTCCCTCGCACGTTCCCACGCGATGCGCCGCTGAGCGCCGATCTGTTGGAATTCGGGCAGGCTGCGAAAGTTTGGGCCCCATCCAAAGTCGTTCACAATGAAACGCTCGACGCCCGCGGCCTCTGCGGCGTCGATCATAACCTCCTGTGTCGAGTTGCCGGCGGGGCCGACGACGCAGATGGCCGCATCTTGACCCCTCAGTGCCGCGGTGAGCCTCTCCACCGTGTACTCAGACTTGATGATTGCAATACCGGGGGGAAATGTCGACAACGACTCTATCCGGGTAATGATTGTCACGTCAAAGCCAGCGCTCACCAGCGCGCTCGTGATAGGGGTGCCGAAATTACCCGACGCCTGCTGCTGTTAGTGAACAGACCCGCGCGGTCCACGATGCGGTTGGGGACACCAGCCCACCTACACCAAATATGGCAACCTTTTTGATAACTGTCATGGTGTTGGAATGAGTTTCTAAAGAGACGACCATTAAGCCGTCAGCTCTGGGGAGTATGAATCCTATGTACTCTTGCTTGCGTACATGGTAATACCGAATTCCTGTCGGAATACGGGATTAAAACCCGGCCGCCCGCGCTGGGGCTTAGCTTCGGCATTGAGAACATCCATGCAACTGAACGATTCCAATTCTGGAGTGGCCTCCGTCTAGCGAAATGAGTAGTAGACTTGTGTATTCAAAATGCAGGTTAAAAGGAATAAAATAAAAAGGCAAGCCAAGGCGATAGTAGAGTTCCTATTGAAGTGACCTCATAGAGAGACCTCAAGCCACACCCCTCAAAACCCGAGCTTGTCCCGCTTGTTAAGTGCAGTGTAAGTTTTTCTTTGTGTTGATTTGCATCAGAGTCGAGATAGAGACTTTTGCCGAGCTCAACGACGACTTCCCATATGTAAGTCTTCTTCGGCGGGGCGTCGCAACTCGACCGGTTAATAGAGGAACCAGCAGTTTCTAATCAACGTTGTGTTGTCAGAAGAGGCTGTCGAAAGTGTGCTCAGTCCGTCATGAACTTCGTTTCCGGGCTGATATAATACATCTTACGGGACCAGAAAAAAGCAATCACAGGTGATTCAATAGCACGAGCGAGGAGTTGGGAATGTATTCTTCTGCCTTTTCGATGGCTTTCCTCCGGATACCCGAGCCATACCTAGATACTGGATAGGTCCTTGGAATTCACCCTCCACAGATCTTCGGGATTAACCAGTCCACTGAGATTACGTAGACATTGTATAACATCACGATACCGGAGAATGCTACTGGTATTATAAGCGACATATAACCCATTAGTGAAGTCTAGGTTTATATACAGTGCGTCGAGTATCGCTACCCGTTTTACCCACCGTAGACATTCGTATATATAATATTGCTTTATTTTAATGAGCGCAGTCGAAGCTCCGAAGGTCCCTCGTGGATCCACGCCTGACGTCGCTATCACTTCCCATGATGGACACGTATGTAGGTAGAGAGCCCATGAGGCGGGCTTGTTGTCTACTCCGTTCGTTCCCCCTTCATCCTCGACATTATTGGGATTCGCAGTGTTGGCGGCCGGGTGCGCGGGCGGGACGTTGTGTGAGGGAGAGGGAGAAACGCAAAACTCTCCTCAAGGGATCCTGCTACAGGATTAACTCGTCAGTCCTAGCACGTTAATCGTGCCCGACGCCCACGGCGTCTCCCCGGGTGATGAATATTATCTTACTCTCTTCCCAGCTTCCCGAACTGTTCCAGCAGTCTCGGATCAGGTGTATGTTAAAAGGAGTGGCGGCTATAGCGAGTCATGAGATCTTGTGTTTATATCCAAATCGTCAACTTCCTGAAGGGCTCTCGTCACAGGTCCTTGTCGCTTGGAGCTTGAAAGCTGGTACGCTTCTGATCCCTCGGCATGCCCGGGGTTGGAGGATGCATTCTTATACGGACCGTAGCCGCTGCTTCCACCGCCTCGGGCTCGGCACATCTTGAAGAGCGGCCATAGTGCCGGGACTGTACCGACGATGATGATGACGTCCATCTGTATCCCCAGTTTAGTTAGCAACGGTTAAGCTGAGGGATATGGAGCTCGCGTTTTATTGATCAATCCCTACCTCGGCACTTTGTCCAGTTAGCGTTTTTATTCTCAAGTTCACAAGTGTTACGATGGAGACTTACGTATACCACAACGTGATAGGCGCCCAGAACCAGGTGATGTCGCTGTGCTTATCTAGATCTTTGATGAGGTATACTTTGGTGATCGTAGCCGCGGCGGCACTGAGGCAACTGTTAGCTCACGAAGCCGGACGAACAGGCCGTCTAAAGGATACTTACAAGACGCCGCCGCCCATCAGAAAGCTTAAGCCAACCTTCATCTTTCGGGTAATGTTCAATTTCGTGATGAACATAGTGGGGAAGATAGCGACTATGATGTCCATGAGCGCGTTATAGCTTGCTTGGACGGCGCCGCCGTATAACCTATACTCGATTAGAAGGGCGCGTGGCCGGAGGGGTAATAGCCGTAACTTACTGAATCCGAGGGTCGATGCAGGTTCCTTCTAGGTCGGGGTTCCATTGCTTTGCAGGAGGATCGCAGAAGCGGATAATAACCACTATGGCGAAGATATTTAAGAGGACCAGTAGAACGCAGAGGCCCCAGAGGAAAATCAGGTGCCAGTGTTTCGCGGTCATTCCCATTAGCCGGACGAGGAATATCAAAATTGATATTTTGCTACAGGTCGACGAAATAATGGAGAACAACGGGGCAATGATGGTGTACTTGATGGATTCCTGTAAGTCAACGGGGTCCGTTATCTGCTCTCTGTGCCGGCCCAAGCCGTGAGAGACGCCGGCCGTGACAAGCGCTGAGCATACTATCGCAGATAACTACACACGCGATCCGCTGTCAACTAAACTGGAACCCCGAGTCCGCAGACAGAGAAGAACTCACCGCTCCGAAGACCATGAAGCCATCATCCCAGCCTGCTTGGTTTATAATGACTATATAATCGCCCGCGTTAGCACTCGCATTGGCCAGCCGACCCAGTTGCACCAAAGGGGGGATAGTAAGGCAATTCGGTAAGGAAATCCTTATCTTACCTACTCTGCCGTAGACTCTCAGCGTGCAAACTAGTATTACGATGGCGCCGAGCGCCCACGAGACGATAAGGAGTGTCGTCGCGTAGTCGGTGTTCTCGTCCATGGCGTCGCGGGTTGTCAAAACGAAAGTCGAGCAGTGACGAGCCGTAAATCTCCGTTCCCTCGCGAACTCGGGAGCGAGGCTATAAAAACTTTTCCCGTCTCGGACGATGGGTCAGGGCAAATAGGGTCAAGCAAGGCATAAGAGATTGGGACCCTGGGGAAAAAACGGGCCCGCAGAGGCCTGTCACCGTGGCTGACCCCCAGGTGAGGGTTCCGGGGGCGATGTGTTCCCTGCGAATTACGCGACGCCCTTCTCTCCGGCTGCATGAATGGTTAGACCGTGCAGGTATATGAGGTGACGGGGTCGCCGCCTGTGCTTCTGCGCGGTCGCTGCCCCAGCCTTCCTCTTCGGTGAGAGCATCAAAGCGTGCACGACCGGAGAGAAGAAACAGGCTCTCATATGATGCCTCGCACATGTATGACACGATGCCATAGGGGAAGGGTGTAAGCACGGAGAATGCCTTCATCCTAACAGGAGGACGATACCCGTGCGCAACGCACTTTTTATGCAGTTTCACAAAGTGGTGTTTACGAGTATTGGCATTAATAATGAATCACCGCCGACGCATTGCGCGTTGAAGCTGGGATAATATCAATACATCTTGCGTAGTATTAGAGCAGCCAAATCAATTCTTCCTCGTCGTGAAGACGCCTCGGCGGTAGCAACGGTTGCAACAATGGTAACAGCCTCATTGGTAGTAGGTAAGTAGGCGTTGTTGAGCTAGGTAGCAATAGCAAGTTGTCGTCGGTGTCATTCTTGTTTTTGTCAAGCCGGAAATCAACGCCCGGGGACTACAACGAAAACAGCTTGTCCTCGACGTCGCGCTGAGGTTACAGGCGTCTTCGGGTAGAAATGATTAAGCTACAGCTAATCTCACTCGTCTCCATATCTGATAGCCCTCTTCTAGAGGGGGTATGGTATCAGACTCGCTGTCGTGTCCTCTTTCTCTTTCTCCGTGTACTCTCCCCTCTAGGTTCCCCTTTTCTAGTGGCTTTCTTCCGCCTCCCGCCCGCCCGGTGCCGTCTGGGCCGGCACTTTTCACCCTAGCTTTCAAGCTCTCCCGAAAGCGGTGGTTGTACGTGGATATCCGTATCAGTAGGATTATAATTGGGTATATTTAAATGCGACTTAAGTGGAATTATGAACCCGCCTATAGTGTCAACCATGAAGGACATGAATAGCGAGCGCTACATACTGCCAGCATTCCCATGGGCACAGCCAGGATCTCCCGATGGCCACCAAAACATCCGAACCCGGATCGGGTTGGAAACTGGTCGAGATCATAGCAGAGGAAAACAGTAAAAAATGGGGAGACAAGGTAGGTGACCCCTTATTTGCAAGGGTGTCTTCCTGTGCACTTCTAACACCATCAAATAAAACTCGCCAGAGCAAGGGAGGGTCGGCGGGGGTGCATTTTCTTCTCGATGCTGCCAAACAGGCCGCACCGTCTCCATCGAGGGTTGCTTGAGCGAGGGTCCTTTTGCAGGCTGACCATACCGTCGGGCGTCATAAGGGTGGTTACGCCGTCCCATAAGGGCCCCATCAGCGTTGCCGACCTGCCTCATCACCGCTCCCAAGGGCCTCAATGTCACATTAGAATTTAGTGCTCTGTTCATCCCGTGTACATGGGTGAGGCGGGCTGGCCAATGGGGGAAGTCCCGCGTCTTCTTGGAACCAAGGCGCATCGAACGTATAGTATGTCCATGGCCTGGCTTGGGTCGAGCGTTGCGGCGTGGACTACGACCCTGCAAGCCGCGCAATGGAATGTGAGCCCCGGCCGCTTTTCTGCTTCCATCGCCTAATCCAGCCTCGGCTGGTTGCCGTTCACAGAGGCATCTCATTGCACCCGGACTATACCAGGCTGGCTACTACTCGATAACACTAGTCTGCTATGCGGTGCGGGTTACACGGTAGATCATGGAGTACCTAAATGTCTCCTTTTCCGCTCGGTTTCTAAACACTCCGACTGCTCGAAATATTACACTGTCTTCTTCGCCTGTGCTACCTCTGCTGGCCCTTCCAAGACAAACCAAGCACCGTAACCAAACAACCCGGAATTTCCCACCATGATTACCGAAATCGAGAGAATCGAGGCTCTCGAGGCCGCCAAGAAGCTCGTCGCGAGCCTCTCTGACGAATCCGAGTCGTCTCGCTCCGAAGCGAACAGGGTTCAATCTCTGAAGACGGCCAACGACGTGATCCGTTCCCTCGAGAGGCCCGAGGACGGCCTGCTAAAGTTCGCATACAGCGTATGTCTCTCCTTTGTAGAGGTCGGTCGACGAGCTGGCTAACGCCACAGCCATAGCCGACGGTATGGATGGCCATCCGCTCGTGCGTCCACCTGGATGCATTCAAGATCATCTCGGAGAAGGAAACTGTATCCGCCGGAGAGATTGCCAGCCTGACGGGCGCTGACGAAACCCTGATCCGTATGTCCAACCCCTCCGCATAGAGACGTTGATGAGTGGTAAGTATTAACAAGTATAACTCTTTCACAAAACAGGACGACTTCTGCGTGTGCTCACGTCGTATGGCTATGTCGCCGAAAAGGGCGACGGTGTCTACGCGGCCAATAAGTGGACGAGGCACATGGATAATCGCCTTACGCAAGGCATGATCAAGTTCATGTAAGATGCCAACCCCCCCTTGCCCTCGACCCCCGTCCCTCGCATGATCTGCGACGTGTGGCTGCATCTGCTTGCCATTTTGCTAAGCGACACATCCGCAGCTACGACCTGGCGTTGCCGCCAACCGCAGTGGCGCCGGAGCTGTTCAAGGAGACTGGGTTCAAGAATCCCGTGGACCCGGAGGCTGGGACGTTCCAGAAGGCGTTTAATACGAAGATGCCTATCTTCCCGTGGATGGCGCTGCCGGAGAATAAGGACCACTGGGACGCCGCCAACACCTTCTTCGAGGGCGACCGCGGCAGCCGCCCGTCCTGGGTCACCTGGTTCCCCATCAAGGAGAAGCTGCTCAGCGGCAGCATCGACGACCAGGCCCCGCTTCTCGTCGACATCGCCGGCGGCCGCGGCCACGATCTCATGGAGTTCCTCGACCAGTTCCCTGACGAGACGGGCAGATTCGTCCTGCAGGACCAGCCGCAGGTGCTCGACAGCGCCACCACGCTGCCAGCCAAGGTCGAGAAGCGCCCGATCAACTTCTTCAAGGAGTCTCCCGTCGAAGGTAGGAAGCCCCCGTATTCTCGTCTTCTTCCCTTCTCCTCTCCGACGCCTTTTTCGCACCAGCCTTCTTACCCCCGAGTCTGTGTCGCGCTTGCTTACGAGACTCACACGTCGCAGGTGCCAAGGTCTACTTTATGAAGTTCATCATCCACGACTACGCCGATCCCGACTGCTTCACGATCCTCAGGAACGTGACCGCGTCGATGAAGAAGGGGTACTCTAAGCTCGTGATCAACGACTTTATCCTCCCCGACACCGGCTGCCCCATCCTCTCCGCCGAATGGGACCTCATGATGATGGTCCTCCTGTCGGCAATGGAGAGGACCGAGACGCAGTGGAAGAGCCTGCTCTCCGCGGCCGGACTCACTATCGAGGGCATGTACCAGGCTCCGGGCGACGGCCAGGGCATCATCGTGGCTAGCCTGTGACCGGGACCCGCGCCCAACCGTGGAAGCGCAAACGAGCGGTGCAACTGACGCCGGAACGTGCAAAATTCTCTATAGCCTACATACTTGGGGTAGATATCTGTCGCGTTCCTAGAGAAAGACGATGATAGAGACTAGAGCTACTTAGACCATACAACAATATACTATAGAAAGTTTCAAACACGTTTATCGGTACCTACAATTCTCCGCCTATCGAAGTCGACGCCAACAATGGTAAGCGATTGATTTACTATTATTATGCATGTATAGACCGGGGACCGCGTCGGATGTTTTACGGCAGGGCGGTGGTGGTTGGTTTAGAAGTCATAGTTGCGATCATATAGACGAGTCCGCTTTATTCGTAAACCATCCGAAACAAGACGCAACCGGGCATTCCCACTTTAGAATATAAGCTTAGAATCGTCTGCCAGTGCTGATCTCCAGTTGGACTGTCTACTGTCAATGCACTTATCTAGGAGGGTCGATGGCTTCTGAGCCGATGAAGCAAAAGATCGACATGCCCTCAGTTCTGAGCGTATTAGTTATGGGTATTTCCCCGGCTGGCGAACCCACGGGTCTAATCTGTTGGGTTGATCTCCCCCAGCCCAGCCAGTCTGAAGGGGGACACGGTGCCAATATCAGGGCCTGGACGGTGGTGTTGGATCCTGGGTCAGCGAGACACCCCCCTGCTCGCTTCTCTACCCCACACACTTCCTTGCGCCGACAGGATCGCCATGCCGTGCTGTGACACTTCACGCACCATCCCCCTCTGATCAGCCGGCCTGGCACAACACCTCCGCTGCCCTGCAGTTGGTGCACGAGGGCCACTTGTGTGCCGTCGGTGCGCCGTCATTCTTCGTCTCTGCTCTCTGCAGACTCGGTCTTATTGGACCAGCTCGTTCAGCTGCTATCGCGAGCCGCTCTTACACACGCAGGTTCGGATCATTATTTCCCGCATTAGAAAAGCCTCGGAATAGCCGTCCCGTCAATAGAGCATGGTGGCTGCGTTCTAGCCGTTGTCATCAAGCGAGCCTCGACTCCCGGGATAAGCGTTCGCACGCAAGAGCTAGCTAGCCCTGGTACCCGGCCCGAGCCATGATTCCAATTTGAAAGCCCGGGATATCTGAGTGCTGGCTGCCTATAGTACAATCTCCTCCTTATTTCCCTCTCTCACCTGCCTTGCTTGGGGCTTGGCCGCGCCCAGGATGGCGCCCTCGCTCGTTCGCGCGATATCCCTTCTCGTCGCACTCACCGCCTCTGCCCGCACCGCCCGCGGGCTCTCCAGCCCAAGCACGGACGGGCCTGCACTGGCGCAGGAATGTTCGATACTCTTCGCCTCGGCCCAGCACTGCGACCCAATCGCCCCTAAGAGCTTCTTACCCGCCGATGTCGCAGCCGCGTTGAAGGACGGGGCGCCGCACCCCCCGCCCGACCTCAGCGCCCTGGCCAACGTCCTGGATGCCGTGCAGGTCATGCAGACGGAGTACTTCGCGCCGTGGCTCGGCACCTGGCCCGAGTCGATCGACTGGACGGCCGCCGTCATGGGGACGCACGTCTCGGCCGCCGCGCGCTCGCTCTCCGAGGCCCTGCCGCACATCGGCTCCGAGGGCGGCGTCTTCGGCTGGAAGGCGAAGGCGAACCTCGTCGACTCGTACTTCACCCAGCTTACGGCCTACTACTTCGGGCAGGACGCGTTCGCGATCCGCAACCAGGCCTACGACGACATGCTGTGGGTGGTGCTCGGCTGGCTTGAGACCATCCGGCTCGTCGGCACTCACACCGACCTACACTTCGGAACGGGCGCCCCTTCGGCTCAGTCCTCCTCCTCCTCTCCCGAGATAGAGCGCTTCTTCGCGAACCAGACGTACCACGGCAACCAGTGGGTCCCCGCGTTCGCGCACCGCGCCCGCATATTCTGGGACCTGGCGTCGCAGGGGTGGGACACGGAGCTCTGCGGCGGGGGCATGATCTGGAACCCGCGGCTGCTGCCGTACAAGAACGCGATCACGAACGAGCTGTTCATCGCGGGCTCAGTGGCCATGTACCTGAGGTTTCCGGGGGACGACAACGAGTCACCGTTCGGCTTCGGCGACGGCGACGGCGGCTGGCCGCCGCGCGACGCGCGGTACCTCAAGGCGGCAGTCGAGGGCTACCGCTGGCTCGCCGCGTCGAACATGACGGACGCGCAGGGGCTGTACACCGACGGCTTCCACATCGGCGGGTACGGCGACCCGGACAACAACAACACGCGGTGCGACGAGCGCAACGAGGTCGTGTACACGTACAACCAGGGCGTGCTGCTGACCGGCCTGCGCGGGCTCTGGGAGGCCACCGGCGCGGCCTCGTACCTCGCCGACGGCCACGCCCTCGTCCAGAACGTCGTCGCCGCCACGGGGTACGACCTCGCCGCCGACCGCCCCCGCGACGACCACCCCCGCGACGACGACCGCCGCCGCCGCCACCACCTGCCCCGCTGGCACGGCCTCGGCCGCGCCGGCGTCATGGAGGACCTCTGCGACGCCAGCGCCACCTGCAGCCAGGACGGCCAGACCTTCAAGGGCATCTTCTTCCACCACCTGGCGGCGTTCTGCGAGCCGCTGACCGCGCCGCGCCGCGCCACCCCAGCCTTCGCCGCCGCCCGCTCCGCGCACGCGCGCGCCTGCGCCGCGTACGGCGGCTGGCTCGCGCACAACGCGGGGGCCGCGCTGCGGACGCGCGACGCGCGCGGGCGCTTCGGGCAGTGGTGGACGGCGGGGCTGCTGCTGGGGGCGCGCGGGCCGTGGCCCAGCCGCGCGGACGACGGGGTGCTGCGTGATGGCCGTGGCGTCGACTACCGCAACGACGGGGTGCCGGACGACGCCGTGTGGCGCGCGGGCGCGGGGCTCGGGTCCCCGGCCGGCGACGGCGAACCGCCGGCGCAGCGGCCCCTGGGCCGCCCGACGGGGAGCGCGCCCAGGGCCGCGCGCACCCCCGCCGACGACCCGAACTCCCGCGGCCGCGGCCGCACCGTCGAGACCCAGGGCGGCGGCCTCGCGCTGCTCCGGGCGTACTGGCAGATCGCGCACGCGCCGGCGGCGTAGGGCAGGCCCTACGCGCCCCACGAGCAGCGCTCTGGCGTGTCGGTGCCCTTGGCGATATACCGCGCACGGCTAGCCCGCACGCACGCCCCCTCCTAAATGCGTCTGGGCTCGACGACGAGGCTGGCGAGGGAGAGGAGGGGTAGTCGGTCAGAGAGGAGAAGGTCGCATCGCCCGTCAGCGTAGCACCGATGCGTGCGCACGCACGTACCTACGTGTTAGATGTGTACATGTAAATGTAAATGTAGGAGGTAGGCATATACGGCAGCCAACTGTGACGACGAGGGGGGCGAAGAATTGCGCGTGCCCTCCTCGTCTGCCGCGCGATGGGTCTCTGGAGCTGTAGAGGTATGTGTGCATGTGCGTATGCGCACTTAGACGATTCAGGGAGGGATGCCCGGTGGCTGTTGGTGACTGAGGGTGTATTTCGTACGTACACAGACATATGCAATGCAAGCCGTAATGGGACGGTGGGATGGGGATGCGTACATGGCCACGGGAGGAGGGGGTGGTATTGGGACTGATGCATGCAAAGATACACGGTGGCATGCGTCTAACAGCATATCCTACCTCATGTAGGACATGGTATAGCTCGCAAGGATAGGGAGTTGGTTTCTGTAGTTTTATCGCGAGTTGATGAGGTGATCCTGGATGCAGACACATTTGCGCACCCTACCTATAACTACAGATACGGGTATGATCGTGAAGCATATATTAGACGGTGTCCGCCTATCGGACACCTTAGGTCGTCCGCAGATCGGATATAAGCCTTCATCATACACACCCGACCATCGATACAAGAAGCTCACCGAATAACTACAGAGCCTTACCGCATAGATGTCATTGAGCGAGTCAGCGACTTCTCAACTCACCCCCGCGCTGACGTGGCTAATCTCTCAATATTGCTGACTCTCTCCTACGTATCTCATCTTCAAATCCAAGAACAGCAGTGTATGTATGTGCTTGTGTATGGGATCTTTTCTCGGCCGAATACGTTTGGGCTATCTTTTCTCTCCGCCGGCCTGTCCGCTCACGGCATGGTGGTAGCCCTCGTGTCCCTATTCGAACCCAACCGGGATGTGTGTACGCCTTCCAGCCAGCTCCCGAGCCTTTTACTTGTGCCGTAAACCTCCCACAGAACATGTAACACGTGGGCCTGCGAGGATATCTCGAGACATGCTCAAGTGTGATGACATTACTTCGCACCCCGAAAAAAAACCGTCGCGTACCAGTGGAAAAAACCGAACTCCCTCGCGCGTACGCCCATTACTTCCCACCCCTTGAACTAGCGTACAATTCGGCAACCACCAGCACGTGTCGCCAACATAGATCAGACTCTATGTCAGCGACAGAAGATCCCCCCCTTGTTGATTTGAGGTACTAGGCCAAGATGACCTGACTTAGTTGTCTCGCCACTCGCTGCCGTTGCTAACCCCGCTCGGGGCCTTATTATTCGACTCCGTGTGCGGCGATTTCCCTGTCGGGGCTTGAAGTCCTTCATCGCTGTCATCATCATCATCGTCGTCGTCGAGGGCCCGCGCAAGCTCGTCAGGGTCCCTCATCCGCGCATCGGGGTCGACCGCGGCGGCATCGGTAAAATCATCCGACGGGCCGCGCTGAGCTTCCTGCTCGTGGACGCCGTCGTCGGCACTGATCGAGATACCCCTGGCGCCCCACTTGGATCTGCGCTGAGACGACGCACTGCCATTGCCGTTCCCGTCACCGAGAGCCGGAGTGCTCTCCTCGTCGCCTTCGACCGGCTGGAAGCGCCGGTGTCCGAAGATGCGGTTGAGCAGCCAGCCACGGCGGATGTCGTCGGCATCGACGATACCACCAGCACGCAGCTTGACGCGCTGGCGCGTGTAGTACACCCAGAAGAAGTCGACGTAGAGGGCAGTCTGCACGATGCCAAAGATGACGGACACGGCGTTGGGCTTGCGGTCGTTGACATCGAGCCCACGTTGGATCCAATTTAGAATGTAGAGAGCGCGGTACGAGCCTAGCGTGAGCAGGTAGAAGGAGTCGATGACGGTCGGCACCGTTGTCTGGCGCAAGAGGAGCAGCTGGGGGAGAACGCAGACGGATTCGAGGATCAGGGAGAAGTCGTACATCCACTAGTTGAGCGCGGGCGCAGGCGCTCACCGTTAGCCATGTTCACCTCGTATCGTATTGTCGGACGTGAGAGCGGTTGAGTAGACCCACCGTGATGAAACCCCATCTCTCCTTGCTATCAAATATCAGCATTACGAAGGGCGAGATGAACAGCGACCCCATCAGCACGGCAGCGCCGAGCTTCCACGAGACCTCACGCTCCCTAGTGCGCGGAACCAGCCAACGCATGACACCAATGATGTAGAAGGAGGAGAGGATGTAGAAGAGCTTGAAGAAGTAATTCCAGCTAGACGTCTCGGAGAAGAAGTCGGTGTATCTCGTGCAGAAGACGACGGCGTAGAAGACCTGGGTGATCATAGAGACGCCTTCGGAGACGCGTTAGCCGGCCAGGAAGCCCTCAACCGTAGACGCCACGCGGGGAGAGAACTTGCCTTCGGCGCTCCGATTTCGATGGATGGCGAAGATGAGGATGCATTTCGAGAGGAGGTGGGAGCAGTCTCCCAGTATCCGGAAGTACTGCGAGTCGAGCTTGTTCAGTCGGCAGTTCCCCACACAATGGGGAGAAGGGGGAGGGGGGGCTATAGAACGGACATTAAACGCTCCCATCTCGGCAGAGGGCTCCAGCCCGAGCTATCGCAGGCTTCTGGGACAGACAGCGAGAAGAGGACGGAACTCGGCGTCACGGATGGGGAAGGGAACACCTCCAAGCTGAGCGGTTCGAACGGATGGTAGCGCTCGATAGCAGCTCCTGCGGCCAGTACGAATAGAGATGAGAGAGGATGAGGGTCGGAAGAGGGAAGGGCGGCGGTATCACGTATTCACCCACATGTATGTGGCGTACAAGTAACGTACAGGTAGCGTGTAGGAAGGGAATAGCAAGGACGAGACGGTGTTGCAAGCTGAGATGACAACAGGCTGATGTCGCGAGCTGGGAAGAGAAAGTCATCTGAGCAACCTCTGGCCATTACGTGTGTCAGGACTTCGAGACAACACGTACCCAGGTACCTCCGACCCCGACTCCGATTATGTAAGTAGCCAGCTCCCTCCGGAGGGTCCCCGCCACATGCCCCTCCAGAACGTGGCTGGTTTCCTCCCTGCTTCCCCGGAACGCCACACAGCAACAACTGGCCTCATCAATATTTGACGCCCACCCAGACCTGCCCACCTTCTCCCTTCCACGTACTTACATATATATGTACTTACACACACACACACATATATATATATACCTATGTCCTATGTGATTCTGGGTTAGCTGGCTCGCCGTTCGGATGGGCCGCAAGTTCTGGGCGTCGTCATCGGCACGTTGACGCCGAATCCCTGGGCCAAGCGCCCTGTGCCCTTATTGGGAAGGACGGTGAACCGGGATTCCGTTATGACATCCGCATGGCGATTGCCATACTGACTACCCCCAAGCTTCACGGGCAACAAGCTTGGTTCTTAACGCATTCAACCGTGCAAGGTAGCCTAAGCGCTAGGCCTGTCCAGACCCTATTGTATAGCTCGAGTCCAACAGTGTCAGTCAACAGTAGAAGGAACGGCCACACGAGACACTACGCACGCGAGCCCAGTCATATCAAGCTCCGAGTCGGCGGTAAAACCGCAGCTCTTTGGCAGAATTTCCATCATACGGGTATAAGTCAATGATGCGTGCATGGAGGCTTATTGGCTTCGAGTTACAACGTTACCTACATTCCTGGTAGCACAGCAGTTGTTCTGTTCGCAGTTAGAGTTATGTGTCTAAGACATACCTATTGTTTGTAGTATGCGGTCTCGGATCGGTCCGTCCATGACATGACTCGTAATAGCTCCTTGATCAGTTAAATAGCCGAGTTCTATGTTAGCAGAATGACGTTGCAGGCTTTTGATTTGTGCTCTTGGCGCAATGCCAGGACGTCATATCAAGAAGAATACTAGCTAGTTGCGGATGGCGAGGTTAACCGTTCATTCGTGATATATCTGTAGGGTAGGGCTTTGCGACCCTCAAAAAATAATCAAGGCAGAGCTGTTTAAAAGTCTAGAGTTCTCTCCACTTAGGAAGTATTACCTAGGTATCTCACAGCCTCGTCACAGGCTGAGAGAAAGATCAGCACGATGCGGCACAAGGCTACGGTCAATGAAACACCTACTGATAGCAGGTAAATTCTCCTCAATTCTTGTTTTCTCCTCCTACACACCATGAGAGATATCTATTAGTACGCGAATATGCCCGTCCAAAGTCTTCCTGTTAGAAGTCGCGGTTGTGGTTATGAGGCATCCTCCCCCTTGGATGGGTACGAGATCCCCTTGAGTGAGTACGAGGTTCCCTTGAGGAAGTCCCAGGTCCCCTTGAGGAAGTCCCAGGTCCTCTGACAGCCCTCCGATAACCGTGATAACGGCGACCTGGTATATTTTAGAATTCGGCGATTGAGCAATTAATAAAATAGTAGCTTGGTAAGGGCGTTACGTACCTTGTAGTGGGCGTGGGCATAATTGGCGTGCACGATACCTCCATAGGCACGAGCAAATTCTTGACATCAAAATCCTCTCCCGTCGACCGGCCTGTCTTTACCATTGCAGGCGCAATAATCAAAGTTATATTCCGTTGCGTCTCCGATACCACCTCTCCTTTCCGGAGCTGTATGCTCTCTTGGCCAAATACCGCTAACTTCGATGACTGTGTGAACCAATCCACGCGCGCTGCCTGCCTACTGATATCGCGGTCAAGGGCAACCGCCTCGTCAAGGATCTCAAGGATGTCCTCTCTGTAGCTTTTCATTTGAGACTGCCCGTCTCGTGTTTGGGGTAGGATCGTGTCGCATATTTGGTCCAAAATATATTCTTTGTACATCCTGGTCTGGGAAGGTCTGTGAGGGTGGGTTGTGGTCTCAGTCGTTTGGTTCAGCGCTTCTAGGATCAGGGCCGCCGTCGTAGCTCTCCACTGATAAAATTTCCGCTCGACCTGGTGTCCTGGCTGGCCTTCCTGGGCTTCGTCTGGCCGGAGGATTTTCTGTAGACCCAGTATGTATTTCCTGCCCTCGCCTGCCCATAAAGCGCAATTGAACACCTGCTCGATTATAACGTGCCACATGAAGGCCTGGATCAAGCCTGGACATTCCGTCTCGGATGAGAGGTAAGACTTAAGGATTTCCTTGTTGGGTACAATGTCAGCTAAGTAGGCTCTGTAGAAGTCACTGCGGGAGTCGACTTCCCGGCTCGTAGTTTCGGAGTATGATATCGAGAAGTTGCTGATGTCGTACTTCAGCTGCTCGGCTAGCTGAGTGAGCTCCCGGTCTGTGATCTGGTAGAAAGCCGGACTCTGCCCCTTTGCCATTCCAAGTTTCCGTGCAGTCTGCTTCCAGCGCTTGCGGATGCTCTCGCACTCGTTACTCTTCTTTCCGAGCTCAATCTCTACCTCCTCGCGCAAGCGCTTCAGCTCATTGTTCTCTATCAGCCCGGCCTCCACTGCCCTGCGCGAATCCGCTAGTTCACTGTTCCTCTTTCTAAGCTCCGTATTTGCTGTCTGGCGCAAGTAGGCCAGCCTCTCGTTCTGCTCTCTAAGCTCCATCTCGGCCCCCTCCCGGGCCATGCTCTGGCGGTTGAGATCGCGGCGTAGTTGTTTGCACTCATCGCGCATCGTTTCTATTTCGCCATATAGCCTGCTCTCTTCAGCCTTCCATTGCTCTTTCTCTCTGACCCAACGTAGTTCTCCCTCGTCGGCCTCGCATCGTTCCTTTTCTTCCTGCTGCAACAACTCATCCTTCATTGGACACATTGGGAGGGGCGTGGTAGATTCGGTGTGGGCATCGGAATGCCGTGGATGATCGGAATGTGTTTGGGTCGTGCAATCTCCTACAGGCTTTAGCACCATGATGTTCCCGTCAGCTCCACCCTCTAGCTAGAACTAGATATCTTAATTCGTTACCATATCTGGGGTCCGGTTGGTCTGCAACGTAGGGAGTTTCCTAATCGCTGAAGCTGAATGTGCCAGCTCAGACTCCTCTTGTAGGCGTCCGGTGTGATCCATGGAAGGAACCTGGCTACGGTTCATATTCTCTCCCATCCCGGTCATGGGGGTATCAAGATCATAGACTCCATGTTCAGGGTCAGAACCTCCGGGACCCGGGCCGTTAGAGTGTGAGCCCTCAGAGCCTGCGTCTCCAGGTCCCTTGTCATTACAGACTAGTGAGTCGTGAGGAGGGGATTGGATCATCTTCGTCGTCAGTTCTCGGGGGGAATCACCAGCAACGGGAGTAGACGATGAGGATGAGAGAGTAAGCGACCTTATACTTCAAACGGCCCCCCGAACCTATAAATCTTGTTATGTTATCCGAACGTCCGTGAAGGTATAACATCAGAATTTCGTAGCCGTTGGTTTGCATGCTGAATTGCAAGGAATGTTTCAGATGCAAACGGGCGCTGTCAAACGGGGGATGGATGCCAAACTAATTACAAAGGTGCCTGGAACCGTTAGGCATTCAGGCTCTTACAGCGCCTCTGCCTAAACGCTCTCGGCGACCTCGGGTGACAGCGCAGAGATAAGCTATTTAGTCCCCATTGGAGTTCGGGCATTAACAGGTTAGAACCTACGGACCATGCGGAATCGTTAGCTGAACGGAACTTAGGTACGTTCCAGCTACTTCCCCTTGTCGTTGGCACAACTACCTTTTGCCTGCAACTGTGTGACGGAGGTAATAGCACACAGTGTCTCACATTGCGGCTTAGACATAGGAGTTGGCCGGCGCCTCTTCCGAGCCATCCTTGTCTCGACAAATAGGGTTATATTAATAATTGGATACACTGACTTACGATTCTCTAATATTATAATATCCCACACGTCGTGCGCTGTGAGCTTGACCCTACCTTTACTTACACTCCTCTCTACTATCAGGACGCAGTTCTGTACTTAGTCTTTGGATAAGATGAGGATCTCAAATTCCAACTCTAGCCGAACCATGTGGCGGAATCTTCCGATTCGACAGCCACCGACACCCCTTGAGGAAGGTTACGACGATACTACTGACGATGACTATGACCACTGCGACGATGACCACACCTTGGTGATTGGTATTGATTTCGGAACGACGTGAGTCTCCCATATAATACAATAATAGCTTGCACAATAGGAATCTAACGGGGAGTAGTTACTCTGGTGTGGCCTGGGCAACGGCGGCAGATTTTGGCGCTGGGAATATCAACGTCATCACCACCTGGCCAGGCGCCGGCCCAGAAGAGGGCAAGGCTCCGACGGAGCTCTTGTACCAAGATGGAGAGGTCCTTTGGGGCTACGAAGTTCCTCCTGACGACGAGCCAGTCCGCTGGTTCAAGCTCCTCCTCCTCAAGGATGAGGACTTGCCGCCCGAGATGCGCAAGTCTAAGTTTATCCTACGGGCTCGCGAGGTGCTCCGGAAGACGGGAAAGTCTGCCGTAGACGTCGTGGCCGACTACCTCCGGAAATTGTCACAGCACACGTTGGAAACTATTCAAAGAAGCCGTGATGAATCTGAAGTCGACGCCCTGCGGTTCCACATCGTGATCACTGTGCCGGCTATCTGGAAAGGATATGCCAGACAGGCCATGCAGGAAGCAGCTGAGAAGGCTGGCCTACTGAATACGCGCGACGCCGGGCCAACCACGCTGGCTTTCGCACCTGAGCCTGAGGCTGCAGCACTGGCAACTCTGTGCGAGCCTGGCCAACGAAAAAGAGAGGGCCAAGTCTATATAATCTGTGATGCTGGCGGTGGCACAGTGGTACGGACCCATTCAGACTAGTCTGCCCCTCGCTGTTAATGCTAAACTATTTCACAGGACCTCATTAGCTATCGGGTCGACAGCGTGAACCCGATAACCATGCATGAAGCCGTGGAGGGTACAGGTGGCCTATGCGGAGGTATCTTCGTCGATGAGGCCTTCGAAAGCATGTGCAAGTCCCGTCTGGGGGGCATGTGGAATAATCTGAGCACCCAAGGTATCAGGGAAATCATGAGGGAGTGGGAGACGAGTATAAAGCCAAAGTATAAACCTAAGGGGAGGGAGATCGAGTATATGGTTCGCATACCAGCTGAAGCCTTCCAGACATTTAGCTTCGACGACACCAGCAGGGAGCCCATTATTAGGAATGGGAGAATTCACTTTAGTGGGAAACATATCGAGCAGACCTTTGCTCGCCCCTTTGCTGAGATCGGGAGTCTGATCGACAGCCAAATCGCGATGACGGCTGAAAAAGGGCTGACCACTACGGTAAGTACAGCGGATCGTCGGAACTCGGTCGCGGGTTTGACAGGAACTAGGGAATCATTCTCGTCGGCGGGCTCGGCGCTAGCCCTTATCTATACACGCATCTCAAGGACAAGTATACCAAGGATGGTATGAAGATATTGCAGGCGGACGGAATAAGACCGTAAGTATTCGACTGGTCGGAATGCTCAATGCGCATTCTCGTGTTGATATTTGCTTGCAGACGAACGGCAATCTGTCGTGGGGCGGTCTTTAAAGGCTTCCTCGAACCCGTCGACACTGGGGACGGCCAGTTGAAGTTTTTTGACCACATCATCCCAGCGCCAATCGCGGTTACCTCAACCGTGTCAAGAGCCAGTTACGGTACCGTATGTCGAGCCACGTTCAACTCGAGGGAGCACCTAGAGGCAGACCGAGTATGGAGCTCAGATGAGGGCATGTGGAAGGCCGACAACCAAATGGCATGGTACCTCAAGAGGGTAAGCACTAGCCTCCCGCCTCGTTACTCCAATGTAACACCTCTTACTGATGTGCAAGAACAGGGCGAAAACGTTTCAAAGAAGTACTCTACGCGGTTTTCCTTCTATAGACTGTATAGTGGAGACTTCGGCGGCTCGTTTCAATGTCCTCTCTACGAGTGCGAGGACGTGGAAACCCCTAGCCGTCGCACAACGACGGTCAAATATCTCTGCGACATCGATTGCAAGCTGACTACTCCCTACTCGGAACTCCCCGACTTCAGGACGCCGTCCGGAGAGTATCGCAAGAAAATGATCTTCGAAGTCGAGATGATGCCATCGGGAGCCTCGATGGACTTCGCCGTCTACGTGAACGGGAAGAAGCAGGGGAAGAATAATGTTAACATCCGATTTACCTAGGCTGTCGAGTGCCTAGGATGAGATCGCCACTAGGAAAGCGTATCTGGAGTTGGGCTCCAGTACAAAAGCGTTGTATGTTCCTACTAGGTATTAATTCAATGACCAACTAATACTACCGCCGCTGCTGCCGGCGGCGGCAGCTATTTTCTTGGGAAATGTGTCCAGATAGCAGATGAATTTGCAAGGTGGACGTCCTCCCAGGCATGCCTGGATGCTGGTGTGGCCAGGTACAGAGTTGCTAACAAGTTCGGGAGGGAGGCAGGGGTCAGAGTCCCCGTAACGCAGCTATGGGTAGAGTAGATGTCGCACGACAAGTACCTGATTGCGGGACGCTAAGACAGAAGCCAGGATGCTCTAAGGGCATCTAGAGGAAAGGCTGGTAAGGCCAAGAGATAAAAAGGATAGACATAGACCAACAGACTAGGAGGCCCCGCGGCACGGACGAGGCTATTGGAGCCAGCATATACGATAAGGAATATGAGCCAAAGCAGAACGAAGTCAGGGTTAGGCCCCAAGGACCCCCGTCTCGTTCGAGCAGGAAGACCGAGGCCCCGAAGAGGCCATCGACCCGAGGGAAGGGTCACGGCTACGGATCAGGCGCCAGGAATATGTATAATATGACTAGAGCTAGGAAAAGACCAGGAGGAGCTTAGAAGGACAAGCAGCACAACAGAGGCCTTGATATGTTATTATTGAATCGAACCGTTATTGTTCTAGGCTATAGACCTTGTTACACTAGATTTGTATGTGACAAACGGCTGCTGTGGTAATCTGGGCATGGAATGGTGTATGGTTTGATATACCGTCATAGAATGCAAACGAACGTAGGTAGTGAGGAAATAAAGCGACCCCTATTCGTACCCCCTATTCGTACCCCTTTTTCACGAAAACGCCTCCCCAAGGGGTTCTGTGGCGTATGCACATAGGCACATGGCATTATGTACCTACTGAAATCACCAAGCACGCTAGATACCTACAGGTTACTAATTATTCTTATGTCGCCCCATCAAGGAGCCACTTGAGCCTCAACTCTCGACCATTTATCTACCCGGGCACTCACATCCAGTCCCTCGTCGGGGCACGGGATGAGAAGAAAAAGCCTCAGACCAACTCCGTGGGAGTTTCAGAATTGCCGGGCCGGGCCCGTTTGCTGCCTAACTCCAACGGGAACCGGCCACGCCTCGTCCCGGTGACACACCCATCCCAGCATCCCGCACTGGTCTCCAGTTCTAGCCTCGACGGCCCCCGCGTCCCAGTCGTATCTCCCTCTACCATATGCAAACCGTGTTGTCGCATATACACATCTACATGCCTGATAACAGCGGTGTGCATGGATTGCGTGGGAGCCGTTGAGCGGATCGGTCCACGATCCACACAGTCCACAACATAGGTACAGTCCACGTCAGAAGAGACCTACCTAGGTATAGTGAGCGACGCAAAGGAAGGAGGGGACGCACCGCGGAAGAGTCTGCGCTCTGCTCCCGAGACCACTGGGAGCACGTCGAGCGGCCGGGAGAGAATAGAGCCCGATCCCATCGGCGTAGTGGTGGCATTCGTCGTCGTTGGAGATTCGGGTAGAGCTGGTGGGTGTGCCCCTATCCGTATTGCTTGCCTAGGTAATGTAATATAAAGTCCTAACTCGTTGGCAGGACTAATAGCGGTGGCAGGACTGTGTTGTGTGCAGAGATATCAAGCCAGATCGGTATTGCTGCTGTCCTGCGTCCACGAATCGGCGACCTGCGGGCCAGTTGCATGAGGGTTAAGAGCACAACTCTAATTTGTGCCGGCACCAGCTATCCCCCGGTTGTAGTGTTAGCATCGGGCATCGATCAACGCCCCTTTCGACATCGACGGCTAGGCCAGGGCGACAGAAGGAGGGTAGCAAGATGCTTAAAAAGACTAAAGTAACATCTAGCATCCAGTGCTATTATTACCTTGCGGGGTCTGACGCTCCTTAGTGTAGTATTGTCAGGGAGCTCCGGACGCCCAGTCTCCCGTTCTCCCACCCCCTTCATCCCGCGTTCACGGCATCAGACAGGGTGCGCAAACTTTTTGAGACGCGAGTACCGCGCGAGATTGTTATTAAAACTGTCGTCTCCCTAAGTTACGGTTCCTGGATCGCGAACGGCAGAGTTCACTAGGCAACACACCATACTCAATTCACCACGTCGCAGGCGAAACCCAGCGTTGCAACCTTATAATATGTTAACACCCCACACATTGCCCGCATCGAGGGCTATGTCGTGGTCCTAATCGTACAACGCATCGGCAACTAGGTAGTAATATTGAGATTGAGTACGAGGTGTTGTAGAGACTTCGTTTTGCTACCACGAGGCCTCTTTCTTTCTCTCTCGCTCTCTCTTCGGCGGTTCAGCTACACGTCAGCCGCAGGGGCTATGAGAGCCTATCTGAGCGGTGGAGGGGAACAGACTTCGGAGGTTATGATTATCCTTTGGATAGGATCGCAGAGCTTGGCTCCGCTGTGCAGCACACCCAGACAACACACCGCGGTGCTTTGACAATACGGAATCAAAACAAGACAACAATGTCCGATAAGCCTTGCCAACCGAACATTGCATAAGAACGTTCTCCTATCATGAGCAACCGGGTGCGAAAAAAATATCGTGTTGGAGTCAAAGTGCGACTGCCACCCGAGAACATCACAATATATGCTCGAAGAACCAACTGTCCAGATCCGGTTGGCATATCTAAAACTCTGAACATGGCCGCTTATGCGTCCGGTTCGTAACGCTGCAGATCCACGATTGCCAATTTTGCTGCCAATTTTGATTCTCTGCAACAAGCTCGTCCGCAACATAGTTAGGTGTCCATACTCGCCCCCCTCCCCCCCCCCCCCCTTTTAGGAATCCCACCGTATTACTGCAGACACCCTCTACTTTGGACGGACACCACGTGGCAGCGGAGACGCTGCCGTATGCGGCCAGGGGCCAGACGTCCTAGCGAGTCTTGTTCAGGCTAGACGGATGCTATGTTTATCCTCCTCCTCCTACCTGTGTGCGGACAACGTGATATTAGTCTTGAACGGAACGTCGGATGCGACTAGGTTAATGCATGGTTCTACTGTGAGCAAATGCAACTCAGGCTCACATGTTGAGGCCAACGATATGAGGCCTTCAGCTGTCTAGGTTGAACATGACAGCACCTAAGTAACCGAAGGGAGTCCGTAACGTAGGTAGTGTATCGAACTTTCGCGTTCTACAACGCCTCCCTCCAACAGCACAAGGAGATCCTGTGACGTTCCTTTGACTAGGAGCAGTAGTCCTCCTTTTGGCAAATGCTACTACATCTCTAGGCTAGGCGACCGTCAGAATCGTCCCGAAACACGCAGGTTGCGGGTCCTTGTCCCAATCTTGGCGCGAACGCCATTTAGGTAGGTACGTGAAAACCCCGCGTCGACGAGCGGGACTCTATGCTGGATCCATCCACGGGTCCACTAGATTTGAGTCGCAACAAGCTTTCTTCTACCTCCAGCTTCTAGGGGCTTCTCGCCTCGGGGCCTCGCGGTGGCCTCGGACTGCATGCAACATGCCTAACCTAAGGCCCAGGATGTGATGGCTCGAATTTGGACCCGTAGTTACCTAGCTAGCCAGCGTATTCTTAGCTCTGCAACTGTACTGCGAGTTCGAACGCCACGTCTCTCCGCAAAATCACAACTAATACTTGCTAATTGCCTCTTAGGCAAGGATCTATCGATACTTGCCTCCCGTTCGCCTGCCGACGAAGGTGCACGGCAGACTGTGCTGATAACGCGTGGCCTCGATCGTCTCGAGGGAGACGACAGTTGGCTTCCTCATGACGCTGGCCGTCGCGCCTGGAGTAAAACCTCCTTTGCCGTTACGTTGCTTCGTATATCGAAGTGAAAGATTGGGCTCGCTCTCTGGGTAATCATAATGAGCACGAACGTTTCTATGATAGCTAGCGCCCTGTTGCTCTTCCTGCATCGTAACCTACGAGCAAAATCATGGGATTCACAGATTTCTGGCACATGCTGGCCCGCGTTCAGCATAGCCGTTGGCATGACGTCTTCAGCGTACCATACCTTAATGGATTTCGTACTCAGAGTGCTTCCGGTAAGCGAGCCTCTCGATTCCCTCCTGGCCTTGCCGAGCCCCCGACACCGCCCCTAGATCAAGGAGGCTAGGTACCTGAGGTAGGTATCCCTAATATTGCTACCACGTGTCTCTGCTCCCTTTCTAGCACCAGGTTTTCTTTCTCTGTACATTATCCTGTTTAGTTTAGTTGCTTTGAATGCACATACTAACCGACTGCACCAACTAGATGAGGGAGGTTGTCCTGTCATCTGGGGAAGCGCCAAAGCCGCTACGGCTGTCATGGCTGCTTCTATTCCCGCGCTTCGAGTACTCGTAGGAGATATCGGGACTTCAAGCACATGGTGCTGCGAGTCAACCTCGTTTGGGGCCACGCTCAGGTCCCTAGAACACGCGCCGAAGAGAGACCGCCGGCCTCCCGACAAAACCAGCCGAGGAGGCAAGATATATGACGCCGCTACTGACCAGGAAAGCGAGGACAAAGTCGGGCTGAGCTGGTCGGAGTCGGGCAGGATCATCAAAACGCAGGCAGCATGCCCCCCCGTAAGTGACTTTTCCGACATCTGCTCTTGATATCGCGTCTCGCTTGGAAAGTCAGGAGATGGACTGCGCCGGACACTGATATTGAAATGAATGAAACTAATACACGTTGCATGGCCGGAATCTAGACATACGACGAAATACTGCCAGTGGGTGGAGGACGAAAAGAAGAGGAATAAGAAAACAGAAGAGGGTCCAGCAGGGAAATTAGGTATGTAATTAAGTACCTAGGTACTAGCATAAATTAAGTGCATAACGGGTAAACTTCTTATGTCATCCTCACAACCCGCCATGAGTTACCATATGTACCTATGTACACTGCGCCAAGTGACACACAGAGGGCGGCAGGTGGCAGTGCCGAGCTACCAACACACGCCTGATCGGCGCCAACGGCTGGACTCAAGCCAGGACAACCCGAGCGCGCATCGCGACGCGTCTACCGGCCTCGACTCCGAGTTACGCTTCGACGACAGCCCACAGAATTTCCAACACTAGAGCCTAGGTCATGGTTATAATTGTATCATAGTCGCAGCGTCACGTCTGACGCCGAAATGGCCACCAGTAAGCGTCGAGCTGTCCTCCGGCAGTTGCGCAATAGAGGCTAACACCCGATTACCAGGCCGTGAAGAGCGCATGCAACAGCGCATGCGTGGGGCAGGGTATGTTTCCCCTCGGACCGCGGAACCTCACAGTGCCTCTCCTGATAACGAGAATCTAGACGTCACGAAGTCGGCGATGACTCCTTCGGCTTCGTCCTCCCCGGCGTCGAAGCCTCTCCCGATGTACCCACGCCGGCACTCGAACCACGATCAGAGCCAAACACCTCTGCCAAACGAAGGCGGCTGAGCCCCGAAGTTGGCCCGGTAAACTCGCAGCCGTCTTCGAGCGCTTCCCGAGCTTCGAGGTCTACCAGAGCGTCCGCCCGACTGAGCGCGTCGAAAGCAGACCCGTACGCCCTACACGATAACGGTCCTAACCCTATACATCAAGAACCCGCTGCTCCCACGCCGGCGATCGAGGAGCCGTCGAGTGAATATGTGGCGACAACCCCTCGGCCTGCGACTGTACAGCGCCCGGTGTCCAGTAGATCTATATCTAGGTTTCCCAACGGCCATGTAGTGGAGGAAGTCGGCGAAAGTCCGGCTGACGCTCCCGGGAGCGGCTCGAGACGTCGAGTTAAGGTCCCTGAGAGCGCGACCCGAAGCGCGAAACTGCTGAGAGCTGTGATGATGGACGAAGATGCCACCGTCACGGGCGAACCCACCTTATCTTCCCCCCTAGCACGGAGAAGCAGGGCCAGTGGCGCAACTCTGGGCGGAGTCTCAGCGCGGTCGGCACGGTCGACACGGGCGATCACGAGGGCATCTTTGGAAACAGCAAACGGAGCTGCCGACCAATCGACGCCCACAGGTCGACCACCACAGAAGAGCAATGGAACGGCGCCTACCAGTTCTGCTCGATCCGCTAGAAGTCGGGATCGGCGTAGCAGCCCTAGCCTGATCGTGGACGAAACAGATCAAGCATCCTCACCACCCCAGGCTGCCGGTATTGATCGTGCCAGAAAATTCAAGCCCGCCGTTGAACCATTGGAGGACGCGGACGAAGACGAGGCAACTGATGAGGTAGAAATAGAGGAGGGAGGCGAAGCAGAAGCGGAGACCGACGAAGAAGCAGCCGAGGAAATAGATATACATCATGTCGCCAAACGGATAGGCCAAAAACGCGCTCGAGCTAGCCCACCCCGAGAAGCCTCACCAGACTTGGGTTCTCGAATCGTCGAGGATTCCCCACCCGCGAAGAAAAGTAGACAGAAAAGACTACAAGGAAGCCCAGCGAAACAATCACATCCCAAAGCGCCCAAGAACAAGAACAAACCACCCACAAGAAGGCGGGGTGATGGCGAGGCCATCCCCATTGCCGTGCAGAGATATACGAAACGCACGCGTCCAAACGAGGGCGACGCGGATATCCTAAGTACCGAGATTCCCTTCTCCAACCGAGGCGGCGTTAATGTGATCGACGTCCTGTCGCAGATGTGCGACGAGATAATCCACTCCAGCTTAGAGACGCTGCGCGAGGCCGGTGCCGACGCGAAGGACTCGGCCTCGAAGAAGGAGCTGAGAACAAAACTCCGCGCTCTCGAAGCATTCCAGGAGGAGCTGCGAACACGGCTCCTGGAGCACGTATGCCATTGCCACTTTCCCTTAGCGACAGGCGCCAGCTGACCAGCCACGCAGACCATCGCCCTCGACACGATGCACGCGCTCAAGAAACGGGTGCGGTCGGTCCAGAAGGAGAAGCTCGCGCTGCGGACGGAAATCATGCGCATCCGCGCCGAGAGAGAGCAGGTGGCTCTGAAAACGGACGCCGTGCGAATCCGGCACGAGACGGCGAACCGGGAGTCGATTGTCAGTCCGTCCCGGGGGTGACCCCGCGCCCTCGTTGCTGCCGTGCTGACAGAACCAAAAGCATCAACTAGGGCTCTCCTCTACGATAGACGACATCGAGTTGGCGATCGAGAACGGGAAATCAGCCCTGGATCTGAACCCGAAGGAGCGGAAGACGGCCGAGCTGGCGAATCTAGAATTGCTGATTTCCAGGGTGGCCAGCCACGCGAGTACGGCTGGCGGCAGCGGCGGGAACCTCAAGCAGATCAGAGACTTCAACGCCTTTCTCGAGCGCGCCGCTGCGGCTCTCGAGGGGAGATGATGGTACCTATGGGGGCTATTGGATAGTTCCGGTGGGAAAGTCTTGTCTCACGACGGTGAGCAGAACTATTTAGCAACCGGACGTCGCAGCTTGCGTCTTTTGCGACCAAGCCATCCAATAGTACAGCCACGGTACCCGGTAGCAGCCGAGACGACCTTGACCTAGACTTCCTCACTTGTGACCACAGCAATTTAGCAGCCCGATCGACAGATCGCGGCTTTAGCAGTAGCCCGCCAAGTTCTCGGCACGACTGGGCGAAGCTAGAGACGACGACGCCGACCGTAAGTAGAAGCATGTCTCCGAGGCCAGTGTCCGGTCTATATCTATCCATGCCGGGTGTCGAAGTAATACCTACGTGTAGATGGGGATCGTTCTTTGGGGGGGTAGATGGAAACCGCATCTCTTATCACAACTGTGCAAACGCCCAACCGCCACCCCCCCCCGGCCCCCTATCCAAGAGCTTGCCGCAGTTTTCATCCTCGGCAACGTGCCATACTCGTCCTTTGCTGCCCGAGCGATTTCACAGGAACATGCATATCTTCTTCCTAATGACTAGCGAGCTAATATGGGGCTAACGTGTGATCCCGCCCGGCTTAGGCCCCCGGCACATCCTCCTCTCTTGTGTTAGAACACGCCCCGTTCGAGCCTCGAAAATTCTCTTCGGGCGGAACCGTTCACACCACGGAATTCACCCTCCTCACCCTCACCTTCACACCCCCGTCCCTGCGCCCGCGCGCGCCGAGCGGCTACGCATCCAGGTCGTCGTCGTCGTCGTCGTCGTCGTCGTCGCGGGAGCCGGCGTAAATCTTGCGCAGCAGGTGCTTTAGCAGGCCCTCTTCCTTGGCCTCTTCCAGCGGGAAGATCTTGTGACCCCTCTTGGAGTACTTCCTGAGCTTCTCGAGGCTCTCGAAGACCTGGACCGGGCTGTCGGTCCGCCCGCCGTGGACGAGGTCGACCAGGTTCACGTGCACGCCCCGGATTTTCTGGCGCCGGGGGGACGGGGGAGGAAGAGGGACCGCCCGGCGTGTTAGCGCTTGCGTGGCACGGCAGTAGGTAGTAACCCTGCGACGCAGGGGGCATCGGTCGTCTTTCTTTCTTTCTTTCTTTCTCCCTACTCCTAACTGCTCAGGGGACAACGTACCTTTCGGCAGTCCTTGACCGTGTCCGGGACCGGCGAGATGCGGACCGTGTCGCAGAGCAGCTGCCACGCCGTGAGCGACTTCGGGTCGGTTCCGTAGATGGTGCCGAACTCCATGGCTATTGCTGCCCTGAGTTCCTTCAGGGCCGTTTCTTTTTCCTCCGAGTCGTGCCCCCATCCCTGGTGCTTGCATAGCCGCCGGAACTCGGTCATGATCTGCCCCTTCCGGTCGTAGGGGAAACTCGGGAACTGGGCGAAGAACGCGTCTATGGCCGACTCCTCCCCGCTGGCACCGCTCGCCGCCGGGGCGGCAGCTGCGCTCGAGCTCGCGAACGGCATCGCAGCGAAGCGCGGGAGCTCGCGCGGCGGCCCGTGGAATCGGCCAGTCGCGATCCCGCCGAAGCGAAGACGGGCGCCGTTCGCGATCATGGCGCCGACGCGCCGCACGGGGGCACAGGCTGCTGCACGGAACATCGGGACGAGAGGCATGTGGAAGAAGAGAAAAGGTTGTAAGTAAATAGAGGAAGACGGCCACCCCGGCGCGGGTTGCAGAGGGCTAGCTCGGGGATCACCACGTCTTTTGAACAGATACGACGGCACGTTACGCTGCGCCGTTTGCCGCCTATGTATGTTGCTGCAAGCAGCAGAGGCGCCGCTGCTGCCGCCGTCCACCCTATCACGTCCCAGCTGCGCCGTCGATGGTGCCAAGTCGCCCCCGACCAGCCAGCCCTCGCTGTCTGCCTGCCCGCCTGCCTGCTCCTCAAACCAGAAAATCAATCGAGTCGGACCGGCTCGAGCCTCCAAACGAGCGAGCGAATAAACCATCGAATCGTTGGGATGCCCAAACAGCCATAACAATAACAACGACCACTACTACCTAAACCACACCCCCACACGCGCGTAGCATGTACCTACGCGCGCGGATTTCCTCTGCGGCACAACATCCCTCGCCTCCTTCCCCTCCCCTTCCTCCCTCTCGCTCTCTCTCACTTGCTCTCACAGCACCTGCTTGAACATGGAGTAGTACGTCTCGGAGGCGATAGTCCGCTCGCCGGTGCACTCGGCGTCGGCGGGGAGGTTGCCGCCCTTGGCGCCGAACCGCGTGGCGTAGACGGCGACGCCGAGGTCGTACTTGCCGGCGCTCGGCTTCGGCTCCGACGCCTCGGTCCGGAGCTCCCGCTCGAGCGCCATGTCGAGCGGGCTCGCGGCCAGCGGGTCCGGGATGACGAGCGTTGTGTTACCGACCCTGCCGGGAGGGCCCGCCGGTCAGTTGACTACGCTTACGTTGCTAATGTTCTCTGGGAAGGGAGAAGGAAGGGAGGGATGGAAAGATGACAGGTCAGGCTGCGGTGGCGGTGGCGGTGGCAGTAGTGCCGATCCGAGAACACGGAGGAGGGGGGGGAGAGAGAAGGCGAGGCCTACCAGTACGTAAACGTGTCGTTCGCCGTGTAGAAGATGGAGTTTCCGCCGGAGGCGTCGCGGTGCGGCATCAGCACGTGGCGGCCGACGAGGAACGCGCGCTCCGAGTCGGCGTCAGCGTCGTATAGGTCGTACTCGAAGGATGCGAAGCGGTACGGCGCCGCGGCGCCGCCTCGGGACGCGTCGCACCGAAAGGTGCGCGTGCCCACGGCCAGAAAGGTGAGGTACCGCGCGTAGTGCTCCGCCGGCACCGGGGCCACGAGCGAGTCCGTGTACGCAACGGGGGACGGGGAGGGGGCGGGAGCCGGCGAGGGGAGCTGCGAATGGGGTGGAGAGAGGGGATTGCCGAGCGAGGACAGGAGACTGAGTACGAGCTGCTGCATGATTGGTGCCATGGCGTGTGTCTGAGGGTGTGTAAGTGAGCGCGTATCTACGTGTGCGTGCGTGCCGGTGTGCGTATGACTGGATTGTGATCGAGGGGTGATGTCGACAGCGAAGTGAGAGATTCTCCCCGAGTGGCCACCTCGCAAAGTCTGACAAGAAGCACGACAGGAGGCACTCTCTGTCAAATCACCGTGGCCGAAGGGGTCGCGCGCGTGGCAGCCTACCGGCCACCCCGGTTGGCTATATTGAGGACTTCCCGATCCGTCTCGCTGGGTATTATAGTATTTAGCCGACGAAGCATTCCCCTCCGATTTCGCGGCCTCTCGTACGAGGCAAAGGACGTAGACGCTTGTTTCTTTTTGTATTTAGCCTCCTCCGTAGAGCCTCGGCCAAGGAGTGTAACTGAACGTCTATTCTGGCCGCGCGGTCCTGACTCGTGGGATAGCACTCGAGTACGATGCACCATCAGTGTCAAGAGTACGTGAGGTAGCACTTGCGAGCATATTCCTAGAGCCCCCAATCCGGGCTACGCAAGCCCGTCCGTGATCGAGCTCGACACTAACTATCGGATCGAGTACATAAAGGACAACGGTCCGGGGTAGGTAGCATTGCAGCTGGAGATGGATGGAGTCGCCGCCGAGGATCGCCACGGAATCTCAGCTGGGGACGTTACTCTCTATATTGAACCAACGCGGATGTGGTCGGCATCAAAGACCAATGAGAAAAATAGAGAGAGCCGAGAAGGAGAGCATCGTGTAGCGCTTCCGGTCTCAACGTCACCCAACGTATCGTCATTATAGATTACCACTATGCGATGCAGATAAGCAGCATCGTCCATTATGGTTGGTGGGCGATATCCCCCTTCTGCTAGCATCCCGTCAGCGAGCTATCCATGTCGCCAGCTGCGGAGAAACCTCCGGCGTGGTGGGGGTGGGGGAGGGGGGAGATGCGGGACTATGCAATCGCCTTGTTACATCTAATACCCAGGCAAGTTTTGCGAGGATAGAAGATGACATGCAATCGAGAATCCCATAACCCGTCCGCATATATCGGGTGTTATGTCGGATATGGGACTGACTCGGGGCGGAGACTAGAGAAACAGATGTGCCGGTCACCCGTTTATGAAGTCACAACGCCCTACTCATATAAGGATTCTTCACGAGTGGGCTTTTCCGGTAACTCATTCTTAGACAACCATTGGCACATCTAATTCGCCACCGCGAATCGTTGATAAGGGCTAGAATAAGCAAGTCGAGACATGTTTCGTATCTCGTTTATCCCATCCCGGTGACGTTGCGGATTAATAGTCTACAGGTATCCCTGTCGCATAACCGCGGGACTCCAACAAACTAGAAGTAATACTCTGCGGGCTCGAACACAACAACAGGTTTTTCCAATGATGGGGGCAGCCGAGATCACCACGGGAAATTCGCAACAGCAAGCTAGCCCCACTGCGAGGCGCTGTGCAAGCTGACCCCTTCCGACTTTAATACGTGATAGGTTGTTCTTGATGAGCACATAATTGGAGATCGCCGGTAGATAGTATTGCGCCGCCACTGGCGGGATGGCTGGGAACAAAACACTTCGTAATGATGCAGCTAAGCGGTTGCGCAGTGCTAACTGCGAAGAACGGAAGAAAATAGAAGGGGGGCAGAGCGAGAGATAAGGATGATAGACAACCTCTCGGCGCTGGGGTGTCCTCCTAGGCCAAGCAGCAGAACAGGTTAATTAACCTCCCGAGAAGTAAAGAGACGCTCCATCGTCACCAGAAAGGGCTGACACTTACGAAACTTGGGCGAGTGTGTATCCTTGCTGCCTGGCCCCTCGTCCTATCTTGTCCGGTGAAGGGGTCGCTTCCGCAACCTGGAAAAGCAACAAGTTGCCTAGAGGAGAGTGGTTAATCGAGGCTAACTCGATTGGCCCGTGAACGTCTTCCCCGGGTGTGGCGATCTCAAGCCTTGGCAGGTGGCCGTATCTTAAGTGGTGTGAAGGCGAGTGCTCTGGGTGTGCCTCATACTCTACGAAGCAACCTTCTCCAACTTTCAAGACACCGAAAACCACAGGTTTCGACTTCAGCTCGGCCCTAAATGTGATTGAGAACGCCATATGCGTCGGGTGTCATGCCCGTTGTAGTTCTCAAGGAGGGAGCGGTGGCCTGGGCAGCCTGGCACGGCCGAAAGCACACACGGGTATATATTGAGCAGTGTCGCCTGCATATATCCCTCGAAATAACCTCCTTGTAGGATAATTCTTCGACGCTCTGCGGCTGAACCCGTTTGTACGATTCGCTTGGATTCTCAAGAAGGCCATTATAGGTCCCCAAATCGGCATATGAGCGAGTGTGGTTTCGGAAATGGGATATCCTCTTCCGTATTCGCTAGGCATCAGCCTTTGGCTGGCCCTGATGTGCGTCGTCGCGTATGTTATCCGGTTTTCGTTACGCTCGCTCCCGGACAAAAACTATCCTCCAGGGCCGCCCTGTCGCCCCTTCATCGGGAACTCCTCCTACTTTTCTAGCCCGATGCCGTTTCTCGACTTCACGGAAATGCGCAAGACGTACGGTAACATCATCGGTCTCAAATCGGGCTCTCGAAATTTGGTTGTCCTTAATACCGCAAAGCTCGTGGATGAGCTTCTGGAGAAGCGCTGGAGCATCTACTCTAGCCGCCCGGCTGATGACATAGTCGTGGAGTACGTCCTCCGCGATTCTCAGCACATCGTCTCCATGCCGTACGATGGCTATTTAAAACAGTGGCGCGCGGCGACTCGCTATCTCCTTGGTTACCAGCAGGTCGAGCAGATGCTACCAAGGCAGGAGGCCTCTGCGGCTCATCTGATGCTGAGGCTAGCCGAGAGTCCGGGGAATGCCGCTGAACATTTCCAGACTTGGAGTTTATTCGTGCCGATGCTCGCAATATGCGGTGACTCGACGGCCAGGAACGATTCCGAAATTAAGGACACGTTCTTCAAAAACCAACAGGACTGGATGACCATTCTCATCCCTGGCTCCACCTCAGCGGCCGAACACGTTCCGATCCTGAAATACGTCCCAGAGTTCTTTGCCAAGTGGAAGCGGGCCGCCGAATCCGTGCGCAGGAACCAAAGGAAATTTTACTATATGATGCTTGACTCGGCAAGGAGAGAGTTGGCGGAAAACCCCGCTTCCTGTAGCCCGAGTTCTCAAAAGCGCGAGTCGTTAGGAGCAAAACTCCTGAGGCAGCAGCAACAGGACGGCAAGGGCAAGTTCAACGATGACCAGCTTGCGTATCTCATGGGCACGCTACTCGACGCCTCTGTCGACACCACGTTCTCAACCGTTAAGACGTTGCTGCTAGCTCTGGCAGCATATCCGAACTGCCTCGAGCAAGCGCAAGCAGAAATTGACGCCCTTCGCGGCTCTGATTACCCGCCGCAGAGCGAAGATCTTGGGAAATTGCCTTTCCTCAGGGCCTGCCTTCTCGAAGTATGTAAACACTTTGGCCATTCTAGAGAGACATTAACTTATTAAGAGTTCTAGGTTATGCGGTGGAGGCCGGCAGTCCCAATCCTGGTGTCACGACGTCTCGACGCCGACGACATCGTCGATGGCTATCACTTGCCCAAGGGGACTGTAGTCTTTGGAAACACGTGGGCGATCCAGCAGGACCCCGAACACTACGAAAACCCAGACGTGTTCAACCCCGACCGGTTCCTGTCCAACCCCTACGGCACCAAGACGAGCGCGGACGAGGCCAAGGTGCAGGGTCGAAAGCCGATCTACATCTTCGGAGTCGGCCGTCGCAGATGCCCAGGAGACGTGTTCGCGATGAACACCACCCTCATCACGCTCGCCAAGCTTCTGTGGGCCTTTGACATAACGCCGACGGGGAAGGTCGATCTAGACATGAGGACGGGCTTTCGCGTCGGTCTCGTGATGATACCGAATAATTTTAACGTCAGTTTCGCTCCGCGATCTGACAAACACCGAGAAGCGCTCTCGGACGACTTTCAGAGGCTCTCTCATCTCCTCGAGTGACTGGTCGATATCTCTCTCATGTCAGGATGCGGGTGTGGGAAGCGTAGTTTTGGCTAGCGGCCCTAGACGTGGTCCGGGCCCATGGTTGGTAATCTGAGCGTCTGGCTCTTTCGAGTGGTAAGAGGCCTTTATGCCGGATGCGCGACGGAGAAACGGGAAGGGGGAACAAAAGGACGTCCCCATTATGTTGCTAGGAACAGGGATATGGGTGGCCTTCGCTCCTTATTCAGTATCTAGCAGGTGTTTCGACATCCTATCCTCCAACGATCAGTCAGTCGGCTAGCCTGTGACCGTGTTTACTCGCGAATAAATCGAATCCTCATGTGGTAGCGGTGTCGACAGTTATTGAGAGACAGGTCTAACCGATTCTATTGTGGGGGTGGTGGAGGTGCGGCCGTGGCTGATGATGCTGGTCGGGATAGGTGGGTGTAGGTGGGTGGGTAGGTATCTGTAGGCAGACGAGCGATCGCGTGAATGGGGGACGTACGTGTAAGTGTGCTTACCTTAGGTTACGCACGTGTAGGTAAAGCCAGCTTAGCTAAGGTAGTCAACTCTCGACCCGCGCTCTACCCGAGTGCCCTCTCTCCTCATCCCCAGCTAGGGATTCCCCCATTCAACGAGCACCCAAGTCACGTAGAGACCTCAGAGGTACCTGCCTGCCTCCTACCCCCGGACTTTGGGCTGTAGTCTAGACACAATCGTGCCATCAGGCACCTTCACTCGTCTCTCGTGGTGGATCGCGATGGACGTTTAGGGCTCCCTGTCGCTGGCCCTTTTACAGGCGTGTCGTGGGTGGAGAAGCTGTGACGTCACGTCACGTGTCAACCTACCCGCCTTAAATAAGGTCTTGTACGGCAGTTGTGGATAACGGAGCTCAGTGGGTTTGATAATAGAGGATAGGTTCGATTCCTGACAGCGCTACTTGGTAGTCTCTATTGTTAAGTCTATCTGGTAACTTCGTCCAGGCAGCAGGTACTGCGTACTTTAAACCCCAGAAGCTACTGGTTCGAGCCAGAGTGCCGCCTTTGTAATAAGGTCCTTTTAGGTGGTACGTATGTACTAGTGCAGGCTATACGATAGTAGTAGAGCGTATCTTATCCTTGTAAGATCCTATATTCCGACGTTTACTAGAGTAGGCAGTGTTGTAATAGCGCGCGGGGGCGCGTGCCTGTTATATGGGTCGAGCTTAGTAGGTTTGATAATAGAGGATAGGTTCGATTCCTAACAGCGCTACTTGGTAGTCTCTATTGTTAAGTCTATCTAACGGAAGCGGACCTATACCGAGGTACCTGAGGTACTTAGGTGAGGTGAGGGACCTTAGATACCTGTACCCGAGCTATTAGGTACATCATTAGATGGGGTTACCTGATGATTACCTATGCCCGCGATGATCTGATACGGCGACACGAGGTCTTTTCTAGGCTATGATGGCCGGCCTGTGGCTTAGCTGGGGCGATGACCACTTTATCCGCTCCTGGTATGTACCTACCTAACCCCTAGTTTAGGTACCTCCCAAGGTACTTCTTACCGAGGTGCAGTACGGACCGTAGGTACCTAGGTACGTAGAGGTACCTAAGGCAGCCTCTGCGTCCAGGTACCTATGACGTCCGTGAGATCAGGTACGTAGGTAGGTACCTAAGGTACTCAAGGTAGCACGATGCCGTATGGTAAGTTTCAGCATCCGGCATCAATCCTAGGTAACCTACCGAGACGCTCTCACTCATGTTGTGGATGTTGACAAAGGATGCGCAGGAAGAGAGGCGCGCACCTCGTCAGATCCAGCCATGTTGGGTACCTACCTCTGCCCAGAGTCACGCACTAACTTCCATCCATGGTCCATCGTAGCGTCGTGTCGTGTCCCCCCGGTCCCCAGCTAAACTTAGACGGCATCGCCTTGGGAGGCTGGGTCGACTTGGCGTTCCTGCTTAGCCCACATCACATGGCTTCTTAGGCACCATAGGGTATAATTACTTTCCTCAGCCCGTCCCGCTGGTCAGCCCGGAATTTCATCCTATCGCGTCCCCCTCGTCTTCTCTTCCGCTCGTCCTCCGCCCTCCTCCGCCGTCCTATCTGCAATTCGCTTCTGCAGTGCAAGATCTGTGGTAGATAGGTGTACGTCTGTCGAGCTTATTCGCTTTCCACCACTGTCGAGCCCATCTCGAACTCGCCGCTCCCGGCAACCTCGCCATGGCTAGGTTCGATTACCCGTATAAGAAAGGCGTGAACATCACCGCCTGGGTCCTGCAGATCCTCGTCTGCCTGATCCTCCTCGCCGCGTCGGCGTGGCTGCTGAATCTGGTCAACTCGGACGATTTCGACGGCAGCCTGGGCGAGTATGAAGGCTTGGTCACGTACGTCCGCCACGACCTCCTCTCCATCGGCGCGCGCTAACCCGTCGCAGTGCGGCCTCCGGCCTCCAGATCGGTATCACCGCCCTAACAATCATATTCGATATCGTCGAGATCGTCCTCATCACGGGAAAGCGGATGCCGCCCGCCCTCTATCTCTCCAGCGCCTGCATCAAAACCGGCATCTGGGGCGCCATCTTCATCATGAACCTGATCTCGCTATCGATCCTCGCCATCTGCCTAACCTTGGTCCTTTTGTACGTAGTGGGAAAAAACAACACAACCCCCCCCCTTCCCCCCACACCCGGCCCACCCACATGGAGACAGTGCCCCCCCCACACAGGGAGTTGGAAATCCGCGAATGCTAACCCCTAAACAGTGGCACGTCTCTGATGCAGCTCATCTACGGGGCCATCCTCATCCACCGCAAGCGACGGGGCACATTGACGGGCGGCGACTATGCGCTCTCCATCAACCCGGATACCTTCACCGCCCCCCTCGGCGCGCCGCCCCCGGGATACTACTACCAGAACCCGAACGTAAACACCGAGTACAAGCCGCCGACGGCCGTCGCGTCGCCGCCGCCACCTCAGAACCTGTATTCCGCCCCCGAAGTCACCGGCCAGCCGGCGCCGGCCGGCACATACGAGATGGACAACCGCCAACGCTTCGCGTAAAGGCATTTCCGAGAGGGTCTCGGCGGCGGGTGGATAGATGAGAGACATGGGAACGTAATGCGCCCAGCTGGCTATTTTTAGGCTGCGCGTAGTAAGGCGAAAAGAACAGAGGGGAAGCAGACGGAGGAGAGAGGACACGTCTCGGTTGGGTCCTAGCTCTGCTTCTGCACGCGCAACTTGTGATACCCGGGTGTACGAAAGGCGTTCATAGATACGGAGGCATTAATTCGGAAAATGAATGGGCGCCAAAAAATCGGCGTACAAGCGCAGTCGCGCGTCCATGTTGAACGTTGCATCGCCAAGCTGATCCCGGTCAGCTGCAGGACCGGATATTCGTGATAGGTGGGAGAGAGGATGGTGCATGCACGAGCCGACGTCTAACCGATTCATTCCCGATACTACTCAACGGCATGGCGGAGGCTGGCAAGGCTGGCCGTGCGGCGTGGTATGTCTGGCGGGAGAGTGGCCGTACCCGTTCCCGCGGCGATGCATGCGTTGGATTTCCCGGTCATAGTTCCCGTGGATTGTGAAGTTCGAGACTTGCGCTCTCTGGTATAGGTAGGTAGGTATAGGTCGGTTCCGCCGCCGGCCTGCCGAGCCCGGGTGATGTCTCTGTACATGCATCCGGCATTGTCAGCTTGATATATATAATATATTAGGTACCGTTCACGCCACCCGCTGCAACATTCCGGAGTCTGGTCTCAGGGGGATGTCGGGGTCCCGGATAGGAGAGCCCTGAGCCCGGGCTCCTCCTCCCTTCACCTGTAGCCACCTAACCTGTCTGTCGTGGATAACACCCTCTCGAGGCTATTCGGGAGCGGCCAGGGTGCGTGCAGGTAGATGTCGATAGTATCTATCAATACTGAATCTTCTCTCCACTTCTGTAGCGCGACCCAATGTACTTGGCGCGCGTATGCGGCACAGGAAGTCAATTTTCGGTACTTGTCTTACACCACGTGTTGATGACCAAGTGTGCAGGAATAGGAGATGTGTGTTTTCGTAGGATGGTCCACCGAGGACATTAGGCAGGTAAGTTGTTAGGCACCTTTATAGGGAATCTAACTATACTCCTTTAGCAAGTCGTTTTATATATTAATAAAACCACTCACCCACCTATATAAACTTATGTTGCGTAAAACGTAAACGCCTATTACATTCTACGACTTCCACCATCTCCAGCAATCCACTCGTTTTCTCAAATGCCTTTCTAGCCTCACCTTTCTTCCTTTTCCTCCCAACTACCTTTACAGCTAGCCGGTCAACCGTTTACAGCTATTTACAATAGCGATCTCGTCCGATCGGCACTGGGCCAGTTGTTGGCAGTTGGGTGGTTGCTTGTCCCATCCGGCTCACCTAGGTTCAGCGCGCCCACGCCGCTCCTCTTCAGTACAGCCGGCTGCGGCTTATCCAGGGGCAACACGTGCCCGTATGCGTCGGCATGACGGACCTGGTCCTGCCGTACTATTGCGATGGCGGCGTCTACACCTACTTCCTGTCCCTTAGCTGGGGCGGTATGCCGATACATAAGTGTCTCTCGACCACATCGCCCCGACCGACGCCCCCCGCGCAATCAAGACAATTTACGGCAAATTACACAGCCTCGGCGTCCTCCATCGCGACGCCGAGCGCCGGAATATACTATACGACACTCGCACGAACAGCATCATGGTTATAGACTTTGAGCGGTCCAAGGCGTCCGATCAGCAATCCCGAGGCTCGATAAGCCCGAACTGCCCCAGGCAGACGGGGAAACGAGGCGCGAAGGCCACTGGGAGTGGCGACCCGTTCGCGCTGGAGTTGCGGTATGTTCTGGTAGCAGTTTCAAAGTGCATGAAGTGAGGAGGGGCCACGTCTAGTCTTCTTCGAACGTGAATCCGTGGTGTTATTTGGAGGAGAGCTGGCTATAGGTATTCCTCTTTTCAAAGGATTCTCGAGTATATGATAGCCCTCTTGTCGTGTGGCTGTCCTCTAGGTGAGGGAAGCGGTATAGACTATCTAGCTAAGAAGAGCCGGATAGAATTATCCTATCCGGAGGAGAATTATAATATGTAAAACATCATCAAACTATCGAATTCATATGCGTATGTTAATTTGTTGTATTAAATTCGTGTACTCATTGGCTCTTTTGACCTTACAACTAGTATATAGGTACGTGACGCCTCTCTACGAACTATTTTATTAGCTCATCTTCGGCTCCCTCATAACTCCGAGCCTCTCGACCCTCCGACAGACTGCCCCACGGCCTACGAAAGCCGCCAGGAGCAGTTCAATTCATCTCGTTCAGATGCACCTGATGGCAGTAGATAGGTATGCAGTCTTTTTGGTGGCCAGCTTCATCATACTCGGTCGGTGTTGGCGCTCTGTAGCCTCTGCAGGTGCACCATCTGGCTCGTATACACCGTGAAAGCACCCCGGGGCCACGGAAGATAGTCAATCAAGTTGAATGGCACAGGATGCGCATCGGCGAGGTGCTGGCCGGTAGAAGTTTTTATTGCGAGGCACCTCCCAGCCATTTCCTTCCCTACAATACCCGCGCTCCGCCTAAACGGCCAATACCTAAGGCAAGTACACCAGGAGTTAATCTGTAAGGACGATCAAAGCCCAATCTACCTCGGCACCTAAACTCTTGCTTGCCACACCTCGTATGACCTGCGCCGTGAGAAACCAGCAAAACAGCACCGATAGCCTATTGCGGTAGGTGGCGGGCACACGGCCATGCACACAGCCTTCGTCTAGGTCCGCGCGCTGGCGTGTTCGAGACGCTACAGTCTCTGGCCTGTCCAGCTGAGATGGCGCGTGGGCGGCGTCCCGTCGCATCCACGTCCCGCCCCCGTCGAGCCGGGTCTGGCCCAGGGGCCCACGCTCGTCAAGCTTTGTGGCTACGAGAGGGGTTCCGGGGTCGATGGATGATAGGTGGTGCCCCGGCCTCCATCCAATCACGGAATCGCCCCGTCGATGTGCCTACGTGGAGGCGGCACACGCATGTACGCGTACGCATGGGCTGGACATGCGACGTATTTTCAATGTACCTGCCCTGTCGTTCTCACGATGGACGGTACTTTTTTTTATTTTTTTTATTTGATTGCGCTACGACACCTGTGTCTCCTCCCTATCTCCTAGACAGCTCAGAAACTCAGCGGTCTTCTTGCTCGCCTATCCTATTCAGGCACACCTCGCTTTCCTACCTAGGTACGGGGTCCGTGCAACAGGGGCGTGTTTCCTGCTTGCTTCGTAGTAAAATCACGTACCGGAGGGAATGGGAGTCATAGATGCATGGCAGCTGAACGGACGGGGTGACGGGGGTGAGAAAGGGGGAAGCAGAGAGGCAGCCCACGGCTGCTGGCCCTGCCGTACCCTCTGCCGTTATATCCGTCGGCCTGAGATAAATTCGCTCGTTCTCCACAGACTCCCCATTCCCTTCTCACTCCTCTCCTTTCGCATCCAGTTTTTCGTCGCCATCCTGCCGTGTTCTTTCGCCTTTTGCAGTCTCCATTGAGCTGCTACACAGTTCTTCTAGATCCAGTCCTCTCAACCAATAGGTGTCTCGGCCTACGTCTCTGCTTCGGCCTCGAATCGCCTCTCGTCCTCCTACTAGTACCCGCTAGAATTCCGGGGGGAGAAATTACTCGCCACCGAGATGCCTGCCTCTGAAGAGCCCCAGCTGCAAGCGCCCATGGAGATGACCTCTACCTCGGCCACCGGCATCGTCACGCAACAACCCGTATGTCCTCTTCCCCATGCGTTGCAATTCCCCTCTCTCCGATCGGCGGCAGCACTGCCTCCGTCTTCGTCTCCCCCACCATGCTGGTGTAGCACACTGTCCTTAAACAGCGCGGATTCCGGAACTGACACGTCAGAATAGTCCGCCGAGCCCCAGCCCCAGATGGGCCTGCGTGGCGGCGAGGAGGAGGCCGGCTGCGAGATCTGTTGCGGCCTCTGCGCCTGCAACGAGGGTTGTTGCTAGACGGACCGCCCCTCCTCTTTCCCCACCCGCGTCCCGTCTGCCGATGCTGCGTGTGGCCGCTAGGTATCCTCGTCGTCCTCGCGAAGTGCGAGAAGTAAGAAGCGGGACGGGAGCGGACAGGCTCTGGCTGCACAGATACGCGTGGGTCCTAGCGGATGTGCCGTCGACTTGCCCTGCGACTGTCTTTCTGGGTACCGCCGACTCGAAGGAAGAGATACGATATGGACGATATACCTAGGTAGGTATTTCTGTGCATGCCGCTATCGGCAAACGCGGGGCTTTGAAGGGGAGAGGGAGAGGTGGCAAATGGGAGAGAATATGGCCTGCAGATAGATGGGGGCTGATATTATGGCGGTGGGAGGGGGATAAAATAACGAAGTATTGACAGAGCGGGCAAAGCGCCTCGCCTAGTACCTAGCGATCTGTAGTGCCCGTCTTCCCCTCCGGATTTGTGGTGGGCCTGCGCGTGTCCTTATAGGTGCCTCTCACCCTTACGCATGGCCTAATCCACCCCATCCTGTATCAAAACCAGCGACGAGAAGACGACGTCCTCGCGCGTCGTCGAGGCTTAGTCAAGTTTAGCAGTCGATGCACATCTCCACACCCCTGCTCGGCTCTGGCGTTGTCTTGCCAAGCTGATCTGCCATCCCGTCGAATTAAGCCTTTCCCCCATATCTTGGCGATCTCTTGGCTGCGCCTCGGCGCCCGCCTGCCCGCCTGCCTGCTTCGCGTGTCGAGAGGGCCACAGTTCGGTCGGCAGCCCGTGCAAAGCGTTGCTGTCCCGTCGCGCGAGCCCTTCAAAGTGCAGCATCTACGATTGTTTTGTAGATATTTGCCTTTTTTCTTCTTTTTTTTCCCCGAGATGCCTACGTGTGTTGATCTGGCGGTGTGATGACAATACGACGCGAGACGACGCTAAGGTACCTTCTAACTCGTCACCACGTCTTCGCCCCTGAGCTCCTCTTTTCCTCCCTGTGACCGGACAGCGCTGGTTACGATTTGGCTGGGGTGTGCGGTGGCATGCCCGGATACACCAATCTACCTCCCCACTTGGGTTGATGTTCATCTTCCGGATACCGCGCGCACGTTGAGCGCATTATCGGTGGCACTCCGACCACATGCGTCAGCCGTTGGATGCGAGCTTCTGCATCGGGGAAAGGCACATTACAGGGCGCGTACTCAGTATCGCTTTACGAGGATTACGCGTTCTGTCTGTACCCCCCCGTCTCCGATGCGCAGAGACCCGTCCTGCTCCAACAACGTGAGTCGTCGCTCGTACACCTCCTCTCTCACCCTCTCCTCAATCATTCATTCCCACAAGCCAGCGGATCCGCGCCGTAAGCGCTGCGCACGTCTCTCCGTTGGCACACTCGCTACTCACCTGTCGCCTCGCGCGGTGTTTTGACCGCTGTCGGTACCCCGCCTATCCTGCACCCTCTCGCGGTCCTTCGTCGCCTCTGCATCCGACACCTCCTGCCCCCCACGTACCTCTGACTGCGAAGACGCTTTAAAAAAGCTATCGTACAATATCCACCTACCTTTCCTCCCTCCATCGCAACACGGCCTCGATTTTGAAAAGACAAATTCACACGTCCCTGGGGTTCAATTGGCACCACCACTCATCTTGCGTGCTGGGCAACAGCTAATGGGAGAGCAGAGCAAGTTGATAGGCCGCCCTGCCTTGCTCGGCCCTTCGGATTAGCTAATAAGGTTTCCTGGTGTAATGGTTAGCACTGCGGATTCTGATTCCGCCAATCTGGGTTCGATTCCCAGGGAGACCTTCTGCAGCTTTGTTCTCCGCTTCGTATTCTCAACTGAGAGTTGAGCTCTGCTTTTTTTCGTAGCCGGTGTCTGCTCCCAGGGACCCGTCTGTGTATTTTTGCATGCGACTTTGGTCTGGTGCGTAATGAGGATGCGATGACATGCATTTCTCTTTGTGGGACGACGTGTATTGGAGTCGTCCCGTAACGAGTCTCTGCTCTCTATTTGACACTTGGTTTTTTGATAAGCAGACCTCATAGTATGTTCATCATTTGACTTGTTTCTTTCCAGTTTAAGTCTGCCTCTTTCTGACAGACTTCATGCACCTACGCCATACCTACCTATCGACGGGAGTGGTCTCTATGCATTACATATAATACAGCTGCGCCCATGGTGTCCGTAACCCAGTAGATGGACGTATTAGCCGAATCCCCTCACGGCGTCAAATACCAAAAGTGGTGCCTTCTGCGAACCCTCTACAGGCCCAGAACTTCGCGCCAGCCTCAGCCGGGCATTAGGTACGTCGAAGCTGAGTGTCGCAACGCCATCTCCAACACCGGCAATCCTGCCCATACCTCTTCCCCTTTCCCCTATACGCTTCTCGTAGCAAGTCCAAGCAGCGCACGCTACCTCTTCCCATCGCCGCTGCCGTCCCCGCTGCCGCGGAACGCGCCTGAGAGCTTGTCCCACAACGTCTCCTCGCCTCTAAGTCTCCGCGCCTCCCGTTCCCTCGCCTGCTGGCTCCACAGGTCCTCGACCTTGGAGGCGACCTCAGCCTTGGCGCGCCACTCGCCGCGGATAGCCTCCTCCTCGGCGGCGCGGTCTTCCTCGGCGACCTTGCTAAGCCGCGTCTTGAGGGCCGCGAGCTGTTCGGGCGTCAGCTCCTCGTCCTCCACGCGGCCGTCCCGCGGCCTCTGGTGCGGCGGCTGCTCGCGCGCCGGGAGCGGATCCCGTTGCCGCGCCGCGATCGAGTGCCCCGGGTCCGCGGGCGCGCGCGGTATGAGCGGCGGGAACGCCGGCGCCGGCAGCCCCGCCTGCTTGGCCGCCGTGATCTCGGCCTCCTGCGCGAGCATCCGGTGGTACAGAGTGTCGGCGTGCATCTGGATCTCCTCCTCCTCCTCGGCCGAGCGGTCGTACGTCGAGAGGTAGCCTAAGGCCTTAAGCAGTCTCTGCATCCACAAGGCGTAGCAGATGTTAGTGCATCACGGCCTGTCGCGGTGTGGACAGCAGGAGGAGGGGGGAGAGCCGGCGCAGCGTACGTACCGTCTGCATTGTGTAGCAACGCTCGAACTTCTTCACCTGGTCGCGGCACAGGGTGAGGCGCTCGGCGGCGCTCGGGTTCATCATGCACTGGCGCCAGTCGACCTGCTCGAGGGCGCAGTTCTCGAGGGCGGCCTTGCCGATCTGGCTCTTGCGCTCCTTGAAGCCCTCAAGCACGTCCATCAGCTTCTCGTGCTCGCTCTTGGTCTCAGCCTCGATCTCGGCCAGCGGCCGGTACGTCTTCCACAGGTGCGCGTACCGCCCGTCCGGGAATTGGCTCTCCTTGGGCACCGGCGAGGCCGCGTCGTCCTCGGCCGCCTGGCGTCGCCGCGCCTCCTCCGCCTCCTCCGCCGCCCGCCGCGCCCGCGCATCCACTGCCTCCCGCCCCTGTAGCGGCTCCGGCTGCGCCGTGCTGTACTTCACCGGCGACTCCCGCTCGAGGAACTCGCGCAGCTTCGGGTCGAGCTTGCGCAGCGGGTCGTCGCCCGAGCCCGAGGCCGGCCAAATGCTCTCCCACCAGCCCATGTCGGATCGAGCAAATCTTCAGGGGGAAAAATAAAGAAGGCCGGAGGAGAGAGGATTTGTCGGGGTTCTGTCAGCCGGTCGACGGAGACGTGCCCCTCAATGAATTCGGGAACTTCCATGGAGACTAGCGATTACCTGGTGCTAAAAAAAGAAGGACTAGGTAGGCAACTAAAAAAAAGTTCCTTATCGTTATCATAATCCAACGTGCATACAGGCATCACATATTTATGTACCGGGACTTTGCATGTTGCATGCCTCCTTTACCTTCGCCGTCGTCCCGGAATTTCGAAGGCTATGTAGGTATCTCACCGGAGGTTTCATATTATAGGGAATCAACTGCTCACGCCTCGGTATATTTACTACCCATTCAATTGATCAGAGGATAAATCACCGCTCTTTATCAGCAGTTACCTAGGCGGCTGCAGCCGAGATACTGGTCCAGTCCTCGTGGTAGGAAGTAGAGGTGCGTATATAAAACCGCGTATATCTCAATGACACTACCTCACCCAAGAAAGGCACGAAAATACTTCTCTCATATTGTGGTATCTCACTATATAAAAGAAGCATGATGCCCGAGGGCAAATGTGCGCTTATAAATTTGCGTTGTCACGGCCCAACGCCCGCGCACAGAGCGCAAGGGAGGCTGAAATTATCGTAATACGCCGGGGGACAAGCAATTGGCGCTTTTTAAAAACCTGTATTTATTTCTCAGAGCTGCCGATGCCGCACCTTTGTGCCCCGGTAGAAGCCTATGAATCACCCGTCCCGAATCTCAAGTCATGAAGAACCATGAAGTGACAACGCCATTGATGCCTAGGAAAGGTCCCCCGACTTAGAATTTGCTAAACTTCTTCACCGACTTGCCCGTTCGGGGGAGCACACGGAGCACATTGAATCGGATCTAGCACGCCACTGCAGTCAGTATTTGGGTCCCGGCCGAATAGGGGGTTGGGGGGTGACAACGCGCGCCGGGGCGCTATAGGTTCGTGCAGTATTGTAGAAATCGGGGGAGCTACGTACGGTCTTGCTTAGAGGCCTACACTGGCCGACGGTAACCTGATCGCCTTCCTCAACACGGAATGCCGGCGAGACGTGCGCGGCCAGATTCTTGTGTCGCTTCTCGTACCGGGCGTATTTGGGGATGAACTTGAGGTATTCGCGTCGGATGATGACGGTTCGGTGCATCTTAGTCGATACGACGGTGCCGGTCAGGATACGTCCACGGATGGACACCAGGCCCGTGAAGGGGCACTTCTTGTCTGCGTCGACGCCACAAAAGTCAGCCCAGTCCCATCGTCACCTGGCGAACCTTGCCATCACCAAAGAATCATTTCTTCTCTTCCACGCATTCTCAAGCGGCCGACTACGCGATGCCACCAAGTGTGGGAAAATTATAACACAGGTCGGATCGGGTCGCATGCCGCGATATCTTCGTATGGAAACGTACCGATGTAGCTGCCCTCAATCGCGGTCTTAGGAGTCCTGAATCCTAGACCGACATCCTTATACCACCGACGGCCGCCCTGGAGAGGAAAAAGCTGTCAGCAGAGGGGTTCCTCGGGCTGGCGACACGGGCAGACGGAATGATATCGCCTCACCTTGCCGGGCTTGCTGGACTTGGTCTTGATCTTCGCATTCTGGAAGATGTGCGGCTGCTTCTGGAAGGCACGCTCCGACTGGACAGTGAGTTCGGTGGCCATCTTTGCGGCGTTGGGCTGGGGTCGCAAGTGTGGGTGAGGCCGAGGAGGACGGGAATCGTGCGCGAGATGTTCGAGTTGTGGTGTTTTGCGGAAAAGCTCGAACACTTCGGAATGGGGGAAAATCGCAAAATCTCTGGTTGTGTGGGCTCGCTTGTGGATGGAAGGCCCCCACTCGTCCGAGGTTCTGCCCGTGGTGGCTGGTGACTGCTCAGGTGGCTGACATTTCAGCTATCAATCGAGGGGTTATGTTGTACCTAGGTACCCCATTTCGGAAAATTGATGGCTCCACTCGCAAGTAGTAATGGATGGGTTAGGTACGTATCTGCCTAACCCCAGCATGATGCGGGTACGTACCTCGTATATGTAGGTGGGGTGCCCTGGCAGCTCTTTCCCACTTGGGAATTGTTTACCAACATGGGTTTTCCAGAGTCTCGTCGGCGACGCGACTGAATATATGTACCTGGTGATGTACCTTCCAACACCACCATACCACCACACACCTGTCGAAATCCTCCCCAGATCTGGAGTTGTGCCGGCTTCTTCAGAGTACCTCACGTCTACCAATATCATTGCTATAAAGCTATCCCGGGACCAACAAGACCTCGTAGGTGCAGGACGACCCTACATGCGACGGCATTGCGCGTCAATTCCTCTGGCAGCAACGCCCTTCAGAAGCCAGTAACGCTCGCAACCCCTCAGCGTGTTCGCCCCTTTGTCACAATGTCGTCTCGAGCCGATTCAACTGTCCCGTCTACGCGACGCCTGCGCAAATCGACAGGGCTTTCACCTGCGAAGAAGAAGACAGAGAAAGAGAACATCACTGTTGATGTGGCTAGTTCTTTGGCCAGTAACGGAGGCCGAAAGAAATCCCGAAGCAAGAGTATGGGCCCTGGTGGATTGGATGCCCTGAAGCCGGGATCTGGCAACAGACGCATGGTATACACAAACCCCATCACCTCTTTCTCCTCCCCTCTCTCTATTCCGATGCTAATACAACTAATATTGCAGTCGCTGGCAGCTCCTGCTCGACCACCACCAAGATCTATTCTGAAGCCGACGATTCCGTTACCCGAGATCCCCTCGTATAAATCCAAGCTGCCCACACGGGCCACCACATCCTCTTCCACCGTCCAAGGAGCCGACATGCTACCGAACCCGTTCCAGACCGACGACACCGGCTCGTCCGGCACGAAGATCGCAGTACGCACCGAGGAGGAGCAGCAAGCCGCCGCCCGAGAAAGGGAAGAGCGCGAACGAGCTCAGCTTGAAAAAGAGATTAACGATCGGCGAGAGGCTCGACGGAAATCCCTGGCCAACCGAAGAGTGTCGTTCGCCGCTGAGGCGACTCTCCACACTTTTCACGAGATCGAATACATGCAAGATTCCACAACCTCAACCGACTCTACGCGGAGAGCCTCGTCGCTTGCTGCGCGGTCGCCTGCTCCCCAGCCGGCGGGCGAAGAAGCTTCGGATCCCCCCTCGACGCCTCCAGAACAATCGGAGGATGCCGACCCCGATTCGCCGGAGAATCAACCGGATGTGCACCAAGGAAAGAGTCGTCGGAGCTCGGCCGCTTCCTCCCTAAACTTCAACTCAAACGACGAGACGCTAGCATCAAGCATCTATAGCTCAGACTCTGAGGCGGCAGACGGTGTAATAGAGGCACACGAAGAGATTGGGTCGGATTCTGGTAGCGACTCTGATGCTGATGGAGTGACGATGGACCTGGGTGTCGACGAGGTTACCGGCATGTCGGCCGTTTCTGCCATCTCTGCGCGTTCAACTTATTCGTCAGACTCGAGTGATACAGTGGATACGGCGTTACGACTCGCTTCCCAGCGAGCCGAAACTCAGAGATTTGATGAAGAGGAAGAGGTCATCCCGTCATTTGGCTGGGTTAAGAAGCCTCCGCCAGCCCAGTCGAGTTATATCCAGGGTCAAGAGGATATCCAAAGTTCGTCAAACACCAACCCTGCCAGAAGTGGCGACGACCGGGAAGAGACTGGCGCCATGGATATGGACGATGATATGGATATGGATATGGAGATGACGCATGCCGTTGGAGGCATCATTAAATTCAATGATTCCCCTAAAGACCTCCAGGAAGAGGAAGAAATGTCAATGGATGTGACTCGAGCACTAGGCGGTATTCTCCCAGCATACAACAAGCTACAAAAGAGACAATCGGCTAGCCCGGAAAAAGTTGGTGAGGATTTAGCGATGGAGGACGCTACCATGGAGTTCACCACGGCGGTTGGCGCCATTCAAAAAGGTATCCCGACCGTCGCGAATCTCATCGACTTTGGAGATAACGAAAATAACGAAGACATGTCGATGGAGCTTACCACCGTCATGGGCGCCGTCCTGTCCGGGAATAGAGCTATACCAAAAAAGCCCCTCCAAGGCCGCCGTCGCACAATTGCCACGGGCGAGGACGAAGCGACGATGGATATGACCGTTGGCTTGGGCCGCATTCTTCCCGGTAGCGAGAATGTCGAGAATGACGAGAATGACGAGGAGGTCACGATGGGAATGGACATGACCATAGCGATGGGTGGAATCATCAAAGGTCCCCCTTCAGCCAAAGACCGTACTGAGGCAAGGCATCTCATGGAAGAGGAAGTAGACAAGGATGATAACGTGCCATCATTGAGGTCATCTTCGAAACGGCGTCTATCTGAAGTTATTGCTGGGGCAAATGCTCCGGAAGCAGGGAGAAGTCCTGGGTTATCTGCGTTTCAAGGCCAAGAGCTTCGTCGCAGTATTTCCCTGCAGAAGCCGGCCGCCACGATAGATAGCTCGCCTGTTCGAGTCGTGCCCACTCTCAACTCGACAAGCCCCGCTAACTTAGGCACGCCAAACGCACGCGGACCTCGCACTCCGTTAAAGAGCTCTCCATCGTCCAAGTCAAAGCCGCGCTCAGCTTCCCCTCCTAAACATGGCTCGACCGTGTCCAACTCTACCCCCAGATCCGCATCCAAGAATGGGCAGACACCGTCCATTTTCCGTCAGGACTCTGCCACCGGCACATCAACGCCACGGGTGATCTTGACGCCCCAGAATAGGCGGCTTTCGGGCGTAGGCGCTGATAAGCCGGGCCTTGGATCCCCGAGGGTGACAGCCATCCTCGATCGGCGGGGATCCATCAGTGATTCAGCAGAAAGTTTTACTCCAGTCGAAGCCCCGCGAGTTGTCACCTTCGCCAAACCCCAAATCATAGAGGAAGAAGTTGACCGGGAGCGCCAAGAGGAAGCGGACAGAGAGCACCGGTTCCATTTAGGCGACGCAGATGAGGAAACCACTACTACTTTAAAAGATATGATCTCTAGCATGACACCCAAAAAAAATCCACTCAAGGGGCGCAAAAGTCTGCATGTGGGTAGTGCTAGGGGCCTCCTCGGCAAACGCCCAGCTGAGCTTGAGGATGAAGACGATGACTCAGAGTTGAGAGACGGAATCAAACGACTCAGGAATCATCAGGGCAGCCCAGTCAAGAACGTGCGGCTTCATGCGCCACCTTCCAAGGAAGAAACGACTGGGCGCGTAACTCGCTCGAGTAGCAAAACACCCGAGGATGTAGGCGATAGGGGAACCGGCGTGACGCCGATGCTATCACCGAAGAAGGCATCCGCAATAGCGACCTCTCCCCAGGCCAAGGCACACCCTGGAGGTCCTGAATTCGACCGACCGGCCATCACAATCAACTTTGACGAGCTGTCCGTTGCAATCGAAGAAAATACCCACGGCGGCAACAACGGAGATCAGATCCACCTCCAAGACTTCCTCAACATGACAAACATCCGCTTCATGGAATTAACTACGACGAAGCGGCGCCACACCCAGGCTCCCACGGTCACGAAAGGCGATGCTGCGCTAGAAAAGGAGGACCTCTCCCTAGAGAAATGCGTCGTAGCGGGGGCTTGCACAGTCCCTATGCTGGAGCTATATCAGCATGTAAGTTAGCCTTGTGCTTGCGGGGCGCGTATACAATACTAATGTGAACTAGTCGTGCCGGGAACTCAAGAAATACATATCAGAGGGCCGGAGGATAGTTCGCGAGATCGAAACGGAGACTCTCGAGGAGAACCCGCCGCTCTTCCGAGAATATATGTCAGCAACGCCCGAGTACAAGCTCTTCATGGACAACCAATTCAAGAACGTGAAGACGCACGCACGACTGCTTAGCAAGGCAATGTGGTACGAGTGGCGCATGAAGCTGCAAGACGGCCTCAAGGAGGGCCTGGTGAAGATATCCGAGGGCATGGAAGCCGACGAAGAATTGCTCACGCGGGAACAAGACCTACTCGAGGCGGTCTTACCCGGTCTGGTGGAGCAATCTGTATCCTTGGAGACCGAACACGAGAGCCTCGAATCTTGGGCGCAAGAATTAGCAGATTGCGACCCCGAAGAGCTACAAAGCGCCCGCTCTGAGCTTACAGAGGTCGATGCGGACATGCAAGAGAAAACGCGCAAGATCGAGGAGCTCCGTGAGCAGCTCAAGGAGACGGAAACCAAGATTAACGAAGCGACGCAGAGGAAGAAGGACTGCGTTTCGGACATCGAGGAAGCTGAGAGGATCCGCGAAGAATGCAGGGGGTGGAGCTCCAACGAAATCAACTCTCTCAAAGGTCAGTGCATATGAATATTTTCACATATATCGCCCATCGTCTGTCTACGGCGTACCGCTCCAGGTAACTGACAAGAATCACAGCCAGGGTGGATGAGATCGAGAAAAAGTACGGCTGGACCATTACAGGCACGGTGGGGACTTCGCCATCGATGACATACAAGAGAGAGATCGAGCTTGTCTTCGACGTAGCCGCGTTCAAAAGCCTCAAACCGAACTCGAGAATCGACCTGCGCTATATCGCAGCCAATCGGGAGGCGAACCCAGAGCCGGGCACGCCAGAAAAGGAATTCTTCGTGCAGTGCATCCGGGATCACGTGCAGGGCTTAGCGCAGGCGGAGACGAAGATCAGCGATCTCCTCGGCACGGTCAGCGCGTCTTGGCAGAAGGCCCGGTACGTGTCGGAGAACATCCGCCTGGTGAACTGCACGTTCCCGACGACGGTGGTGAAGACGTCGGACTCGTCGGTCGCCGTGCGCTCGACGCTGTTCCTGCGGCCGCTGAAGACCAAGGTCGAGATCGTGCTCGGGCTGCACGGCGGGTGCGGCGGGGGCCCGCAGGAGTCGCGGGGCGTCGAGGTGACGATCACGCCCGAGGCGCGCGTCGTCTACGGCGAGCAGTTCAAGGCGGACAAGATCGTTGAGTTCCTCGCGGCCGAGATCGGGACGCGTGTGGTCGCGGACGGCGAGCGCGTCGGCAGCGGCAAGGTGGACGACTGGAGCAACGCCGTCGTCAAGCTGTACGAGAAGCTCCTCGCGAGCGGGAAGAAGTGAAGGCGGCGCTGGGGAGGGAGGGCGCGAAAATACACGTTGCTGCAGCTTTCGGGCATCTCTCGACGACGCGAGCATTTCGCCACGAAATTATGACTTTTGCTTTGGTACGGAACGTGTATGGGGGGTGCGGGTGCGGTTCGGATGGGGGTGGTGAGAAGGCGTCGGTCGGTTGCAAAGGCCCGGAAGGGCTCGTAGCTTCTATATACCAACTTATATCTAGTATTGTAGGTCGCTCTCATCCTGGCTTTTAACAGTAACTCATTTCGCTACTTTATTTTACTTGCCAGCGTCGCACCGCCACCGGTGTGGCTGTGTAGGATCGCGAAATCGCTTGCTGCTATGCTAGTAGCGCCTAGGTAAGCCAGCCGGCATGCTCGTCTACTATTAACCTCTGGCGATGCTTACGTATTTTTCGATTGGCACATGGCCTGGTAATTCACCACCGACCCTCAGCGCGAGACCGGGTGGAAGGAAATTAGCTCGGTTCTGTTTCAGTCGACCACCTCTCTACGGAACAGGACAGGCAACGAATTCTGAGTCTCTTCCTGTGTTGGCCGTGATGATTAGAAGAATCCTCAGACCTAATCCCCATCGCCAAGCTGACAAACCACCTCTTGCATGATGTACGTGCTGCCCTAAAGTACGTAGGTACCCTCGCGGGCCGACGAAAAGCCGGTCAGGCAGCCAGCCCTCAAGTGCCCATCCCAAGAGGAGGCGGAACAACTTCGAGATCAACCCCCGCACACAGAAGTGTCCGAATAGACCCACTGCTTGGTATTGCCGCCTCACCTTGCCTAAGTCGGTACTAGCCACACATATCGTTACCTTCATAAACCCCCCTGTTGTACTTTACCTTATAGGTAATAGTCCCCTGGTTACGTTCCCGCCATCATGACGCTGTCGTACCGCGACTACCCGGAGGCGGAGGGTGATTCACGTCCCGGCACACCGTCTTCGTTTCCCGATCATTCGAGCGAGGGACCGCATGCCAACTTTTTGTCTTCCGATACCCCAAACGAAGAAACCGGTTCCGACTCCCGTGATGATTCGACCGGGCCGAGTTCCAAGACGCGTTGGTCTGAGAAAGTTCGCCGTGGCGCGACTACCGCAGGCAAGGGTCTGGCAGTTGGAGTTGGGTCAATCGTTGCGGGGGCGGTCTACGTAGCGATGACTCCTGTCGGGTTTATATCGACGAGCTTTCTGCAGGCTTCGGAGTCCGTACTGGATTGGGCACGTCGAGCCGAATTTGGCAGTGGAGAATCCGAAGGGAAAAAAGCTCGCAATCCAGAACAAGCAAAAGACATCGGGAAAGAGAGAGACCGTGAGGGTTTCGAGAAAGAATTCAGACATGTAGCCGTCTGTGGACCGGCGGGCAGCGGAAAATCGTCAATAATCAACGCTCTTATGGGTCTACGAAACAAAGACGATGGCGCGGCTAATACCGGTTTTGTCGAGACAACTGAGCGGCAAGAGAAATACCCCGCCCATCCTAGTTTTGGTCGGATTATGCTGCACGATTGCCCCGGGGCCGGAACGATTCGCTGCCCGGCCGAAAACTATAGCAAGACACAGAAGTTGCATCTATTCGACATGGTGCTTATTGTGCATGGAGACCGATCCGGTGAGGTATGTAGAAAATACTCACGTATACCTCAGCTGTCACTTACCTTGCTGGGGCAGATCGAGGTTGCTACTATGCGATTCTGTATCGCCCGTCAACTGCCGTGCGTCGTTCTACGATCCCGATCCGACGAATTTATAAACCGCATCAAAAGGGACGACGATGTCGAAACCTGCGAAGCCAAGGACATGTATGTCAAGGATAGTTTGGAAGCCTTCAAGGACGAGCTCCGTCGTGCTCTCCTCAGTGAAAAGGATCTCGATCAGGTAGCGAACCGCTACATGCTGGTGAACAATCATGATCTGCGGGGGCTCACAATTAAACCTCGAAACCAATGGCCAACACACAAAGGCGAGATAGAGATTGACGAGCGAAACCTCATTGAGTTTTTAAGGCATCTGGGCGGGAGGGCGGCCTAGAAGCGGGCTACACGGCACAACCTGTCAGCTAACCAATGTCAGTTCCAAACCCGCCGAAGGAATCTAAGGGGGTCAATTTTTAGGCAGACTCTATCGTTCAATCCCAAACTACATTAGGCTACTTCTTCGTAATTGGAGCTATTTGGGAAATAAGCCTGACAGGCACGTATTCCCTAACATCTCATCCCGCCCTTTCTCTCTGTGCCATACCTCCCTAGCAGCAGGGTACTTAGGTAGTATCTCCAACCTCTCACTCCACTGGCGTTACAAGGAACCGTCTTCTCTGCTCGCCCCCGGCTCTCGTCGGCTCTGTCCGAGTTCCATACAGCCGTCGCTATGCTGTCTACAATGCTATTCTGCACATAGGTGACTTCGGAATAGCCACTAATCTAGACTTGGCTGTAAGATTCGCTGGTTATTGTTACATAGCTGGAGCTTATCTCTACTACCACAGTTTGGTATCTTACAGCAGTGCTACCATATTAGTCCATAGCTAAGTCCGCCAGTTTTCGATCCCTGATGGTTATATTCGCCCCGTTCGTAGTAACCTGTATTCGCCTTGGCCCGGCATACAATAGCCAGGGCCAGTTGATCTCATGCCTCTATCCTCTCACTCGACTCTCCGTTTCGAACCTTACGTAAGGTGTGATTCTCACAGGGCACCTCTGCCTCCTTTTCCCTGATCTCGTAACGGCGGCGGTACACTCCTGGTTGTAACCATCTTGTTTATCTGATTCGGGTGAAATACGTACTGGCACAGGGTTATGTATTTCGACCGTCTTTATTTCCTGATTTAGCTGAGCATACTCGTATACTCTGATCCGGGCGCAGTGCCTATATAAGGCCATCAACTGTCGTGTACTCTTTGCTGATATTTCCGTATTTAGATCACTGGCAATTCCTATTCGAGTATCTAGATCACATATACTCAGAAAATCAGCATCAAGATACACAGTATACGTGTCAAAGTTGCAAATAAAAATTGCTGATCTGCACTGGTCTGACGGGCAGCCTGTACAGTATGTATGTGGGTATTTTCAAAACGCCTCGGACTCGAGATGTTTGTTGTACTTTTCTGGGCAAATACGGCCCCCTAGATACCGCCAGTTACTCAGCTACCTCGCCGCCGTACATGCTGCAGTTACCTCGACGAATATTTCCAACCTCGTTGCCCGGGAACGAGAACTGCTGCTACTCTCCGCCTTGGGTGATTGTGAGCTCTTCCTGACGAGAGTATATAAATCTGCCCACCCTGTGATGACCCCCTCCTCCTATTGTTTTCCAACTCGTCGAGATTCACAGCTGCTTGCAATATTCACTGATATCTGCAACCACCTTGAACCTCACTCTCCACTGCTCTCGCAACATACAGCATACAGATACTACCATTGAAACCCATACACCACCCTCACGATGACTTCACCATCAGTTACCTCCTTCTCTTCCATCCCCTTCTGGGTGGTGGCTATCGCCGCCCTCTTTCTTCACTTCGCCGGGGAAACCCTCGGCGTCGATCTCCTCGTTCGGCGAGCCATGTGGGTACTGGTTTTCAACGCATACTTCTTCAAGGTGCACCCAGTACTTGGCTTTGGTGTCTTCTGTATCCTCTCTTCGGCCATCGGTATCTGCCTCAATGTCTCCTGGGCCTTCGACGTGCCAGTCTGGTTAGTCGTCGTCTACTTCATCCTCCAAGCCTTCCTGTGCAAGTTTACTGCACTGGGTTGGTACGGATTTTGGAGTGCCGTCACGGTAGCCCAAGTCTACCGTAACGGGCTGGCACCGGTCTCGGAGATTCTTGGAGGCATGGCATTGTCCTCGATCATCAGATGGTAAGTAATTCGCCTCTTCTTATGGGTGACGGTAGATGGCGGATGACGGATATTTCATCATTGTTGTCTTCGTTGCCTGTGTTTTGTTTCGTCCTGCAAATCATCCAAGATTCCCGTTTCCCCCGAATTCAGCTGTATCACGTCCTCGATTACCGACCTTTTCCTCACTCTACGGCTCTTTCCCACTTCCCTTCGACGAGAACCCGACCGAAATCGTGTCACATATGAAACATGGCCAGTTGCTAACATCTTAAAAAGGGTCATCAGGTACAATGCTCCGTTCGTCCCCGAGCTGTCTGACCAGGCTTTCGTCTTTGGGCGAAAGCTGGACAAATGGTATCGGTGGGCTCTGGAGATTGCCCACCATCTTGATTGGTCGTTGAGCACCGAAGGCCTGATAACTGTTTTCGTCGTCTGCGCCAGATGCGGTATCAACCTGATCCGCAACATCGCCAAAATGCTTCGGGATTGCCGTCGTTCCAGTCAGGCCCGCCATCAACACTGGCCTACAACCCATTATGTGAACCGAGGCCCCTTCCCGACCTCCGTGGTCGAGGAAGAGCCGCGGTTCACACCCAGTGAGGCCGCCCCTAAGGAACCCCCCGCACCCCGCAAGCCGCCAGTTTATTACGGCGAGTCCAGAAAGGAACGCCAGGAGCGTGAGGCACGTGAGGGCGCCGAGTTCTGGAGAAATCTTCTCGCTATCCACAGGGAGAGGATCCAGAACCCTCAAAAGCCCGCTCACTGCTTTGATGGATTCCACTCGCCGTATAAATGGGCGCGTCTAGTTAACTCTCGCTCTGCCCCTTCAGTCAAGTTTGCCGCAGAGGTGATGAGAACCGCCCCTGCACCCGTGCCTGAGCCTGAACCCGTCCAGCACACTCCCGAGCCTGTTTCCGAGCCTGTTTCCTTGCCGGAACCGGTTCTCGAGTCCGCCCCCGTTCAGGTTCAAGAGGCAGTGCAGGAGTGGGTCGTCGAAGATGCCGTCGTCCCCCAGCCCACTCCGGGACCACTCCCGGAGACCGTCGAGAGTTGGGAGCCAATCCAGGATTTCGTGGAACTCAAGAGTACCTCGCCCGAAATTCCCGAGATTGCCTCGCCCCCATTCGACGCGATGAGCATCGTCGACGACGAACTAGAGCAGATTCTGGCGCAGTCGGTGCACCCGTTCCCGGTCGAAGCGAATGTCGACGACTCCCTCCTAGACGACGTTGGTCCAAAGATCGTATTCTCGCACCCAGCCACCGAAACCTCCAACCACTTGTTGCCCGGCCCAATGGACTTAGATGCCCCTGTGATTCTAAGCGAGCCCATGGAGATCGACCAACCCTTGGTGATAACGCCTGGCGTCATGGAGCTGGATATCTCTTCCAAGGTGGCTAGTCCCATACCTAGCCCGGTACTCAGCCCCATGCCGCCAAGCCCGGTCCTCAGCTCCTTGCCGCCAAGCCCGGTACTTAGCTCCATGCCGCCGAGCCCCGTGCCGGCGAGTCCCGTGGCGGCAAGTCCTGTGCCGGTATATCCCTTGGTTTGGGACGACTTTGGTATGTCGACGCTCTCCATCGAGGATCCTGAATGGGCCCCTGAGGCGAGCTTCCCTTCGGGGATTCTCGACTCACCGGTTCCAAACAACCTCGCGGAGTCCGGCGACTACCAATTGCCGGAGGTGCCTGAGGCGCCTCCGGTCTCCGTGGAGCCCGAAGGCGGGTACCCTGTGGTTGAGGAGTCCGGCAGTGGTAGCGAGGATAGCCTCGTTCTCTCTGCGGGGGAGGAAGAATTCGTGGACGTCGTGTACCAGCAAGAGGCTAGCGGATCATCATCTCCGTACTCCGTAAGTTTTCAGCCTTTGCCTCTTTCTCTCTATCATGTTCCGTCCTATCTTACATATGGACGTACATCTTTACTAACACCTTGTTTTATCAGGATCCTTCCATTCTCGGGGAAACGTGGGAACCTCTGGGCCGAGAATCGGAGGAGGAATCCGCTGGTCAGGAATCGGGGGAGGAATCCGCTGGTCAAGGACCGGCGGAGGAATCCGCTGAGGAGGGACCGGCGGAGGAATCCGCTGACGAGGGAGTGGCGGAGGGATCCAATGCCGACGACGAATCCATTGAGATTACCCTCCCCATTCCCGAGAACGCCACGCCCAAGATGGTTTCCCCGTTTTCTGTCGGTAACGAGGAGATTATCGCAGCGAGGAAGATCATGAAGCCCAAGTCGCGGATGGCCAAGCTACCCGCGGCCGAGTTGGCGACCTCGATGAATCTCCTCATGCAGAGCACCGCCGGCCCGAGTACCCAGCCGGCGGTATCGGCACCTACCGAGAGTACGGAAGAGCAGCCGCCGCATTCCCATGATCTCCCTGGCCGCACCTGTCGCGTCACGGACGCCTTTTACGACGGACGTGCAATCACCTCGGCCGAGAATCCCCTTCTCGCGAGCCCCGTCCTGTACGATTCTCCGTTGTCGTCGCTTGACTCGGCCGACTTCGAGGACATCGTCGAGGAGATAAAGGCGTCCATGAAGGGCAAGGAGAAGGAAGACGGCCAGCCCGGACCATCCAACCCACCTGCTCCCCAGGGCTTCCATGACGCCGAAGAACTGGACCAGTACTTCGAAGAGCAGGTGATAGGGTACATGCTCCAGGGCATGAGCGACGAGGCGGCGCGAGTGAATGCTGAGCGCGACGTCGAGGCGGTGGCCGGTCGTCGACGCTGACTTTGGTCGCGTCACCCGTACCCCCTCTGATATCTCTCACATTTGCTAGTTGCCTACTCTTCGCGGCTGCTCCGATGATCCCCGGCACACGCCGGTACGCCTCTTGCTGGCGGAAACAGAACTCCGTCATCCCCTCTTCCCTCACTTCTATCCGAACATACCTCTGACAACTAGCACTGGACCGGTCGACAAAAGTACGGCTTACGGGTTCCCTATGAACTCCTTGTGGGTGACGGGTTACCAATCCCTAGGAACCTCCTAGTGGGGTGACGGGATGGCCAAGCCTCAGGAACCCCCTCACGGGGGAGACAGGTTATGTACTTCCCTAGGAACCCCCTCGCGGGGGAGACGGGCTTATTGATACCGATCCCTAGGAACCTCCTTGTGGGGTGACGGGATCGCCGCTCCTCATGAACTCCTTGTGGGTGAAGGGACGCGGGTCGACCGGTCGCCTTTCGTTGATGATCTGGATCCCCGAAGACGCCACTCATGTAATGAGCGGCTGAGGGGGGTAAAATGCAACGTCTGGCCGCCCATCGCTTGTCTTCCAGCACCTGTTTTGTTTCCTTCTTCGTCGCGTCCAGTTTCGACCCAGTTCCAGTGTGTGAACGGAACCGCTCTAGGGGAAGTTGACTGGATGTCTGGCGAGGACTGGCCGGCAAGTTGGAGCAGGGGCAATAAGGCACAGCTTACCCGATGAACCAATAGGTGAAGGTGTATAGCGGGCGATGTAGAGGAGCCCCCATTTTTTGGGCAGCTGTGATTCTGCTCGGCGCATGGTCGGCTCTGAGAATTCCTACCGGTCAGGTCACAGGCCGGGAGGTTTCGAGGGCTTCACCACAGTGCTTAGATTGTCACTCTTTAACTTCGGAATTTACAGGGTGAGAGTGGTACGTCCCCGCCCTTCGATAATATGTATCGACTATATGGTTTGTCAATGCCTCGACACGGTCTTGTTCTCGCCGTCCGTCGAGCGCTCACCAACATATTCTCGACAATGTCTCGTCCGGCCTTGTTTCTCGCCGGCCATCGAGCATATACATATTTTCGGCAAAGTCTCGTCCGCGGTCTTGTTTCTCGCCGCACCGATGAGCCTCGACAACGTCTCGATTCGGTCTTGTCCTCGCCGACCTTCGAGCACACCTCGACAACACTCGATGTGGTCTTGTTCTCGCCACCAATCGAGTACCGACAATCTCGACAACGCTTCGTTTGCGGTCTTGTTACTCGCCGCCATTCGTGCGTTCATCTCGCCCCCGTCAAAGCTCGTCCGGTCTTGTTTCGCGCCGGCCTTCGAGCCTCTTGTCAGAGTCCTGGGTTTGAGAATGTGTTGAGTACTGTATGAATATCTGTACGAGTCTTGTACAAGTTGTCTGAGTCCTTGTCTAAGCAGCAGTCCGTGTATTTGAGGGAGTACACGACGCTGCGCCCAGGGGATGTACGTGTTGGCCTTGGGTAAGGAAGAGTATCCGAGGTTGACACACCACCTTGTCGAATTGCCTAAGGGAGAGGGACAACCAACGCCTCGAGGCTGCCACTCAAGCCTCGGGGTTAGTCACGAAACACTATCATTATCGGTCTCTCTCCCTGGGCCTACAGTCCAGAGCTCTTCGAGTCCAACAGGGGGGTGCTCTCATACACGCTAAACGACACCAAACCACACGACACTATACCACACCAATTCGAGAGCACCCCCCCAATACTACGCCATCACCAGTCCTTGAGTCCATACTACTCAAAACAAAATACCCCCACCCCACCCCTACTACCGAATACTAATACTAAAACCACCACTGCGGGGTGGGGGGTAACTGGGACTCAAGGACTCAGGGCTCGAAGAAGCTGTTCGCCGCGCCTCCGGCGATACTGGGGGCACTCCTACATCTACAACACCATACGGATCAAACATGGGAGTGCCCTCAAGTCAACTACTAAAACGCTTCAACATCAACATCAATCAGTTGCTGGAGGCGCGGCCTGGGCTGTAGTATCGACAAGGTGGGTGTGTTAAAGCCGCTTGTGCAAGAGTATATGGTAAGTGTTATTGGAAATGACTTCTTTCCCCGCTCAGGCTAACCTATATTATAGTTATTGTGGTCTTACATATACTAAGCGGGGGGCCCAAGGATGGTGGAGAGCATCCTCGGGTCCAACGCTGACCCAAGACAAATCCCAGCTGGCGCCCCCGGAGGGAGCCATACAACACCAAAACCTGGTCGGCCCTGGAGTCGGAAGATGTTGAGAGCGTCTGATGACATCGGGGTCGACTGAACAACTCCGGGGGCGCCGCTTGGGATTTGTCCGTCGCGAACGTGAGCGTCGACCACCATCACCGGTGGACGCGCTCAACACGGAGCCTGAGAAGGTACACCAGTCCCTGTCGATATGACAGGTCTGAGGAGGCCTGCTCATTCGAAGCGGGAGGAAGTGGCCGGAGGCACCCGAGGAGAGAAGGGGGGTTTCAAAACGACAGCGCCCGACCAGTGGTTGAGATCAGCTCTGCAACCACCACCAGCACCACCACTACCAAGACGCCAGAATCTCCAGTATTCCCATCAAGGGCAGTCCCCGGGATGCTGGAGGCGACGATGTCGCTAGGCGCCGCTGGTCGGGTGCTGTCGGTTCACCGGATGGAGGTAAGTTGATACTAACGAAAGGTCACCCTGCGATAGTATGCTGACGAACATTGAAGGCGAGGCCTGGGTAGAATGGGGCCGTTGGGATTGTCAATCAGTATACTTATCCACGAAAAAAAAAAAAAACCAGCGGCGAAGGGCATACCATCGCTGCCCTACAACTCGAAGCCGCTCGACGACAACAGGGTCGCAACGATATTGCGACTATCCCAACGGCAGCCCAGCGCCGACGTGGACGCAGCAGACCAAAAAAAAAAAAAACCTCCACAAGAATGTACTCAGCCAGACGAGGGTAAGGGCCGTACACATACGCCCCTACAGCCGCCTCGCTATTACATTTGCCACTACAACCTCGCGGCGCCGCGAGGTTATCACGTCTGCGTCCACGTCAGCCACCTTCTACTTGCCGGAAGACCAACGCGAGGCCACTAAGCCCCTAAACCCGCCACCACTCGCCACCACCGCGGTCCGTCCACACCGCAGAACGGGGCTTAGTGTGGCCTCGCTCTCCATCCGGTGGGCCACGTTTGAAATCCCCCAGCGCCTTGTCGGCGGCGGCGCTCGCAGGGGGAGGTAGGGGGAAGGGGGGAAGACTCGCAGCTCAAATAGGGGGGGTGGAAAAAAAATCCAAAAAAAAACCGCCATCTACGACACCCCTCGCGGTCTTCCCCTCTGTTGCTGCCATCGATATCGCCGGGACAGCAACAAACACAACCCCGCCACCACGATCCGCATGCGGCAGGACAACCAGCCTCTGGTGCCCATGCTCCAAGTGTACCACCACTCGATCGAGTTGCTGTCCCGGTGCCCCTGCCCCCCCTTGCTTAGCTCGTCGCCGCTGACAACAGTTCATCTTTCTGACACTACTGCGATATCCACAACATCTAAATCCACGACATCCACGACATCCACGACCTTTGGCGGTGAAGTTGTACGATACGGTATACGATAGGGGTGGAGGGGGTGGAGGTGGTGGAGGGGAGGAAGTGGTGGAGGGGGAGGGGGAGGAGGTGGTGGAGGGGGAGGAGGAGGAGGGGAGGGGAGGAGGTGGTGGAGGGGGAGGAGGGGAGGGGAGGGGGAGGGGGAGGGAAGGGGAGGAGGTGGTGGTGGTGGAGGTGGTGGAGGGGGAGGAGGGGAGGGGAGGGGGAGGGGGAGGGAAGGGGAGGAGGAGGTGGTGGAGGAGGTGGTGGAGGGGGAGGGGAGGAGGTGGTGGTGGAGGAGGTGGTGGTGGAGGAGGAGGAGGAGGGGAGGAGGAGGAGGAGGAGGGGGGGAGGTGGTGGTGGAGGGGGAGGGGGAGGGGGAGGAGGTGAGGGGATGAGGTGGTGGAGGGGGAGGAGGGGAGGAGGTGGTGGAGGGGAGGAGGATGGAGTGAGAGGGAGGTGAAGGCTACTGATCTCTCGCAGGGATGCCCGGCGGTTCGACACAAGGCTAGGCCTTGAAGAGGAAAAAAAAATAAGTGATCTCTCCCCCTTTCTCCACGATACAAGCTAACCACTGATCCAGGTGCCCCGAGCGCGTACACTAACGAAAGGTGTAAGTCACTCCTATTTTTTTCTTTCCCTTCAGATCTTTATATACAGTGCATGGGCTGACGTCCCTATACACAGCAGAGGGGGGGGCTAGCTGCCGGGCCTCCCCTCCTATCATCCCCGCGTCTGGTGGAGAGAGACGATGGGATGGATAGGAGAGGGGCCTGGCGGCCTGCCCCCCGGAGTTGTTCCGCTGGGTAGCTACCCGGCGCTTCGGTCAACAACCATCTCGAAGGTTACTCGCGGAGGAAACATGGGGAAGCAGCTTTCGCTGCGGAGCGGGATATGTGTCAAGGAGGGGACGGGGATGGATAGTGGTGTGGTGCTAGAGGGCGATGTGGCGGAGACGGAGAGAGGAGTTCGGGAATTAAGGAGCTGATAAAAGACTTGGGGGATCACCGGGCGCTACAACATGCCGGAGGACACTAAGGACAGAGGGTGGAAGGGAGGCACACCGCGGCGGGATAATCGGCAGCACCGTCATGGCCGAACACCCCAGCACAAACACCAATTAATTATATGCAGTTTAGCAAGTCCAGCCGCGTGGGATGGGCACAAACACAATACAAGCTCATCTCCTAAACCAAATCACTAGCTGTCCGAATTGGCGAAGTGACATACGAGGTAGACAGCGCGATGGATACAGGTAGCAGTAGTCTAGCCTCGGCTGGCCAACTGCAAGGGTAAGCAAATACCATTCAATCTACCTAAGACCGACGGCAATTACCGCGGTTGGCCATATAACTGCGCGCAGGAATGTTGCAAGAACACAGGCTGGGGCCGTTCAGTCGTGGGTAGGTTCCGCGTGAAGGGGCAATGGGAATAGGGGGGGAGGGGGGGCACGATGGCAAAGCTATCCTGGTTATCCCTGGTTATCGCCTGCCTACTCTTTAATGGCCTTCGTAAGCACTTCTCCTATCTATGCGTCTCTTACCAGGGCCACGCGTGGAGAGCCATTGATTTATACGATAGATCTACCGGGGAGGGACACCCGCTACGTCTGGGGACCCGCCTGACGTGCTCGTGAGAAATACGTGCGATCGGCTTTTGCCGCAGGCCGAGAAGAGGCAGAAGCATCTATGAGAGAACAAGTATGAGAAAGGGAGTGTTGGATTTAGAGACCTCGCCGTTTAAGACGCTGTAGTCTAACAAACACGACACCCACGTCTCACCTCACCTCATCTCATCATCAATCATACATATAAATACAATAGATAGGGCTAATGCCTGTATATGTAAACGTTCGTGCCTACCTATCTACCCTCCTCTCTCTATCCACCCGCCTATTTACCGAGGCTTTATCTTTGTCCAGCCGCTCGTCCCCTTAGTCCCCGCGTCTCTACTCGCCGTGGGCGCCTCGGCTGGCCGTCCTCTGCCACCCCCGGACAGCGGTGCCCTAGGGGTGTTGTCGCCGCCACTGCTGCCGCTCTTGACGGTGTTGACGCTCATGTAGCTCTCGATGCCGAACCGGTGTCCGGGCATGCCGTTGCTCCCCCCACCCGCTCCTCCACCACCGTTACCGGCCTTCTTGCTCCCGACTAGCACTCCATCGTCGAGCGCATCGTCGGGCGTCCACGCGTCGTCCTCAAGCAGCTCCCACTCTGGTACCGGGGTCTCGCTCAGCAGCCGCGCCTTCAGCTTGTCCACTAGCTTCGCGATGTTCGGTATCCGGAACCCGCGTGTCAATTCTTGGCCTGCCGCCCCGCCTAGAAACGTATGAGCTGTGCCGTGAGAGTATAGACCCATGCGTGGCGCTGTACGCCCGAACTCGCCCGCATCGTTTCTGGTACTAGGACTGGGGTTGTTAGCGCTGTTGCTTCTATCGCCGCCGATGTCGATGTGTTGCGGGGTTACCGCCGCATCCGCGATCTGTTGGGGATTGCGCTGCAGCGACGAGTTTATGAGGAGATTGTACAGGTTGCGGCCGAGAGAGGAAAAGTCCTCTAGGTTACTGTTTTCGCCTGCGGTCACTCCCTGCGTCCGACAGAGCCAGACGATGTCGTAGCCGAGCAGGCAGACCGCCTCCAGGAAGGCATTATACGCGGACGGATCTTCCTTGGCCAGGGTTGACAAGGATTTGTCTAGGAATAGGGGTCGCGGGTGCGGAATGTGAGTAAATTGGCGGTCACGTGGGTCCGGGGGTAGCAGAGAGGTACCAGGGAACGCAACGTCGCCATGATGATAGGAAGATGTTAGTGAGAAGATGGTGGGACGTGGGTAGTCGTTATGCGGCAGCGTAATCTCCGCCGGTAGACGGACAGCGAGGTAGTGAGAGGCCAGCCATAACAGATGGGTGATGTGTGCGAGAGACGCGGATATGAGCTCGGGTTGCGCATCTGGGCATGCCGTTAGTAGAGGCCAAAGGTTGCTCAGCCTACAGGATCGTGTGAATATGGCACTTACTGTTCATGTTATGCAAGTCGATGATGTCGATGCCACCAATTTTGTACTCAAACCGGACGGGGTTCCCGCGCCGGACACGTTGCAGCCTATACAGCTTGGCGACCTCCATACACAGCGCCGCCCGGTATTGAGTCATAGCGCCATATTCCCTGTCCCAGTTGTATCTGGATATCTTGATGGCTGTCTTGGTCTCCTCGAGCTCTCGATTTCTTCGCGCGGAAACGCCCTGCGCAGCGGCAGCCAGATCCGTCTTCTTCTGCGCGATGGCGGCCTTGCGCGTCTCGATCTCCTTTCTCGCGATGGCGATCTCGTCACGCAGTTTGTCGGCGGAGGCTATGATCCGCTCTGTCCTATCCTTCGCCTTGTGCTCCTCCGACGCACAGTTCTCTACGTACGCTCGAGAGGAGCGGTCGCTCGCGGGGACGACTGAGCTGGGGTCGTTGTCGGACAAGGCCTTGGTGACTCGCGACTCGAGCTCCTCGGCCTCGATGAGAATCCTCGCATTGGCTACTCGTCGCTCGTATAGCTCGTTACGCGCATCCACAACGCAGAAGAAGGGTAGCCTCTGCGGGTGGTGGGCGCGCTGACAGATGGCGCAGTTCATCGTGGACGGACTCGGGCTCGAGGCATAGAGGAATGAATGATGTTGTATTGGTTGTTAGACGGGTACCGCGTGCCTGGCGACGAGACACGGGGAAAGTGCTCGTTCCTAAGGAGGGAGAGTCGAGAGAAGAGGATCGGCTGGTAGCATGTCTGGCGAGGAGGGGAGCTGGAGAAGGGGTAAATCAGGCTATAGGGTGAGGGAAGAGGCCGTGGTGAGTTGTGGAAGAGGGAGATGTCAAGGAATAAGAATGACGGTCACTTCGAGGCGGATTCCCGACCAGGCCCTTGTGACGTCCAGAGGGTACAAAGATACATGCACCTGACAAGGGAAGCGGAAGGCTTATCTTACCCTATCGCGCTGATTGCATGGCCTTATCGATTATATGTCTTATCTATGGTTTTATCGCTCCTATCGGCGGCGTGGCCCCGCAGCGTTCATGTACATACCCATGTATAGGTCCTGGGCAGCGACACGTCTTTCTGGTGAGTGGGCAAGGTATCGGGTACCTACCTGACCACATAAGGTACCTGAGATATAGAAGCTACAGGTATGCACATACAGGATTCGATGTTAGGTGCATTTAGGTAGATATCATTCATCGTCGCTCTATTATCGTCTATGCCCGCGTCGGGTTTTCCTCCCACCCGCCGAATCTTCGAGGTAGTGCTAACCAACTTCCTCATTTTCGATTCTATCCATAGGCGTGTGAGCCGGTATAAAAAAATACAAAAGAGGAGAAAGAGAAAGAACAAGAGGGAGAGAGACAGCGACAAAAGCGTTTCGAGTCATCAGGCGATCCCTCGATCATCGTCCGCTTGCTTGGTTTCTTGAAAGTCGAGTCGCGTCACGCGTCGCCAATTCGCGACAGCAGCCGACAGCCAAATTCTCGACGCTGGCTGCGCTTACTACTCGGTAGTGGAGCTGCCACCATGTCCACCACGCCGCGGTCGCTGTCGCCTTTGAAGCATGGCGTGGCGGCCGACCAGTCGATGATGGTAGAGCTCCCCACTCATCTCGGCGACCAGGATGAATTCGATAATTCCATCGAAGAGGAGACTGTCAGACTGAACCCGCAACAACTACAACCACATTCCACCCCCCCCCACCAAGGTGCCAGGCACGACCAGAGCCAGGAAGTGACGGTGGTTAGAAACCCCGAGCGCCAACGCCAGACGCGGACGCCTGAGCCGCAGAAGCGACGGAGTAACCGGTCTGACGTCCAGAGCCCGGGTCACCTCGCCACTTTCGACTGGGATGACTTTCAGTATCGCTACGAGAAAGCCTTGCAAGAGGCTGACGAGGTAGAGAAACAGCTCCTCGAGGAGTTCGAGCATCTTATTAAGGTACTCAAGCCAGTGGGGGCCCTCCTAGAATCGCGGCTGACCGTGGAGCCAGTACTTCAACGCCTGGGCTTCGGCTTCGGCTACCCACGATAACGAGAGAGCCGTAAAGAGGTTGGTTCGCCCAGGATGCTTCCATGGCTAACTCTAAAGCACAATGCTAAACGTCGGCAGACTGCAGACTCGCGAGAGACACGTGCGTCTCTCTGAGCAGACTCTCCTGCAAAAGAAGCAGCATCGTGAGTAGCCGCTATTTTTCGGCTTTATTTTTATTCATGCCCCCCGCTGTTTTATCACCTGTCCATTTGGGTAACTCATGATGTGTCTAGTATCTGAGGTGGTCAAGGCCTTCCAGAGCGCTCTGGCACTGCTAAGCGCAACCTAATTAGGCATCCTCATTATTCTACCTCTGGGAAGAAATCGACGGAGGCATCGACGTAGATGACCACACACACACACACACACGCACACACACACACACACCAGGATTCATCATCGGCAACTCTGGAGGAATTATCGCGTTGATTGTACCAGCCCATCATCGGAGTTCATATGTTGTCTGGTTGAGACGTTGGTTGAGGCGGGTTAGGCGAGAGATGAAATTGGCCATGACAGGGTGCCTTTTAATGGTGTTGACGGGTTAACTTATATACTCTACGCTATCACGATATCACGATGTAACGAACGCCGTATATTTATATTTATATACCTGTTAATTGTCGTCAGTTGGGTACCTACCGTTACTCTGTATATTACACGAGGTTAGGTACCTGGACTTACAAAGGTTCGTCGGGAATATCAAATTACCTCTTAGATTGCTTGCACCGATGTACTGTACCGTACCAACGGAAGTACCCACATCTGCCCCTAATTGAAACATTCCAGGTACACGAGAAGGTACTTGAAGTACCTAATGTACCATGTAGGTGTAGGGAAACGCGCTTGTTAGTAATACACCGCATTGCCCGCGACCCTTACAAGGCTTCGAGCTTTCTTCTTACTTCCATCCCCCTTCACCTCCCGCCTTCTGTCTGTAGTTTCACACCGACAAGATCCGGCCTGGACGATCATGTCGGCTGCTCTGCGGGCGGCCCGTGACCCCTCTCGTCCCGTGGAAGTATCGCCGGCAAGTTCTCGTCCATTTTGCTGCTCGTTTACGTCTTCGATTGATGGGACGCGTCCGGTAGCTAATGCTGACTGTTTAGGCAGGCCGACATTAATTTGTTCCACGACACACACTTCTCCCTCGCCGCAGTGCAGCTCTTCGAAACACAATTTCTGGTGCCGACGGGTGGGCAGGACGACGGACAATACTGGGATGATGGCGACGCATACTGTGAAGAACTAGATGATGATTATGACGATGGCCTCGGCTACTATCCTGACGGCGTCAAACGTACCCTAACCGACGAGCAAATCGCCATCTTCCGTCATTCCGAGCTCGAGTCCCTGCGTCGCTCGGAAGCCAAAGCCACCGAGCTCCAGAAAGTCCCCGTATCACCCCCGGAGGCGGCCGGGGACGAGACCGCGGCCAAGGACTGTCCCGGTCCCCAAAACGCGACCTCGTCGCCCACGTCCCCGCGGGTCGAGGGCCCTAGTGAAGCAGATGGCAAGAAAGGCGACGAAGTGCAGGAAGCTAGCGAGGATGGAGAAATCGAAACGGACATACCGACGCTGACAAAGGCCGAGGCCCGGCGTAACAAGAAGCTACGCACGAGGCGAAAGAAGCAAGAGCAGCGCAAATTCAACCCCGAGAAGAAGCCGGATCTGCGCAAGAGGACTTGGGACGTAGTCGAGGCGGGCATGGACGGACTCGACTACGACGAGCTCGAGTCTAGCGGGGATGCGTCCGCGGCGCCGGCAGCCCAACGGCGGCGGATTTCTTACGACGATTAAGAGATCTATCTTCCTCCGCCCTCTTGTTAAGGGCGGGCGACGTACTCCATAGCCAACGCGCCCATCCCTCTCTCTTCGAGGACACCAAGCCGTAGGGCATGTAGTTGCATGACCGGTTGTTGGGTTGGTATGGCGCCACTTCCTTTCCACCTCCCTCTGTGCGGTTAACTCGCATGATGAGAACCTTGTATCGTCATCCTTAGTCTGAAGTCCGTCGAAGCCGGCCGAAGTCGGCGTAAAGCGGACGGACAGCCGGATTCTAAGCGGATGCATGTCGAACACATAATCTTCTCTCTGAACACGTCACGCCTGCTCTATTCCGTATTTCATCGCTGCTATAGATGCGATTCAGAAGCTGACGGGTGCCACAGGACGGCCTGCAGCGTATCATGGAGGCTACATAATGCCATGCCGCATACATGTAATATATCCAGGGGCTGCATCGCTAGGACGCGGTTGCCATGCCGTGCCGCCAGCAGGCAACCTACGTACGGGATGGGACCGAGCTAACCCCACCGCATCGCCGACTCCTCAAAGCAACGTGACCGATTTATGCGACACGACGTCTCTCTACTACTGTAGGGCATCGTGTCTAGTCGTATCTTAATACGAATTACCACATCAGGCGCGGGAACGGATGCCTCCCCTACCGAGATGAAGGCTCCCCTAGGGAGGACGGGGGACGGGAGCCTACGGTGGCTGCGATGGTGAACGTGTATCTACAGCCGGGCGGCTTTCAGCTAGGCGACAGTATACCCGCGCCCGCTGATCATCGGAGAACGCCTTTATCACGGTAGTCGAGGAGGGCAATTTCGGTTAGTTTCGCGTGGTGGTTTCGTATTATCCCGTGGTATGGGGTACGGGTTCGGAGGTGGACTGATGTATTGCTGAATACACGTCGGACGGCGCGATGTCGGTAATTTCCTCGACGTGAGATGGTGGTACCCGTGCCTGGGTGCGCGACGATTTCTGAGGAACAGGTTGGAGCAGATCGCCCTCTCGCCGGCGGCATGGCATGGCATGGCATGGCATGGCTACGATGAAGTACTGCTCAGCGGTTGGGTAGCGGTGGTGTACCGGGGATTTTATGTAACACATCTGGGGACGTAGTAGGAAGAGGTACCTAGGTAGATAGGTAGGTAGGTAGAGGTAATTACCGACTACTTGCTCTTCATCGAATTGCACCGTCAACGTCGTGTCACCTTTAGTATGGTATTTTAATCTGGACTGTATACCAGGAAGTGATGCCATCTCTAGAAACAATTTCTATATTAAGTAATTAGTTGTGTCGCATTTAGAATTGCATTTGCTTGCGTATTACTACGGGAATTCTTACAGCTTATAGTCTGTATTCTTGGTGTAGAAACAATTTCTAACATAGTGTCAATTATAATAACCATACCCTCTCTGTAGGTATTACACCTTACGAAAGGGCTCGCAGTCATTTCGTGACTTTATGAATAATGCTAATACAGTGCTGTTATTACAAACGCATACTGTTGATAGATCTCCCCTCCCGCTACTAAATACCTGTAGCTACCTACTTATTTATATCCACTGGATTCAGGTGAATATTGCCGATTGGCGATTACAAAGTACCTAGGTACGTAGTGATAGCACTACGTAAGTCCGCCTTCAGCGGGTCCCACCAGAAATTTGGGTCAGGCGTCGCCGTCACCGGGCAGGGAGGAATGGCACGCTACATTCCTGGGGGTGCCTCGCCTGCTCCCAGGATGTACCGTAGGTACCTGACTTGGGCATTATCTGTACCTGCACTGCGTCCGCAGGTACTTTTCCGCATGTCTTGGCTGGAGTCATCCGCCCCAACGAGCCCAACACCCCCTCCCCCTTTGCCCGCCGGTATTGCCATGTACATCCGTAGGTACATCCCTTTCGGCCTGGCGCTGCCCTCAGAAGGTACCTCACGTATAAGGGAGTGGCTAGCCTCAGGACCAATCTGGTCGGGTCTCCTCTGAGTAGTCGCCCTCTTGAAAAACGTCAACATCCCACCCCTCGACAACCGCATCCTGCTCCCTACGGTAGGACTGCGCGCTTTGGGGGACCAGCCACGGGAACAGTCCATCACCATCACCGCCAAGCGCCTTGTATCTTTCTCTCTTGTCCCTTACCGGCACCTCGACGCCAACTCCTCTCCCCGCGCCCGCCTGCGTGCCTGTGTGCCGCATTCCCTTCAGGCTCGCAGACCCAGTGGAGGAACGCTGCCGTTCTTCTTCCACTCACCTTGCTTCGACATCGTTCTTTGCATCCGGACCCGAGCCTAGGACTGCTCGAGACCAAGTTGCCCACCATGGCGCGAGTCTACGCCGATGTCAACCAGAACATGCCTCGCAGCTATTGGGATTACGATAGCGTCAATATAAGTACGTCAACCTGAGCCCGGTGAATTGGGGGGGCAGCGGCTATGAGGTTGGGTGCAAGAGGCGTGGGCGAGCCGGTGGTCACGTCGCAACTAACTTTGGTGATCTTCGCAGGCTGGGGCGTTCTCGAGAATTACGAAGTTGTTCGTAAGATTGGTATGTCGCGACTCCCCCCCCCATACGCGCACCCACGCACACTCCCTCCCTCCGATAAGAGAGGCACGAGAGGCACAAACGAGCACACGCAAATACACGCAGCCGTTGCAGCCGGTACGAGTCGCTAACACCCCCCGTCTTTCGTGCACCAGGACGCGGTAAATACTCGGAAGTCTTCGAGGGTATCAACGTCATCAACTACCAGAAATGCGTCATCAAGGTTCTGAAGCCGGTCAAGAAGAAGAAGATCAAGAGGGAGATTAAGATCCTCCAGAACCTCTCCGGCGGCCCCAACATTGTTGCCCTGCTCGACGTGGTGAGAGACAACCAGGTAGGCCGCGTCCACCCTCTTAGCTACGAACCGGGATGCTGACGAGTGGTGGCCCCCCCCCCCCCCGTCGAATCAGAGCAAGACGCCGTCGCTCATCTTTGAGTATGTCAACAACACCGATTTCCGAAGTCTCTATCCCAAGTTCAACGACATCGACGTGCGCTACTACATCTGCGAGCTGCTGAAGGCCCTCGACTTTTGCCACAGCAAGGGCATCATGCACCGAGACGTGAAGCCTCACAACGTCATGATCGACCATGAGAACAGGAAGGTAATGCATCTCCCGACTCGCCGCGTCGTCGTCAGTGTAACTATAGCTCACATGCCCTGCCAGTTGCGCCTCATCGACTGGGGCCTAGCCGAGTTCTACCACCCGGGGACTGAATATAATGTCAGGGTACATCACCTTTTACCCCGTCTCCCAGAGCCCCCCCCCGGTCGTGGGCCGTGCACGGACACGATTAGGAGCTGGCATCCAAGCTTGTAAGGATGGCGGGCGGCTGATGATTCTGCAGGTCGCGTCTCGTTATTTTAAGGGCCCCGAGCTTCTCGTCGATTTCCAGGAATACGATTACAGCTTGGATATGTGGAGCCTGGGTGCTATGTTCGCATCCATGATCTTCCGAAAGGAGCCCTTCTTTCACGGGAACAGCAACTCGGATCAGCTCGTCAAGATCGCCAAGGTACTCGGCACCGACGACCTCTTCGATTATCTAGACAAGTACGAGATAGAGCTCGACCCCCAGTACGACGACATCCTCGGCCGTTTCACCAAGAAACCGTGGCATAGCTTCGTCAATACCGAGAACCAGCGCTTCGTCAGCAATGAGGCTATCGACTTCCTCGACAAACTCCTCCGATACGATCATCAGGTTTGTCAGACCGTTGCACCCGGCGTCGATGCTAACGTCGCTAACCGCATATACGTAGGAGCGCCTCACCGCCAAGGAGGCGATGGCGCATCCTTACTTCGCGCCGATTCGGGACGAGGCCACGCTAACCGAATACCTCGGCGGTGCCACCGTCAGCTCCAGTTCCTGAGAGAGAGTGCGAGCTCTCCCATTTATTCTCTAGCATTCTCAACGATACCCGACGCCCTTTTCCCTTACCTCCTGCGGCCCCTCCTGGAATCCTGATCATGTCGGCCTTCCCTTTCCGACCCGAGCTGATCTTGCATCTGTCTCGTGTGTGGTGAGTCAGAACCGTTGAGAGCTCGAGTTGGCGTTCAGGCCCTAGATAGTTTTCCTCGGCGCGACGCCAGGCCCCGTCGCTGCCATAATAGCAAACCCTCCCCGCCTACGGAGAAACAAGAAGAATGAACACTGGATGATGCCGAAGTCGGCTTCTCAAGTCGCGTGCCAACCGGCCTTATCTGTGAGACCCGTTCCTTACTACCTACTGCTGCGCGATAATGATTTCGTCGTTACGACTCGTTACGACGTCGGGGAAGGGGCGGAGAAAAAAAAAAAAACAGACAAAGAGAAAGGCCGAGAGAGAGAGAGAGAGAGAGGGCAGATAAAGAGAAGGGCGTCTCGGGCGCAGTGGTCGGATGTAGTAGAGAGGGGAACGATGCGTGAATTGCGTAACATCGCCGCTAGGCTGGCTGGACTAGGCCGGCGCCCCCGGAACCGTAATTCATGGGATGACATGGAGAGCGTAGGCTTTCTTTGTTTTTGAATTTTTTCCTATTTCCGGTCGGGTTAGCTAGCAGCCACCCCCCCCCCCCCCCCCGGGTAGCCAAAAGCACCAATCGTATCGAGAACTTAGCCATACTTTTCCAGCTATCTCCTTTCTCTCTCTCTCCCCCCCCCCCCTTCTCTCTCTCTACGTGCCTAGTCGCTAGCGATCTTTGTTTTTTTGTACCCGTAGCCGGCTGCTGCTGCGAAGGAGGGTGGTTGGGCTGGTTTGTAAGTTCGCAGTGATCGATGGAGGGACGGCACAACACGGCACGGCACGGCACGCGGGCGCGCCAATCAGGGCCCTGCCCCGGTTGCGCGTGCGCGCTCGCCAATTAGGGAGGGGAGGGGGGGCCCTCTACGCTGGCTGGGGGAGGTAAGCAGGGAAGCAGGGAAGCAGGGGAGGCCAGGAGGACGGGCGCTATCGCGGCCCTATTCTACCTACGTTATAACAGCATCGCGGCATCTCGCCGAGCGGGGAGGGCGCGAGGCCACGGCGCAGAGACACGGGACGGGACAGGACGGGACCGGTGTGGTCTCGTCGCGGGCCGCGGGCACGCTGCGCATGGCGCGCATGACGCAGCGGCGGCACGTTCGCACGCCCGTCCGTCCGTCCGTCCGTCGACGAGACCTGCCCCTTCCGGCGCGCGCGTCAGATGCGCGTAGTATTGCCGCACGCGCGAGTCCCCGGTGCTGGTTGCAGGTGTATATATCAAGCGATGTAGTATTATTTCCCGCCCACACCCACCCACCTTGCGCTGCCGTTTTCGAAAAAGGGGGCAGCGAGTAGAGGAGGGGGGGGGGGGAGGGGGGGAGGGGGGTTGGATTAGCTAACTATATTACCGTCGGCTCCTCGCTGGCCGACGAGCTGACACGCATCCTCTACTTCAGACGGACGGGTAGACGCCCCCCGCCCCCCCCTCCTCCCCGTCTCGCTCTTATTTACAACACGTGAGGCAGAATTCCCGATCGCACACGAAGCCGGCCTCGCCGCATCGCCGCGCCGTCCCGCCGGGCGTCCGTGCCGGGCTCTCGCCTGTCCCCGTCGCCCCCGCCCCCGCCTTGCGTCTCCGCTGCGCCGGCGTGGCGGCCCCGCCGAGCCGCGGGCTGTCGCGGCCAGCCCTGCTCGCAGCCGTGCGCGCTAGCGGCGAGCTCTGCACCCCGCCGCCGCCGCCGAGCTTACGCGCCGGGACCCACGTCCGCAAGTCCGTCGCCGGCGCGGTGCGTTGCCAGGCGCCGCGCGGCATAGACGCTGGCGAGGGCGTGGTGGTGGTGTGCGCGTGTTCGCGCCGGAACAAGTGCGGCGTGGCGCTAGGCGAGAGCACGCTCAGCTCGTCCTCACCATCTGGGTCGTCCGGGACGAGAGACGCTAGGGTGAACTTCTTCTTGGTTGGCGAAGTGCGGTTCCTACTGTTGCTGTTAAGCCCCTCTTCTACGTGGGACTTCCTGCGCTTATTAGGTGTCTTGGGAATGATAGAATTCGTGCTGGCCTCGGGGGGGCGTGAGGGCCGACGCTTGGCCAAGCTGTCGGTCTTTGTGTTCCGCTCTTGGTCGCCCTTGGGGCTCCGAGAGATAGTGTCTTGCGCTGGTACTTGAGATGGTCGTAGAGGTAGCGTGGGCTTTTCGGCAGGCGCTTGCTCGCTAGATCGTTCGGGCGAGTCTGACTTTCGCGTTGGCCGAGTCCTTTCCGACCCGGGTGAGCCGATAGGAGCTACAGCCCCCCCCACGAAACTTAAAGCCTCTGTGATATCGCGACCCGGTTCTGATCCCACAGGTGCGGCTTCAACAGGATGGGGTTCCTCTCCGGAAACGCCAGGCAAATTATCATGGGCGACGTCTGACTGCATTTGAACAGGAGGAACTTGTGCCTCTGCTCGAGAGTCGTCGAGTCTGGCATCGGATTCCTGTGCCACTTCCAAAGCAACCGGGGTTTTGTTGTTCCCAGTATCAGGGGGCACGGTACCCGGATCTGCTACGAGGCTGAAGTCCTTGGCAATTCCGCCCTCGGAATTGACCACGGGACTCTCCAACTGCTCGGAACGAACCTCCCGGCCTAAAATCTGAAGTAGTCTCTCTTCAACCGACATGTCGTCGTATGATTTGGGCTCGTTATTCGTAAGTAGTTTGTCGTTTTGTTCATTAGTTTCGCCGCTTGGGAACGAGAAAGATGGCCCCCCGGGGTCCTCAGAAGTCAATGGGGGAGGGCCCATGAAATATTCGGAGGTATGATCAGCCAGTGACGGGGTCCCATTCAGAAAGTCCTGGATCCCCTCATCCATCTCGAAATCCCACTGGTTCGCCGGTGCAACGTCGCCGGTCACTTGACTTTGAGTAGCAATACTTAGCGCTCTGGTGAGCTCATCACTGCCCGCGTACTCCGCAGTCTCGAGCTGCAGAGGGCTTCCTTCATTCTGGGATGGGTCGCCGATAGGACTTATAGGCTCGAAAAATGCCTCTGATTGAACAGGTAGCGAATCTAGAACCTCACCGGTTATATCCGCTGTAGTAAAAGAGGCGTCGGCAATCTCTGGCTCTGGCTGTCTACGGTTCGTCCGCGGAATCTGACCGTAGAATTCTGTCTGCTTGCGTGCGCGTGAAGATCTCCTCTGCGAGGTATCAAGAGGCGGAATATCACCGACAGTAGGTGGTATCGTATTGGGAACTGAGCAAGTTGATTTGACTGCAGGTATGATTACTTCGATTCTCCGTGTAGATGTCGTGTCGCGGTCACTCCCCTTGGCTACATCATTAACGCACGCGGGCGAGTTTGAGGTAACAGGTTCTTTTTTTGATCGTCTTAACCTAGATTGTGGCTTCGGAGAGGTACCATCTCCGCGAGCTTCCTCCTGATCTATATGCTCCGGCCTTGTCGCTGTAGATGCCGGTGAACTCTCCGCATCTACTTCTTTATGAGGAACTCCAACATCCCCTTTTGTAGTGTCACCCAGCAGGACGTCATCCTCGTCCGAGTCATTCCCTGCCGACGCTGCTGCGGGTAAAATTTTCCTCTTTGCGGGGTTAACATGGGATAGCTTTTGGGGCACTTTACGGCGAGAGGGACCACCGAAAAAGCCGTTGCCATAGGCACCTCCTGACATTGGCATCGGCCAGTGGCTGGGCCCTAGAGATGGCGGGTATCCAGGACCTTGACTTATGAATCCGAACCTGTCTGGTTGAGGAGGCATCGGGAGCTGTGGGGCTTGCCAACGCGGGTCTAGAGGTCCATTGCCCAGCATGGGGGATCCGAGGGAACCAAAAGAGGACCCGAGTGTGAATGGATCGGGCAAGCCAAATGGATATGGCGCAGATCCAGACGGAGGTAAGCTATGCTGGCCGCCGAGCGCGCTAGGCTGCGCCGGCCCAGCAGGCAACACTTGGGGATGATTGCGCGCAGAGATGTCGGCGCGCACCGAGACCTGGGAATGAGAACCCTGTGTCGACCTCACATCCTGTCCTCCGACGGTCTTGCCCGCGCCATTGCTTGAGGTGGGGCCCTCCCTAGCTCGCTCCTCGTCGTCCTGTAAGGATAAAAGATGTCCATTGTCGACAACAACCTCACCGGTCTCGAGGTCGATCTCGTCACCGACCCCGGTGAAGTCTCGCTCGTATTTCTCAAAAATGGTCTCGAAGGCGGACTTGAGCCTCGTCACGGCCTTGGCTCTCCCCTTATCGAGCTGGTAAATGGGATCTTGACTGATATCGAACTGCGTCGGACTCATAGAAAGTTCGTCCAGGTTCTCCTCGTCATCGTCATCCTCGCCGGGCGGCTGTTCGAGTCTCGGCTTCTTCGAGGGGGGTTCCATGACTCTGGCTGCGCCGCCATCACCCGAGGGGGCCGACAGCCGAGATGCAGAGGCCCGTGGAGGGTGGTTGTGGGCGAGCGGAAAGGAAAACGAGAAAAAGGGAAAAAAAAAAAAGAAAGGAGGAAAGGAGAAAGACGAGAGGGTTATGGTGGTGAGGATATGCAATTGGTGTGGATGCGACGAACGCGTCAAAAGCGATTGGGACACGATTAGTTGATTCGGGTTATCGGGAACCGCGGGTAAACGCGGGTATGCTAGAGGTACCTAGGTACCTTTAGGTGTAGGTTGGTATAGGTACCTGACGACTTGCGAGAGAGAGCGGGCTCTGGCACTGCCGCCGCCTGTATCGGCTGTGGCTGGTGCAGGTGTGGGAGCCGATGACGTATGGATGGCCCTCCTTCAATGGAAAGGGAAAATAAAGGGAGAATAAAAAATCTGAAAAAAAAAGGAAGGAAAATTTAATGAAAAGGGAACCTGGAGCTTCGAACCCAACCCATTCACGACTTGCCCAAGAAGGTAGGAGGTAGTCAGGTACCGTGACCCGATGGCCCATGACCCGGTGGATAGGTATACATAGGTACATGTATGGATGCTACGCCACATAAGGTTGTTCCCCATCCCACAAGTTCCTACCTCTTACCTTACCTAGGTACCTTACCTATCTTACCTCAGGTACTAGCCTCCACTAAGCTTCCGTGCCCTGTCCGCTAACAATTAGGTACCTACTTAGGTAGGTATATAAAGGTGCCCCCCCCCCCGGCTGCCAGCCCAGCCTCTCGTCGTCAGGTGCTGATACGCCTCTCAGCAACGCAACCCCCTCCGAACACGCATTGGCGAGGCGAGCAGCTCCAGCATGGGACCGTCGACGCGGATTCCGAAGCTATCATGTATTGCCAAAAGTGCCGCGCCCCGCTCAAGCTAGACGGGTCTCTGACAGATCTGAATCCCGCCGCATTTGATCTCCTAGTTGGTTGGTGGCCTCTCTTGAGCACCCGGGTCTCGTGTCGCCCGCTAACCTGTCCCAACTTCGCAGCTTCGTCTTCCCGGAAACAGTCCTCCCACCCCCCGCCGTCTCCTCGCCTGAGCTATCCGAATGATGCCGAGAGGAGAGCGCTTTATAATCGGGTATCGAGAGATGTCGGCCCTGCCGTCTTTAAGAGACACAGCAACGTCCTCCGCGGCGACGGCCATCCTCGAGACAGCTCCGCCATGTCCTTTGTCCTCCTCACCGAGTCTCAGGTCGCCCCTCCGAGGCTCACCCCCCCGATAGATTCTCCGACGCCGAGACAGCCGCGTCGGAAATCCCTCTCCGGCAGCCAGCGCAACGACGCGAGACCCGCCCACCCCCACGAAGCTGAGCGCGTCAACAAGCTCTTCGAGATATTGTCCGCGCGATCAGACATAGACCACCCCGTGTGCGTGGAGTGCACGGAGATGCTGGTAGACGGGCTCCAGAAGAGGCTAGAGTCCACGGCACGGGAGCGAGATGCCTATGCCGCATTCCTGAAACAGGTCCAGGCGGATATACCGAGCGAGGAAGAGATCGCCGAAGCCGAACAGGCCCTAGCGAAGGCGCGGGCGGAAGAGGAGGCGTCTATGGATCAACTTTTAGCTTTGGAGAAGGAGAAGGCCGCCCTGGATATCGAAATTGCGGCACTCGAGCAGGAGACGCGGGCGCTGGATGCCGAAGAGGAGGAATTCTGGAGGGAGCGCAACGCGTTTGCGTCGAAGCTCGCCGAGTTCCAGAACGAGAGGGACAGTATCAATTCCAGGTACGACCACGATTCCCAGCTGCTTACGAAGCTTCAGCGGGCGAACGTCTACAACGATACGTTCTCGATACACCACGACGGCCACTTCGCGACCATCAACGGACTCAGGCTAGGCCGGTTATCGACGAAGCCCGTGGACTGGCCAGAGATCAACGCCGCGTGGGGCCAAGCATTGCTACTAGTCGTCACGGTCGCGGACAAGCTGGGATATAAATTCGACAGCTACGAGCCCCTACCCATGGGGTCCACCTCCAAGATCATACGTTACGACTACCCGTCCCCATCCGCCAGCCGGCTCGGCGGCCCTCGCAGCGGGCCGCCGCCGGCTCCTAAGAAGAGCGTGCTGGAGCTCTTCTCGTCGGGCGACCTGCCGTTGCAGATGCTCTGGAACCGCAAGTTCGACCACGGGATGGTGGCCTTCCTGGAGCTCGTGCGGCAGCTCGGGCAGTTCGTCCACCAGCAGACAAAGGCGGGCGGCGGCCAGGGCGGGTACCCGGCCAACCCGCTGGCGCTGCCGTACAAGATCGAGGGCGACAAGATCGGCGACGACCGCATCGGGCACTACAGCATCAAGCTGGGGATGAACAACGACGAGAGCTGGACGAAGGCGTGCAAGTTCGCGCTCACTTGCTGCAAGTTCCTGATCGCGCACGCGAGTAACATTAGCCACGTGACAAACAACGGACGTTGAGGTGTGGGTCGCGTGAGGCCGACACGAGACGAAGCGAGACGAGGCTGACTTTCGATTCGATTTCCCCACGGCATGTTTAGACAGGCGGTGGCGTACGGCGTTGACAGAACGGGAGAGGGGAGGGAGGCGGCGTAGAGAACATTGATTCTGTAGTATAGGGATGACGGTGCATAGGCTCTATTCGGTACATAGGTTACAAGACACTTACTTAATAGTGCGATGAAGCAAGTAACAGTCTATTTATGTCGCACCGACGACAGTGCCTCGGTGGTGCGGCTATTCGGAGTAATTGTCAGCACCGAAGCTACAGGTGTTGTACATTGGTGTTCCATCACTGCCAGGGATATAACCCAAGTTCGTTGGAGCATGCCCGTGTAATGCCGTTCCAGTCATCACCTCTTAGCAACACAACCCGATCGCGGGCACCATGCAGACTAGTGACAAGGGTAATCTACCAGCTCGTTACTCTAAGTTACCCGGAAGCCGATGACTGTATCTTACGTGAAACCTTACGGTAAACCCCTGTATTTCCTTAGCCCAGTGACTTACAGGTGTAGCTCTCCTCCCCGACAACAAGCCTGCTCACATTCGAATCCGAACGACCACCAGCATATGCTCGAGATGACCTGGAGTCGTAGTATCGAATTTCCTGGACGGAGCCCATTTGCAACATCCATAGTCCACATTCGACAGACGCCCCTGCTCCCGCACGGCGGTAGGGCCATCCGGCCGACGTCGACTCCCGCCCCGGGCCAGTCTCCACCCGACAACGACGACGCCGACTATGGCGCCCGCCTTGGCGCCGAGCCTCCACCCCCTCAGTGGAGCCGCAATGGAAAAAGAAAAAAAAAAGAGGCAAAAACATACAACACCAGGGATTCGCTGGTCGTCACCGACCCAACTACTAATCTGGCAGTATCCAGCTTATCTAAGGGAGAGCGGACGGGATCCCGAGTTCTCTGGATCTTATGGTTGTATGTGGTAGACGAATGCTCTAATCTGGCTGATATAGGTAGGACCAGACGTCGCAGCATGAGCGAAAAGGTTAGGCGGCGGGCAATGTGAAGACGGACATCCTCCTTCAGGTATTATATATACCTAGATGGGACTAAGGACTGATATCAAATGAGTAATTAATTAGCTTGGTGACCACTGATGAATCCCTAATGTTTTTTGAAAAGGGGGAGGGGGGGGATGGCAGAGGTGGGAGAGGTGTATCTTACTCCTTTTTACGCTTCTGGGGAAGCTCTGGTGTCATTGCCAGGTGGGGGCTTTGAAAAGACGAAGCCTCAGATCCCCAGTTCATCCCTTTGATGCTACCTACCGCCATTTCTCGCCGTCCTAGTAGGTACTTCTTGATCTTGTACGCGGCATCCTAATGTTCTGGGAACGCCGAACCTCGTTCCGAGACTTATACGTCTCCATTTCGTCATCCTACCTCTAGTCCTCGCCGTCCGGCACATCGGACGCAGTTGTCTCACCCTTGCCCTGCCCAAAATGCATCGGTGCGTTTTTTCTCGCTTCTGTGGGCCTTCCTCTCGCTCCCGCTCTGGCGTGACGGCTTAGTGGTATGATGGTGTTTCCTCTGAGAACTCGTCGGAGGACTACTTAAAGTCCTGCCTGGTTTAGAACGGGTGCGATAGCTTTCGGTGCCACTTCGCGACGTGAAGCTCGATGTCTAGCTTGTCACGAAGCCTGCTTGTTGATCGGTAGCGCTAGGTAACAGAGAATCTTGACTCTCGTCTCTTTCTACGACTTGTAGGTGTAGGCTATAAGGGCAGATTCCGCACGTGATAGCTTTCTAAGGTCGAAACCGATGCTATAAAGTATGCCTTATCAAACGATTAAGGCTTATATTACCTTATCGCTGTTTAATCGCGGAAGGTGAAGGTGTCGAATGAGGCTTTTCCGCATGGGCGTCTTGCGATTCAGTGAACTCTTCACACGAGACCGTGTCGTGCACTAATATTATCGTATCTGTTAGGGTGTCCTGTTCTGCCGACGCTGCTACTCTCCGCGCTATGGTATTTGCCATCTGGATAGCCCTTCCGCGATGATCTTTTTCCAAGTCCCTCGCGTTCCTAAATGCACTAGCTCCCTGAATGAAGGCATCGCAGTTCTTCGTTAAACCATAGGTTGTTGCGTAAAACGTAGACGCTTACGTTCTAAGTACGGCTTGTACATGTAGGCTTATAATGATTGATTCCGTACGTGGTACTTGGGCTTCCCGCCAGGCGTCGTTGGTGCAGTGGCATGGTGGGCATACAGCTGGAGCGTGCCGATCCACGCGTGGTAGATCAAACTGAAGGTGTGTTAGGCGTTTCCATCGTAAGCCGGCTCCCCCTCGCCGTAATTTTGCAGGGCGTGCATGGCACGCGAGCCCCGTACGCTCCGTAGTAGCAAGCTTGTCTCAAGGTCACGTCGGCACGTCTGCTGGAGCCTTAGCCTCTAAGAATAAGTTTAGCGCAACCGGAGCACCGCTATGTTCTGTTGGTATGATTGTTCAATTCAGATTGCCTTCATATTGAGCATCTCAGATTTTAGGATGGATATCTCTCAGCCTGGCTCCGGCAACGTAATCGGGTACTACTTTAACAGTGGCCTCTTCAGTCATTGAATAGAGATCAGTAAACTGGAGAGCCCTTTCGTTCGGAATATCAGCGTCGCCGGCTATGATCGGGATTACCTACGTTGCACATTAGAATGGGTTCTGATTCAGGGCAGTGATTTTGTTGAAAGCTCGTGAATGTCGACTGGAGAAAGAGGGACGGCGAGAGGGGTCACCTTTCTTCGGGGGCGCCTGACAAATCTCATCCAAATTATTCGGATCGGGAGTCGGGCGATCGCTGGGAAAGTGATAGGGTGGAAGATAGATGTTGTTGTCTATAAGGTGTTGCACGAAATCACTGTCCTTGGCAGATGATCTCCTTGAGAGAAGAGCAGAGGGTGTATGTTGGCTAATAGACGACAGAGCGGAGGAACGGCTAGTCATCGTTTGAGCACCATCTTTGGGCCATTGATACTGCATGATGCATCGGTTGGGCAGTGTGCTTCGCACGGTAATGAGACCCTACCCCTCGAAGATGGCAAAGATCTGGACCACCGTGGCTTGCAAACCGTGCCCTCGTGCTGTCTTCGTGCCGTGCCTCTCCCCTCTTACAGATCCCCCCGTAGAAGCTGGTCGTCTCCACCGGGTCCTTAAACCACTATAGAGCCACAGAAGGGGAGGGTAAGAGGTGGACAAGGACGTGGCCGGTGCAGCACATCAGGTGGAAGAGGAATCTTTAAGCAGGGCCTCCAGCCAAAGTCGATGTCTGGGTCTCGCGGATAATTCGCATCCAGCCTAATTGCGGCTCGTCCGATACAGCATGCCCTGGCCGATACACCGCCAGAATCACGACCTGCTAGTCCCTGCCTCGGCGACAATACTACGGCCCATATCGACCAATACCGCGGAGTGTTCCCCGACGGCAACCTAGGCCCCCGCACGCTCCCGCTGATGCTGTGCATATAGGTAATTAATGTTGGAACATCAATCCATCACGTAGGTACGACCATAGGATCTGGAGAGCTCGGGATCCTGTCTGCTCTGCCATAAATAAGTTGGATATTTGTAAATGGATAGTTGAGGTGGGGCGGAGAGTGGTCAGGTTCCTGACTGTTAGACTGGCGGTTGGGTCGGCGACGACCAGTGAAATCCCTGGTGTTGTACCTAGGTAATCTGTTTTTCTTTCTTTTTTAATGTCTAGAGGTACCCAGTAATATCCCACTTAGGCTTATAATGCTTAGCTCACACCTCCTTACATGCATATCTACGTGCGCCTCACTATATGCAGTTTCCCTCACGCAGTTTCGATCACCTATTGCCCTCTTCCCATGCAGGCTTTCAGCCTCGTTTGACCCTTTTCCTGGCGTTTGACATAGACCAGTATTCTGTTCAATACAGTAACAATTACTGCCGCGGTTTACGACTTCAATATAGGTGCATGAACCACAGAATCTCGCAGAAAATCCACGTCATCCGACAACCACACGAGCCTCAGATGGCCCTGAAAATTGCCGCCTCGACACTGCAGCGTATCGTATCGAATGTCGAGGTCGAGCGCAAGTTCAACATACCACCGAAGCTCGCGTCTCTCCTCTTGAACTCCAATGGGAAGAGGTGGCCACCGCTACGACGGCTACGACGACGTTCCCGGACTATTAGCCTAGAAGAAGTTGACTTTGTCGCACTAAGGCAATCGGGACAGCTTATCCGCGACACGTACTACGACATGGAGGACGGCCATCTTAGCAAACTAGGCCTATGGGTCCGGCAACGCTGCATCAATGTTTTACCAAGCGATGGCAGCTCCGGCCAGGCGCAATGGAACGCCAAGGTGCGGCTCGCGGGTCATTTTAACAACTCGCAATTTGTCGAGGTTGACGGCAAGGAGAACGTCTCGGACGAGGTGCTGCGCATCACCGGGTCTCAGACCAGGCTTGAGGACTTGCAGGTGGTCTCGGATCTGCAGACACGCCGGATATCGTGGCTGATAATACGGCTAATGGGTACCAATACGACGCCTTCGGCGAAAATGACTGTGGTCCTGGACGCGGTTACGGAGGCCGAGGCTATGGGAAAGGGAAAGGACGCTTTCGCCCACGCCATCGGAGAGGTGGAACTTTTCCAAACAGTCGTAACCGAAGGGAAAGACAACGACGAGCACGAGGCGTATAGGAAAGAGGTCTCAGCGCAGCGGATGGAGGAGCTGGAGGCATTCATGCTCCAGCATCGAGAACTATTCCCCACCAGTCCAGAGCCGGTCGGCAAACTCTCAGCGTATTATACGTGGAAGGCCAACCGTAGTCAGCCTTGAGCACGCCAGACTTCGTGTATAGAGGCTCGATGGGGGGCAGCCTACTCCTACGATTCATAATAATTTAGGTACGTACCGCGGATGTTAAGGGATTTGAGATCTGATCCGGTGGGACGTATACCGGGACGAACAGGATACAAACCAAATAGGCTTCGAGATTCACCCCTCTATTTCGTCTGACCCTTGAATCGGTCGCTTGCTATACCTCCCTCGTGCTCCTTTATCCACCACATAAATATACGTGATGGTGAACCCTAAACAAGATAGGTACAACGCCTCCATCGGCCAGCTTATACTCGCAGCCGCCCCCCGGCAAGAGAGATGGATGATTCGCTTACCAGTTCCGGCCGGAGTAGGTGCCGTATTATATGCTCTCCTTCTCCCCCCCCTTGACTTTATATACACCCTAGTAAGGATTGAGTTTTCAGGATGAAGGAAGATCCCGTGGCCCGTTGAGGAAGGCCAAGCCACCATAGTTAAAACTATTAACTAGCTGTTAACAAGACCAGCCAGTCCGAAGAGAGCTCGCTTCTGGCACAGTTCGGCGAGCATATGACTGCCCCATAAACTAACCTTGACACATTGGCAACAATACTCAGTATACTACCTGCATATGAGTATCAACAGTGCACCTGGGTGTGGTGAGTAGCAAGTGTAGGCAACCCGACAAGCCAAGCGGTGCTAAAGAACAAATCGAAACAACCTGGGAGAGAGAATGGGATCTGGCATCTGCGCGGAACACAGCAACACCGCTCTATGCGTGCTCAACAGCAGAGTAAGTAACCCAGACGAGGCTTTTACTGTCCGGAACAAGAGAGTGGGGTGGGACTACATGGGATGCTCTAGAGAGCACCAGGGAGCATACTCTTGGGGGCGCAGACGGCGATCGTCACGTAGAAAGCCGCAAGCTTCGGAGCTACTGACGGGTTAATCATGCGTTAAGCGGGTGGGCAGTGGTTATACTATTTGGCGGCTAGTTCTAATACTCATACGGGATGCCATAATTTTCCTAGTTGGTTTCTCGATCAACTGTCAATGGCACCCCGCCACACCACTTGCTCAACGCGGGATCAACCCATCCCTGCACTCCGAAACTTCTCTGCCAGCTGCACACGTAAATCCCCCATCCTGAACCGCTCAGATAAGCACCATTCGATGTTTGATTGCCTTAATTAGTCATTGTACTTTATGCCGCCACCCGTTCTAAAGTCCATCTCGGAGCAGGCGAGCCTTTCTTCCGTTATTACAAGAGATGTGTTGTGTTGTAGAGACGATTTCCCGTGTCAGTGCCGCCGCTTCCAGTGAACTTGTTGTCGGAGATGCGCAAGGCCACGAGCTCGAGCCCTGCCTCGCAGGCGTATTCGTAGACGAGGCCGCCTCGCGAGACGGACCGGTTCTGAACGACGCCGGCCACCGCCACGATGCGGGCCGTTGGGCATAAGCCTCGCACGTGTCTTGCGAACTCGACGATCGACTTGCCGCTATTGATGACGGAATCGACAAGAATGATGTTGGATATGTCCTGCACGTGCTGGTGCCCGATGTCATGGGGCCGACTTGCGTGGACGAAACGGGCCAAGGGGAAGGCCTCGTTGACACCGAGGGCCATAGCTTCTCCACCACGCATCAGCGGCACGATGAGGGTCTTCTGCTCGCTACGCAATCGGTAGCCGCTGGTGGTATTCCCTTGGACATGCCGAATGGGGTATTCTTCAATCCCGATGACTTCGGTTAGAAACTCGGTCGCCAGATACCAACCAACGTCCTGGTGGGATTTTCTAAGGCGGGGGCCAGAAATTGTGCCATCGCGCATAGGCGTCATCAATAGTTGCGCCGATCTTCTTGTTGTAGCATGGTCGAATCGAAGCCCGGGACTCGATTTACCGTGCCCGTCTGAGACGATAGAACGGATAAACTCTGGAACGGATAGGTCGATTAAGGGAAGTTTGTCGATGTCCAGCCGCGGCGGCACGTTGTTCGGTACTAACATCTGACGAGCTTGGAGACCGCCGCGGCTCACAGCTTCCAGCAAGGCGGCATCCATAGACTTGCTTCGCGATCCCTCTTCACCAACCACCACGACAGCCTTGTCCGCTTGAGACAGCATCGGCACGTCCAAGGGGCTGTCTCCAAAAGCCCACACGCATAACTTATAAGCCACTTGGAGATGGCGGATCAAGGAAGCCTTGACTTCTGGCGTGACGACGCAACCGTCTGCGACACGTCCTCCGCCGATGACTTTCACCCCGGCCAGACCTGCCCTCGCGAGGATCTTATCCCATACGCGGCCCAGCCCGCACGTCACAACCACGGCGCAAACCTGGTTCTGCTCCTCAACTGCTCGCAAAAGTGAGGCGAATTCCGACCGCAGAGTCACGGCTGATGCGACTTTCTCACAGACCAAATCAAACTCTTCCTCGGAGAACGTCTCCTCGTAAAGTAAGGCCGCCTGCCGAAAACCGCTGTAGGAGTACCCAAGGCGGCTGCTAAATAACCTTTTCAGCGCCTCGTCCTCGGTAGTCGTTGGATAGATTTCTGAAGCTATCTTCCAAAAGAGACTGCCTGTGTCCTCGGCCGCCAGCGTCTTGTCTCCGTCCAGCACTAGCATCGTGTGCAGCGGGCGGTTAGCGCCGGCAAGTATGCCATCCAGCTTTGAGATGACGCGGGAAAGGTTCAGCTGTTCCGTATGACATTGAATGTCATGGAGCAACGCTGCGACAGTGTGGAGAAGTCCTGACTCGGACGAGACTAGTGAGAACAGTATGCCGTTGTCGCGGCACAGTTGACGCAACCGAAGCTTCTCCGCTTCCTGCCACCTGTGCAAGTGTCCGACTGAAACCCGCGAGCGGCTCCTCTTGGTGTCACCCGACCGCCGCCTCCAGACAACATCGGGGTTGATGTTCAGGTACAGAATGTGCGTGTACCTCTCCATATCATTCTGTGTATACACCATCTCCCCAGTAGTGTCGCCTTCGTTCCAAAACATGAAGTGGCCGGCAACCACTCCCACACGGCCTGTGGCAGCGCAGCCCTCTGCGATGGAGTCGATGGCGAGTTGGCGCCACCTAAGCTTTTCTTGTTCCGTTGCTTTCTGGAAAGCAACGAGACCGCCTGGAGTAAGAGAGCTGATCACTTCGGAACCCTCGTAGAACTCGAAGAGGCATGTGTCAAGCTCTTTCTTGAGTTGAGCCAAGAGATACGACTTTCCGCACCCTGGAACCCCGTAAAGGCCGACAATTACTGGCTTGGGGGTGGAGGAGGGTGGGGATTGCGAGTCTACCGGCACGCTGCCGTTAGGAAGGTCTGCTGAGGGCGGCATAATATGTGACGACTTCTCGTTATTTCCGAATAATACGAAGGTGCCCTCCCGGGAGGAAGGAAAAACAAGAGGATGAAGAACCTCTGAATATGGTGCTAAGAAGTCTGAAGCCGGGATTGAGAGGACCGAGAGTAAGTTAGATGCTGTTGGGCTCTGCGATAAATGCTGGTATTAACTAAGATGATGCCGAGTAGCAATTTGGCGAATTTATCTTGCTCAGTAATTCGATCACGTCGTAGGTTGAAGATAGAGGCAAGGCTCCATGGAGTAAGCCTTGTGCCTGGCGGCTTACATAGCATGTCGGGTGTTGGCGTCGATAAACCGCCTGGAAGCTTGTTGCCGTAGGACGGACTGATTCTGGTCCAACTGTCTTAGCCCGCGATGAGCCGAATGAGCCCATCGCTATATAGGACTGGTTTCACCGGCCAATAGTGATAATGCTAGCGACCATTCCTCGCTCTCGAGTTGCATGCGGCAAGGTGATCGTTCGCCATCACACTCCTGGAAGCACTGACAGGCCTCATCACAGGCCTCCAACCGTGCGACCCTTCCGCAGCAACGAATCTGCCTCGCAACGACGTCTCCGATTAATAAAGTCGTTCTATATCAGTGCGACACAGGCTGCTAAGGCAGCAGCGTCAACCACTATCATCACGGTTTCGAGATCGGCTGCGTAAAGAGCGCCAGGGCACTTATGATTGCTTCCTTGCCTGAGCGCTACCCCGCTCGGCTTACCGCCAGGTCGTTGCGTACGCATACATGGCTACGTCGTGCTGGGCGTGTTTCCGGTTGGATGCTTTGCTCTGCCCCCCCCCCCCCCCCCCCCCCTCCTCCCCCCCCTTCCCCTCATCACGACATAGCACGGGGCGTGAGGCGTTGAATCCGAGCAAGAGCAGGCAGAGTTGGGTTATGGGTGTAGAACAGCCCAGGCGCGTCGGTAGCAGAATTCAGCGGGGTTTGGCCATTGTCCTCGTAACAGTAGGGGGGTAATCGCTGGCGTTGTCGGAGGCAAGACATGGCCCGGCCGACTTGAGATTGTCCTAGTGACGTGTTGGAGGCTGACAGAAACCCGGCGGAGACTCCCCCGGGAGAGGCTTAGCAGCGGCAAGCAATCCCTGGTGCATTACCGCCGAGACAAACAGGACACTGCCGGAGAACAGCCAGCACCCGGTTGGACAAACAGAGAAGGGGACGGCGACAGATAGGTAGGTAGGTAGGTATCAAGAAGGAGGTTACGAGCTTCGGAGTGCGTGGCGGGAGTTGTGAGGATGGACGGGTTGGGGGCTGTCTGCGGGCTGTCTGCGGGCTATCTGCAGCATTCCCTGGTGGCCATTGCTGTACCATTCCCTTTCGGGAGGTTTCGTGCTGTGCCGGCCACGAAACCCTCGACTTGGTATGGCGTCGAGAGCCTCGCGTGCGTTCGCCGATAGCGATACAACTCTGATATGCATCTGTGCGTCTGACGTTGTAACCCAGAAGCACCTAGGTATATTATTCGGCTGTCATCCTACCTACCTAGGTGTATAAGCCTAGATTAACCGTTTACGAGTCGTAGAGCGCAGGCTTCTACGTCTTGCGCAACATCCCAATTCGAGTTCAGCCATAGGCTCGAACAGCGAGGGGTCCCGAGAAGACGCATCAATCTTAGCTGTCCGGTCCTAGGCAATTAAGCACAGGTACTTGGGTATTGTTGTATTCATTTCTGGGCGTATCGCCCTTGATGTCGTGACAGGTATGTTTCGGCCAAATAGGTATATATGAAAAAGCCACGCGTATTCGCGAATGGGCATGTAAGTCAGTCCATCATTTAGGTAAGCGACCGTGGGCTCGTCGATCCAGATGTCGCCTGCACCGGCATTCCAATTAAACCTAGCCAGGTATACTACAGCCCTTCTTCCCTACTCACACAACCCTGCCTACTCAAACACCTCTCCATGGATTCAATTCATTTGTGCAACTGCAAGCACCCCCATCATGCCAATGGAGGACCTTTTGAGATTTGTCCCTTCTCGCGCCGCTGTACTGACCATATCCCCTGTCGTAAATCAGAAATTCTTTAAGCGAAATCCAGGCCTTACGGAGCAGATCTGCCTCGAACAGGCCGCCCAAGTCCTTGGCTGCCCCGCCAGCAGCATCCTTCCTGCAGCTATCCAGGGCGCAAGCAGTTTCACTGTAGCTAAATCCGACGCCCGCCCCGGCGACTCGGGCATCGTCCAGTTCCGCGACCTTTCGTCCCAGCTAAGCAGAGACACCATCGCCCTAGCCCGCAGGACCTACGGGGGCGTGGTTCCCAATTGCGATGCGGTCACGTGCGGGCTCAGCGACAAGGCGCACATCTATCTCATGACGCTCGCCAGCGGTATCGCCTTCAGCGCGGCCCAGAGGGACCTCTACCAGGACGACGGCGCCGAGCGGCTGATGGTCACCGTCGCGAACTTTGCCTCGTCTGTGCCTCCCTTTCCCCCCCGAGTCACAGCTTGATTTTTAGCTAACTACATCACAGTTTCATCGCGTCCTCGCTGTCGACCACGCGGCAGAACACCGACGACGCCGCCCTTACGCAGGCGTACGAAAAGCTAGCCGCGTGGGAGGCCGCCCTCCCCGCGCGGTTCCAGCCCAAGCTCGCTGAGTTGCGGGCGCGGCTGCCCGTTATCTTCGGGCGGGAATTCCCGCAGGTGCTGAACCACGCGGACCTGGTGGAGATGAACATACAAGTCGATGACGCGTCGGGCGGCATCACCGGCATTATCGACTGGGAAAATGCCAGTTACGGCGCATTTGGCATCGCGCTCGCATCGCTTGAGGTATTCCTTGGTATCTGCAGCGGCGAGGGGGTATGGATCTGGCACCCCCAACAGAACCGCCTCCGCGCCGTCTTCTACAAGACTCTCTGCGCGGAGCTTGACCGTCATCCCCAGGCGGGCCACCTGGGCGCGGACGACGTCGAGGCCGCGAGGGTGTTTGGGCTCTTTGTCATGTACGGGTCCTGGGCTACTGCGCGGCCCGACGGCCATGACGACGGCGCCGCGCTAGCTGCTGCGTGCCTCGAGGCGGGCCTGGGGGAGGGGACCACCGCCCAACCTTTTTTCCAGCAGCATTGGGGCATTGACCGCGGTGGCCACGGGTAGGTGAAGGGGCTGATCCGAGGTCTCATCCATGCAGTAGAGACGTCGTCCGCTGGGCCACTTTGTGAGCGATTTGCCGTCACAGAGCAAGAGATAGTGCCTTACGGTGAGGAGCGACTCATAGCGGCAATCGAGAAGCTCATAGATGCGAAAGGCGCGCCAAACAACCCGTCTTCGGAAAAGCCTCTACCGGATAGCCCTCTGACTCCAGCTTCTAATCATGAGGTGCTAGAGCTACACGTCGCTAAGGAGGCGGTCACAGAAGTTGAGGAGAACTTGCCTTCAGCTTCCGCCCATCCGACGCTTTCTGGTAGCCCCGTTCTTACCCCAGGACTGTCTGAGACTCTCCAACCGGTCAATGGCAACGATACTGTTGCAGAGGCTCTCTGGCAAGGATACAAGGAGATCAAGGAAGTGTCCGTATCCCGACCTGCACAGAATATGTAGACTGGCCGCTCACCGTTGCAGTTGGAATGAGAAAGCGTATGAATACCAAATCGTGGAACCAGCGAAACAATTTGGTGAACTAGGCGAATTGGACGGATACATTTTCGTCGTTCGCCAGAGAGTCGGTCAGTACTTTCTCTCCACAGTACCCGTATTTGCTCACAAAAGCAATGCAGATAAGAGGACTCAGGAAATATTTTCTTATGTTGACATCAAGTCGACCCCGTTACGAGATGCCTTACGAGTCGTGTTTGAGCACGTTCGGCATATCGACCTGAGGAGCAACAAGCCTTCTGTGAGACATCTTTTTGTTCATGGAGAATTGAAGTTTTAACGCTTCTATAGATACCACAAAACATACTTTTCAACGTCCTGCCCGAGCTCAGATCATACCAACAACATTCTACTCTGGACAATCGAACGAGCAGCCACTTGGATGAGCTTATTAAGTTCACCGAGAGGACGTACACTGACACAAGCTGTCACGTCCAGTCGCTCCTGGCGCATGGCGAGATCACGTACGATCTACTCTGGTCGCTCTTTAAACCAAACAGCCTCTTGTTCACGACTTGTTCCGGGACACGCAAGCCGCGGTGTGTCAGACACGTTTGCGGCGAAGAGAAGAAAAATATGTACGGAGCGAAATACTGGAGTCTGGACTGTCGATATAATGACTTTGATGGCAAGGAATTCGGGGAAGTCTCCATCGAAGTCATGGTTCCAAAATTTCATGGATTGAAGCCAATACACGAGTTGGAAGCCTTCCCGATTCAATATCATCCTCACTTTGACGAGGTTAAATCTGAACTTATCGACTGCGGGAAACGGTTCGTTTCCCTAAGAGGCGCCCACCATCGTCACTGCAAAGGAGCAGCATTTTTCTTGAGCAAGGGGGAGCCGGTTGAGCTGCACGTTGACAGCCGAGTAATGATCGATACAGAATCCTTCAAGGAGGCAAATCCCACCTATCGCGGCCCAAAGATCAATGGTGCAGCGACACAGCGAGCCGTCAGCATCTCTTTCTTCACGTGGGGGTCCAGATTTGGCGATGAAAATGACAGGAATAATGAGACCAACGAGAGCACGGAGTGTGGCAGGAGGGGTTGGACCGATGAGACCGACGAGAGCTACGAAGAGGAACCGACCGATCCGAGTCCTACACCAGAAAGGCATGGTGAGGACCAAAAAGATATGACAGAAGAAGCCGTGATGCTATGCTGTCCGACCGCAAAGTAAACCTCGAAAGGAGGCTTCTGATTGGATAAGAACAGAGGGTCATGTAGGTTATATAGGGCGAAATGGAGGAATCAGAAATCGGAACCCCCAACATCGACACGGATATTACATGTGGGCGTAGCGGAGGAACATCAACCGGTTTCGCCGGGCGGACAAGTCGGTAGGCTCGCTGAAGCCGAGGCACCACCCACGTAATAAACCATGTGGCTCGCAAGCCAACGATCTCCCGCGCTAGGGTGTTATCTCATATAGGTAGTTGCATAGGCAGTAGGTATGTTTCATTGTCGCGTGCTTTTTGCGTTACCCGACTGGATCGTATTGGTGACTCGAGTCGCCGTGTGTCTGCCTTGTGTATACCTGTGGCTGGATTTGTTTCGGTTTAATGCCAAACGCGTTTTTGACAAGTCATATTAAATAATCAACATGACTCATTAACAACGAACCTGGGGGATAGAGTACTTTTGCTGTTGCGCCTGGCGAATGCTCGTCTCGTCAACCCCCAGCTGGCCACGCCACCCCTCGCCGCTTTTGCTCGGGCATTTGCAGGACATCGTCAGGGAGGTGGCTGAAATTCGTTTAGACTGAATAGGTAGTGCTCTGAAGCCTGAAGTTCAGAAAATGAAAATTGTCAAGCTTTCGCAAGATAGATGCTCTGCACTATAGCCAGGCCAAAACTGGGACCACCAAGAAACCCATAAGTGTTTATCCGCTCATCTTGAGAATCTACTCGAAAAGCCCGGTTTATGGCCGCATCTGTTACAGGTCAGCCCCGGTAAAGGGCACCGGCAACCCTGACGTTGCCGGGCCAACACAAGACCCCTGCGGTCTCGCACCTACTACCTAGAAGCAGCTGCAGCGGGAATCCCCTTTTTTTCCTCCTTCTCTCCTTAGCTTTGGATAGACAACCCCAGAGCCTCAAATCGTTGCCCAACCTTTGGCCAGCCCTTCACATAAAAAGGAGGTCCCACTGGGTCGAGAGTAAGAGGAGACGAGTAGATTGATAAAAGAAGAGCAACTACCTCACACGGATCACCAAGCAGAAGAGAGAATCCCGCCCTTTTGTGACCTATGTGTGATTGAAGCTCTTGGAGTGTGACAATCTAGGAAGGTTCTAGTCTACATTCCTGCGAGGTGGAATAATGGGCAAGTGAACCTAGGTCACATATGATCGATCACGTGACCTAACAAGATGGCTATGTCTTCTGGTGGTGCACACCGCCCGAAGAAATTGTCAGCCGGGCCAACCTGTCCGTCTCCCAGCCGCTATTTGGTGGCCTCTCTTAATAGATACAGGTCGCGCTCCTTGATGAATTGCCCGAGCGCTGATGTCGGTACCGCTGCCGCCATCTGTCTCTTGGCCTCGTCAACAGGCAGCCACAGGTGCTGCAGCTGGTCATCGACCTCCTCCTCCGTCAGGTTGGGGCGTCCTGCGTCGTCGACCAGGTCGGCGCAGTAGCAAAAGGACAGTTGGTGGAGGTTGTTGCGAAACTCCTCGGTGGTGGCGACGCAGCCGCGCTCGCGCACCCGGATCAAGGCCCCCGTCTCCTCTTGCATCTCGCGCTGCACCGCGACCAGATGGTCCTCGCCCGGGTCGATGCCGCCGCCCGGCAGCTTGTAGTAGTTGTCCCGCTTGGCATGGATGATGGCAATGTGGCCAGACGTGTTGAAGGCGACCACACGCACGGCCTGGCGCTCGACATACTGGACGCCTACCTCCTTGGCCCCGATCGTCTTCCGCTGAGGAGTTGTGATGTCGGCCATGTTGGGTGTTTGTTGTGGAGGTGACTAGGGGGGTTCTCGAAGCGGGCGTAAAGCGTTGCTGAAATGAGATTTCTAACAAAAGTTCCCGTGGGTCGGTACAAAGATCACTCTGAGGAATGTCGAAGGGGATTAGATACTAGGTTTCCTTTCAATTTATTATTCGAGAATTTATTATTTGAGAGTGTCACCAGACCCGTTTTAGGTATGTTGGTGTTGGTGCCTGGAAGTGCGCCACACAGCGCTTAGCGATTTCCGCCAATGCGCCTACGAAGTACCGTCGTTGAGTGCCAAACACGTAGCATGCTTGTGGCTTGTCCAACGTCCCAACAACCATAGCGGCTTGAAGCCATGCTGTCGCGACGAGCGATACGCTCAAAATTGGTAGCCAAGAGGAAGGTTCAACAGAGGGGCTTGAAGGGCTTCGAAAGTCTTGATTCTATAATCCTTTAAATCATGTACTTAAATGTAAGGATTAGCTAGACAACCTAGGTCATGGTCTTCACTCTCATATATAATGAATTAATTTCCTGAGGATACCCTCCTACTAGAAGGAGTGTATAGCTCCCGTGAATCTTTGCTAGTCGCAATCAATTCCCGGGCGAAGCCTCGAGGCTACGCATTTACAACCGGAAAGTCTTTAAAGACACCAAATGGACGGATTAGAATCATCTTTGCCTGTGATCGAAACAAACAACCTACCAATGGACCAATTAAGCGATTGTAGTATACGACTAGCCAGCGAACTGGCTGTAAGTTCTCTGTATTAGCAAAACAGTCATTGGATCGAATAACGTGTGTTTTAACCCGTCGACTTAACAAAAAAAATGCGTTATTCACAATCATCCACCAAGTAGTGACCCTTCTGGACATCCTGCATACCGTGTGATAGAACTGTCACATACAGCAAGAGGCCACTGAAACCCACTGTACTTTCTTTACATACCAATAAGATATCAAACGAACCATCTGTGCGCTAGCATCATGATCCTGTACGGAAGCAAAACTCCCGTTGGTCCTTTCTTATTTTGATAAATGACAAGCCTAGCCGGGTGGCCAGGGGCTGTGCGGCATACTACCCACACCAGGGCCGCCGCAGCTCAGGTTAAAGCAGCAGCAGCTCAGGGGCATGCACGCCTACGGAAATTGCTGAGACGACCATTCGCTAAGCGCATAGGACTGTTATGCAGTTCGGCAGCCTGCCCCGTATATATGCTGTCGAGCCAGAAACTGAGTAGCATTTCCATCTTTGCTGTAAATGGGCCATCGTCAGCTTGTGAACACATGTACACATTAGGCAGTAACCCGCCCAGGCTTTTCCGGATGGCGTCTGACGAAGGCATTCTGCGTGTAGAGAAGGCTCTTGGCTACTCGTTTAGAGTCAAGGACTATCTAAAACAAGCACTGGTAGCAGCTGGGGCTGATCCGATGTGGCCCGACGGCAATAGGAGGCTTGCCCAGGTCGGAATTACCGTTATAGATCTCGTCTCTCTCCAAAGAAGCTTCCGAGAAGGTGCTAGCCGAGGTAAGGACCATCATATGTCTAAGTCTCTACAGGAGCCCCGGGAATCACGCTCCTGCTAACACGGCTGAAGCATCGTCTCAAGCTTTCAGAACTGTTCAAAACAGTTTAAAATCTCTCGCAGCGATCGCGGCTCGCATGGGGATACAGGACTACATCACATACTCGACGCGTTCTGGGGCCAATGCTCCGAGCGTACTGGCCAAGTCGGTTTCGGCCCTTATTGGTGCTGTCTTTATGGATTCGTTTGATATGAAGGAGGTGGATCAAATGATCCAACGGTTAACGTCCGCCCCCCCTCGAGCTCAGACATCACGTCGTAATGGCTGACATGCAACGGGCTAGGGCCACGCAGAATCGGTGTAATGACACCCTGGTGTCACCTACATTAGACGTGACAGTACACTTCCCCGCGAGCCATCGGCAGGGGAGCCGCACCAGCGGGACCACCCAGCTTGAACTAGGTATGATACAGACTTCGACCCATTCGCAAAGACTAGAATCAGGGGTCGATTCCCGGCCTGATCGGACACTAGGCTTTAGCCAAAGCGACAACTACAACGCCTATGATGGCGGTGGATCCCGTGCTGAACCTTCCGAGAACGGCCTGGGTGCTTTCAGCCAAGGCTCGTATGATTTCCAAGGGAATCCGAGCATAGGAATTCGCCATTCCGCCAACAATTCCTACTCCCAGCAGCCGAGATTGCCACACCTACAGAATAACTACCCTGGACGTCTATTCGCCGCGGACCACTCGGATCGATCGTCCACCGCGGCGGCAGAGCATCGATACGACAATCCCCCCGATCAAATGGGTGGACTGGAGCCGGCCATACAGGGCGAAGGAGACACGCGGGAAGCAGACTCGGCCAGGGCCCAGGTCCCACCAAGCGAAGAACAGAATCCTCGCGTACTAAGCATAGTTGCCGCCCAACCTCTTCTGGGGTCAGCCAGCATCAGCCCTAGGCGGAACTCATCGGAGCGATCCCAGGCAATGGCTCAACACCTATTTAGTGCAAGTTCGGTTCTCGGTCTACGACGAATCATACGGAGTTGGCGAGAAAAGGGCACGGCGTTGCCACCTCTGTTAGCAACGTCCGTGTTGGAGAGATTGCAAGCGATCGCGACTCTCGACCAAAAAATAGCGTTTTTCCAGTTGCTGAGGCGGTATCAAATCTTGAGGTTGTACGAAGACGTAGGCGGCCACACCACAGGCACGGCGAGCAGAGAAGTGGTCATGACTTCGGCAAGCTTCACGCTGGAAAAACAAAAGCCTGGAAACCCTCTTCTACTTGCCGAGGCCGAGACTACGAAACTCATGATGCGCCAGATGGGATTGTCCGTCAGTCCCCAATCCCCGGGGTATAGGGGCACCTACAACAACATGAGTCGGCTGCGGAGGCTCGGCCGCCGCCTGCACCTGATGGTTAGGAGATTTGATATCGGAATCTTGGCGTTGCTAGACTTGAACTCAGAAAACGGCGAGTTTGGCAATGCAGATGCGAGGTGCGTCCTCGACGACAACCCGCTCAGGCGGGGCTGGCTGACAGTTTGCCGCACTAGGATCCTCCAGCTGTCGGATTCCGAGTTCCAGGAGGGCATCTCCCTTGTCGACCTGTCGCAGAGCGAGCACCCGCACCGCATCGCCAGGACGGCCGCGCGCATCGTAAACGCGCTCATTCGGGAGGACCCGGCTCGCGTCCCGCCTTTCCGGATCGAACTAGCCACACCCGAACAGATCATCAAGACCGCAGGCTCCGAACAATTATCGGATCTCTTCGATGACGAGTGGCGAGCCTCTCCAGATGCAACTTCTGTCGTTCATACCTGGACGTCGTCTTCGTCGCCGCCAACACTGGGCTAATGCGATTAGGATTTAGATACTACGTTATTACTCTATCAACTTCTTGGAGCGACGCAGCACAAGCCGTCCTGAAGGCGAATGGCACTACTGTTCCTCATATCGGTGGTGGTAGTTAGCAGGATTTCATTCATCATAGAATAACATAGTCCCCTGAATCAACTTGATGGGTTGACAATGTGACAACGTGTATTGTTTGATATACGGCTGAATTTATCGTTCAAGGCTTCTCATTGAAATTTCCAGCTAGGGGATCGTGTGTGATCTATAGTTAAGGCGCTACGACACTACTGTCGTGAAGAAAGTTATGAGCTTCAGGGCGACGGATGAGTTGATTAGGCGTTAACCAGATGTTATGCAGTGGTGATGTGGTTAGTGGGCGGTATACTCAGCCAACGACGAAGGGTGAGTACTCCTGACCTTGCGCATTCGCTCCTAAAGTAAGTGGTCACAATTGAAGGATGGAGGTTGCAAGTGGTTCTAGACTAATCGCAGATCCTACTTGATTATATTCGGCGTCTCTGTTCTTATGGGATCTAATCGCGCCCAGCCATGAGGTATTCCCTCTTCTTAGTCGTATCTTATTTAACTGATCAGTGGTACCTTGGCTCTTACTCTCCGGTAACCGATTGCAGTAAATAAAAGTGCCTATGGCTGTAGAATCTGAGTCGCCCAGGTTGGAAATCAAGCCATATTTAGTACCCCTGCGTTGATCCAGACACACAAGACCCCGCCCCCGGCTAGATTCGACTTGGACCACGATCAGTCCGCTCAAGAGCGTTGCCCATGTACGGAGGGGCCTATCAATGGAAAACCCGTCCTCAGAGTGGCGGTTGAGAACGGCGTTGTATGGCTCGCGGGTTTGCAGGAGCGATACAGGCTCGTCTTGTAGCAGTTTAGCTAGGATAAGTTGTTCATCGATGCTAGTGGCGGATGAAAGCTCGGAGACACTCTTGCATAAGACTCACCCACGAAGGAAATCGTTCCATAGCCAATTTTTAACCCGGATGCTCTTGAGAATAAGAAGCAAAAAGGCAGCGAGAATCCAGCTGTAAGTTGTAACGTTGAAGGGGCCCACATCGGAAATCCGTTCTCTGACTGTCACTCCAACTGCCACACTTCCACCAAGCAGTGTACAAACCAACATGAGTGCAGGATGTAAACCTTGCATTTTACCATCACCCCCTTCTCCTCAAATATCCACGATTTCATCCTGCCATTGACGCCGTCAAGCTCTAACTAGTGTTGTTGGATTCATTTCAAGGTAGTTTCGTCCTTCTTAGGTAATTGTGGACCGTCCCAGTGTGAATCAGGGATGAAGGCCAACGAACGATCAATTTCGGTGAGGCGTTTCTCTGAAAGGAGGTCGTTACGTCGCACGAGGGAATTTGAGAGGGATCCAGAATCATACGGCCCACGGCTTCTCTGTTCGGTGCTGTACTCCGTCGTGGTCAGACAGAAGAATGCGGTGTACTTGTTGTATGACCGGGGTTTGGCGGGATTTGCTCATCGCTCGCTAGGCATTTCAGTGAACGTCATCATTTCAATGAATGCTTCCGTAGAGTATATAGAAATTGGTAATGCTGCAATCAAAGGGATCATGATGGTAATGACGTTGCTCATTAGAGCGCCCGCCAGCAGCAGCCGTGGCACCCAAGAGATGCGAGACGCTCCAGGAATGATTTAGAGGCGGATATAAAGTCCCTCAACGACGACATCGGCGGCAAGGGTAAGAAGTGAGGCCACCAGCGTCTTTACGATTCCTAGTTCTGGACTGCCGATGCCGATATTAGCCACTTCCACCAACAGCGCCTAGGTATTATGGAGTTTCGCCTCCGGTTCCCGGAATACAAAGAAGCCAGCCGCGACAACGTGCCGGAAGGCGACCGGGATCATGCCGAACAGGCACGGAACCCGGAGCTGCAGATCTTGGCATATCGCCAAGTAGAAGACATGGCCGAGAAGCAGGCGACCAAGCTTCGAGAGAGCCGAACCGGGCTATCGGCTATCCTCTTCTCGCTCTTCACAAGCTCGCTATAAGGCCTCAATATCAAGGCCGGTGCAGGCCGCCGAAACACCAGCGATGAGTCCAACATAGTCCTGCCGATGAGGGAGAAGGATTGCCTAGCTTCATAGGAGGCCGCTTACGTTCCACACCGCACCCGCAACCGGCCCAAAAAATGCGTATTTAAGCGTGTTCGAAACAGCAGAATCTGACGATCCAAAGGCAGCCATGTGCAGAGCGGTGCATTGGATGGTGGTTGTGGTGTTGAGGGCCTGAATTGGTGGAGATGCACTTCTCCAACCGACGCAGCGCTATTAATACCTAGGTACTTCTGTCAGATTGGGGAACCTGCCGTGGACCATTTGAGAGATCACATGACAAAACGACGACGCAGGGGAAGCTGCCGCGGGGTCGTTTGTGACGTCACGTAACCCCCGTGACTGATCTGTGGAAAGCCCTCCTTCTCCCACACTTCGAAATTCATCATCTCCCACTACTTCAATCCTGTCACGTAGCAATTGGGCCAGACCTCATATGCCAGAATACTACAAGTCGTAGAATGTAGGCGTCTACGTTTTACGCCACAAATCAAAATTCATCATCTCACACAATCCAACTTCATCACCTTTCTCGCATCACGCAATCAACTCCATTACTTTCCTCACACTACCAACCGCAGTCGGCCAGCAGGTAGCCGGCGCGTCATGCATGCAATACCTGCGATGGATGGCGCCGAGAAAAGCGAGTCGGTAGGGGGTAATTCGTATTGTTCCTACCCAGCCCAGCTGCCGTCGGTCAGTACGTTTCACTAACGCATTTACGTAGCAGGTATCGAGGATGATATCATCGACATCGACGATGGGGCTGATGACGATCGTAACAATAACGAGCAATATCTCCCGTTTCGCAGCGTCCGGGATTTCTTCGCCCGGGTCGATGCTTGTACCGAGGAAACCTTTCTCGTCTTCTCCCCTGTCTCGGCAGCTAAATATGAAGCTGTCTTAAAATCCCGGCAGCGGCGAGGCCGAAAGTTCAGAATGGACTTCTGGGATGGGACAGAGCTTTGGGTCACAGCACGTTTATCCGGTGCACACGAAACACTCCATAAGTATCTCGACGATGAGGTTTTGATTCAAGTCTACAATATTGGGTTAAGGGACGATTGGAAGCCTGTGGGATCAACAACATTCTCTGCCAGTACTGGTAGCTCTGGTGGCGAAGGGGATTCAAGCCGCAAACCCACATCCCAACGAGGATCCCCGACAGAGCGGCCGACTCTTATCATCGAAGGAGGCTACTCTCAATCCATGGGAAAGCTGCGGCACAAGGCACGATGGTGGTTAGGGAACCATAATTTCGAAGTTGAGATCGTCTTGATCGCCAAATTTCTTCGTGCCAGCAAGACTATCCTGGTGGAGAAATGGGTTAGTATCCCGGCTCAGGCTCAGACTTCTCCCCCGAACGTCACAACCCGAGCCCGGCAGCAACGATCGAACATGCAGGGCCTGGTCCCTAGGGTTCAGGGCAGAACATGGAGCGGCTTGGCCGCTCACGTGCGATTCCTCCTCGTGGGGAAAAACCCTGCGCGATGAATTAACTAATTAATGACGCCCTGTCATGTCCTGATTGTATTTAATGGAAGTATTGAAGAGGAACAGCGTGGGCACGCTGTAGGGGAACCGGATGGGACAAGGGACAGCCCGGCTGCCGACAACTGGCCCAGTGCCGATCGAGCGAGATTACAGCTGTAAACTGTTGATCGGCCAGCTGTAAAGGCAGCTGGGAGTAATAGGAATGAGATGAGGGCTCTAGAAGGGCATGTAAGAAACGAGTGAATTCCTGTCTGTAGGTGATATCTACAGGATGAAGTGTGTACGATGAAAATACGAGTGCGAGACCCATATAAATACTCATCAAAATGCCTACGTGGCATAGTCCCACCGCACTACTACAGTATCGCTACACCGTAGTTAATGGAAGGCCCTGTAGTAGTCTTGCCGAGACGTTGCTAACACTCCGATGGATCGGACTCTTCGGATTAATATCACAATCCAGATGCCACCCTTGGAGGACGCCAAGCAAAGTGCTTGGTGGAAAACGCTTGATAGGTCACCGAGCACATCGCACCAAGCAAGGCACGAAGTACTTCCTGGACAGCAAATATATAGATAGGCTGGCTTAACCAGCAATGGAAGACTTGGACTAGCCAAGCCTGCTCCAAACCCTCTGAGTGTTCTGCTCTTACAAGACACACCCTGTATCCTACGCTAGTGGCAGTGGGGGTGGCAATAACGTACTGGCTAACAATGAGGTGTCTGTTATACGATGGACCAAGCGTTTTCCCATTTCTCTCGATAATTGAAAACTGGTTGAAGAGTTCTTACTAGTTTATCCGTTCTCATTATCTCAGACTTGTCTTAGGCTATTTGGTGTACCCAGAAGGTTATTCTCCCGGCCGAGAAGGCTTGGGATTATGTTAGTTAGGTACATAGCCTTCGGTTTAACCTGTGAGGTTTTGAGGTTCCCCTACCGTAGGGGCTAGTTGTAAATAGGTGGAAAGCTACCACGGCTGAGACCTAACTAACTTAACGACTAGGTAGGCCGAGAACCTGATCCTACTACGTCTTGGAGGTTGGGCGCCACATGTGATGGTGGTCAATGTGAGAGGCTAGTGTGTGGAGAAAGTGGTGGATCAGGTAGAAAATATGTGGAAGATGTGGTTGATTACTTTGGTCCATGTTGAGCCCTCAGTTTATACATGATTTGACCGGCCTTTAGCTTATCGTCTTACCACGTATGCCACCGAGTTCTGTGAACGCTAATGATCACAACGGCACCACTTCCAGCTGTGCTGACCGCCATTTACGTTACCTACAGGCGTTAGATATGATAACTTTAGTTTTTACGCCTCGTTGCACGTAACAGATAGGGGCTGCTTATGCTCCGCTAGCTTCTGCCACACACTCGTATCCACACACCGGTAGGTCGCATGGTAGCTAATAACAAAGCTGTCGGTGGTATAGTGCAACCCTAAGTCTATCCGGAAAGAAAATCCCTGGAGCTAAGATATACCCAGCGCTGACATTAAGTCAAATCAAGTCAAATCTGGCCCGTGATTTGATTTTTCTGACGATTCTGGGCCCAGATTTGAGTTGGTGGTTATACCGGTTTGTTTGGCTTATGGGTTTGACTTGCCACTGCTCGGATACGGTTATTCCAGGCCGCGTATACCAAAGAAGCAGATCCTACAGCCATACTCCGTAGATAAATTATATTCCTGCTTCTCGCTGCCAATTTTGCGTACATAGAATCTGTGAGAGGATATCGTCGCCGGTAGAGTGTCGTTGTGAGCCTATTATGAGCCTGGTGAGGCTGAAAGTACGCTTACATTCAGTGGCGCAAGGCGGTATTGGCAATATCTCAAGAGACATCTTCGAAAGACGGGGGAAATCCGACGCTTTGATTTCCCAACTAGGCCGGGTCGTCGACGGGGAGCACGGAGCCCCAGAGGCAGGCACTCGCCAACTTCGTTAACAACCTCACCGGTAACGGGGATATCGTACAAGTCATCTCCGAAGCCATTGGGTGTGCTGGCAAGTTGGGTGGGTTGTAAGTGGGCAGGTAGGAGCTTGATTTCTGCGTAGTGTTCGTCGAAATACGGTATACATTGCCGCTGGATCTATTGGACTCTATTTCGATTACTGCGATAGAATATTCACATCCACTTCAGCCTTCGTCCTAGGTACAGAATAAGAGCCTCCCAATAAACAGGTGCCTCATCCAGCATTTCCATATATTCCTCGAGCTTTTCTATGGCGTGTTTGAGGCTTGAGAAGGAGGAGAGGGACCTCGAGGTCATCGCGAAGTGGCGCTCCGGGCTCGATACGGGTATCTTGGGCAGGAGGCCCGGCCTTCATCTTCATTTGCGCCGAAGCAAAAGAGGTTGAGGAAACTGTTAATATACATAATTCTGAGAAATTATACAATATTTAGCAGGGGTAGAGAAAACATAGCCAACTTGCACATTTGGATCAGTGCGCAAAATGGAATTGTTGGCTTAGCTTTTTATAATATCCGGCAACGATAACAGACTCGGTGGACTTTCGAGTTATTAGAACGTCTGCCCGCAGGCGTGTGACTTCTGCGACAACTATCTAATTGCAACAGCAGCAGTGATATATAAGTCTTTGGTGGCCTAGATATACCTCAGTATATCATCTCAGGGACTTTCTCACACTGGCAGAAAGCGTCTGTGAGTATAAGGTTGAGGTCGATGAAGCCCGAGCCCAATATTGCCTACCTCGCTGCAGCTAGTATTCTACACATGAAAAGGGCGAAAATCCTCAATTCATCCACCCATCCTTTCGTAGGAAAAGTTGACAGCTCCCAGGGTACGCCTGATAGTTAATATGAGACAAAAACAGCTAGCGTTGGGAATTAGGAGGCACTTCAAAATTCCACGGAGCTATTCCTCTTAACCGTTCAAAACGATCGAGGAGGAATCAACGATTGTACTCTGTAGGTATTTCTGTGTCAGTACTATAAGATTGACAGGGAAAATTTGTCGTTAAACAGCAGGGTGGGGAAGAAGGTAGCACGGAATACAGTCAAGTAGGTGACTTCATAATCACGATAATATGAGGTGAGTATCCGCTATTCTAGGTCAACGATGGTTAGTTAATCAAGAATCGCCAGGCACTGGCCCAACCACCAGGCAAGGAGCTGGGAATAATAGGACGGAATAGAGTGATCAAATATATATTCGGGATACGTTCATCTACCAGAGGCCAGTTGGTAACACAACGTGACCCTACACAGACACCCCCCAGGTTCGCGGAGTGTAGCCTGGGGCCCGTTTTCTCCTGCCGTTCTCCTGCCATGGTATTTTTAGAAATTAATTTGTAGCATATATCTGGTTCTTTTCCATTACCTCTGCGTCGCCCTCGAGTAGGCTTCTGGAATGAGAAAGCTAAGCTAGACCCCCCCTCTACGGACCACCCCTTCGCGGACTACCTAAAAAACCCTTACTATTACTACTACTACGTAAGTAATTAAAGCTATTTAGACTACTAAAATTAATTGAAACCCTCCGATTACGGCGTTGCTACCCTGATATAGTCCTCCGCTTACGATCCCTCGTTTTTAGCCGGTTCCTACGCCGTTTCCTATTCGTTAGGTACCTCCTCGTCGCTTGCCTCGTCCTTATATACGATCCTTTCTCTTAACGACCTTTTTACTCGCCGTATATTAGCTATACGTACGAAGCGCTTACCTAGCGCCGGGAGGACCTTCCGACGGGTCTTAGGAGTACTTCTTTCGTTTTTTATTACCGCATACTTAACCTATATCTCCAGAGCCGCTATTTTACCCTAGTTACGATCCTAGCTACTACTAGCCTTCCGAATTAATAGCTTTAAAGCCGGGATTTCGGACCTAACCGTAATAAGTATCTCTTTTCGAAAGGCATTCCGTAATTCCTAATCGTTAGAAGGCGTTTTAATATACTTTAAAATTAATAATGTCGTAAAATTAGGTATTTTAGGTCGCGTAACCGATTCCGATGGTTCCGATTATATCCGAGGAATACCCTTATCCTTTAAAACTACGAATCTCGACGAGAGAGGCTTCTTACGATCCCGTAAAATAATCCTAAAGGTCTTTTAAGCGCTCTTAATATTTCGCGAAGTTATCGATTAAATCCTAATTAATCGGTATGCCTTTAAAATATCCGTTTTCGATAGGCATAAACTAAGAGCTACGTTTTAGCTTTCTTTAATAAGGTTTTTTAGCTTTCTTTTTAATAACCCGAATACTCTTACGTTTAAGACCTAAACGACGTAACTATAATAAAGCTAGTAAAAGACGAGCTATATCTTATTCTAAAGATAGCGTTAAAGGAAGTCGTCGTTAATATACGATTCGTAGCCGTCGTAAATTAAAACTACTTATATATTACCGAAACGGGCCCGAATATAAGGAATAAAGATATCTTAAAGCTAATATAACGTAATAACGTTATTAATTTATCCTTTAGGTAATACCCGAAACCGTTAATTCTTTTATAATTCGCGAATATCGTTAGGAAATTACTACGCTTAAACGTCGATACCCCTAAAAAGTATTACGGGAAGAAAAGGCCTTCCGCCGAAACCTATATACTTAAGAATAGTAATTTATTAGCCTTTTTCGACGCCTTTTTTAAGTATCCTTTAGGTATTAGTATCGGTAATTACCTAATAATTCCCGGTAACGCCTTTAGCGATACTTATTTTATTAACGTTAAAGAAGCGTTCGTTAGGAATAGCTATTAATTAAGGAGCCTCTAACCTATCGAAAAAAATGTTAATATTTACCGCCGTAGCGCCTTTAATCCGCTTATAATCGACGATCGTAGCCTTAGACGACCTAACCTCCGGGTTTCGAGCTAGAAAACGATAATGCTAATGCTTTCCTAGCTTTCGAGAGCCGCCGTCGGCGTTTAATAGGTACTAGGCTATAAACTTAAATTACGTAAACGCCGGCGCGAAGCTTAACTTAACTTACCCGATAGCCTAACGAATTAATTCGGCTTCTTAAATAAATAATAAAGCCTAACGATCCTTATTAAGCTCCTTTTTTATCGGTTTATTAGCTATACGGCGTATTAGGTAGAAACGAAAAGTATAGGTTCTAAGGGTAGCTTAACGGATATTCGTACCGTATAAAACCATACGTATAGTAGCGTTCGCCCGGATTTAGGTATTTTTTAAAGGCATTACGAGAATTAGAAAGAATTTAGGAATAAGTTAATAGTAAGATAAGTTACGGAGGATTAAAACTAATCGAGAAATTATAGGTTATTTAAGTAACGGCATCGCGTTAAAAAACGCGTTCGTAGGTCTAAACGCGGTAGTCCGTAAAGGGGTAGTCCGTAGAGCGGTATCCTAACTTACCAGATTGCACCTTATGCAGTCATTAGTAAATCATATCCGTGACTCCGCGGACATGGGTACTGCCAAGGGACGGTCGTAGTCACCGGCCCCAACGGTGGCCCTGGAACTGATATCGCCGATCAAGTCGTTTCGCAGCCTATGCCCGCCGTGCGTCACGCCTCTACGCGTTCTATACCCATCACACGCTCAGGGTATCGTGTCTTTGGGTCTATACAATATCAGCAATGCTCCTTTAGCAGCCGAGACCGTTAATATGCGCGTTGCGGTACCGACCGTCCCACCGATCCGGGCGCTCGTCCTCACTGCGGAATTCCAGGACTTTGGCGAGCGAGTCTGGAAGAGGATGGTTTGGGTATGGTATTTAGTGCCAACCACCTCAATCACTAGCTTTTGACGTTGCTCCTGGTTAAGGGTAACGTCGACAAGGGTTCAGGATGGATATTTTTAGTCGAAAGCTAGTTCCACGAGTAGGCTATCGTTCACCCCTGAACCTGAGGCAGTGTCCTGCCCGAGCTGATGTATATTAGTTTTTTCGTACTAGTCCACACGACAAACGGAACGGACGTACCCATGATTTTACGCACGAGAAATACAATACCATTGTTCACGACCAGGTCAGCTTTGAAGCCGAAAATACCTAAAAGCATCTCCACATATGAGGACCCATCATCGCGGAGCAGATTTTGGCGCTGCGGCCACGCGTCCTAGATCGTCAGCGTGCCGACATTTCAGGTCATCCGGCCGTAGCAATACTCACGCCGAACGACCTCGTACAGGGCACACAGAAGTCAGTGTCACAGACCCTCGACGCGTCCTTCAACTCGAGTCCCCAACTAGGCAAGTTTCCCGAGGGCTTATACTACCCTGACGAGGAGCTCTTGGGGACCAGCGAAGAGTCTAGAGATACATAAAAGCGGGAGTTGGTCTGGAAGGAGAGCATACGATACGCGCATCTCCAACTCGGAGAAGTGATTGTGAGTGATTAGCAGTCATCATACCAGTGAATCTAGGCCTATTGGATCCAGGTGGCTGATTATCTAACTAAAGTGCACGGCCCGATAACGTTATTAACGTAGTCCTATTCTATCTCGCTACCATGCTCCCTAGCAAAAGATTATATCCCGTTGATATGATAGTGGCCTGGGGACTAGCACAACCATATAAGTTGACCTGGGGACGTTGTAACTAAGTTTCAGTTATGTGAGTCTCTTAAGAATATATATGAACGTTGGCGATGCTCTTCGAGGAGTTGTAAGCCTAACATGTTAGCCGTAGTGCAGTGAGGAGGCTGCGTTGCTATCTTGGTGCCCTTTTCCCAGTTTGGAAAGTCGTGTCGAAAGAAGAGATCCTCGAAACTGCTCGGGTGGAACTTTAGGTGAACTGTAGGTGCCCAACTACACCACCGTAACAGATCGGCCACTGTACGAGGCCTGCTAACTCAATGTCGTACCCTTCTTCCATGCCGCCTACCACCTATGATAATTAATCTAACCCTCCTCGTAACCCTAAGAGCAAAACGATCAACGGTTACCGTAGCACCATGCAATCTTCCCTTGCGTTGCTCGTATGCCAAATCTGACATACATATTCGTGTATCACAGAAGCACCTGGGGGAACTCACAGCAGGCGGGGCATCCTGCTTGGTGCCTCCGCAGTTTAAAGCCTCGCTTCTTCCGTACACTGGAGCAGCTTCAGCTTTGGGGTTTTCATGCACTTACACTTTCAACTCATCATCATCTCGATTCATCCGTCCGACCTGACTTCAACCTTCCGGCCCTTTGCTGTAGCTCGAACTTTTGCCGGCACGCCTACGCCAGCATGGACCCCGGGTATCTGGATCGCACGTCGGTGAGACCACCACCTCCGGGACGCACATCTGACTTCGTCAATCCCGAAGACAGGTCTCACCAGTTAATTATTCTAATCGCCATCCTTTCCGCTCTTATCGTCCTACTCGTGTCCTTACGTGTCTATGCTCGCCAAAAAGTCACTCGTTCGTTCGGTGCAGATGATTGTACACTTCCCTACCTGCTGTTGGTGATGGCTTGAGCTAATTCGTTAAATTAGGGATTTGTATTGTTGCGACGGTGAGTCTACCACCAGCCACAATCGTCAACGCACAGGGGCATAATATTCGGTAATGTTGCTAATGTCGCGAATCGCCTAGATCCTTACCTTGTCCTATTCCGGAGTCATTCTCCATCGTACGCCTTCTCGTCTCTCCAGGCACATCCACGTAACAACATCGAAGTGTGCTGAGATAATCTGCAGTTCTCTTCAGACCAGGCGGTGGGATACTAGGCATTCACCTTTGGGATGTGCCACTCTCACATTATATGGCGTACCAAAAGGTAAGGCTTTCGCCCCTGAAAACGATTAAACATCAATCCATGCTCAACCTGACCCGTGCGTAGGGATCCTTGGCCGACTCCATTCTCATTCGGATTGCCAATACCACAATTAAGATTGGGTTTCTGGCCTTCTACCATCGATTGTTCAGCCCCATCACTTATATTCGCTATATGGTGTGGGGAGGCATGGCTGCGGTAATCACCTTTAGTGTTATCTTCGTGATCATCGACATCGTGGCATGCGCCCCATTTCCGAGAGAGAACTGGCTCTCCCCCTCGCTCCATGACCGCTGTGGTCGCATAGCGATAGATCTTATCACTGCGGCCGTTTCTTTCAGCTTCATAACCGACCTTTACATCTTATTTATCCCTCTCCACCAGGTGCCGAAATTAGGTCTGTCGAAAAGGCGGAAGATAGGGGTCAGCCTTATTTTTCTCACGGGGTTATTGTAAGTCATCATCAAGCTCGCTATAGGCGAGAGATTTGGCTAACGCCTTCACCTAGAGCAGCTGGGGCAGCTCTGACCAACCTGATCATCCGGTCAGATAGGAGGGTCTTTGACCCGTCAGATTTCACATGGACCATAGTCCCGGTGTATGCAACTAGGTGGGCCAAGTCTTTCTCTCTTACTCCTCTTACTCCTCTTAATTTCTTTTCGCTGTACATAAGGAATTTGGAACGAGAAGATACTGAACTAGGCCACAACAGTTTAATCGAGATCAACGTTGGACTCATGTGTTTGTGTCTCCCAGTCGTATTTGTTCTATTTATAGGCCGCTTCACCGACCTGGGAAACTCCGTAAGCTCTTGGATCAGAGAATGGCGTAGTCCTCGCCAAAGTATGGGCGAAAGTTCTTCAAATCTCTCACCAGGAGACGGCGCCACGCCGCCACCGCAGCTTGCGCCCGTACCAAGCGACGCAGGCCTTTCGGGAATGCGTAAGTTTATCCGCGACATCTACCGCTCTCGGGCGCAGCCATCGGCGCGTGGAGAGGCCACCCTAACGACTTTCGACGACCTAACCTCGGCTGATCTCAGCTACCACCTCCAACTAAAAGCAATGAAATCTGAACAGATCGAAAAGAGTCGAAATGCGAGTTAAAGTGAGGTGGAAGGGCTGCTAGATATTCATGTTCGGCTTTCCGGGGTTGAGCGCAGAAGGAAATTTCCCCAAAATACATCAACGAAACCACCACAAATAGCCCATGTTACCGAGGAACCTTTCATCACAGTATGATGACTCGTCCCGCCACAATTGCCTCGACTTAGGTAGACGAGATGAACATCTAGACAAGCCACAGGCCAGAAATCTACCTAATATTCCTTCGTTTTCGGCGTATTGGTCTTTTCACTTGAGGACGGGTCTTTCTCTCCTCCGCCAACAGCCGCACTTCAAGGGGGTTCTGGCTGGAGTGGGCAGCTCCAGGGTGCAGCGCTCTCAGAGCGAGCCGAGTTTGCCTTGAATGGTTTATCACCATCAAGAGATCTCGGTGGTTTTGACTTTCGTTGAATAGCGATGAGCCATAACTTAGTAAAGCCACCCTATCTCAAGTTAGCAATCGCTACCCGTTAGGGCTAGTTTTCTGCCGGTTAGTTGATTGATACTCACCTAATGACGGTATTAGTATTCCGGGTAGAGAGACCGGACAGCATCTTGACCAATCCTGACGCCCAGAATCGCGCCAGGTTCTCTTGAGACTGACGCAGCACTTCGACATCGACGGGAATGTAGAGTAGTGGGATACCTTAAAGGACTGAAGCAAGTATACTAACCTACTGATCCTCGGTTCCGATATTTTGATACGCTTGAATACGCTGGTTCAGGGGGTCAAAGTTCCGAATTTTCTTGTTGATGACAACAGCCTGCACAATTAGATATTTGAGGAGATCGATCGTAGACACATCGCCTGTATCGGTCTCTCTGCCCGCCATCATTGTTTTCAAGGCCCAGATGACTGGAATTCCGGTGTCCTGAAGCGCTGCAATAGACCGGGCACAGAAGTCCCGGATGCGGTACCGCGATTTCCCAGTCCTTTCACCATGACCAGAGATGAGTTCGGGGAACGGTTCCAGTCTCGGATTTTGTCGTTAAGCAAGAATGCCGGCCCCCAATTCGAGGGCCGCTGGCGCTGTCTGTTGGAGAGAAATAGCGATGCTTGAAACGCCTCGACCGGGTCGGGGAGAGGGACTGAGGCAAGACGGACGCGGATCTGGTCAAGATGGATTTCCGAGGGCTGCTGAAGAAAGTCAACCCTTGGAGGTTCATTGATGACTCGCGTTATTAGGGCCTGCAACTGGAGCGAGATTTCGCGATTTTGTTTCTACCCACGGGACATTCTACGGGTCAATTGTTTCACTGCACAGGACAATTGTTCCAGTCCACGGGTCGATTGCTTCTGTCTGCGGCGTACTTCTTGAACGACCTTGCGTATTTCCCGCTGTTCGAGATAGCTGCTAGCAATATCCATCGCAGTCATTTCTTGAGACAGCGCGGTTATGCTCTGGACGATGTCGTTGAATCGCAATTTAAAGGGTTGTGTGAACGCATGTTTAATGTGTTTCCACTTGCTCTCCTGGTACCACTCGAGCGCCAGCAACGACATGTTTGGCCTGTGGGTAATACAGCTTCACGATAATCTTTGCGCGCGGTAAGATTCCAGCAACGTGGCTCAACCCTGAAGAAAGTTTCTCGATCACTTCTTCATGGTTTGTGACCCCCTTCGTGTTCCGCATGAGAACTTGCGTTGCGACTGAAGAGTCAACTCTAGAGACTCACAACAAACAGGAATTTCATGGCACCCCAAGCTAAAGCCACGTATTCTGTCTATTGTGAGAAATTACACTGAAGTTAGAGGGGAGAAATGCTACTTACCGGGATGATGCGAAGCCAACACATATAAAATTCCGCTATAATAGTGTATCTTCGCCGACACCTTAACCAGTGCCCGTCGGACTTCTGAATTATCCTTGCGCGCTTCGTATTGGTCCCGGATGCGTGAGACTGCTTCGAGAACAGAGTCAAGATTTCCGTGGTTCGTGTCGGTAATCCATTTCTATTCGGTCGCGGATAACTTCGCGGAGAAAGCGGTCAACGCCTCTTCGAAGACCTCTTAGGCCAATCTACAACGGATATAGGTAAGCGTCCAGGCCTATTAGCCATAATAATATTCACTTACCTCTCCTATCCAGACTCGGAAGCGTACCAGGAATAAAAATCTGCCATCAGAAGCGACAAACAATAGAATTATTTAAAGATACAAACGGGATTCTCGGTATCTACATAGTAATATGGTTACCCGTAAGCACATCTTCTTTAGCAGAATTCTTCCCCCCTCTCTCTGATGAGGCTCCCGCGGGCCTCTCCACACGTTGCGCATGACACGTAGCGCCGCTGGCTGTGCTGTCAAGGCTGGGTCCAGAGGCAGTGGTCCTGAGGCAAAGACCGGGTCAACCATGAACTTGAATCGCAAGGCAGACTCTTCCCAGAGCTGGGGTATCAGTATGCCATAGAGGTCGCAGAAAGCGTAAAAGCTGCAAGAAGGCAGATCACGTTTCAATCTAGCGTCGAGTTTACCGCGGTCGCTATGAGAGATGAAAAGTTTCTGGACCCATTCTGTATCAAGGTCTGGGTACAGATATATAGACGCTGAAACACCTACGTCGTAGTTATAAGGGTGTTGTATCCTTGCTAAAACGGACTCTTCAAGAGCTTCTCGCATGATGTCCTGAGCCAAGACCGCCTCCGGGGAAAGTGTTCCAGTCCTCATGTACTTAAGAACCCAGCCAAAGCGGTAACACAAAACTTTCACATTCTCGATCTTCTACTCCGAGTTCAATGGCCCAATGAATAGCATAGTCCAAAAGTGGTTATCATTTGCATATTCTTACTCTCCGTTAAAGATGTCCTGGTAGTGGCTCCTTATGATGCTTATTAAGATTCGTAGGGTTGATATTCGATGTTAGGCGAATTGAGTTGGTCCAACCCTTGTAAGCAGAATTTCTAATTGCTCTTCTGGTAGCGTGGACGCTTTGAGCTTAGGGTCAAGAACTTCGGAGAAGGTAGAGGACAAGGCTTTGTATCGCATATCATCTGGGGGCCATTCGAATAGCTCTTCCGATTTAGTTGCTGCAGTGAGAGTAGACTCATCAGCTCCGTAACCCTTATTGTTCTCGCTAATATAACCCTTCGCGCAAAGTACATGCAGATCTAACGCATACGGCTACTAAGGAAGTGGGACCTCCAGGCAGTAATAATTCTTAGCGGCGACGGTGGCGATCCTAGGACGTTATAATTAGTATTAACAAGACGCAGTAGTAGCTGTAGAGAAGTAACTTACCGGAGATCTGTGGCTAGACATCCTTGTGGAGGAGGCTTGATAAGTATCGCGGTAAGAAAGACTGCAGAAAATAGGCTGTGCCTCCGTCTGTGAAGCCAGAATGACGAAGGATGTGTTCGACATCTGATGATGTTTCGTAGCTATCTTCTAATGCCGGGATATGATCTGATCAGAGGATGAAGCAGGAACTCTAGAATAGCGTTGCGAGTTTGAGGCCCTGCATTGGCCTGTAGCCACTTGAGAGTCCCGTAGCTAAAAGGCGTAGATCTGACCTCGCTAATATCCGTCCTTTCAGCTCCATCGAAGAAGCCATTGAGTATACGCATGTACTATATGTCGTGACGTTTAATATTACCGCGCTGAGGTTCAGGGACTAGACAAAATAATAGTCAGAACTTATGTCTTGCTGAACCGCTTTACAGTATCGTCGATTAAGGTATCTAGCCTTATTACGATCTAAAGCATGCAGATCGCTAGGGGAAGCGAGAAAAGATAGTAAGGAAATCATGCGTTACTTACTAGAGTTAAGTTTAGGTATCTCTTGATTATAGGCTGCGACCAGGCCATCAAGGACTGTGTTCAACGTTAAGCAATCAATGCTTTGCCCACTGAGGTGGTGGCTGTCAGCGTCGTCAATGGTAGAAGAATGATCATCGTCATGGCCATCGCCATCTTCGACGTCGCCGACGTCGCTGCTTTCAAGATCATCCTGATCTGGGTCAGCTGCTAAATCGAGAATCTCGTCGATGTGTTGCTCTGCTGCAATGGTGGATATAAGTTGATGCCACTCGTCAGTTTGGGGGGGAAGAGTAGGTTTTTCAGCGTAGTTTCTTCTCTTGTGACCCGACACCGACGCCTTGCTGGCTTGCGGGGCTCTTCAAGCCACCTTCTCCCTCCCTCTCCCTTAGTGCATCCGTCGAGCCAGACGAACGAAAGAATAGAGGTTGGTATAGAAAACCTCAATTACTCGAGCAAGTCGATAAAGCGCTGTTTGCGCTCGTCTTTATTGTACAGGCGTCCGTAGTCGGCGCGAGTAGGGGAGAAGATGCGCATGAACTCCTCGGGGAAGAAGCCGGCGTACTCCCAGTCGAAAAGCCATTTAACCTGGAGGGTGGCGGGGTCGACGCGTATGTTGTGATAGGACAGATCGCCGTGGCAGAGGACGAAGGAGGGATCCGTTCCTACGGCGCTGTCGGACGTCTTAACGGGCCAGTACTCGCGCCGGTCGTCATCGCTGATCCACGGCGGCGGGACCACAGTGCCGTTCAGTCCGGTCTGGCAGCTCCGTAACCCCTCCAGCGCCGGGTAAACCACCTCACGCACGAAAAGGTCTGCGTTTGCCATCGCTATAGCTCGGCATTTGTCGCACCGACCCGAGCTCGCATGTCCGTCCTGGCCGGGCATCACCAGGCAGGCCGCCCCGGCACCTCTCCCGTCAACAATATCGCCCAGGTCGATACCGTCCGCCCACTCCAGCTTCAGGTAGTAGCCAAACTCATCGTGGAAACCGCTCTCGAGGACCCTGGGTACCGGGATATTGGTTTTCTCTTTCACGAGGTCGAGTGCCGTATGCTCGTTCTTGATCCGCTCTGCCGGCCACTGCGTCGGATACATTAAATTCACGCGGCCGACTGGCAGGATGCCCTTGATGAAGTATTCACCCTCCGCCTCGCAGTAGCGCCTCTGGCCGGCCTGTAGCAGACAGATGTTGGCCTGGTCGCCGGCGCCGATAAGTGTCCGCTATTACCCACCTCAGTTACCTTCGTCATGGCTTTTTCAGATTTTTCGTGGTGCCCGGCTAGAGCATCGAATAACATATGTAAACAGACCCAAAACGGGCCAAGGACGACTACCTCTTTTAGGGTATATTTACTGCAGTCTTCTTGGGCAGTGGCCATTTTTTGGTCCCTGCCCCCCAAGAGGGGTGGCCACACATATAAGGACACGGCCTCGGCTAGAGTGGAAACTATTCATATTGCAGGGGTGTGCAGCCTGTGCAGGATCATGTGCGGGCAGCGAGGGCGGGTGGATTAGTCAGGATACGCGATTCGTCTGCAGAAACACATAAATAGCTCCGTATAATGAATACCTTCGCGGATAGCATCGAGGCCCTCAATCCTGAAGATGACAAGGAGTTCTTCGCTAGCCTGCCCGACGAGTTGAAGAAGGATGTGAGTGTAGCTCTAATCGACGATGGGGTCCAATTCGGGCATGAGCCGCCCCAGGGAAAGATTAAAGACAGCTGGAGCTTCGATGATGGATACGACGGCGCAGACCTACCGGGGGCCCGAAAACCGTTCCACGAGTCTCAGACTGGGCATGGCACTCTGATGGCCAGCATGATTTGTCGAGTCTGCCCGGGAGCAAAAATATTCTCCTGTAGACTCAAAGTCATTCCCGGAGACGGACTCAAATTCTACTTTACACCCGAGAGCGCAGCTGAGGTAAGGCGTGGCATCACGACTCGCGAGGTTTGTCTTAACTTGGATTGGCATAGGCCGTCGAGTACTGCGCAACGCGCGGGTTTGATATCATTTCGATTTCGTGAACAGTGATGGCGGCGGCGGAGACAGACGATGCGGAGAGGGCCGTGGGGGGGGAGAATCCGGAAGGCTTTGCAGCTCGCGCACGAGAAAGGCGCGCTTATTTTCTGCGCGGTCCCCGACGAAGGGTCCATGACCGATAAGGAATTCAGCAAATACTACCCGGTGGGCTGCGCGGGCCTAGCGGCGCGGATCTTCAAGATCGGCGCCGCCACGGCGAACAACGAAAGGCACGAGTGGGTGGGGAAGGAAAGCCAGCTCGACTTCCTCCTGCCAGGCCACGAGGTCACCGAGAGAGGAGAGGACACGGTCGATCCGGACGGGGATATCCCCAAGACGGGGTCGTCCATTGCGACTGCGCTAGCCGCAGGGCTCGCAGCTCTCGTCATCTACTGCGTCCGGCTAGCGGCGATCGAAACATATCGAAAGGAGACAGGGTTCAGTGATGAGAATAAGAAAACGCTGGATAGTACTGATGCAGTGACAGAGGATTCTTTAGGCATCGTCAAGACATTCAACGGCATGAAGCAAATCTTATAAAAAATCCCGGGCGGCACTAACGAGATAAGCAAGTTCTTAGAGGTGAATTCGACCTTTAACAAACCGGGGGGAGTTCTGTGTAATAGGGAAGTACGGGTGGAGAAGAAACGGGACAAAATCATCGCCCTCGTGAGGAAGTTCGTCGACTGGGCTCAGTAGACGGATCATGAATAAGAACTCGCGGCGACGGTAGCCCCGTTAGGTAGCCCGTTACGCAGGCACACACCTCTAGTCAGAGCAACCAAACCTATTAGATATTCACTAGCTAGCTCCGCATTCGTTTCTTTCCTTCTAGTTAGCTAGTCGGCTAATACAGAGCTTTCTCCGGCACCTCTCTGCCAGCGCCACGCGCAACCCGTTGGTTTACACGTCGCTCGAAACTAGCTACGTGACAGACAGGGATATGCCGGAGGGCTTGGGGGGGTGGGCTGATGAGAGAGAGTTTCTAGAAGTCGTCGAGCCGTTACGAACCTCTCTGAACCATATACTCACGTCGTGGCACACCTCAGGGGAATCGCCAGTACCCACCTACCTAAGACATGTTTCCGTCTGCGCGCACTCTATACAGATCTACACATTATGCTTAGGTGTGAGTAGGCAAACTTACCCTATTGGCATGCTGTACATAATAGCATCGCGTCCTTGCGTCGTATAGACCTACCTCTCCCGGTTCCATGGCTCGGTAAGTGATACTAACGTTTCACAAAATCGTTCAGGAAGGGGAGGGGGCTTACTTGACAACTTTTCTGCAAATGAGGCCAGTATGAGATGATAATATGTCATGGCAAGGGGTAAGTATTTTTCTCACTTCAGTAGGCCTAGTTAGGTTGGCCAAACTTCGTCAATTAACACGAGGCACGGTCTATTACTTCGAGTGGAAATGCAACACCAAAAATTGCTCTCACGTGTCGCCTTGTTGGACTGAGGCCCATGCCTTCAAGTTATTATCTTTCTGGAATGCAACGTTTCTAGATAATATACGGCACCTGTCTTTCCGGGAACGGTCGAATTAGTTCACCACATCTCCTCTACTATCACTGAGGCTTCCAGAGAACTGTCAGTGTTTGGGAGTATCTTCAGCGTGGAAATCTTCGCGTGGCATATAGTGCCCTCGAAAGTTCGCCATATCTGCATACGCAACAAGGTAGTTGTGGGGTTTGAAGGTTCGAGATGCAAGGGGTATTCGTGGTAATATGTATAACGATAGATAAAAAGACACTTACCTCATATAGCTGCGAACGGTGTGTTAACATACGCTGCCATGCACGAGTTCTACTTTCCCTAGAGCCTAGTAGACGGTAGCCCACTGCTGTCGGCACTTCACATTTCGCCGCATTGCGCGATCGCGACGTCTAAATCGGGGATGTCTCGTCCGCGGCGGCCAGTCTTAGTTTTCTCGATCTTTTCGATAACATCGATGCCATCGACCACCTTGCCAAAAACCACGTGCTTTCCATCTAGGTGGGGAGTCGGCACGGTGGTGATGAAGAATTGGGATCCATTGGTATTTGGACCGGAATTCTAGCGGTAGTTAGCACAGAGAAGCGAGACGAGTCCGACGTAGATCGACCGACCGCCATAGAAAGCAAGCCTTTCTCGGTGTGCTTGAGAGAGAAGTTCTCGTCCGCGAACGACTTGGTGCCATAGATGCACTAATAGAGAGCGGCGATTAGCACTAGGCACCAAAGCCTACTTAACCTAGTATGCCGACTTACGGTGCTTCCGGTGCCATCGCCATTGAGAAAGTCCCCACCCTGAATCATGAAGTTGTTGATCTGTTTCCGATTAGTGCGATGAAACCCGGCAACGATTCGGAGGAAGCATACGACTCTGTGAAACCGGCTTCCCTTGTAGCCTTGGCTCTGGCCCCGATTATTCTTGGACTCGCCAGTGCAGAACTGGCGGAAGTTTTCTGCGGTACGGGGTACCACATCCTTGAAGAGTTCGAAAGTAACTCGGCCGAGAGGTTCACCTGCTCTCGATCAGAACCCGCAACGAGACGTAAAGAAAGGGTTAGCGGATAGGGAAGACGGCGACGATCCGATCACGTGACGTATTCCTGGACCAGCCCGTTGGTGATCCGCAAGAACCCAACTTGGGGCGTTCCGTGGGAATGGGAATAGGAATGGGGGATAGGAATAAGCGCTTACCTCCGAGGGTGATGTCAAAGAAGACGCTGGGCGACCCACGCCATCAGCACGGCAGTCTCGGAAGGATGATGACGGGACAGCCTACGCACTTGACGTAGGCGGGGCTCAGCCACGATCGATAGTCAGAGAAAAGCAGGGCATTGCTTACAGAGGGTTGCCCGACGTGGGAAGCTGAGTAGAGGGCATTGCGCAGGGGTGATCAGACTCCGGCTATTTTTCGAGGAGACGAGGTGCGGCTAGCGAGTAACGTGATGGGTGGTGGTTCGCGACGTGGAAATGTCGGAAACCAAAAGCGGCTGGCAGAGGGGGCGGCGCTGGAGGCGAGGAGGCGAGGAACAACTCTCGGTTGACGATTTGGCCTTTTTTTTTTTGTCCTTTTTGGGGGGGGGGGCAGGTAAGCCGACCGACGGACCGACCGGCGGGTTAGGTGACTGGAAAAAGGGCGCTTACATAAGTGACCTGCTATCAGGCACGTGGTTTACGCAGTATGAGTATACATGCCCAGATACATACCTGGACACCCAACGTAGTGGCAGAGGGTAGGTACCTACCTAGGTACCCAGGGCATGTTGGCCGAGCTGTGCTCACACTTCCGCGCGCATGGGCCAAGACCTGCACAGCCACGATGGGATTATATAATCCATGACCCTCGCTCGCGCGGGGTCGGGACGGGCTAGCGGGTGTGGGAAGGTCCGTGGGAAGGTTCGTACGCGTACCTTCCCACTTTTTATTAGAGTTTCTAGCCTACCTGGGCATGGAGATCGGCCGGCAACCCGGGGCGTGCATACATGCATACGCTATGTACGTATACATGCATAGCTTAGTGTTAGCACTTTGGCCGTGCTCCACCCCAGCCCGCCCATTCCCTTACTATCTCTTCATGGCGCACTCACTCCCTGTCTACCATACCTAGATCTCTCACGCTTCGTCGCCGAATGCATACGTGCCTTCGATAGCGGCCGGGGGGGAACAACTTGACGGCGCTACGGGGGTCCAGGTATCCGTGTTGTCTGTCTGTAGATAACCATCCTACGGCCGCGTTAGGAGAAGAAGACAGGCCAGCCAAGAATCTGTGCGCCGTGCCTGCAACTGACTGACTCTTCTAGTAATACGTCTAGTTCTACGAAACCAAACACAACCCTACCACACACGCGGCTAGTACGACGCCATGTCCGCGGCGTTCTCGGCACTCTGGCCAGCCTCGTTGCTCTCCGACCACTGCTGTGCCTTCGATTGGCCTGCATAGTGACAAATACCGCATCGCATGTTCTCGCATCGGCTGACCGGGGCAATTCTGGGTAGCATCATGGCAGGGACCGGGAGAGCGCGCGGTCGGTCGAATCTAGCGTCATCCGTGCGTTTGTAACGGGATTGCCTGTACAGGAATGAAGTTAAGGTTATTGAGCTGTGCAAATGTTGGCGCGTGGAGTCTTAAAACGATCACGGATGCGTGTGGGAGACACGAGACATGGTCTATCCGCACCTTTTAGGTTGCTCATGACCCGACACGGGGGGGGTTCCCTCAACCTGCCTACCTGCTAGCAGGGTTGAAAAAAAAAGTTTAAGTTTTTAAGTTAAGTTAAGTTTTTTTAAGTTAAGTTAAGTTAAGTTTCCATTTTCAAAAACTTAAGTTAAGTTAAGTTAAGTTAAGTTTTTGAAAAAAATTTTTAAGTTAAGTTAAGTTTTTAATTGTTTAAGTTAAGTTAAGTTTAAGTTAAGTTTTAAGTTTTTTTAAGTTTTTTTAAGTTTTTCTAAGTTTTTTTCTTTTGAAAATTCTATACTTTTAACGTACATTTATAAAATTTTATCGTAAAATATGTAAAAAAAATTTTTTTTTATGATTATATTAAATTTAAAATTAAATTACGTAATTAAATATTTAATAAATATTATATAAAAAACATTTTTTAACCTATTAATACGTAATTTAGAAACTTGAAAAAAATTTTAAGTTTTTTTAAGTTTTTTTAAGTTAAGTTAAGTTTTTTTAAGTTAAGTTAAGTTAAGTTAAGTTTTTAGAAAAATTTCTTAAGTTAAGTTAAGTTTCTATTCTCAAAAACTTTTTTAAGTTAAGTTAAGTTTTCATTTTTAAAAACTTAAGTTAAGTTAAGTTAAGTTTCGTTAAAACTTAACTTAAAAACTTTTTTTTACAACCCTGCCTGCTAGATGCCGGCGAGATACCCGCACGATTGCTGCATACATGGAGCAAATCTGTGGGGGGGCAAAGCCGTCGCATCGACCGTGTCTGCCGCCGGGAGAAGAAAGAGGGCCGAAAGGCAACGGAATGCCAACGCGGTGCGTGCATCGCAATTTTCATGTACCTATAACTATTGCCGAGCACGTCTGGAACGGTATATATGCCTATAGGGTATATTTAATTTACCCAGATGGACCTCGTGGGTTCTGTAGCAAGTCGCGCAGCGAGCCGCGCTGGTGGGCTGCGGTGCCGCCGCATATACCTACATATCGTATACCTCCCTCACCAAGCACGTCAAGGCGTGCGCCGTCTTACTACGCAGTAGTAACTACGACCATTTTATGGCCCCCCCCCCCCGCCTCTCCAGCAAGTGATGGGAAACGTGTCGAGCTTACGTAGCACTGGGATCGCGGGAGCTGCTGAATTAAATTAAAACTAAAATCTATCATTCCTGAATTAGATTTCGAATCCTACCCGGCGAACGGCGGGCCTGGGGCGCGTAGATGTTAGCGTTTATACGGGTTTATGGTACCTGTCTGCGGCTGACTCGCACAGAAGTGCCGCTGGAAGACTGGAGACGGAGAGAAGGGAGCAATACCAGAACATGTGTGCAGCAATGCCGTCAGACGGATACAGCGATTCGGTTAGCCAGGATACAACCCCAAGCTAGTTAGTGACGACGACGACTATATCACTATGTTGCAAGGGCACGCCGGCCGGTGTACCTACCGTTCGCAGGGTAACGTGCGTATGGATGGAGGGACGTATTACCTACTGCACAGTGGAATGCGCTGGTAGGCATGGTGATGTCCTTTACAAAATTGGGGGGAGGGGGGGGCGTAGAGGTTATAGGAAGGAAGGAAGTATATTTTACGTCTCTGTTCTACCTATGTACAGATAATGAGACGGGCCCACGACGACGGCGGCACGAAGGAACAGGTAGCCGTATAATCGCCCGTTCAGTCAGGAAAACCCCCCACGGCTAGATGTCCACGGTATCGTACCCGTGCCCTTCGCTCCCTACCGGTATTTTCCCCTTAGCGGTAGGGGCCATTTTGGTTAGGCACCTGTAGAGGTTATAGGGAGACAGACGGACGGACCCCTCTAGAACGTCTGCACCACCAACCATAGCCCGAGGATGCAGTGAGTATAGGTGTGTTATGTGTGCATGCACGTTGCCCACCCCAGAGGCGTCAGCTACTGGAATTCGCAGCGGGAGGGTTTCCGCCGACGTAAGAGCTGAAGGTTTATACGAAGGTAGGCACCTCTCCTGCCACACGATGTCGACGCAGAGGTGCTCGACGGTGTAATACCTATGTCAATATGTAGGTAGGCAGGTCAGCTCGACGTCCCATACCGGCCTACGACCTACATATGCATGCGCATGTGAGCCCCTCTGACTGTTTCTGTTCCGATACACAACAGCAGCAGCGACTTCAGTAAATAGCAACATGGATAAATCGTGCTGTTTTCCGTAGGACAAGGACAAGATACGCCTGGTCCTCTGATTACAGAAATAGTAAGGCATGGAGGATGGTGTCTAATACCTAGGTAGGTAGGTAGGCACTAAAGTAACCGTTTTCCCCATTCCCGTTTCGAAACGAAACGAACCTGGCCAGGAAATTATAACGGGGGCTGGGCAAGTCACACTGGCTGGCCGATCTTTGTTTTCTTTTTTGTTCTTTGGCCTCAATTTTTTGCCCGCACGCTGCCAATTCCTACCGGCCTCTGGCTACATCGAATATTATAGGTACCCTGCATACGTATAGCCCCCACCCACCTGGTATTTACCCGTCTACATACCTAGGTATATACCGTGGATAGACACATATCACACACACATATATAGCACCTACATAAGATGGAGACTACGAAGTAAACATACGGGAATAATCGATGATCTCATCAGCCAACAACCACGCTCTCGGGGGTCGCACGGGATAAGGTTGCCCAATTTGCTGCGTTTTCCACGCTCGGTCTCAGCCGTTGGCGGGCACCCGTATCTGGCATACCTAGGTAGCTGGCCGTGTCTCGCGTCGGATACCCAGAAGGGCCGCTCTCGGCTTGATACCTATGAGTGCTCATACCTCTGTACATATAGGCGCCGTCGCAACCTGTGGGTGCAAGGTTCCCATCCCGGCGAGCAGACGGCAGCCAGGAGTACGTACATACCACAGATACCATCGTGGCGGCCAAGGAGAAAGGACAGGACGAGGTCCAGGGCTGTTCTTCATTTTCTTCTTCCGGCTAGGCTGCGTCCCATCCAGATTCTGGGGCGGCCTCCTGATTGGCGACTCAAGACTTCGCAGCCACCTATCGATGGAGCCAAGACTTGCTTAGATTCATGGAATGGCCCGGCCTGGCTGTCTTTGCCTATCCTGCCCCCGGTTGCCCCCGTCGCAACCCTGACATGAATATAGGTTCGACTTTGGAGGTGATGTGTGTGATGTGGGTGCGCATGTACACTATCTGCCTGCCTGCCTACCTCGCAGGCCTTACGTAGGCAGGTAGGTAGGTAGGTACCTGACCTACCTGGTACGGGAGCCGGGCCAACTACGAAATACCTACCTACCTATGAGTATAGTAGATACCTCCCCAGATAGCCTACAAAGTCTCGAGATAATGGAGGCGAGGCATGGCACAAAGGACGACACCCTGCACGAGCCGAAGCCTGGATGCGTAAGGGTACATAGCTCCGCGGCGCAGATAGCTGGAGAACAGAGGTACATGTCCGCCGGCCGGCAACCTGGGACGGCTGCGCTTCACCACATCACAGGACTGTCAGTCTCCGTCAGGACCCGTCGGGGGTTTCCTTCCCCCCCTCCTCCTAAATTCCCACCCTGGCCTTTCCCATTCACATACTAGTCGGATCCTTTGCGGTCGCACCTCTGTTTTTTTCTCCACCCTCCCTGGCTTACAGGCTGATGGGAATTACCTGAGTATCTTCCAATCTACACTACCATACAACTTGCACACACCCTCACGTCCTCCTCATCCTCCTCCTCCTCCTCCTCCTCCTCCTCCTACTCTTCCTCTTCTCCAAACCAACCAACCAACCAAACCCACAATCGCCCGCCAGCCATCGGGCCCCTTTAGCATATCCTCTTCCGTAACAGAGACGAGGGAAGACACGGCCGACTTCATCTGCCTTCTATCATCTGGTTCCCGCTCCCTCCCGCCACGGGAAGACGCATGTCTTCCCAGCACGCCGAGTCTCTGATCAGCTTGTATCCGCAATAGATGGCATCGCGGCCGATTTTGCCGTCGTGAGAGGATCCTCTTTCGAGTCGCGGCCGCACCAGTCGAGGCCTTCCGTCGCCAATAATCATCTCGCTTTGTGATTGATCGGCCCCTTCTGAGTAAGCCTAGCGACGAGGCTATCTCCCTAACGGCTGGCGAAGATGGGCGTCCTGAACCAGGCTCTGGTGAACGGCGTCCACGTCGTCGTAAGGACCGTCGAGTACCACGCGCGACAGGTTGCAACGCCCGGACCCGACATTACGAGCAGCGTCGTATCTCCACTCCCGAGCTCTACTTCTACCATTCCTTTTAGTTCCACATCGACGACGCTGCCGCCCTCGACGCCTCCGGGTGATACCAACAACAACAACGAGCAAGGCAGCCGGGATGGCGCCGGTTCGCCCTTGCTGTTTTTCGTAGCCCTGGGATTCGGCGTCGTTTTTACCAACCTCTGGTGAGCTTCCGTTCCCACCTGAGTTGTCTCGTGGAAGCGCCCATGCTAACCGCAGAGACAGGATCATCGTGGGCGTCAAGTATTGCTTTCGATACAATGCCCGGAACCGTCAGCTGCGAGGACTGGATGAGAACGGAGAGCCGATCAACCTCGACAACATGCCGGCCAGACCGCATCGACGACGGCGTGAGAAGAAATTGATGACGATGGATGAGGTCAACGAGAAGTTTCCGATGATGAAATACAAGGCTTGGGTGGCGGCGCGTGCGAGTGAAGGTTTACCAACTGCGGGTGGCATCTCCGCCCCCCCGAGTCGCGCCAACAGTGTACGGAGCGTCGAAGGTGTTGCGTCGGAGATATCGCCGAAGAGACACGATTCCGACGAGGACCATCCCAACGCTCCCGCTACTTCGAGACCCACCGACGAAGAGAAGCCGAAACCTAACGCGACGAACCGTGACCCCCAAACCCGCGAAAACGGCGATGCTACGTCTACCGATAATCCGTTGACCCAAGCTAAGACAGTGGAGAGTGTATTGACGAAAGACCCCGACCGTCGCGCGAGCATCGACGATGACGACGATGACGACGACGACGAACACATTGACGCTGCTCTACCACCCGAGTTGCTAGGAACGCAGGGCGATACGTGCGCCATCTGTATCGATACGCTGGAGGATGACGACGATGTCCGTGGCTTGACGTGTGGCCACGCTTTTCACGCTGTCTGCATCGACCCTTGGCTCACGAACCGCAGAGCATCATGTCCCCTCTGCAAGGCTGACTATTATACGCCGAAACCGCGTCCGCCACCCGCCGAAGGTGATCCTACTAGCCCTACTTCCCCCGGCGCCGATCCGTCTCGCAACGACGGTCGGGTGAATATGCCGAGGTCTCCGCAGCGCACCTTGACGTCCTGGAGCAATTTCCGCGGGATGCCACGAGGCACGGCTTCGGATTCAGTAAATCAAGCTCGTCCGCCTCGGATCTGGCAGAGGAATCGCCCTGGACCGCGACAGCAGCAACGTGCGGAGCCGGCACCCCAACCGGCGCAGGCCGATAACGGTAGCTTCTTCTCCAGAGTTCGCAGCCGACTTCCGCCGTTCCGACGCAACGGGGGTTTACCAGGGGGTCGTGGCAATGAAGCTCCCAGAGCTAGTGAAGTGACGGCGTCTGGTGCCAATGGCGGTGCGAATACCACGCCGTCGCAGCTAGAAGCGGGCGTGCGGCCGTCTCCGAATGCGGCGACAAGCTAGGAAGCCTCTAATCTCCATAGACGTCGACTGTTTATCAACCAAATATATAAATTTGCATTTTTCCGCTGCTTCTTGAAGCATGCTTACATATCCTGTACACACGACCGCACGAGATAATGATTCCGCATGCCTACACCTTCTCTTAATTTTTCTTAACGCTGTCTCCTCACCCCTTCGCCTCGTTAGGCACATTGCGGCCTACCCGCCGGATAGCGCGCCCCATAGATCCTCTACCTCCAAACAGGTTACTTACCCAGGCTGCCCGAGAATCGAATCCACGGAGGGAACACATGTGCCAGGTTTCTCTTTTACGCCACTCTCGTCACACTGACTTACCCGCGTTGATTTTATTTTCTTCCCTTCCGGGTTTGACCTGGTTCGGGGTTCGGGTTCGACCTCACGTCAGTTGCGTTGACAGGGAGAAGAAGGGGCTGGGTATTGCTGGGGTCTAGACGCCCAGCGTTCTTCTCGTGTCACCCGAGTATTACGACTCTGGTAAGCGGGAGCGGATATGTGCGATGCACTCGTACGTTCAGCACCCATTCGACGAGTATTTTACCCCGTGGTCTAAGGAGAGACGAACGGATATCGCGTCGGAAGAGACGCTAGCTTTTCTTTTTTTCTTTTTTCTTTACCCTGGTACCAATGGCGCAGTGGAAGAAAAAGGGGGAGGTGGAAGGGTAGTTGGGATGGAAACAACTCGCCCGCATTCCTACATTATCTGCTCAAGGCGTCGTCGAGCTACGCTGCTATACGTAGCCATTCCCTACCCTCTCAGGCATGCATTTCCGTATACGAGTACCCATGTTTTTATTACATAGCCAGGAAGCCGGGGAGGGACAGAATGTCGAGAAATTCATATTTGCTATGGCTACAGATATGCGTTTTGAAGCAGCTCCAAAGGCAATAGCAATAACGATGAGGTCGACGTTACAGCAACGCTTGCGCGTATTCAGTGTGAGATGTCGAAGGAGGGGGTATCTTCGTAGGCAATTTAAACGGTATCCCTATCTAGCTTTCTACCTCGTGGGCCCATTCCAGCATTCCTTCCTTTCGCGTCCTAGCCTACTTACTTCGTCTCGTATCCAACACCGGTCCGCTTCCCTCCTCGGCGCTCCCGTCCGGTCTTCTCGACGGGTACCTATCTACGTAGGCCTCGCCGAGTTCTCAGAGGTACCTGCCGGGGGCGAAGCGGCCGCCGAAGTCGGCGGCGCGGTTGATCAGCTCGCGGCGCTGGGCGGCGCCGACGCGGGCGCCGGCGCCGCGCACGTCCTTGTCGCGGTCGAAGGCGCGGCGGCTGGGGTCGTCGTCCTCCTCGCCGGGGGCCAGCGGGCGGCCGCGGCGGCCCTCGGCGTGGGCGGCGTAGAGGCTGGGGCCGCGCGCGGCCTGCGCCCGCGACCGGATGAGGGCGTCGTCGTCGCGCTCCCGCTGCGGCTGCTGCGGCGGCGGCGGCGGCGCCGCGGGGTCGGCCCCGCGCCCCAGCACCGCGTCCGCCAGCCGCCGCCGCTTCTCCTCCGGCGTCTCCGTCCACAGACTGCCGGCCGACCCGCCGCCGGCGCCGCCGCCCCCCGCCGCCGGCAGCGCCGCCCGCGGCCCCGACGCGAAGCGCCGGCTCTTCAGCTTCGTCGGGTCCGGCGCCCGCGGCCCGGAGTCGCCCGTCGGCGGCGCGAGCATCCACTCGTCGCGCCGCGGGCCCGCGGCCGCGGCGGCCCGCGCGGCAGACTCGCGCGCCGCGCGCGCCTGGGTCTCTCGCTGTAGGTGCGAGCTCGAGCTCGCGAGCGCCGGGCCGTAGTCGTCGTCGTCGTCGTCCGAGGAATCGGAGGCCGAGTCGGGCGGTCGGGAGGAGAGCGAGGCTGGGGGGGGCGCGGGGCCGTGGACGCGTTTGGGTGGTGGTGCGGGTGCAGAGACGGAGACGGGGCCAGGGGCAGGGGGTAAGGCTGGGCTTGCTTCGGTTTGTTCGTCGTCTTCTAGGGGGATCTCATCGCGGTTGGAGGGCGGCAGGGTAGGTCCCAGGGGTTGTCTTCTAGGAGCTGCATGAGGAGGGCGAGGTGCAGGGAGCGAGGGCCCCGTCTCGCTGCCGTCGTCGCTGTCGAGGTCGACCTCGTCCGCGTTCGACGGCGGCAGCGCAGGCCCTACGGGTGCTCTGCTCGGCGGCGGCAAGGCGGGCCCGCTGGAAGCCGTCCTCGCTGCGGCCGGAGGCGCAGACGGGCCGTACCCGTCGTCGCTGTCGTCGTCCAGATCCACCTCGTCCTGGTTGCCGGGCGGTCTGTCTGCCGTCGCGCGCACCTTCGCGGCGGGAGAGCCAGGCGGCGAGCCGTCGTCCGAGGGAGAGCGCTTGCGCTTGGAGAGGTGCGGCGGCAGCTGCGGCCCGATGGACGACATGCTGGCCGGAAGGGGCTATTTTGCCTGGTTAGTTAGCCTGGGTATGGGCGGCGGGAGAGGCCGGGCGGTGACATCGATTGCCTGCTGGCGTGTGGTAGACGGAGGTTGGATAATTCGAGGTAAACCGACAGGCGGTGGTACTTCCAGTAGATACCATGTTTTCCCTGGCCGGGGATGATGACATAAACCTAACCCGTGCGTTCTTATCGGGACAGTGTAGGGATTAGCGCCCCCCGGGCGGTGGCTCGAGTGGCTCGCGCGTCTCCTATTACGCACGTCAGTATGAGCGAGGCTTGCCACCCATTGGCCGGCCAGGTGTGCGGTGCGTCTGCCCCACTATAATTCAGTCTGTTAGGTACCTTAGGTACCTACCCAGTATTAGGTACCTTCGGGTGGGTTCAGGTCGTCCCCCTGCCTGGGCCATAGGCCCAATAGCAGTATTCATAGTAAGACTGAGCTACGCAAGTGGGTATAATAAACCGCTTGCAGTGAGGTGCTTACGGTGTGTAGAGCAGGTACCGTCCCACGTTATCTCGCATACAGACATACCTAGGTAGGTACCTAAGGTAGGCAGGCAGGCAGGTATATCACAGGCACCCACCTATAGGTACCTACGTAGAGAGTATTGCACAATATATTATGTACCTACACAATCCCGCCCGGACAAGGCAGAGGCACAACCTCGCGCCGGCTTCTTCAACACCTACCTGCGTCTCTCCGCCTGCTACCACCTAGGCGCCGCCTCAACCATTCCCTACCTCCATAGGGCAAGCTGGACCTGGCGGTACGTCTCCAAATACCCTGCGTAATTCCCGCAACCCTCAGTCGTTATTCTGTCTCGAAATCTGCACACGAACGTATGCCCCTCCCGCTTTCTCTTCTGCGATCCGACCGAGCCCGTGTCCCGACGCTGCGACCATCCACTATCTAACATTGATCTCTGTCCGGCGTCCGGCAGAGCTCGCCGTGGAGCTTCAAGCTTACCCTATCTCTCTACAGATCCCGACCCCGACAACTGCGCCGCCGTGGGCGCTTTCTACTCGACGCTGCAGCCTCCACAGCTTCCCAATCCCAAACGACGAGCCCTCTTTTTGGAGTCATGCGCCCCATGCCCGCGTCTCGATGAGCTTGCCTTCCCCGCCGAGAAACCGATGGAGCTGCCAACATGGGAGATGACAATCTAGATCTGTCTCTGGACGGAGATGCGGCGTCGAGCGACGACGAGACCATCAAGGGCGACCAGGAGCATGACCACGTAGCCGAGATCGCCGAGCCACAGCGCCAGGATAGTATTGCCTCAGAGTCCCCCACCGAAAACGGCGTGATCGCAAATCGATATCGCCAACTGCTGCGCGACCATGAGGATGCCTCCGACGAGGGCTCTTCCGACGGTTTGCCCCGAAGGGCCGGCAGCCCGGTCGACTCCCTCCTCTCCGGGCCAGACGATTCCCCTTCCCTCCAAGTAAGCCGCCGTGGGTAGCGAAGGGGGGAGGCAAAGATGAAGTAAGGGAGGGAACGAGCCAGCTAACCGGTTCGCTAGGGCTCCATGGTGTCTTCCCCTGGGAGTAGCCGAGTCCCCTCCGTAGCCTCGTGGCCCGGTCTCAGCAGCCCCACGCCTTCGTTCCGGCCTTTCGACCGCCGGTTCCAATCTCGCATCACTTCGCCGTCTGCTCTGTCCCTGCGGCCATCTTCGCCCGCCTATCTCATGGGACACGGTAGGCAGGCCTCCCTCGCTAGTCCGTTCCCGATAGAATCCGGCGATACCGACACCGCGGCCCCCCCTTGGGAGGTCGTTCGATGGACGAGGCTCAGGAAAATAAACAGCCAAGCCTTCTCCGAGGCTGGGAAGCGCAACTTCGGTTCCCCTACGTGTATAGCCATTTCGGCATCTATCGTGTTGGGCACCACGAAAGGCATAATCCTAATGTTTGATTACAACCAGAATCTAAAAATGATTATCGGCCCGGGCACAAAAGGTTCGTTGTCCGCTCCAGCTCGTCCACTTTTTTCGGTCATTGGCTGATGTTAACGAGCTGCAGCGGTCGAATCCGGGGCCATCACTGCCGTCGCCATCTCCGCAGATCACACAACGATCGCCGGCGGCCACGCCACCGGAAACATCTTCACTTGGGACACGAGTCGGGTATCCCGCCCGTTTCTACACATCCCGCCTCTTGATTCGTCTCAGCTGCAGAACCGAACGTCGGACGGCCACCTGCCAAACGTGGCGATAATGCACCTCGGGTTCTTAGGGACGAGACATACCGCCCTCGTCTCCGCTGACGATCGCGGTATGGCGTTCTCTCATCTTGCCACTCGGGGCACCGGCGCGCTCGGGCGAACGGTTAAGACGGTCAGGATCCTGGGTCGCTATCCCGATGCACCACCGCCCGCCTCGGGCAAACCCCTCAAGCCCAGCACCGTGTTGGCTTTTTCTCCCCTGCCGCTTGGGAACATAGAGCGGGCAACCGACTTCATGGGGCTGACGGCCATGCTCACCCCCTATTTACTCGTTATCGTCTCGACGACACCAGTTGCGCAGACTCAACACAAGTCAGCTAGACCGAAAGACGTCGTGCCACATAGCGCCATGACTGGCTGCCTGTCGTGGTTTCCCGCCGTCAGGTTAAAAGTCCCCGATCCGAACACCGGCAGCACCATGTCCAAGGTCAAACTCGTTTACTGCTGGTCTAACGTGCTCACCGTCTTAGACGTGGACGAGTTGCCGGCTGAGGGGAAGGATAAGCCGCCCGTGCTAAAGTTCAAAGCGCGTAGCCGATGGAAATGCGAAGAAGCGATCGTCGCGGTTCAGTGGCTCAGCCGCTCGGTTTTAACCGTCCTAACCATCACTCAGAGACTCATTGTCCTCGAAGATCGGTCGATGAGGATGACCGAGGCCTTCGACCTAATCCACAAGTACATATATCACGCCGATGTCTTCTCTAACCAGCTGCACAGCCTCGTCGAGCAGCTCGACGAAGATGATACGGCGATGCATGGCGTGGTTGCGGACGCTTTCTACATGAGTTTCAAGGCATACAAGGGCAGGATGTTCCTGCTCGGCTTCAACGATTTGTCCATCGGCGCCCTGTCCAACTGGGCAGACCGACTCATTGCGTTGATGGAGAACGGCGACTACATCGGCGCGATTCGACTCGCAACTTCGTATTATACCGGGGATGCTAACAAGCTGACGATCGGGCTTCCTGAGGACGCCGCCTTGAGACACCAAATGGTGCTCGACAAGATAACGGAGATCATGAGTGCGTCTTTGAAGTATGCTTTCGGGCAGCGGCAAAAGAGCAAGGCGTCGATAGACGATCAGCATCTCCGGGATCTAGCCGAGACTTGCTTTGCCGCTTGCCAAAGTGTCGGAGACATCGACTTCGTATTCGACAGCATATATGAATGGTACGAAGACGGCGAGGTCGAGGGCATCTTTCTGGAGGTATTGGAGCCGTACATTCTAGAAAAGACCATATCGACTGTGCCTCCCGCCGCCGTCAAAGCAATGGTCGCACACTATGTCAGTAAAGGCTGGGAAAGCCGCTTAGAAGAGATAATCTGCCACATGGAGACGGCTACTCTCGACATCGACCAGATCACGTCGCTCTGCAAACAGCACCATTTGTACGATGCCCTGATTTACGTCTGGAATCAGGCGTTGCACGATTACATCACACCTATGATTGATCTCCTGGCGCTCTTAATACCCTTGGTGCAGAATACCGGTCACACATCCGCGCCAAGCTTGCCAGAAGACGAAATATATGGGGTTCATGCCCTAAAGATGTTCCCTTATCTGTCCTACACGCTGACAGGGAGGGTATACCCTACGGGCGAGAAGATGGAAGACGAAGTCGCTTCTCAAGCCAAAGCCGAGCTTTACTGGTTTCTCTTCTCGGGGAAGACCATCACCTGGCCGAAAGGCAGCGCCTACGCATTTCTCACTCGTCCGGCAGAAATGGGAGAGCCCCCTTTCCCTTACCTGAGAGTAATCCTCCAATACGATGCCCCGAGCTTTCTCAGTGCCCTGAACGAGGCGTTTGAAGATCCGTTCTTGAACGACTCGCAAGAAAAACAGCTCAACGGAGGCACCACAAAACACCTACCAGAGGAACAAATCTTCGGTTTAACTGTCGATCGTCAGTATGTCGTCACCATCCTTCTCGAGGTCATGAACTCCAGCGACTTCGCGCCGGAAGACACCATCTATCTAGACATGTTTATTGCCAGAAACCTTCCCATGTTTCCCCAGTATCTTCTCATACCGGGTTCCACGCTTGATAAGGTCTTGACTGGGTTGTGCGGCTATCCCGGGATCGATCTGGCAGAAGATGCCCAGCTGAGTGCGGAATATCTACTCTCGGTGTACCAGCCACCCGACGTAGCACCTTTGATTCCCTCCCTCAAGAAAGCCGGTTTTTACCGTATCCTAAAACGGATATATAGAAACGATAAGCAGTACGGGCAGTTGTTGCAAACTTACTTCGAGGATCCAGAAGACCAATCTGAAATCTTTGACTGCATTGCGGAATGCCTACGGCGCCAGGATAGTCTTCCTAAGAGGCAGGTCCAAGAAATACACGAGGTCATCAAATCTCATTCACGGGAGTTAGTCGAGCTCGACCCTACCCAAGCCGCCCAAACTCTAGGCGCTTATGCGCCCGAGCTGCACAGATTTGCTCTGGATTCACTTGACGACGGCTCCGACCTGCAATATGTCTACCTCAAAGCGCTGCTTGAGCCCGACTCCGAGTTTTCGACTCAGCAGAGTGCTACATTAGACCGAGATTTCGTTGAACAATATGTACAACTCATGTGTCAGCACAACGCTTCTCACGTGTCCGATTACATTGGTGTCCTTCAGGCCACAAATCTGAGACTCGAGAAACTCCTGCCCACCATGGAGGATAACGGCGTGGTTGATGCTGCCGTTATTCTTATGGCGAGAGAGGGACAAGTGCGGGATGCCATGAGCCGCCTAACGAAACACCTGGAAACATTGGAGTCTGCCCTCCAGGGTCTACTCGCCAACTCGGACCAGCAAGCTGACGACGTCGATATCCACGATGCTGCTGAAGAGCTCCTTAGAGACCTGCAGAGATACACGCATGTCGGTATCTGGTTATGTCAAGGCCAGATGAAAACGACCAAGAAGCTTAATGGCGTCCGTCGAAGGGACTCTCCATCTCCTGGCGACCTATCCCCCGACGAGGCGCTGTGGCTCGATTTGATAGACACTACCGTGCAGATCACGCGACGTCTGTCCTCCGTCGTCGCGCCATCCGGGTCAGACAGTGTCTCGAGCACAGCTTCGCCAACGCCAATGCTCGACAGCAACAAACTCGTCGCACTCCTGCGCTCACTTGTGCAACACACATTCACGGCACTCATGACGGCAACGTCTACCCAAAATGTAGGCCAGTCGGCAAATCGTCTCGTCGCAAATTCCGCGGGAAGTATCACATTCCTTCGGATTCTCCGAGCCTTCCTCACCCGTGCAGCGGCTACTTCGCCTAATCTCGCAGACCTGCGAGCTGTCCTCACGTCGATATTCTCGGCCTATGCTTATGAGGAGTCGATACTACAGCTCTCCAACCGACTCCTCGAGCAGCAGCTATTCGTGAACGTTAAGCAAGCGGTGGAACTCCGCCAGCGTGGATGGCGACCTAGGGGTTCGACGTGCGAGGCTTGCGGGCTTCGGGTCTGGGGCCCCGGCGTGGCTGGGAACGTCTTCGAGGCTTGGGAAGAGAAGCAAGCGAGCGAAAACAAGAGGCGAGAGGCGAAGAAAGCTGCTCTGACCGGCCAAGCCGCCCTGCGCGGAAAGGGCAAGGCCAATCCTCCTAGCCAAACCGAAGTCGAATCCTACAAAGGAAAGGGGAAAGGCAAAATCACGGATATGCACGTCCCGGCCCAATCGGAGGAGCCAGGAGCCAGGAGCCAGGAGGATGGCGGTGAAACAGTCTCGGAGCCGAACGGAGACGTTTCCAGGCGGCGAAAAGATCAACCCCTCGGTCCTCTCGTCGTCTTAGCATGCAGGCATATCTACCACAGGGCTTGCCTGGATGCATTACAAGCGAAGCGTGCCGTAGAAGGTGACAGAGAGGTGGACGAGTTCGGTCGTGAGGCGGAGTATAGATGCCCTATCGACGGCTAGGATAAAGCGAAGAAAGAGAGTGGGAAAAAGAGGATGCCGCTTGGCGAGGCACCAGCGCGGCCTCTGTACTTATGCGCGTGTACAATATGGTGGTAGCACGGCGACTTACTGTTGAGAAGTCTTCGAAAGAATTAATGTCGATTGGTCATGGGCGAACATTCCACATCACAACAATCGTGCCCGTCGTAGAGCAGCTGGATGTCGCCGCCCTCGTATATCCGAGCACCGCGCATCACGTTATAGGAAGCGATTGTATCAGCAACATCTGCAGAGCAGACATCGCAAATCTAGAACCGCGAGGCGGCGATGTTGCTTAACCGCACGACGCCCAGACGTCGCTATTAACACACGGCGAGGGGGCCAGACAGGTGAAATAAATAAAAATATATATAAATATGTACACGTATATACAAGCAAAGGCACGGCGGCGTTGATATCTATCAATACATGGTCACGAAACCCAAAACGAGCACCCATTTTTCTAAACAGGAACCCAAAACCAGGAAAAACGCATTCGCTAACGGTTCGCGGTCGGGCACACCGACCTGGCGACGCATATTTTCTATCCGCAAACTTTTTTTTTTCTTTCTTTCTTTCCTTGCTACGTCTCCGCGGGGGGGAGGCGTTCGCAAAGCTATGCGTTGTCTGCGGAAGCGCGTGCGCGCGCGCGCGCGCGCAGGGGAAGGGCGTGAGGGCCACACGCGCGTTTTACGGCGCGGGCGGGGCGACGGTCTCGGTGACGGTCTTCCAGAGGGTGGTGCCGTCGGCGGTGACGGTCTCGTAGACGGTGGTGGCGGCGGGGTCGAGGGCGCGGCGGGTGACGAAGACGGTGGTGACGGTGACGAGGAAGGGGGGCTCGGCGGCGTCGGCGGAGACGGCGGGCGCGGCGGAGGTGACGCTGGTGGTGGCGGTGGTGGTGCTGGTGCTGGTGGCGGCGGAGCGCGCGGAGCCGGTGACGGAGGGCGCGTCGGGCTTGACGACGGACGGGTCGATGGACAGGGTGCCGGTGACGGGGGCGGTCAGCGAGGTGAGCGTGATGGGGCTGCCGGGGGCCGGGTTGTGCGCGGTGGCGTTGGCGAAGGGCGCGCCCGTCACCTTGACGGGGCAGCGCGTCGTCGTCGCGGTCACGGGCTCGGTCACGACGATGACCTGCGTCAGGCTGTCCGGGCAGTTGGCCACGGCGGCGGCGCAGCTGGTGATGGTGAAGGTGCTGGTCGCGGTGTTGGTCTCGGTGGTGAGCTCGACGGGGCAGCCGGTGGCGGCGGCGGCGGCGGCGTAGCCCGCGGTGCCGGTGAGCAGGCCGCCGGTGCCGGTGGGCTCGGGCAGCTCGTCGATCTCGGTGGCCGGGTCCTCGCCGGCGGAGACGAAGCAGGTGGTGGCGGTGGCGCTGAAGAAGGTGGTGCTGACGGTCGGGTTGAAGCTGAAGAGGTCGATGTTGGCGATGTCGGCGCCGATGTTGACGAAGGCGCCCGCGTTGATGTTGATGGCGGCCGAGGCGGGAAGCAGGCAGTTGGTCTCGTCCGGCACGGTCGAGAACTGCTCCGACAGCGTGACCTCGGGGATGTTCATGAAGGCGCCGGCGAGCGCGGTCGCGTCGAAGAACGGGTTCGACGGCAGGTCGAGGCCGGCCTGCACCTTGAGCCGCAGCGTGACGCTGAGCTCGGCCGGCGCGTCGACGGTGAGCGGCAGGAGGGTGGTGGTGGCGCCCTCGCTGGAAAGAGAGAAAAGGGGGTTGCTGTCAGCTAACTGCCACCTCTCTCCGAAAAGAAGAACTAAGAAGTCGAGAGGACAAGACTTACAAGTTGCCGATGTTGTCGAGGGAGGTGTCCAGGGGCATGCTGAAGAGCGAGCCATCCGGAATGGCGACTTCAAAACCGCCTTCCGTAGTGACCGCAGCGCTGACGCCGATGATCAAGTCCACGCCGAAGGTGACGCCGATGGTGAAGCCGGGACCCTACGTTTTTTTTTTACCACAACCCGTTAGCTCTCTACATCTACAGAAACGGATCGTTTTGAGGACAGAAAGGAGGGGGGGGGGGACTTACACTGATACCGACGGGAGTCTGGGACGCGAACAGGGGGATGGTGAAGAAACCGTCGCTAGCGGCGGTCACGCCTAGCCGCAGGATAGCGCCGACACCTTCGAAGCCGACCGACAGGTTGATGTCGTTGAAGGGGTTCAGGTCCTTGAGGCCGCCGAGCAGGTCGTCGAAGTCATCGGGGAAGTCGGCCGAGACGACGAGCTGGCCGAAGGTCCGGCACTCGGCGCAGTCCAGCGACAGCGAGAAGGTCTGGCCCAAGACCGGCCACGCGCTGCGTTGCTAGTCAGCATATCGGTCCTCGCGCGTGCGAGCTCGGGAGGGAGGGAGGGGTGAGCTGGGGGCGGGGGGGAAAAAACATACCCGTCGAAGAGCGGGACGCCGCTCGCGTCGAAGGCCAGGTCGAAGGTCGTGTTGGCATCGCGCTTGATGTACGAGTTCACATGGCGCTTGGAGCGCGGCTTGGGGGCAGGGCCAGAGAGGACCGGGGCGGCGCGAGGCTTCTGGGGCGCCGCCGTGAGAGAGCGCCGGTGAGGCGGCTGGAGACGCCGGGGCGCGATCTCGTCGGAGATGGGGGCGGAAAGGGGGGAGGCCGTCACTGAGGCCAGCAGCGACGAGCAGCCGACGAGCAGGGCGGCGAGCGTTTGGTAGTACATGATTGATGGCGACGGGCACTATTCAACTGCTATGGGCCTACCGTCTGTCGTCGTCGTCCGGGGTCTCTTTTTTTTTTCTGGCCTACTACTGCTACTGCTGTGAAGTAAAGGAATGACTGAATGCTGACCGGAGCATTCGACTATCACAGAGCCCAGTAAGTGGTGGCGTGAAGAGGAAAAAGGAGAGGAGAAACGAAACGAAGGAAAAGGGCAGAAGATTAAAGTATTCGACGAGATAGATGCTCTCCCGACATAACGGATTCGGGCCTTCTGGGCTGTATATACGCGGAGAGATGGGCAGCGCAATTCCCAACATCGCGGTCTGAAAAAAGCTCCTTCGCGTCCACCCCTCCCCCCCCCCCGGTGACCCCGTTGGTGCGGTATGATCCTACGCGCAAGCCCATCCCCATCTTGGTTTCTCACTTGCCCTCTCCGTCGCTCTATCTCCGTCACCCCTCGTCCCACGCGCGGCGGGCGACCCCATCCGCGTGCTCTAGCTGAGAGTGGCTGGTGCACGGTATCGCTGCCTTTCCCGTCGCCGACGATCCATGGAAGGATTCGGACCAGGGGGAGGGGGGGGGAGGCCGGGGGGGGGGGAGGGCCCCGTTAAGGAGACAACAGAAGAGAGAGAGATATGTATAGCATCTCACACACGCCAGCCAAGCCCTGCGCACATCCAGATAGCCTACGTGCGTAGGAGCTGCACACGTGCGTTGCGCCGCCAAACACTTGCTTGTCTGTCTGTCTGCCTGTCTTGTCGAGGGACGCAAACGTCGACGGCTTAGCGGCTTACCTGCCAGAGTCCTACGGCCCGCGCACGTTGTGAAACGGCAGCGAGCCTCCGCCAAGAGGGCCATCGCCAACATGAATAGACAGACAAGTGCCCTGCGATAATCTCTCACTCTGCCTTCGACCCTCTCGCCCGCAAGGGGGGGGGCTTTTTTTTCCCCCGTACCAGGCAAGCTCGCGTGCGTGCGTGCGTGCGGCGATTTCGCGGCTTGGCATCGCGCCCTGCCACCATAGGTAATCGGCGAGGAAATGCAGCGATCTGGGCGCGCAGGTAGCGACGGCCGGTTCGTTTCGACCGTCCTGCTCCTTCTCTCGTCCTCGTCTCTCCGTCCCCGCTGCTTGACGTGCATCCCTAGCTGTTCTCTTCGCCCGTGGCGGTGTTCTTCGCGGCGAGGAGCAGAAAGCTAGCCGCAGATGATGCGAGCGACTGCGAGATTGATAGCCTACTACTACTGACTTACCTAGACAGGCAGAGGGGCCCATTGGAATCTCTAAATTAGAAGCTCGGCTCTGCCTGCGCGTGTTAATGCCTCTATCTCAGGCGGGTCATCTCTTCTTCTTCTCGCGCATATTATCCCTCTCGTACCGCTGTCCTGGTGGGTAGGTATGTTATGCCTGCTAGGTTTAGGTCTTACGCGAGAGACAGAGACAGAGAGAGAGAGAATGCGGCTGTTCCTCTGCCACACGACTCGGCCACCGCAGTAACACATATAGTAGGGTATCGTGTCTCTCTCGCTCGCCGTCGCTCCGTCTGTGTACCTGTATCGTCTGTTTCTCCCTCGCGTCGGTGAATTAGATACCACGGTCTAAAACGGCCTTCCCGAAGGGGGGAAGACAGGATTTAAGCTTCTTCGACCAGGGGTAGCATGTAATGTAGCATCGCCAGCAGTTTTCCTCACTCTCGCTCTCCCGTTCCAATTTCCAGATTACCCATCTGGCTTCTGGCCCCCCTGTCCGCCACGATCTTACCTTACCTCACCAAGCCTGTCTCGTCCCCCCCCCCCCCCTTCTTGACACACGAACGATCTACGGCCAAGGCCGGTTCCTTAATTTATTCCAGCTCCCCTCCAGGGTCGCGGCATAGCCAACGCCATGCGCTGATTGGGCTGCGCCACCCTCCTCGACGGCCAGAATAGGCATGAAACCCTCCGTCCACTCTCTCTGAGGGCGGACCCTCGCTTCTCCTCTCTCCTCATCTCATCCTATATCCTATCTTTGTCTCTCCTCCTCTTCCTTCCCCTGCCCTTGTTAGGTAAACATCTCTCCTTCTCGCCCATACATACGACACAGTCGCTCCCCAGACCCTGTTGGCGATATACGTAGGCACGTAGTATCTGCGAAGGTAGCGATGCTTCTCAAACAAGTCCGTTCCTGTTCCAACGTCCTGCGCCGAGAAGCCCCTCCTCCCTCCGCCCTCTCGCCGCACCGCACGCCTGCGGCTACGATCCGAGGCTAAGGCGAGCTGCCGGTGGGTCGAGGTCGATATAAATAATACCTGTCTGCCTGCCTATCTAGCTGGCCCTACCGAACACAGCACGCCCAGCGAGCCCCGACCCCGGACCAAACCCGCCCAGCTGTCAGCAAAGCCCCCACCTAGCCTATATCTACCATGTAGGCATGTTTATGCAAGTAGGTATGCACGCGTGCGTGCTACTTGCTTCTATCTCGAGAGGGTTCGCTACGACGTAGCCTACCTAGCCAGTCCCCTGCGGCCCAACACGCGCGCACGTATCATAGACGGCCGCGGGACGGGGCTGGCTAGAGTAAGACCTCGCTGCATAGCCTAGCCAGAGCAGGGCGAGCCCGCAGCGTGTGCCCCGGAGAGAAGCGGAGGGGGTGGGTGGCCGGCGAGCGCTCCAAGACGTATCAGCGTCATCTCGGCTTGCCTACCGGACCTCTCTCCCCCGCCTCTCCAGTGCTACGTGGTGTCTGCACACACAAGTCCTCGACTTATTAGGCATGTAGCATCGGCCACCAGGCAAACACGCGCAGCTGCGTGCATATATCACCGACCGCCCGGGATCCACGGGCTTTCTCTCCCTCTTTCTCCGTAGTGCTCTCGTGTCCTCCGTGTCAAGTATTTCGTTTGCGTCTGTCCCCTCTGCTGCGCAGATCCGCCGAACCTCGGCGCTCCCGTTCCAGCAGGTAGGACGCGTACGTACCACGTAGACCCGGTCGTCTCGACAGCGCGACGTTCGCGAAGGAAAAGAAAAAAGAGAGGGGGCGGGGAGAATACACCCGCTGGAATATGGGGGACTTAGGTATGAAAGAGAAGCAGGACGGTCCAGGACCGAGGCCAGAAGGGGGAGCTCGTCCCGAGATCGGGGTCTGCGCCCCGTGTTGCATAAATGCTTGCTTGCTTGCTTGCTTGCCTGCGTCTATCAGCGCCCCCGCGATGCGCCCGAACACGCCGGCGACGAGCACCTCCTCGCTCGCCCCGGGGGGGAGAGGGTTCGCCAGCAAATGTGTCCCGCACACCCGCTCGCGAGATCAGTATCGACGCTGACTGGCATCGACGACGCCAGCACGGCACCCTCACGTACGGCCGCCCGACCGCCAACCACGACGAGCTCCCGACCACCTAGGTACCCCATTACCCCCCCCTCTTCTTCCCCGCCCCATGCGCGGCGTCGCAACCCAACGCCAGCGCCAACGTGCGGCCAGCCTACGCGGCGGCGGCGCTCTGTTTGCATGTGTGCGTACATGTGAGCACACATAGGCATGCCTACCCAAACACGTACACGGCGACGACTCGACTCGGTAATGCCAACCTGACTCGCTAGACGTATCCCCCCCCCGCCTCCCCCGTCGTCTCCTCCTCGCCCTCCGCCAACCAGCCGCCCTGCCCCCTGCTCCCGCTCTGCGCATGCCACATCTCACATGCCAGCGACGCTATCGCGCGAAGGCCAATAGGCGATACTACAGAGCAGCTATCTACTTCGGCCCCTCGTATCGACCTCTCCCCCCCCCCCACCTGATGACTCCGACCTACGCAGACCATGCTTCACTACGCCATCAGTCTCTTCCTTCTCTCTCGTTCTCTCTCTCTCGAGGAACCTCCCCCCCCCCCCCCCCTCCACAAGAAGCAAGGTAGGCAAGCCAGCCACTGAGGGAGAGTGGAAAGGGAAAAAAGGGTGAACGGGGGGAAAATGCACCGGAGAGAGTTCGATTTCGGAGCAGAGGCCGTGAGTGACGCGAAAACAAAGCAATACGTTCTATTTCCGCCATCCCTATTCCCAGAATCCGCGGTAGTCGTGACGGGACGAGACGCGCCGCCCGACGAGGACGAGGAAGATCCTCCGTGTCCCTCTCGAACTCTTCCGCCTCCGCCCGCGCGTGGGCGTGCGCGTGTCTTATACTAGGTATCCTTTTCTTCTTTTTCTAGCTAGGAACAAGGTGCCCTCTTTCCCTCTCCTCCCCCGTCCCTATACATCATCCACCCGTACCTCGGCACCCTTCCCCCCGCATTCCGTCGAGGAAAAGAAGAAAAAAATACCGACCGTAGCAGCAACTGTAGCAGCACTGCTCGTGCTCACCCGCCCTTTCTATCAGTCTATCTTGTCCGTCCGTCTTCCCTTTAGTAAGCCGTGTGTGTGCTGCTTCGATCGTGCTGTCTCGATTCACCGGCACGGACGCCCCAAGTCGTAGAAGAAGAAAAACAAGAGAATACCGTGGGGCACCGTAATACCGGAGATGAGACAAAGGAGAAAAGAGTAAAAGAGGGAAGGGATTGGGGAGGAAAAGAAGGTGAGGGGAAGGGCAATGGGGGAGCGGGGGGGAGAAGAGAGAGGAATAGATGCGGCACAGTGTTGCTTTTCGCCTTGGTTGCCTGAGTCCCATCTAATCCAAGCCCAACTGCCACCGTAAGCCCACCCTATCTCGATCCCCAGGGATACCGAGAGAGAAGGAGAGATAGAGAGCGTATGCATATGCATGTATGCGTGTGTGCGCGCGCGAGAGAGAGAGAGGCCCAGCCTAATTCTGGATCTTCTTCCCTTCCTGGACCTCGACCTTGGTCTGCTCGCGCAGCGCGTCCTTGGCGTCAGCCTCGGCGTCGACCGTCTCGGCCGCCACCTTCTCGTCGACGCTCGGCTCCGAAGCTACCAAGGTCCTGTCGTCCTTCTCGTCAATGTTGTCCGTGTCCTGCGGCGTCGCCAGGCCCGTGTCCTTGTTCTCCTGGTTCTGCTCGTTCTCCTCCTCGATCAGGTCCTGCTGCTCCTTGAGCACCTCGAGCCGCTGCTTGTTCGTCGCAGCGCCTTCGGCGTTGTGCACCTCGAGCTCGATCTCGTGGTACAGCTCCTCGGGGATCGATGACAGCACGCCCGTCAGCGCCTCGATCTGGCTGTGGAAGCCGCCCTCCGTCTTCTGGCCGTACATGTAGGCGCTGCTGAGCACGAGGAGCGTCGAGGGTACGCCGTGCTTCAACCGTAGATCCAGCCACGACTGAAGGTCTTCGCGCAGCCGGGCGGGCGACACCGTGTGCGTCTTGATGCCTCGGCTGGCACAGGCCGTCTGGAGTTCCGAGACGTTGAGGCTGTCGACGCCCTCAAAGCTGATGGCCTTGTCGTCCCTCTTTATCTGGCGCATCCGGTGGCGGATCTGGTACCGGAGCATGATGTCCGTGCCGAACGTGTTGAGATTCATGTACCGGCACATGGACACCAGCTGCGGCCTCGACAGGTTGTCGAGGGTCAAATCATCCTTGAACGCCTTGCAGACTTTGATCACGTCGTCCGTGCTGGGCTGCTCTCCGGTGGCCCGCAACTTGCGGAAAAATATGGCAAATTCTTCCTTCTGCGTCGTCGCGCTCGAGAGGGGAAGCCCGGTTTCCTTCAGGGTCTCGCGTAGGAAAGAGCTGACCTCCTTCCGCGTAGCCCGCAGAATGGCGGCTTTCTTGTCCTTCGACTGCTGGGCCTCGTACGTGCTCGGCAACAGGTTGGGGAACAGCTTGAGGGCGACGGGCAGGAGCGCTTCGGCAAACGGCACGATGACGAAGACGGAAAAGGGGACAAGACGCGCGAGATCCCGGACGGTCCGCTGGAGCTGTCGATTCTCCCGTCGGGTCAGTTCGTAGCCGGCAGCCATCTTGGTGGCCAGCCTGCTGCTGATCCGGATTTCGGTCGCGAGCAGCTTTGTGCCGTCCCAATAGTGCTGGACCTCGTGTTTGATCCTCTGCGTAAGCGTCAACTTTTTGCCCTGCTTCTCCTCTATCTTCTCCACTTCGGTGTCCTTCCTCGCGGCCAGCTCGGCCAGAGACTTAGGTTCGGCCGAGGCCTCATCGAGAGAGGGATGGGTCGTCTTTGCGGCGGCGGTCTCGGCAGAGGTCTTAGTCTTGGTAGGCTCTGAGGCCTTCTTGTTGGCCGCGGCCGTCTCGGTCCTTGGCAGCGGCTTCTTAGCCTGCTCCGCATTGAACCCGGGGGGTGGTCCGTCAATCGGCCCGACGGTATGCCGCTCGGTCGATATGGTTCGAAGCGGGATCAGGAGCGCGCGAGCGGTGAAGTCTAGGGGGAGCTGCCGGGCGTGCCGTCCCAGGTAAGCTGAGGGAAGGCCGAGTCCGGGACGGGTCGTCGCCCTGCCGGCAAAGGGGTTGACGAGCACCGCCCTACGGGCCGCTCTGGAGGAGACGCTCATGATAGAATGGGAGGCGAGACGATGGGTGGGATGGGGAGATGGCGGTGCGGCGATGGTGGTTCTGGGAGAGATGGATGGGTTCGGAGAGGGAATTTCGAGGGAGGTGGGTATAAATGGAGTTGTATGATTCAAGCACAGGTTGATTCTTGGATCTTCGTCGTCTCACCGTTAACCTAGGTAGACGATAATACAGATCACGTGCTGATAACCGGCTCGCTCTGTTATCCCCGGGCCGAGAGGGTACGTACCTATGAGTAGGGACTAGCAGCTGGACGGAGACGTGTCCGTGCTTCGTAGGTACATTACGTGCTGCATTATGTGCGATAGGTACATACTCCGCCGCCTTGGCACGGATCGACAGGCACCTCAGTGATGCGATGCATCTTCACGACCCTCTTCCGCTCCTACAAGAGCGCGACACGACTCGTCTCGACACGACACCGCTACCTAACCCATTATAGTATTACCACAAAGTAGTGGCTGGCGAATCAAGCTTGCCTGCCAAGGCGCAAATCTATCCCCGAAACCCGGCCATCTATCTAGATATACACGCACGTACAGCACACTCCGTCCAGACGACAGTGGCCGAAAACCAGTTTCGTCGCTACTGTTGTCGTGGTCTCGTGATGTTCGGCCCGGTTCCGATGCCCGTAAGCGTCCGCACTGCCCAGTGTACCCAACTCTCCGTCTCCAGTTGCCTCTTCAGCTCGTCCGCTCTCCGCTCCACCTCGTCCACTTGCATCTCGAATTGGGCCACGCCATCCTCGACGTCCTGGACGCGCGAGACGAGCGCGCTGATCTCGTATTCTAATCTAGCTGCTTGCACCTCGACTTCCTTTAGCGCCTCCGTGATATGTGCCCGCTGTTCCCCGATCTTCTCTCGCGACTTGACCAGCACGTTCTCGTACCCGTCCGAACGTTGGTAGTAGAGTGTTTCGAGTTCCTCTTGTTGCCGTGCGTAGTCGTCGTCGATCTCCTCGATCGACTTAGTCTGTCTGGCAACCCAAGGCTCGAAAGTCTGCGCGACCTCGAGTATATTTGCGTAGAGGCTTGTCGCAAGCTCGGCGACGTACGAATATTTCGCCGTTACCAGATCGCCTGTGTCCTTGTCCCAGGCGACGTCAGCCATGTTGTCCCATCTCAGCACGGCTTCTTCAGCGTTGCTAAAAGACAGCCTCCTGGGCCACCTGGCATCATTAGGAGGACCACGCTCAGGGAACTTTGCCGCCCCGATGCTGTGCCTTCTATGCAGGCCAGACGGGAGAGTGCCGAATGACTGCTCTGCGTCCACGAACGGGCCCTGTAGAACGCTGTCGGCGACGGCGGAATCCGCCACCGAAGACTCGACTACCGTGGCCTTCTCATTGCGTATCTCTGCCGGATAGGATACCCTCTTGGCGTCGTTATTGACTAGCCCCCTTGCATCGCCTACCGCGTGAGACATCGGCCGTGAGTCTCTAGAGAGGGAGTTGTCCGAAGCGGGTAAGGCTACCGGCGGAGGGGCGGATTCCATTTGCCTCTCCTTTCTGAATGCGTTTAGGTACTCCTCTGGTTTGTTCTTCCAGGTGAATGCCCTGCCGACCTGGCCCGGTTCCGGAGTCGCGCTCAGCAGGGCGCCGGCCGAATAATCAGAAAGGACAGAGGATTGCGGTGCGGAGATCGTCGTTTCCGACGACTCGTCCTTCGATGGTCGGCTAGTGTGGTTGCGAAGGCCGCCCCCGCTATACACGGCATCTTTGATTCGTCCGAGACCCGACCGAGCATCCCGAGCCACGCTCTTGAACACGCCACGGCGAACGCCATCCCTCTCGCCAGGACTATCTGCTATGCTAACCGCAGACCCGGGGGCGGGGGTGGAGTAGACGCCTGGCGTGTCGTCTCGTTGACGACCATCGACCTCGTCTTCCGAGGGCGCAGCTTGGGTCCTCTTACTTTGATGGGAGGGGTCTTCTTTACCGAATAGGATATTGCCCATATCAGACATAGCCCTCTCGTGACTGTCGGGCACAGAACGCCTAGTCTTGCCAAACCATAGCCATTTCGCGCGCTCTCCATAGGCTAGGCTGACGAATCTGTCGAAATCCAGGGTTTCGATGTCCCCAATCCCGGCCTTGTCACGCCCACCAACCATGCCTAGAACGATCTCGCCTCGCTTGCCACCGATCTCGCTGACCGTCGATTTGACTGCCTTCTGCACTCCCCATCCCTCGCCGGCAGCCGCCTTGGCGGTCGTGGTGCGGAGCCTGTGCATGGTTTGTCGGTCTAGCCGTCCGGTCCTCTCTAGCTTCTGGTATTTTTGGAAGGATGAGATGCCCTTCTCGGTCGCCTCTACGTCAAACACGTCCTTGGGGGTGGACACGCCGAGATAGCTGAGCCGGTTTCGCGCACCCATCAGCAAACCGAGCAGCGCGGCGACGGTCGTAGGGCCCAGGATGCCGTCGGTGGGCTCGATATTGTGGTATTCGGCGCCGAATTGGGTCCACCAATCCCCGATCGCAGTCTCGGTCATGTCACACAGAAGCCCGTCGATGTATACTTTGTCGAGATTGCCAAAGAGGAACAAGGCCTTCTGACACATCTTGACCAACTCGACGACGGCATCAGAGAAGGAAATCTTGTCGGTGGTCTTATACAGCTGGTAGAACTTAGCTCTGGCCGCGCCGGTCGGTTCGGACAGCGTCATACCCGATCGGCCGGAGCACCCTAGCCTCTTGAGATCCTCATTGACGACAAACTCCCTTCGGTGCTTCTGGATGTCGCCCTCGGGCACGGGAACCACAGTTAAGGCGGAAGGGAAGCTGCTCAGGTTGGTCACCATCAACTCGCCGAGGTGGGTCTCCTTAGGTCGGGCGTGATACTGCTGGATAGCCCGGAAGTATATGCGCAGCCGGTGGGACCAGGTCTTGTCGTCGGCCGGGACAGCCAGGACGCCGGCGACGATGGAATGCTTCTCATCCCCGGTGTAGGTGGCGATTACGAGGGTTGGGGACCGGCGGGAGCAGGCCCATTGCTCGACTAGGTATAGCTCGTACCCCTTGAGCTCCTGTCTTCGCTTGACGACGGTGACGCAGCTGTCTTCTTCTAGGAACCTGTAGGGGGCGACGTCAGCAACGATGCTCGGACTCGATCTGGACGTGCGGCACATGCGGCTCCGGCGGCATACCTAAAGGCTATGGGGTCGGGGATGATGACACGACGGTGTTGGGAAGCGAGGGTGGGTGTGGCAGTGGAAGAGAGTTTGGCGAGATCGGACGAGACTTTGGTGGATGCGGGCTCGTCGTCTCGCGGAGGCCTGTATTCATTGGGGGCTACAGCTGGCCACGACGACATCGTTCGCAGATACGGACCCCATGCACTCCCTCTACCCTCGGATCCTAGAATATGCTGAAAGACAGGGCATATAGGAGGGCTGGCTGATCATCGCAGGTGTAGGCAGGTATGGTACTTTACCATGTAGGCAGTGGTAGATAACTGGCCAGCAAGCCCCTTGGCCCTTGTCTAGCGGCAACTCCTTGGCGAACTGGCCGAGGGGCACTATTAGGTAATCACGGCATGATGTCGGCAATGTAGGTACCTAACAAATAGATTGCATAAAATCACTCGGCATTGTCACCCAACCGATCCCCTCAGCTCCTAGAATAGGAATGAGGGAGTACCGAAGGCGAATGCCAGAGGTGATGCCTCTGCCTGATATACTGCTAGGAGTTACTATCCTTCTATCCCTATGTTTGTAACCCCAAGTAGCGGTTGAGAGACCTTTTGGGAGGTTAGATACCTAGGTACCTAAGTTCACGCAGTACTGGTGTTATCTACTATAGGGTGCCTCAAACCCAACTTCCAGTAAGTGTATATGCAGGTACCTTAGGCTAGGTAGGTCCTCCTAAACTACCGCCCTCTACCTAGGTACCTCCAAGATGGACGAGAACCGCAATGGACGATTACAGCTGCTACCAGCTGCTCCGAGTGCTGATCGCCAAGCTAATGGTCAATGAATGGACCAGCACAGCGAACCAAAACTCCTCCTCTATTCTGGCTATCTGCTTATCAGACCCAGCTCCAACCAGCAGGCATGGGAGCGGCGCGTGGTTCCCCTTCCGGCCCTACTCATACGCATCCGCTCAGTCTCGGACCAGTTCTTCTCACCTCGCCTCTTTCTCGCCTCCCCTTTTTTCTCGCCTCGCCTCCCTCTGCTTGGGCCCCACGATTTCCGATGACGACGTAAACCTCTTGCGGACTCATACTGCCCAACCACCAGCCACTCGATATCTCTTGACGAAACCACACACCCCTCCAGACAGTTAGACCCGGCCCAGGCCCGGAATGACCACCATCGTTGCCGCCTATGCTCGACAGCCGTGACGAGCCCTTCTCAACTGTCTCCAGTGACCGACCAGCTACTGTCAAAGCCGGTAGCTGCTATTAAAGCATCACCCATCCGCCGCCGCCGATCCCGGAAATGGCCCTGTCACAGCTGCAGAAAGACCTGGACAAGCTCACAAGCTCTGCTAAGCTGTCCGACGCGGCCCGCGATGTCGACAAGATCATCAACCTCCTCACTGCTGCCCGCGAAGGGGTGGCAGCAGGTAAGAGAGACCATGCATAACGCGCACTGCCCGGTTCCTTACTGTTAGACCTCGTGTATTAATTACCATCGGCTCTCTGCCTCTCTCTATAGCGAACGATACCCACACCACGAGTCTGACCCTCACGAAACTGCAAAATCCGATAAAAGAAGAGCTCGAGGGGCTGAACAGCAATCTAAAACAAGTGTACAAGGCGCAAACCGAATTCAACAAGTCTCTCCGGTCCGCTTTCTCCAAAGCGAAGGGAAGCCTGCCCACCGATTACGATCCCATGGAATCGCAGTCGCACCTCATAAACCGAGCCATCGCCATGCATCTACTACGGGAGGGCCAATTCGACGTCGCCGCCACTTTCATCGACGAAGCGCAACCGCGGCCCGAAGCGACACCAGCCCCGCCTCCGCCCCCGTCGCAGTCGCTCTCCCACTCCTCCGCATCAGCCGACACGGTCGTCGCGGACGCCGGCATTCCTTCCGACATAGCCTCCTTCCACTCCCAGGATCTGCAGGCCTCCTTCGCCGACATGTACGCCATCCTCTCTGCGCTCAAGGCGCACAACCTCCTCCCGGCCATAAGCTGGGCCAGGAAGAACTGCGTGGAACTCGAGGCCCGAGGCTCGACCCTCGAGTTCGAGCTCTGCAAGCTGCAGTTCGTATGGCTCTTCAAGGGCCCCGCGACGAACGGGCTGCCCGACACGCCCGAGAACGGCGTCGCGGGGGCGTTCCAGTACGCCAGGGAGAACTTTGGCCGGTTCCAGCAGCGGCACCTGCGCGAGATCCAGCAGCTCATCTGCGCCATGGTGTACCACACGAACCTGGCCGAGTCGCCGTACAAGCACCTGTTCGACATCTCGCTCGCCTTCGACGAGGTCGCGACGTCGTTCACCCGCGAGTTCTGCTCGCTGCTGGGCCTGTCGGCCGAGTCGCCCCTCTACGTGGCCGCGACCGCGGGCGCGCTCGCGCTGCCCCAGCTCGTCAAGTACAACACCAAGACCAAGGCCAAGGGCACCGAGTGGACGACGGCGAACGAGCTGGCCTTCGAGACCCCCCTGCCCCGCAGCATGATGTACCACTCCATCTTCGTCTGCCCCGTGAGCAAGGAGCAGACCACCGAGACGAACCCGCCCGTGATCATACCATGCGGTCACGTGCTCGCGCGCGAGAGCTTGCAGCGGCTTGCTAAGGGCAGTCGGTACAAGTGTCCCTACTGCCCGAACGAAGGCGTCCTCAAGGACGCCAAGGAGATCATCCTGTAGACGCGCGCGCGCGTTGTCGATGAGGTGCTTGGTTTCCTCTCCGCCAGGGAGAACGACGCATGCGTTTTTTTTTTCTTCTATATATAGCTTTTCGGTCGGTCGGATGGCGGCCGGTTTCGCTCCGGGGAGTTGCGGCGCGCGCAGACGTAGGCTAGGCCAGGCGAGCTCGGAGACGTGTTGGGGAGGAGCACTAGGTTCTTCTCGGGATCGGCAAACGACAGAGGGAGTATGGTTCGGACATGCGCATAGGCACACGCACGTGTCCCGGTGCCGTCGGTGTACATGGGCAAAATATACGTTCGCCGCGCGCGGCGCGCGCGCGCTCTGCACACACACACAGAACCGAACCGTCTCGTCTCGCTCCGTAGTTCGCGGGTGGCGTGGGGACGGGGCGCCAGCACGGCTTCGGAACCCCAAGGCCCCCCAGCCGCACGGAATGTCTGGAGGGTTGGCACGCGCAGACACGCCTGTGTTGACTGGGCCGCGCCATGTTTGCGCGCGGGGCGCGACAGCCGTCGCTAGTAGGCTTGCTCCCCGCCGCGCAGCCCGAACCGTCCCGTCTGCGCAGGCGTGCTGCCGGAGGAGCATGCGCCCTCCCCCCCCCCCTCGGTGGAAACTCAACCGAGGCCAACGCGCGCCGGCCGGGACCGCGCTCGGGTGCGTGGCTGGCCCGCCGGCCCGTACCCAGCCTACCTACCTGTAGGTGCCTCTACCTCCTGGTGCGGGTACGAAGGGCTGGTACCGACCTTAGGCACCCCAAGGTAGGTCGATAGGTACCGATATATATATCTGCATCGTACCCACGTCTGCCCTCCGGCCCGCACGTCGCCGTGTTGCCTCCCCTGCTCCCCGGACCAGGCGGCGCGCTGCCGACTCAGCCGGCCGGGTTCATAGCTTCCTTCGGCTGCGTGAACGCAGCTGTGCCTCGTCTACATATGCGCGCGCACTAGTAGAAAGTTGTACGTAGTCGCCTACACGCAGAAAGCACCCAGCGTCTCACGTCGCGCGCGGTTCGCGAGTATTGCACCACGGTTCCGATTCCTTGATATCTACCTGTGTGCCAACGTAAAGTCACATGCGCCGTGCGGTCCCCAATAGCTTGTCATCCACTCTCTATTGGATCTTTTTTTAGGTGAGAATTCACGTATTGGATTCTCAGGTATCTACATGAACCAAGGGGAGGGGGGGAGATTTGGGTGGGGGGTTCTTTTCCCCTTCCTGTATCCCCGTCTCCCTTCCCTCCTCCCTCACTATTCATACCACTTACTACATTCACTGGTACCGGTGACCAGCAACCCACGAGCGTCCCCTCTGTCACTATGCCACTCTCTCTGCCGGAAGACAAATCTGCAACGCCTCTTCCGGTTAGGCATTTATCGATACACGTATACCCAGATCGGTTTAGATCGGATCGGATCGGATCGAGTTGTCCGCGAGACAAAAGTCTGACGGGCAGTCAAGACTGGAAATAGGATGTGAAAAAGGAGAGGAAATGCAAATGACCCTCTCTGTCTCTGAACTCCACCGAGAGGTACCCTAGATTCGGTCGCTAAACGCCTGAAGAAATTGATAAAGGGGTGACAAGAAAGAAAAAAAAAGGAAACGTGGTGCGGGGAGTTTTGGGGGGGGATATAATTGTTAGGGGAGGGAAATCTCGACCTCTCCACTCCGAGAGGCGCCTTTGGCAGCTGGATATCTGGCAGGAATGATTTGAAAGGAAAGTCGTTGAATCATATCGTTTGTACGTCTATACCAACCATCCTCCCATGATTCTAATCGATCGTCATCCTGCTCGGCAGTTGAGGCTGCTTGACGTCGTGCATCGAGTAGCTGGCCTGATCCTTATCGATCTCTTGCCGGGGGGCATTGAGATGCTGCTTTAGGCCGGCGTCGAAGTTGAAGAGGCAGACCATAGCATTGATGATGGTGAGGATGATGAGGATGATAGTGAGGACGGCGAACGCGGTCAGAGATTTGCGGACGGGCATGTAGAACTGCTGCTCGTAGGGATCGTAGATTCGAGCTAGCTTGTAGATGAAGTAGGTAAGACCACCGAGGTAGAGAACCATGATGATGATCATGCCGATTTTCCACTCGCGCCGGGTGAACCATGCAGCACAGAGGAGGATAGCAATGGTGACGGGGACGGCGGCGGTGGTCAGCCCGAACTCGACGTTGGTTTTGCCTCCGACTACGACGAGAAACTGGATCGTGAAGCCGATGAAGAAAAAGAAGTCGAATTTGAGCAGGGCGATGTAGACCTATGAAATTGTCATTAGTCATCTGCGGATAGCGCATAGACGGAGACTGCGCGAACGAACCTGGTAGTGCAGAAACCGCTTCTTCATCCTGTAGTCAGCTCCTATGTGCTTCAGGATATCCCAAGCAAATTCCTGATAGAGCTTCCATGATATGAAGCTCATAACCACGGTCACCAGCGCGATGATGCAAGGGATCGCGATGAGGACGCCTTGGACTTCGGCCCACACCTCGAGGTCCTCGAAGGCGTTGAAACCCTTGAGAATGGCGATGGCCTCACGGATCTGGTCGATCTGGAGGGCGCTGTAGACGAGGAAAGCCAGGTTGGCGATGCAGAGACCGATGATCTGAATCGTGTTCTTGAGGCGGAGAGCATCCCAAACCAGGACCAAGTCATAGATGAAACCGAGCATCAGCAGGCCGAGGAAGGTCGGGATGGTCTTGAGTTGAGACTGCACATCGTTGTTGTCCCTCCACTGCGCGTCCTCCATATTCTTGAGCCCATTCTGAAATTGGGAGAAGGTGTATCTGCGACAAGATCACATGTTAGTGCATGCAAAGTACGGTTACGGACGGTAGCTCGGCATCAGCTTACGATTCGAAGGCGATGCAGATGATGGACTGCAGCGCAGCGACGATGAAGAACAGACGGGGCCATTTCCGGGAAAATATCTCGCCCGTGGACTTCGCCAGACTGCGAGGCCGGCTCGACTTGGTCGTAGGCATGATGGAGTCTCGGTGCGGCTGCGACTCGGCGTACTCAGGTTGCGCGGGAAAGTGGTTGAACGATTGATTCGATGGTATCTGGCGGAAGCCCGCAGAGTCCCCGGGAAGGAAAGACGGAGAGTTGCGACTGAACGCCAGATTTGCTAGTGCGGGACTCCTCTTGAAGAGGAGTCTGGACAGATGGCAACGCGGATAGAAACGACCGGATCGATGGCAATTGTCTGGCGGGCTACGGCTCTATCTCAGGATGGTTCTTGCTGTCGTGGTCGGGCGTGGCTTTTCTAACTTTCTTCTCTTCTCCCCCTTTTCTTTCCTCTGGAATCCGGTAGCTAGTGCGGATTGTCACGACGACCTCGAGCAGTGTAGGTCGGCTGCCGGCGCGGGGGGTGGCTACAAGACCTAGACGGGCGACCGGTAGGACGATGGATTGAGATGCGAATCAAGAGGAGAAGGAGTGGGCCGACCGTCACTGTGTTTCGCAAGTGGGTTAATATTCTAATCTTGGTGGCGGACGACGGCAGCGATACTGCAGCTTTACTGTAACGTCGTGGTGCAGGTATCGCATTGGCAGGCGACGACTGGTGGATGGACGGAGGGATGGACTGGAGGGAGGAAGGTCGAGGGAGGGAGGTGATAGGTAGGGATAGACCGGTTGGGTCAGGTGAAACAGATTGACTAGTTTGATCCGTAACGAGGGCGCGGCAGGGGCGGGGAGGGGAGGGGGGGTGTGTGATATTTCAGGCCTGGCCGGGCTCGTCTACGTCTTGAGTCTGGGGGACCGTTGGTGTGTCTGCGCGTGTGGTGATGTGTTGTTCTGCGTTGGATGTGTGGGCAAGCGAGTGCGGATGAAGGATGTGATGGGCCGGATTTCAGGGCGGCTGTTCCTTTCCGCCTCTACTCTCTCTCCGACGGTTACGTGAGGGCAGCAGCTCCTAATGATGTGATGCCAATGCGGTGCCGACGAGGACCACGATGGGGCAGCGGATGTGGTAGGAAGGAAAAGAGACTTGTTTGCGTCGGGGGGCTCGACGACGCCGGCTGGACGAAGAAGGGCTGGGGGATGGGGGGGGGGGGGGGGGGGGGAGGTCTGCTTACCTACGTGAACGAGGGATAGCAAGGTCAAGGTCAAACACACAAGGGGAAAGGGAAAGAAAGAAAAAAGAGAGAGAGTCCGTCGGCTGGGCTGAAGCGAGGGAACGGTCTCTGATGAGGAGACGACCACGGTAACAGGACCGGGGAACCTTCAATGCGGTAAGTGCGTGGTGGTGGTGAAGGCGACGGGCTGATTATTGCGGATGAGAGTTGGGTTGGGAGGAAATGAGGAATCGGGGAATCGAGTTACGGGATCCTTTTCTCTCTTCCTCTCTTTTGGCCTGTTCCCTTTTTTTTTTTCCTCTCTCTCTCCCTCGAGCATGGAACGGAAGTCGGCCGAGATGATGTACGTAGTCGGAACGAGGGTGCAAAAAAAAAAAGGGCACAATTCACCCAGGGAGATGTACATACCTGGGTACATATCTGTCAGGTACTTTGGCGAGCCGGGATAGTGTGCCTAAGTGGCTTTCAGGGTAATCTGCTGACGGCGGGAGCTGCCTTTCCAGCGCTGGGACGGAGGCCGTTGGGGAGTGGGCTATGCTGATGGCGAGATGCCAAGACCTGTCTTAGGTACATGCCTCCCTCATATGTTCTTCAGGTGTGGTCCAGGTACCGCACCCGTGAGCGAGCTGGAACGAGGAGAACTCCAAGGTGTACCTATGTATTAGCACCCGCACCCTTTTGGCCGCGCTTCCAACGGGAACCCATTATATACATAGGTACATGCGTACACACAATTTCAGCGATGCGATGAGAGGTGCCTAACATATCGTCGCCGTGTCTCAAACCTAAAGTACCACCTGTGTTGTCTGTACCCTGTATGGTAATGCTGCGACGAGTATGAAGGGAGACAAGTATGCCAGGTACATTCTGCGAGTTGCCAACAGCTGCGAACATGATGTCCCGTTCCTGGCAGGGTGCGCCCGGTCCACTTAGGTCCGCTAAGGCTTTTTTTCTAGTAGCCTTCTGCCTCGACGCTTTACCCTGGGCTATCCCCGTGCAGGCAAGCCGCCTAGGGGGCTGGTCCACTGTATACCTACCTACCTCTTAGCTCCTGTAGGAGGTAGGCAACGTACCGTATATCTGCAACACATACCTCCTGGGAACCTACGGTATATGCCTTACGATACCCTTAAGCAGGTAATACGTAGGTACCTATTATCTAGAAGCCATATTGACCTGCGTGCCTTAGGTATGCACCTGGTACTTCTGTATGTCATAGACGCACACGGGGATACACACCCTAAGGCGCCTTGCGCTCAGGGACTGGCATATGAATGCAGGTATCTAGGAGGTACTTAGGTACTATGTATTGCGTATGCCATCTACTATTGACTGTGCGTTCTCCTCGCCTCTACTCCCGCGCTACGTGATGTACCTAATGCAGACGGTAACTTGCCCAGGCTACCTTAGGTGCTAATTATATTCACCCTAGCATCGAGCCCACATCACGCACGCTTTACATCCATCTCCATTGTCTTCGTCATCTCTCCTATCTCTCTCCTCTCCAACATACCCACCTCCACACGCGCGCACATATGAGTATGAGTAGAATCGGAGGTCGCATAGCCTACGGCCACTAAGAATGGCGCCGCCGGTTTCCTCCTACGTTCCCAAGGGGCCGCCGACTGATCTGCCCCTCTAGTTGTTTGGGGAAACCGGAGTAGTAAGTATGTCCCCCTAATGCCCCTACGTGATAGGTTATCTCTTGGGTCGGTTGCCCTTCCAGTTTGTGGCTAGTCGCAGCCGCCCCAAGCAACGCCATGGCCGACGGTCAGTGGTCAATGATCACAAGCCTCAGACTGCCAAGCACGCCAGGCTGCTTTCGTGTCTTACCATGGCATATGCCACTCTTCTGCCAACTTTCGAGGATGGGCATATTTGCCTACGCACATACTATAATCTATTCACAGTTGTCCTATATACGGAACTCTTAACTATATTATTCATATACGCTCTTCCCGTTATCTGCCGTCGTCCAAGTTCTGTCATCGCACCTTTCACGGGGAAACGAGATACGAGCGCCGGTGGATTCGTGTCGGCGTGGGGACACGGGTGCTTTGCACGCGCAAGTATATGCATATGTATACGAGGCCGCATGCATAGTGGACGAGCGGAAGAAGCCCACACGAGCTTCCCTGCGAGATGACCCCGGTAATATCCATTCCAGCTGGGCGAGGTGTGGTGGGGAGGGCGCAAGGCAGAGTTCAACGCCAAGAGAGCTGAGCCACTCGGAGCAGATAACATGCCAAGCGCAGTGCCGGCAGACTCGCGTGGAAGACGCTCAGGCGCGGCATACTACGGAGCTACGTTTGTCACCTACGTCGGGAAGACTGCTGTATATGTATTAGCATACCTACGTACGGGAATCTCGATGGTTATGGACAGGCTACCCGTTTCCAAGATGCTCATGCGGGATTGTGGTAGGTATGTGAGGAATCCGTCTGAAACGAGACCGCCTTGCATGTTCTTGGGTCCCATATAATACATACATTAAACAGGTAGTCTCTTGAGACTTTGCTGCTTACGTTAGGGCAGATCTACGTGAAGCGCTCAACTGATTGAGCATAGCGCATTTTCTGCTTTTGCTTCGGCTGGGCTCTGCCGAATCCCAGGCACGTGACCGAGACTTGCATCTGCACCATTTCTACCTTCGACCTGAACTGTTACGGTTCACGTGAGGAGGGAAGAGCTCCGCAGGATGGAAGCTGAATGTATTGAAACAAATGACAACTACGCCCGATAGCTCCGTTGAACTCTGGCTATTCGCAGGTATGAACGCCATATCTGAGAGGATGGGATCCCCACAGCTAAGGATCCCATGCAGGAAGATCTATCAAGAGAGATAGATGTTAAGGACCCCATTCGCCTGTGAACCCTAATAAGAGCCATTCTAAGGACGATTCCTATGTACTGAAGAGAAACAGCGTGGACACGTCATTGGGGGACCAACACTGAAGAAATAACCATAGTTGCTATCGCCATGTGAATGTGAAACCCATACAAACACAGATGTGAAACCCCGCAAGAGCTAGTTCTATCGTACCGCTACATTACTGTAACAAGTTGTAAAAGGTTAGGTTTAATAATTGAAAATATGAGGTGCTAAGGGGGCAAATACATACGTTCGAATAACAATACTTTGACAATCTCTGTTGCTGAACCGCCCTCATCGAGTCACAAGCTCTACTACAGGGAAACAGTTACGTCCCCTGTCCCCTCCCCACCATCCCCCCAACAAACACATCTCAATGTAAGAATTAACTTTCTACCTCCTTTTCTATTCACACATCATCTACCTCCTTAAGTATGCTAGCTCTATTTCCCAATTATAAAACCACCTCTGCCCACCTTAGATTTTCTCTCATCCACCTTCCTATCCTTTTCCCTCGTCCATTCCCCTGCTTTCAATTGCCTTGGTTAAGCTATCAGATCTTTAATAGTCTCGATCTACACCCTTCGAAGGTCTCTCCACGATGGGTTGCTGGAAAGAACTGCCAGCCGAGATTCGCTCATTGATCCTTGGTCATGTAGCAAATGATCACAGTTACAAATCCGGACGTTTCGCCCGCGCTGGCTACGCCAGCGTCTGTCGGGAGTGGCAACCAGTCTTTGAATACAGGAACTTTCGGCGACTTGTTCTTGACCAAGATCGCATATCTGGCCTTCAACAATACGTGGGTACTAGACACAGACGAAATTACCTTCGATGCCTGGTTCTTCGCGTAAGGCTCGATGAATACGACTGTACAGTCTGCCGGTCACAAGAGGATAATAAAACAACCAAGAGGTAAGTAAGCCGCTGCTCGGTTGTTGATTAGTTTGTCACTATGCATTTTATCTGCTGGCACAGTGCTCCAATCGCTAACGATAACAGGAATGATGATGTAGTCACCAGGGCTATCTGGGATTTATTAATCATCCTGTCCGATTGGACCAAATCTACACCTGGCTGCTGCAAACTGGGGCTCTCGTTAGAGCTTGGTGCATACTCCCCAAGCGACTCTCAGCATACGTTCAGGGACTTTCGCCTCGAGCCTGACTATCCATACCAAGAACTCAACGATCTGGACGTGGAAGGGGAGGCGTATAAGCTGCGGGCTAATAGAGCCCAATTTGACGCCTTGAATGATCCACATCATTCGTGGGTAAACGGCCGCCGGGGTGATATAAAGCTTGAATCAAAGCAGAGAATCATGGGGACATTAATAACGATCGATCGTTGCCCTCCCGAATACTCAAGGTTCCCCCGACCGTTTCCTAAGGTTGAGATCATAACAAGCCTAGTTATGCATCGACATTTTTATCGGAAAATTTCTGCCAGTTCCCTGAGTAAACTACTTCGTCAGGCGTTCACGTGCCTTAAGTGGTTCCGTCATGAAATGTGGCACGATGTTGTTCCTAGGCAGCAGTCACGCTTCGAAAAACGTACGTCAAAATCACATTTCTTGCCAGATATATATAATTATGAGGTGAATGCAGACTATTGGGACTCGTTTAGCTGATATTTTGATCCCAGAATACATGCGGTTGATATCTCAGGACCTGCCAAGTACTCTCCGGAACCTATGTATATTCGAGGATTTTAATAAACTCCTCCACCCGAAAGGATCCGCCACGCATTCGAATCGATCTTTAGGCATAGCTCTCTCCAAGTCCAGTCGTTTCCTCGAGAATCTATCTGCTGCTTTCCTCATAGATGCGCAGGACTTTTTTGCAGCTTTCTGGCCAACGAAGCAACAAGATTCAGCTACGATCCCCTGGAGCAATCTCCGAACTCTGGCTTTGACGTCACATTTGTTATATCCGCGGGTAGCGCGTGTGATGATCAACAAGTTGTTAATCGCTGCAGGCCGGGCAGCCGCTTTCATGCCTAACCTCGAGGTTATGGAGATATGGAATGGCGGCGAAGGACATGCTTGTGTCTTTCAATACAGTTACAACTCTGGAAAGCCCCGTATTACCTGGTCAAGCAGTTGGGGCGCTAACATGGAGTTGGATGATGACGTGCTCTGCTGTTGGTCGGCATTGCCAAAGCATAAGCAACCCTGGTCTGATGGTCTCGTTGCTACCGTTGCTCAGCTCCCAAAAGGGCGTAAGCAAATAAAGACTCATGCCACAATAATTCCCTACTTGGAAACGCGAAAAGGCGTCTTGAGCACTTTTTCGGATTATCAGCTGTTCTGGGAGCAATATTATGGACTTAAAAGGCTAGATATATAAAGGTTGCGGAGTTGCTCTTCGAAGGGCAAACATCCTTCTCTGCTATAGCGGCTCAAGTAGCTAGAAATTGAGATACGAGTCTTTAAAATATAATGATGTGTCCGTAATTTTTGTCTTTTGATTAGATGCCCCGACAGCAATGGCGACTGTAACTTGTTGGGACGGAAACTAGTGTAGGTCTGATTTTGTGTTAATATTGCTTAAGTGATCCCATATATGCTGGGAACGCCAACGAATCCTCTGGGCCCCTCGTTCAGAGGTTGTGATCTCCTATATTTGGCCCCGTTTGTGACAGGTTGTAACTTTGAACCGTTCTTGCAAAACAGCCATCGTTTAAGCAGCGGTTCGGCGCGTAGAAGATGTTGTGCAATGGAATAGAGATAGAGATAAATATGTAGTACTCGATTGGTGGCAGCCCATCGGGATATCAAATTCATTTAATCTGCTTTTAGATAACTCGCGGCGATTTTGTACGGGTTTTAAGCACCATCCCATAATGTCACTCCTAGGGTTGAGTCCGTACATCACTTCCCCCTCTCTTACAATCAGACGAGCATGCCAGTTCCAGCCATCGGCTCTTAACCTGATAACTTAGTTCAGCATACGGACGGGTGCCTAATGCAAACCTGAGCCACGCTGCTTCGGCCCTAGATTTCACCCCTAACTAAACACCGACGCACGGTACAGAACAAAAAGCCAACATAAATCTCTTTTTATGCCGGCAAGACTGAGGTTTGTGTCTCGGCGTAGACTTTTCCTATATAGCGCATAGCAAGGCTTACCGGCAGGCTTGACGGAACCTTATCAACAGGGCCGTTACAGAGATCTAGTCGTACCTAAGGCACTAAGCTTTCTCCTTTAACGGCAGTTTCGAGTCCCTAGCAAGCAACAAGCTAGAACAACAACCTTGTAGACTGATCATGAGCCCATCGCCTTCCGCCGCGCTCGAAAGAATGCCTCTAGCCAAATATAACTAACACTTCGAATACACATAGGTAGGTAATCACCACCTTTGTGTATCTCGGTCTGTGCTAGTTGGCTCATAGCCTATACGTAAAGCTCGCTGCTTAAGCCGGCAGTAGCGGGGAGGGGGGGGGGAGGCAAATAGAGACGAGGAGGGAGTGGAGATGGAGGAGGTCGAGGAGGGGGGGGGTAATAGGGCGAGCGATCGTTATCTTCTCTCGCATGATGAGGAGTTTTGTAGGTATGTCACCCTGCCTGGCTGGTGATGACATACCTACATATGTACGAGGCTAATAGTGATAATAGTTTCACAGTAGACTTGGCCGCTGGTGAGAAAAGCCAACTATTCCTAAACCCCTACTACACGCGTCCTCTACATAAACTTGGGTTGCTTGTTGGTTTGACAAATGGATCCGCTGCCGTACCTACGTATTCCTCCCATATGTATATATGTATATACCAAGTATATATCGCTATATCGGGTTGGGTCCTCGGTTGGGCGTTGTTCGGTTCCGACCTACCAATTGTAGGAGACTGGGAAATGTGGCCCAGGCAGCGTGCACCGCCACTCTCCCTGGCTGTCGGTACCTGCGCAAGGCACCTCCTAACCTACAGGCAATGTACCTAGGTACCTACTTATGTACCGGTAAGTAACCGCAGGTACATAGGTTAGGTACCTACCTGATAAGCCCAAGCCGACACCGAACCATGGTAGGCAGGTGGGCACTAGCCGACGCGCTCGAGCGCCTGCCTACATCTACCTGTATGAAAAAAAAGGACAGGCTCAGGGCCAACACGCGATCGCGGCATCACCGGTTACCTGCGCTGAGCATCTTCCGTCACCTCTCCAGCAACCCCCGCCACTCTGCCCGAACTGGCCGCCATGATGGATATTGATGAGGAGGACGTCCTGCGCAATGTCGCCGCTGGAGCCCCGGTCGACTTGTAAGAATTGACAATGGCACCGCGTCTCTGTTTCCCCCGACGTCGCTAACCCGCCGGATAGTTCGTTATGGCCGGCTCTGCTGCCGCGAATCGTCTCGCGAATCGAAAAGGTACGTGAGAGAAAGGCAGCCGTACTTCCCGCGGAGGATTGAGTGGATTCTTGCTTACGCCCGGTTTCGTCAATTAGATTGCACACCATGAATTCCCTATCCCGAGACTACGGCCCCCGCCAACCGCCACTCTTCCTCCCTCGATGCCGCTCCCGACCCGGACCGACTCCGAGGTGGCAGAGACCTTCCTGTCTCCGCTGCCGTCGTCGCCTACCGAACCGTCGAGCGGGGTGTCGTCCCAAGAAAACAAAGAGAACGCGCCCTCGGCGCCGCGGCAGAATCCGCAGCCACCTACTCCGTCGCCTGGTGTCAACACTCTGCCGCCGGGCGCCCTACCGCCACAGATCGTCTCCATGCTGGACGAAATCACGTCTACTTTGACATCGCTATTTTCCAGATACCCTCCCCACACATTGCAGCGCCTTTCCGAGCTTGTTCTAGCCCCCAAGCAGCATTACCGCACGCTGCCCACCTACCTCCACGCCCTTGATCGAGTCGTCCATGTCACCTCCGGCTTGAACGTATATCCGTTACCGCCCGCCGTGCCTGACATCAAGAGCGGTTCGCTGCTCTCTAATGGAGTCAACGACCCCTTGACTACGCCGCCCCCCTGGGCCACCCCTGGAAGCGACGAGGCGCTAGGCGGAGCCCTCCTGACACCCATACCCTGGCTGCAGCAGAGCCATCACGGCATCGGCCGCCATTCCCACTCGCCGCTGGGAACGCCGCCCGAGCGCAGGAGCACTAGCATCGGCCCCAACAACGTCGCCGTTGGCGGCATGGTCAGCGACCTGGAGGGCGAAGTGCGCACCGAGAGCACCGAGACTATAGATGGACCAAACGGCGTGGGTAGTATCGAGACCGTTTCCGTATCTGTTAATGGCATCCCGTCTATGGGAGCGCGAGGCATTGGCGTGACGCAGGGAGAGTTGCTGAGACAGGAACAACGGGCCGGCGTCGTGCCCGTTACCCAACTTGTGCCAAACCACCACGTGCACAGCGGGAACCCTCTCATCCAAGCTCATCGGCGCGCGGCCGCGTTGCCCGATTCAGGCTCCGCGGCGGCAGAAGAAGGGCAGAGGTCTCAATCTCCTAACCTCACTATGGAACGTCGTGGCAGCAGCGCTGCAGCTTCTACCGGCGATTCTACTACCACTGCCGGAACCGAAGACGCGGGCCCGAGCCCAAACACCGGCGTGCTGGCTTCTATGGTGGGCTCCGAGGACGAGAAGCCACACGCGCGCGGACCGGAAGAGATCGGCCCCGAGGATATGGGGCCGCAGAGCGCGAGCACGGGTAGCGGCGGCGCGGGAGGAGGCAACGGCTTCGAGATGCAAGGGATTGACCTCGAGGCGGCCGTGGGGCGCAAAGCGGTAAGTTCCGCGAACGGAGCCGAGGCTGCCGCCAACCCTACTCTGGCTCCCAGCATTACTACTACTACTACTACTACGAATACGAAACCCGAGGAAGGGGCTGCCGACGAAGCGGGCGACGACGCGGAGATGGACGTCGATAAGGACGGCGTCAAGCAGCGACAGTCGACGCCGAAGCGCGAGGCAGAGGACGAGCTGGAAGACGGCGCGAGCGCGAAGAAGATAAAGGAGGAGGGGCGAGAGGGAGAGGAGCAGGGGGGACCTGTGGACCAGAAACGAGATCCGGATCCAGGAGCGATGGACACGTCCGAGGATCGACAGCCGGCCGAGCAAGCAGTGGAGGCTGCCGCCGAGGAAGCGAAAGGGGCCGAGGCACAACAGGAAGTGGAAAGGGAGGGAGACGCGGCCTGCGTCTGAGCTCGAAGCTAGAAGTTCTCAGCAAGCCTACCTACGGCGGAAGCGAGTGCGTGCGGGCGCGCGTGCGGGCGGAGAAGGTAGGGGGGCGGTGGGAAGAGGAAGAGGCAGGCGGAGGCAAGAGGAGTTCACATATGGCTTAGGGAGGAGAACAACGACGAGACGAGCTAACCGTGGCTTCTTTTTTTGAGTTTTTTTACTATCTCCTCCACGGCGGAGCGGGGAAGGGTGTCCGAGACGTCAGGCCGCAAGCCGCGCGCTCCTCTCCTACCTTTTCCCGAGCGGGGGGGTTGTTTCTGGCGGCCCCTCGTCGCAGAGAGCATGGTTAACTCGAGGTGCTGTGCCAACACGGGCTGAACGTCTCACGAGCGGCTAGATGGGAAACGGGGGAGGGGCGCGGGGGGGGAAGGAAAAGCGAATAAGTATCCCAGAGAGCATGTGGGTAGAGCGCGCATCGCGTCCGCGGGCTCCCCCACCCCACCCCGGCGCTTAGCCGGGCGGCGGGGCGGTGCGCAGGCCGTCGGAATAGATACGACTATCATTACCGCTGCCGCTGAATGTCCCGCCCGAGACGTGCGCGCCAGTCAACAAGACCTACCTGGATCGTGGACGGGGAAGGGAAGGGATGCCGACAGGAAGAGCAAGTGGGCGCGGGCGCGGGGGCGGCTGGACGTAAGCGAGAGGGAGCACGCAAGTGGTGAGGTGCGGCCGTCCCGCGTTGTCTTCTCTCCCCTTCTCTCCCTCTTTCTTCCTCGTCGGAGAAAGCCTTCGCCCTACGCCATCCGTTGCCGGAATGGCTGCCCGTTTACGCCCCCCCCCCCAAGTCTACCTACGCAAGCCTCCACGTGGTTTCGGTTGTAGCTGCCGGCATCGTTACAAGTCCTAGCCGGTGCAACTCGGAAAAACGGCTCTAGGGCGCTGTCTAAGCAGGGGCAGGGTTGGTTCTCGACAGTACACGACGACGACTCGGTGTAGTCTTGTAGCACCCCAGAAACTCGTTCGTTCCTCGCGCCAGCAGACAGCCTCGCGCTCGGGGATAGGGGGGGCAGGGGATGATAAGCTGCCGGATCGCGGCATTATACGGTTCGCGTAAAGTTGTACGCGGCCTCGCGGGCTGTGAGGGGGGGAGGGGGAAGAGGAGGGGGGGGGAGGTAAGACGATTCCAACGCGGTGGGCGGGCGGTGTCTGCGAATAGCACCACCACCACCATACCCTACGTACCGAGACAGAGGATCCGTAGCGCGCCGCGTGGTTTATTGGCGCATTCGGAGAAATCGCTCGCTCGGCTGCTGATGCTTCTGTGCGCAGCATATTCGTCTTACTACATCGGCCCCCCCCTCCTCCTCCTCCCCCTCCTCTCCCTCCTCATCCACTTCTCCCCATCACCTTGACGCGCTCAGCCGGTCGTGCCGATACGCACAAATCAAATGCTCGCAAAGCCCTCGTCCGCCTATACGAGTCCCCAGGATGCGATCCCGAGCGTCAAAGCCTCTTCCCTGCCCATTTCTCAGCGCGTTCCGTGCGCATACGAAGGAACCGTCTTCGCGAGAGGCAAATCAGCATCAGCAGCAACGGCGAGCACGCAGTTAGTTCCCTTTACTTTTCAGACAGAAACGGTGCTCCCCCGTCGGCGGTGGGTTCGGAGGAATATGAGTTACGACAAGGGGGGGGGGGACGGTCGCCTCGGTCGAATCGGGTCACCGCCACCTGAGGAACCGAAAAAGGTATGATCCCAGAAAGCCTCGTAGGGTTGTAGGGTTACATCACATTAGTATACACAGGACACATGCTACCCTCCCCTTCTCCCCTCCCTCTCCCCCGGTCTCCCTGTATGCGGGATCAGCAAGTCAAGAAACTACCTATCCACGGCTTGCTTGTGTGTATGTATAGTATGTATGTAGAGATAGACTTAATAATAGAGACTACCAAGTAGCGCTGTCAGGAATCGAACCTATCCTCTATTATCAAACCCACGGAGCTTGTAGGTATGTAGACACCACCACCACACCGCAAAAACACACACACATGGTACATACATAACATCTCCCCTATTCTATTTTCGGCTCTGCACCCTCCCCCCCCTAGGGCATCCCATCCCATCCCATCCCATCCCATCCACCCATACATACGTGCCATGCTTATGCATACATGCGTACGTACGGGCATGGAACGTGTGGTGTCTACCCTATCTGTATGCGTTGAGCCGGCCCCCGGGACGAAGCCAGGGCGTAAAATCGACTTTCGTTCTCCTGCCGGCCCCCCCCCCTTCCCCCTTCCCCTAGCCCAACCACAGCTTAGCCTTGCCCTACCGAGGCGTATCACATATAGTAGGTATGTAAGCACACAACCCCCCTCCCCCCCCCCCTCTCCCCCCGGTCCTGTACCGGCCAAGACCCCACGCGCGCGCGGCATCTTCTGTAGGTATACGGTGTACCGACCCAGAACCAAAGGCCCAGCCCCAAGGACGTGGAGTGGGCGGGTGGACCTACCTACCTACCTACCTACCTACCTACCTACCTACCTACCTACCTACCTACCTCTACCTTGTACGAAGAACATGCTCCTTAACTCATACATCAGGATCCCTACGTACCTCCTCATCCGTACCTCCAGTACCTCTTGTATCTAGGCATATCCGGCATAACGCCGCTCACGAATGTTTGGTTAGCTCAATCTGACTTCTTGTCTCTTCTCCTCACCCTTGGTCGGCTGGGAAATTGTGTCTTGGGAATCATTTGTCATCGCCTTCGGACCCTACCATATAGCAAATACCTAGCGCAACGAGCATAAGACGAGAGCGTCCACTGGAGGAGGCGGGTAGCCAGGGGGGGCCAGAGAGCGAATTGGGCGAGGAAATGCCCTACTACAACATGTTTCTTGCTCGATTAAGCATCATCAGTAAAAGACGTCTCGCTTCTATGTGTCGCATCTACTAGGCCGCGGGCCTACCCTTCAACGCTAGCGGGGGGAGGGAAAAGAAATGTACGTACGCCCTTGAGGCTCGAGTAGGTAGAAATACAAATGCTGTCCCATGAATGCTCAGCTTTTTTTGGTGTTCATCTGGCCGCCGATTTGTTCCCATGACGACCGATCCCTCTTTATTTCCCCGAGACCCCCACGCCAGATGCCCTTTCACCAATCCCGGATTCCTTCAAACATCCGCAGACGCCATACGCCCAAACCCCTTCGATGAACGAATCGTCGGCCGGCTTCTTGGCCAGCTGCGAGCATCGTAGACCAAAAATTAAAAAAAGACCGTGTAAAAAAGACACATCGGAATCGAAGTCGTTCGATGCGCAGCAGACTATTATAAACCCGATATTATGTTGTATGTTTTGCTATGTTGTATCATAGTATGTGAATGTGAATCATCCCGAGGGTTCCATACCTCCCTGTGCCAAATGTGGCGTTTTGTTTTTGTGCACGAACGACATTTCCATTCGCCGAGGGTTGTTTATGTGCGCGTTAGTCGGATTCGGGCCAACCCGCGGGCTGGTAAGAGGGCCGCCATTCGAGGCAATGCAAACCCTTTACGATTCGTTAAAGTCAACAGTTTGATATGGTTGGTCCAGCGGTGACGTCTTGGAATTCTTCTCGTTCACGAAATCCTCCACGCCAGCATTGGTGCTCGATGGGCTATTACTTTCGGGGCTGTTTTGCTCCATGGTGAGGGACGGCGTGTCCGCAGTTGAGTTGACCTCGACGAGCAGATTCGGTGTCGTGGGGCCTGTAGACGTCACGGGCATTCCGTTCATCAAGTTACCTGAGGTCGGTCCTCCCGGAGCTGTCGAGCTAGCGGACATGAGCCGGTCTAGAGCCGTGATCTGCCGTCCGCTGCTGTACTTCTTCAGATTCGCGAAGTGTGGCTTCATCTCCTCGACGAGGGATTCGCGATCTGGTCCCTCGAGATGCTGCATCAATTTCTCTGTCCGTCGGGTTAGTTCCAGGCTTGAGCGTAGAGGGACAGCAACTTCTGTGCTTACGTATGACGTAGTTCCCGAACTGATCCTTCATCATGAGTTGAAGAGGACTAGTTCCGTCGCTGTGCAGAGCAGTGATTTGACTTCTGATGGCTTTTCGGTCCTCCGCAGTGCCAAATTGTATCGACTTCTCCACGACGTTCGAGGCGAACTTGTGTTTCGAGTAGAACAGCAGCTTTTGGAGAACCAGCTGGATCACTCTCTGTCGATCTTCTGGCTCGCCCTGGGCAATGATGTGTTGGGTGACGTAGTTCCCAAACTGGTCTGTGATAAGTCTAGTGGCGCAAGCATGGAGGTCGGTCATTAGTATCTTCTTCTCTGTCTCCGTTCCGTGTTCCAGAATCCGCTGGATGACCCTGCAGCCGAAACTATGGGATGCCAGGGATTCGATTTGGTTTTGGAACGCCTCCATAATGAACGGAATGCAAAGGCGTGGCACCATTTGGATGATCTTCTGAATGACGTGGTTCCCGTTCAGATCTTTTACAATCCGCATGATCTCGGGCTTGAGCTCTTCGACGATCTCAATCTGCTGTTCGACCAGTACGTGCTCGAGCGCCTTCATGTCTGATTAGCAAGCCTGCGGTCCCTCGACTCCTGACGGGGAAACTAAGCAATCGGATATCTCACCTTCTGCACAACGCGGCACGCGTACATCTGGGTCGAAAGCTCTGTAACCTTCCCCTTCATCTGTGCCGCGATTATTTTCTTCTGAACCTGATTACCATGCTCGAAAAATTTCTGTATAACGTAGTTTCCGAAGACATCTTTCATGAGCTGGAGGGCATTCGGCTCTATTTCGCGAAAGACCTGATCCTTTTCGTCACTGTTCGCCGTTTGAAGCTTCTCTTGGATGAACCGAGAACCATGCTGATCACCGCTAAACTCCACGATATAGCTATATATGTCCTAAGATCCGAGTTAGTTATATGCCCTTCTTGTCCCCGGGGAGTTGATACGCACCTTGAGTTCGTAGCGCTTGTTGTTGGTCTTGACATTGCTTCGGAATTCTTCGAGAAGCACGCTACGAACACCTTTCCCGGGGTCTTGATCCCTGCTGGGTCGAAGGGGCACGGGGATACTGGGGACGTAATTCACAGGTAGACCGTACCCCGAGACCTGAACCTGGGAGCGGTAGCTAGGATTCTGCACATATTGTTCGTAGGAGGTCGAGAACGGAGCGATCCCGGTGCCGTAGAACGACTGAGGGAAGAAGCCCGGTTGCTGCTGTAGATATTGGGAACCATGTTGCGTTCGTTCAAAATCCGGGTGCATTCTGAGGTCTCTCGACCCGGGCCGGCTCCACGGATCCGCCCTCGGATTGGGGGTCCCGCTGAAGGCCCTCGGGCTATTGACACCGGGTCGATAAGGGCCGGTGGGCGATACCCTCTCTGCCGCTGCTGCGACCCTTTTCGAGCCGTAAAGCGAGGCGTTCACAGGATCGGCCCAAGATTCCGGCACGTTTTGGTTGAACGCTCTCGAATTGCTCCCTGCTTGTTCGTGTTGCCATGGTTGGGAAACGGGATTAAACTGAAACGGCTGATTCGCGGGGTTGAAATGCCCGTTGGTCGAAAATCCACCACCGGGGTTGTCTGAAGTGTCGTCCAAAGCGAGAACGCGGCTAAAACTATCCTCAAGGTCGTGGCTGGAGGCATCTGGCGCCCCAAACGCGAAAGCGTTCGAACGACCCGGTTCCGGCGCCAGCGTGACCGACGCGCCAGAAATAGACGGTCGTTGAGCTTGCGGTTTAGGGTGGCCCGGAAGTTTGTTGAATGGATAGTGCGAGCTGTCACCATACCGGTGAGCAGGCGCATGCGTCTCGGTATCGGCCTGCCGTGATGCGAGAGTCGACTGTCGACTATGACCAAGACCTAAGAATGTCGGGTCGCCGGAGTTACGCCGGTAGAGCGCGGAAGTGTCGGGGTCCAGAGGCTGGTTCCCGTTTGACCCGTACAAGTTCGAGCTCCCTCTATCGTCGCCAACCGCATCCCCCAAGCCAACCGTGTATTTAAACGGGGCCATCGAGGAGTCCGACGGCCCGGGAGGCATCGTTCTGTTCGAGGAGATGGTCCCATTTGGAGCGCCGGGGGCCCGTAGTTGGAAGATGTTAGGGTTACTTGGGATTTCGGAGAAGGAATTTTGGAATCCATCCCTTGTGCGAGTCGGTGAAGCGCTTCCAGTCGACGAAGGACCCGGATGTGCACTTGCCGGTTGGTTCCATATACCGCCACGGGAAACCCACGGCGCAGCTTGCGAGTGCGCAGATCTTGAAATAGCACTAGATGGAGGCTCATCTGGTTCTACATCACGTGTCAGCTCAACCCGGGGGATTTTCTCTATACACCCGTCGTCGGGAACATCGAACAGACCTCTGGAACCCGCCACATCTCGCCGCGAATTCAGTGAGCCGCTAATGATCGCGTTGTTACCCCAAATACCACCTGGCTGCCAGGTAGGAGGGACAAACGACGACGCAAGAGGCTGCGAGGCCCTGTCACTCGAGGGATTACCCATAGCGAGGTGGTTAGGGAAGTAGTTAGGCCGGGTCTGATTATGGTGAAATGTCAGCATAGACAAAACACAGGAAATAGCAGATGAGGCCACGAGGACCCTATCCAGAGCAACGGCAGAGTCTACTCTCTAGTGGGAGCTGAGTCACAAGACTATATATACTCTCGATCGAGTTTCGGGGGAGAACGATAGGGCGCTGATGAAGAGGGAGAACTCACAGCTGTAGTCATAGCTCCCCCTTGCCCGAGGCGGTGAGTTCGGATCGCTAGCAGAGGGTAAGGACTTGTCGGCAGTGGGACAGAATGAGGCAAGGGCTCTATCTATGTCAGGCTCTCTATTCGGGGTCTGGCGCTTGCGGTCGGGTGTTCGTAATAGGCAGCCAACCTCCGGCTGTCGTCGGCAAGAGCAACGGGGTAGATGCTATTATATATGTATCGAAAATTCTGCCGCAGGTCAGCGATGCGGAACTAGAGCGACAGCGGAAAGAGAAGAGAAAAAAAGCTCATAAGGGACGATGAAGAATAAAGCTCAAATTGCCTGAAGAGTTGGGGGGGGTGACTGTTCAGGGCAAGAGACTCGCAACGACACAAAACCGACAAGGCTGTCAAGCGATAGCCACTGACCCAAGTTTCTGTTTAGCCTCTCCACGATGCGCCTCGCTGGGTCGGCCCGGCTCACGGGGTATTTTGTGCGTATCAGGCAACTCGGGCACCCTTGGTATGCGGGAAAGGTAATGGCGTTTGTACAGGGCGACCGCCGTCATCCGTTGGAAAGATAGGCAACTCTGAGGAGAGGAGGAGGCAGAAGATCGAGAATGGGATCTGAAGCGGTCGGAGGAAATGAAGAACGGTCCAGTCCGTAGGCTGGCTGGCTAGCAGTTCAAAGGACCGATGTATGTTATGTAGGTATGTATGTCTATCCGCTGTGTCCCGTCTGTGTATGTACGTATATGTATGTATGTTATGTATGTACGGGCGGAAGGTTGTGTGCGTAAGCGTGGATTGGCTCGAGATGGTGGGAGACGGTTTTGGCGTCAAGCGCAGAGTGGAATCGGTCAAATGTATGGAGGCAGGCCGTAGGGCAACGTATTGAAAGTTGGCAGAACAGGTACCGAATGCTAGGGTTGCAGTTCTCGACAAGGGCCCTCGGTGTTAGAGGTGCAAAGGAGGTACGGTACGTGTTCAAGGGTAGTTGGGTACCCTGCGAGGGCTGGCCTCGACTAGGTATCGACGAGTATGTTCCGTTCGTGCGTGTACCAAAGATCATCAACGACCCTAAGGGAGAAAGAGACAAAAGGAGGGAAGCCCGGGAGGGAGGGAGAGAGACAGGGCCTTATTTGAATGGGCCCCACGGTGGGAAGCAAAGCTCTCTATCTATCTCTCCGATTTGGGCCAGTGAAGGTGAGAGGGTGGTTTTGCGTGAGTCGACAGGCGGATGTGGTGCTGGGTGGCCCCGTGTGGCACAGATTGGTCGGATCAGGAAATCAGCGTCAGAGAGGCCTACCGTCACTCTTTTTCTTTTTTTTTAATGTGTAAAACTCGAAAATAGGTGACCGTCAGACGTCAGACTAGCTCTGGGCTTGGGTCTGGTTGGGTTAGGTATTGGGGGGGGAGGGTCAGGTCGTCTCTCCAGTCCGGCCCAGTTCTCTCTGAGCTAGGAGGAAGAAGGGACAGGGGTTGCCGGTATCGCCCAAGCCCAAAAGAGAAACCAATCCCCTGGACAGCGAACCAGGCCGAGTTAGCGAGTCCAGGCAGTGATTGGGATCAATCGAGGACGTCGTCAAGAAAGAAAGAAAAAGAGGAAGAAGAGGGCATGTACTAAACTGACTGACTTGCGAGCTGTGGGCAGCAAAGAGGCAGGGGGTGTGGGCCCCGAGAAGAAGAGAAGAAGAGAGGATTCACAGCAGCAGTGAGGAGGTTACGGTAAGTGAATGTAGGTATGTGAATCTGGTAGATGGGTAGATCTGGGGGAAGAGTAGAAGAGGGATATGGTCGGGGGGGGTGTGGGAAAAATGCAACCAAGTCAACCGATCCGTGGTGACTGAAGGCAAGGAAAGGAAAGCCAAGGCCTGGCCAGCGAGCGAACTAAAAATGTCCATGTACGTAGGGAAAGTACCTCTCCTCTGGTGGGCTCAGGTACCTGCCTGCCTGCTACATACTGACATTGTGTACATACGCACATACCTTGTACATGCGCACATAGGTAGGTACGTATCCACATGCCCACATATCGAACTATGGTACATGCCTACGTTGATATGTGTCTGCCTTGGGTCTCATAGTTAGGGGACGCGTGGGGAGGCACATACATACCTCAGGTAGGTCCGGTTATACGTCACCAGAAAGAAAGGGAAAAAAAAGGGAGATAAAAACACAACGTAAAATAAAAAATAAGGACAGTAGTTACCTACGCTAGCCAGTACGGTGGGTGGGTGGGTACCTTTGGCACGTAGGATGAGCACGTATGGTACGTGCCGACTGCGCAGTACACACAGGTCTAGTTTTCCTCCTCTTTTTTCCTTTTCCTTGCTGCTGCAGTAGGAAGTATGGTACTCGGGCGTCAGTGAATCGAAACTGGGAGGAAGCGATGCAGGCAACGCAACGCAGCGTCAGCCGGCAACAGGGCTGGGTTGTATACCTGTATGTCCGTACCTAGGCACCCGAGGTTATTGGGAGAAGAGAGGTAGGCAGGTACCTGGGTAAGAGGTATGTACCTGGTTAGGTGTTATCAGTTACGGGTCCAAACTGCACACGCACTCTGCACTGCACTGCTCTGCTCGTGCTTCCCTGCACATACGTACGACCCGGGCAGCCTTGACGGTGACTCTCATCTGCAGTGGGTGCTACGGCAATACGTGCGTATGTAGAGGTAGGTACCTGGGATGGTAGATGATGTAGGCGGCATGCAGAGACTTTTTGCCTGGTGGTCCAACTCGGCAGCCCCAGGGAAGACGAGTGGAACGGGTCTGTTTCGCCCGCCTCGATGCGAAAGGGCACCTAAATTGGGCATGCTCGTAGGCGCCCAGCCGTATTCCGCACCTAGTGCGCACGGCAGGCCGAGGCGTATTGTGCAAATACCCGGGCTACCCAAGGCGCACGGTGAGGTGGTGAGGTAGGCAGACACCGAGGCACCAGGGCGAGTGGCGGCCAAGGGAGGTGCCAATGCCCGAGGTAGCAGCCCTCAAGCCTGTTCTGGTGGGCTCATATAGGTTCAGGCTGCGGGCATGTTCCAGACGCGGCACCGAAAGCTAACTGTGAGGCAGATGGGGAGACGGAGAGACGGAGAGAGGCGATGGGAGGCGATGAGGGGTGGGGTGGCGAACGGGACGGACGGGCACGGTTGATGGTCAGTTTAATGGCCAGTTTAATGGCGTAACGCATGCGGGTATTCGGCAGGCAGACGGGTAGAAGAAGGCGTCTTCGGCCTCGATCAGATAGAGATCCCTCCTGGGCGCGACCCAGCGTGATAGGTATCTCCGATTTCTGAAGCATTTAGGTAGTGGGTTTTGGTTCGGTAGTTCACCTCGCAATCCGGCTGCCAGGAGTGGAACTGGGGCGGAAAGGTGGAAATATGTGTGTGTGTATGCATGTACCTGTGTATTTACGCGCACCCTAGTAGTGGCAGACGCCTACCTGGCCTAACCTAAGGTACCTACCTTAGCCTCTCCTCCCTATTATTACCTTCAGAGGGTACCTACAAGGTGTAAGTACGTAGGGTTGGGTGGGAGGTATCTCGAGGTAAGCAGCACCTTCGAGAGAGGTAGAGATCTACCTCCTTGGGTAGGTAGGTTGGAGGTAGGTACCTAAGTAGGTACCTAACCTTGCCCTTCGCTCCCCATGACCCATCTTTCCTGAATTTTCCTCAGCCTCTTTTCTCTTCCAGCCTGACCTTTCTCCTCCTTTGCCCCCCTTCCCTTCCTTTCTCTTCCTATTTTGCAAGGAGGGGGAAATGGAGCCGGGGAATACCTACCTAAGCAAGGTAGGGAGAAGGAAGGGGAAGGGGGAAGAGGCGAGAAAGGGCCCTGGGTTTTCGGTTCCCAGTGATGAGGCGCTGGATGCGGGTGCAGATGCAGATGGGGCGATGGGGCCCGCGCGATGGAACTCCCGTTCCCGCTGGCTTGCCGTCTCCCTAAACTCCTTCGGGGACGCCTCCCAGGCTGGTGTCCGATAGTCGCGCAACACCACCACTTGGCGCTTGTCGTGAGCAGAGTCGCAGTGCTTTGCAACGCGTCCGGTCTTTTATTTCGGCGGAAATAAATATAGCTGTCTCGAAGGCGTACACACATATACCTATATATACGCACCTATATATATCGCTATTTATATATATATGTAGGTCTTTTATTTGCAGGTATGTAGGCATATGATGATAGCCGTCCCCTACATCCGTTTCGCAGTCTGCTTTCGCTCAATCTGGAGCAAAATGCTTCCCCGTCCCAGGCGGCGCAGACGCAGACGGTCAATACGCCCGAACCCATTCCTCTGCAACAAGCGCACCGGGGTCGCAGGCAGTAAGCAACGTTTGGTTGGCGAATATGTCGCTGCAGCCAAGCCCCTGCGTAGACTAGCTACGCTGCTGTCGATGAGACGGTGAACCTCGGGGCCAGAGGCTTCCAAGTTGCCGGGATATTAGCGTTCAACGAGTAACCGCCCGTCTCTGTCGCTCTAGGCCGCATTCGGGGTCAAAAATACCAACACGTATAAGAATAGGAGCTTGGATAGGTACTTCAAACTACGACTGCAACCGTCGTGCGGCAGATCGAGTGGGGGCTGTTGGTGGCGGTGCTGGCCTGCCGGTCGAGAGAGTGGTTATTTCGTCGTCGCGGCAGTATGTACCTATCTCTCCGTTTTAGCAACATGCAGAAAATGTTTATTGCTGTGCCGTCTCGGATATGTACGCGTTTGAGAGGGTACGGATCCAGATACGCAAGGACCAGGAATAAAAGATCTAGGTGTATTCGTTTTTTTTTTGGTTTTTTTTTCTACTTAGGTGGGAATGTAGTAGTCCTTTTACGCCGAGTTTAGATGCTCAAACTGTCTGAGGTGAAGGAAGGAGATAATATATTCTACGCCCACGGAGGATGGGGGCGGCGGAGGAAGCTGAGGATGCTAACTATCCATCCCCCTCCTAGCTGCCGCGGCCAAGATTCACCACTACCATATCTACCACCAAGCAGTGAAGCATGCATGAGAGAAAAAAAAAAGCTTGTTGTACAGGGGCTTGCGCGGACGTACGGGGCAGATCACTCATGTGGCCCCCTCCCCCACCCCCCTACATGTCTTGGAGGCAACCGTCGACTCGCTGTCCACCCAATTAGACTAGTTAGGCGAGCCCGAGAACCTGGGGAAAATGGCATTCTAGTAGGCGAGACATGACAGCGATACTATGTAGTAATATGACATCCCGATCCTCGCAATCCTGATCAACTTCCCCCCCCCCCCCCGTGCCTCCCTCCCATCGATGTCGCGCAGTGGCCCGAGTCCCAAAACTAGCCATATCTGTTTGCGATTTGTTGTCGGAACGTTTGCGCAGATCCTCTTGCTCGCTCCGCCTGCACGCTTAGACGTCCGTCCGTCTGCCCGGCGGGTGTCGTCTTGGGCGGCTTTTCTATTGGAGTCACGGGTACGCAGCTGCTCGGGTCTAATGCCTTGGATTTGGGCCTGGGGTGCTCTCCCGCTCCCAACTTTGCAGCTAAGGGAGGCCGGACGCAGGTCCCGCGTCGGCCCCCAAACACCAGAAGCATGGAATGCCGCGAATCTTCATCGACAATAAGGAGGGGGGCGAAGGTACGTGCCCTGGGGAATGGGAGGCCTGCGCTAGCTTGTGGTCATAACGGTATGTTGCCGTTCCACCCAGAATATCCTCACCCGCCGCCCGTGGCACGTCGCCGTGCCGCTTGTATTATGTAGTTTCGGTATGCTGAACTGGCGTTAACTTCGCTGACATAAATGGTCGCACCGCAGACAGAGCTCGCCTCGACGAGTGAACTCGTTGGCCCGTTATTCTCTCCAATAGACGAGGCCCGCCGGTTCACCTGGTCTGGATTGCTGTCGACGGCAAGAGCCTGATTGCATTTGCCGCTTTACGCTGTCGCCTAGGGTGACGCAGGACATACACTATGCAGCACCAAGGTGTCCATCTCGCCCCTTTCCTTTCCGACGGCCAGGACGAAAGATCCTCCCGCTCTAGAGGAGGGCGGCCTTTCGAGATATCCTCGGTCTGCGGATAGCGAGGATGGCACGTAGGTCCCTGAAACATCCGCCTAGACTATTTGCGATGCGCCGTGCCTTCATCTCTGCCGCCGCTTCGCCCCATTCACCCTCATAGCGGTACATTGCGGGTCGGACGTACGGAGGGGTGAAATGCCGTTTTTAAAAAAAAAAAAAAAAAAAAAAAAACGGGATGCAATTGTTGATTCAAATGTGGCTTCCCGTCCAAAGAGCAGAGGCATGAAATCTCGTACGAGCTCCCTATCAGCAACCCCGGCGCCTTGCTGGTAGCTTTCGACTCCCGCACCTCCGACTCGCGCCTAGGAGTGAAACATGCTGCGCAAGCGCAGACTATACAGGTCCTTCTCCACGGCTAGCTGCAGGTCTTCAGGCCATAGAGAGGACGCCTCCAGCCGATTTTTGTGAGACATAGGACGCAGGACGGGCCCGTCCAGGGCAGGTTGTTTCCCGAGCTGTGGAAGAACTCGATAAAGTCGAACGGCTAGTAAACCTGATTGCCGGACGAGCATTCCAAGTAGCACAGCAAGGTTCACGACGGTGAGCACAGGTCGACCGACAGCCCGTCGATCAACCAGATTCTTATGCCGATTATTTATCGTGGCCGGGGCAACGATGACTCGATACATGGGGGTATCACCCGGTGCATCGCTAATTGGGATGTTCCTACGATGTCTCAGTTGGCGTAGGCACCGAAGGCGATTGCGGGGAAGGGAGGAAAATGCTGGGAGTCACCGAAGGCGTTATACGGAAGGTCGACTAACGCAGCCTATGAAGGCGATAGGAAGTCTGCATCATACCGGTGAGGCTCTGCACCTAATTGGACTGGCCGCATCTGCGACGATAGCCCTAGGATCCACGCGTCGCCGACGAGGATCTCGTAGGCATCCAACTCTAGCCCTTTTTGGGTCCTGTCCGCTCCTGAGGCGGACACGTGTAATGCGCCCGACCGTATGGTTTTCGATGCCTAAGCATATCTATATCGATACGTGGTGAATCGAGGGTGAGGGTTATGCTATATGCTGAATGACCTCGAGCCATGACCATATTATACTTTTTGGGCGCGATAACGAGGGTGCTCCTATCGGTGCGACAGATGCTTGGGGTGGACATATGGACAGCTCCATGATGGATCGAAACGATCATGGGTAAGTTTTATTCGGCGAACAGACGTCCCGGACCCGTTGGCCGTACCGGGCTTCTCTTGCCCACGACTCCCGGGTCGCTGAGGTCGTGGAAGGCAAGTGAAGAACCAGGAACTTGCAGGTCGGTGGGCCGAGGAGGTCCTAGCCTGCGCTCTTGGCTGATGAGGAAGGGTTGAGACCAGCATACCCTACCTGTAGGCTCCTAGGAGGTTAGGTAGGTAACCTGAGGTACCTCCTATCTTCATGTAGGTACATACAAGGTGGGTTTAGGTACATACGTATGCACTGCATGCCTGCTTTGGCGAAGGTATCTACACGTATACACCTCTCCACATGTAGGTAGGAAGGAAAAGGGGATGCGCCCAGACCCATCAAGCTCGCGCACCAGGCGCCGACCAGCAACTCCTCCGGCCCATCCTATCCAATTACGTTCGTCGAGCACGACTAAAAAGGTTATGCTCACATGTGCGCCAAATTACCTAATGCATGTAGGTACCTACCTCCTAACCTCCTAACTTACTACACACGAGATCACCCATACCTGTTACCTTGGGTACACGTTCAAGGTCACGTCTACACCTTCAGGTGTCCCTCTGAAGATCGAGCGGTTCGTAACCTCAGGCACCTGCCCCGATTCGCAACAGCCGGGTGTGGCTACGACAAATATAGCATCGCTCCACCGCGTTTCCCGCACGGGTGAGAGGAGGAGAGGAGGAGGAGGAGGAGGAGGAGAAGGGGGAAAACAAAACATACCTAGATAGATAGCTACCGAAAAGCTACGCTGCTGGCTCCGCGCGCAGCAACGTCGAGAGGAGAAGTTGACTGCTTTGGGATTGGCCGGCGTCCCGCTTCGGCTTAGCGGCGCGGTTGCGGTTTAATCGCGCCCCGTTTGAAGCAGTTAGCGTCATCGCCCCTGTGATAAGGCCCCCGCTTTTTGCTGCGTCGCCGGCGATCCCATTGGCCGCTGCTGAAATTAAGCAGCGTCTAGCCTGGGATGCCGTCGCCCACCGCAGCAAATGGGAGGACGGTGCCTGTTCGCTAACGCGCGGGCTACCAGGCCGCTGAACAGGCCTCTCTCCAGCGCCTGCCGCCCCCCTGCAAAGGGAGGGATGGTCCCTTGCCTGGCCAATCAGCTTCGACATCCCCTCCTAGCACGGGGGCGTGCCGCTGCCAGTTGATCTCCCTTCGTCCTCCCAGTTCTCCTCCGTCCCCTTCTTTTCTTCCTCTCCTCACGATCTTCATCGTCGTTGCCGTCGCTGTCGCTGTTGCTTTGTCGGTTCAGAGTCCGTTCCTTTTCCTGGGCTTCGTCGCTGCAGACCCTGCTGCCATTCGTTCGTTGCTTGGAATCAACTTGTCACTCCTTTCAGTTGATTCTGTCCCGTCTTTTTCCCCCTCGAGTGCTTCGAACCGTCGCGGATACCTCACTCCCTTACGTAGGTTCGTCCGGTCCCTTCTATGTCTTGAATCCATCTCCCACCACGCCAGACCTGTTTGCAGAGAGCGTCGGGCCAAATATCTGACGTTTGTTTCGACGTAGCTGAGCCATTCGTTGATTCTCTGACTGAACCGACCGAATCCTTGGCGCTCGACGTTAATCTACGACCACATCCCAACACGCCTTACCGGTCGGCCACCGTCGTCAATATGTCTATTTTCAGCGATCTCATCTCCCGGAGTAATTTCGCTCTCTCGAAGCGCGACGTGGCGTTTGGAAGCGACTCGGATACGGTTGTCAATCTCATGATTGCCTTCCTCGGCATCTCCTTCTTCGCCCTCGTACTCGTAGCCTTGCTGGTTATAGTGCGGCGAGCAAGGCGCGACCGGGCGTCGCAAGGGGAGACCCTGCCGCAGTACAACGATATCAAGCACGACGACGGCCGCAACACCCGTCATCTGACCATTCAGACCCCCGACGGCCGATCGAGCATCTTCGTCGTGAACGGCCGCCCCATGCTGGCCGACCCGAATTCCCCGCCCTACTCTCCTAATAACATCCCCGAGATCCACATCACCTTCCCCGACGAGCAGGACGAGAATGGCCGCAACAAAGGCGGCCGCGTCGTGGTCGTGCGAGTCGGCGAGACCTCCGTCGGCCTCGAGCCTGTACGGGACGAGCAGCTTCCCGCCTACTCCAAGGAGGGCGGTACCGGGTTCTACTCTATCGACATGGACCAGATCGGCGGGCTGAAGGAGAAGGACCGCTCCCAGTTCTCGTGAGCGGCGTTCCCATCGGCGTGGTCCCAATCCACTGCTGCCCGCGGAGATCAGAAATACCATCTAATCGCCACTAATCGATTTTGTTAATATGTGACGGGGAGGAGTACGGACGACATATTTACATGCATGAATAATGGAATATCTATACCCGGCAAATGTTTCTACGTCATCTTCTAGCCGCCTCGAGGATGGAGCGAGGAAGTTCAAGGACGGACCGGAATGGAGAGCGAGTCTAGATGGTCCTATATATATGGCTGTTTGAAGCTCCTAGGTACATAAGCCATCCTGTATATAGCGATACCACACTGCTTTTTTTTTCTCCTTCTTTCCTCCCCTTCGCTCAAGGCCACCTGCAAACCATCGAGCCTTCGAGGATGAGGGAAGAGGCAAAGCTCGGTGGTCGCGGTATATATATTCTCAGTTGTATAATTAATTCTACCGCCACGGCCCAGACCAGCAGCCCGTTCTCGCTTGCGGAACCTACCGAGGTACCACATTGTCTCCCGCCTCATAAGACTGCGATATTTCTCTCCCCGGATCTCGCTCGATACCCTTTCGTTTGTACTTTCAGCCAGCACCTATACTACCTAGAAATCAGCCTCAAATCCTATAGCTTCGCCGGTACCCTACCCCGCATTCCCGAGTATGTGTTAGAATTACACTACACATGGCGGAAAACGGTGATCGTAGGAGATGTCTATGCTTGCGACCTCACAAGGCAGGCAGTCAAGCCCTTCAGCTCACCGGTGTCGGACCCTAAGCACGGGACCCGACGGCGAATTCGGAGCTTCCCACCCCAGTAAACCGCGGCTCGCGCGGGACGTACATCTTACCGGTGTCGCGTATCACGGCGCTGGACTGCGTTCTCGGGGGAGGAGAGGGGGGTTCGCAGTATTTCCGCGACGTCATCCGTCTGCCGGCATTGGCCCTCGCAGCGCTTACGAACGCGGGCACAGGACCTACAGACAGACACACGGCCGTCACAGCAGAGGCATCCGCCCACGTGCGGATAGAACGGGCGGCATGTGCGGTAGAAGAGGCCATCCATCTCGGTATGCCTTACTGGGGGGTAGAGCGCCCATCCTCCGCCAGCCAAGTTACGCACGCCGGGCGCAGCGCTTCTCGCAAGCCTATCCGTCTATCTAGGCCGCACAGGTGAGGGGGGGCGTGTGTAGAGGGGGGAGGAGAGGGGGAAGGGGGCAAAAAGGGAGGGGAGGGGGGGGAAAGGATCGAGAGAAAGCGGGAGAGAGGGCCGAAGGAAGACGATCGTCATCGGTGGGAGATGTCCAGTGGTCTCGGCCTGCCCAAGCCCGCGTCGCGCCGCATCGCATGCGCATTTGCGCCGCGGCGTCTTGCGAGAGATCTACAGGGAGGCGTCGTGACATATTACATGTCGGTCTCAGGCCGAGGCGTCGGTGTCGGGTGGGCTCCCCGTCCTCTACCCTCGCTCGTTCGACTGCGCACATGCCCGTGGCTTGCTGAGAAAACCCGCCGATGCCGTGTTTCCCCCTCCTCTCTCCCCTTGGCCGCTCGCCGGCGGATCTGGATCGCACGCACGCACGCACGCACACGTCCTTACACCTGCACAATACACACATACACATAGGTACACGTACGCACTCGTCCAGTCAGCCGCGGTGCGACGCATACATACCTACGTAATCCGCGCCGGGCTCGCATCGCATCGCATCGCAGCGCGTGCCGACATCCAGAGCGCAGGCAGCGAAGGGGGGAGGGAGAGAGGGAGATAGGCAGAAGGGAGGAGGAGTGCGTGGAGAGGGGGGAGGGCATAGACAGACAGATCGCTAGGGGGCAGATCGATAGACGGCGTCGGCTGAGACATACGCGGCTGCATGACTTACACGCCGGCCGGCCGTCTACCTTAGCTTAGGTAGCTACCTACGTCGCGTACCCGACGAGATAGGTAAGCCGGCAGGGTGACATCGTCTCCAAACGGGAGCTCCGTCGCCACGACGGAATCTGTCCGTTTCCTCGTCGAGGGTACAGTCTCCGAGCTCCCACTCGGAACCGAAGCGCCTCGAGTCCTACCCTCCCCACGTCATCTTTTTTTTAATTTTCCTCCTCGCGCACACGCGCCACGTATGCCCTCCTCTTCTGCGGCCTTCTATTTTTCCTCTCGCAGTGCTAGCCTGCTTCAGATAAACAACCCCGTACCCGTCTACAGGATACCTATATAGTACCTCCTGCCCCCGGCCCCCGGCCCCCCCCCCCACCTCTGCTGCTCCTTTGCGCAGCGCCTACTTACTATATGATCGTCCAGCCAGAGGGAGTCGGCCAGCTCGCGGTGTGGCCGCCGTGACGTCCCCCGTTTTTCCAGCGCAGGCCCGTGGCAACGGGAGAGGCACGCGACGGCGCATTTTCTCGCCAGCGGCCGCACGCCTCGTTCGGCTCGCCCGCCGCCTACACAGCGCGTCTTGGTGCGTGCCGCTGGTGGTGCCACCGTGGCGGTTGCTGTCCTCGCGCGAAAGGTCCAACTGGCACGGCCCCGGGGAAACAAGCAAGGCGCCCCCCTCCCCCCCCACGCCCTTTGCCTCGGCTTGGCGCGTCGGATGTCGAAGCGGTGTGGCAGGTTGGCAGTCCAGCCAGAGAGGCCGAGGATGGCAGTTTATGTCGGGCAGCCATACGTAGGCTCTCATACCGCGGCGCGGGTGGCTGCGGGGAGGGGGGAGAGAAAAAAAAAGAAGAAAGGGGAAAAAAAGCAAGGAGTCGCTGCTGCGTCTGGAGCCTAGGCAGGTCGATGATCACACACAGCCGGTGGATGCGGACAATATGGGATCGGCCGTCGAGCCTGGGCTACCTAGTCATTCGCGCCACTATCACGGTCTACGATGCTATCTTTAGGCTCGGCTCCTCTCCGCGCCAACAGCTGGGCACTAAACGGGGCGGTTTCCTAATGCGTTTTTCCCTACTTGTGCCCGCCCGGCAGCCTTACGGGCTCAAAGTCCGCAACCGCGCTCGGTAGCCCGTTTGTCATGAGGCAGATTCTTTGCGGCGAAACCGATAGCGTTTATTAGTATTATGGTACCTGGGGCACAATTTAAATAGCCATGCCGCTAAAATGAAACCGTTAAACTGCTAGTATAATGCCAATAACTGCGGCATGTCTTAGATCGTGTACTCATGCATCCTTCCTAATACCACCCGAACTAATGCGCCTATGTAGACATATAACGTATTCGTCGCTCATCCGTCGATCTTCAGTAGGCGACTTACACGTGTAGTCCGAAGCGTTGCGGAAATTGCCCGCTTCTCGTAGCGGTACGCCGATTCTGGTTTCCATGGCAGGTCTTCCTGCATAGATAGATATATGTCTGTATACGCTCATGCCTACTCCCCCCCGATCGGTGGCGTGGGATGATATCCAAGGAGCGCCGGTGCGCTGTCAGTTTGCGTCGGCCACGAGCCCCTTACGATATGGTTCCTCGCAGTGGAAGTGAGGATCTTGCCAGCCCTTTCTCGTTTTCTAGTCTCGAATCTAGATACTACCTATACCGTTTCTCATAGACTGATTGTTGCTCGTCATGGCCTCCTTAGCTCTTGTATGTGATGATAGCTTATGCAGGTATATGGGCCGACCTAGCAACTACTTCATAACCGCAATAGAGATCAGTGATATCAAGACGCCGTGTGCCTATCTACTACTTAGGTAGAGCTGCCTTATGCTAGCTAAAGATGGATTTATCGAGGTGTTATATCGTTCTAATATTCCTAGCTCTAGAATTTGCCCTAGGTGTACGATGTCATTGCTCATTCACACAAGGGGGAAGCCTGCTGCGCGCGTTAATGTAAACCCAAGAGTAGGCGGGGGTAATCAAGACGCGTATTTTGCCGTGAGGGTTATTAACTAACGCTCTTCAGACGGCGTGATTATGAGAAGTAAGGAGGATACGGCCCCGAGTCAGTGTACGGACGGCTATATCGATATATTGGCCGTCTAGGCCTTAGAGTACGCAATACGGCGATGAAGTGAACGGAGATAAGGGAAATTAAACCCCTCATCGACCATAGCCCGTGGTCCCGTGCACCTACACAGGTTATGAAGCCCGGCCGGTAACCATTCATGTTAGACTCTCGCAACGGTCGACATGATCGATTTGGCCTTAAACTCGAACCGGTTATCGACAGATCCACCATCATGGCTACCGAAGCTGCGAATATAGAAGCCGTTGAGCGATTTACTAAGACAAGACACCGCGACACGTACGAGTACATATCTACTAATAAAGTGGACCTGTACGGGAGGTCGGTCTTCATCGCCGGCGCATCGAAGGGCATAGGGAGAGAAACGGCTCTCAGCTTTGCCGCAGCCGGTTGCTGCAAGATAGGCATCGGAGCTCGATCCGACCTGTCGCACTTGGAGACCGCGATCAAGGAAGCAGCGAAGAAAGCCGGCCGTAGGAACGAGCCCAGGGTCGTCACCGTGGAGCTCGATGTCACCTCGGAAGATAGCGTGAGGGCTGCTTCGGAGATCATTTCGAACGAATTTGAGGGGAGATTGGATGTCTTGGTCAACAACGCCGGGTTCCTAGCCAAGTCGTCGCCGGTGGACGAGTCGGGGACGAACGAGTGGTGGTCGACGTATGAGATCAACGTTAAGGGGACATTCATGTGCAGTAAATACTTCATCCCCTTGCTCCTCAGAGGCGACATCAAAACCAATATTCTCGTCTCCAGCATCGGCGCCATGTGGGTATCGCCCGGTGCTTCGGCCTACCAAACCAGCAAATTAGCGGTTTGCCGGCTCGCGGAATTTATAGCTGCCGAGTACCAAGGCCGCGGGCTCGCCTGCTTCGCTCTACATCCCGGCGGCGTCAAGACCGAGCTATCGATGAACTTGCCCGAGACCATGCATCGGTTTCTGACAGACGAACCCCAGTTGTCAGGAGACAGCATCGTGTGGCTCAGCAAGGAGCGCCGACCGTGGCTGAGCGGGAGATATATCGACGCCAGATGGGATATGGCTGAGCTCGAGGCGTTGAGGGATGATATCACCCAGGGAGACCTGTTGAAGGTTAGATTGACAACGTCGCTCTAGACTTGCGATGGCGTCCGGAGGACAGGACGGTGAAGATGCAAGATGGTTTATCGAGATGATTTTGATGGCGGATTCTTCGGGGAACGTCACCTTCAGCCTTGAATCGGCGTAAGGCAGTCGATCATTTGGACGTTCGATTCGACGGAGGGAGAGGGCAGGGAATAGCTATGGGTGAAGCTGGACTAGGCCTGGGCCCAGGCAATTTCTCATCGACGCGGACGAAGACTGGTGATCGTGCTTATCCAACCGCTCACTCGTTAGATAGATAGACCATAACCAGATTGATACGTAGGTAGCCTTCATGCCATGCTCGTCGCAGCATCTCGCTATAACCCGGGCCCGTAAAGGCATAGGTACGAGTTGCGGAGGAGGTAGCCTAGCTAGGTGTGTACACGTCGGGGATTTGCAGAATAGGCGATTGATCCCCAGCTCAGCCGGGAGGTGAGGGAAGCCCTTCATTTTCCGACTGGAGTCACCTCTGTAGTTGTGGGAGACACTTTAATTGTGGGTAGGTGAGGGACCGGCATGAAGGTGCTTCGGTATAAGGATTAGGCACTTACCGGGTATTAGGTAATGCCAAGTTACATCAGGTACCTTGCTGTCCAACCGCGACCGATCTCCCGTCCTTCAGTCCATCGTTTTTGGACAGGCACGACATCGGTCCATAGGTACCCACACCGTTCCACCACTCTTCTGACGCCTCGTCGTCTAATATCCTGCACTTTTCCTCTTCGCTATAGCTTCAGATACTTGCCCTCTCCTTTCTACGGCCCCCTGTCCCCCCAGAATGACCCCAGTTTAATACCTGCGTACCTCGTTATCGTTTACTTCTTCTTTCACTCCTTCACATCTTTCTCTGGTAGAAGTTGCAGTGGCCAATGGCTGCGTTTGACCGTACGCGACGCGTTGGTTATCCCGGCTCGACTCGAGAACATGCCCTCCCGTAATGCCCAACCGAAGCCGAAGCCTCCGGTGTCAGAGTATAAGGCGATCGCGGCTCAATGGGCCCGCGCCGAGAAATTGAAGAAGCTAGAGACCGAGAAGGCTGCCGCAATCAAAACTTCTCCGGCCAACCAAGCGAAGCGCACCGCTCTCGAAACCCGCCGAAAGGCAGCCTTCGAGGGCCGTTTTCTCTGGACTGTAGGCTTCTGGTCCTGGCTCTTATGTATGCACCTCGTCGGCATACTCCTCTTCACCAGCGGGTTTCTCTTGACCCGATTGGTCTTGAATGACCGATCAGAATGCGACAGCCCACCCATCGAACCGCTGCTGAAATGGCAGGGGAGTGGCACGGTAGGCGGCGGCTGCTGGCACCCCAGGACATTTGACAAGGTCGTCGTTGTCCTGATAGATGCCTTGCGGTACGATTTCACCATCCCGGTCCCGGACGAGGGCCAGGCTGAGGTGTATCATAACGCATTCCCTTTCCTCTACGAGACCGCAATTCAGTCTCCCGAGAACGCCTTCTTACGGCCCTTTATCGCCGACCCCCCCACTGCGACTCTGCAGAGGCTGAAGGGCCTGACGACAGGGACCTTGCCTACTTTCGTTGATATAGGGTCCAGCTTTGCGGGAACAGCTATAGACGAGGACAATTTATTAATGCAATGGAGGGCACAAGGGAAGCGCATCGTTCACCTGGGCGACGATACTTGGACCACCTTGTTTCCCGATTATTTCCAACCGAATATAAGTAGAGCGTACGATAGCTTTAATGTCTGGGATCTGCATACGGTCGATAACGGGGTCTTAGACCACATATTCCCGTTGCTAAAGTCTGAGCATGCGCATCAGTGGGACGTGCTCATTGGACATTTCCTTGGTGTGGACCACGCGGGTCATCGATATGGACCCAATCATCCTGCGATGGCCGCCAAGCTCCGCCAGATGGATTCCTTCATCCGAGACCTCGTCAAGGAGATCGACGATAAGACGCTCTTGGTCGTCATGGGAGATCACGGGATGGATGGCAAGGGCGATCACGGCGGCGAAAGCGACGATGAGGTTGAGGCTGCGCTGTGGATGTACTCGAGTGCCCCTGTTTTTGGCCGCGCGCGGCCTGAGTTCGTGACGCCGCCGGCGACCGCGAAGATCCGTCCGACTAACCAAATTGATCTGGTGCCGACTTTGGCGCTGCTTTTGGGCATTCCGATACCATTCAACAACCTTGGTCGGCCCATCGAGGAAGCGTTTATCGGCCGCAAGGGGGACGCCTGGGATAACCTCGCCGCAGCCTCCAGTGTGACATCCGCGGGGATAAGGAGATACCAAGCGTCGTATTTCAAGGCTCGAGGCATCGAACAAAGCCTAAAACCCGGGTCCCCGGCATCTCTCTGGCATGCCGCCGAAGCCCTCGTCGAGGGAAACGCCAAGTCCAGACCGTGGGAGGCTCTGTATAAGGCCTATACGACCTACCAAGAGGAGACCCTGAGGATCTGCAAGGACCTCTGGGCGAGGTTTGATATCCCAAACATGGTACTAGGCATCGCAGTCATGGCTTTTGGCGTAGTCGTGTTGTTGCTATACGTCTCAAGAGATGAAGACGAGGACTTTGCCGTCCTAGACGATGCCGAGTTAGATTTCGCCGAGGAGAGCCTAGAACTACAGGGTTCGTCGGCGGAGCCTGATGCTGCGTCTTACAAGAGTTTGAGCAAATCTCTCGTCACGTCGGGCTTCCTAGGTGGCATATCGACGGGGGCCCTGAGTTCCGTGCTTGTGGTAGCCACCGGGTCCGATCGGTGGATCCTGGCTGCCGGCACCACGGCCGTCGGGAGCATGGCGACTGTGATCGGCGCTCTGCTCAAGCTGCGGGGAATTCGTATACTGAACCTCGTCCCGAACACCTTTTGGGGGTGGCTATCTGTCGTTTTCACACTGAGCCAATCTATCGGCTTCGCTTCGAATTCGTACACCATCTGGGAGGACTCGATCTCACTGTTTTTCCTATCGACGTTTGGGCTAGTGAGTGCCGTGGCTGCTCTCCAACGACCTATCATCCGTGACCAAACCCTTGGCGTCTACCACTCGGTCTTGTTTGTTGTCCTTGGACGGTTGGCTTCATTTTCGAAGCTCTGTAGAGAAGAACAAATGCCCTACTGTACCTCTACATATTATGCATCTGCCAATTCGTCAACCCCGGCTCCCTGGCAATTGGCTATTCCCTTCGCGGTCTTCCTCGTTATACCGCCTATCATCCATTCCTTCTTGAAGCCCTCGCGCTCATACGAAGGTCTTGCGCCCTTGTGGATCGGCTACGTTTTCCGGATTGTTCTCTTCCTCACGGCCGTCTACTGGACTATCGATACCGCAGACAGCGCCGACTGGCTGACCGCGGTCTCAGAAAAGACCTTGAAGACTATACACGTCTCTATCGCCCAGATAACCCTGGGACTGGCCTTGGTGGCCGGTACTACGGCCTTTGCCTGGGCGCCTCCCTGTACGAGACTTGAGATCTTCCCGGGATCAGCCAAAGGTTCGACAATACGAGCCATCCTCGGTTACGGCAACGCGAACGGCGCCCGTTACCTTCTCCTACCCATCAACATAGCGGGTGCGTGCATCCTGCTCTCCAAGCCGATGGGCGGGGGTGCCATCGCGCTCATGCTGTGGCAGATCCTGTCGCTCGCCGAGATCGTCGACATCAACGAGATCTCGGCCGAGACGGTCGGCCCCGTGACGCTGGCGTTGCTAGGAAACTTCCACTTCTTCAAGACGGGCCACCAGGCGGTGCTGTCGTCGCTCCAGTGGGATAGCGCGTTCATCCCGCTGATGACGATCCGGTACCCGTGGAGCCCCCTCACGGTGGCGCTCAATACGTTCGCGGGCCAGATCCTGGCGTGCGCGGCGGTGCCGCTGCTGGTGCTGTGGAATACGGGGCCGAAGCGCAAGGGGGTGCTCGAGAGCGTGAGCCGGGCGCTCGGCGCGTTCGTCGCGCACTATGCCGTCGAGAGCCTCGCGACGATGGCGTGGGCGGGCCACCTGCGCCGGCACCTCATGCTGTACCGCGTCTTCAGCCCGCGGTACATGATGGCGGCCGCGGTCTTGCTGACGGTCGACCTCGTCGGCATCGTGGTCTCGCTGCTCGGCGTTAGAACAAATGTCCTGGCTGTCAGCGATGCCTTTGGATTCGCGGATTAGGAAAGAGGGGCGAGGAGATTGGCGAGGGGTGAAAGGGGGGTTAGGGAGTCGAGGTAACTCGGGTTGTAGATACGAAGACGGGCGACTTGCGGCTCGTAAGGGGAGCGTAGATGTACAGGAGCGAAATATAGAAATGCACTAGAAAGGCGGCTATTGTGTCTGTAAATAGAGACGAGCTTGTATATCAGAGAGAGGGAGAGAGATGAAGAGAGGAAGACTCAGCCCCTGTATATCCTCCCACGCGTGCTCCCCTACCTATAGACGACAACGCAGAGCAGCGCAGGGTTTGGCGATCTACCTACCTAGTTGGATGGATGGATGGATGGATGGCTAGCTAGCAAACGCGTATCCATTTTTATTCCCCGCCGGACCCGCGGCTTCGGTAGCCCTCCTCTTCTTCCCCCCCCTCCCTCCCCACCACAATCACGGGTGCATGACGCAAAAGACGGATAGCCCCCCGGGTTGGCCCGGCGCACGCGCAGAGCGCGGCCCGGCCCCTCTCCACCCGCCGGGCCTACCTGGACTTATCCGGCTCGGGCGGCACGGAGAGAGGCGAACAGCAGAGTCTGGACATACATGTACCTACCTAGGCTAGGCAGACATTGTCCACCCGCCGGCGGGTGGCGTACGCGCATATGCGGGCGAACCCATTCGATATATACCTACCTATATATACATACACACACATCCTATAGTTAGGCAGGCAAGCAGGCAGGCAGGCAGGCAGGTGAGATAATACCCACGTCGCATTGCATCGCGGCCGCACGGGGCGCCTCGCGCCGGGGTTGCCTACACGAGCAAGCCGTTCTCGTCTTCTCATTTCCTGTATGAGTACGCCGCCGCCCGGGCGCTCGAACTTGTACGTGTTGTGTGACATTACTCATAGTAATGTTCGGCTGCCCGGCGGCGCGGAAGAGGCCCCCCCCCCAGCGACTTCGCCCAGAGCAAGCAAGGCAGGCTGGCCGGACGGGGACGCTACCCGAGGTAGCATGTGCCCCCGAAAAGCAGTAGTGGCCCATCCGCACTCACGCACCGCACTGTGTTGGCTGAGCGTGAGCGCACACGCTTGCAGAGTTAGTCGCGCGGAGTGTGTGGGCGTGGTAGGTAAAGGTAGGTATGGGTATTTATTGTGGGAGTGGGAATGAAAACGTGGTTCCTTTCCGATCCCCAGCCCAGGAAGCGGGCAACCTTGGGTCCTGTCCTGTCGACGGGCACATCTAACTTGAACAACCTCGCTAGCGGCCTTGACTAGAAACTGATGCTTTCTAGGTGGTACTGTTTTTTTTTTTCATCTTATTATTTCATTCGTGTAATTTTATTTTTTTGAGGGGGCCCACCTCTCTTATATTGCCTCTTCTACCTGGCCAGTCTTATACATTAAATAATAAGCGCCTAGATAGGTAGGCTGGGCAGGTTAGCCTCGTCCAACTATATACAATCAGCAAAAGCTCTGCTTTTCATAGAAGCATCACCGTCTCTCCTTTTGGCTTCGGTTGGTAAGCGCTAGTAATCCTCCCACCCACGTGTTGACACGGATGCCCGCGTCCAACCGACGATAATTCGCCGCCCCCTCAACACTTGTCTATTTTGGTCGAGTTCCTGAGGGTCGAAGGATTCCTCTCTGCACTCGACACATGCCCGTGCCGATCCCCCTTTATCCGTGTCTCCTCCTCTATTGACCTCGTGATGGCGGTGACCGCAGCAGCAGCAGCAGCAGCAGTAATGGTGATGAGTAAGTTGGTTGTCAATCTTGAGAGCACGCGTAGGTGGCCAAGATAATCCAATAATGTTTAAGTTCCGCCGTGCGAAGACGACGACGATAGGATCGAATAAAAGAAGAATCCAAGGAATGTTAAGTGGGTATCAGGAATGCGCCGTTCGGTCCTGTAAAGGTTGCCGATCCGTAAAATAAAAGGGACAAAAAAATCATCAACGTCCCATAATTCGAAGCCGTTATCCAAAAACAGACTTTCCACTAAGTCCGTTTCCCATCCCATCCCTCAAGACGCCGTTGAACCCATAATCGCGGGTGTGCCAAAATGCTACCCGCTGGTCGAGGCGACGGGTCAGGTAACCCATCGCGAAATGGTGACAAATAACAATGATAGCATAAGTAGAGACGGAGCCTGCGCTATCACAGCACTGTCGGGTAGCGCCTCGGGAAGCGAGGCACTGACGAAGCCCGGTCCGCATTCCGAATCGATATGCTCGGCCGCTTGCACGTACGTGTTCGCTATGTACTTCCTTCGGTCAGCCGACGCCGATTGATATATCTTCATCGTTTCGCTCGTGCAGTAATCGCACGCAGGAAATGCCCTCGAAGGGAGCGACGAATTAAGGGGTAGGTTGTAGAGGTAGACGTTGGATGCCGTCGTGCGGTTCGTAACAGCATTGACGAAGCAGTATGTCGAACTCTCCGGATCCATCAGACACGTCACACCGTAAATCTCCTCATACGCCTTCATCCCCTTGTAGGCTTGGATGACGAGCGCGTTCTCCTTCCTGAAATCCTCTCCGCAATTCTCGTCGCGTTTGAGCTGTTCAGCAAGGTCGTCGAGGTACGCGGTGCAGGTATTCTTGTCCGCTCTGCACGACGTTTCGAGAACCTGAGTTATCTGGACCAGAGATTTCATAGCCTGGAAGAAAGAATTGGAGCTCTAAAAGGGGAGCAAAGGAAAGCCCGGTTAGTTGCGCGACCTTGCAGAACGACGAAGAACGGATTCATTTGCACTCACCTTTAGGAGCACCGAGAGAGGGTAGCACGATTTGAACGTCGGGTCCTCCAAGATGCTGTTGATAAAATTCGGACAGGATCCACCTCCATTCTCGCCGGAGAAGTTTGCAGCGAGCGCGCCATCGAAAGGGCTGGGGAGAGGACCTGAAGCGACGGTGGGCGTTGGAGTAGGAGTAGGTTCGGCGGTAGCGGCTGAGACGTCTACGGTGAAAGTCTGCGTCTCCGCTTGCCTAGGGACGAGGAGTTGGCGATGTTCGTCTTCGGACATGATCTGCCAGTGGCCGTCGACGAAAATTGGTATCCGCGTATCAAGTAACAACGTTGTCTCAGTCGATCGTGGGGGGGCGTCCAGTGAAATAGCTACGGCTAGGGGCACCCAAGAGGAAATGATCAGGAAGATCACTGCCAGATGTATCCAGAATCTGTTATTAGGTGAAACGCCAGGGTAGTGCGGGCCACAGCCGCGGCGCAGCGGCTGTTGGCGGAAGGAGGATTGTCTGGGAAGCATTATGTCGCTGAAGCATGTGGCCGATCAGCGAAACATTTACACACATCCCATTGCCTAGTGATGTGCGAGAGCCTCCGATCCGTACTGGCTCGGGCGCAGTCGTCGTAGTCCGGCGTCTATTAAGATGGCGATTGCGGGCGTTTCGAACCTGGGGGGATGAGCGCGGGAGCGAGGGAAAAAAAAGGGCAGCCCGGACCCCTCGCCCGTCGTTTTATTATATTCGGCGGACTCGACTTCCTACCCCTGCCTCCCTTGGCCGGCGGATTCTGGAAGGAGACGACCCCCGTTAGTGGGTAGACAAGCTGGGCAGGCCAATATAAACTGGGTTGACGGGTAAATGAGTGCCGTCTTGTGGTCAAGCAGCACAGCACCAATGGGATGGTTGCGCGTACATACAACGGTAATGCTGCAATAGCGTCTAGAGTAGCGTGCGGGGACACTATCGAGACCCAAGGGTCGGTCTACATATATCGTGAGCGACGGCCGACAAGCATCGGCATGACGGGATTGGTAGACGTGTGCATAGAACCCTAAGAAGAGACCCGAGATGGCCAGGTGGAGGCGGAGACAGAAGCGAAAGCAGAGGGGTCACTCTTCACACGATCCCTAACCCTGGTAAGCATACGAAGAAGCGCAGAGCTACTGGCAACTGAGCGACACACTAGCGTCGTACTCGTGAACGACACGGTCTGCGAGAGGCGATAACGAACTTACTACATAGGCAAGACACGCGTTGGCGGCCATCTCCAAGCGTTCCCTTTCCTGGCTTTCCGGCCGGCTAGCGTACCCTTCCTTCGTGAGGCCCAGCTACGGCGCTGGGAAGAAAACGGCTAGTGCAGGCTGGGTTGCTGTCGAATGGGAGAGGGGCAGGCTGGGGATGATATCGCAATCGGGGTCTGGGTGTAATAATAGAGGTTGTTATGCCTCTTGGACTGGTGGTTTTTAGGGGGGGAGAAGGGGGGAGGGGGGTATGTAATCGAGCTGTGCCGCTTGGCCTGCCTGTAACGGACACGGCCACATGCAACCGTAGACGACGGCGGCGGCAGCAGCACAACACCACCACTTCACCACCACCACCACCACCAACACGCTGAGTTGTTTTTCTTCTTCGGCAGCAGAGCGAAAGTAGAGGGCCAGACGACTCGTCACTTTCGCCGTTTCCCTCCGTCTCGGTCGAAGAGGCGAGAGGGCGTCTCTTCCCTGATTCGGCTGGTGCCTCCCACCTACCCATGCGGCGGAAGACACTATCCATGTTGGTCAAGCTGGATTTTCCACGGCTTGAATGAGTAAAGCGTTGGAGAAATCTGTCCAGCCCAGAGCTTTTTTTTCTCCGATTCGATCTCATCCCGACCGGAAGCCTGTCGATTGGGGGACCGTGTTGGGTGAAGGGGATGGGTTAGGACGGGGGTTCGCATGAAGCGAAATTTCCAACCGGTCGCGTTTGGCAAGTCGAGCAATTCTCTCATATTATGCCCGGTGCCTTAGCCTATGAGTATGCCCAGAGGTAGGTGCCTAGGCATGTACCGTGCATGGATGTACGTACTCACTACGGGCAATAATTCATGTCATTCACGATACCTACAGGTACCTCTGCTCATGGGTAGGCAGGTACTAAATGTAGGTCAGGCGCATGCCTCGGTAGGTACAGATGAGTATAGGTCTATGTATAGGAGATAGCATATACGTACCTACCTAGTCATGTTCGCTTCGTGGCTTCGCAACCCCACTCGTAATAGTGGAGGCGCCCCCGACGTCACCCGACGGCCATCCTCAGCAGGTGCTGCTGCCGCGCTGAGGTGAGTGCCGACCGACGATACCGGCCTTAGAGGGCCTTATGCATCGCAAGGCGCCCATGCCAACATTACTGATAGGTATCAGGTACCTAAATTTAGGCACGCAGGTAGGTGCTGACCTGATGTACCAGCCCCAAAGGTAAGCGGCTTGCGTGCTAGCGGGCGGCGTTATCTCTGCGCTATCTCGACTCTATGCATGCGCTAATGCCAGGCACAGCCGTTGCTACCTTGGATAATGCGTGTGCTACTCATCGCGTGGTTTTCTGCACCTACCTGGTCGGCTAGGGACCAGGTATGGCAGGTGGTGGGGAGGGATCGTGGTGCTCCAATCCAACCCCATTACGCATGCCCACACAACCTCGTATGTACCTATCTAAGGTAGGTAGTAGCAAAGTACACGCATAGTGGACATTATGTAGACATTACGTAGGCAGGGAGTGCATAAGTTGAATAGCCCAACTGCATAATTCCCATGTGCATCGAGGCGCCTTTCCGAGACTACGTCCCTTAGGTACTAATCCGCCACCACCTACATACAACATCGTCGCCAGCATCACCAACCGACACCGAACCGAGGGAGCAACCTACGGATGCTGGGCCACTATGAGTAACCTCCTCCCCGGCTCCGGCCCATCCGCCCGGATCAGCGAGCGATCCATCTCGCCCGTGCAAGGTACCATCGGATTGCCCATCACCTACCTCTTGCCTACCGGGACCCGCGCTCCTCTCTCACCCTCCCCCTTGCCTTGCCCTGCTTCGAGCCAAGACAGGCTGGATGGGGATTGAGCTGCAACCTCGTACGGACATGCGTACAACATAGGTACATAAGTAGGTATGAGAATCCACCGCGCCGGGATTCTCTCTTTGCCAATGAGCGCCCCTCAACCGCTCCCCCTTCGGTCTTTTGGCCCTTCTCGCTCGCCCAACCCGCTTATATGATCGCCGTCTTATTAACTTCGATATGCCTACCTCCATACTACACGTATACGAGCTGTATGGAAAGTTTCGAATCCCGGCCGCGATCCCGCTTCAGGTCTGATTGATTTCGTTCGTGCTAATAATAACCGCGTCGGCCACACCCACACCTGGGTACACGTAGGCAATAAAAGCGTCGGGGTGCCGTGTCGCGGACGAACCCTCCTCCCGCTGTTGGGTTGCTGTTGGACGATTAAGGGGGAGACCGTCGAACAAAGAAAAAAAAAAGACACCGAGACCCGACATGCTGGGAAGTCAGGAACGGACTCGGCGTGGTTCAGGTAGGGCCAGGTAATATAACCCACACGACACACATTCTACACGCAGGGGTGAGATGAACTGTGAGTGGCCGCTATGGTGATTGTGAATCTCGACGCCGCATTCCTCTTCACCTGATATCGGGGCGAGTAGCGGCTGGATATTTCACGTTACCAACGAGCTAAAACTTGACCGACAACAGCCATGCGAGGACATTCGCTAGAGAGAGAGCATGCTATATGTAATACTACTACGTATTATAGGTATATTGCATATATATATAGGCCCCGTAGTAGATGTATATGCATCTGCAGGTAAACAGTTAAGAAAACGCCACGGCGCGTAGCCAAGCGGGAACTGGGGCGGATCGATCCCCGATAGCATCCCTCCCTCTCCCTTTTATCCATCACCTCCCCTTTTTTGTTTCCAATGAGCAGATCGGCGAGATCAACCACGGATCGACACCTCGTGGTTGACGATACCCATGTAGGTATGTGCAAACTACACACACATACACACACTTGCTCACCCAGCCCTACGTCGCCGATCAGTCGCGGCCCCGGGGGTGGATGCGGCGAAGCTGTTTTGGTTGGCTGGGCCTGTGTGAGGACCGAGTCGGATGCCGGGCTGCTCCCGTGTCCGCCTACCTACCTGCAGTATTACCTACCTACTGTATACTTGCCCACCCGCCTATCTAACAGTTCTCATCGCATCGATCCCACCGCCCTATCCCATCACCATCACCATCCCGACTATGGCTTCTCCCACGTTCCTCTCGCCTTGCCTGCAGCCGCCGTCACTGCGCGCCCGCGTTCCTATCCTATGGCGACAATGTATCTCGCTTACGCCGCGCCGTAGTCTCCCTCTCCCTCACGTACCTAGGTAAGCTAACGCCCCTTACAAAGGAGACGAGAGAAAAGACGCCCCGCTCCCTTCCCCTGACCCGACGACCTGCGTGACGGGCGCTGCAATTCGGTCGAAACAATCACACATGCGCCTACATACATACATCCATACATACATGGGCGTAGCACGGCATGCGAGTTGGAGGTTCGCCGGGTAGCAGAGGTGCCGGACGGCACGCAAGGGGCGCGCCGTCTCGTCGAGGGGTCACCCGCGGCGACGCAAGGGAAACCAACTCCCCCTGGTGGCGGCAGCCGCGAGACGAAGCAAAATCGCACGTCGCTCGCGCGCAAACTCGCGCTGCGCACCGCATTCAGTACCATCTGGCTCTGGCTCGCTCTCCTCGCTCCCTTCGGCGGGGGGGGGGGGGGGGTTGCACGCCGTGCGTGATGTGCCCGCAGGTTGGGCCACCTGAGACACTGGCTGCGCCGCGGCGGCGTCCGGGAGCCGACGCGAGAAAAAGGGTGGGGGGGGGGGGCAGATTCGGCGCGAGGGCGTGGTAGCGTGCGTGCGCGTGCGCGCGCGGCGGGCGAGGCATTATCTACGAGGGCCACCTGATTGTTGTTCGGGGCGCAGGCGCTCGCTCGCGCGCTCGACCGCGTGTTCGCGCGACCGCCCGCCCGTCCAACGCCGCGGGACAGCGGTTGGGGGCAGGCCTCGCCGGGCTGGAGCGATCTGCCTGCTCGTCGTCGCCGTCGTCCCTACACACCACCATCCTGCCCCGTCGCGGCGGGACGCGAGACGAGGCGGGGGGCGATACGAGAGGAAGACGAAGACCACGGCGACGGTGACGAGGCGGCGGAGACGAGAGAGGAGAAAACAGATGACCGTGTCTCAGCCACCGACGCACGCCTCTCGATCCCCCCCCTTCCATTCGCCTTCGCTCGCTTCTCCCCCGTCCCCACACCACCTCATCTCCCCTCTTCCGTGTTTCCTCATCCGGCACCGCACGACGGATGCCCGTCGCCTTAAGGGAATCGCCCGTCGCGTAGCCGCAGGTCTCGGATGAGACCGGTTTCAGTCCCCTTCCCATCCGCGCGCCCGCGCGCGAGCACCACGTGCTGTGCTGTGCATACGCACACATGACTCTTGCTCCCCGTCATCGCGCTGCCCCCCCCCCCCCCCAAATTCCCGTATCCAGCGCTCAAGTGCTCTCGCCGCACCGGACAACCCTTCCCCCCAAGAAATCCAGAGCTCCGCCGCGCCAGCCGCGCCGAGCCCTGCTCGAAGCCGCCGGCCCTGAAACCAGGCAGCGAGACCGCAACGCACCCAGCGACCGGTTACTGCGAGGGGTGGGGGGGGGGGGCCAGAGGCAAATCGCAGCACCGCTGCATGGCGTCGACGGCTAGGCGGGGCAGGCGGAGCAGGCCTCGGGAGTGCGCCTAGGCAGGCGCGGTTATGCGTGCGGACTTGCGCACGCGCGCAACCTGCCAGAGAGAGGGAGGGGTGGAGGGACGTGCCTACGGAAGTCCGGGCCTGCGAGGCGGAGAAGCGTTGTCGGCGGCGAGGGCTGCTGCCGCGCCAGGCCGACGCCGCGGGCGTGGCGCGGAGATGGGCGCAGGGACTCGCTCGCACGCACGCGACGGATGTCGGGGGCAGAGGCAGGCAGCGAGGAAGAAAGAAGGAAAGGCGCGAGAACAGTTCTACTCCTCGGCTGTGCATGTTCCCCACCCCTACGGCGGCGTGCATTCGTCGAGGGGCACGAAGTCGTCGTCTCGACCTGGCCTCGTCTTTCTCCCCGCATATCCTTTCCTTGATATTCAAGAGCGACGCATCGCGGTATACAGGTGTGATGCGGCGGGCAATGGAACACGGGCGTCGCTCAGCCTGACGCATAATCACACGTAACGTATGCCTATACGCACGAACACACGCACGTATATATGATAGCTAAATTCCTTTGAAGCACCTAGAGTGTTCGAGTGTGGCGTTTCGTCTTCCTCCCCTTTTTTTTTATATACATGAACAGTGCGTGTGCTCCTCTACCCGTCGTCTCCGAGAGTGGAGAGAAGAAAGACATCGCAATCATCCCGTCCGCCCAACTCTCATCTGCTCTCATCTCGTCTCTCATCACATCTGTCTCTCCCCCTGCCTCTCTCTCTCTTCTCTCCCCCCCCCTTTCCTCGTTCTATCCCCGCACCTGCACCTATGCTTAACAGGAGAAATAAGACAAACGCCACTTTTACGAGGTATCGACAACCATATGGGAATCTCTATCAACGACCGACGTCGCCTCTGGTATGCTTCTCCTGTTTTTTCTTTTTCCCATCGAAAGGGGGGTGGGGATGGGGTTCATCCTCGGGAATCTGTTTTGTCCTTCGACCAAGTTGGCCGGATATTAAAAGCAATAAGCATGAATTAGAAAGCGGCTATAGCGTGTATGCGTAGGTAGGGGTGGAGGGGGGGCGCTGTCCCCTCGTTTACACCCGCCTGGATTACGGAATTATATCCTCTCCCTCGAGGCCGAAACTTGGCGCTAGACTCGCGAACGAGGGCCGTTACCGGGTCTTCTCGAGGCTCTGCAGGTTGACCAGCTCGGCGTACCGGCCGTTCTTGCGCATCAGCTCGGTGTGCGTGCCCTCCTCGACGATGCGACCCTGGTCGAACACGTAGATGATGTCGGCCTTCTGGATCGTGCTCAGCCGGTGGGCCACGGCGATCGTCGTCCGGCCCTTCGCCGCCTTGTCCAGGGCCGCCTGCACCACGTGCTCCGACTCCGAGTCCAGCGCGCTGGTTGCCTCGTCGAGGAGCAGGATCTTGGGGTCGCGGATCAGCGCTCGAGCGATGGCGATGCGCTGCTTCTGCCCTCCCGACAGCAGCGCGCCCTTGCTTCCCACCACGGTGTTGAAGCCGTCCGGCAGGGACAGGATGAAATCGTAGATGTTGGCCTCCTTGCAAGCAAATTCGATGGCCTCGTCTGTAACGTCCTCGCGGGGGGATCCGAGAAGGATGTTATCCCTAATCGTGCCTTGGTAGAGGGTCGGTTCCTGGGAGACGAGGGCGATGAATGACCGGTACTGATTCACGTTGAGGGAACTGATCTCCTTGCCGTCGACAAAGACGCCACCGACGAGTGGGTCGTAGAATCGTTCGAGCAGGGCGATCGTGGTACTCTTTCCGCACCCGGACGCGCCGACCAAGGCGACATACTGCCCAGGACGAATCGAGAGGTCGAGGCCACGCAACACGGGTTGCTCCGGCCGAGTAGGGTACCGGAAGTGGACGTTTCGGAATTCGATCGCGCCCTCGATGGCCTCTACCGGGGCGCCGTCGTTGGACCACGTGTCGATGGTTGGTTTTCGGTCAAACAGCGTCTTGAGTTCCCCGGCGGCGTGGTGGGCTTTGCCCATGTCGGAAGCAAAAGAGAAGACGATACCTGCGGATTGTGCGCCGAAAATCACAGACATGAAGCATACGAAGAACTGGAAGAGATCGTATTCGAAGTTGGCGATCAGGGTGCTGCCGTACCAGAAGCCGAGGGCGAAGGCCAAGAAGACGAGAGACTGGGAAGCCGCGTAGAGTGTCGAGGATTTTAGTACGGATATCAGGCTAGCCCTCTGCTGGATATCAAGAGACCGCGTGTACTGCTCCAAGACGTCTGCTTCTCGGGTCAGGGAGGCGACGGTGCGAATTGCCGAGATAGCCTCAGATGCATATGAAGCACTTTGCTCGTACGCTCTCTGGGAGCGTCGTTGGAAGTGCGCAAGCATGTAGAAGCGGAAGAACCCGCAACCGAGCAGGATCGGCACGGTGGCGATGCAGACCAGAGCCAACTTCCAACCGAAGGCCAAAGCGACGGCCATCGCGGATATAAGCGTCGTAATAACCATGAGCAAGGTCCCGAGGGTGACGCCGCTAAGGCCGGCCACATGTGTAGTCTCGGTGGATAAGAACGACGTGAGGGCACCAGCGGAATTCTCGTCCTTGTCGAAGAAGGCTACATCCTGGCGGAGCATACTTCGGAAAGCTCGATCTCTTACGCGATGAACCAGTCGCTCGGAACACTTAGCGAAGGCCACCCCTTGGGCCATATTGGAGATGAGCAGGACGAAGGCTAGCATAAGATACATGGCACTCCAGAAGTCGCTCTCCTTTTTGACCTCCGCGCTGTTCACGGGGGTAATGGGTACGCCTAGGGTCTAAAGCGCAGGTTAACTACCGAGTCTGGTTGAAAATAAAAAAAGGGGGGGGGGGGGGACTGACCAGAATCTGTTTGGCAAAAAACACGGCTTGTGTCGGGTTACCGCCTCCGCAAATGATGGACCAGCACAGACCCCAAACCATCAGCTTCCATTCTTCCTTGTTGAAGGATGCGATCAGTTTGATCAAGGTCCATAGCCCGTACTGCTTCGTTTCCTCCGGCTGGCGAGCCTGCAAAGCCTTACTAGATGCGGATCCCTGGGTCGCCGATCGGTCAAGTTTCTTCTGGATGTTGTTGCTCGGGTCCTCAGTATAGCCGACATCAGCGCCCTGGGATGCCTTGCGGATGAGTTGTTCGTCTTTCTCGTCAATCTCCTCGAGCTCCTCGCCCGTCAGCTCATTTACCTTCGCGATGTTCTGCGCGGTGACGAGTTTTGCGTAGGCGCCATTGCGCTTCAAGAGTTCATCGTGAGTTCCTTGCTCGACAATAGTGCCCAGCGACATGACTACGATGTTGTGGGCGTCCTTGATGGTCGACAGCCGGTGGGCGATGGTGATGGTCGTTCGGCCTTCCGCGGCGGCCTCCAATGCTGCCTGGACAACACCCTCCGACTTGGTATCCAACGCACTTGTAGCTTCGTCGAGCAGTAGAACTGGGTGGGAAGTCAGCAACGCCTATCAGTATTTCTCACCAACTCGCGGCAACTTACTCTTAGGGTCTGAGACAACAGCTCGCGCGATAGCGATGCGCTGCTTCTGGCCGCCGGATAACAGGAACCCACGTTCGCCAACATTTGTCTCGTAGCCTTCGGGTAGGGCGGAGATGAAATCATGGGCGTTGGCCTTCTTGGCCGCCTCGAAGATTAGTTCGCGCTGTTTGTCCTCGCTCTCGTTCTGGAACCTCGTGCCGATAAGGCCGTGTCGGATGTTGTTGTAGATCGTGGTACCGAATAGGGTTGGCTCTTGGCTGACCAGTGCCATCTGCTGTCGCAGCCAGCGGAGGTTCAAGGTGCTGACATCATGTCCATCTAGCAACACTCTGCCAGCGACAGGATCGTAGAATCGCTCGACCAAGCCTACGATGGTGCTCTTCCCGGACCCAGATGTTCCCACCAATGCTGTCGTCTTTCCTGCCGGGATTTCCAGAGTGACATCCTTCATAACGACGACCTCTGGTCGGGAGGGATAGACGTGCTTGACATTCTCGAGGCGGATCGTGCCCACCACCTTGTCGAGTTTCTCGCCGTCGTCGTTCGTGGGATCTAACGGCGATACCCGGTCAATCGTGTTGAAGACCTTGGCAGCCGCGGCGAGCGCGGTTCCGAAGGCCTGAATATTCGGGGCGATATTGCTCAGATTGAATGCGCCGATCATGATGGACATCATAATGATAAGGACGCTCGACAGCGAGACAACACCATCGATGAGATACTTGCTGCCCATCCAGAAACTTAGACCGTAGTCCAAATATATGATCCACATCATGCCAGCGATCATGACGGCGACCGAGGCTGATTTTCTGAAGCCAAAGTACTCGGCCCGGATGAGATGGCTGTCGTATTGCTTAGCTAGGCGGTCCTGCGTCCCAAAGGCGACGGCGTTCCGAATGGAGCTGATAACTTCCTCAGCAACGCTACCGCCCAACGCATACGCCTGGATGTTGTCCTTGGTATACTTGACGACAAAGCGAGAGCCAATGCCCATATTCAGCATCAGGGCAACGATGACGGACACGAGAATTAGGGTGAGTTTCCAGTAGAAGACGAAGCCGATGACAAAGGCGGATATGAACGTAGAGACGGCCGTGAGCGTTAAGCCGACCTTCTCGGAGATGCCGTCCTGGATCAGATTCGTGTCGGCGGTGATCCGAGTGGTGACCTCGCCAGCGCCGAGCTTGTCGAAGAAGCCGATGTTCTGGCGCATGCAGCTCTCCAAGTAGTGCTGTCGCACCTTGGCACTGATGTGCTCGCCGGTGTAGATGAAGCCGACGGTGGCCACATAGACGGTCACGAACTCGCCGATAGCCAGATACACGAAGTACAAGACCAGGCTGGCGATCTCGTCCTGAAAGTCGTCGTACGAGATGGTGCCGAGGAAGTAGCCTTGGAACGTGTTTTGCAGGTTGCCGAAGATGACGGTCATGAGGGGGAGGGCAGCGCCGCCGGCGATGGCGCATAGCCCGCTCACGGCCATGATGATGATGTCGTTCCTCGAGGAGTACCGGTAGAGGGCGGCGACGCCGGCCTTGACCACGGGGGTGGCGACTTGCTTCTTGAGGATCTCGGCTTCGTTGTCGGGCAGATGCGCGAAGGGGTCGTTGTCGGACCCCTTGGGCGCCCTGACGGCCTTGGAGTCGGCCCTTTCCAGCGCGGTGCCCGACTCTGCGGAACTCCTCCCCTTGGTCGCGGCGGGGTCGGCCGCGGTCGAGTCGCCGTGGCTGGATGAGCGGTTGGAGGGTCCGTTGGCGGCCGCGGCCGCGGGCGGCTTTTCCGAAGTGTCACCCGACATCGTTTTGTGGCACCGGCGCGCGCAGGCGAGACTCGGGCTAGAGTCTGGCTGGCCCGGGGTGCGTCTAGAGGAAAAAAGAAAAGAAAAGGGAGACTGGGGAACGGCTCGGAAGGCTGCTGCCTAGGTTTGAGTTCCTGGGTAGGGATGTCGATCAATCTGACGGCGCTTTGTTTGGGTTTGTCTTGTCTAATCTCGACTCCCTCCCAGACGGATTATCCATGCAGGAATAGGTAGATTGGACCAAGGGCGACGACGTGCCACAGCTCCGCTTCCCTGCCAGCCAATGGACATAGGTTGTTGCCCTGAGGACGAGGACGAATTCGAAGGTATTATATCTAGCAGGGCGGCCCGGACTTCTTGCCAGTGTGCGAATGCCGACGGTGGCCCTGACGAAAAGGAGGAGGGATGGCCGCGGGCAGACTCTAGTTGGTGGTCGAGCCGTAGGGGACTTATAGCTGTGCATGCATCCGATACGGGGACCTGGTAAACACGGGGGGAACTGGGGCGATTGGAATTATACATAAAATTGGATGAGCTCGCGGGTCACCAGAATTCCGAGCACAACTTTAGGTGGGTACCTTTACCTGCGCGTCGGTACCCGTTACTCGAGGCAGACCGGTTTAGCGAGGATCTGACGGGACGCCACGCGTGGCTCTAGGTGCTGCATTTCCGAGGACGTCTCTGATTAGCGCATATGTATATATACGTAGTACCTATGTATATGACTATAGGCACCTAACTCAGGTAGGTAGGTAGGTACCTCTAGGTACCTAAGGCATGGGGTAAACGCGGAAGCGGAAGGTACTTAAGTAACCTATTAGGACCCAGTGCGAATGCGAGGTATTCTTGTTGTCTCGGGAGGGGAGGTTATGTGCTTCTACGCAAGGTGCCTAAGGGAGCTAGCTGATGTGGTATAGCACGCCTCCCATCTCTGGAAAACGGCTCCATGTATGCATTCCTGCCGGCCTCTCCAGGTCAGGTGGGTGGGAACCGAGATAGGCCGCCCGCCGGTGGTTGGATGTGGGCGTGTTGTTGATGCATATAAAGACAGCATATATGCCTATATAGGTATGTAGGTAAGTACTTAAGATACCTACTCTCCCAGAGCTTTTTGGGTACCCTGAATACGTGCATATGTGCATGTGTATGTGCGTGCATATGTGCGTACGTATGTGTGTATGCGCGTTTTTGCGCCACTACGAGCCAAGTCGACGGAGGCTGCGAACAGAACAAGTCGGGAATCGCTTGGGAATTCCCAACTCGTCCTGACTCCAACCTCCAATATGCCAGTAATCTCTGGTTTCCGTTCCCCTTTATTTTTTTTATGTCGGCCTGTCTTATTGATAACCCGTTTCCGCCTACGCTAAGCAGCACCCAACCGTTGGCGACGTCCCAATCTGGCTAGACGCGTAAATACACGGGCGCGAATCTATAATACCTATACCTACTTATAAGTCTGTTGTCATAGTACCTATGTGGGCGGTTTTGCGGTGTGGCCGCGCACCGCTTCAACCACCGACATGACTGACATCCATCTTGTCAGACCCGGTATACGTCCTTACATAAGTCTGGAGATGCGCAAAAAGCCATCTGGGCTTCTCCACGGCTGAAACCGGGTTCGCGGACGAGAGGGCGAGACGATAACTCTCTGCCAGGTTCTGACGAAGCTGTAACCGGCCACCGGATGGCACACCCGCTCCACCGGTTTCGCGAGCGTCACCTACCTTCCCGTATCGTACGCGCACAACACATCCGGCTCGGAGGTTTCTTCGAGTTGGGCTGTCCGATCGCGCTGTTTTGGGAATGCCGCCTGTCTCGTCACGTTTGCTATCCACGCTTGTTTGCGTGCGTGAGACGAGATACACCTACCTCCATGCAGGCCAGCCATGCTTACATGCTCGACGCGCAGGCATCTTCGCATGGGACTTCGTCGTTGCGACCTACTACGTGTAGGCATACGGCCCGCGGCGGTGCTGTACAGCTACAGTACCATGCCCTCTTCCGTGTCCGTCCACCTATATCGGTGGGAGAGCCAGAATCGGATTTAGGCGCCCGTACACACGACCGCCCGTCATCTCACCAGCCTACCCTCGATGGGCTACGCAGCCGAATGTGACTCAGAGCGGAAAAGGGTGTAGGGCGGGAGTGTGGGCTGCGTAGCACGTACTCACGCACAGATGCATGTTTTCCGGAACCCAAGCTACTCCACCACGAGGGCACCCCGTCAATGAAGGATTCCTTCGGGTGGGGTCTAGACTACCCGCAGATTGATAAGAAACGAGGCCGACAAAGCTGACGAGGTCGCAGATCTGCCGTCTCGGTCATCGGAGTCTCGGTGCCCAGCCAAGGCCGGTCCTCACATGATAGCCGTATAGCCCGTATTGCTCGCGTTGGCAGGTACCTCGTACCTCAGCCATCCACTTGCATTGGGAGGTGGTATGAGTACATCCCGAGGTTACGCACCTTAGGCGCACTCAGGGTCCGGCATGGCGCACCATCGATTCTTCTAGACGACGACGGTGGCACCTTTCGCTGCGGGCGCCAGAGTCCTACATTACGAAGAGGCCGCTGGAATTATACCCACGTCGGGCACCCTGTCGTCTGTCATCGCATCTGCCCGCCATCGTGCGGTGTTGTTTTCCGGCCTTCCTCTCGTCGGGTAAGAAGGAAGCTTAGTTTACTAGGTACTCACGTAAGCAGGGAGGTAGATGGGCAATCTGAGGAGGCGCCGATATACAATTAGCTAGTACTAGTAGATCCGCGGCGCACCCTCCGCCGTAGGCAAAGAGACAATTACGATACCACTGTCAGAAGCAGAAACGAAAGGCGAGGAACCGCTTATGCGGCCGAGTGACGTGTCGATCAATCCCGGTCAGATGGAAAACACGATATCGATATCGGTCTGTTGTCTATCGCTTTTTCCCAAAGTCGGTAAGGGTAATCATGGTTATGGTGGTTATGGTTATGCATTGGCGAATATCACCACCTGTTTTCCTTTTTCTCTTTCGCTCCCTCCTAGTATGACTCGTCCGGTAAGTACTAGTAGTAATGTTGTAATGTGTAGCGTGGAACACAACAATCGGAACCCCCCTTACAAGATGATTCACACCGTTTGGAGAATATCGATGCCAACCACGCATAGTTGCATAGCACGGGCTGAGGAACCATGATACCTGCATATGTATTGAGTACAGAGGTCATCTGCGACCTCCTGGCCCTACCTACAGGGCCCCCCCTTGTCCAGCTATTACATAGTGCAATCCCGCAGCACGAGGCGGGCGGCACAGCTATCTTGGCTCGCATTGCTGGTATTTCCAACCTTGCCACCTCTCTCTCTCTCTTTTCCGGCTCTGCATTCCGGGGCCTTCCGTCATCGTCATCGCTCGTCACGGGAAGAAACCGACGGCCTCGTCAGCCCGCCAACACCAACCGGCCAGGTGTCCTTTGCTTTCCCCGCCAGCCGCATCGCCACGCCACGAACACCTCGATGGCAGAGAGAACCGAAAGGTTGACAACTTCGACTGTTCCTCTTTCTCGACTGACCTCCCACGCCTCGCAGCAGCCGCGGTCGAACAAACCAACCAACCAACCAACCTGCCCCCCCGCCACCTACGCGAACATACCCAGATTAGCACGCGTGACGCACGAAGAGCCGCCGTCGCTCATATCGACCACTCAAAATATGACCTAGGTTGGTGCCCTGCCACCTCGCCGTGCAAAGAAGTCGACCAGACTATAACGAATACCCGATTCAACACGCCGCTGGCCTCCCTCCTCTCCTAGGCTAGGCACAAATCATCGCTCGAGAGCCCCGGCCGCTGGTGGTATATTCTAGCGACTCGACCCAACACACACGCGCACACACACACACGCACGCACGCACGAACATATACACAATGCATCTCGCCTCGCCCTCGTCTCCCCTCCTCCCGCTCCTGGCCCTCGCATCCCTCCTCGTCCCGGGCGCCGGCGCGCAGCCCAAGGGCAAGCCGAGCTCCAAGGACGCGATCCTGCTGTCGGGCGTGCAGACGCTGACGCTGCGGGGCGGGGGCGCGCGGACGGCGCACCGGCGGGTGGCCGCGGTGCCGCAGCTGCGGTGCGTGTCGTCGCCCGCCGGCGTCTGCGGCCTGCACGCGGTCGACGTGATGCGATGCGACAACCGCGGCGGCGGCTACGGCGGCCCCGAGGACGTCCACTGGTCCTGCGCCGCCGCCCTGCCCCCCGAGCTCCGCCTCGGCCCCACCGACGTCCAGTGCGAGGGCTACCGCGCCCCCGACGACCCCTACGTCCTCCGCGGCAGCTGCGCCGTCCAGTACCGCCTCCTCCTCACCGAGCTCGGCGAGCGCCGCTTCCCCCACCTCGTCCCCGGCGCCCCCGGCCGCCTCGCCCGCTGGTTGGACCGCGCGCCCTCCGTCGCCTTCGGCGTCCTCTTCGCCCTCGTCTGCCTCTGGATCGTCTACAGCGCCTGGTTCGCCGCCGACGGGAACCGCCAAGGCCCTCCCCCCGCGAACCGCAGGCCCAGGAGAACTTGGTGGGGCGGCGGCGGAGGCGGGTTCGACCCGGGCTTCGGTCCAGGAGGTGGCGGCGGCGGCTATTGGGCCGATCCCCCGCCCCCTTACCCGGGCACCGACAAGTCGTGGGGCGCACAGAACCAAGGGTGGCGCCCCGGGTTTTGGTCGGGTCTAGCCAGCGGTGCGGCAGCAGGCTACATGGCGGGTAACCGCGGCGGAAACAATAACCGGCGAGAATCGCGCGGCTACGGCTGGGGGGCGGGGCCGTCAAGCTCCTCCTCCTCCTCCTCTTCCCGGTCGGAGGCACGCTCGACATCCTCAGCGAGATACGAGAGCACGGGCTTCGGTACCACCAGTAGAAGATAGCTCTGGGAAGAGTATCAGCTATACGACCATCATCATGGATAGACATATATATATACCTGTTTTATGACGCACAGCATTCTGCACAATCCCGAATGGCCTCTATAGGTCTATGCTTGCTACCTATCCTAAGCCACGGTTCCTTGCGACACGCGGGCGGCATATATACACCCAAAACGGGAGTCGTAGCGTCTCCTAGGCACGCGCGAATTGCGCTGTCTGCCTGGACTGGTAGCTAGCCTGGCAGCATTCCCGAGACCTTCGAGGGCCCCTTTTGCCATGCCATTCCCAGCTCTCGGTAGGGAACTCGACTCGTCCGTGAATCCATCAGTAGTATGTACATCACTCTTACACCTCGTCCTCATAGTACTTTACACGCGTCAACCATTAGTCTAAATCGAGGTTTCTCTCCCCTTCGTGAGGCGTCTTAGAGATGGACCGTCATGGCGTCTGATTTGTCGAAAGCCTTGCTGCATGCCGGACATTTGCGCATTCGGTTTTGGATTCTATCGTCAACACACCCTCGGCAAAATATGTGCCCGCACGTCCGCAAGACCGTGTTCTTGAAGTCTTTCTTGCAAATCGAACACGTCGCCATGCTCTAGTAACATTGTTAGCGTCAAGAGCATACCTGGGGCGTCCGAGCCATCATTACTCACCCTCAGCATTTCCTCTTCCTCGGAAGAGTTGCTTAGGCACTTAGTCTTCCACTTGTCGCGGTCCTTCGATGCCACCTCAAGTCGTGCCTTGAGCTTCTCTACGTCGACTTCTAGCGTGCTAGCGCGCTCCCGAGCTGCGGCCGTGGTTGAATCTTTGGCCTTCGCTAGGTTCGACAGCTCGGTAACCTGCTGCTTTAGGGCATCTATGCGCCGTATCATCTCGTGACTCGACATCTCGAGTTTCTTGTTCTCTGCCATAACCGAGATGTTCGTTTGCCTCAAATCGGCCAGTTGCTTGTCTAAGTTGGTGACGAGCGTCCGATTATGGGCTTCGACCTCTTTCAGTTGCATGATGATTTCGGAGCTTTTGTTATTCTGGGCTCGTAGCTTCTGAATCGTCTCACCCTTCGAATCGCCGTCCTTGCGCGCGGCGAAGTACTTCTGATCCGCCTTGCTCTTTTCGGCGATGGCCAGGGCTATACGCTCTTCCATGGCAGCTTGATCCATCACTTTCTTGTGGGCCAGAGCTTGAAATTTCTTCACCGCGTTCGTCATGCCGGGCAATTCGCTCTCGATCGAATCGTAGTCCTTGGCCAGCTTCTTGTACTTATCGCGCAGTTCCTCGAAGGATAAACCGTCCACCTCCGGCCGGTGCGTCATATCTACATCCTCGCTAGGCTGTAGTCGCCGGAGTTCGGATTCTAGAGCGGTGATTCTATCTTCGTTGGCGCTCACGAGTTCTTTCATGTGTTCCAAAGCCGCCTTCTCCTGCTCTTTGCTTGCCCGAAGCATCGTGACATCGGCGTGAAGTTCATCTCGCGTAGATCGCACTCGCACAAGCGTGGTATCTGCTTGTTGAAGCTGGTCCTCCAGTTCCGCAATTAGCGCTTGGGCCTCACTCTCAACCTTGCGACGATTAGATTCGCGCTCAGCCTCCAACTTCTCGGCCGTCGCTCGGAGACTTTTGTTATCCGCCTCCAAGCTGTTGATCTTCTTGATAAGCTCCTCCGTCTTACTTTTAAAAAGCTTGAATATTTCTGTGCGGGCGTAATCTTCATCGGTCAGGTTTGTGAATCGGGTCTGCAGCGAAGTGAGTTCTTCCTGTATGCTCTTATTTTGCGTTAATACGGTCTCTAATTGTTGCTTCTGCCGCTCCACGACGGCGTTCGCCTCGCGGAGAGCGAGTTGTAGAGCCTCGTTGTTCGCGTTGCCTTCATCGATCACCATGCCATTCTCCTGATCAGCGCCAGCGACGGGCCGCGAAGCCGTATTGTTTAGGGCTTGCTGCTCAAGCTTCTGGACTTGGGCACTCCTGACCCGGTCCAGTCTTCTCTCAGCTTTCATGTATCGAAGCGTCGCTGTATTGAGCTGGTCCGAGAGGGCGTCTTTGTCCGAGGCTAGGCGGTCGAACTTGACGAGAAAGTCTTTCTGCTGAGCGAGGAGAGCGTTAACTTGTTTCTCTAGGTTGGCGATATCGGGCGCGACCTGGCCGCGGGTGCTATTTAGACGGCCTAGTATTGTCTCGACGATTTTCTTGATAGACGAAGCCTTTTCGCTCAGGTGAGACTCGAGATCCTGCAGATCCTTGAACTGAGTCTGGGTAGGAAATGCCTTGTCTAAGGAGCGCGTTAGCGGATTGCGAGCCGAAGTATCGATGTGGCGGTCTTTACCGTTAGATCCAGATTGAAAAGGAACTACTCCATCCACCATCACGACGATCTCCTGGAGGAACTGTCATTAGGGGTTAGCACGCCGCCGTAATTGCCAACTCAGAGGGCCTCGGGGAGCCAGGCGTACCTGCAACCACCAGTTATCAATTACTCGGATATGGTCATCATGGTGAGTGGATCGCTTCTCAATCTCGTCGAGTCGCGTTTCCAACGTGCCCTTTTCGCGTTTGTACTCGAGCATCTGTCGGTAGATGGCATCCTTCTGATAGTCCTAGCCAATCCACATCTGTCAGCGACTCCAATCCCTTCTGTAGTATCTTGGTTGGCGCGAAGGTACGTGATGACGGGGATAGATGTCGGACCAGGCCGTACAGTCAAGCGTGGGAGGGTAGCAGAGCATGGGGAGGTGGGATGCAACGCTGATGACCGCAGAGGTGCGCATCAGTACTGAAATGGTGAGTAGAATGTCCTGATGACAACCATAAAACAAAGGCTATAGAGGTCTCGTGCTAGGGTGAAGTCGCAGTCGGCTGGCGACGACAGGGCCTGAGGCCTAATGATGCGGCAGGCAGGCCAGAAGTCGGTTTAAGGGAAAGGTGTCGCGATGACGGTGGCACTTACCTCGATCCAAGCCTCGTCCTTCACGTCGGCGTCATCCTTGGATTTCCCACCACCGTTGACAGCCTGACGCTTGCTCGGCGGAGCGATTTCGTCAGCGTTGCTGATAGCGGGACGCTTACGATCCTCCATCTTGACGCGAGTCGATAGCGACGCAGTAGCAGGCGAGGTCGTCAGAGGCATCAGAAGATGGCGCGGCAGGGACTAGACGTGACGGCAAAGCAAACGAGGACACGAGACAGGGACGGACGGGGCAAGCGAATGAATCGGCGAGAGGGAGGCGGAGAGGGTCGAGGCGAGACGAGACGAGGCGGTCACTCGAAATGAAGGAAACGAAGCAGATGCTCGGCCGAGAAATAGGAGGATAGATGGAGAAGAAGATACGCCCTCGCGCCGACGAAGGCAATTTGACATTAAAGGAAGGAGGAAAAAGGGAACGGGAGGGATGGGCTATTGGATGGAGGAAGACGAGGCCGGGCTCCAGGAGATTGTTGAACGAAAAATCGAAGTTGAACGCGGGAAAAGCCACTAACCCGAATTAAGGACGGCCTTGGCTGGTAGTATGTAGGTACCTCCTACTGTGTTTAACAGTGGGTTAGGTACCTAAGTGGTGTCTACCTGGTACCTGATGCAGGTATGCATGCTTAGGTAGGTACCTAGAGATAGGCCTTTACGGTACCTAGGAAGGTACCTAACCTGCCTTATATACGGCAGCAGACCTACCTAACATGGGACGTAGCCTCGTAGCATAGCAACAGCAGCGGGCACCTAATTTTGGTATTGACCGTATACCTCCTTGCCTCCTTAGATAAGTACCTCTCTATGTATATGTGGTTGCCATCCTTTCAGGTCTCGCTCGCGTGGCCCGTGTTGTGATGTACTTACGCGATGGTATGCAATTGACGAATATATGCAGGACCCATGTACGGGATCGAAGAAAGGAAAGGCGCGGTACCGGCCCTATGACAAAGTCGTCAAAGTTTTATCCCACCACCCCCACCTACCATTTTCACTGACCTTACCTATCGTTTTTCCCTACCACTCTCACCTATCATTTTCGCAGCCTCCCTCCCTCTCTGTCCTATGAGTCGCCTGCCAACCAAGATCGTCTCGAGATCTGCTACGTATACCTACCTACGTTTCCGGACCCCAAGGAATATATGTAGCCAAAGAGAGGCGGGAAAAAGAAGCACGCAACATATCCCCCTCTGGCATCAGCAGCCATGAGTTCTATGCTGAAGAAGACCACCGGCCTGTCCTTCAAGCCGAAGCTCGGTGGTCGTCGACCGGGCGCTGCCCCTTCATCACGAGCCTCTCCTGCCTCTCGAGCTCCTACTGCTGAGTCTTCCTCGCAAACGCCGACTCCCGTTCCCCCGACCGAGCCACCCAGCCATGCAGCCGCGATACCCCCCACCGACATACCACAAGAAGCCCCTCAAGAAACACCCGTATCGGCAATAGAACAGACAGCCACTCGCACCCAGGCCGCCCCGACGACAATCCAACACACACCAGCACTCTCACCAGCACCTTCTCGCCCGAGCACCCTAGAGCCTCAACCGGAACCGCCAGCCCCCAGTCCGGGGCCGAGTAGGAATGATGTGCGATCAACGCCGATGCAGTCCGTGGACGAACCCCCTCGACAGCCACCTCCAGTCGAGCGAGCCGCGCAGCCAACGCCGACACCGGAAGCCTCTGTGCTAGCGGAAACACCTGCCACCGAATCAGATCCGTCCGGAGTCGCTACCTCTCCGGTCGCGCCCGCTCCCGTTGCCCCTCTACCTACTCCAGCTACGAATTTACAACGGCCAGGCCGATCTGCCCCCACTGCAAGCATAACAGCGCCACCTACGGCCCCCCTCCCCCCGACTTCTGTTCCCGACACCAATGCCGCTGCCCCGCCGGCTGGCGGGCCGTCCGCCGCAGCCACAAAGAAGAGGGCGCCCCGGAAGCGGAAACTAGCTCCGTCCGACAGCAACGGCGACGCAGCGAGCCCGGCTCCGAAGAAGCGAACCCCCCGCAAGAGAACTACGGCCGAGGGCAGCGGGACGGAGGCGGCAGAAGGCCGGGGCGAGGTTCCGGCCGCGAAGAGGAGCTACAAGTACCGCCGGCGCTCTCCGACGCCGGACGACGCCGAGAACCAGACGGTGGACCACGTGACGACGAAGATGGGCGAGCTGACCAAGGATCTGGGGATCGGGAAGAGGTTCCGGCACGCGGAGGCCATCGAGGAGCGCGCGCGGCAGCGGCGCGCCGCGTACCGGCAGAAGAGGCTAGAGCGGCAGAAGCGGGCGCTGGGGATCCTGCCGCCCGAGGAGGGGGCGGAAGGGGGCGGGGCAACCCCCGCCGACGGAGAAGGCCCCCACGGCGGCCGCGGCGGCGCGGCTGCGGCGGCGGCCACGCTGGGCGCGGAGCAGTCGGTCGACTACGAGGTCGTCGACGGGCAGATCATCATCAACCAGCGGTCGCTCGTGGTGGACCGCCACGCGGCCCGCAACGTGGCGGCGATGGAGACGGTCGAGGAGGACGAGTTCACCCACCTGACCACGTCGGCGTCGTGGATGCGGCCCAGCCGCCGGGTGGCGGCGAACCACTGGTCCGAGGAAGACACGGTACGTAGCGCATTTTTGAGTTGGCCGCAAGTGCAAGGATGTTTGGGGGGGAGGGGGGCAAGGGGATCAGCCAGGAGAAGAAGGGGGTGCAGGGGGGCCCCGGGGACGGGGTCATTTTTCCTTTCTCTTTTTTTTCCTTCTTCCCCGCGTGAATATTCATCCACCCTAAGCAGGCCGTCGCTAACGCGGGGGGGGGGCGACACGCGCAGGAGAAGTTCTTCCGGCTGCTGAGCATGGTGGGGACGGACTTCGAGACGATCGCGGCCATGTTCCCGAACAAGGACCGGCGCGCGGTCAAGCTCAAGTTCAACCGCGAGGAGCTGCTGCGGCCGAAGCGCGTCGACGCCGCCGTCATGGTCCGCGGCGAGCGCCGCCACCCCACCATCGACCTCGAGGAGTACAAGGCCTACCAGCCCCACTGGCAGGAGAGCGACAAGATCCTCGCCGACCACGACCGCCTCCGCCGCGAGCACGACGAGGACATCCGCCGCCTCCGCGCCGAGCGCCGCGCCGCCGGCCTGCTCGACGACAAGGACGACGGCAAAGACGACGACGACGACGACAACCACGACGACAAAGCCCGTGCCGGCGACAAGGCCGGTGACGGCAAAAGTGCCGTAGCTGGCGCCGGAGATGGAAACGGAGAGGCCCAGGACGAGGGCGGGCGCAGGATCGAGGGCGAAGCTATCGCGGCCTAAGCGACGCATCAACGATTGCCCCGTTTTCCTTCGGCATTTCTTCTTCATTTGATACCCAAGTCCTTTTCTTTCCTACTCGCATAGGTCTAAGGCGAGGGGGGTTGGTTGGTTAATTGGGTATAGTTGGCCACTTGGCTCACCGGTTTGTTAGTGTATATGAAGTCTACATTGCTAGGCAGAGTGGCTCCAAGGCCACAAGAGTAAGAGAGTTCAACCGTTAATGGGGGTTTTTGGAGGGCAAGCCCCATGTAGCATTAGTGATACGTCCACGTACTTATGGAACCACATGCCATGATAGCGGTTTGTCGTACAACTCGTCCGCCCCTCCGACAATATTTACTCTGGCTAGCTAGCCCCTGATGTCCGTCTTACCATATCACGAAGATACGTATAGCGCCACGGCGGACTACACATGGACAACCGGTTTCGCGAAAATCATCGTAAAATTCAGAGCAGTGCTACAGACTAGGTTCATCCCATGTCATCACCCTCCCATATCACCCACGGAAAAAGGGAAACCGTGAGTCAGACACCTACTCCGATGTCTGGTATGATCCAGTGACTAGGCCGAGAGAAATTTTTGTATGCCCTTGCCTTGTAGCAGGTTCGCGAACGGATTCCACTAGCCAAATAACGTGTCCCATGTAGAGTCAAAAGCCATCAATAAAAGGGTGGAGGGAGTGATGTTAGCGCGAGGAGAAGGCGCCATATCGGATATCATGAGGAAGGAGGCTTTGTTCGGTTCGCAAAGGCACAATGATGCTGATATCATGTTGGTGCCATGGAATCAGTTTTGGGGGGGATCCTCATCATCCGGCTGATCGAACAAGAAGTTGGCGGCTAGCTCCTCGTTCTTATCACAAGCGAAATAGGCCTGGATCGCGGCGTCTCGGTCGAAGCCCAGTCGGCATAACTAAAATCGGTCAGTTTCATCCTACGGCGCGAGGTGCCTAGAGTAGAGGGAGCACATACTCGTTCGATCGCGTCGCGTTCTTCCTCGGTGACACTGATAGTCTGGGCGCCTGGAGGCAACGGAGCGTCGTCATCACCGGTCTCGCCCAGCAGATTCAGGAACTGCTCAGGGTTCTGGGAGATCAGCTGCGCCAGTTGAGGGTTACCAGCGCCAAGCTGCTGCAGAATCGGCTCGAGCATCTGAGGTTGCTGTTGTACAACCTGTCGAAGCTGCTGAAATTGGGCGTTGTTGCGCAACCAATCCAGGTTACCCAAATTCTGGCCACCGGCGGCGGCAGCGGCGGCAGCAGCAGCAGCAGCCTGTCCGCTACCACCGGCTGCCCCTCGGCTACCCCCACGGCCTTGCTGGGCAGCTAGGTCGAAAAGGTTGACGTTACCTCCTTCGGATTCGGCCTCCGCCGGGGCCGGCTGGCCGGCCGAAGCACCCGAGGCCGCGCCTGCAGTGGGTTGGGTGGGTGCTGCTTGTCGCTGAGGCTCAGCCTGGCGAGCACTCTCCGGGATCCCCTGCGCAGCGTTGTCAGCGTTAGGTGGCCGACGGTAGGGGCTAGCTGATGATTAGGCTTACGTTTAACAAATACTCGACTGCTCGGTCCGGGTTGTAGTAGGCGGCACGCATGGCAGCCTCGATCTGGGAACGCTCGAATCCCATGGCCTCCATGTTGGCGATGACGCTGGCTCTAGCTTCACCCATGGCCATAGAATTGTCACTGGTACCTTGACTACCGGTCGGGGTCGGGGAAGCAAGACCGGGTGCCGCAGCGCTGGCACTAGACGAGTGAGAGGGCGCAGCCGGTGGAGCGGGGGTCGCCGCAGTCGGTCGAACGGGCGTCTCAGGGACGGCAGTGAACGAGGAGCCCAGAGCAGCGGCGGCACTAGTAGAACTGCTGGTGGCAGCAGCACCTGCCGCCGCAGTAGAAGCGGCCGCAGGAGCAGGCTTGCTCTTATAGACGCCGTTAGCATGCATGTGGCGTGTGTTGAGGGGCAAAGTTCTAAATGCCACATACCTTGCTCATCATACAGACAACGAACCCCTTCTCCTCGATCTTATACGACGCAATCGTATCCTCATCCTTGAGAATTTTTCCTATCTCGATATTAGCATACTTGGGTCATCACCCAGGCAAAAGACGCATCCTCAGAGGGGCCATGGATGGATGGATCGAAGGGCTAGCGCATACCAGAGAAAATCAGCTTCAGGGCCTTTGCGTCCCAGCCCCGCTCTGCGGCGACTCTCTGTCTCAGGGAGGAAACCTTGTGACCTAGTTAGAACAGTCTATGATGCTACTGCCGCGGTTGGTGGCGCGGCTTAGGCTGGAGAGTCGGTTTGATAGTGAGGGAGGGGGGAAGACGACATACAAGGTCGGTGGGCTCAACATCGAGGGTGAACTTCTGGTTCGAAAGCTCCTACAGATGAGTGGACGGCCAGGTTAGCTTCCATGGATCGGATTGCGTAAGGGAGGCAGAGATAGCAAGCAGGTTAAAGCGCAGTCAAAGCCGTCCGTGACGGGCCTGTTGGCGATGCGTACCTTGAAGGTGACCTTCATCTTGGCGAGGGGGGGCAGCTTCAGGGATAGCTGCTCCGAGATTGAGGGTAGTAGTATGGCTGTGTGATATTTCTGACAAGGGCTCAGTTGACGCGAAGAGTAGGATGGGCCTCACAACTAGTGGTGGGAGAAGAGGAGGTGCAGGCAAAGGGCGAGTAGGTCGGGTTGTGGCCTGACGAGAAAAGGTGCGGTCGTTCCGACGATGGTAAAAGTTGGCGGAGAAGGTAGAAAGTTCTGATCGAGGGTCTCTGGATTTCAGGTAGCAGCTTATGATGTGTCGCGGCTGCCGGGCAATGGCTGCTGCACTAGTCTGTGAATCGTTCTTGCCTATTACATACATACATACCCACATGTACATACCCTAGACATTACCTAAGGTACTCTCGGTATATACACAGAGGATTGAGGCACCTCTCTACCCGGGTACCTGTTGTGGGTGCTTAAAAGTAAGAGGTACGTGACATTAGAGGCCAGACGGATTGGTATAATAGGTATTGTGTACTTGTAAAGCAGTATATATTAGGCGCCTAGATACCTCTTATCAGATGTACCTGTGTACTTACTCCGTGTCTGTGTTATGCCTGCTGCATTTCGACGTTTATTAGATGATGATCTAATCGACTCCATGCATAGTACCTCTTACGTATACCTCTATCCATTCACTCAGCCCCGCCTTCCAGTAATACCCGAGCCACATTAGTTCGAGGTGCTTCTGTAACTTATGTACATACATCTTACGCACACATTAGGTACATAATGTACCTAGCTACCTACCTACCTCCTAGATGCAGCTAACGACCTCAGAGTATAAAGCCTCGCACCCTGCCCACGTACCTACACTCTTCAAGGCGCTTTCTCTACCCAAGATAGGACTTGTTAAAGCAACCCTGGAATAGAAGGTAGAGGTAGGTGATTGAGAGCACCTAGGTAGACAGGTACCTGGTTTATTTGTAAGGTGTAGGCTACTTAATAGGTACCTAGGCATATACATCTTCCTTCCCCTCGACACATCTTTACGTACCTAAACCTGCCCTCTATATCCTAGATAGGTACCTCCTCCTACCCAACCAGGTACATGACATTACGCACAGCTACAGGTAGGTACTCACCAGCGGTCAGGTGCCTAGGAACACACCTACCCTAGGTACCTAACATAAGGTGGGTATGTTACCCTACGTACCTGATTAGCCCGGCTCCCGATCCAACGAAGTTGGCTAACCCAACCTGCCTATTGTATGGCAGCCTCCAATGCACCTCGGGCCAGGCGCCGAGGCAGGCATGGGGCGGAGATAAGATAGGAGGGAGGGAGACACCTATGTAGGTAGGTACCTATGTATGTAAAGGCACATAGGCATGTTGGTACCCAAGGCATGTAAGAGGTAGGTACCGTAAGGCGACCTGCTGCGTGTGTAGTTAATAATGCGGGGTCTTGAGGTGGGGCTAACTTAGGTACTTTTCAAAACGGGCTGTTTGGGGGACGGAGGCTGCCAACACTGCAAGAGTAACTTGTAGCGAGTATTGATGCTACAGGTGAGTTCCTAGCATATGTACCTTAGGGTGATGTAAATGCGCCTAGGTACATTCTTAGGAGGTACCTTGGTTGTTCTCATCTCAATCGGCCCTGCTGGAGGCAACCCACCCAGCCTCACCATCTACCTACGATCAGGCACAATTCGCACCCAAGCCCATAGGATAGAAATATCGCCAGCCTGATAGATCCGTATCCATCTGATGGTATGGTTGATGATGGCGCATAGGGAAGCCTTGTCGGACTGGTAGTGACTACATTGCACGTTCTACCCTATCTTTCCGCTCTGCTCCGCCCCGAGGCTGCACAGGCTCGCCTAGAAGTCCGGAAACCTTCGTCGCGGACTATTTTTCGGCTTCGACTTAAACCTTCAGCCCTCAGCGACCAGAGTCCGCACATTTGCACTGTGGCTTCTTGAGCCCGCCCTTTCGTATTCAACTCGACTGCGTGACACCCCCATGGCATAAGGAAAAACTGATGGTCTCGTAGTTTTACTTATTTATTTTGCTCTGGGTGCTCTTGGGACTAGCTTTAGGCATCTCCCGCCGCCTCTCCCCTTTACATCCTTTACATCCCTCACGGGAGGGAGAATGACGGTATATTTACATGGACCCCTTTCCCGCTCCCTCCCTCCCCAGTGCCGAGCGCTGTCGGATAGGATGTAACGCAACGCCACGCTAAAGCACAATGGTATCTCCCAGTATCTTCCGAGTAGCCCCCGGAATAATCCGCCTCCCAAGCCCGCCTGATAAACTACAGATACCGTATGGTCGTGTCGTAAAGAGAAGAAGAAAAAAAAGCCAGTAACAAGTCATACATGTTGTTCGTCATCATTCATGTGTTGCCGGGTCCAGCTACTCGGCTGTTCCCGGTTCCCGCTGTCCCTTGGTCTGATAGTCGGCCAGACTGGTTTTGGATCCGGAGCTCAGGATCCACTCGGGAATCGGGGGCGTCATCTGCCGCTCTGCAGCCAGGTCCTCCGAACGAATGCGCTCCGTGTTGGGGCTCGGCGTTTTCCGGAAGCTATCGTAGCTCCCTTGCCGACTTAGGGATACTGGCCCTGTAGGCAGGCTGCCACTTCGCATCCGGGTGAGGGACTTCTCCGAGATTGTTTGCCCCGCATTGGGTGCCGCGACTACGATCGTCCCCGGCGTCGCTGCTGGCGGAGCGGGCGAGTCGGATCGGAAAAGCGGGTGGATGTGAAGTTCGCCCGGCTGTACTAGCGTGGTCATGCTCCGCTCCTGCTGCGCTCTGGGAACGGGACTGTAACTTCGGCTTCTGCGGCTGCGCTTGGGAGGCTCGAGATCCAGCGGGCAGCCGGGGCTCGGACTCCGGCTTGTCGTCGGGCTCGCGGGGATCGTTTCCAAAAAGCGGGAGCGGATGGTCAGGTTGGTGGTATCCAGAACGGTCTGCCGGTTTTGAGGGTCAACCGAGGAAGTATCCCAGGAATCGAACCCGTCCTCGGCTAGGCTCGATCGCTCCCGATAACCGCCCGAACCAGTAGAAGGGGGACGGCGACCGGGCTTCGAACTAGAAGATAATAATCTAGTCCTCGATCCCGATGGGCGCACAACGTGGCTAATCGAGGTACGAATGGAGCTCATGGTCTCCGCGACCGAGCGGCTGCCGCTTGATCCGGGCCGGCTTGAGTAGTCCATCGACATCCGTTGCTGCATCTTGATCTGACTAGTAGCGGGCGTCGTTCGACTATACGGGACGGATTTAACACGAATCGGCGGCGTGCGGGCGCTATCGTCGTTGGTGTGAAGAGACAGTGTATGTTCTGAGTCGGATAGCCGGTGGACAACGAAGTAGACGACAATAAAGGTAAGCTGCCCTACGAAGGCAGAGACGAGTGCAATGGCGGACCCGATCAGGAAGTTCACCGGTGGAAGTCGGAAAAGCGTCTCCGGCAGGTCCTCCTCTTTCCCCATTAAGACCAACATCACGACGCACGCGGCTGACGCTAGTACGCTCGCGACGACGCCCAACGCGAACCAAGCACCGTTGGGTTTTCTCGAGCCGTAGTCTTTGACAGGCCCCATGGCCTTAGCTAAGAAGACGGCCAAAATGATGAGCATGGTTGCTTGCCACGCCGAAGCGACAACGGCGGCCACTCTGATCTGCAACGCCAATGGCCATAGAGCTTGGGCGATGGCCACCTCGAGGGCCAAGATCGCCGCTGTCGCCAAGAGAGCGGCAACGCCCAGCCCGGCGGCCAGGACACGGGGCCGCAGCATGCTGAAAGATGAAGACATTAAAACTGACGAATCGAAATTAAGAGTAGATGGCACGGACGAGTCCCGGCCTGCTGAAATAATGTATCGCAACCGCAAACAGCCTCCAGCCGCCCGGATTAAGACAAATCGAATGTAGGTAGAGACGGTAGCGTGGGCGTATCGGTTAGGGGCAGCGGGGCCCACTACCGTTGAAGAAATCCAGCAGCGGGTAGGATGCCGGCAAAGACGGGTTATTCCTCCCACCCCAGAAAGGATCGATCCCAGCGAGGAACCGTTGGAATGAGATATCGGTTGGAATTGCCTCTGCCTCTTATCGAGGGAGGGGGGCAGAGAGCCGAAGCTGGAATGTTGCCTAAATAGCCATCAACATTAAGATGGAGGCAAGGGGAGCGGGCCGCGGCGGGAAGAACGAGAGGCTTCCAGAACAAAAAGAATTAGCGATCCGAGCAGTCGATAGCCGTGACTGCGCGGGGTCGGTATGTATTAGAAGGCGACGGAAGCGTTTCTCCGGGAGGGTGCAGCGTGTGTGCTCTGGAGGATAGGCCGAGGGGAGAGGTCTATTTGCCGGGCTAGCGAAAGCAAAGCGAGACCGAAACCTCTGGATTGACGTGCGAACGAGTGGCGGGCCTGGAACGGCAATATGTAGGTAGGTGAGAAAACGCCGGGAGGGAAAAGGGGGGAAAAGAAATTGGTAACGAAGGTGACGACGAGCAGGCGGAAGCGACCTATATGGACCACTGAGGACGTCGGAAATGGGAGGACGAGGCCAGCAGGATATGGAAGTAAGCCTTGCCAGGTATATGGGGTAACGGACAGGATAAGGATGAAAAGAAAAGAGAGGGTCGAGAAGACGGGGCCCGGTCGAGGTGGCTTTGTTTGCTATTCGGAGGGCCCAGCCAGGATAAAAGTACGAGGGCGGCGGGACGCGTCCTGAGGGATGTCGCGTGTGAGTCGGGGTGGCGGTGGTGTGTGTAAGTGGTGGTATTGGACGGATGGCTCCGTACACAACATATACACAACATATACGCTACCACATCGACAGCACCCTTGTTTTCCCGTCCTTCTGGGATCTTCCTCTTCCTGCACTCTTGCAGGGGTCATGCAGGTACAGCGGCGTATCATCAACACGATGCACCCGGCACCGCTCACACCCTCTTCCTGGTAACTATTAGCTCACGGGCCCCCTCTCTCTCTCTCTCTGTCTTTCCGTCTTGGGGGTTTTTTTTTTCTCCGCCCACCTTTCTCTCTCTCTCTCTCTCTCTCTTTTGGCTGATGCCGTCCTCTGTGGGATTTTTGCCGTTAGACGAGGGATGGCGGATGTGATGGCAGGATTTGCGCGTGGCTTTTTTCCTGGGGCGGCCGATATGATTTGCAGCAGCTTTCGCGACCCGACCCTTGCGTGGATCAGTCTCAACACAGTCAGTCCCGTTCCCGTTCCGTCTCCAATACGGGGTGTGTTTTTTTTTTTTCTTTTTCGGGTTTCTTTCTTGTTTTGTCCCTATTTTCTCCAGTGATTATTTTCCGTCTATTTCGACTCCGCGCCACAAACCTCCTGTCTCTCGGTGTCTGTGTCTGTCTGTCTTGTCTGTCTCTTTTTTTTTTTCTCCTTCTCTCCCTCTCCCTCCCTCCAAGTGCGGTTCCGTCCCAGTTCTGCTTCCGATTGCCTGGAATTGAAATTCTCTGGGTAGATGTGGCCACGGTAGGATCGATTTCTGAAAAACCCCTCAGCGGTCCTGCCGTGCCTCCTTGGCCTGGAGCGGGCTCGTCGGCAGAGTGGGTTGCGATTGAGTAATTCGGCAGACAGATAGCTGTGCAACGCCCCAAGCTGCTCTCACCAGCCACGATATCAACAAGGGGGGTGGAAGGGCGGAATTAACTAATACGGCCGATGGTGAATAGGTAGAAGAAGCGGAAGAAAGCGGGAATCCCGAGTTGCTCAGCCTTACTCGATCCGGAAGGATTCACAAAAATTAAACCGAAGGAAGAATTAAGAAGAATGAAAAGAAGCAGAAAAAAACAATACTAAATCAGCCTGCCTCTCAGCCGTGGGACCAGACTCTGGGGGGAAGTTGAGGAAAGGGAAAGGGCTCGAGCGATAAAATGGAGCGAGAAACGGCTTTCGTCTTTTATTATTATTGCTTCTCTTGCTACTGCCTACATACACACATACACACATACCTTGCCGACGCCCAATAGGCCGCATACAGAACCTGACCAACCTCGTATATAATGCATGTATGTGTGCGTGCATGCGGAGGACGTGTAGGAAAGCAAGGTATGTGTGTAAGCAGGAGTGGTTGTAGGGTATGGATGCCATGAGGGGGTAGGTATGTACGTCGAGGTGCTGCCGCTCCAGGTCAAAACAAGAGACTTTGTTTCTCCCCATCTCGGCCCTCGCCCGGAAGAGCCTCCGGTAACATTGGGTTAGATTATACGGGTCCGTGGGGAACCCACTCGTTTTGTATCGTCGCGGATATCTTACATGCGGGTGGCCCTGACCTCGAGGTCCCGTGAGAAGTTGCCAGGCCGGCCGACTTCGTAACCTGCAAAAGAGGCTGGGTTTCCGACGTCTCGTGCATCTCATAAATATACCTAGCGAGTAGTGTGTGTACTACGTAGTAGTATTGGGTTATTGGTGTGTGGGCGAGTGAGGGTGAGCGTGTGAGTGCGTAGTGCGTGGATGAGCGAGTGTGTAGGTGGTGTGGGTGAGTGTGTGTCCCCTTCAAGCGTGGTGAGGCAGTTCAACATGTCCACATACCTACCTACATGCCCACACACACATACATATACACACACACATCCACACACACACACTCATATGAGCACACACACATACAGACGAACGCACGCAGTTCGTGTTCGTGTTAGGGGTCCGGTTATCGATGTTTGCCGTCGTTTCGCTGGTTTGCTGGCGCTATCCGCCATCCCATAACCCCACTCTTCCTCGGCCTCATCATTTGCATTCCAGTCGAGATTGGCGTTTACATCAATCACCAATTGAGCTTACATGGCCCAATCTGCCACGCAGGGATGACGGCGCAGGAAGTGCCCCGTCTCACCTGGGCTGTGTGAGATAAGGGGACGCTCAGTCATTCTCAGTTAGCTCTTACACGGCACGGGCATACAGAACAGTAATATACCTACCCACCGATTGAGTACGTAGGCATAGTATGTAGGTATGTAGTGCGCCGCCCAACCCACCCATACGAGTAAGAATTTTTTTTTTTTTAAAAAAAAACAGCATATTTCGTGTATGTGTATATATATATATATATATATATATATATATATATATAACGCACCTAGTGTATAAATCCTCTTTTTCTAATATTGCCGAGTCATCTCGGACCTGCATTAGCCTCACTAGTCTATATTTTATCCAATTATTTTTGTTTTGTCTAGGACTGCGCAGTTTAGAGGCTGTTGGCGACGCGGAGATGAAGCCACGCAAGAGACATCTACAGCACAAGACAGAGGGGGAGGGGTGGGGAAGGAACATATTCTACTCAGCCATGTTTCTAAACTAACAACAGCCGAGCGTGAGAGAGACATCACAGAATAACATCACTTAGGTATCTGTGCACAAGAGAGCAGCATGTGCGCACAATGCGTATATATATATACAAATATAGACATCGATGCCTGCATATACGCACATACATATGCGTACATACACGTACATTAAAGGCAGCACGCAGAGACAGAGACAGAGACAGTGAGAGATAGGTAGAGAGGCAGCTGGGGGTCGCCGGGGTGGGTGACGATCACCATTACCGCCTCAGCCCTGGTAGGGAAGAGGATGTGGCTAACAACCCCGAACTACCTAGGAAAACATCGCACCAATAGGCTTCTTCAACCCTTGCCAACGTTCTCGAAGGCGGGGCGGGGAGTTTTCTCTTGGAGGCCAGGTCGAGCGGGCTGCTTACTGTGAACGAGGCCAAACCAACCCGGCATCCTGACGAACGCCTCCCCACCTACACCCACCTGCCTACCTACTTTACCTACCTACATATTGTCGCAGCCTACGGCAGCCTCCTAGCCTCCTACACGACATATGCCTACATATTGCGGACTGGCTCGTTAGTGCATGCGTGCGGCAACGCCCAGGAGCTCTCTGTCCTGGCCGTCGCCGGCGTCGATTAGATTGACGCGGCGTAAGTCGTAGCCAACGCGGCCCTCGGACCCTGGGACTAGGGTGGCATTGATGCGGCAGCCGGCCACGTTCTCCTTAGTCCTTCATCTCATCCGCTGGTCTTTGCTCGGGATCAGGAGGGGGCCCCAGCAGGGCGAGCGGCCAGGTCTACTACATACCTACATAGCTAGCTATTGCTCATATACCTACCTACGTATTGCCTATCTATCTTTCGCAGCGTCCCCGCCGGCGGAAAGACTCCATCCAGCGCCGAGACTTGCATGGCTCTCGTGTATCCCATCCGTCCAGGCCGGCTCTCGTCCTCGTCTGCGATCTTCGAGAGCGAGATGCAATCGCCCATCTCGCCAATCGTCGACGTCTCGCCGGTCCGAGTGTCTGCATATGTATTGACCTTGCGCATGGTGTCCCGGTCCACGAACCAACGTTGGACCGCGTCTCCCCCCGCCCCCCCCCGGCTGCTGTCGGATTTCCCATGCGCAGCGCCGGAGAGCGGGGAGAAAGGGGGATACAAAGAAGAGAAGAAAAAGAAGACACGTTACGTACGTATGTATACCTAAGCAGCGGAGATTCTCTCGACCCAACCATGATAGTAAATTGCGACTTCACGATAGGGAACGGCGGGGACTCCTGTCTCTGCGCAGGTACCGTCTCTCTCCTCTCTGTGAGAGGTACACAGGCGCGGAGCGAGCCGAAAAAAAATACCGCCGAAAAACTGCTCGAGCTAACGGCATTCGCAAGCATGTTCCGACGTGGCCAACACATCCCCGGGATAAAGGGCCCAGATTTCCCAGAGTCTGTGCCAACTCTCAGACCTGACGGATGGAGGCTTGTGGCAGGTGTGACAAGGGAAAGAGAAGAAAAAAAATCACGCGTGCTGGCGCTCAGCTGGCCGGGGTGAGGGTTTGGCAGACTTTTCTTCTTCTTCTTCTTCTTCTTCTTCTTCTCTCTCGTTTCCTTTTTCTCTACGCGGGCGTGCGTGTGCGTGTGCGATGCATATGTGTCTATATCACGATGTGGGAGGAGATCCTTTCCTCCTCTTCCCCCCGTCCGGTGCGGAAGCGTCCGCTCGCTAGTCGACTGACGACGGCCGATGGCTGTTTCGAAGACAAGCCTCGCTGTCTCGAGCCACGCAGACCGTCCGCGCCAGCTAGCTCTAGTGCGATCCGTGTGGTAATCTCCTCTTGCCTGCCTCTTCCTGCCGTCCTCTCTCCCGCTGAGCTAAGATCTCTCCTAATTTTAAAAAGAAGAAAAAGATCCCTACATATGCCCCAAAACGGCATATTTCTCCGACATCCTACGTGCTTAGCTGCCGAGGCCTGTATATAGCATACGCGCGTAACCCCCCCCCCCGGGCGTCTACGAGGGCCGTCTGGTCGGTAAAGGGGTCGATTGTCGAAGCCGTTGCCCTGAAGAGAGGGGAAGATTCGAGAGTCTGCGCTGGGAATCGTCTGGGCATCGCGTGGATATCCCCTCTCTGTGTCTGTCTATCTGCCTGTCTCTGCCCGTGTCTCTCTCGCTAACTTACTACGGTATGTGGAATCGAGAAATGACGGGCCAATCGCATCTACAACAAGCTGCCTATTCGTTGACCTACATGAAGAGGATAACAGGTGCCTACCTCTATGTGTGGGAAAGCGTACCGAAAGGATTATCTCTCGGTTAACATCATCCTTAGCTTCCCCATACTGCCGTATGGATATGCCCGTAAGGTCACTGCACAGAAACTACAACAACCTAGGCAATAACTTATTCACATCTGCTACGACCGCTCGCCCCATCGCATCTCCCTCTCATCCTGCGCCAAAGTAGACCCGGGACCACGGCTCTCATCCCATCGCCCCGTTTTTGATTTTCAGTTTTGATTTTTGCATCTTTTCTGTTTCCCGCGATCTCTTCTGTCAAATTTCCGAAGGGCCCGCCTCGTCGCTCAGCTCCCTGCGTGTCTGCTGCGTGGTTAGGGCTGCAGGCAAGGGGCCCCGTCGGCCAGCCCCTCCAATCCTTTTTTTATCCCCGTACATACGCGTAGCTGGGAATCCTCCAGACGGTCGAATGGGAGGCGCCTCTCTTTCCCTCTCTTCCCTCTCTGTCTAGTCCGCCACCGCCGCCGCACCATCCTCCCAAGCGTATGCACATAGCGTGTAAGCACAGCGCCGCCCACAGGCATATAGTAGGTATGTAACACGTCTACGGAGTTAAAAGCTCGCCAAGGTAAATAGACACCCTCGCACACGTATTCGCGGGCGGGAATGGCGTGCAGTCAGCTACATGCTACGCAACCTCATCGGCCAACTAGGACTATTGCGGTAGCACGTCCCGCCGCGCCGCCGGCCGCCGCGACGTTGTGCGAGGCGAGGAAAGCTGTCAGATCTGTCGCTCTCCCGACCGAACGCAGCCCCCGTACTGGACGGCTCCGCGGTACGCACACCTGATTCCACACGTACGCACAGGTTTCACGAAGGGAAAAAAAAAAACCCGCGTTGGTGTTACTGGCGGAGTGGGCGAGCGGACGACGGAGTCTGGCATTGGCACTGCTCCGGGACCGCGGGTCGCGCTGTCTTTTTTTCTTTTTCTTTTTTTTTTCCCTTCCTCTCTCTCGGTGCCTCTTTTCGCGCCTCTCGTCACGGCAGCCGGGCGGGGTTGGGGTTAACGGGGAGGAGGAGGGATCGGTTTCTGCGCGAGATGCGTGCCGCTCGTCTGGGCCCTGGCGGACAGAGCAACAGCGTCGAGAATCGACATGCAAGGTGGCTGTTATCCTTGTCCTGGCCACTTGTTGCTACGCCATGTCTCAGCAACCGGCCGCCGCATATCCAACTCCGAGGCGCAGCATATTAAGTCCTAGACGGCTCACAATTGCATGTCTAACTTGTCCCATATGGCTGCAGGAATTGCCACGCAGGCCAACTCCCTCGTCAGGTTTCCCCAGCATGGAATAACCCACCAACGTGAAGGCGGCATATAAAGATAAGAGTAGACCCGTATTATGCACCTAAGCTCACCCCCTCTTTTTTTTTCCTTTTGTTTTGTGTGTGTGCGTGTGTTGGATTTTTCACCTCCCCCACACCTACTATGCATGTACCGCCCCTCGATCTGCATTGTAGAGATATACGTAAGTACCCCTTTTTCAACTGTCCTCCACGCCGAAGACATGGCATCATTCGCGAGTTCGACGGAGAACTCTGCCAGACGTACAATATCTTCGTTCCCTCAACCCGTGTTACTTACCTGCCCACCTGGGACGCTCTCTGGGCCACTTCGTGCGCATGGTCCTCCTACCTGTAACATGCCTACCCGCCTACCATGCGCAAACATACCAATACTCATACGTAACACTTACCTACGCCTTCGCACGGGCAACTTACCTATCAAATACCGACTGGCATAGCCGTAGCACGAGTCATAACCGCCCAGCAGCGGCGCGTCTGTTAGGTACATGCCTATATCGATATGCGAGAGGGGAGCCGGTGCGCTCACCGTGTTATGGTATCATATCTCCCCTTGCTCTGTCGAGCAGAGATAGAGCGCGCGCGAAGGTGGGAGCGATGTCGGGAAAGTTGCTGGGGCTGATAAAGCTGGCCTTGAGGGGAGGCCCGCGTGGACATGCCCAATGCGGCAACGGTGGGTGCTGGCACTGAGGGGTGGTCCTCGTGTGGATCGAGAGCCGCGACGCGAGCAAAGCTCGTCTTGCTGGGCGAGCGGGTTCCTGGGAGGAGAGGCGGCAGTATAGCATAGCGGGATGGAGGGGCGCCGTACAGGTACTTCGCCCTTCTGAGGGGCGGCGGCCCACGGGTGCCGCTCTAGCACTGTCGCGTCCTCTCGACAGCGCCCGATGGCGCAGGCGGGTTACGTAAAGGCCCTGCCGGCCGTGTACCGTCTACATTGTGCCCACCCGAGCATCGCTGACGTAGAGACTCGCATTCCCCAATCACAGCCTCCAATCCCGACCCCGCACGGCCACGAGATGATAGCAAATTCTCCCATCTCGTTTCCCCTCGATTTGTTAGCTACCTACCTACCTACCTACCTACCTACCTACCTACCTAGGTGTGCCTGCTCTGTTCTCCCCTCCCACTCTCACGCTCTCTCCTATCTTTCCCACATTTTTCTTCCCTCTCCCCCCTCCTCCTCCTCCTCCTCTGCAGAGACTGCGCCGAGTCCTCCCAAGCGTCTCTTCTTATTTCTCTGCCCTTGCATGGCGGGAGTGACGGAGAGCTGACGAATGAGAGAGAAACAGCGGCCGGCCTTCCTAAAGAGCGTCGTCATTTTCTTCTCGGCGGCTAGATCGTCCTCTAAACCCGCTGCCACCGGTCCGTAGCATCAGAAAGTCGCCTGTGAAACGCGGCTAGCACCACGATGGCTGCTGCCCTTCGCTCCGGGGGTCCCCTGCGGCCGCTATTTGCCGCCGCCTCGAGATCCCTCGCCGCTTCGTCGACGCCGACGAGGCAGATCCTCTCGAGAGGCTTGGTCGAGGTGGAGGCGAGCAGGCGGATCTTCCCCAGGCCCGACGCTGGTGGAGGGGTGCCCTTTTACAACGAGCCAGACGCGCCCGTCGTGAAGACCGAGATCCCCGGGCCTATATCTCAAGAGTACATCGCCAAGCTCGACAAGGTCTTCGACACCCGGAGCGTGAACATCATCACCGACTACAGCAAGAGCATAGGAAACTACATTGTCGACCCGGACGGAAATATGTTGCTGGACGTGTATGTTTTTTTTATATTAATTTACCTTACTACTACTGCTGTTGTTACGCCCACGGAGTCACGTGCGCTTGCTACCTACCCGCGGTCTGATGAAAGAAGCTGGCTAACCTGCTCCCCTTCCGCTGCTCCATTGCCCTCCGTACAGCTATGCCCAAATCGCCTCGATACCCGTCGGGTACAACAACGCTAGGCTGAGGAGGGCCGCTGCGAGCCTAGAAATGGGTCTGGCGCTGATCAACCGGCCGGCTCTCGGCAACTTCCCGCCGCACGACTGGGCCGACGTGCTCCAGTCGGGCATCCTCAAGGTCGCGCCCAAGGGGCTCGACCAGGTCTTCACCGGCATGTCGGGCTCCGACGCCAACGAGACCGCGTACAAAGCGGCTTTTATGTGGCGGCGCCAGCGTGAGCGCGGCGGCCCCGCTGTCGACTTCACCGACGAGGAGACGGAGTCGGTGATGCTGAACCAGACGCCGGGGGCCTCGCAGCTGTCCATCCTGTCGTTCAAGACCGCTTTCCACGGCCGGCTCTTCGGCACGCTGTCGACGACGCGGTCGAAGCCGATCCACAAGCTTGACATCCCCGCCTTCGACTGGCCCCACGCCACCTTCCCGCTGCTCAAGTACCCGCTCGAGGAGCACGCGGCGGAGAACGCCCAGGCCGAGGCCGACTCGCTCGCCGAGGTCGAGAATCTCATCCTCAACTACCATGTGCCCCCGGCGGCCGTCGTCGTGGAGCCGATCCAGTCCGAGGGCGGCGACAACCACGCGTCGCCCGACTTCTTCCGCAAGCTGCGCGCGCTGACCAAGAAGCACGGCGTCCTGCTCATCGTCGATGAGGTGCAGACGGGCGTCGGCGCGACGGGCCGCTTCTGGGCGCACGAGCACTGGGAGCTGGAGGACCCACCGGACATCGTCACCTTCAGCAAGAAGGCGCAGACGGCCGGGTACTACTACGGGGACCCGGCGCTGCGGCCCAACCGGCCGTACCGGCAGTTTAACACGTGGATGGGCGACCCGGCGCGGGCGCTGCTCTTCAGCACGATCGTGCGAGAGATCGAGGCGTTCGACCTGGTGAAGAGGACGGCGACCGTCGGCGACTATCTGTTCGGCAAGCTCGAGGAGCTCGCGGAGCGGCACCCGGGCCAGTTCGCGAACCTGCGCGGCAAGGGCCAGGGCACCTTCATCGCCTTCGACAACCCGCGGCGCGACGAGTTCCTGCGGCGGGCGAAGCGCTTCGGCGTCAACATCGGCGGCAGCGGCGAGAGCGCCGTCCGCCTCCGCCCCATGCTGGTCTTCGCCCAGAAGCACGCCGACATCCTGGTCGAGGCGCTCGAGAAGGTGGTAGCCTGGGACTGAAGGGGGGGAGAGAGTGTGTGTGGAAACGGGGGGGAGGGGTTGAGACAGACGTAATAACACGTGCATATGCGCAAAGGCGGATTCTGCCATGCTTACTACCGACGGGTTCGTTTCACAATACTGTAGCTTAACTGTTTCGAAGTGGTGTAATACGAGCTGTTTCCTCGACAGGGTGTATGCGGTTGGAGCCAATAGGGGGAGGGGGGAGGGGGAGGAGGAAGAGGGACGCACTTACATGACGGAGCGGGAGCCGAGAACGAGATCGGATCTATCGGGGTTTCAAGAGGCAGGTAGGTGTGCGTATGCGGTAGGCATATCATGTTAGCTGGCAGCGGTCCTGGCGCGTGCGTGCATACGTTACCTATTTTATCATCTCGTCTATTCGCATCGATCCATCCGATCTTATTAGGGGTGGGGTTCGGTTTGAGGTAGGTGTGTGTGAGTGGGGGGAGGGGGAGGGGGGGCGCACGCGCGCGCACGTGGGAAAGGGGAGAGGATTAATAAAATAAACCCCCCCCCCCCGAGATCAGATAATAAAAAAAGCACTGGCGTTCATGACGCAAAGGGAGAGACAGAGAGATAGCCTCCGAATTATCGGATGGCCGACTGAAACCGATGAAACGAACCCCAACGATCGGACGGACGGTACTGTAGGTATGTAGGGATGGATGGGAGGGGGTAAGGGGGGGGGGGCGCACGGCGCGCAAGGCACGAGATGGCTCCGCAGCCGCAACGCCCCCCCCCGCCCTGCCGGCCCTGCATTCTCGCCTCCTCGGCTACTCTCGCCTGTCTCGTGACGCGATGTGGGCCCCCTGCCCTCTCCTCCCCCCCTCCCTTTTCCGCGGGCGCCGGAACCGGGACTCCCGGTTCGGGTAGGTGGGATGGGGGGGAGGGTTGCTACAGACGTAGGGGCCGACGTCCCGGAGGGCGAGCCGAGAGTGCGCGCGCGTGGCGCAGCACGGGCGAGGTGTGTGGGCTTAGACGTCTGCGCCGGTCCCCTCGCCCGCCCGAACTCGCCCTGCCGACCTGTCGGGCACGTCTGCGCGCAAGCCCCAGCCCCAGCCCCAATCCCAGCAGCCAGTGAGGTCCCGTCGGACCCGGGTGGCGGAGCGGATGCGAGGGCTGGGGGGCTTGGCTCCCGTGACGTCTGTTCTCGGCCGCCACGTGTTTCTCTGTCCGTCTTGTCTCTCGGCAGCAGGAGCAGGAGGAGGAGGGGGGGGGTTTGGTAGGTGGGTAGGTAAGTATACGTGTGCTACACGCGCCGGGTGCGTCGCGGAGGCGGGAGGCGGACAGGCGAGGTCGCCGACTCGCGACCGCTTCCGCCGTCACGAGCACACTCGGCCAGGCGCGCGTATTCGTCTTCGCGTGTAGGAAAGCGCCTCTTGTTTGACACCATCCCGGGCGGCGGGACTTGGCGGCCGCCGGCTGGGGTGTATGTATGTATGTATGTAGGCATGTGTGTATGGACGGATGGGTGAGAGTGTAGGGATGTAGGGGTGGGTTGAATGTGTGGGTGCCGTGTGGGTATGTTATCCACGCAGCGCACCCGGACAAAATAAGCCGGACCCTCGCCTGCTGCCCTTCGCTCCCCAGCTTCTTTCGTATGAAGTGTATGTGCATGTGTGCGCGTGGATATATATATATAGAGAGAGAGAGTGTGTGGATGTGTGTGTGTGTGTGGATAGATGTGTGCGTATGTGTATGTGTGGATGTGGATATGTGTAGGTATGATCGGCAGATGGGTTTATAATACGGACACCATACCATATACACCACACCGACAAACAGAGACACCGGCATAAACACGCAGATTGCTCGCGTGCCCTGCTCGCCCTGTTCGCCCGTCCTCCTGCTGGCCCGTCCGCCCACTTTTTTCTCTCTCGCTTATCCCTTTCCCCTTCATTCTAACGCGACCCTCCCAGGAGAGCATATCCGTCTCACGGATGTATGCTGTGCGTGTTGGCCTCGCCCTCCTCTCCTCTGCTGTTCTCCACCCGCTCGCGCTCTCTTTCTCATCATCCGTAACCCAGCGCCAGCGCGGCGCACAAAATCCTCTTCCGCACCACCTACGAAGACACCTGGAAAAAGGACCAGAATCTGTCCCCGGATTATGCGTATGCTATGGTATCACAATGCGCCACGCGAGGCAAGTTAAACCAGAGAAGCGGCATCCACCGTCCACACATAACTCCGAGATGCATTCCTATTAACTTGGTCGCCTTGCGCGACACAGCGCTTCTGCCCCCCCCCCCCCCCCCCCTCTTTCGTGAAAACCTCCCTTCTCTCGTGTGCCGTAATGGATGATGAATAGCCGGATGCAAGATAGTGTGTATCCCCTTCCCCCGCCCCCTTTTCCACCCTCTTTACCAAAACGCCAGTTGTCGAACCCTAGATCCTTTTAAAAAAAGCACTTCTCCCTCCCCGACACCGGAAGGTAATTAAAATGCAACGAGGATGCCCTTTGCATAGGATGAAGGTGAAGAGAGAAACAAAAAAACACAACAGGACCTCCATGAGGGCTGGGCCAGGTATTGTACATGGAATCGGGCAAAAGAATATCATGATGATGGTCCCAAGATGTGAGCCAACTGGCGCCCGACTAGGCCGCCTTATGATCCTAGACATTCGCTCAGTGGCTCATGACCTCGTGCTTTCTAGTATTATGCTGAACCGTACCGCTATCACCATTAGCCGAGTCTACTCCGCCGTTTCTCGAGTCGTCTTCGTGGGTATGCGAGTGGCCCGTGTCGGCCTGGCCGCTTCCGTTCACCAGCTTCCTGTCTTCTTGCTCTTGCTCGAAAGCGAGCATATTAAGCTCGTTCTCCCGCTCTAGTGCCACCTCTTCTTCCCGTAGCCGTCGCCGTTCTGTCTCCTCGGTGATATGCTGGACCGACGCACCCCCGCCCATCTTCGATATGGTCCCCGGCTCCCCGAGCGCCTCCTTGTCCTGCTCGGCCAGCATATCCAATGTGGATTCCCCGTCGATTGGGGGGGGAGGCGGCGGCGGCGGCGGGCTAGGAACATCACCGTCATCCTCCTTCACCCGCTTTGCCGAAGGCGTCTCGGAAGGCGTTAGGCTGGGAGAATCCGCTGCATCATCCTCATACTTCCGCTTACGATAGGGGCTCTTAGGCGTCGAGCCGACATCGTCGTCATCGCCCGTCGTCATCATGTCCTCGTCCTCTTCGGCAGCTGGCGGCCCCGACTGGCTCGGTGGCTCGGCACTACCGGTTTTTCGCGACGCATCCGAGCCATTTTTCGCCCGTTCGGCTTTCTTCTTCTCGTGCTCCCTGTATTTCTCGACTGCACGTTCGAAGAAATCCCTCACGTATTTCTTGACCTTCTTTTCCTGCTTCTCGGTGATGGAGGTCGGGTCGTCCACGCGATTGTTCTTGTAATCCGACGCGACAAGCTTCTTGTTAATTTCTTTGGAGAATTTCTTCAGTTCTTCCTTGGGGAGCTTCTGGCGAAATTTATCCACGACGTATTTCACGTGGGGAAATAGCTACGGCAGAATTAACAATCTAAGGGAAAAAGGATAAGGCTCAAAGCAATGGAACTGTGACATACTGTGTTTTCATAGATCTTCATCTGCTTCTCGATCGGGAGCGAGCGCCACTTCTCCTTCTTGGGCTCCTGAGTCGGAGTGCTGGTTTGCGGCGTCTGTGACGCCGACCTCCGAGGGATGCTGTCGGGCTTGGTGAGTGAGTCGATGATGTCCTGCAGCGTTTTCTGCTCCTGAGCTGCTTTAGACGGTCCCTTTGGCTGGGTCGGATTGGTGTCGGGCGGGGGTGCGGTTGGCGTTCGCCACGTCGTAATACCGGTTCGGGTATAGTAGTACAGATACCCGTTCTTATCGTTTGCCGAAAACCAACCCGGGGGGAGGTTCTGGGCAGGGGGACGACGATGCCGTTGATTGTTAAAGTAGGTGTGGTTCCGTTGAGGGACGCTGCTGCGAGGGCCCTTCGGAATGTTTTCCGGGAGTGTGAAGACGGCCTTGATGAGCGGCTCCTCCGGACGATTGCCGCGGCGCTCCTCGAAGGAGTTGACTGACTGTGTGCTCGGCGTCGACTGAGTATTGGGATCCAGCTTCTTTCGGGGAATCCGGTAGGCGACTTCCAACTTGCTCCATTCGTCGAGTAGCTGCGTAGCCTCCGCGGCCACATCTTCGTGTTCCGACTTCGTCAATGCCTCGATGGTGGACTCGATCTTGGAATCGGAGATTTTGTTCTTGGTAAGGCGAGGGAACTTGTAGAGAATGTTGAGGATTTGCAATACGACATTATGATCCTCCACGAACGTGTTCAGAGCCGTCTTGAGGATCTGATAGCCGTGCATCTGCACAACCCGGTTGCGCACCCGGTCGTCGTCGCAACGTTGAATACGCTCTAGCAGCTTGACAGCGATCCACTTCTCCTTGCATTGCATGAGAGTAGCCATAACTTTGGTAACATCCTTCTCGTCAAGCCCGCGAGCTTGCACGCTATTAACGTACTCCTCGTCGTCTTCTCCCACCTTCTTCCTGCGAGGCTTCTTGGCAACGGCGGTATCCCAACCATCGCCGTCGTCAATCCCGAGGGCTTCAATGGTAGCATCGGGCAGTTTCGTTGCCCGGCCCGTTTGTGTTTTGCCTCCGATGAACCCGATGCAGTTCTGTTCCCCGCAGTAGCAGGGTTGGGGATCGGCGCCGTACCGATCCACGTTGTAATTGAAGACCAATTCTTCGCCGGCCTGGACCCTCCTCGAGGCGAAGATGCCCATGCGCAACTTGTTACCAACCACCCATTTGTCCACGTAGCAGTTGGGATTGCACGAGTGGTTACAGAAGCGGCCCAGGTTGCCTTTTTTGGTCGCGTCTACAAACTCATTCTTGGTTAGAGACATGAAATAGAAGTGACGAATACCCTCCTTGTCGTACTGGATCATTCGCCTTCGGAATGTGGGCTCGTTGATGACCTCTCCGATATACTCGTAGATGAAATCGTTAGCCTCGAGGTCTTTGTTGGACCGAAGCCCGAACCCCTTCTTCCCGGTCTGTATTACCGAGACATCGGCGTACTGCTTCCGCTGAAACCGTTGATTTTGGCAGCTGCTGCCGCAATTGCAATCGGCGTCAACACACTCCATCTTGGTGGCCCGATTGATGCAATCCGAGTCGTCGCCGCAGGCGTGGTTCGTGCCATCCCCTGAAACGTGCTTGTTAGTCCATGCTCCGCCACCGCTTCTTCCGGGCGGAGGAGAGGAGAAATGACAGAAGACGAATACGTACGCCACTCTTCGCTACAGTCGCAGTCCAGCGCATCGTGATCCGTCGAACCGAGAGACTTAGACCCGTACAGACAATCCGGAATCACCTGGAAGTGGCTGCACGACTCCAAGGTGACATCGGGGAGATCGCCGAAGAGAATCGGCCGGAACGCCACCCTGTGAGATGTCTTGCGCGTAAATTTTGGCGGGTGACCGTCGGGAGTCGACGCACTGTCGCTTCGAGCCTTCAGGTCATCGGGCGACAGGCTCGTCGACCGAGACCCCTTGCTGGCATTCGGCGACGAAGCGGCGCTGTCGCCCTCCTTCTTGAGGATGGGCACGTTCGCGACTAATGCTGACGCGGTTTGGAGAGCAAGGCCCCCAGAGCCATTCTTCATACTTTCCCCATCCTCCATGATGGCTGTGGGGGGTGTGGACTCTCTGGCCTGTCTTGTCGCGGTGGACTTCGTCACGTTCGACCGGCAGCAGCTCGACGTAGGGGGGAATTGGCGAGGCGGAGGGGATGCAGGAAGTAGATCGAGCAGGTCAGGATTATCGAGGAGAGACCGAAGTGACGCGACTGCGATTTACCATCTGCGAACATGTGGGAAACAGGGCGAGCGGGAAAGACGGGGCGGGAGGAGTGCCAACAGAGGATGCGTGGGCGGGTGATGGACAGGGGAGATGCTATCTTAAGCGCGGTACCAGTGACATCGCAGGCAAACGGAGCGCCAATTACGGTCCTCGGGAGGGTGAGAGAAAGGGATATGCGACGTGCACGGAGAAGCCCTAGGGCCGGTTGCTGAAGGCAGTGGTGACGATGCGGTTGTGAGTATTTGCGAGGAAGAACGTGACGGCGTTGTGGTCGCCGAAAAAAAAGAGATAGGTGCTGGTTGCGGTCCTGCTACGCAGAAGGACGGGACATGTACCTAACGGGGTCAATTGCGGGTACTTGGATGGGTTGGCAAGGCAAGTACCTTTGGTACCTGAGCATGCCCAGCTGCCTAGACCCGCCTCCTATGTATCTGCCTACCTCAGGTACTTCGGCAACCGTGTACCCACAGTGTTATCCCTTACCTGCCCGAGGTACCTCTCTTAGCCTATGTACCTACCTTAGGTAGCATTAGGGGCGTAATCACCGCACCTCTCCATACCCGGGTGCCTCTCCACACTGCTCTCCATCCTATCCTGCCTCCTAAGGAGGTACCTAAGGTACCTACCTACGCAGTATTACGTCTGATCTGTTAAGGTAGATACATACACGTACACCACAGCGTGACGCCCCAGGTCCCGAGGTCTCGTGGCAGGCGTGTGGCTTGCCAGCCCTGGCCTTTTACACATCCGGAGAAGAGTGTAATTATCCGGAGGGTCGCTACGGCTGGAGGTCTCCAGGTGCCCCCCACCCGCTACAGTGGCCAGAAGCGCTGACGATTGGCCTTTCGGCACCACCTCTACTCAGTAGTCAACAACGCCAAGCCACGTACCCCGATTTACATGTACCATTCAACCTACGTTGGTACCTACATCTCACGGCCGACTGCATGCACTTATCCGTTACCTTTAGTGCCTATTAGTTGACTCGGGGTGCCGAATGTAAGATTCTTTTAGGTAGGCTGTCTACAGTTGCTATGTTGCATGTTGTATGTCATGGATGGGACTCGGTACATTGCCCAGGTATCCTAAGTAGGGTGTCTCGCTCAACACGGCGGGTGGGTAGGTACCAGTGACACATTGAACCGTACGTAGAGACCTTAAGTGCCTGCCTCTAGGTACCTACATAGAGGTGCCTCGGTGCTGAAGTTTCCCTGCACGTAGGTACCTGCTTACATTCACATATGTACATATGCATGCCATTTAAGAGGCAGGCACCTCCTCCTCGAAGGCACCCCATGCGGCCGTGCCTCTGCTAATGTGATGTAGGCGGTGGAATATATATGAGGTACCTGCATCTCGGGCTGTTTACTGTATTGGCGCACCTCTCCGTCCTTCCTCAACCCCAAACAGGCGAGAAGAACAGATATGCACAGCCTAAGCACGTCCATTCTTCTCAAATCTATTTCAAATTTATTTCAAATCTAGGCACCTCTACGATGCTACGCCGATGTCCGGCGAAACCTGCGTACCAGAGGTCCTATCGTGGTCGTGACAGCGCGCAATCCGATGGTGGTCTGAAGTCGAGACCGTGGAGGATGAAGTGCCTCTTGGAGTTGCAAGCCCTGTCCAAGCCCTCGAGTTTCTCCGTCCGACTGCGCTCCGCTGCCGCTGCAGACCTTAGACTAGCAGAGTAGTCTTCCGCCGTTCTAGTTTCGGGATCCCGCCAGTTGCTATAGCTGCAACCTGTCCGAGAAATCGAGCAAGCACGAACACGTCTGCACTAGACAAGGTAGAGAGACAGGCGTACTCTGCCCGCCGATCCACCGTGCTGCTAGTTACCGTGGCGGACCGGATGTGATGCGACAGGAATTTACTTTCAAGAACTAGAACGACCGACCATTGCAGGAAGGGCTAGCTGCGTATGCGGTACTAGCACTGCCGGGTTGTTGCGCGGGCTCGCGAAGTCGTGACGATGGCCGAGAACGTGAGACAATAAGCAACGCCGGTTTCCCATCACCGTGACATCATGACGTCCAGCATAGATTGCCGTGAGCTAGCCAGCAGCAGGTTGGGAAACACCGCTATCCCTTCTTACGGCCTTGGGATGTGTGCGTTGTCGAGCTCGTAGAGCGCCGTCGGGAAGGCCGTCACCACGCGCGAGACGGCGGGTTATACCTGAGTGGGTGGGTCACCCTATGAGAAACTGCCAACTCACTATGCATAGAACAGAGCCTGAAGTTGAGGCGAGGGAAAAGGCGGTATGTGTGTGTGCGCTGGAGATATAAATACATATATAGGGTAAGGTACATATATATATATATAAAGGCCGGCCGTCCAAAGCCACGCAATCCCAGATCGTAAAACGTCGACGCTTCGCGACATCGCGAGAGAAGAGAAAATGAAGAAGCAGAAGCACAAATCTATGACGACCCCTCCTCGTCGGAATTGCCCATCACTTATATACGCACACGCTCCAGGATAAGACGGCCTAGCTGAGCTAGTCTCGATTGCGGCTCGTGGCTCGTCATATGTGACGAACTCATGATCTGTGCTTGTCGTCGGGCGTGGGAGGTGCTCTGAGAGGCCTTCCCAGCGCTGCGATTGGCGAGATGTCAGCGACTCTGGGCCAGTCAAGCGGCCCCCTCGACGAGGCCCGCCACGAAGCTTGCGAGACCCCCCGACAACTACAGCATCCGGCGGAGTAGCGAGCAGCGGCCAACGAGAGGCAGCATCGTCCTCCCACACGGTTATACGAGAGCTAACGGGGGTTCTAGTTCTCCGTCTATACTCTCTCGTGGTCTTCTCGATCACACTGGCCTTCGCCGCTGATGGTCCCGTCGGGTCTCTCCTCTGGCCATCATCCCGCCCTCAGGGCGGTGTGGGGAAAAAAAAAATCACTGCGCAGCGAGGGACGGCTTGCGGTGGTGGTGTGGAAATTGGCCTCTAGGAGGAAGGGCGAGACTCCATGTTTCTCAATTCTTACCCAGCCCAATGCAAGAGGGCCTAGTCAGGCGACCCGATTTGTCTAAGTGGCCGGCGGGATTGGCTCACAGCCAGCGACCTGGATGTATTGAGCATCTGCAAGAGGGAGAGAGCTGCATATCGTCAGTCCACTCAACCGCCGAGCCGAAATCGTGATGGTTGCAATGGTTATGCACGATACTCCCTAATGCCATATATTTTCAGCATATGACCTGCTGGCTAGTTGCGGCGGCGTTGCGGCGGCCTGCGCGTTTCGCACGCTCTCACGTCCCTGCTGTTGGCGCGCCCTCTTGCATACGTACGGCTCGTAGGTGAGCCAGAAAAGCCTCCGAACCCAGATCTGGGGACGGACACGAGCTCTTCCAGCCTGAGACGGCTGCAGCGTGAACAATTACACCCGTCGCTTGTCCCGCTCGATCTAGCGCCGGGCCTTCACGACCCAGGCGACGCAGATGGGCCTTGTCCGGAATATTACCTATATCCTACATGGCAGTGCGTCGGGGACGGGAGACGCGCAGGGGGGGGAGAGAGGGGGAGTCGGGCATCAGCACTTCGCCGTCGAGGCCCTTGTTTTCATTTGCTGTGTTTTATTATATTGGGGATGGGGGAGAGGGTCTGTGGGAGAGGGCGCTCGTTTTGCGGGTGTAGAGAAGCTTGGGGCTCCTGTTTACCAGAAGACGGGCAAGGGGGGGAGGGGGGGGGAGGAGATGAGGAGGAGGCCAAACCCATCTCGATAATTTTATTGTTTTATTGTTTTATTTTCTTTTTTTTTCCTCCGGCTGTCTCCCTCTATACCCTCTCTCGCGCTCACACTCTCTCTCTAAACCGTCCCCCGCCCTCTCTGTCTCGCCTCCTCACGGTTGAGGCATACATAGAGTACCACTACCAAACCCGGGAGGCCCTGGTAGCAGCAAAACCACCTTGTTCCACCGCGCTACCCTGGTAGACGCAAAGCAACCTAGAGGATCGCCGCGCACATTATCGACGACCACGACTCACCACATTCGTTCGTTTGTACAACTTACCTAACTCGCCGGGCTAAGACACGTTCGCTTTGGTCCTCGGTTCGCTCTCGTCCCAAGACGCGCGCTTGGGTCGTACATTTTCTTTTCTTTTTCTTATTTGCGCGCGTCTCTCGACCCTCTTGCGGGACGCTCACACCCTCCCTCCCTCTACCCTCCGGGATCCTGGCGCAATACCTACTACCTAACCTGCCTGCCTGCCTACTACTACATACATACCCTACATACCTACTTACTTACATACACCCACACGCAACATACCCTGCTATCTCGACCGTACATCCTGGTCCCGTCCGTCACTGCCACCTGATGGCCTAGACCTTCGGGTACGCCAGGCGTCTTCTGCTGCTTCACCTATCACCGTCGTCCCGGCTTCTACCTCACGGCTGGCTTGTCCTTCGAGTGTCTTTTTGTTGATCGCCTTCAACTCTCAAATGACTTGCTCGCAACTCTGCTGGCACATCCCTTATCTTCGCCACCCCTCCTCACCCTTGCCGCCGTCCGATTTAGTCACTCGTCATGGATACCACGTTTTCAGATGACGAGAAGGTAACGCTCCTCCGTGGCTAACCCTCCCTCTCCTCTCCCCCCCCGGTGCCTCCCGACTAATGCCTACGTGCTGCAGCGGTTCGTCCTGGGCGAGATTATCAAAGTCAGCACGATAGATATTTCTACCCTGGTCGACTTCATCAAGGCTCATCAAGTCGAGCCGAACTGGATGTCGATGCAGCTTCCCGGCGGTACGTATTCGGGGATCGCTGTTACCGTTATCCCCCCCTAATGAAAACAGGCCGCAATATGAATCAATGCTTTGGTGCCGTCGAAAACATGTTCCAGACTAAATACGCCCCTCCGACCTTGTCGGGCTTCAAGCGCAAGTCCCTAAGCGATCCGGTCGACCACCCCGTGAAGAGACAGGCGATGATGGCCCCCCTCGAACCTTCTATACCGCCGGCGCGCAATATCCAGCCGCGCCCTCCGAACGGCTTCCCATCTGCGGTGACTGTTAGTGGTGGGCCGGCACCGACGACGACGGGAAAGAAACGCGGCCGACCCTCCAAAGCGGACAAGGAAGCCCAGGCTCGCGCGGTTTACTCACGGTCGACAGAATATGCTCCGATCACGCCGGCTCCTCTGGCTCCCATTGCGCTCCAACCCCAACGCGAGTATGCGTCCTCTCCCGGATACGAGATTTCGAGCAATCCAGCCGACCAGAAGTCCAAGAAGCGCGGGGTCCTCGGCGCCGTCGACAGCCCCCAGCAAGCAAGCAGCTCGTTCCCCTTAACCTCTCCAGCATCTGCCACGGACACGCCACGCGCTCTTCCGGAGCCCCTTGACCAAGTAGAGAGGGCAACTCTTTCCCCCCGTGATCGAGCCTCGGTTTCGTTGGACTCGCGATCTCCTCCGCTCCACCCGCATTTACCACAACAAGATCAGTTGCAAGGGCTCTTGCACGTACAACCTCGAAACCAGCCTCTGCCGTATCCATCATCGCCACGAACTATACAGCCGTATGAACCCCATCGAGGTCTCGATCCCATTTTCCCGAACAGAGACAGGTCGAGGAACGCGAACATTCCGGATCAGCTAAAAGACGCCCCTCCTCTACCTCCTGTAACTACGGTAGCGAATCGGAGTTGAAAGAGCGCGGGTTTTTTTTATTAGATTGGTCAGTCTAGTCAATACGTGATACCAGATACCTATCCATTCCTATTTTTCTTCGGTGCTTATAGACAGGCGAGCAAGTGGGATTGTTGCAGGGAGGCCATCTTCCAGCTCGCGAATTTCTCTTCACGTTCCGAATATCTGGGCCAGATCGCTAGTTTATCACGGAATACCCATGGGAATCTTTCTTGTTTTGTTCCCCTCGGCTCTACTGTTGGACGGCGGTTATCTGCGGCGCTTTCACGATCCCGCGTTGCCGGTTTCGCTTTTATTCCTTGCGCTCCTTTTGCAAACGACCAGCGAACAGGTTCCCGTCAATAAAATACGGTACAACACATCTCCCATTACAACGGCGTCTCTAGGCGCATCGATAACTAGAATTCGACGGTCCCTCGGTTGCAACACTATCAGCGCATTTCTATCGTCTAGGACACAGGATTACGAGAGCTACGCTCCCAACGGCGGGAGAGAAAGAGCCCCCTCTCTTCGTGTACAATTTCTCGGACGGAGTTCCTTTGGTTATACAACGAGGCAGGTTTGCCTAGGTGGTTGGAAGACGGAGATTACGATACATACGCGTTTGTACGGCCGATCGAGCGAAGCCTTACGAGAACCAGAAAAGGAGAAATACACAAATACGTACGCACGAAATAATGGTAGAAATTCTACCATTAGCCAGATGGGCTAGACATGCGAGTATTCTCGTCCGAAAAAAAAATGTGGTAAACGGAAAGATGGGAAATTTGTGGTGGCAATACTCTCGATCAGTCAACGATTGAAGCAGAACCCTAAAATCATCATCGCTTCCATCGCTGTCCATAAATACGAGTTGGCCGCTGCCGCGGCCTTCGTAAAGCATCTAGGAAGAGAGTCGGAACTACGGCGCGTAGAAAAGAGTCCGCTGTGTTGGATAAAAGCTCGCGGCAATTCCGAACCATCTATAGCGATTTCTAGTTTCGCGGCCGGTGGTGTTTGAAGACAAACGAGCGAATAGCTACAGCGCCTATACCCCGCCTAGGGTTGGCCAGCGTGATATTACTGCCGTTTAGCTACATAGAGAGAATCCCGCCGTCGGAAAGATTACAAAGGGACAGACCAAGAGAGAGAAAGAAAAATTATGTAGCCATCGATCGTAACTCGTCCGCGGCGGTACAGAAGAACCCTCCCGCACCATATAACACACCGACTAACAGTCCCGAGAGACGGCTAATCGAAAGCGCCGTACTGGGCATTTATACCAACGGCCAATGGGATATTGCCAGACTCGAGGTTGCGCCGTACAGGTCGAGACCTCGACGCTGTGATAGGTCGAAGCCGAGCTGGGCAATAAGTCAGACCCAATGGGATCAATCGACAGATGTCGTCGGTCTCTCGCTTCGCTCCGGGGCTATAATAGGAGGTGAGTAGGTCAAGGTAGGGAGGCTGGCCATGACGGACGGACAGCGGGAGGAGAAGGGGGGAGGCGAAAGTACATACAGGCTCGTATCTGTTTCAAGTCTGCACATACGTAGTCCGGACGGTACGGAAATATGCACCAGGAGGGGGATCACCATGCCTCTCCCCGCACGAATCTCGCAGCGTCCGGTTTATACCACCGGGAGGGACATCAGGGTCGAGGACTAAGGAGCGCGAGCGCGAGCGCGAGCGCGAAAGATGGAGAGAGAGAAGGAAGAGCAGGAGAGAGAGACACAGAGAGAGAAACAGACAGACAAACGGACAGACAGAGATAGACGTGCCATCCACACAAGCGAAGATAGTGGCGTAAGCACTTGGAAGAGGAATGGCGACACCGTGCTCAAGAGAGGCGGAGACGGAGACGGAGCCAGACGCACCACACACAGAGAGAGAAAGCGGTCAGTGGGCGAGCGCAGTGTGGTCTCGAGTCCCGTACAAGTCTCACGTAAGATATTAGCACGCCAAGCCCCAAATCGCCTCCCGACTTGTGTGTTCTCTCTCGTTATATCGTGAGGGCTTGGGCCGGTCAGGCGTCCGTCCCTCGCGCGTTCGGTCTGTGTAGGGGGCGGCACTGGGGCCGCCGTCGCCCTCTGACCAAATACACGCCACACAGACGTGCACTTGCGCGTCCGCCGCTACCGTCTCTACATACAGCTCGGGGAACAGGAGCAGGTAGGGTGGACGGGAGGGAGCGAGAGCGCGCACATGCCTCCTACGTGCGTACGGGGGAGGGCCGGGGGGCGGGGGGGGGGGGCCTCGCAACGGTTGTGATAGCTCACATCGCAACTACACGCGCAGTTATTGACGCACCTCAGGACGAGGTCTGATACATAGACGGCCGGCTTCTGCTTGCTTGCGCCCTCGTCAACGAAACCGGGGTGGGCCACGCCGCCTACTACGCGTTCGGAACCGTTCGCTTTTTTTTTTTTATTTAAATGTGTGTTTTCAATTATTGTAGAGCGCCACCCCTTGAAACACGTCGATCAATTGCCCGCCAGCAGACCTCTACCCCATAGTGCCGTACCGGCATATCGCGGCGTGCATCCTCGATACGTAGGGCCCGCGGATCTATCGCAATCTTGACTACAGCATAACTCTACCTACTCCCAGTGGCGAGGGAGGGGGGGGATCGTGTAACCACCCCCCCCCCTCCCCCGGCCCATCGTTCGTTTCTCGCTCGCCTCCCTCCTCGGAAATTCAAAAAACTGCCTCTCCGCCTCCCCACCCCCTCGTCGGTGGGAAGTACACGGATGTACGTATCATCATTATTCGGAAGCGCGGGAGGCGCGGGGAGCGTAAGCCGCCTGCCGCGCGGCCGTCAATCGTCGTCGTCGGAGCCGCTACCGTCGCGCCTAGCGCGCTTCTTGCCCCTCGGGGGGTGCGCGGCCTCGCCGCCGCCGTCGCCGCCACCATAGCCGTCGTCGTCCTTGCGGACGAAGACGTAGCTCCGGGCGGGGCGGTCCTCGCCGCGCCAGGCGCCGCGGCCGCCGCCGCGGAGGGCGCCGAGGGTGCGGGCGTGGCGGTAGCCCGGGTAGGCGTCGGCGCGGAAGGCGAAGCTGCGGGCGACGCGCAGGCCGCAGTGGCGCGCGAGGTCGCGCACGTTCCACAGCGTGTACGGCTCGCCCTCGAACAGGGTCACGACGATGGCGCCGCCGCGGGCCAGCGACGGCGCCGCGCGCCCGAAGAAGCCCACCAGCAGCTCCTGGTTGTGGCGCACCTGCCGGTTCACGTCCGTGCTCTTACCCCCGACGTGCGGGAAGTTGAACAGGATCCGGTCCATGCGGCCCGCCGGCGGTGCGGGTCTGCCGTCGTCGGCGGCGGCGTTGTGGTGGCGGTTCGAGGAGGCGGAGGACGGCTTCTTGGCCACGAACGGCGCCATCTTCGTCGCGTCCACCCCGTACAGCACCCGCCCGCCCTCGGCCTCCACCTTGGCCGCGTTCGCCCGCGCGTCCGCGTGCTTCGCCGCGAGCTCGTCGAGGCTCTTCTCCGGCACCGTCGCCGTCACGTCCGCGCAGAAGTGGTGCTCGACGAGCGACGCCGCGAAGCTCAGGTCGCCCTCGCCGACCAGCAGGATCCGGTGCTCGGGCGCGAACGGGATGGTGGGCGCGTCGCGAGGCGGCGCGCCCTGCGATCTCCGCTGACCGGGCCCCCCTTTCGAGGGCGACGCCGCAGTGCCTTGCCGATGCTGCTGCTGCGGCGGCGGCGGCGGCGGCGGAGGATTCCTCTTCGGGCTCTTCTGCGGTTGGCTGCCGGTGGCGGGCCTCGACGGCGGCGGCCGGGCGTGGTGCGCGACCTTCCTCCGCTTCCCCATGTTCGCTAGCTGTGGGCCAACAACCCCTTAGCGGCGCATGGTGCTGGGTGCCGGCTGGGGGTGCGCGGGCGGGCGGGCAGGCGGATTCGCCGCTGCGCGCGGATTCGGGAGAGGATTCGTCGGCGCGGGAGGTACGGGAAGGGTCTGCGGGATGTGCGGGATGTGCGGCTGGAGGGCGGCCGGAGGCGAGGTGAGGTGAGGTGAGGCGAGGTCGTTTGTGCTGAGCAAGGAAAGAAAAATTAGTGGCTCACGACCGCTCCGTAGACGCGGGACATGCCACCCCATGCGACTTGGGGCCTCGACGGGAACGAGGTACGGGGGCGCTAATCCCGATCTGGCAACTCTCTGGGGCACGCACACGTGCACATTAGGTAAGTAGGTACGTACGAGGTACTTCTACTTGCCTTAGGCTCCAAGGTACCTAGAGGTACCTATTTACCCTTGTCTTCCTTTTTTAGCCTACCTGCAATATTACCGGAACCTGTATGTGTATGAGGAGACAACCTAAACTCATCCGAGGATCTGACGGTGGATCTATCCGTTTCTGTAGTAATACTAGCCTTACATGTACCTACATATAGGTACTTGAGGTATATACCTATAGGCAACTAGCATACATGCAATAGCACTTCACCCGTTGCGCGCAGGCATTGAATTAATAGAACCCATAGTTACCCGAGGACTGGTCCTATGGTAGATATAGTAGACATACTTGGGTACCTACGTATGGCTTTCTAACCCGGGACTCTGGAGTGAATATCACCCTGCGGCGCGCCTTAGCATGGCCCGGTACGTGTACCCCGGGTACCTGCCGATGTGCGTGTAGGCAATCGCCCCCTTTGCCTAGAAATGGTATGTGCCCAGGGATACGAGTAAATACATTGGCCCGTAACCTGTGAGCTCCCGCTGTATTCGTCACTAACTGGACATGGGCTATCCATTTATATACGCCATTCCTTCGAATATAGACACCTAGTGCCTGCGGTACCAGTAAGCCAGGAGGTAGGTTACCTGAGGAGATGGATGGAGGAGGCCAAATCGGGTTGCTGTTACATCGAAAGCCAGCAGACCAGCCTCCCGACGCTGAGCCTTACAGGATTCGTCACGACATGCCGGTTTCACCTCACGTGTAATAATCCCTAGTCTGCTGTCTTCTCTCGCCTTCCGCGCTTCCAGCTGTCTCTCAGCACCGTTTCCCGTTAGCGAGCTGACACCTACAGGTCAGGCGCCTGGAGGTAGCCCAGCCCCGAAACTCGGTTCTCTATTACTTTCCCGGGGTGTTATCTTTTGGAAGGAAGAAGAGCGTCGCCGCCGCATCTACGTACCTAGGTAGGTATTTATGTAGGCATTGCCGGCAGCAACGCATGTGTGTACCTGTGTATTCCTGCGGTGGGCGTAATTGTAGGCGCGCGCCGGCTTACAGCATATAACAATTAATCTTTGGTCGATACGAGCCGGTAGGTTAGGCTGAGGCGCTCGGCGGATCGCCTCTTCGCCTAACGGACGTGCGCCCGAAGACGAGGCTCGAGGTTAGGTGAGATTGCACACCCAAGTCGGGAAAATGCTCACGACATGCACTGCTACATACACGCTGACTTGCCTCTGCGTTCCTGAACATTCCGGCTCGCGTAGTCTTAGTGAGGACGACACGTAGGTTGCACACGGAGAGGATTGCGGCTGTAGGTATAAGATGGCAATGGACCTTAGGGCTGGATACCACCTACCTACATACAGAGGTAGGCAGTAAGCATTCCTACCTACCTGTACCTGCGTAGGTAGTATACTCCCAACCGGATACCTCGATGCAGTTTCGGCTTTCTGCGCTGGGCAGGGTAGCCTAATACCTTGGGCGATCCGAAGTCGATCGAATGCGGGAGACATGCCTATACCTACACACATGCCCATATATGCTTGTACGTGGAACCTGGGTCGGGCAGGCTGACAGGTTGGTGGGTAGAGGTTGAGTTCGGCTGGGAGGTATGTAGGTAACCTACGTCCTAGGTAACCCACACCCCAGGCCGTCTCTCGCAATCTCCGGCGCGAAGCTTGGGTTGGATGGGACACAGGTCGGCGAGTTGCGAGAGATAGAGGATGTAGAGGGACGCACCTTGGGAGGTTCGTACCAGACGTTCAAATATCAGGTACCGAACCTTAGATGGGCACGTAGGTGGGTAGAGGTAGGCACCTAGGGAGGTAGGGAGATAGGCAGGTGAAGAAGTACCCCCTACAGCAGGTCAGGAGGTACCCAAGGTAGAGAGGTAGGTACCTACCTTCCAGCCTAACCTTAGGTGCTACGGCACCCGTACAGCACTCGCTCAAGTCCCTGCGTTAGGTACACGCGCGTGCTGGGTTAGGCGCCTACAGGGCACGCCCTAGAAAAGCGCCGACATGCCCGGCCAGGCACCGGATGGGTTGGCAAAACACCTCACGGCTTCGCCAGGCGCGGGGATGCGGCGGCGTGGGAGTGCGCGGGCAGGCACAACTGACTGAGAAGTTGTCGGGTTGTCGAAGCTGGCGCCGCCGGGGGCAGGTACAAGGCACGGGACGCGGACTAGCGATTTCTCCGGGCCAATCACGAGCGCCGCAGCCTTAAAAAGCGGATCCCAGTGCGGCCGGACCGTGCAGGGACTTGACTGTATCGGGAAGTCCAGGGTGTGGTCTTGCTGTTTAGTTGTTGCTGGCGACGAAGAAAATCTCATGGCGACGGACGGTCTCGAGCTGTTGACGGAATTGTCCCTATTGTCGCGACCTTTCTCGACGAGCCGGAGCCATCCAGATATCCGGACGGGCTGGTCTGCTGGCTCTGGTCCTCTCCGTTTTCTCAGCTGAGGCCTGTGTTTTTTTTCCCTCTCTCTTGCTGCTTCTCCTGTGACTCCTGCCCAAGGAAGCCGGCCGCTCTTAGTTTGTTCCCTGACCTTTCTCCTCCCATTCTCATACTCGGCCGTCTCGCCAGTTGCACGCCTCCGCCAGCGCATGCTGGAGACTGACAACCCCCAAAATTAAATGACCCTGCAACTCTCTCTTCCTACCCAGCCGCCGGCCTTTCTTTTCCTTGGGGCGCGCTTCTCTGCTGCTCTATCGCCTTGCCGCGCGGGAAGTCCGCAAGCAAAGCACAATACCTGGCCCGGCTGTAATCCTCGCCTCGCCTTCGCACCATCAGACCGCCCTCCGTGTTAGTTTTTCTGGCTCTTCACCTCTACCCAACCCGTCTTGCCCAGTTGAATAGGGTTGTGCAATAAATCACCTTGTCTACACATCCGCCCGCACACAACTCACACACACACACACATGCCCACGCATACACACATACACACATATCCGCACACACGTACGTCCGCCTCCTCCCTCACCCATTTCTCGTACCTATCTATCGCTCCCCCTCTCTATCGCTCCCTCCATCTCTCGCGGGCTCGCTCTATCTCTCGCTTCGTACCACTCCGTCATCATGGGCAGCGCGCCGCAGCCCACCAAGTCTCCTGCGCCGAGCCCCGCCAAGGGGAAGGCTGCTGCGACTAAGAAGACTTCCGGAGGCGTCACGAAGCGAGCTGGCCGCAAACCTGCCGCCAAGAAGGCAACCCGCGGTAAGGGACGGGGCCAGAAGAAGTCTTACCCTGAACCCTTTGCCCAGGCGTCCTACGAGCGCCAGCGAGAGCTGCGGGATCTCTTTTCGCAGGTGTCGATAGCCCTCAAGCCGGCTCTCGACGAGATAGCCGATCAGACGATCAAGGCCCTCACCCAAGATATCGATGCACACAAAGCCGTTCCCGAGTATGAAATACTCCAGCGGCAATTGGACGGCCAGCTTCAGAATGTTATCGAGGCTGCCGACAAAGAGCTTCATATGCGAGTGAAGATCACCGATCGTGAACACGCCCTCGAAAACACCCGTACCGAGAGGGCCTTCATGGTAAGTATATATTCTTCCTGGTACCTATCCGTATCATATTCTACCGCGTCTTCGTGCCTCCCCCCCCCCCAAAAAAAAACCAACGTCCCCGTGGCTGACTTGTCCTCATCTAGGATTCCTACGATTACCGAACCGAGGAGTTCTACGATGGTGCGCTGAACCGCACTAGTATCTTGGCCGAGCTTCGCCGTGAAGGTCGAGCCCTCGATGTAAGTCCATCGTCTATCAGACCTTCCTCGTTACCCCCCCTCTCCTCGCAGAAATTCCGTTAACACTTTCCCAGACTCCTGATTTGACTTACAACTACGTCGAGCCTTCGGCGTTGCCTGTCGTTATGGAATCGGATGGATCTGAGGCTGCTGCTGAGGACCAAGGCCGCAAGACAAAGCTGACCGGGAAGCGGAGAGTGGATGACCAGTCCGATGGACGTACAGACTCAAAGAAGCCACGACACGTCGCCGGCTTGCTCTCTTCCGAAAAGGAGCCTGATGGAAGGCCTGAATCCCGCGAGCCGTCGCCCTCCGCGCTGGATGACCAGGAGTCGGGGGTCTCCAACGGAAAAGACTTCCCCGATCTTCCCAATGGCGCGTCCGAGGCCGACGAATGGGGCGTCCGGGCTGTGAACCGACGCGCTAAGAGTCCGTATAATCGCTTCATCGTCCCGCAGACGTTCCAGTTCGAAGACCACGAAATAGGTTTTCGGGACTCGACAAACGACTCCACCCGGAAGGCCACGCGTGCTACGAGAGGCCGATTCTTGAACGAGCCAAACTCGCGTAACTTTCATTGGGACCATACAGTTAGAGACTACGATTGCCGTGAATATAAGGAAGATGCGCTAGACACTGCCCTTACCAAAAAGCACGTCTTGCACCCCCGCTATGGATTCCCGATGCCTGACTCCGAAAACGAGGCGGAGCCGCCGGGTGAACGCGTCGATGGGACGCGGCCTGTGGTCGTCGTGCCTAGTGCCACCGTCACTATCCATGCCTCTCGCTCAGTCAGACCGAAGAAGATGGACAACATGCTCAAGGAGGATGCCACCAAGAGCACCACGGCGATGATGCTCGCCGACTTTTGTGCCAAGGAAGGCATTAATCCCGATGAAATCGTCACTGATGAAATGCGCGACCGTGAACGTCAAGCACGCGAGAGACTAACGCTCCCCCCGGATGAAGACGACAACGGCAGCGGCGACAACGGTGACGGCGGCGAGGCTGCTGTCGAGGAGCACAGCCCTCGCCTATCGATAGAGGCCTATAACGGTCTGGTTCGGGAGCACGTGAATATGCTCTTACAGGCCGCCTCTCAACTAGAGCAGGACAAGCCAGCTCCGCCCACGTCAACCCAGCGCTCGTCCCGGCCATATGATGCGGTGCGAGATGTGTTTACCAGTGCCGAGCCAGCTCCTGCACGCCCAGAGTTGCCTATGGAAGGCCACCCCCACGGGCTCTCTATCCTCGCGGACGCGGCACTCGGTGGTTCTCAGCAGCTAATCCACACAGACGTGGCCGCTACAAGCGATTCATCCATGATAGATCCCCGCCTGCTCGGCCTGTTTAACCCGCCACCCCAACCCAACGCGTTCTTACAGACGGCGTTGAATCCCTCGCCGTCTTTTGCCCACATCGCGCCGTCCCCTGCTTCCTCGATGGAGCCGATGCAGCCGACCGTCTCCTCCCGTATTCCCTTTACGGGCCAGGCCAACGCCAGAGACAGCCCAATTCTCCCACCCCTCCGCCCGAACAGATCTGACGGCCTGGGTAAAGGGTCGAACGGACCGCCGCTGCAACAACCTCCGCCTCCCCCTATTCACCGACCCCAGGAATTTGGTTCCCCCCACGGGCTGCTCCATACGAACTCGGGAAATTTTTATCCTCCGGCCCCGTCGCGAGCCTACCACCAGAGCTATTCGTTTCACGAACCGGCGTTGATGCCGGTACCTCAGCAAGTCCAACCCTTCGCCGGGCCCGGTATGATCGTAAACCCACACGCACCGCCTCCTCACCTGGCCGGCTATCCGGTGATGTCTTCGTCTCTGCAGGGTCAGCCACACATGGGTTCTATGTCGTCGCAGATGGAGATTCCCCAGCCTTCGGTATCACCACCAGGCCCGCCCATGCTAGGTCCGTCTTCGCCGATGCATACCCCACGCCATCGAGCATCGATGGCGTCCAACGGGTCCGGGTCCGGATCTGGAAAATACCGGAAGATCGCCGCCGCCCCTATCCCCCATAACCGTCCGTGGCCGGGCAATGGTGCCACCGAGCTAAGACTTGCCCACTACGACCACAAGGAAGCCATCAAGGACTATAGAGCCAACGAACCGCCCCCGCGGAGCGGTCCTACCACCATACGAGGGTGGAATGTCAACAATGGCTCCAAGGGCCGGAATAGGAGCGTTAAAAAAGAGGATTCAGAGGAGAAGGATTCTCCTAAGTAGGTCCTTTTAAAGACGATTCTTTGAAGGCTGTCATATTGATTATTATCATTTCGCAGCATGATATCTCCATTTATTAGCAAGTGGAGCGCCTCGGATCGAGGCTGAGGGCGTTCGACACCCACATCCATCCTCTCACATCTCGAGCTGGCGAAGTCGGCGGGTGAACGGACGCACACATGGTTTCGCCCCTCGACTTTCGCCTACGAACGAACGTCTGCGTTGCCGTCCCTCCCCATAACATCTCGGTTTTTCGTTGCGGTCGTCACATTTTCATCATCTCTTTTTCTTTTGCAACCACAGCATGGCGGATCCGCAGAGAAGGAAGGCTAGGCCACATGGATAGTACGCGCAGCATCGGACTGGAAAATGGATGAATGCATAGTCGTTGGAATTTGGGACCCATCAACCGACAGACCTCTGCATATAGCACCGGAGTTTCAGGGGACGCTTCTTTTTTTTTCTTTTTAATTCCTTTCGCCACCACACGTCATCCTTTCTGCCGTCGTCCTAGTCCTCGTCGTTTTCGCCTGGAGAGTATCGGGCATGAGAGCATCCATCTCGCCCGACGACGCAGGACTTTTGCATTTGTGTCATTACGGTCGATATAGGCCGTTGGTTTTTTTTTCTTTCTCCTCTCTTTTCTCCGTCCACAAAGATAGACGCTGCCTAGGACGATAAGACAGCTGGGTAGCCGGCTGGCTGAGCCGGCTGGCTGGCTCGTCTAATTACATCGACACAGGCTGCTCCCCGCACGCCCGTACCGGGCTTCTGGAGCGAGGGCGATGGCGAGGGCGAGGGGACCGGGGTGCGAGGGAGTGGGCGGGTGCGTCGACAAGGAACGTGATTTCGACCAGCGGGGCGACCGAGCGACCGACTATGAACCACATATATAGACCTTAATACCTATATATTTATTACTCGCAGTGTTTTTCTATCCGTGTCCTGCTTTCCTGGCTTCGTGATTAGAGCTCTCTTGTGATTCATTCGGGTGACTCGACGGAGGGGTTCGTGACACCCGGCCCCGGAAACCAGCCCGTGGATGATACGAGGCGAGGGGAGGGGGGTTCGTTGCCAAATGGTACCTACTAGGTATGCGAAATATCTCCTTAGGAGGAGGTAGGTTAGGTAGTTATATACAAGCGATCGCCTAGCTACACGTACCGTGCAAAGCGAGCCTCTACCTACCTACCTACCTACCTACCTACCTACTCACTCTCCTTACCAAGACACCTCTCTTCCCCCCTTCCGGGAAGCGGAAGAGTAGCCAACATCTCTTCCTACCTACCTGCCTGCGCAGCGACGCCTTGGTCCCTTAGGTACCGTTTTCGCAGCTCTCTGGACCTCGCGGCAGCGCGCGTCGCGCGCGGGAGATGACGAGACCGGGCAGCTCTGCACGTCGAGGCAGCTTAGTCACGCACACGCGCGCGTCGTAGGGTACCCTACGCTGGTCACGAACTTGCAAGCCACGGCCGTGACTTGAGGAGAAGACGGGCGACCCGACCCGACCGCGCTGCGGAAACTGTTGTTCTATCTATTCTACACGGTAGCGACCTCGCGGCCGGGCGGGCTGTTCTCTTGTCTCCCCCCCCCCCTCCCTCTCCCCCGCCGCGCTTCTAACCCTGCGCTCATTTGCAGTTTGATGCGGCTGCTACTGCTGCCCCTTTCCCGATCCCGCTCCCAGCCTCCCTAACCCTTAGGAGGAAGGAAAAAAAAAATAATAGACAAGCTACCGGTCCGTCCCGAATCATGCGGATTATTACGCAAGAGCATTTTTTTAATAAAAAAATTCATGTTTGTGGCCTCCCCTGCTTCCCCTCTGTTAGAGTGATCCTGGGTAGGCAGGGAGAGCTGGTTATTTTTACCTACACACATACACATACACACGCCTGCGAAGGCGGAAGACGGAAGACGCGCCGGGTATTGTTTCTTTCTCCCTTTCTTTCTTTCTTTCTTTCCTTCCCTTGTATCCACTCATGTGCGCAGTCTATCGCAAAGAAAAAAGAAAAAAAGAGAGGATCAAAGACGTCGGGGGTCGCAGAGAGAGAGGCTATCCCCTATTCCGCCTGTCTATTGTTACATTCCGGGCCCCGTCAGTATGCTCGCATCGCCGCCGTCTATGGGGAGTCCTGCTTGTGGTAGGTCGACCTGGGGTATCACGTGGATCGCGGCCTCGAGCTGGGCCCTGCCGAGGTTGCCCTCGGGGTGCAGCGGGTACACGTCGGCCTCCATCTTGTCGCCGTCGAAGACGACGGTGTTCTGGATCGGCTGCTGGCGCTGGCCGCGCACGTTGATGACGTCCTGGGCGAGCTGGCCGCCGAGCGCGGCCGCGACCGGCGCCACCTCGCTGCCGACGTTCTGCAGGAAGCTGCGCAGGAACTCGGAGCGCAGCGTCTCCGGCGGCAGCGACAGGACCGCGTGGCTGTGCGTGGCGAGCCGCGTGAACTGCTCCAGGTCCGCCTTGTTGTGCCCCGGGTACCGGTCCTCGTTCAGCTGCTGGAAGGCCCAGAGCGCGCGCAGGCACGACAGCGCCGGCGTCACCGCCCGCAGCCGCCGCTTCGACCTGATGTACTCGGCCGGCAGCACGCTCGTCTCCCACGCCAGGTCCCACGTCGAGTACAGCTCGCGCTTCTGCACCTTCTCGATCACCTTCCCGCCCTCCTTCTGCAGCTCCACCTTGGCGACGCTGCGCGTCCGCGTCTCCGGCCCCACGACGGTGGGCACGTTCGGCTTGTCGCGCTGGAGGACGTAGTCGTGCTCGATCAGGTCACAGAAGATGTACCCGTAGAAGCCGTGGGTGCCGGCTGCGTAGAACTGCCGGTTGTGGAGCCGGGTGGCGGTGTTGGTGAAGGCGAAGAGCGTGGGGCTGAGATCGGTGGCGATGACGATGTCGAAGTCTCCGAAGAAGGAGGCGCCCTTGGTCGTGATGCTTCCGGGGTCGGCGACAACCTTCACTCGGGGATTCAACTTCTGGATCTGGCTGACAGCGGCTTCGGCGCGGTTCTGGCCGATGTTCTCTTCCGACAGGAAGAACTGGGCCCCCAGGTCGGCTTCGGTGACTGGCTGGTCGTCGATGACCGTCAGGGAGCCGATGCCGGCCAGGACAAGGTTCTTGGCGATCTCGTTCGCCAGAGCGCGCATGGTGACCAGGAGGATGTTGGCGCTCTGGATCTTCTGCTGCGCTTCCATGCCCCAGAGACGGAGCTGGCGATCGTAAAGAGCAATGTCCTCTTTTTTTTTTTTAAGTGTGAGAACGGCGGAGCGAGAGAATAGGATGGGCCGTGGGCTACTTTACCTGCGCTTAGGGCGTTGCCATTTTCTGGCTGCGCCGTCGCGGAGCTATCGAGGCTCATGACGGGTTGGTTTGGGAGTAAGTATTATCAGGCCCGGGCGGCTGCTTCGTCCTCGCCCGTGCGGCCCGGTTGCCTGATGCAGCAACTCTGTTTATGCGCAGGTGAGACCTGGGAATCAGATGCGATGCGGACATGCGATGCGGATACGCGATGAGATGTGATGTGAAGGGATGCGATGAAAAGGACCAGCCTCGCTGCTTGCTCTCTTTTAGGTTGGTAACGCGGCTGGGCTGCGTTGCGCGTCGATGCGCCGTAATGCGTGTCGGATCGATAAGGCTAGGCTAATCTGATAATGGAATAATTTCTGGGGCAACGACTGGAAACGGGGAGTACCCAATACATAGGCAGGTACGTACCGCGACGATGTATCTGAGGTACTTACCTGTTTAGGGAATAAGGATCTAGGTAGGTACCTAGGTAGGTAAGTACATACCCAAAAGCCCAACCTGGGCAGTGTAGGAGCGGTCCCTGTCGACCTTAGGTATGTGTATACCGATACCTAATATATGCACATAACATTGGATAATAGATGCGTACCATGTGGTATCAAGTTACCTTCCTACCAAGGAGCAACTTGAGGGGAGCTTCAATGAGCTGTTAGGTCCTTCCAAAGACTCATCTCTTTGTTCCGTTTCTACTTGTTGCCAGGCAGCCCCCATTAGGGGGGCACCTAAGTAGTATTACGCGAGCAGCCACAGCGCTGCTTATGTGTCTTCTCGCGATTTTCATGCTTTTTCCGAGCTCCGGCCCGAGACCTGGTGGGCAGCGTAGGTACATAGACGTACCATACTTTGCTCAGATACCTAGGTAGATAGGTACCCAATATTGGGACAACTCGGAAACAGGGTACGTGATATTGGTTGGGAGTTGGCAGGCTGAGAGGCGGCATGCAGCTCATTAATTTATTACTTCTCATCACATCTCTCCGTAGGGTTTACCATGGATCATCTTCAGAGCTGGAGCTGCGTCTCTGGTAACATTCATAGGTTAGGTACCTCTTGCCTAAGGTACCTACTCATACAGGTATGTACGTGTACTCATACGTATTAGATTCAGGTGATAGGAGGTGTCTACCCCCTACCTGAATCTCTGAATCTAACCCGACACAGGCTGTTGCTGGGGACCTCACCTTACCTAAGAGGTACCTGGTATATGAGGTACATACCTCTATATACCTTACGGTAGGTACCTAAATTGGTTAGGTACCCGAGGTACTTGACCTGTATCTCGACGCAAGTTGCCTGCCACTTGGCAGGTCTGTACATTCGGCATGTACCAGCCCTGATGCGAGCGGTTCGTAGGCACCTATCCCAATGTAACAGGTGGTCGCGACATAAGCGGGTCAAGCAGGCGCCTGTTAAATGGGTACCGGGCACGAGGCGCTGATTCGTATGGCGAGGCCATGTACTCCCTAGCAATTCTCTCCCTCCCACCTCTCGGGTCAGCAGCCCTGTCCAGTATTTGACCCCGCCTAAATTAGGAACGCACTGAGTGTGAACGTCCATCCATTCAAATCTGCCCACCCCAGACCATCTAAACCCGCCTCTCTCCCTCGCCCTCTCTACGGATCTGCCTTCGACCTGACCTTACCACCGACCAATGCCCACGCTGTGCCCACCACTTTGCTACACACCTCGCTGTCTATCTCACTGCCTCATCACACCAGCCAGTCCACCGCCCTCATCACTTCTCACTGCGCCCTGGCCTGCAACGCATTTCCCTTCCTATTCCCGCTTCCCATTCCAACTCACCTCGCCTTCCAACTTCGCAGTTCTCATCCTCCTCCTCTCACTCACCCACTCACCCACTCACCCACCTATCTATCGCCGTCGCTTCACAATCCCTCGTCCTAGAACGCCTACCAAGATACCTACTTCGAAATCATCCCTCGTCTACTCACCTCGACGCCCTCTTCCTCTTAAGCCTCATTAGACCCTGACTGCTCGCCTGCCCTTACTGTCAGGTCCTCTGAGGTGCGTGAGTCTCTGTGTGGCCTACTTCTACTCAAGAACCCGCACGCTCCCGCCTCTCGGCTCTTAATGGTGAGTGCCTCAGTTGCCTTATATAGTACATACGTACCTCTCTCTCCCTGTTCCCGCTCAACGCCCGTGTTCCATAATCCGTACACTCACCTGCGTACTCACTTACACACGTCCACATCTACCCAGGCCCCGAAGCAGGGCCGAGTCTGTGTCCCCCCCCCCTCCCAAGCGTCTCAAGCGATCGGATCTGGGACCAAGTTACGTACTGACCGTGCCATTATCCGATAGTCGGGCGATCGCTCCGGGAACGCACCTTCAGGTCCAGGTTCCTTCCGTACCGCCGATGAGATAGTCCGTTCTATCCTCGACGGGAATGTTTCACGCTCTGAAATCAGTCCGTCCGGAGAGTTGTATCGAGCTATAGAGAGGCATTATCCGTACTCTCGGCTTTCTAGTAGTACACACACGGACCTCGTCCAGAACCGTCTAAGCTCCCTAGGTTCTCTCTCGTCGCCGTGGAACACTATGCCATTCGAGTCCAATTCAGACGCCCAGCGAAGATTCTCGAGAGAGCCGCTACCTTCTGACACGTCGCCCCTGTACAACATACCCCCGTCTGCGCCCTACTTACCTCCGCTCCGATCTCTGAACACTCGGCGACCTTCGAATATGTCTTCTTCCGGCGGACTAGCCGGGCGGCATATGCGAGCACGCGCATCCGACCGGTACTCGGCAAGACCGCGGGGCCCTCACGAAAGTCGGAACGAAAACACCGAGGAAGCATCCGATGCCTGGGATCAGTTTCAGCCTGCCGAGCGAGGCTTGCATGGTGCGCGACGGTCTGCTACAGCTCAGATGACTGGCTTACAATCATTAGACGAGGAGCGGCTGCGCGAGGATACGAATTCGCAACTGCGAGCGCTTCTAGACTTTACGCATAGTCCTAGCCACTCATATTCTGACCTTTCGTTTTCATCGCCACCTCCGCCGCCGCCGCAAGATCCGGTGGAGGAAAACCGGCGGGTGAAGAGGCGCAAATTAGACTCGGATCATCTGTCCAGTGGCTTTCAAGGCTTTCGATATGGGAAATACGGGCAGGTAAAACCGGGCCAGCTGACGATGGAACTAGTGAGCTGTGATGGTGGCATATACTCGGACAACGGCCAGAAGTATGCCGCCGAGAATATCCTGAAGAATGATCATACCGTCTACTGCACCGAGGGACCTAGGTGTAACATTGTCCTGAGGCACCAAGGCGCCACCGTCTTCACGTTGCAGGAGTTAATCATCAAGGCGCCTAGGTCGGATTTCACTTCTCCGTAGGTGGCACCTCGACTTTCCCGTGCCGTGAAAACAGATCTTGCTAACGGTGCTCTCTACAGTGTCCAGGAGGGCATGGTCTTTGTCTCGATGAGCTCCGATCATCTCCTAACGCGGACGGCGCAGTACCAGATTCAGTACCGGCCTTCTAGGGCTTCGTCTCGACGCGGCGAGTGGGAGTCACATCCCCTGGCGCCTATCGTGTCCGTCAGGCATAATGAAGACGGGACACTGATGACGAACGCGCAGATTCGGGCGAGGCGTCTGTACAATATCGGCATGGATGACGAAGATAACCGCGCTCGCGTCGCCCACATTCCTACGGAATTCAATGTCGCGCCGCCTCCTTTCCGGGTTACTACCGAATGCAGCGACGATGAGACAGACGACCCGATACACAGCGATTGGCGGCCGCCGAATCGGATCGGCTCCCTGCCATTCGAAAGCGAGAGCAGCGACGAGGAGGGGAATACGGACGAGTACGCGTTTGGTGGCTCGAGCTATAGACCTCGTCGACGGCAGCGTCGGGCTAGCACTACGGTGACGGAGACGGAGGAGGCAGCGCAGGTAGCCGCGCAGGAAGCAGCCCGTGCCGCCGGGGCCGGATTGATGGCTCCGCACGCGCGGTTCTTCATCGAGCGGAACACGAGCAGATGCACCATCAGATTCGATCCGCCGGTGTCGGGGCGGTTCATACTGTTGAAGATGTGGAGTCCTCACCGCGACCCGGGCGCCAATATCGATATCCAGGCGGTGATTGCCAAGGGGTTCGCCGGGCCGAGGTATTTCCCATCGGTGGAATTACGGTGACGGGAGGAGGCTAGACGAGACTAAACCGGCGAGGTCGCCATTGCTTCAGCATGGTCGGCCAGCTAATAGAGGGGTGGGTGTTGGTGGTGAGGAGCATATAAAGAGAAGGCGGTCACAACTCGGTTCGTCTCCGCCATGGCGTCTGCGTGAGATGGAGAGACTAGTAGACTGTACGTGCTAGATATTCATGTAGGTATGTGTTGCCGTGTCGGAGTCGTCTTGTCGGTGTTGTCGGTGTTGCCGTCCACGGAGTTGTAGTACAGGTAGGTAGGTGTATCTAAAGATAAATCGACCGATCACTGCACGCTACATACCTACGTACAACTCCGACTCGCACAGGGGTGAGCAGGAGGCACTTTGCGAACACGATGCAGGACCTATCTGCCATCTGCGAATTACTCGAAGGCTGAGATGGGAGTATGGTACTCATAATAACGACGTGGCGCAGGGCCTGCAATGAATAAGAATGAATCATTCTGAGGTGGAGCCGGAGGAGAGGGGCCGCGATGCTGCGTGTGCACGTGTAAAGGTACCTAGCGGTCGTCGTCTTGATTACTGTAGGTACCTCCATACGGGGGGATGGAGTTCTGAGGTACCTCCTAGGAGGGTACCTCTCTGCCGGCGGCGAGTACCTGTCCCCTCGGACTTCGAGTCATCGCTCGCGCTACGCTTAGCCTGCTTGTGGCGATGCATGCGCCTTATCCCTCTCGCCATTGGGGCAGACCGTCCTGGGTTGACTCACAGCCGAGAGAGGAGGAGCGAGAGCAGGTACCGATCTGGTATTTAGCAATTCGGTTCATCACCGACGCTTGCCTGCACGTCCCCGGACGGGGTACTCGATCAATACATGCAAGTTGAGTTAACCTCCTCCATGAGCACCCTAAGGTACCTTAGGTACGCAAACGGGTACCCAACCATCCACTTGAATGCTTGAATGTCCATGTACACAGGTACCTCGCTCTGTGGCGTCCTCCATTCTAGGTAGCTATGAGTACATGCCTCTCCCTGCCCGCTGAAGCCATCCATCCCTACTATATAACCCGGCCGGTAGGCTTCTGGCTACAGACTGCTCAGGTAGAACACCGCATCCCTCCCGTCTGTACGAATCCAGCAGCGTAATAGCGTAATAGCGTTTGCCTACCTCCTCTTCTCAGCTAAAAGTAAGCATCTGCCGGACCCTCCTACGGCCCGTTCAGGCGCTCACACCGTGGCAGAGGACCCTAATCCGTAATTCCGACCTTTCTGCATCACCCAGCACTTACCTACCTGGATCTCTCTCCTCCCTCGCACATACGTCCCTCACGCGACCTCTCCTCCCTCCCCCCCCCATTCCCGCCCGGTCGCAATTCTAGCCTCATTCACGCTGTCGGCATCGCATACGTCGTTATCGGTAGACTCGGCTGCCATGGCTGTGCGCGCACAATTTGAGAACTCCAACGAGTAAGCCCCACCGACCCCGCGATGCAAAAAAGAAGAAAAAAGACGGGGAAAACAGCGGGAGGGGGAATTCGAACAGCAGACCAGCAACTGATCGAGGGTGCAACCCCGGCGTCTTTTAGGGTCGGCGTGTTCGCGACGCTCACAAACTCCTACGCCCTGACCGCCGTGGGCGCGAGCGAAAATTTCTATAGCGTCTTCGAGGCGGAATTGCAAGATGTCATACCCATCTGCCGCACTACTATCGCCGGCACACGCATCATCGGCCGGTTAACAGCAGGGTAAGCCAGCCAGCCGGCCCTCTTTGCCTAGTTCGGGCACCGCAGCATCTACCCCTCTTTCCGACATGCGGCTAACGGGGTTCGCCGTACTTGCGCAGGAATCGTAAGGGGCTCCTCGTGCCGACGTCAACGACAGACCAGGAGCTGCAGCACCTGCGGAACTCGTTACCGGACGAGATCAAGATCCAGCGGATCGAGGAGCGGCTGTCGGCGCTGGGCAACGTCATCGTAACGAACGACCACATCGCGCTCGTGCACCCGGACCTCGAGCGGGAGACGGAGGAGATCATATCGGACGTGCTCGGCGTCGAGGTCTTCCGGCAAACGATCGCCGACAACGTGCTCGTCGGCAGCTACATGAGCCTCAGCAACCAGGGCGGGCTCGTGCACCCCAAGACGAGCGTCCAGGACCAGGACGAGCTCAGCAGCCTGCTGCAGGTCCCCCTCGTCGCCGGCAGCGTGAACCGCGGCAGCAACGTCGTCGGCGCCGGCATGGTCGTCAACGACTGGCTCGCCGTCACGGGCCTCGACACCACCGCCACCGAACTCAGCGTTATCGAGAGCGTCTTCCGGCTCGGCGAGGGCGCCGCGCCCGGCAACATCGCGGGCAACCTCAAGGACACCATGGTGGAAAGCTTCTACTAAAACGGGCGACGATCCTCCGCCGTGTTGTCCAGGCTATTTCTTGCGGGTGACTTTGGTTTGACTTCGGCCCGCCCGTCCGACCCGTCGGCCCCCAGCACCTGGGTCAAGCGAAGAGATCCTGGCATCCTCACCTACTTCGACAAGCCTGAATAGGTGAGGTCCGCCCCCGTGGGGTGGAGGAGAGGAGCTACCGGCTCAGGCCCACTCCGGGGTGGAAGAATCGATGTATGGGATATCTAGTGGCTCCTGGGGAATAGCCGCAGGTCACGGGCGCCATAGTTACGGTGCTACAGAGAGAAGGAAGAAGAGGTGGAAACGAGAAAGGAGGGCGTAGCTATCAGATACCTACATAGTAGGTATTCAATGGAGCATTCCAGTCACCCGCAAATCAGGCTTGCCCCCTCGGGGGTGTCGATGTTATAACTATCTGGTCACCACCCCCCCGTCATGTTTTCGGGAGAGCCTCCCACACGTCAGGGGGAGCTGTGTATACAGAAGCGCCGCACACCTTCACTGATGGCAGCGACTGCCCCGGAGCTTGTTCTAGTGACTAGTTCGCCCGCCAGCCTGCCTGGAGGGGCGGGGAGGGGTTGTGTTGCACGCTGGCTTAGGTAGGCAGTAGGTATTACAGATCCGTCAGCTGCTCGGTTCGTTCGAGTCGAGGTGCGACGTCGGTTCCGAAGGAAGGCCACCTGAGCTTGTGTACGCCGGTACGATGCGGCCCTGTGGACGGCGACGACGACTCGGAACGCACCAGCAAGTAGATAAGCATGTGGCACGTCGGGCAAGTCGGTAGTACTATACGGCGATCACGGCGTGCACGGGCGGGACGCTATGGCCTGTCCGCGCAGGGTACGTGGGCATAAGCATTGTAGGCTGGTTCACCTAGCCGGTGGCTTCGGCGTGGGTTGGGTACGTAGAGGTGCCTAAGGCAGGTAGGCCGCGCGAGGACCGGGTCCGTAACGACGACGAGGAGGAGGAGGAGGAGGAGGAGTGGCCAGCTAGGACGAGAGCGCCGCGCTGAACGAGAAGAGACAGGCGGCCGAGACAGACAGGGGCTCACGACCCCCGCGGCACAGGTGCGCGACACATAATGATGCATACGTACGTGCGCACCTGACATGGCCGCCGCACCGACAAATGCTTCAGCTGGGCTTCTCGGGGAGAGCAGGACTTGGGGAACTGGAGGGCGAGTGCATTACCTGCGTTGGTAGGTAGGCAGCGGGGGGAGGGGAAGTGGTGGCATGAACTAGGAACCCCCCTCTATCCGGCGGCGTCGCATTGCGCTTGGTTTCTTTACTTGTAGGGAGGTGTGTATCGAGTAGACAATGGAAGATGACGACTTGTCTTCCTGGCAGAATCAGCCAAGTCAGCCGGATTACAGCCCTCCCATGCCCTCCGTGCATCCAGACTTTCATGCGTACGGAGCAGCCATGTGTTTCCTACGTGTAGGTATCTCTCCGAGACGCCTATCAGGTCGACGCAGACGCGGAGGGGTCTGTCACTCCTCCTCTGCCTGCCGCGCCTCGGGTGATCTCCCGTTGTCGCCTCTTTGCTGGATTCGCGTGCAGCGAGACATCCCACTTTCTATACCTACCTGCTCGGCCTACCTGGCATGTGCTTGTGTACAGGTACCTACCTGCCTCCTAATGCATTATACGTCCACTAAGGTAGGTACCTGCTGGGACCTTAAGGGGGGTAGGTATAGGTGGGTACGTAGGCTACTTAATGCATAGGAGGTAGGTAGGTAGGCGGATAGATGCCCGTACAGATATAGTTATAATTTACACCTACCTGATGTATAAAAAGTATACGTACCTGCAAGAAGGCAGCGAACCTTGGATGCATGCATACCTCATCCTGCATATGCATAGTACATGTATGGTGCATTTGTACACACGCGAGCGTGTACGCACTAACCGACCGTGGAGTACCTATACTCATGCTACGTACACATGCACATCCGTATGGGGAAAGAAATGCCAGGTGCCCCACCATCGCTCGTCGTTACCCTTGCCGACCAGACTCGTCTCACCCGTCTTACACTCACTCCCATGCCACCTGCCATATAGCCTGAATGTACGTATATACAACATGATGCTACTGAGTATACTCATAACTCCCTCGTACAGGTACTTCGTGGCAACGGACGGGATCGATCGAGGTGTAATACATTAAGAGGTAGGTATATAGATGCATATCTGCTGTAAGTATGTGTCGTTACATGTCGATCTGGGATTCCCGACGTAGCGGGTGGGTGGCCCACTCACTGCCTTGAATTCCTCCCCCATCTCACTATTACCACCACGAGTGGATGCCGCCTCTCTTGTCGACTTGAATCTGTGGCCGCCTCCTCCGTTTGTTTTGTTGACTCGTCCCTGACTTGGGCCGGTCGGTGGATCAACTCGTAAACGGGGGGCGCTTGTTTCCTGTGCGTCTTCGATTCTTGTTTCTCTTTCTCTCGTGCCTGTCTCTCACACATACACACACACACTCTCTCTCTCATTGTTTCTCTCTGTTCCCTTGCCTTCGTCCGTCTCCTTTCCTGCCTGCCTTCTTTGCCTCGTGGTTCGCGTCGCTTACCTCAGTTGAGCAACACTGGCGTTAGATTTCCACAGCCTTCCAGACAGATCGCGACCGACCTCGTGGTGGGATTGCCGCCCCATCAAAGAAAATTGCGAGATAGGTAGAGCTCTCTACGCGTTTTGATTTGGATATCTCCGAAGGCCCAGCCACCCCCGGACCACATACCCAGCAAAACTCGCCCTTTTTATACAGAAGAGGGTCCTGGTGGCCCGTTCTCCCCCTTCTCCCCCGAAACCGTTATTTAGCAATGCTAAGGGGTAACGCACTGCCACCGACTGCTGCTGGGGAGACAAGGATGGAAAACGAAACATATGAGAAAAACGGTACATTGGGTGGGAGAAGGATCGAGGATTGCGAACCTGAGTCAACCCTCACGTTCGAACCGCACCTGCCCGTCGCTTCATCGACACCGCTGGCTCACTCTGCACCACCTGTCGATAACAACACCAACAGGGGCCACACCGACAACGATTGCAACAACATCAGCAGCAACCACGGCAAAGGCCCAGCTTCCCACCTACAGCACCAACGACAACAGTCTGCTCCCGCCTTCTCCTCACTATCACCACTACACGCCGATACTGGTTCTAGGTCGTCTGTTAGAGGGGCGGGACACGTCAGACACCACTCTCAAGAGATGCCGCTCACCGGCGACGGACGCGTCGGGAAGGGCGGGGTGCGACGCCTCGAGCACCCGCCGGGAAGGACGAGCGCCTGGCTAGAACCCGGCGGGGGGGGCTTCTCCCCCGACATGACGTCCAAGTTCCAGCGCGCCGCCGCGGGCACGGACGGCATACGGCCGACATCGTCATCGTCATCGTCACGCTTTAGCTTCCTCTCCTCGATCACGACGCGGTTGACGAGCACGGCGCCGGCGCCGCCCACACCTCGCGAAGTCGACGACGAGCTGTGCAACATGGACGTCGAAGCAGCGCTATACCCTCCCTCCTCCTCCCCTGCGCACACCCCCAAGAGCGCCGAGGCCTTCTCGCCGGCCGCGTACAAGAATCTGCAGATGAACGCGGCGGGACTGCTGCGGCGGATGCAGGAGGCGTACCGGCAGCGGGTGGCGTCGGTGCGGGAACTCGAAGCGGAGCGGGAGGCGCAGCGGGAGGAGGCGGAGGAGGCGGAACTGCGGGTCCGGAGCCTCCGCACTCAGCTCGAGGCCATGGCGGTCCAGGCGTCGCACCAGGAGGACGAGATGCAGCGTCTCGTCTCGGAGCTGCGCGCCGAGCGGGAGAGGGCGGAGATGGAGAGGGAGAAGGAGAGGCGCGGCCGTCCGAGACATGCCGCCGAGGACGCGTGCCTTGGCGACGGCGAGGAGCGGGAGTACGCGGCGGAGGAAAGCGAGGAAGACAGGCAGATGTGGGGGAAGCGGAAGAGCGCGGGCACCGTCAGGTCGGACCTGAGCATCGACACCACCAGCACGACGGCGACGACTACCACCGACGGCGAGAGCATATTCTCGCGGAGCCGCAGCCCGACGGCCATGACGAGCGCGACGGACAGCGACAACCTCGAGATGCTGACCATCCGGGGGCCGGTTCCCCCCGCCCCAGCCGCGGCGGCGGCGCCGCCACCGACGCTAAACGTACCGCGGGCGGCCCCCAAGCCGGCGACGTCGTCTCCGCAGCCGCAGCCGCAGCCGCAGCTGTCGGCGTTCCAGAAGTTGGTCAAGGGCATCTCCGGCGGCGCGGAGGCGGCCACGGTGAGCAACTGCAGCAACTGCCGGGGCCGGGACTCGAGCGTCGCCTGGGACACGGTCAGCCTGCTGCGGGACGAGAACCGCGGGCTGAAGCAGCGCGTCTCCGAGCTCGAGGTCGTCCTCGAGGGGGCGCTGGACGCGGTGAACGGCGTCGGGCTGTGATCGCCGCTGCGTCGCGCCACCCCGAGAAGGACGGCTCGCGCGCCTGCTTGTCTCTCGCCCGTCCGTCCGTCGGCTTGCCTGACCCTCCCCCTCCCCTCCCCCCTCCGTCGTCGAGTATGTTTCTCTTGTATATACGCGGATCGCGCCGGAGGGTAAGGGAAGGGGTTCGCTCGCGGCTTGTTTTTTTTTTCTTCTCTTTCGAACTCGATGTTTTGGACGGGATGTGTTAGGAGCAATGTAGTAGATTTCGAACATGTGTCGCGTTGAGGAAGAGTGAGGGGGGCGGAGAGAACGGATAGCATTAGCAAGTGGCCACACAGAGAGAGCACGGAGACCGGAGTTTTGTATTCCCCATGTGCAAATTCGCATCATCGCCGCCATCAGGTGGCCCGGGAGGGTTCCGGTGCTGCATTAACGGGAAAGAATTGTAGGAGAGAGAGAGAAAGTCAAATAGAAGCTAAAACAAACATATTGAAGATTCTTTGCTACTGATTTGTGCTGGGTTGTAAGGGTGAGGGGTGCGGGGAGTAGAAGAAGAGAACATGCCCGTGTATATCCGACGTTGCTAATAAGTAAATAATGTAGTATTCGGAGTATAAGTTAGGGGAAAAGCGGGAGGGCAGGATCCGCATACGTATATGATGTACTAGGCAATATATATATATATATATAATATATATGGCACCTGGCAGAAGAATACTCTGGGGGCAACGAAAGCTGGAAGTGCGAGTATCGAAATGTGTGGTCTACGCATTACGAGGGGTGAGAGCCTGGATCTCCCCCCATCGCCGTCCCCAGCCTTCCACCGGTCCCCGCATGGGAGCCGCTTCCGATCACGACGAGGCAGATCGTGTTGGCTTTTTTTCATTCCCCTTTCTGCTAGGCGGCCGTTTCTATACATATACAGCTTCCGTCCTCTGCCTGCCCTGGGCACGTCCTCGTCTTCGCGGCAGGTAGACAGTCCTGTACCAGGGCCGTCTGCCATGCGTAACAGCGTCCGGCTTTTCTCGCCCCTCTCCTTCTCCCCCCTAGTTTCCCTCGCCCTCGATAGATCTAGATGATCGATCGCCCGGCGCCTCCTAGCCCCCCTCCCCTCCCCTCCAGATCAGTGGTGCTTCTCGTCATGGGCGTGGGCGTGGCCGTCGCCGTCGCCGTGGTGGTGCGCGTCCTTGAGGAACAGCTGCTCGTAGCCGAGGTAGAGCGCGAAGGCGACGGTGGCGATGCCGAGCCCCGGGAAGGCGCCCCGGAACCGGTTCCAGCGCGTGAACGGGCCCTGGTAGCGCCACGCCTCGCTGCGCGATGGCTCTGCCGTCAGCGGGGGCGCGAGTGCTCCTTCTGCTCTCTTTTTTTTTTTCCTTTGGGTCTACTATGGAAGACGGGATGGGATGGGGGTCGGGAACTCACGCTCGCTCCCACGGGTCGTAGCGCGGCTGGCCGGCGGCCGCGATGAACTTCCGCACGTCGAAGCCGGTCACGTTCGGCTTCTCGCCGGGGTGCGCGCGGAGGATCCTGCGGGGCGGACGCGCCGCGCCGGTCAGCTTCGAGGAGGCTCGGCAGCGATGCGGAGCGCATATTGGCCTACCTACCTGGAGGGATACATGGCGGAATTGGCGTGGGCGTGGAAGTGTGGTGGTGTACGCCGAAGGAAGACGGATCTGCCGATCGGGTTGCCGCGGTGGTTGTCGTGAAGCTGCGAGGGTTAGGTGTGTGCCGGCCGGTGGGCGATAGACGTAAGTAGGTCGAATGAGGGACGGAAGAATTCCGTGAGGTACCCGGGTCCGTCGGATTACATAAGTCACGTTGTGACATGACTCGAGTTGCGTGACGCCTGATTGGCTGAAGAGGGGAATCGAGTCTTTTCATTGGGCTTCCTCGATCTACCTTAATGTCCGCGGGTCCGAGTACATTTCAACATCTCGGCGTATCGATTTTCCTGCCCTGGCGTTGGTGCCAGCCTTGACCAGGGCCGACGGGAAAGAGTTGCAGGGGAGCGTGAAGTAGGTAGATACCTTCTTAGGTTAACGGGATAAGCTGAGTATACATATTGCTAGAATTGGTTTGGGGCCCTCTGGCGGCTGTGGTATATATGGGGATTAGGAGCTCAAGTGCGTTTACCTCTGCGCAGGTACGTCTTAGGAGCCTCCTTTTCAACTTTACCCCGGTACAAGCAAGATCCATTAGGTTAGGTAGGTCACTTAGGTACCTATCTCTTCGAGACACTGCGTGAGGTACATAGGTACCCAATGTTCCTGCCACACATCGCGTATACTCCTCGGGTCTCTATGCAAATACCGATCTTTACTATGCACATATGCGGCTGGCGAAGAGCGAGTGGAAGCTGTGGAATTTCACAACAGCGGCGCTCGGATCAACCCCATCCCATCCGTTATTCACTAATCCCGTAATCCAGCGTCGTCCTTCGACGTTGCCTTTCTCTCCATTCCTTTCAAAGGGCTAACAGACCATACTCTTTTCTTCAGTGCAATACTGTCCAGTCCTCCCTCCCACCACGACTCCGAGATCGATCGATTGATTAATCGACAACGCCGCCTCCTGCTTAGCCGTTCGACCGACTGTTGCCCTGTCTTGCACGCTGCGCGAGGAATACAGCATCGCGGCGCAGCTCAACAGCCGTCCACCAGACGCCTGCGAAACGACGAGGGCGCCCCGCATTCTGCACGCGTGCGTGCCGGAGCTTCAGCGTCCAACCTCCGGCGCCTTGTAGTTGCGGGCGGCTACCATAGTCAAGCTCCCCCTATGACGCCCTATCTTTTTGGCCCGCCTCATATACCGACAACTAGGAAGAGAGTCTGATCGGACGCGCAGTCCAGTTAACCGTCCCGATCGTACATGGCTCCCCCCTCCCGATTCGGGGGCGGCCCTCCGACTATCCCTCCCTATCAACACCAATTCCCGTCGCATCCCCATGCGACAACACATCAGCCGCCTACCCTGGCCAACCCAGCCTACATGAGCAACGCGCAGATAAGCCCCTTTACCACGAACGGGTTAGGACTCGGTGCCGGCATCAATGCCGGTGCTGCTGGCTTTGCCGTTGGCGACCAGACCGGCTTCGCAAGCCACGCCGCTAGATCCGGCTTTCAGCATGCCGCGGCACTACAACAGCAGCATCCTCACCAACCCTCGCATAGCATGGGGGGCGAGCGGCAGCCACGAGCGGCCGGCTCGTCCAAAGCCCGCATACGTGAGGTGTGGAAACACAACTTCGAGGAGGAGATGACGACCTTGATGGACCTTATCGACGACTTCCCTTACGTTGCCATGGTTAGTGCCCCCCGTCCCCCTCGTGTCTCTCTCCCGCAGCTTGTGTGAAGAATGCTGGCCATGCTAACTGCGAACGACACCAGGACACGGAATTCCCAGGCATAGTCGGTCGGCCCATGGGCAACTTTCGCGGCAAGAGTGACTATCATTACCAATGTCTTCGCGTGAATGTTGACCTGCTCAACGTCATTCAGATAGGCCTCAGCCTGTTCAACGAGAAGGGCGAGACTCCCGCCGACAGGGCCAACGCGTTAGCGGGCGAGGGCGGCCCAAACGGCAGACGACCCGTCGGCCAATTACAAACCCCCCTCAGCTGGCAATTCAACTTCAAGTTCTCCCTCAAGGAGGACATGTACAACCAGGCGTCCATCGAATCTTTACAACAGGCTGGCATCGACTTCGGCCTGCTCGAACGTGACGGTATCGACCCCAGGAAGTTTGCCTCCCTCTTCATCGTTTCTGGCTTCGTTTGCTTCGACAATGTGAAGTGGATATCGTTCCATGGCGGTTACGACTTTGGTTATCTAACAAAACTGCTCGTGGACCAGAAGCTGGCGAACGACGAGAGGGAATTCGACAATATCATGAAGAAGTGGTTCCCGACGACATACGATGTCAAGCACTTGATGAAGTACGCACTGAAACTCCACAATACCGGAATTCTGACCCCAACAGACCCTAGTTCGGCTGAAGTGATGCAGAAATTCGAGCAAAAGTCGGGCCTCGAGAGCATAGCGGAGGCCTTCAAGATAAAACGGGTCGGGGCCGCCCATCAAGCCGGTTCCGACAGCCTACTCACCGGCAAGGTTTTCTTCCAACTGCGGGAGAGAATCTACAACGGCGAGATATCTGACGACCATATCGGCAAGGTTTGGGGCCTCGGATTCTCAGGTATGGACATGCCGGCACCATCCCAGGGCCAGCCGAATAATACGGAGAGCACACCATCCGGCGGGGTCAACGGCAACGGCAACGGCAACGGCAACACCAACAACGGTGGCCCTAGCACGCCAAGCACCGTAAGCGCCGGTCTCGCCAGCACCCCGGCCGCGCAGTCGCACAACACCAACGGAATGGGAATGGGGCCGATGACGCCTGGTGGTGGCGGCGGCGTATTTGGGTCTTTTAATTTTCCAACTAGTACCAGATAGAGTCCGTCAGTTGGAAGAAGCTGACCAGGCGGAGGAGGGTAAAAGGGGGGGGGAAGGGGGGGGGAAGGGTTCAATGTTAGTATATCTTGGCCAGCGTCGTGACTCCCGCGATATACCCCCGCCACTATCACTACGGGGGCGGATGAATCAATAGTGCCTCTCAACACCTGTTACCTTGCCTACCTAGTCAGTCGAAGATCCGGCAGCCAGCCGCTACCTCCTCTACCAGCCCGAAGGCGAAAAGAAAAAAAATCCATCGAGTTTATATGCCCAGTCCTAAGCATGGGGTGCCCACTGAGCAATCCGCGCAGGCAACTCCCAAGTCTGCTCGCAGTCCCTTTCCTCCTCCGTCGTCCCCCAACTACATGTAAATGAAGTGACCCTGGCCCGACGCCGCCGGGGGCCGGAGATTCATCCCATTGCCAATTCTATAACTCGCACGGTCCGAGCCGACCCGCTGTCCCGGCGTGGTCCGCTCTCCGACCTCGAGAGCAAGGTTGCTTTGTTACCTAACCTGCCCCCCCCTCTTGCCCTCCCTCTCCCTGCCGATTCCGAGTATGTCTTCTCTCGGGCTGATCCACATCGCGCCGAGTTCCTCGCATTGTACACGCGCACACGCACTTTTTTTTGGCGCATTTCTCGCTTCCCTTCCCCTCTCCCCGCGCCCTCCTGACGGTAGACCTCTCAGCACGGGCGCATGGGGGGAAAATGGATATGATCGACGACCAGGGCGTCATTGATCGAATTTTCTTTTTCTTTTTTCCCCTATTTTTGTCAACGAGCGCGTGATCTCTCTCTCTGTCTCTGTCTGTCCCTCCTCACCCCTTTTGGCAGCTGTTGGAGGGGGGGCGGGGCCACGAACAAACAGACAGGTCGGGTTGGCAGGCAGGCAAAGGCGGCTCGTGTGGAAAAGTAACACGCATCGGCGCTCTCTCCCGTCTCCCCCCCGTTGTTTCTTCCTCTTTCCCCCTGACACCCCCTCGGACGGTCCGTCGTGTGTACGTTGGCCCAGCCAATTTATAACCGGAACCCGAGCGGGCTTCGGGATTCCGTCTCCTCGAGGCGCGCGGTCGGAGTACATGATCGTTATACCCGGTAAATATCGTCACGCTCAACACACTCCCCCTTCCCCGATTCCTAGGGTCCGACTTGTGATGTCTGTGTGCGTGCTAGTTTTATTACGTCTAGCTCTGCTTCGCTCCCCCCCCCCCCCCGTCTCATTCTCGTGACCCGCGCTTAGTAGATTCCTACCTGCCTAAAACCCCCTTTCCGGTCTCTAGCTGCGGGTACGTATGTAGTACGTGTTTGGGCGCCATACCCGTGCTGCGAACTCCGCGACAACATAGGTCGGGGGCCATCTGTAATATATATATACCTATATATATGAAGTGCATGTCTCGCACACTTTCTCGATCTACCGACTATTCGCGGGCCGCAGCCACATGGCGCAGAATCAATCTGGGCCGTGGCATCGGAAGTGATACACCGGCTACACTCTGTGACACCCCCGTTGCCCGCCCAACCCTAGAATATCATGCATCCGCGACGATGAATAAAGCAGGCCCGATTGCTTCCCGCGCCCCGACGCCCTCGCCAGACAAGCAGAAGAAAAAAAGATACCTAGGTCATAAGTATATGATGTGCGGTTACCAGGTTTATTTACACGCGTAGGCTGTGCCCTCCTTCGTCGCCCTCGTCATCATCAGCGGTAATAGTAACAACAGCAGCAGCAGCAGCAGCAGCAGTAGTATAGGTCGTGGTAGGAACAACCACGTTCACGTGATGTACACCTTCTTGAGCTCGTCGACGGCGAAGACCTCGCCGGTGCGTAGGTCCTTGACCTGGCCCTCGGGCAGTCCCGCCTTTCGTGCGTGCTCCTCGAGGCGGGCCTTGCCGTACGCGCGGCTGTTGGGTAGCAGCAGCAGGTCCGGCTCGACGTAGCTCTTGCTGTGGAAGGCGTACGGCACGTTCAGGGCGAGGCTGTTGAGCTCGGTACTGCAGATGGGGCAGACGCTGGCGGTGAGGCTAGCGGTGGCGGCGGCGGATGTGGTGGGGGTCCGGTGCGCGACCGGGTGGCCGCTTCCCGCCTCGGCCGCCGGCGACGGCGACGGCGACGAGGACGAGGACTCCGGCGAGGACGGCGGAGGGTGGTGCGAGTGGCAAGCTGGCGTCTTGAGCGCCGACAGGCCCGACGACAGCGCCACGTGCAGCAGCGGCACCGGCGGCAGCGCCAGCAGCGCGTTGTGCGTCGTCGTGAACAGGTTCGCTAGCATCTCCCACCGTGCCGGCGAGTACAGGTCCACATACGCGTCGACGTCCTGCGCCGAGCCTGGCGGCAGCGCCAGCATCCCACACGCCTGCAGCATCTCTTGCCTGTACGAACCCCGGTACGAGCCCAGGTACTTGCGCGCGTGGGTCACGATATCGCCGGCCTTCGTGGACGGGTCTCTGACTAGCTCGATGTACTGCTGGAAGCGAAGCATAAACTCGAGGTTGCTCTACGAGGTGGGATAACCGACCGAGGTTAGCGACCAGATATACCGAGCCGCAGGTCAAGAAACATGAATGTACATGGGGGTGCTCACGTCCATCTTCCGCAGCTCCTTCTTGGTGTCTCCCGCTGAGCACCAGGCCAGGGCCTCGGTCACGCTCCGGCCCAGGATGCACTTGCGGATCTTGTTCATCTGCTCGAAGGTGTCGATGTCGACGAGGGCCTCGATCCCCTTCTCCTTGGCCAGGGCTCGCGCGCTATCGATGTATCCGTGGCGGAGGAGGTAGTCGACGAGCAGACGGTTGAGGCGGATGCGGCTCCAAGCTTCGTACTTGACGTCGTCGACGCTGTGCATGGCATACAGCTCGGAGACGTGCCTGAGGCGAGCCTCCTCGTGGAGGTGGAGACGCTGCTCCTCTTCGGCGAAGGTGGTCAGCTTTCGCTTGATGCCGCGCATGCGGGCGATCATGGTGTCGAGGTTGCGCAACACGTCGGCCTGCGAGGTGCGGCCGTTGACGCACCCGGTCGCCGTCTCTCGCAGCGCGTTCTTGATATAGGCCCCATCCTTCTCGACCTCGAAGTGCGCCGACCGGAAGTTCTTGCGGAGGAGCTCGACGGGCAGGCGGAGCAGCGGTTGGTCCTACGGCGGGGGGGGATCGACGGAGGGAGAATACCGGTTAGCTCGCTACATAGCCGGAACGGCGGGAGTTGCAACGTATCACTACGAGGTAACATCACGGAGTACCTGGGACGGCGGCGAACCCAAGAGAGCAGACAGGGAACAGCAGACTTACGAGGAGGAGGTGGTTCTCGTGATCCAGCTTGCTGGCAGCGTGATCTCCCATCTTCAGAATGTCAACCCTCTCTGGCTATCGAGGGAAAGGAGGGCGGGTTGTTGGTGGCTTGGGACTGCCGGACGCGGCCCTTGTCGAGTTTCGGTGAGTGATGTAATATGATAGGTAGAGAGGCGTGATGGGTGGATGTCGGGTCTCCAAGATGATCGGCGCAAGGTCGGCGAGCTGGGCGGTACCCAAGTACCCAGAGGTACGTGTCCGAGTACGTATCCGAGTACGTACCGAAGTACTCACCTAACAATGCAGCACGGAAGTCGGGCAACCTCGCGGTGGTAATTGCGCTTAAGGCTGCTCCTACCCGGTTCACGTAGGTGGGGGTGGCGCCCGGCCCGGCTTCCCCAGGGCTTAGAGGGGGCCGGTTTGGACTAATTGCAGCCGATTTCCCAAGACGCCACTTGCTGTCGGCCTGCTAGTGGCCGGCCTGGATATATTAATTACATATAGTATATGTGTAGGTGCGGGCAAGGGGAAATGGCACGTAGGGGCAGGTCAGGTGTATCTGTGTATCTGCTTACCTATGCGTTAGGCACCTCCTAGTGTGAAGATCCTTGGCATCGCCTTGGGTCATTATCTGCGTTTGCCTGAAGAATCTGCCTAGGCATGCATAGAGGGGAAATTGAGAGAAGCCCGGAAAGCATCTTGTAGTTGTTGGGTACCTAGACTTGTCGTGGTACAGGGGCGGTCGTTGCGATGTTGCTACAGGTGATGATGAGGCCATCGCTATACGGGGCAGTTTTTCTATATGTAGGAGGTAGGTAGGTAGGTAGGTACCTACCTGTAGGTTATAATGCAACTTAACTTAGGTCGTATTGACTCTAAATGTTGAGCGGTCTAATGTACCTACATCCAGGTATTCATCCAGGTGCTAGGTACATGCGCGTTCTATCAAGCCCTGCCGGGCAGGTCGGTAATTGCCTGGTGGTAATATTACCTAACTTACGTATACCTTGCGACGCCAATACCTTACCTCTACCTACCTACCAAAAATGCAGCATTAGACGCAGGATGAGACGAGAGGCCCACGCATACCTGACCTTGAGTACCTAACCTTCTTACCTGCCCACGGGAGACGAGTTCGAGATCATCCCCGACATAGCTCCTCTTACTTAGGGAAAAGGCATGTTGGTTACTAAATATACTCGAGGCAATGCATGCATGCTAGCTACAATCTCTTGATCTCAGGTTCCGGCTCCGGATCTAGATGTAAATTCGTTAAGGTGCGTATGCGCAACGAACAGGAATAACCACAATACATAACATCGATAGACGGAGGCAGTACATCCCTCCTAACATAACCTACACATGCTGCCACCCCCCTTGCTTATGCCCTCCCCTTGCCCGTACATACGATGATGCGATGGGATGGATGTATGTACGTACGTACATGCGCACACATATTGCCGTGATGTAGCTCGTGGTGCCCATCCCTCGTCCGGGCTCCTGCGGAGGCGGTTACTCCCGAGTGGCCTATCTCCCTGATGCTCGCAAATTGCCTAGTGCAACTTATGCAGTCACACACATCCAGTTCTGGTCACAGGAACAAGCAACGGGAGACAAGACCCTCACGAGACTGGGCGCACTAACACCAAAGCACGATAGCGGCCGCCAGCCCCTCGCCGCAAACGACGGCGGAGACGGGCGAGGTTAACCTCGACCAAGGTCACTTGACCTGTTTTGTCGTCTTCGAGACTTCGTGTCTCCGCGCCTCCGTGATCATCATCGCCGCCGCGCATGGCGTATGTGGGGAAACGTAGAAGTATGGAAGGACGTACGTAGGTATGTGTGTGTGTGTGTGTGTGTGTGTGTGTGTGTGTGTGTGTGTGTGTGTGTGTGTGTGTGTGTGTGGTGGGTTGAGGGAGGGTGGACGGGTGGACGGGTGGGTGGGTATAGATATACCTGTTGGGCAGGTAGGTCTCATAAGATGCATCGCGTAGCTTGTCTGCCTACATGACACAGGGTAGCAGAACACCTCCATGCGTCGGTGCATCCGTCGATAAGGGGGGAAACGGAGCCTGGCGTTGAACGAAATCATTTGCCGAGCCCTGGAACAGTCGGCCTGCATGTATTGGAGGCGATCCGCGGCAACGCGCAAAGAGAGAATCCCCTCCCGTAAAAAAATCTGCAGTGCAGCCGGGAGCTGAATCAGACCTGATGAAACAATCTCGCCGTGAGACCTGTCTTCCTGCTCGTGACAAATCAGGTCATCAGGCATATCCGGTACGCCCTAGAGGTAGGTATTTATATCCATATCTGCATCTAGGTAGGAAGGTATACGCAGGTATCTGCCTCTATTGCCTGCCCTTATTCTATGAGTATGCCTGCCTGCCTACCTATCTACCGACCTTGCCATGCATCTCTCTATCTCGTGCGTCGCCTCAGGAGGTATATGTGAGCGCGCCTATACGTGCATATATTATATATACCTACTTTTGAAACAGCCGGCAATCTGGTAGATCTTCGCTCCTCGTATCTACCCAGGTACCTGCTAATACCGGGCGGAACGCATCTTACTTGCCCAGACAATAGCAACTGGAGCCTTGGTAACTCACATGGTTGATTAAAACAAGTCGAGTTTCCGAGTTGGTCATGTGAGCATTCACCTAGGCAGCTACCTTTCAAAACGCAGTTCTGCTCTGCCCTACGGGTTAGCACGTTGCTGAGATACTCATAGAGGCCAGATCCGGCAGGTTAGGAGAAGGAGGTAGGTACTTGGGGGGGGAGAGAGAGTCCCAGGTCTGTCCGCCGAGCGCCATGTTGAGGCGTGCCGTCCCGTGTAAGTCGAGATTGATGAGGACATGGTCAGGCCGCCGCCGGTCGACTGCCTCGCCTTCTCAACCTCTGCCATTCTGTTTCTAGTTTACGTAGGCACCCCGGCAGCCGTAGTATATGCGACACAGTCAAATGACGTGATGTATAACCTGGCTAGATTAATACATCCTCGTCAGGCAATAATACATGGCTGCGGAAGTGAGTGTAGTGCACCTAGGTGAGGAAGAGGAGGGAGAAGAAAGTACCTAGGGGGAGGGGGAGGGAACAGGGATGATGGGCATGAGGGACCTGGCGTGGCTGCGTGGGCGGGCGAGGGTAAGGTGTGGGGGGGCAGCTGACGACGATTGGTTGCGACCAGGAACTCGACAGTAGAGAGTTGTGAGGTTGTGTTGTTGGTTGCCAATCAGAGGACGGGCTGGGAAGACTGGGTACCTACCTCAGGTAGACTGGAGACGGGGTTGTCTGATGTTAGGTGTGTACATACTCATATACGCGCGCGCGCGCGCGTGTATGTACCTCCTGGGCTTAGGAGGTAGGTACCTAAGGTAGGCATTATAGACAGAGGAGGTACCAAAGGCTGGTGTTTATACCTACGTACCTAGGAGGTAGGTAAGGTCGAGTATATCCGGTAGGTATGCGTATGTGCCTATGTATATTATATGTATGTCTAACGTAGCCACAGAGGCGATGCTGGGACCTACCAGAACGGAAGACGAAAACGAGCGAGGCCGAGAGAGAAGAGCGGCAGAGCGCCTACGAGGATCTAAGAATACCTTGGTTGCCGTCCCTATTTCTCTCTACCTCCCTCCCGCTTGCCGCCCGCGCTTTGCCCCTCCAGCCGACAAGGGAACGAAAATAGAAGGGCGAAAACATTCAACAACAAATCAGTCCATAAGAGGTACCTCTATAGATATAAATACATGTATGCGTCTGGCTCCGTGCCGGTAGAGACCACCTGCCTGACCACCTGCCTGAGGTACAACACCTGCCAACCTAGTAGGTAGGTAGAGGTAGGTACCTAGAAAGACGATACGCATCGTACAGGTGTGTACAAGGCAGGTACCCAGCCTAACCTGAGGGTCAGCCTCTACGCTGTCAGGTACCTCTGCTATGTACCTGACGCGGACCCAGCCTGAGGGGTTGCCGGACGCAGATACGTGCCCGCGCCTCCGTAACAGCTACCCTAACCTGCCTAACTCTGGCCTTGGCACGTTAGACAGGTACATGGAGAATACCTCGCGGCTTGGGCAGAGACAGAGAGAGAGAGAGAGAGGCAACCTCACGCAACAACGCGTGTGGACCGTGCACGCACCGTCCGGGGGGTCATATGGTCTGAGCATGCCACCTTCACTTCTCCTGCCTCTCCCTCTCTCCCCCCTCGAACCGTGCGTCTCCTTGTTACTTTCCAATTTCTCTGCGATGCGCAAAGTCGCTGTTATTTTTTCCATTCCTCTTCCTGGGGGAAAAAATTATTAAGTCCAACCCGCGTTCCGGCCTTCTTCTACTCCTCCTTACGCAACCAGAGACTTTTGGCATCCTTCTCCCTTCCGCCTCCTCCCCCCCCCTTTTTTTTCCCCTAGTATTCAACCGGTTTGCATCGTGGGCATTTCGAAGTTGCTGACTCGGCCCTGCCTGGTCCGTTCTTTTGATATTTCCACAAAATCACGCCCCCTTCGCGGCCCATTCAAGGCTATTTATCTCGAGAGCACGTGAAGTCACTTGACGCTGGAAGATCCAAGCACCGCGCATCCAGTACTGCACATCCAGCACTGCACGAGACCTGCTAGCACATGATCCCAGGTGTGTATGTCATTTCCATTCCGTGCCCTTTCCCATCCCGTCCTTCCTATCAAGTCTGCTGCCTCCTCAATTCCTCCTGCGCCCTCCCTGAGCCCTGTCGCTGCGGTTGCTGCCGCTGCCGTCACCGTCGCCGTCCTTGTCACCACCCTCGTCACCCTCGTCACCCTCGTCGGCATTACCACCGTTATTGTCATTATTGTCGCTGTCGTGTTGCTGCTGGGAGAGGGGACATTTTCGCATCCGCCTGTAGTCGCATCTTAAGCGCGCCCGTTGTAGAGGCCCTGGCTGCCTCAATCTCTCTTCGTCGTCGCCTGCTGTGTGCGCAACTCGGAGTCTGTTAGAGGAATAACGGCATCATGCCGTCCGCCTGCACCATTCATTTTCGAACGACGCGACGGCCTCCTCAACCCTAGAGGCCTATGCGTCGTCACCCCCCCGCACCCAAGCCATCTCCGAGGAGGCTCTCTCCAGTTTCTAGTCTTTGTCCCCGAGAGGCGAGCATGGGTGCATTCATCGCCAATCTCAAGCCGATCCCCCCTCCCAGCCTGTGACTTTCGAGACATGGCTGCGTTCCTACCTAGTCAAGGATGCACCGGCATGTACTGGCTGTCTCTGCCTAGGGGTGACTTTCTCAGGTGACATCCCGGGCTATCTCATTTGATGCCAAGTTGACTGCGTGGATGATGGTGGCAGCGATCTCTCTAGCCCTGATATCCCCAATACCTATCTACGGCCATGTGCGACTGTTAACATCGTTAGGAATCTCGCAGCGAAGTTGAACACAAACCACGCACTTACGCACCTCTCGCGTGGATTGTTTTGGTGCTGGGGCCTACTGTAGGTGCCGTTAACCGTTAACCGACCACAACACGCTGCAGAGCTAAGTGACAATGGAGTCCAACGGCTACGCTCACACGGAGTCTCTGCTTGAGCCTCTGGCCCATATAAACCGAGAGCAACTGGCTACCATGGCAGACGCAGCCATTGCAGACCAGAACGAGTACAATCCATCGTCACCCTCCAGTCCCAATCAAAAGAGGAAGCGCGGCGTCCCAGATTCGTCCCCTGACCTACGACGTGCTAAGCGTGTCGCCCCAACAGCGGCCATGTCAAGCACCCCAGAGACTGCTGCTTACGTTGAGTCGGCTGTCGAGGCCGCGCAGGCAGCTGCACAGGCGGCTGATTTTTCAGCTCTCCAGCAGGCTACGGTTGATCATCACGATCCCTCCGATCACGCCAACGCATCGAGTACTGCTGCCGCTGCTCTAGGATCAATGTACCCTACAATTCATGTCCCTCAGCCTACGGAGGAGACCTTCGCAGCACAGACCTCTGCAGAGAACGAGCACCACCAGGACTCGTCCTTTGGGCATAACGACATGCCGGACGGCCTTCCAGACAGCTCATCTGTGGGCAATCCCTCGCAGAATGGCATCCGCTCGACCCAGCCTGCATACTTGGTCACTCCTAGTTCCAACCCTAAGCCAGCTGTAGGCTCGGAGGAGTGGCACAAGATGCGAAAGGACAACCATAAAGAAGGTAGGTTAAATATCCATCACACACACACACACACACACATATTTCGCAAGCGAATCCTAATTCAGAACCAGTTGAGCGCCGCCGACGCGAAACCATTAATGAGGGCATCAATGAGCTTGCTAAAATTGTGCCCGGGTGCGAAAAGAACAAGGGCTCGATACTGCAACGAGCGGTGGTCTTCATCACGCAACTCAAGCAGAACGAAGCGCAAAACATCGAAAAGTGGACCCTGGAGAAGCTTCTCACCGAACAGGCCATCCAGGAGCTTAGCGCCTCGAATGACAAGCTCAAGCAGGAGTGCGAGAGGGCGTACCGGGAGCTCTCGATATGGAAGCAGGTGGCCCAGAACGCAGGTCTCCAGCCCCCGCAGACCAAGGACGATCCCTCGTCTTAATAGGCCAACAAAAGATGCATTGTAGGATTCGATGTCATTTCTACTTGGTGTTCGTCCCTTTTATACCCTCAACGACTTCTTTTCTGTTGCGGCATCGTCTCTTCGGCATCGGCCCCCGCCGTCCTATTCATCAACCCGCACGTCCTACACCAGCCGGCTTCAGTTGGTTATGGCCGACGCAGAGATGAATATGACCGTTTTTCTTCTATGCCTTTTTTTTTCTCTCTGGAATCAGCTTGGTGGAGAGGAAAGCTGAGGGTCGGCGGATATTTGTTTTTTTTAAAGGACGCAGGGAACGGGACGGACAGAATCCTATAGCTTGGCGTTGGCAATGGGCTCGTTTACTCGATCTCTGGGACGGACGTCTAATATAGAGGGCTGGTCAGAGACAGCATCGAGAGAATATAAACCCTGGCCTTGGGCAAGGCCTGAAGCGTACATTTATCCATCCCACGGGGGAGAGTGACCGCTGGTTGTCTTGGCACGTCGTGACATGCATCGCGGCGCGCTGCATCGTGCATATGCAAGCAGCCTCGAACAAGGTTCGGTTCTGGTGGGTGCTAGAATAAAGTGGCGCCCGAGAAAAGGATTTCCGACGGCCTACCGTCGCAACCCCTTCGATCTGCTGAGCATCGCCGAACGAGAGGGTATATGGGCCGGATCCCTCCAAGCTCCCTATATCCTCTTACCTCGTCCAAAGAGATGGTACCCGACGGCAAACCGTCCATTGCACCATGGCTAACACCGTAAGTTTATCCACCACCCTCCGTCGAGAGGGTATATAGGCAGGTAGGAGGGTAGGCGTGTTGAGAGCGGGGGTAGCCTATGGGCATACTGCCCGACCCGTTTTAAGATGGACGGGGGGGCCCGGACGATATGTGTTCGATTGGTGCCAGATGTGCAAATACCAATATTCCTTCTGCGGCAGGACCGTATAACGCGAAGATGTGGTAAGAGTGATCTATCCGCCTGGCGTCTGGCTTCCGGGGTGGAGGGGAGGGGAGGGGAAGGGAGGGCTTATCAGATGCCAAGTGCGGGATGAGGACAGGCTACGGGTAGACAGACCCGAGCACATCGACAAGGTGAGCCTGCCTACATACATATATATGTGTGCATACACACTCATATCTCTTACCTAGGTGGACTGGGGGTAGTAAGAATAACTCTACCCGGCACCGGTGCTGTCTGGCTGTCTGACGAGGAGAAAGCGAGGCATTCATTACCTAGCATCACAGGCTCACGTCTGGTAGGTAATATGCCAGATTAATATGTTGTAGTAAGGCAATGTGGGGACACAGGTATCTCCGCCCGCACGAATCTAGCTATGCACGTCTCAAACCGTACCTGGTGCAAATTCGGTAGCGTGATAGGATGGTGACGTTGGGAAGCGCAAACGTCCATTGGACGTCAGGGCTACGGATATCTGGTTCGTTCGCCTAGCCTCTCTCTCTCGGGCAGCACCCAGCTTCCTGGAGACCCGCCATCCTAACAACCTGCCCACGTTGTTAATTCGTAATGTCCGAAGCGCTCGGGTGGGTAGCTAAAACATAAGTATGCATGCGTATGTTACCTGCGTACAGAATTAGACCTTTTAAGCCTACGTCTGCAAGTCGTAGAATGTAGGCGTCAGGTACGTTTTACGCAACAATATAGGTACCTATATATATGTGTGTATGCGTAGATACGTATATGCACCTACCTATGTACATCCTTATAAGTCCTACCTAGGTAGGTACCTAGATAGGTATACGTCAATACACATACACAGCGTGGGGTACCTTCTGAGGGAATGATTTACCTCGCCAATTGCGGAACTTACCTGCCTGTAACTCTGCCGTGTAGCACAAGGGCGCAGCGCGGCAACGCCGGCACCACCGATCAGCGTTCACAACTCCGAGAGGCCTTTCGTCGCTCGGACTTTGCTGCCTTGCTTGCGCAGATCTCGCTGGCTGGTATATGTAATCTCGTACCCCCCCGATGTTAGGTATCACCACAGGTCCCCCTTCTGCCTACACGTAGGTGTACATATACCTACATATACATATATACACTTATATACGCGCATGTACACATACAGTATACGTACTGTCCGGGAGGAGGAAGGAGGAGGGGAAATAAAGGAAGAGAAGAATGGAAGGCGGAAGAAACACACGTTACACAATTCACAATTCGTTCATTCAACAAATCTACCTCACCTAACCTACCCACCTAGGTAGCTACTTAGGTACCTAGAGGTAGGTAGGCATTACCTGTACCTTTACATAGTGGAAGCTGTAGAAACCCTCCCATCACCGCGTACCTATATACATCACACACACAATTCCTCTGTTAGGATAGCCCTACGTCAGCACGATGTGACCAGGCGTTGTACCAGTTTCCCTCGGATTTATCTGGCATGCGAGGCAGGCTCGGGCCACCGCGGAGGTACCTAAGGGAGATTCGGGTTAACGAGGTAGGTTAGGTACCTACCCGGACCTCACCTTAGTACTACCTACATGCCCTTGGGTTGCTTTCTGCTACGGCGGTCTCGCTGCCGGAGTTTGTCAGCTGGTAGCGCTAGGCTGGCACGGCTGGCACGGCTGGCACGATGGTACCGGCAGGTGGGATGAGCCCCTGTACCAATGACACGCAGTTCGTCGGGCACTCGCCCTTCACAATTTTCACTGTTCGCCCGCCTCCGCTAACCACTTTTCCGGATTGCCCTCCTCGTTTTTCACCCAACTTCTCCCACCCAACTTCTTCTACTTATTTTCCCCCTCTCATCCTCTCTCTTCTTCCCCCCTCCCAACTACCACCATCACCATCCTGCTATCACCAGAAAGCAATTGTCCGTTGCGACGGTAGACGAGACACATAGCTCAATCTTGGCGTCAATCAGCAATCCCGCTCATCGTGCAACTCGTTAGCAGCATTTCATCTGCAGCGATTGTTGCCCGCTCTACCCTTATTCACTCGGAACAAATCGCGCTGCCTTACCGCGCTGCTCCGAAAATATTCTTTCTCTCGACTACGTCCGCCATCGTCTCCATCCTCTCGGCTCTCCCGTAGACATCGACGACACGTCCCCGTGACGCAGACTGGTCTCTCGAATATACAGCCCGGTATTCGAGACCTGCTTCCTGCTTCCATCATCCCCGTCCCCTGCCTGAACAACACTCCCCACCTAGAAGGGTACAGGACAACGCAGTTGTTTATGTATCAGCACGACAAGCCCGCTGTGTCTAGACACCTACCCCCTCTCGCGCTGCAGTCGTTTCGCATACCGCGGAAACCTTGTAGCCCCAACATCAGCTCCGTCGGTTGAGCCCGATCCGCGATTCCATCGCCCGAGTTAATGCCTTCCAACGCCTACTACTGCCTCTCAGTCTCCCCTATGTCCACTAGGAACAGTCCTCCCCGTCACTGAGATCCTGGCTTGACCGATCCCCCCCTTCTCTCCTGTCTCATTCGTCAACCACCTACGAATGCCTATCTAGTCCTCCGGTCTTCTTCCCCCGCCCACGGAACCGCCCACCGCCGACGTGGAACTCCCCGGCCACCACCACCACCACCACCACCACGGATAACCGAGTCTTCCCCTCTGCTTCGACAGTCCCACCCAGCAAACCACCGCAACCATGGCGCTCGTCAATGTTCGTCGCGACGTTACCGATGTCTTCTATCGCTACAAGATGGAAAGGCTCCTGACCAAGATCGAAGGCAAAGGTAACGGTATCAAGACTGTCGTCGTCAATCTGAGCAGCGTTGCTGCTTCTCTTGCCCGCCCCGGGTCTTACGTCATCAAGTACTTTGGTTTCGAGCTTGGCGCTCAGACCAACATCGACCCCCCGGATGACCGATGGATTATCAACGGTGCCCACGAAGCTTCCAAGCTGCAGGACCACCTGGATGGTTTCATCAACAAGTTTGTTCTCTGCAAGAAGTGCAAGAACCCTGAAACCGACGTTGTCATCAAGGATGGTCACATCGTCCTCGATTGCAAGGCTTGTGGCCAGCGCACCGATGTTGATCTCCGCCTCAAGCTTAGCGGGTTCATTCTGAAGAATCAGCCCAGGAAGGGCGGCAAGAAAGACAAAGCCGAACGTAAAGCCGCCCGCAAAGCCAAGCAGCAAGCCCTCCAGAACGGCGGCAAGGAGAACGGCCAGGGAAGCGGCGGTGAGAATTCCGAGAACGGCTCCAACGAGAATGGCTCCAAGAATGACGAGGAGGAAGATGGTGGCAGCGATGACGAATTCACTCGTAAGATCAATGCTGATGCCCAGGTCATTGACGCTCCCACCGAAGTCAAGGACGATGACTGGGCCGTTGACATGTCTGAGAAGGCTGTCAAGGCTCGTCAAAACCAGCTGCCGAGCGAATTTCGTCAGAAGCTTGTTCTTGGTGGTGGTGAGGACGATGACGAAGAAGGAGAAGGCGGTGGCCACACTGTCTACGATACCTTAGGCGACTGGATCCAGGAGGAATCCGCCAAGACAGGCAGCATTAACAAGGTCGAGGATATTCAAATTTATGTTAAAGCCAAGGAGTTGGGGATTGAGACCAAGCACAAGACGGTCTTGGTGCTCATTCAGACTCTATTTGATGAGAATATCCTCATCCAAGTTCCCAAGCGCGCAGCTATGCTCAAACAGGTATGTGGCGTTCTATATCTTTGCCCGTTATTATTGGCTGGAGAGGTACTTACTTTGGTCTCTTTAGCTGGTTACTTCGGAGCGCCACCAGAGAGCTCTTCTGGGTGGCATCGAACGTCTCCTAGCCACTGAGGGCAAGGAGCATCCGGAGCTGTTGACCAGCGACAAGATTGTCAAGATCCTTCACCAGCTTTACGACAAGGATCTGGTTAGCGAGGAGGTCATCCAGAAATGGGGAACGAAGGCGAGCAAGAAATATGTCGATCTCGCTACCTCCAAGAAGATTCGTCGTGCCGCAGAGCCTTTCCTCAAGTGGCTGGAGGAAGCTGAGGAAGACGATACCGACGATGAGTAAGCTGTGGAGACAGCCTCTGCTACTACTGTGTGGCCACCACTTGCGCTCAGCATCGGTCGGTGATCTTTCGGACTCGGTGGACGCTTTTGATTTCTGTGCTTGTTTGCGTGTCTCTGCCTGTCTAAAGTGAAGGCCTCACGCTGCTGTTGCATGCACCCTTCACAGCTTAGCACTCTGTTACAGAAAAGGAGGGACATGACGAGAAGAGACAACAGCCAGCAAAGCAAGGTTTCTGTTTTTGCCTTTCTCCATTTCGGTTCTCTGTAATTATCCTAGTCTAGCTCGCTAAATTGAAAGGGCTTACTCCGCTCCCTCAGAAACAGTCACTACTAGCGGTCCTCTAGTAATTCTTGGCTTGTTACACCTACATGACGAACACATGATTCGAGAGACGCAATTGTAGCTAACAAATCTCGTAATGTTTAGTGTTTAAGCTAAGCACGCCACCCACCTCTATAGAACGGCGATCGTAGATTAAGTCCCGGGCACCCCAGGAGGCGGTCCATGGTAGGAGCTTGTCAGACATCCACCGCTGTCACGCCGAGAAGGCGGTTTATATGCCTACCGGCGGCCCCGCTCCTCTCGCCTCTCCTCTCGGGGCGCTAGCTCCTGCGGGGGCGCCCGAGCCGGGGTATATCTGGGCGCGTGGCCCGCAGCGAGCGAGCGGGAGGTAGACGGGTTGGGCGGGGGGGAGCATGGGGGGTGGAGGGGGAGGAAGCTTGTGTGCGGCTGCGGCGGCGGGAGGAGGAAAGGGGGTTGGATCGCTTAGGGGGGGGGGGGGGGAGGGTTGCGTGGCCGACTGGTCCGCGTCAAGCACGAGGGGCACGCGGTGGTGGTGGGAGAGCACACGGGCTGTGCCTGTGCCCCGTAGGTAGGTATTGCATCTGCTGGCTCTCGGCTACCGCGAATCCATGCCATGACCTCTTCCGTCCGTCCGTCCGTCCACCAGCCGCACCCCTCTCGTCTCGCCCGCGCTTCGCACCTAAATACGCCCCTCCATGCGGATTCTGCCCCCACCCCCCCCTTCCCGCTCACCCCCCATGCGTGCCGCCGCGAGCCACCAGCCAGCCAGCGGAAACTACCCATCCCCCCTTTCCCCGCAACTCCTTGCTCTCCGCTCCCCTGTGGCTCGGTACCTGCGCTGTGCAGCGTGAGCAGGTGCCTAGGTCCGGGCTGAGGTCGAGGTTCGGTCGAATCGAGCGTGCTACGGGCATGGACAGACATGCGTCCAACGTAGTCGTGGCAGGTAGTAGTAGAGGGGACGAGGAGCCGTAGGGCCTGGTTCTACACAACAGCCGCCGCCGCCGCCGCCACATACACGCACACTCGGTACTTTCCGGGATATCAAGTACCATACGACGCTGTATAGACCTACCAGCTTGCTTGGTATCGATGCTAATGTACAGCGTTGCCCCTTACCCTGTCCCCCTTCCCGCATCTCATTCAGGAGCCAGACAAGCAGAACACATAGCGGCGAGGTACAACGCTAAGCTCGATGGCGAGGCGATCGCAAGTGCCTTCCATCAACGGGAGGGGGAGACATCGGCGAGAAGTTGGGTGCATAAAAGGGGGTTTTCTGGGAGTGGGGGAGGGGGGGGGGGGGAGAGACAGGGAAAGGGGAGGAGGCGCAAGGGGTAAAAGTTGAATCGAGTTATCGGGAAAACCAGCCGGTGGACGGACGTGGGGAAAAGCCGAAAACATCAAACCAACCCTATTGCCGCTGACTGTTGCCGCTGGCATTATCCCCTCGGTTGCCGTTGCCATTCTTCTTCTCGTTTTCGTCGTCGTCGTACGCGCCGCCCGACGACTGGGCCACGCTCTGGTCCCGCCAGCCGACGTTGTTCGGCCCCTCGAACGACGGCGGGCCCTTCGCGCTGTTGCCATTCCCCCCGGCGGGCCAGCTTCCGGGGGGCGGCCGCGCTGACGCGCCGGCCCCCTCGGGGCTGTTGCTACCCCCTTCCGGCCCCTGTGGTCCTTGGCTGACCCCGCTCCAACCCATATCCGCTTCGCCGGCCCAATCGTCCTCGTTAGCTGTGGTTTTATTGTTATTGTTGTTAGGGGGGGAGGCAGGGGGCGGAGAGGTACCACCGCCGTTCGCGGCAGTCGAATCGCTAGGGCCCGCGTTACTGTTGCTGCCGTTGATTCTCGGATCGGGGGTGACGTTGTTTTCGGGGAGCGCTGATTTGGCAGCGTTCTGACTCCCATCGGTCTTAGGTTGGCCTTGCTCTCTTTGGTTCAGCATGTGGTCTTGAAGGAATTGGGCCATTCGGAGTGCATCATCTCGTCGTAGGTCCCCCAAATTGTTAATATTAGTGGTACTCCTCCTCGCGCTTTCGTCGCTGCCTTGATCAGGCTTGGGGGCGGCCGCGGGATTCCCCGCGGGTGCGATGTTGGATTGCCCGCCGCTGTCGTCTTGGTTCGTGCCGGAAGGGCCGGGCGGTTTCCAACCCTCAGCCCGGAGCATATCCATATACCTGCCTTGGTCGAAGTCTGCTGCGAAGTCAGGGACTGGGGGCATATCCGGCGGCTGGCCTACGGTCGTGGTGCCATGTCCTTGGAACCATTGGCCGGAATTGGGCGGGTGAGGAGAAGGAGGCGCCCCGCTGGGTGTGTGGGGAGGCACGTACGGGTACCCGAAGCCGGGTGAGTACGGTATGCCGATAGGGTGAGGGGCCGGATGATAATAGCTGCCTGGGGGATACACCATTGCCTGAGGGTTGCCGTAAGTCGGCCCGTGAAAGACTCGCATGGTGCTGTTTCTGTGGTCGAAGAATGCGTTGGGCCGAGGGTCCTCGGGCGTCTCGACGGCGTGTTCGACTTGGAGTACGCGGGACCGAGATGGTAGGATGCCGCGACCCTGACCAAACTCTGGCAGCGGGCGGGGAGACTCGGGCGCCTTTTGCGTCTCAGTTCGAGCTTCCTTGGAGCTAGCCGTGTCCGTATAAAAAGAGATCGGCCGGTTATCTTTCTCGGTGGCCTTCCCCTTGGTTCTTTTGCCGCTCTTCTTATCTTCGTTTTTACGACTGCTTTCGCTATGCTTTTTCTTGTTGCTATCCTTTCTTTTCTTGCCCTTCTTGCCCTGTCTACCCGGGCTACCCTCTCTATTCTTTTGGACTTGCTTGTTCTTTTTATTCTTTCCCTTTTTTCCCTTTTTCGGGGCCTCTTCATCCGAAGCTGAGTCGGACTCGGCATCGACCTCGGATTCAGTTTCGGTTTCGCCTCCAGTACTATCGGTCGTACCATCGGTCGTACCAGCTTCGCTATCGGGCTCTTGCCTGTTCTCCACGCCCCTGGATTTCCGGTTGCTATTCTTTGCCCCGGACTGGACAGCCTTAGCTTTGGCAATCTTAGCCTTTGTAGCTTTGTGCTTAGCATGCACAGTAGCAGGATCGTTGACCTGATCCCCTTGGCAATGGGCCTGTGAGTGTTTCCCTTCCTCTTCTATTTTCTGTAGTTCCAGAACGCAACTATCGCATGGGCAATCCGGGCTCGGGTTCTCGTCCACGGTGACTTCACCTCCATTAGCCTCTTGGTTCGTGCCGGTCTCGGCTTCGGCTTCGGCTTCTTGGCCAGGGCTGGTTTGGCGAGGCGGCCGGTGTTTCTCTTTTGCGTTCCCCGTTCTTGGGTATGTGACCTTTAACGTGTCGGTCCCGGACTCGTCGTCGGTCTCAACGTCCACCGAAACAACACGGCGGGGTCGAGAGGCACGGGAGGCAGCCTTCCGACGGAAGGAGACGTTCTGGCCTACTGCCCACTCGCAGAAGGAATGAGGTGGCATGCTTGCTCAGAGGGTCTCTAGTGGCGTCAACTTATTGCGATTCGATCAAGTGGCAATTGTGCCGGTTCGAAGTGCTGCCGAAATATTTAGGTATGATCCCTCCTTACTACGCGGTACGATGGAAACAACGCCGATTCCCAGCTCCCCAGCTTGGCTAGATGGAGACCTAGTAAGGCGTATGACTAGAGAGCCTGCGATCATAATAGCTTGGGTGTCGGAGTATACTGCCTCGACGTGGTGCGGTGAGGTACAGAGAAGAGCGAGCGAGAGGGATGAATTACAGAGGGAAAAAGAGGGCAAGGCGAAGGTGGAAGTGGCAGCCGGGGTGGGTCAAGAAATCTGAGATATTTTGGGCAGGCACACACGGTACACCTAGGTGAAGAACTTCAGCGGCAGTTCACCTGGAGGTACATCTAGTTAGGGAGGTAGGTAGGCAGGCAGGTAGGATTGGGGAAGGTCAGGAACAATAGAAGTACTTCTCTCCTGTCTGGCTTGAGTGTTCACCAGGGGCAGGCATCTACACCTTGGGCCCGGTGGGCAGGGACAAGTATATAAATACCTGAGCCACCTCATACCTCTAATCCAGGCGATACACCTTCTCAAAAGGTGGTTGCGTCTAGGGAAGAATGAAGAGTGAAGAAACAATAGGTAGGTGTCAAACAGGCAGAGGTGCCACCTCGCCGAGCAACAAACAACCCCGATTTGTGCCGATGTATTCTTGAAGTATGCCTCGAGTAACTACCCGACCCTGAGGCGGGCAGATGGGACAAATAATATGTACCTAACCTACCTACCATCAGTGGAGGAAGCATTAGGGGCATAGCTTCATCGGTGCTTGTGTCTATCTCAGGTAAGGAGGGTATCCCCTGAGCACACACACACACGCACGCACGCACGCACACAGGTAGGCATACAAGCACAAGATAACCGGGAACCATCCCTAGGGAAACCCCCCATAGATTAGGCATATAGGTGTACGTTGTTGCTGCGTCGCTTGTTGTCCCCTCATAGCTTCTCCTTCTCCTCCAGTTCTATCTCCTTCCACCTCTTGTTTAAGTTGACGTTCTGCCAATACACCCAGGCTCCCGCGGCAACACCCACCGGTGGGACGAGAAGACACAGCCAATTCCACCACGGGGGGCTGCTTTTCCGGATCTGCCCCAGAGCTGCGTCGATGTTGGCCTTCAACTCCTCTCGAGAGCCGTCATTCCACACCACCACCCCCTTGCCCTCGCCCCTGGCCTCGCACCTCTTCGCTTTCAACCTCACATCCGTCTGGCTTATCACCCGGTTCTGCGCGTCTTCTCGGCTCAGGTGGGGGTCTCGCTCTGTGAGCCTCTGGATCTGTACCTCGGGGTCTCTGACGCCCACCACTATCACCACCCCCGAAAGCTTGTCCCAGCCGCTCTCGAAGAGCAAGGGCACGTCCAAGACGACGGCCCAGTGGCCCCTCAGGTAATTCAGCAGAATGGCCTTGTACACCTCCCATCGGACCTCGGGGTGCACGATGCCGTTAAGGACGTCCCGGTCCTCTTTCTGCTCCTTGTCGTCGCCGAATACGCGCTTGCCCAGGGCCGGCCTATTCAGCGGCCTGCCTTTCCCGTCGACCCCATCGGCGGGCATCGACTCCGAGACCGGGACGAGCAGATCAGGGGTGGTCGGGCCAAAGTACTTGACGATGGCGTGGTAGCCTCGGGTCCCGGGCAGGACCACCTTGCGAGCGAGAAGGTCGGCGTCGATGATGGGTAGCGAGTAAGGTGCCGAGGCAAGAATAGAAGATACGGTGGACTTGCCGGTGGCTATAGAGCCCGTCAAGCCTATGAACAGCATGATTGAATCTGTCGTTCAGACGAGTCGCTATCTTTGAATATCTACTAGGCCGGCAAGGCGACGGTATCGGGGAGAATGCCAGGAAATGTTCATACGGTTAAGGGCGCGTTGCTAGACTTATAAGTCTAGTTCTGGATTGAAGTTGCTTTTAATACCATGTGATCGGCACCAGGGGGGCAGCTCTAGGGGATAGATTAGCCGCATTCAATGTCGCCATCTTATCTAATCTTGCCTAACCTGCGCCCAAGTGCCCACATTACGCATTGTGCCTACCTAGTACCGTCTCTCTCTGCATTATAGGTAGGTTATCCGGCACCTACCTATAGCCTATAGGTATATAAAGGTAGGGGACCACTCATTTGGGTGGTAGGTGCCTCTTGGGAGGAGGTAAATTCCGACATTCTTACGTACCTACCTATAATGTATACATGCTATGGACACAGGTATATGCTTGCGGATACTTGTAGGTACCTACATGCCCTTTACAAGGTGGTAGAGGTACCTACCTATCTAGGCATGTGGTGCAACTTCCCTTGAAATGCGGGGGAGGGGTGAGATCTACCTACCAAAATGCGCTTGTACCAAGGTAGTTTCTATAGGCCGCCCACCTATCAATATGAGGTGAGGGGCCTCAATTTTTTTCCTCCCTCTCCCATCAGACGTGAACCGCGAAAATGCTGGATATGGGCTCGAATATCCCTCCCACTTATACCCACTAGCTCTCTCTCCATTGATAAGGCGCTCTCCAAAGCCTGTCTTTCGAAGCTGCAACGAACCATTGACAATCTCTCGCTAGGTATATTGCGTGCTCTAGGTAGCCATGGGAGTAGAGTTCCCACTCCGCGTCCTTCTCATCGGGAATGGAGGCAGAGAGCATGCGATTGCCTGGAAGTTGAGCCAGTCGCCCCTGGTAGAGTCTATCATAACCGTCCCGGGGAACGGTGGCACGGCGACCTGCCCCAAAGTCACCAACGATGCTTCAGTTTCATCAGATGATTTTCCGGCCCTGCTCGAACTCGCCCGGCGGAATAATGTGAATTACGTCGTCCCCGGCCCCGAGGCCCCTCTTGTCGCTGGCGCCGTGGACTTCTTCGAGAATGCCGGCATCAGGAGCTTTGGCCCATCGAGGAAGGCTGCTCGGATGGAGGGGAGTAAGACCTTCTCCAAGGACTTCATGAAGAAGCACGGCATCCCTACTGCGGCGTACGAGAATTTTTCCGACTACGACAGCGCCCGAAACTACTTGGATCGCGTGCAGCACGATGTAGTCATAAAGGCGAACGGGCTGGCTGCTGGCAAGGGAGTGATAATACCTACGTCAAAAGAGGAGGCGCAGACGGCTCTCAAGGAGATCATGCAAGACAAGGAGTTCGGATCTGCGGGGGATGAGGTCGTCATCGAGGAGTTCCTGACTGGCGACGAGTTAAGCATACTCACTTTCAGCGACGGCTATACCATAAAGTCGCTGCCTCCCGCCCAGGACCACAAGAGGATAGGAGAGAGAGACACCGGCTTGAACACGGGCGGCATGGGATGCTACGCCCCGACGAACATTGCTACGCCAGAACTCGTAGCGCAAATCGACCGAGAGATTATTCAGCCGACCATCGATGGTATGCGCAAGGACGAGATGCCGTTTGTCGGCGTCCTCTTCACCGGGCTCATGATTACCTCGGCTGGCCCGAAGGTTCTCGAATACAATGTCCGATTCGGAGACCCCGAGACACAGACTGTCCTGCCGCTGTTATCGCGAGACACCGATCTGGCCAAAATCATGGTCGCGTGCTCGGAGCGCTACCTAGACAGCATTGTAATTAATATCGAGCCCAGGTTCAGCGCGACTGTTGTCGTCGCTGCTGGCGGCTACCCCGAGTCGTACCCCAAGGGCGACGAGATTACCGTAGGGGCATCCCCCGAGGGCATCAACATATTCCACGCCGGCACGAAGCTAGCGAACGACAAATTGCTAACGGCCGGTGGACGAGTGATAGCCGCCAATGCCACAGCCGCCGAGAGCCTCCGGGCCGCGGTTGACAAAGCCTACGAGGGCGTGGGTCTCATACGTTTCGACAAGATGTACTACCGCAGAGACATCGCGCACCGCGCCTTCAAGCCGACCTCGGACACCACCAAGGAGGCCCTGACTTACGCGCAGGCAGGCGTGAGCATCGACGCCGGCAACCAATTCGTCGAGCGGATCCGCAACGCGGTGCGGTCGACGAAGCGGGCCGGCGCCGACGCCGAGATCGGCGGCTTCGGCGGCGAGGTCGACCTGGCGAAGGCGGGCTTCTCGGGCGACGCGCCGATCGTGGTGGGCGCGATCGACGGCGTCGGCACGAAGCTGATGATCGCGCAGGCGACGGGCGACCACAGCACGGTGGGCATCGACCTGGTGGCGATGAACGTCAACGACCTGGTCGTGCAGGGGGCCGAGCCGGTCCTGTTCCTCGACTACTTCGGCTGCAGCCGGCTCGACCCGGCGACGGCCGCCGCCTTCGTCGAGGGCGTCGCCGCCGGGTGCCGCGAGGCCGGCTGCGCCCTCGTCGGCGGCGAGACCGCCGAGATGCCCGGCATGTACCGCGGCGACGACTACGACGCCGCCGGCGCCGCCGTCGGCGTCATGCGCGCCCCCGACCGCCTCCCGCGCCTCGCCGCCATGGCCGACGGCGACGTGCTGCTCGGCCTCGCCTCGTCCGGCGTCCACTCTAACGGCTTCTCGCTCGTGCGCCGCATCCTGGCGCGCGAGGGCCTCGGCTACGACGCCCCCGCGCCGTGGGACGCGCCCCTCTTCGCCGCCTCCTCCGCCTCCTCGCCGCCGCCGGCCGGCCGCACCGTCGGCGCCGCCCTGCTAACACCGACGCGCATCTACGTGCGCGCGGCGCTCGCGGCGCTGCCGCGGCTCAAGGGCCTCGCCCACGTGACCGGCGGCGGGCTGCTCGAGAACGTGCCGCGCGCGCTGCCCGCCCACCTCGCGGCCGACATCGACGCGCGGTCCTGGCCGCTGCCGCCCGTGTTCCGCTGGCTCCGCCGCGCCGGCAACCTCGCCCCGCGCGAGCTCGCGCGCACCTTCAACGCCGGCGTCGGCATGGTCGCCGTCGTCGCCCCCGCCGACGCCCCCGCCGTCGCCGACACCCTGCGCGCTGCCGGCGAGACCGTCTACGTCATCGGCACCCTCGTCCCGAGGGCCCCCGGCGCCGAGGCCTGCGTCGTCAGGAACTTTGAGGTCTGGGACTAGGAGAGAGAGAGAGAGAAAGCAAGGACTGGGTAAAAACGCATAGGCAGGTTAGACAAAAAAAAAAGGGGGGGGGGGGGTAGGTGAGGCGACTGGGTTCCGCTGCAACTACCCGTCTAGGTAGATCAGGGTAGGCGATGAACAGAAATGTTTCGCGACGTTGAAGATATGCAGCTGCGTTACGCTATGACTGTATATATATATATATATACCTATATGTATGCAATAACGAATACGTGCGATGTGTTGTTCTTCATACCTGCTCCATCTCCGAACTCTGGAGAAAATAGAAGACGCTCATTAGCGTATGTCTTATGGGCAAAAAAAGAGAATGCTGATGAACAATGCCAATCGACAGACGGTGACCCAATAGGTCCCGTCCTGTCGTGTCCTGGTCTGCTGTAATGCTGCTGCGCGTGTGTAGAGCCCGAAAAGGGAAACAAAAAAAAATAGGAACCAAACCATTCATTCATTCATACGCGATGCAGAACTTCACAGCAAACGCCAACGCGGTAAGTTCTGAGCTCCGCGAGTCTTATGTCCCAATCTAGTCCCAAGGGAAAAAAAAAATCTAGTTTACCCAACCGAGAGTGGTAGGCCGGCTCTCTTCTCAGCACCGGCTTACATCTCATCGTTTGCCCACGCGGCCGCGGTAGTCGAAGCAGTCTCCTCGCTCGTCCCCCACTCCTTGCACATACCCACCCAATTGCGGTGGACGCAGTGCGACTTGGGTAGATCCGACGGCTCGGGTTCCGGGCGGGCCGTGTCGGTTGGCACAGGCGGAGGCGAGGTGATGACGTGAGGCTGCGATGGCCGCAACGATGTGGTGGCATCTGGGGTGGAGGTGGTGGACTTGTCTTTGCAGCCAAACCAGCCTGGCGTCTCGCACGTGGTAGTCGGGGTCGCGGTAGTCGTGGAGGTCGAAGTGGCGGTGGTGTCGGTCGTTGTAGTCTCGTCGTTGCAGCCGAACCAGCCAGGTGTTTTGCACGTAGTAGTTGAGCTACTAGTCGTGGTTGGTGTGCCGGGGGGTGCCGTCGTCGTAGTCTCATCGAGACAATCCCACCTTCAAGTTGTTAGCTGCTTGTGTCTCAGGAGACACTTAAATGGGTCGTTTTGCTTACCATCCGGGGGTCTGGCAGGTGGCCGTCCGAGTACGCGTTTTAGACTCGATAGAACTGCTTGAGGAAGTCGTGTCGTCGGTGCGATTACTTTCATACATCTTCCAGTTCGCGCAATCCCGGCATTCCGGCGTAAACCTGCATTCCGGGGCGTCGTCGTATTTTCGAATGACATCGTTGATCACGCTTCGTATCTTGTGCGTGCCAATACCCACTCTCCAACCATGGTCGGCTACGGTGTCGTAGACGCACTCATAACCAGTATGGCACGCCGTCTCCAACGCGTAGCCGGCGAAGGAACACGAGGCAGTCGCGCCATTGCACGACCCGACATAAATAGGATCCGCCGTGTGGCCCACATGGAATGACCCGGTATACTGTCGAGTCTGGGGGAACTCGGGGTCGGCATGCGGAGGTACCGGAAGGCCCAATCTACCAGCTGCCAGCGCCTCAGGAACGGCTTCGAACGTCACGACGGGGAGCCCGTAGGTTAGGCCGAGAAGGGAGCTGACCGCTCCACCGAGCGAGTGCCCGGCAACCCAAATGTTGGATTCGGGGTAAAGTTCCGTGACATTTGCATACAGCTCTCTGGCAGCCTGATAGTAGCGATTCTCATCGCGCAAGGCTGTTTTCACACATGTGTTATTGCAGCTATACGTGCTTGTTGCGCAATCGCAGACCTGGTGCCATGACCATTGGCCTTGCTGAGCACAGCAGCAGCTGAAGAAGAGGTTGTCGTTGATCTTATCATTCGTCGTTGTGCCTTCTCCGTCAAACACAGCCGGAGAGGTTCCCTTCAGTCCAACAACAATGGTGGAATTCGTCTCGTCGGCCCAGATGTGGCCCCTGAGCCCATCACCTTCCCAGCCGAAATCGGCGCTTCGGTTAAAGGGTTCTCCCACCTCATCCCAATCCGGCATACCTGGCTTCTCCACGTAGGCATCGGCCGCTATCAATGCCATAGTAAGAATTGTTTCCTTGTCGGTAACGTCGGGGCCGAGGACCTCGTCGACGGTCCAGGCGGAGGGACTGCTCGCGATGACATAGCCTCGCTGGCGAGCCTCGGCTACTAACGGGTCTACAGTACTGGGCCGCCGGTCGACCAGACGCTCGATCTTCCGAGGTTGACTCTTGGCCTTCAAAGGCAATATTCGTTCTGCCTCGTGGCCATCCTCTTCGGCCAGCCATATCTCCGCGTCCGACTCGCGGATGTCACGCCTCCGATGGAGTCCGGGGTGCCGGTAGGTGCCGTGGTGGAATATGTGGCGGAGCGTAAAGACGTGTTCGGCCGGCTGTGGCGGTTCGGGTATTAGGGGGGCCAGTATCGGCTCGTTGGGAAATGTAGCGCCCGCGTTCTGGAAGGTCGCAGCGGCTGGGGAAGCAGACATGGCAAGAATGGATAAGACCAGCTTCGAGGTGACTCTACCAGCAGAGTCGCAAGCCGAAGAATAATGTCGTTTTCGTCTTAAGCCCATGATGGCTGCTTTGGACTGAGTGTAGGCAGCCCGGGAGCTAGGTTACCAAAATGAGATAATAGGTTATGTGCAGAGGAAAGCTGGGATGGATGAGAGGATGAATGAATATGAGAAAACGTGTGGAATGGATGAGAGTGAGGAAGGAGAAGAAGACGACGACGATGTCTCAAGAGCGTTGAGGTGTTTGACAGGGTTGGCGGTGGTTGAGTGGACGATAAGAGTAGTTGGTCACGGCACATGCCACCTCCACACGTACCTAGGGAGTTCCAGGGTTGCGACGTGGGGCCAAGTGGCGACAGGTAGGCAGACGGGTGCTACGTACCTATGTACCTACCTCCTAACGTCCACCTCCCTAGCCTGTTACGGCATGTACCAAGGCATCTCAAGAGGTAGATGTTATTCGCCCACCGTTGACCAATGGCGGCCTCTCTCCAGTTGGCCTTACAGGTACCTACCTTAGGTACCTACCTCCTATCGGTACCACAGGTACCTCAAGGCGGTATACACGTACCATGCTAGGGTTCCCCGCTAGCGACTTTGATCTTAACCTGACTAAGAATGGCCAGATTCGAGAGCTTAATACCGCCGACTTATACCGCCTAGGTCGAGACTGGCTCCACTCACTCGAGTCAGTACATCAGGTACCTATTGGTGGATATTACTTAGGTAGGTGCCTAGGTACTTAAGGTACCTCTGCATATAAGCCGTGGGTAGGAATACTTCGTCAGGGATTCCAATGTTATTCTGAAATCCAAGCACATATTGGACAGGTGACTACACAGGCAGAGAGACAAGGCCGGCACTCTGAGTACATACGCGTAATGCATCAGACATCAAGCCGAAGCCGCTACAAGTTCTATCTAGGTAGTCCATGCACATGGTTTATGCAACCTATTATCCCCTACGCGCATAGTAGCAATACGCTAAACGCGTACATGGAAGGGCTGATGCACGTCAGCAATCCCTCTCTACCTACCTATCATGTGCCCGAGATAGCATTAATATCCCGATATGTATCCACGGATGGAGGCGATTTAAACATATGTATAAGGAGGAGAATGTTTCTGGAATTTTACTGAGATTGAGGTTATGTCTCAGGCAGGCGTCGGTGAAGAGGCGAGTTTTACCTTGTAATATTATCTTTAATAGCTCAGGCTAAGTGCGGACAGAAGTATTGCGAGGAGACTGTGGTTGTAGGCAGTTTGGTAAGTGCATCTATGTACATGTAGGTATAGAAGGTGTCCTGCTTACACAGAGAGGTAGGTAGGTACCCAGGTAGGTAGGTAGGTACCTAGGTAGGTAGGTAGGTACCCAGGTAGGTAGGTAGGTCGTACCGAGACACCACGGTACCTCTTGGCCCAACATGTTATGAGGTCGGGAGGCAGAGAAGTGCATCCTAACCTGTTAGGCTATGTGCGTATCTCAATGTATGAGCATATATATCAACACATATTCGTCGGTACATGTCTACGTACAAGCCTACACCACTAAGGTACTTCCTATGGAAGGTCAGGCTAGCTTCGACAGCACCGTACATATCTGCCTGCCTGCCTTATACGTGCTTCCCCTATGTAATATTGCCTGATAGATTACTACCTGATAGGCGACCCCGTTATCGTTTATCGTGTCTTCATGCGGCGGGCGTATGTGGACCACCGTCAACTTGTCAACCATCCATGTGCCTCCATCGATGATGCGCCCTCGTGTCTGGCACCAAGCTCTAGAACACCCAGCATCCTCCAGACAGCTAGCCAGTCAGTCAGTCTTCGCTGCCAGTCGCTGGCCGTCTTCGCTACCCGCATTGTCTTGACGGCCGCTCTTCTTCTGCCGATACCCGGACAAGAGGTATAGTAGCACACGCCCTTTTCCTGATAATCCTCTTCCCCCTGTTGAAGTGCGGTGGAGGCGTTGCGGTATTGCGTCCCTGCGACCAGTTTCAGGTCTTGGGCATTTCATGCTCCTCTCCGTAGCCCTTCTCGCCCTAGCTAGAGCCTCCCCTAGAGCTGAAATAATTACCTACCTATTTGCTTTGCTGCCATCTCCCTCGTCCCTTCTTCTCTAGAAGGCTAATATAATCACTATGGCGTCTAGAATTGCTAGCATCTTCATGGCACCCACGACCCCATCCAAGGGCTCCGAACCGAAGCCTGGGTCCCTTCCGAGCTCGAACTCTTTCCCGCACCAGGCCTCGGACGTGAATGACCCCCTGACGCGTCCCCAACGCGCCAGCACCATCCAGAATGGCGCGTCCCCGAAGGTCACTATCATACAGGACACGCCGCCGGAGAAGGCCCGGAAAGAGAGAACCGATACGTTTGAATCAGAGACCTCGGACGATGTGATAGAGGCTCCGCGGGCATCGGTCGACATGGAGGAGATACCAATCGAGTTGGTGAGCAAGACGGACAAGTTGAGTTGGGCAACCCTGTCCGTGCGTGCCGACCATGACTAATACCTGTGCTGTTATCTCAGCTTCATCGATTCCCTCACTGCCAGAGTCCACCCGACCCCGCCGAATATCGACAATCTTTCTAGGTTGTTTCAAGACTTTTACCATGTAGCTGCTTCACATATCCAAACACACATTGCGAGCCTCGCTACTCGGCAAATGCGGGACCGAGAGGCCTCTCTAGCCTCGTCGAGTTACTCGAGAGCTTCTGCTGCTAGTCTGTTGAGAGCGAAGGCAGCTTCTTTCAGCAATAAGGAGAAAGCCAAATCAACACCGTCCAAGGAGGAGCAACAAATGCTCACAGTCGACGAACTCGCGGAAAGAAAGCGAGCTAGGAGAGCGCTCGAGCAGAAGAGGGTCTTGCTCGAGGAAGCCGTCGAGAGACGGCTCTGTGAGGGCATATACTATCGCATATATCGCCATAGAAGCACCCAAGACGAGGCGCAGGATGACAAGCTCAGATCCAAGACGGCCGCCCTCGCTCTCGTAGGCATCGGTCCCGGAGACCTGGGAGTTGATCTCGGCGATCGTTCTGAGGAGGAGACTCCCGAATCTCTGGCAAAGAAGCAGGACGAAATCCGACACTACTTGGAACAAGCTCGTAAAGACTTGATGCTCATGCACGAGAAGAGGTATCCGCTGGGAAAGCTCAATCACCTCAAAGCCGCCCATAAGAGCATCGTGGATACGCTGTCCCACTTCCACCCCTCCTCGTCGGCGGACGAGATCATGCCGATGCTGATATATACCCTAATTACTATGCCACCCGAGAAGCTGAATGTGATCAGTGATTCCAATTTTATACAAAGATTCCGTTGGGAGGAGAAACTCGAGGGAGAAGCCGCATACTGCTTGACGAATCTCGAGGCCGCGATTACCTTCTTACAGACGGTAGATCTCGCCAGTCTTCGGGCGGACGAAGCCTCGTCGGGACCGCCCAAGCTAGAGAACCAGCCTGGGGTGCCGAGGGCGGAGACGTTCCCGCCAGCTTATACTGCTGGCCTGTCCGCGTCCGCGTCCAGCTCGGCCGCCGCAGTCCCCGAGAGTACACAGGATGTGAAGGCCACCTCGTCATCCGCGAGCTTGCGGGCCGCCGTCCAACGCCGCAGGTTGAGCGATCTTATTCAAACGCCAGCTCATGCTATCGGGACTGCAAGTGACTCATTATTCAGCACCGCCGACCAGAGCTTCAAAACCATAGGAATTAGCTTGGGCGATAGCTACAAGTTCCTTCTTGGCAAACTTCGAGATAGCTCTGCGAGTGGACGGGAATTAATAGTGCCACGAACTCTAGATGACGCACGGAAACTCATTGGCACTCCGCCGCCAGACGATGACGCCTCCGTCGACGGCACAATCATAGCTCCGGGAAGCGAGGACAGGATATTGTCCCTAGTTGGTGGCAAGGGGACATCGAGGGATCGTAGTGCAGATAGCGCGAGGAGCGCGAGGAGTGCCGGCAGCTCGAAGAGATTAGCCGAGGAAGCCAAGGAGAAAGCGGCTGCTGCAACGTCGTCAGCTGCACCCAATCCGGCGCTGGTTGACCAGATGCGGAGTCTTGGTAATTCCCTGAACCCCATGAACCGCTTCTCTGGGATCGGCATGATGCGCGGCTTCGGACGTACAGCCACGGCTCCAGCACCGCCGGCGAAGGACGTCGCGGTTAAGCCGGCAGACGGCGGAGACCTGGCCACGGTGAGGAACACGCATTGGAGTCCACAAACTGAACCGCGCTAACTAGTATGATTAGGCCTTCCCGGATCTTGCCGCGTCCTTACCGCCGAAAGATACCCCGAAGATCGACCCCCCCAAGAAGAAATTCATGGAGCTCCAGAACCCTGCGGATTTAAGAATCGGCGACGTCCTGGAGCTGCTCCGGGACTACCGCCGGCTCGCCGGCGCGCTCAAGGACATGGATGCCTTTAAGGAATAGGCCAACTAACCGAACGTGCGTACGTCATGGTAACCACGCGCAGTAACGGGCAGGACGGCTAGCTATCAGAGTGCATCTGGGACGGGATCGGAGTAGTGGGCTATTCTCAACACATTTTCGCATGGTACGGAGTTTCCGAGCGGGCAAGGAGACGACGGGAAGAGGCAGTATTTGGGGGGTTTTTTTTGGTTTTGTTTTTTGAGATATTCTGGGGTCTGACATAGACAGGGGTGGGATCAGAAGGCTACTCGCGCCCCTCTCTCTACTTACACCAGGGGTGCTTTGAAACATGAAAGCATACAGGAAACCGGAGTGTAAATACGTGCGGGACGCAGATGATATATATCCCCATGTTTATAAGCCAGAAAGGGAGGGTTTAGTGGTATATTATAGACACGAAAGGGGGCCGGGGAATTCCCTCATTTCTCAACGCCAGTTCTTCTCTCAGCAGGAAAGAAAGAAGAAAAAAACCATACGCGGGAAGCGAGCCCATCCAACAAGCAAAGCTACTTAGCCCAGACGGTTCGGTCAGTTTAGTCCGTCTCGCTAGAAAAAAAACCCCCCCCAAATAGCACAACACCCCGAGTGATGCTAACCCTGTATGTATTTCTTTTGCTGGCTCTCTCCTCTCCCACGCCTCGTTTCCGCTTGCTTGCTTGCTCTGTCTGCTGCTGTCCTCATCCCCCAGCGTTTCCGCCTCGACGTCCTGCCTCTCTGTATGACGTTGCTAGGTGTCGCGAAGGGAGACTGCAAGCCAGTCGGGCCTGTCTCGCCCTGCTGCTCCCGCTGTAAGCGGGCCCGTCCCGTCCGCCCCGCCCCCGCCCGCCACCCCTCCCCTCCACCGGTCCATCCGTCCATACCGGGCCCCCTTCGCATTCCGACCCCTCCGGCGCGGCCCCCCGTTCTCCCCCCCCCCCAGCCCCGGAGCGGAAGAGACGCGAGGGAGGGGGCCGGGGGAGGGGAGACAAGGGGGTAGAAGAAGTGCGGATCGGCCAGTCGGAGCCGCACCCCGGTCCCACGCCGACAATGGAATCGCGCGCTGGCATACACACATTACAACACGAACACGCACACTCACATACACGCAGACCTTTCCGTGACAGGAGACAAATTTAGGTAAGTTAAAGTTAGGTTTTAGGGGAGGCGGGGAGGGAAAGGGGGGTTGGTAATAAATGGTAGAGCCACGCGTCAGTGGTAGCCGTTAGTGCTCTTAGTAGGGCTAGGGGGTCCGTTCGTGGCATGATTTTTGGGGTTGTCGGTGCGGGGGCCCGGTCCGGCCGTCGCCGCGGCGCCTCGCGGGCCGGAGATGAGGTTTTCCATGAAGCTGATGTAGTCGTATTGGGGCATGCCGCGGTCCTGGGCCATGTCGGGCCCGGTGTGCTTGGGGACGATCTCGCACAGCTTCTCGATGACCTCGTCGGGCACGAGCGAGTGGCGCAGGTCCATCTCGGTGACGTAGGGCTTGCCGTCGGCGACCTCGCGGAAGGACTGGAAGACCTGCTCGGCCGTGTTCTGGTCCTCGGTCACGTCCACCATGAAGCGGATGAACTGCTCGAACGTGACGCAGTCGCGCCCCCGCGACGTCTCGACGAAGTAGTCGTGCATCTCGTCCTCGCTGAAGACGAGCCCGAGCGACGCGAGCGCCGCCGAGAACTCGAGCTCCGACAGCGAGTTGGTGTCGTTGCGGTCGAAGTGCCGGAACACCGACTCGAACTCCTCGAGCTGGATCGGCGTCAGGTTCGTCATGCTGCGCGCCACCATCTGGTTCTCGAGGAAGGCCAGCTTCTTCTGCACCGACGTCTTCACCAGCCCGAGCTCGTACGACAGCTCGTCGTACGTGTACGTCGTGAAGTCATTCTCCTCGATGTTCGCCTCCTGGCACTTGGCGTCGACTGCCGCGATCTTCTCCAGGTACGCGTCGAGCGGCGGCAGGCTGTCGCTCAGCCGTCGCACGTGCAGCAGCTGGTCCTCCACGTCGCCCTCGAGGCCCGAAATGGCAATCTGCATCGTGTTGAGAGCGAGCGCGAAGTCGTTCGCCTTGTCGGCAAATGATTTGCGGAGGGCGTTCTTGATGCTGCGCGCGCCGGCGTCGTTAGCGGGGACGGTTATCCAATGCGGAGCGCTTACCAGGACTTACTCTCGAATGGTCTCGTTGATGAGCTGGCCACGCATCATCTCGGCCTTCGTCAACTTGGCCCACTCCCTGTCCATGGCCTCCAGCGACAGCTCTGGGGGAGGCTCATACGCCCGGAGTCGGTAGGTGCCCAGCTTCGTCTTGATGTTTCCCAGCAACGTGGCGAGATCGCTCTTCTCGGCGACCCAATCTCGCTTCTTGCCTCTTTTATACGACGCAAACTCGCCGGCTTGCTTCTTCGCGTCGACGTACGTGCCCTCGAAAGTCGCCTGCTGCCATTTTTCTATTTGCTCCCTTATCTGTTGCTGCAACGCGGCCACCCTCCTCTCGTAGGCGCTCTGCATCTCCCAGGCCCCTTGCATGTTGTTCACGAACTTCTCGACACGCCGGCCGGCGTTCTCAACCTTTTCCATCTGCGAGAAGGCGTGGAACCAGTAGGCGATATATGTCATCAAACTCCTCTCGTCGGGCTTCGCGACGTCGCACACATCCTCGACATCCAACAGGTCCGGGATGCCGATCTCCTTATGAGCGATCTCGAAGGCCAGCTGCATGTTGCCTCGGTGGTCCGACTTGTCTAGCGCGTCGTAGTCGATCAGGTCGGGCCGGTGTATGTCTAGCAGCGCGCAGAAGGCGAGTCCGTCGTTCCAACTGGTGCTGAAGTCGCGGACGTCGACCTCGTCGTAGCATGCTGTCTTGCGTTGGCACCACAATAGGAGACCCTCCTTGGCCGTCATGCCCTCTTCGTTGATATCGCTGATGGTAAATCTGAGAATGAGGGTCCAGATTAATCCTAGGATGATCTTGCGATTGCCGTCGACCACATCCTCTGCGCCGATGTTGGTCATCTGAATGCCTCGCGACTTGATGAAGTTGAGCGCCGTGTTGGCATTTTCGAACTTCTGAACTCGGAGCTTCGGTTTCGCAGCATATCGGCCTAACGACTCACATGACAGACATTCTAATAAATGTATTAGGAGGACCTAGAGAGGATCAATGGCTATTCGGTTGGCGGGTCGGGTTGGTTTGCGTGGTTCGCGCGCCGACTTACAGCATCACTCAAATCGACCACCAGGTCTTTCACCACCAGACCCCTCCCGGCGATCTTAGTATTCATCCTGGCATTCCAAGCACGTCAGTCATCGCGGGGCTAGGTCACAATCGAGAGAAACAATGTCTTATCGGCGGCAATAGCGACACCGAGGAATAGATAGATAGCTAACCATTTGGTGAAGGTCTTCTGCTGGACGGTAACCCATTTGTGATCCATCTTGGTCAGGTGTGGCCCCCCGGCTGCTCAGGGGCAGCTCAGATCAGTAGCGCTGGCAAGACACGGATCGGTCGACGACAGGCGGGTCGTAATCCTCAAAGTCGCGTCTTCGTATGCGGGCTCCCTCGGCGAGCCTCTTTCTGTCGGTTGGTTCGTGGGCTCGTCTCTCCCGGCGAGAAACAATATGGAGCGCGAGGTCGATCGTCGGCGGCAGAAACAGCGAGCGGTGCGAGGTATAGTCGGAGGAAGAGGTCGGGTCGACGGCGCTGGTGGTGCTCCGGCCCCTATCACGCATGTATATACGGGCGCGGAGAAATTGGAAATTAGGATAAAGAGTTGTTGTCTCTGAATGGGCGGGCGCAATTATTAAGATGGTGGTTGGGGTAGGGAAGACGAAACAAGGAATATCAATACCCTCGCAGAATCGTAGTACGTGTAGGCTCCGTCTTGTTGTGCATGAGAACGAGAGCCGTGGTGGTATTACTAACGTTGCGTTGGGCGGCGGGTAAGGGAATGCGTGGATGGCTGTCGCCCAAATCGGCTTCTACAATTGGTTGCCCAAGGGATCCCCTAATTCCCGCCATTCCACTTTATCGATAAGGTACACGAAGCATGTATGGATGAGTACCTCATACTTGCATATGTACCTAATGTACCTACATACGTTTGTGGATGTACATACACCTACTAAAGGATGGAAAGGATGGAACGGAAGAGATACCTCCTAATGTACCTACCTACCTACATATGTACATAGTATACATCATACATCCCCGCGGGCAGCTCGCCGTGATATGTACCTACCTGTAACGTAGGCGCATACTTGCGCATGCTGTACCACCACTCCGGGTACTGAACGTATGTAGATATAAAGGTACCTACCACATGCATCAATACTACAGGTAGGTACGAAAGGAACATTTAGGCACATCAGGAGATCGATGCCTATTGGACCAATGTCAAGGTACCTAATGTGTGTGTATGTATCCCAATATCCCAATGCCTACAGGCAGCGGGCCAGGTACATTACTCGGACATCCATCTCCCTCCTCCCCCAGGTGAACAGGGACGTCGACTGGCCCCGTAAATTGTTTTCTCGGGTGCTATGGATGTCTTCCGGAAGTTGGCATGGAACTCGGCAAGGGTGCAGAAGTGGGCTGAGCATTTTGCATGTATGTATAGTATGAAGTAGGTACCTCCAGGTACAGCCATAACAGGAATTGGTGGCTGCCCCTCACCCCATTCCTTGATTATCGATAACCTACGGCAACAGTGCCCGAGGTATGTACGTACCTATGTACCCAGGTACTGCTTTAAGCACCTAAGGTACCTCCTCCATAGACCCTGAGGATTGCCGTGTTACCACCGTCTAGCCCGGGAATCGAGTTTCGCCGCCATCGTGCGCAAACCCATCTTCGGGGCAGCGTTATTTTAGTTGTAGCCCTTATTGCCTTTCCATTCTTCTTTTTCGTTCTCTGCCTTTTTCCTTTTTTTCTACTTTATTTTCCTATCCCCCTGGCCGGGCTCCTCTTCCCCGTTCGCGAGAAGTACATCACGGTGGAAATGGCTTCTAGGTCCAGGTTGGCACCGGTCTTGAGGCGGGTAGCAATACCCAGCTGGAGGAGACCAGCGACAGCCACCTGCCCCGCCATGTGTGTCACCCGTGGCATGTCGAGCACTGCCCCGCGACAATTACGAGAGTCGAGTGCAAGAAGCGCCAAATACACTTCGGACTCCTATCCCGAAATCAAGAGGGACTCTCGCTTCGCCCAGATAACCAAGGAGCATGTCGACTATTTTAAGACGCTGCTCGGCAAAGAGTCCGCCGTAGTTGACGGCGTGACTGCTGGCGTTGCGGAGGATGATATGGAGCCGTACAATGGCGACTGGATGCACAAATACAGGGGCCACTGCAAGCTGGTGTTGAAGCCTGCTTCGACCGAGCAAGTCAGCAAGATCCTCAAGTACTGTAACGAGAACGTGCTGGCTGTTGTCCCCCAGGGCGGCAACACCGGCCTCGTCGGCGGCTCTGTACCTGTATTCGACGAGATCGTTGTCAGCACTAGCCGAATGAACCAAATTCGATTTTTCGATGATGTGAGCGGTGTCTTGGTTGCTGACGCCGGCGTCATTTTAGAAGTAGCCGACCAGTTCCTCGCCGAGAAGGGCTACATCTTCCCCTTAGACCTCGGCGCGAAGGGTTCCTGCCACATCGGCGGCAACGTCTCGACCAATGCCGGCGGGCTCCGGTTACTTCGGTATGGAAGTTTGCACGGCAGCGTTCTCGGCGTTGAGGCGGTTCTACCCGACGGGACCATCCTGGACGACCTCAGCAGGCTACGAAAGAACAACACCGGCTACGACTTGAAGCAGCTCTTCATCGGCGGAGAGGGCACCATCGGTATGATCACTGCCGTATCGATACATTGTCCCCAGCGGTCAAACGCGGTCAATGTCGCCTTTCTCGGCCTTGAGTCCTACGAGAAGCTCCAGCAAGCTTTCCGAGAAGCCAAGTCGCAGCTCGGCGAAATCCTCTCCGCTTTCGAGTTGATGGACTCGGAAAGTCAGGAAATCCTCCACAAAGTCAAGGACAATAAGCGGCCACTTGAACAACGTCACCCTTTCTACTGCCTCATCGAGACAAGCGGGTCTAATGCCGATCACGACAACGAAAAACTGGAGAAATTTCTCGAAGATGTCATGACCAAAGAGATTGTTGCCGACGGCGTGGTAGCGCAGGACGAAGCACAGCTGAAGGCTCTCTGGAGCCAACGGGAAGGCATTACGGAATCCGTGGGCCACTGGGGGGGAGTGTATAAATACGACGTGTCGATCCCCCTGCAAGACATGTACAAGCTCGTGGAGGATGTGAGGAAGAGAGTCGAGGATGCAGGGCTGAAGGGCGAGACCGATGAGTACCCCATCATTGAGGTCATCGGATACGGCCATATGGGCGACTCGAACTTACATCTCAACGTCGCAGTGCGGAGATACGACAAAAAAGTGGAAGAGGCTCTCGAACCCTACGTGTATGAATGGATCAAGGACAAGAACGGCAGCATCAGCGCCGAGCACGGCCTGGGTATAGCCAAGAAGAAATACATCGGCTACAGCCGGAACGAGACCACGGTGGGTCTGATGAAGCAGATCAAGAACCTTTACGACCCGGTAAGTTCTGCTCGACCGCTCACGCCCCAGCCTACAAGAGGTACTGACCGTCTTCGCAGAAAGGTATAATGAACCCTTACAAGTATATATAAACGACGACACATTCTCGGTCTAGCTTGTGCGATTTTGGCCGTTCGCTTCGATGTGTCACCTGACCGCGGGCCACCCCCCTGGAGCCACCTTACTCTTACTTAAAAAAAAACCAGTAAAAGATGCTACTTTCTACCACGCATCACCTTACAATATACGTCACTAGAAGTTATAATACATATTACTCGATTCGTGTTTTTCAGCTTTTTAAACGAGTTCAAGTTTCGTCAAACGGAACGGTTTATAAAATATAGAAATCTATGTTTTATAGAAAGGTAAAATTTAAATACATTACAATAATACAATGGACTGGGACGACCGTGTCAATCTAGACAACAACGTGTCATTCCTTTCATGGATACGGAAATACGATGACGCACGAGAAAAACAGCTGACGGATTGGGTTTCCACCTTTCACCACGATAGCCTGCGTTGCAAGCTGGTTACACATAAACGCGGTGACAGCCGTGGCGCGTATAACTTGAGTTGCAGGATGGAGTTCGAAAATGGGGAGGAGTGGATGGTGCGTTTTCCCATGGTCGGAAAAGTTGTCAATGCCGACGAGAAGACCGAGATTGAAGTGGCTACGATGAATCTAATCCGTCAACGGACCACGATACCTATCCCCCAGGTCAAAGCTTGGGGGTTGGCGGCGGATAACGCCCTTGGAATTGGTCCTTTCATCATGATGGATTTCGTCCAAGGCATCAGTGTCGCTGACATTCTTCAAACACCGGATTCCAGAATCATGAGACAGGACATTAGTGAGAGAGTCATCGAGGTCATCTTCCGCCAGATGATCAATTTCTCTCTGCAGCTCCGGAAACTTGGCTTTGCACACATCGGCAGCTTAACCTCAACGTCTACCGCTAGCGAGGGTGGCTCCGCTGCGACGATTCATTCGCGGCCCGTGACAAAGAAGTCGCATGATTTTCTCTTGGACGGCGGAGTTAATGTTCTTGGTGGGTAACAGTGTTTCCATTTGTCCATGTTGTTAGTGTCTCGGCAGCTTCAATCTGATTTCTTAATGCCTTTCAGGTCCTCCAAACGAGATATTCTCATCCACGACCGAGTACTTTCGCCATGTCGTTGACCAGGACCTACGGCATCTACACGACCAACCAAATTCGGTCGACGATGACCAGGATGCAAGAGAAAAGTATATCTACTTTAATATCATGAAGGCCTTGATCACTCGTCATGTTCTGCCAGGCCATGACAAGGGACCGTTCAAGCTCACATGCGACGATTTCCAACCTACAAATATGATCGTCAACAACGAACAGGATCTCAAAGTAGTCGCAGTGATTGATTGGGAGTGGTCGTATACTGCGCCAGCCCAGCTGGTAAATTCCACGCCGACGTGGCTTCTGATCCAGTCTCCTAACGCCTGGGCCTCCGTTGATGAGCGGCTTACTAGGTTCAACTGGCACTTGGAACTATATACGCGGATATTGGAAGAAGAGGAGCCAAAGATCCTAGGGGACGGTATTGTCGCGGACCAGAAGCCCTCGACAATGTTACGTGCGTGCCAAGAAGATGGCCGCCAATGGTTTCACTTCATCATCCTACGTGGCTTCAACGGTCCCACCTGTGTCCCGTTTGTAAAGCTCCGGGAGGAGACGAGAGACTGGGATAAACTTGCTGCTGCTGTCCCAGAAGAAGATATCAACTCCTTTGTCCAGAAGAAAATGGCAGACTTACAGAAGTACGAGAAACAGCTGGTTGAGATGAAGGAACGATACAAGATAGCGCTGCGCGGGGACTTGAAGGATTTGGACACTTTTCTCTGCAAGAACACGGAAATGCTTTCTCTCGATGGATGGCGCTACCAGTGGCAGTCCTGGACTTGTTTCAATCGGTAACCCTAACTTGGACGTATATGAGTGCCACCGGGCTGATTTCGCGCGATCATCTCTCCTGCACTCTCATTTTTTCGGAGACCTCATTCAATATTTTTTGCAGTCAGATCTACCTATTCCCTTCAACATTGTTGGCGTCGTGCGACTGGGAGCCCGGATTAGCCTGCCGCGCAGACGACGAAAGTTGGTGACAGTGGATAAGTCCCATTGTCATCCTCGTCAGACCACACGAAGACGGCGCGGTACAGTGCGAACCGGGCTGTCGGGCCCCGAATAGTACCTAGCCTCAGGAACTCGGCAGCCATGCGATGGAGATACATTTCGGTAAATGAGGCGTGGTGTTCTCCGGCATCTGCATCCGCGGCAAGATATTCGTCCATCTTTTCGACGAGCTGACGGTGACCCGAATCGTCCAGGTGAGCTGCAAGAGGAGCTTCCGTTGGACCAGTGCCAGGCGGCCTCTCGGTTCAACCTCGAGGTGTCGATGACACGGCCCAGCTTCCACATGTCATGTACCAATACGAAACTGTAGCGTTAACGGCGTTTATAATCTATACTTCCGGCCCTGAACTATCTCCAACTCCGAATACTCTGGCATGCTAATAGTAGGTATATAAGTGCCAGAGCGCGTTTTAGATATGCGGCGAGGTTTAGTTGAATATCAAGTTGTGCCTCGTGGCTAGTCCGCTTCCTGTAACTTACGATACTAGTTAGTATTAGGTAACTAGTAAGCGAGTCTTTTGGAAGCTGAACTTGATCAATTGAGGAACTTAACTAGAAGCCTAAGACAACGCAGTTGACGATCTATTTACCTACGTGTTTACGGCTTGGATCCACGTTGGTCCGTGGATCTACAAAGTTACCGGGCATTTGTAGTAAACTCACAATGGCTTCCCTATGGTACCTAACGTACTACCTAGGTACGTACCTACCTATATAATTCACACTTAAATGCCCTCCGTGCAATGTGCATTATCGATAAGGCACATCATAGTTTCTGTGGTAATACTCCGTGGATTGATCGATAAGATACGGAGCTTTCAATCGAATTTTCAGCGAATATTGCCATTTTCCCTCAGCACACAAACCCACCATACGCCACCTGTTCCTACTGCTTTACGATCGAGGCCGCTTCGTGTGTACCATCGCATATCCGTACCGCGTCTAGAAGAGACCTACCTACCCTCCTCGCCCCCCTCCCCGGCTCCGTCCCCTCTCCCTGGGTACTCTCCCTCCCCGCGCGTAGAAGGTGCCTCAACTCCCTACGCGTACCTACCTACCTCCTACCTGCGCCCACACCCTGCCTACCTCCCGCCGATCACGATGTCCGACATCTCGCTCAGCGACTTCGACGTCAACAAGCTGAACGAGAAGGACAAGGCCGAGCTGCGCCAGTTCCTCAACAACGAGAACCAGAAGGCCCGCGTCCAGGCGAGTACGTAGCGCGCCCTCCCCCTCTCCCGGCGCAGAGCGTTGCGCCGCGCCTGTCCGTCCTACCGCTGCCAGGGCGAGAAGCAGAACGAGGCGTCCTCGAGAGAACAGCGCTGACTGCCCCGGCCCTTACATTTAGCCGTCCACTCCCTGACCGATATCTGCTTCAAGAAGTGCATCACGAGCACGGTCCGCAACGGCAAGCTCGACCGGAGCGAGGAGGGCTGCATGGCGAACTGCGCTGACCGGTTCATAGACGTCAGCCAGCTAACGATGAAGCACTTGCAGAGCTTGCGGCAGGGCTGATCGGAGCAGAGTAGACGGGCCGGACGGCATGTACGATATAGTGGGGATATACGTTGACGGGAACAGCACCTCTCGATATGGCGAGGTGTATGTACATGATTATCTGCTCTCAAATGTACGGACTCAGGCGCGTGGCTACTGAGCCATATTCTCATTTCAACAAGTCGCCGACGGTAGGGGACTGGATATGCCCCAGTCATATATAGATATATGTACGTACGCAGCAACGATCACTTGAGGGATAATCCAGTGCATCTTCTTGGGGAATCAATTCTTTTCCGTTGATCTCATGGATCTAGCCATAGGCAACGCCGGCCCAAATGCAAATGTCCGTCCAACTCGAGATGCTCTTACAACCAGCATCATCTGCGAAACAATCCTTGTGATTGACGTGCGTTGGTGAGCACCACCCGTAAACCGTCGCATAAACCCGATGTCCCCTCCTCCTCCGGAAACGGCCCATCTAGACGAGAGCGAGCTTCGTGGCCGCAATGTCGAGGGCATCTACATCGCGGGTCAGGCGGCAGTACGCCTTCTTCGAGCCATTGGGTCTGCATAGGTTGATTAGCATTCGCACGCTCTACACTCCTATAGGACTTCCGCGATCCGGCGACGCATGGTAGCACGTACCGGATGAGGGTGTTGATCTTGATGGTATCGATGTCGTAAAGTTTCTTGAGGGCCAGCTTGATCTGGGCCTTGTTGGACTTGGGGTCGACGATGAAGACCAGCGTGTTGTTCTCCTCAATCTTCTTCATCGCGCTCTCGGTGTTGAGCGGGTGGATGATGATCTTGTGTTCATCGAGTCGCGGCTCGTGGTTGAACGACTTGCGGTGGTACTTAGGCGAACGCGACAGCTCCAGGGTCTTAGGCCGGCGGAAAGTGGTCGAGGTCCGGACCTTGCGTTTCTTGTGGGAGTTGTCCTAGAGCGTGCGGGTTAGCTTCACCAACAGTGCCAGGGGTGGCCCAGGCATGAGTAGACGAGATCGAGAACATTACTTACACCTCGGAGGGCGGACTTAGCAGCGGCTTTCGCCTGCTTGAGGCCCTTGGGCGCCTTGGAGGCACCTCCTGTGAAGAAACCGCATCAGCAATCGCCCTTGATCAGAACTCGCAAAATCTGCTCCTGCTTGATGCATCGGCCGCAGAGGCGCACGCCGAGGCGCCGACCTCGTCAAAGGTAAAATGAAGGTAAAATTCCATGGTTCATGGCGATGTACCTTTCTTCGCGGCAGCTTTGGGGCCCATTGTGTCGAGTGTGTCGTGAATTTGCTCGAATATCGTGATATTTGTCGTTAGGCGTGGAAGCGAACTATTTCGAGATTTCCTCTGCTCCGGTGGATGAGATATTTCCAAAGTTGCTGAGGTGGAGCCTTTCGCTTAGGGCTCCGTTATCCATTCGCAGGCCACGGGTGCTCAGCGGAAAATCACCGGGAACACTCCGGGTGAATGATTCCCGGAATAAAGATATTCCTTCCACGGATATGGCGGTGAAGTCACGTGTTGGAGACCTTGCGCGTATATGCATACAGTGCATATAGGTAGCTTACAGGGCTTGTCACACTGTACCTACTTTCTCTACCCCCACCTCATCCTCTACACCAGCGAGTTATACAATGCCTCACGACTCGATCAGTCTCTTTTATCGCTCTTGAAGATTCCTCGTGATGGCTGCAAAGAGGAAGAGACATCATATAAAGAGCCTATCTGCGGGGCGGCCACCGACAGCTCAGAGACCGAGGTCGATATCGAGGAAAGCCACCAAGGCACTGATTAATTCTCACCACCTTCTGCAGAAGAAGAAGGCCCAGGCTATTGCTAAAGGAGACCACGCCACCGAAAATGCGATCGACGCCGAGATTATTGCGTTAGGTGGCATTGAGAAGTACCAACTGGCCAGTCTGCAGGGCCAGCGGCTTGATCGCGGGGGTGATACCTCCCGTATCTTGATGGAATGGCTTTCGCCGTTGACATCTGTTATACGCCCTTCGGCAGCGAATCGTCTCAGGATGCTCGAGGTTGGAGCCCTGAGTACCGCCAATGCCTGTTCCAGGAGCGCTGTCTTCGATATGGAAAGGATAGACCTCAATAGTCAAGGTGACGGCATCACGAAGCAAGATTTCATGAAAAGACCACTACCTAGAGATGATTCTGATCGCTTCGACATTATTAGCCTCTCGTTGGTCTTGAACTTTGTTCCCGATGCTATTGGGCGAGGCGCCATGCTTCTCAGGAGTTTGGATTTTCTCAAGCAACCTAAGGTGCGACGCTCGTCCGAGCGGCGTGATCTCTTTCCTAGCTTGTTCATGGTCCTACCCGCTCCGGTAAGTCTTGCGCCATATTGATATCCTATGAGTTTTGATGGCAAAGTAGTGCTAATAGAGGAACCCCGAAGTGCGTTACCAATTCAAGGTATATGAACGAGTCTCATATGGTATATATTATGAATACATTGGGATACACGAAGGTCCGCAGCAAGACTACCCAGAAATTGGTCTACTATCTCTGGGTCCGAGAATCTATCCCCCAATCGCCGCCTGCGATACTTAAGAAAATGGTACTTCGGCCAGGGAAATCTAGGAATAACTTTGCGATCATGCTTCGTGTCGCGCCGGGGTGACAACCAGGCGGCTGGAGTAACTCTCGAGGTTGCCACCTTAGTGTCCAAACTTGTCGACGAGTTGTGCTGCCTCGACGGGTTCGGATGCATATGTAGCCACATCATGTGATGGTGGGCATCACGATGGCGCCGAATGGGTCCCGTCGTTCATTCTGCCGGTGGGTTGCAGTCAATACGCGCCAATACCGGAGGCCTGTTCCCTCCTTTATACCCCATATTTTCGCGCCTCTCAACTTGCCCAATGGGCGCCTCTACGCCAAACGTGCTTCCTGTATCGTCACCACAGCATGCTTGGTGTCTGTCGAGATCGTCAGTTACTTCGACGCCTTGAGCCTACCCCGCAGTCATCCACAGATCTGCCGGCAATACCTCGATCGAAAGGCATAACCAACAACAACGCGCAACTCTGGTCAGGCGACACCTACTCCTTTCAACGGACCCCCGATTTGATGGCTCTGAAGGAAGTATGTCTCACACGCTCGAGCGATCAATTACCTAACGGGACGGAAGGGGGAAACACGTCACCGTGTCGGCAGGATCGAAGGACGGTGTTCCTCTTGTTCGGTTATATCCAATTGTCTCGGCGTGGCGTTGGAGGCGGCTGCTGATCTTGCCTCTATCATGGCGTCTTCTTCGGAAAATGTGTTTGCGCCAATTTGTCTACGAGACAGCTAAGCCGGAGTTCAGAGACACACGAACGAGAACCTCAGACCAGCATAGTACCTGCTTCGTTCCTGGTGTACGCATGAGGTAACAGCCACGAGGCACGTCACGTTTCGATACTCTGGTGTGTTGAGGGGCGACCTAGTGGGTGAGGGGGGGGAATGCGAGTATGGTTCTCAATGAACATCCGTCCAGTTCCATCCGGGGAACGGCTGCTTCCCGGAACCCGGCAATTCCAGTACCAGCCCGTGTGGGGGGGGGGAACGTAGGTGCAGCCTGCGAACGGTCTAAGCGTTTGGGTTAGGAGGTTCGTTTTCTTAAGCATCGAGCTCGTGTCGGCAGGTTGAAACCGAATGCTCGAACTATCACACTGTGTTATAAACCCCTCCCTGCCGGACGGCGGCGTTCAGCTCAGGGTGCACTCAGGATCTCAACCATGAATCAGGGGCCGAGATTGCCAATGGCAGTGGCGAGGCCGGCTGTTGGATCCCCTTAACTGGAAACCAGACCCCGCTCAGATCAGACGATAACGGCCCATCAAGAAATCCAAAATACCTACTGTGTTGGTGTCATCCATGTAAATAATTGACCCCTCCTCCGAAAGTAGACGATCGGGCCCCTCGGGAAAAGGGAGGAGAGCTTAACGAGTCATTCACACAACAGGTGTTGGCTGGTCTGGTGCCGGATCCGTCCCTCGGACAACACCGCGACCAACATCAGTTCGATCGTCGACGAGCTTTATTACGCCAGCCCTCTGTGCAGCTACATTACGTAGGAGGGTGCCATGTACACACTGAAGATCCCCAAAGGTCTACGGAGTCGAAGAGCTAGGTACAACCCGGCAGGCAAACTGCTTCCCCAGCTCTAGGCGGCCCCTCGCGTGTTCACGATGCAGGTAAACATCCACAGCTTATCGTAGTACAGGAGAGACGGCTGGATTACCTAAAAGTAATGCCACTACTGTCGTGGTACGACAGATCGCGAATATTGTCACTACATACAAAATAGTCGGCCTCTCGCCCTTTATCACCAACGGCGGGTAGAGAGTCCGCAGGTAGCGCTCACAAATTCCTATATGGTGGCCTTCGTGCCGGGGCTCAGAGGGCAGACGATCAAGCCCGTATATATCGATAGCCGGAAAGAACTCTGGGCCTTCTTAGCCTTGATCGCGCAACTGGAATCCCGATCAATAGTAAGGCTACACGGCTGCACTCTACAGCAAACTATTACTCCCCACCACCGGTCATGAAGCTCAGGATGCGGACTTGTAGGCATATAGTCCTTTCAAACAGGCCAATGGACCAGTCTCTGCCGACTAGCTTACGAGTCGCAGCAGCTCTTCCCCGCATCGAGACGAGTGCTATGCGATTTACAGGCCCTCTCGATATCATCGGCTCGAAGCGCCCAGTTATATCGGTGCCCCGGGTTAAGTTCCGTTGCAATCAATCCCGCCCCCTCGACCCCAAACGCCTAGCTGCCCACCACCTCTCTCCGATGTCGTAAGCATATTGTGTTTGAATGTGTGCCAACCTCGATAGCCCCCCGAGCTAACATGCCTGATGCCGAGCCCTTCCTGCCTTGGATTAATTAATCCTTAAGGGTGGTGAGATTGTCGTCGAGAGCCTGGAAGGTCTCGATGACTCGTAGTCGTTCACGCACCCCGGGTGGTAAGGGAGCATTCCCGGGGCGCTGAACCACCACACCCTGCATGCCCGCCCGTATGGCGGCATCCACTTCCTTCACGTTGTCACTCAAGAAGAGCCACTCCTTAGGTGAGAACGCCGGATGTTTGCTAGCTATTACGTTGTAGCTACCCGTTTCCGTCTTAAGACCGGCGTTCACGGTGTCAAACCAATCTGAGATCCGCGGCGTCAAATCCGATGGGGAAGCGTCCGTGTGCTTAAAGAGCAGCTTCTGCGCGGGGACCGACCCGGACGAATAGATCATGACCCTGAGGCCCTTGTCCCCCCATTCCAACAGTTTTGGAGCCACGTCCGGGAATAGGGGTGCCTTTAAGTCACCTGAGGCATATCCTTCCTGCCAGAGGTAGCCTTGCAGGCTCTTCAGATAGGAGACTTTCACATCCTTCTCCACAAGGTCTCTGAAGTGGGCTTCTAATGCATCGCTAGAGGAAGAATATTCCGATGGAAATGCATCCCTATACTCTGCGAAGTCCGGATGGTTCCACCGAGTCTTCAGGGTCTCTGGGAGAGCTTTGAGCGCATAGGGGAACTAGAACCACGTGTCAGCGTACGTGTATTCTCCGACAGAGACCTACAGGGAGCCAATGAAAGCGGCGGAACGTAGCCATCCCGTTGCTGAAGCTGAATATTGGAGGACAACTAAGAGATACGTATTTTTATATGGCCACGAGTTCGACCTACCGAACTCCGCCATGGCTCGGTTGCCAAACTGGAGGCTACGGTGCTCTAGCGCCTCGAGATTGTAGAGGACGGTTGTCAACAAATCCTCTCCACCCCCTCGCGATGGTTGATGGCCACGCTGCCAGGCATCCATCCATGCTACACTGACGGTGGGGGGGCTAGGCGGATAGAATATGGGATTGGAGAACGCGGTATGCCTCCACGGGGATATCTTACCAGGACGTCTTTGACGAAGGAGATTGGACAGACTGTGCCCTCTAATGATACTTATTAGCTGACAAGCCCAGGCTAATGCAGCTGGAGGTAGAGACGTGCTAAGAAGCGGTATGAAGCAAGGGCAAGCTCGGAGCTGTCCTTACCAATATCTAGCAGGACTACTTTCACGGAGGTAGAAACAGCCATGGCAGTAGTTGGGCCCCGTATGACCCCGTCTTTGAGGTCTCTGCAAAAACCTGGATAGTCGGAGCCTGTAAGACGTTTCTAGAAGCTAAAGCCAGGTTCACCCCGTCGATGCAGAGCGGTGAAGGCGAAGCGCGTAGGAATTATACGTGTCGTGGAGGGGTGGAAAAATTTTTTCTGCCTCCTTCCTCTTCTTCTACGGTCGAACCTCGACCGAGGATGTCACCGAATTGGAGAAGAGGGCTAAGAAAGCAAGCCTCACGGTACACCGCGTCTTGTTAGGTGTTATCGAGAAGGCGGTCAAGATATGCAAGCGGACAAAATCCTGGGGGGACGGGAAGATAGTAAGATGAAAAATAGCGCCAAGTGGGATCAATGGCGTGAATTTGCTTGGGATAGCACTGGCGCAGATTTAGGAAGCAATGCCGTCGAACGCCAGATTATGATAACGCCCGAATTTTGGAGATGCCAGTAGCAGTAGGCCGAGGTCGCTATAGGGATGTAGCACCTTGCACTTCCCACCAATATGAATACATCTGCTATGTGCGCCTATAGGTAGTACCTAGGTAGGTAGGTTAGGCGAGAACGCACAGCGAAGACGAGTATGACGGGCTGCAAAAACGAAAGGCCGAACGAACATGACTCTGGAGGAGAGAGCCCGATAGCGCCCGACAGGCTTTGCTGGGTGCTGGCCATCGAATCGCTATCGAGATGCCGAGAAAAGCAGCCACCTCCACTTGTTATTATTATTATTATAGGTTAAGAGTAGGTAGTTGTTATTCGTGTACATACGTAATATACACGTACGTAGGTAGTATATATGTGCATATGCAGCGAATAATAATGGATACGCACTACTGCATCTTCTGCATGTCGCCTAACTGCTTGGCCCACCTGGGGGAGGGCGTTGCTGAGCAGGACAGGGAGACGGACTCTCGATTCGTGGATCCGTCCCAACCTCCAGAGTAAACAATGGAGGCCAGATAAAGGGGGGGGGGAGGGTGCGAGTGATCGAGGTGAAGATAAAATTCAAAATAAATAGTCGGGATCGCGGGAGTGGTCGCCCTACGATGTGTGGCCGCCTCTTACTGGCCTGACCAGACCAACAGGTCCCACGGCAACGGCAATACATAATGAATGAGTTTAGGACCGCCCAAGGCTTTCCAGCGTCTCTCTACCTATACACGTTGGTTGTCCATAAGAGATAATTACCTAGAGCTTGCCTGGCTAGCTTCCCTCGCCTCCCTGCCACAAAGGGAAGAGGAAGACGACGGCAAGAGAACTGCCACCACTACCACCGCCGCTACCACCACCACCACCAATACCAGCCAGCATGCTACCACCACGACCTGCAGCATCCAAGGCTAGGCTAACCCGGAGTGCTACGGCCAACACCTAGCTATTCCTGTTCTCAACCTAGCACTGATCTAGCAATGTCACTTTGGTAGATTGTTGCATCAATCAACAGCCCTCGTGCATCCAGGGCCCTCCGAGACACATTTGGAGACAACACTGCGGTTCATCCTTCGCAGCTCACACGACCCACCTGCTCGCGACGCGCACATCAGTTCCTCTATCGCGGCCCTAGGCGCTGACGCCAAGTGTCTGCTCACCATCGAGTCGAGCATGAGCGATAGAGGGAGAAGGGAGGGGGGGGGGGACCAGCACGAGGACGATACGACTGCGACCTAAATCGGTGGCATGTTCAAGCTGCGGAGTGGCTGCGCGCGATAGATGCGAGCCAACTGTGGCCGTCCTCACCGCCACGAACGGGACGGTAGCGACCAACTACATGTCGATATGTGCTGACCTATCATATGCATATGGCCCTATACGGCTCGGTGGCACATCTGGGTGTTTCGGGCCAGCGTGTCGCTACGATCTTCCGTAACCGCGCGGGGGAGAGGGCTCGACGCGATGTTAAAGCGTTATCTGTTTTCCCCCCAATCGCCTCGCAACTCGCCTCGCAAACCCCACGGCCGTGGGCGCGCCGCTTGCGGGCGACTTGACTCGCCCGTATTTGTTTTGGGGTTGCTGTGGGACGAGACCCGACGAGATGGGCCTGAAACCGCCGAACGCGTATTGTCAATCATGCACGAGAGCGACGTCTAGGCCGGTCGGCAAGTCGGGAGGAGGGACGCTCGCAGTGAAGAGTACGTTCTCGTCTTGCTCTCTTTTGTTCCCATCGCCGTACTGGCTGGACCGGAATGCGCTGGACCATGCCGGACAACCACCGTTTCAAGGTCACACGACAGAGAAATCCGTCTAGAACAAACTCCCGTCAGGCACAAGACTCGGGACGCTACGGCAACGACAATAATAATACCGGCGCCCATAGCCTCAACATTACTTCGCTGCGACAGTACACACGCCACTGTGGATGGAATGCGTCGCATGCTCCAGGCTCGCGGCAAAAGGGGCCAATACGACCAGTCATCTCGCCAAAAGTCAACAATATTTTGCGTCATGCTGAATCGGGCTGGTCTCCCCCCCTCAGTCCCTCCCAAAGCAGCAACCATCCCATCGCGAGATCTACAACATATTACTATTTTACTAGTGCCACCACGACCCCCTCACGCCCCCCTCTTCTCACGTATAGGTACTTATCTCTACATATACCCATATGCTACACAGTACGTATATGCCTAGGTATGTACGTACACGTATCGTATATACGTGTGCGAGTGTGTGTGTGTGTGTGTGTGTGTGTGTGTGTGTGTGTGTGTGTGTGCTCAGTTACTCATATGCTATGGCGCTGGTGGTAGGGATTCGTCGCGTGTAGAGGAGCACGATGCCAACCTGCAGTGCAGATGCTTTCGATAGCAGCCCAACCAGGGGCTGCCCCAGATCTTAGTCGGCAAATATCCAAGGACCCAACAATTCTAGGGCCGCGACACCGTGGTACCTACGTCGTAGGGTTTACTGGCCATCTAATTTCCCGCCCCTTTCTGACCTTGCGATCTTTGTTGCTCTATCACGGGCACTGGCGTAACCACCCCCCTTTTTTTTTTTCTTTCATCATTTTGGTATTATTGTGGTGATGATCCCTTTCATTCTTTCCCACGGGTCGCCGCGTCACGACCGGCAAGCCTGGAGCGCTCCCGGGGCCGCCTAGATGTTTGCGCGCTGGGCCAAGCCAATGCTTCGGCGACTGGTTGGGGTCCTCGTTAATTTGAGGAAGCGCTGCGAAATTCGATTCACAAGTGTGACGTGACCACTGGACTTGGGGCTCTCCCCGAAGCTATCTCTGGTTGGGTTGGCTGTCGCATCCTCCCACGACGCGAGAATCCGGGTGGCCACCGGGAAAAAGCGTGGTGCACCATCCATTGAAATTGCCCAGAGGCGGTCAACGCCGACCGTGGAAGGGAATATGCTAGCGGTGCTCATATATCCCAAGCCGGCTTAATTAGTTATGCACGCCGGGGGCAGAGAGAGCATAGGACGCGATGCAGGCAGAAAGGAGTGCATAACCCCGGTTGCCAGCCAATGAACCCGCTCTCGGGCTGACAAGTGAAACCGAAGGTGCTGGAAAGGTCAAGAGGCAAACTCTGTGTCTCATTGGACCGCTGACGTACTCAGACAGGGGAATGCAGGGAATGACTTGCGTAAGTAGGTACCTGGCCAGATGTACTATACCTCCATTCGTTGGGTAGATACATTGGGGGTTCTCGTCGAAGCCAGCGTGTCCATGTCGGCCGCTGTACTCGTCCGCCTGGGAAGGGTTAGCGGGCGCAGCCATGCAGTACCTCGTCGAGGATAGAGGAGGTACATGCCGATCCCCCGACCGGGCCGCCAAAGCTACATGCGCCCCGCGTTCCTCGACTGGTGCTCGCAGGCTGAGTTAGCACCGAAATCTGCCCACGAGGTACCGGATGGGCAGGTAGATGGCGGTGTGGCGATCCTGGCTTGGCTGGGGACTGGCCACGGCGGCACTATCGTACACGGTGCAGCTTTTCGTCTTCCCTTGCTGTTATCGCGCGCTGCAGAAGCCCGTGTGTCCGGGTGGCTCTGAGGGCGCGTGGTCAACAGCTGACGACCTTGGACTGGGAAGGGAAGCGTCTCCAGCTAGGCTCCGTCAGGTCCGGCACCGTCAGTGCCGCCCGTACCGAATTTGGAACCCAGCCGCGCCCCAGTTTCCCTGCCCTCTCTGCTCGGGCACGCGGACGCTGTGGCCGACTCGCAGCCGGGCGCGAATCTTCAGCGCGACGGGCGCCCAGCTGCGTTATCGTGGTCGGCCTGGGCGCTTCCAAAGCTTTCCACGACCGTGCCGGCCTCATGACCCGGACCGCCCCAACAGACGCCTAGGCACTTGGTCTATCTGGTGGCGTGGCATCGTGACAGAACCGCATCGTCGCTCTATCGTCATCGCCCTCCGTGTCGCTCTCCACTGCTTACTCCGTCTCCCCTCTGGCATACCGTGTCCCCGTGTACTCGTACTCAGCATGTACCTACAGTACCTTAGGTACTCATAGTGCCAGCCCTCCTTGCTCACGGTGCCCTTGGTATTAGGGACCTATTACTGGCAGGAGGAGCGGCAGGAACAGCAGGAGGAAGGTACCTGAGGTGGTACCAGACAAAGCGCCCCTCAGCCAGGGCATGAATAACCCCAAACCTACTGGCGCGCTTTTCCGTCTTGTCTTGTCCCTGTCTGGCCCTTGTGCTGGCAACCATCTCCAAAAATGGCTCCCCCTGGTCACGAACCAGCGGCCTAACCTATTTAAGTATATACACTGGCATTTGGTGTGTGGTCCAATGTGTGTGTATACTGAGTGTGTGTGTGTGTGTGTGTCGCTGTCTATCTCAACCGTAAGTCAACACTTAGGTAACTTGCCGTGTATCTACGTACTGTATGTATGTAGACACGTACAGGTAGGTAGGGACCCGGGGTCAAGTTAGGTACCTCCTAGCGGTATCTAGATATAGGTATGTACAACGTAGTACATCTACCCGGTCCGATGTATATGCTAATTTCGATGTCTGCTACGACATCGGATCCCGTATGTCTATCTAGTGTATGAGATAGGCAGGTACCTACGCCAGGTGGTACCTCGCCTAGGGAGAGCAGGTACCTCGACCTCGTCAGGCCCCAAAGGTACCGAACCGCAGGCTGGCCGAGGGGGGGAGATGGAGGGTGATGGGTTTACGTGTGCCTTGTCGTGTACCTTGTCGTGTACCTTGTCGTGTACCTTGCTCTACGTAGTACATGCTGGCCTTGGGACGGCACGTCGTAGTCGTGAGTCGTAGCCGTAGCCGTAGGTCGTAGTAGTGGCATCGTATGCATGTACTCCCTGCTCCACCCTGGCACAGGCCGCAGCAGTTGTTCGTTGTTGTTCCATCTCCATTGACTGTCTGCATTCCCTTCCAGGCTCCTCTCGCTCCCCCCCATCGCTCCATGGTCGGGCCACCCCGGACGCTCAGCGTCCAGGTCGAGCTAGCCTGCCTCCTCCACACCAAGCCGGTTCGTCCTCTCTCTCTTTCTCCCTTCGGGTATCGCCATCTCGTCCTATCCTTCCCTTGTTGCCATCATTTTCTTCCGTCGTCTCTTCTCTGCCATCCGTTTCCTACTGCTTCTCTCGCCCGTCCTCGATCCGTAACCTCCATCCTGTCTTAATCTTCGGCCCCGTCGTTCTCTGTTCCCTTTTCCTTGCTCCATCTACCACTGAGTTGCTGTTGTTGCTGATTCTGTGCTGTTGTCCCGGTCGAGTTGACAAAGAGAAGAGAACCAACCTTGGACCTCGAACCCCGTGCCTACCTATAGCTTCGCCGTCCAGAAATACCAACACCTAGCTCTCTCTGCTTTGACTCACCGACCGGCCCAACTGACCAGCTCCCCATAACCTATTGGGCTCTTTTGACCCCTTCACCACCCCTCCTCTTATCTCTCTCCTCTTCTTCCTGCTCCCTATCGCCCACGACTCCTCCGCAGATTGATCCAAGGTTGTCGTCTTTGTCTGCAGATAGCCCCAGCTTGTCAGAACGGTTCCCGTCGCCGCTACTACCTGAGTCTTGGATGACCGTTAGAGACTCAATCGAACTACACCTTCACCACGTCACCCCGTCCTGACTACTAGTTGCCCTGTGGGATCCGCACCGGCTCAGAAACACGCCTCAAATCTGCTCCCCCGCCGAAGAACGTCGAGAAGAGTCACAGGCCCTACCTACGTCTCCCGTCCATTGTCGAGCCAGGCCGCCAGAGTCGACCACCGTGAAGCCAACCCGTCTTTCCCTCCTTCCCCTCCTATTTGCTACCAACCCACCTAATCGCCGACCCCCCCTCTCTGCTATCCTCAACGACCACCGTGGCCGACCAGTCAGTAAACGGCTCGGTCAACTAGAGCCACGCCCACTCCAGTCAAGCGTCCGTCCCATCCCGATCACGAGCGTCTTGACTCGACTACCGTCCTATCCGAATGCCACTTCGAATTAGGTCATAGCCGCGTGTCGACTTAGCAAGGCCCTCTGGCTTCAGACAATTGCTACGTCGACCCGTTGACTCGTTGCCCCACCGCGCCTGCAGCAATAATAGCAGCAACACAATACGAACACTAGAGAATCACGATCCCAGGCTCCATCCTACCCTGAGGCTTGTAGCGACTATCAATCCGACCAACGGACACTCTTTCAAAAACCACAGCATCGTATCGATGTCCTTATAACGACCTTCTCCTTTCACTCTTTCAAGGACCGCAGGTCCGACAACTTGTTCACGATATTTCCTCGCTTTCATTTGTTTAGTACACCCGATACACCCCGCATGAGCCTCTGACCCGTGAACGATTTTGGAGTTATTTGTTTTTTCCTCGCTCTTCAGCATCTTGTATATCCCCTGTTCCCTACTTTGCTCTTGCTGCTACTCTCCTCTTATTTGGGTTGGCACCTCTTCTCTCTTGCTTCTACTATTCTCTGTTCCTATCCCGGCGATTCTGGCTCTCTTGGCTGGCCTCTGATCACTACGACTTGCACAAAGCTCCTGTCTACTTGTCAAGAGACAGACAGGCGTATACTACTCCTCGTACCACTCTTGGTTGCCCTTGCTGGATAAACGTCAGGCAAGGGGGAAAGGATTTGTACACTTGTGTGTGTACGATCATCCCTGGCTACGACAGGCTCGCGCCCCTCTCTCACCTCGGTTTACCTGTCTCATTTGAGACAGCGTCATGGAATGCTTAAGAAACAAGTTTCAAGATGGCGTTGTTCTCGATGGGAGATTTCAAACAATCTCCCCGCTTAACCATGGTTCCTTCGGGATGGTCTTCTTGGCGAGGGACTTGCAAACCAATGAGCTCGTTGCCATCAAGTGCATGACAAAGAAGGCGGCTGCCAACGAAGCCGGCATCGAGTTTGCTATCGACGAGAGGTCCGAAGAGCTGTTCTGCCACCGCCGACTAGGAGCGCATCCCAACATTGTCAATTTGGTCCACTCCTTCGAGACCAATGCTCACGTGTACCTCGTCCTCGAGTACTGCTCCCGTGGAGATCTCTACGAGACCATTCGAACTGGATGTGGTCCTCTGGAGACCGAGCACGTTCGTCGCTTCATGCTCGAGCTGGTTGATGCTGTCTCGTACATGCACTCGAAGGGCATCTATCACCGCGATATCAAACCCGAGAACATCTTTCTCAACGAGTCGGGTTCGATGAAGCTGGGCGACTTTGGACTGGCCACCACGGAGCGATGGAGCTACGAGACCACTGTGGGAAGCGATAGGTACATGTCACCTGAGCAGTATGACTCAGTCGGAGCCGGATACTCGCCTGCCCAGGCCGACATTTGGGCGATTGGCGTCTGCCTGCTTAACATTCTCTTCTCTCGGAACCCTTTCACCACCCCTACCGAGGCCGACCCCTTGTTCCTAGATTTCTCGCGCGACAAGCAGTCGCTCTTCGATGTCTTCCCCACCATGTCCCAAGATACCTACGAAGTCATCGTTGAGTGCATGAATCTGGACCCGAGCAAGCGATCGCTGGTCGGCGCCAGGAACGCCCTTCGCCGCGTCGTCAGCTTCACCACCCTCACCGAGGACCTCGACGTGTTCTGCGCGACGGAGCGCAGCGCCGTTGCCACTGCGAACCGCGAGCCCCTCCGGACTCCCTCGATCCAGAGTCCTCAGATGGAGCAGGGCACCTTCCCTTGGGCGAAGGCCTTGCACGCTTCCCCGCTCCAGTCCCTGCGTCAACTGAGCGCTATCCCGGACGACGAGAGTTATACCGAAGATTTGTTCTCGAAGTCGGCGGAAACTACGGGCTGGCTGTCGGCCTCTGTCCAGACTCCTTCGATCTCGTCCGTGTTGACCTCTAATCTCGGGGTGTCGATGAATTCGCTCGACGTGCTGTTACCCGTGAAGATACCGGCCCGCTCAGGTGCTAAGGCGTCTGCAATTTCTGGGTCGTTGCCCATCACCATGTCGAAGCCGAGGCCGAGTCTCGGGGCCTTGTCCTCGGTGTTTGGCCGCCAGAAGGACACGGTGTCGAAGAGCTGGAGCGACATGTGGGATGAGGAGGAGGAAGAAGAGGAAGAGGAGCGCGCCCGTCAGGTTCAAGCCCTCAACAAACTGAACTCGAGGACCTGGAGTCAAGAGAGCAAGGAGGAGGCACGCACTCCCCAGCAGGATCCGGTATCACTGCACCAGGCGCCAGCGTCTGTTAATGAGAAGCCAGAGGCTTCGCCTGTGAATGATACCATTTCAAACGACATCGACGGGGATTTGGTGGCCGATGGATTCTTCTTCCATGAGCCCGTTGTTATTGAACAGCCCGAGCATTTTCCCCCTCGGTACTCGCCGCCGTCGAAGCGTAGCTGCCTCGACAAGTGGGCGGCGCTTGGGGAGCGCCGCCGCGCCTACGCTGGAGCACCGGTGCCCAAGTCGCTGGACTTTACTATTAAGTCTCGACGACAGTTTGGTTTCAATTTTAATAATTCGCACGGGGTAGGGATCGGTATTTGGGACCACACCACTCAAGCACAGAATCAGCATCACAAATGGAACAATCGGGACCGCGCCCCCTTGCGCGAGTGCCCGTGGAACAAGGGCCGAGACGGGAACTGGCGTAAGGACAAACGTCACGATTTCGGCGAAGTTGAGTGGGTTGGCCATTGGTAGCGGGAAGAGGAACAACTCGACCCCGAGTTTCTCCCCCCTCCACCGGTGTTGTCACTTGTAGTTGTGCTCATCTCTCCATAACCTCGAGGGTCTTGCGTGTTGTTTTGGGTTGTTGCCAGCACCTTTTTTTTCTCTCATTCTGCCTTACCTTGTTTTTAATACTTGGATTGCTTGGGGTCAGAATTGGGGGACGGTGTTTAAACAAAAAGAGGACCATGTCAACGCATGGCAGTTGGATTATTCTTTTATTTCGGATCATACAGTCTGGCAAAAAAAAAACGGCTGCAACACCCCATACACGCGCAAAACACACGAAGATACAAAGCCCCCGTGGATTGATCTAGCTTCAACTCGCTCTTTAGGTATTCGATTAGATTAGTTTACTCAAACAATACCAAAGTTACCCACTCACTCAATCCCCTCTGGCCGTTGCCGCTTTCGCCAACGTGACTAAAGTGATGATGAGTTGACACAGGTGGGTTCTCCTGGCATGCTCCACGTGGCCGTCGGTGACTGCTACTACTTCTAGGCGTCCCAAAATGTGAAGCTGTCTGTATTTGGGCCAACTAATGCAGGCCTGCGTCGTCGTCGTGGACTATCCCAGGGTGAATCGCAGGGCCCAATAAGGGGAGGAGCTGTACGTAACCTACTTCCCAACGAGCCGAGTCAGGTCAACCGGCCACTCAACTAGGCCATCGTGTCTCGGTCGCTCTTATTCTCATCTATCACCTATCTCCACCATATCAGACGATGGGAGAGATTTTGCTACTTAACCGCATGCACACGTGAGCAAAACTGGCTATCCCTTCTGACCTATTAATTTTTTTTTTCTTCCCCCTCGTCCCGGAAGGGTTTCCCGGGGTCAGAATCCGTCGCTACATCCGTTACGCTACCTGTCTTCCCTACTCCCTCCCCCCACACCTTACCGAATTGGCCAGAAGGCCACCCGCCTACGTGTGCGATTTCTGCACGCATGTACGGGTCCTGATTCGGAATCTACAAGAGGTAGGCGAGCAGGCGAGCAGGTGAGCGGGTGGGTGAGTGGTTTTTTTTTTTTTTTCAGGGGGGGGTGGATGCGGCAGAACAGCATCCCGTTTTGCGTATACGGCGCATAGGTACTGTCCATACAGAGACGAATCGAATGGCGGCGGGCGGGCGGGCGGACCAAAACCGATCGACTGGGTCTTGTCGCTAACTATAGATAGCTGTAGGTGTAGATGGATAGATCTAGGTAAGTATATATATAGGTATATATGTAGGTATATGTATATCCTAGATGCCTACACGTGCATGTATATATGTATATATGTAACTACGCCCCGGCGTCGAGAAGGGGAAGAAGGGGAGAAAGAAAACACAAAATGAAACGAAACAACTCCACCAAGGAGGGGAGGGGGGGCTTCTCCCTCTCAGGTTGCTGGTAATAGCCAACTTGCTGGTCTGCTGCTGCTCTAATCCGAGATCAGATCTGGGGAAAAGGGGGCCAGCTCGCAGCGCGCAGTGTGTGGGGAGGAGAGGGCAGGGGGGGGGTTGTGCGCGACTTAGCCGGTTGGGCAGACGAGCAGATAGACGAGACGAGACGAGACGGAAACCTTGGGAGATCGAGGTTAATGTTAGCAGGGGTGTATTGAAAAAAAGAGAGAGAGAGAGAGAGAGAATGGCAGAGTTGAGTAGGTAAGTAGGTAGGTATGTAAGGGTAGCAGGGTCGCGTTTCCCAGGCCGAAGGAGCCCTAACGTAACGTAACCCCCGTTTCTGCAACGCTGCCCCCCCCCTGGGTCCGCCGCGCCTCGCTCCTCCTCGCTTCCTTCTCTTCCTTCCGCCGGTCTGCCAGGAGGCATTAGAGGGTCGAGAGCTATCTAGATTTATCTACCTACACCTGAATCAAGCTGCTCGCTTTCGGGGGGTTGTTTCTGCTTCTTCTTCCGCTTTGGGCTGGGTTGCCCCCCTTCCCCGTGCAGCTGCTCAAGCAGGCGCCTGCCGCCGACATGTCTGGGCGCCAGCCCACCCGCGTGCGTACACACGCTGTCCGCATTGCTGCGGGCGCCGCCGACGCTGCAGACGCACGCCAAGGTAGGTATCAGGTGCGGCTCCCGGGGGCGGTTGTGGAACGCGATGGCCTGAGTTCTAAAGTGGGAGAAGGATTTGTTCCCGGGCGTTTCTCGAAGCTCGACGTCTGGAAGAGGGGGAGGGGGGGCTGGGGCGGTCCCCGGGGCGGCCGGGCGTAGTGGTGAGGTGATGTCGGGAGCCGTGGCTCGCGGTCACGGGGCGGGGGATCCGGGGAGGAGGTCCGGGACGGTTACGACATTGCCTACTTCCCTAGGATTCGGTAATAGACACGCACCCGATGCAAGAAGAACACTTCTCTCCCTCCCCCCCGTCTCTCTCTGTGTGTGTGCCCGTAGCCTGCGCGGGTCTCGGCTTTGCAGTCCCGGCCGTAGCAGCCAGATGTCCGATCTTCCTGTGCCTCCCTCGCCGGCTTTGGGGCTTGGGACGTTCCGGGCGAAGTAGTATTCGCTCGTCTACGGCGGACTATGGCGGTTCCACAGATAGTAGTATTAGGTGGTAGGGTAGGCCTTGTAACCACGAAGCCCATTGGCCGGCCAATGCTCCGATTGTTGTTCGCTACGGTAACTGAAGCACTCTTGGGTACATATTTTCGTATATGTGTAAGGGGGGACAGGGAGAGGTAGAGGGAGAGGGAGGAGGGAGAGGGAGAGGGAAAGGGAGAGGTGTATAAACGTACATCTATATATGCCTGGGTGTGTGTGTACCTAGATCTCGATTCGATCCCCTTTAGATCACTTCTATGAAGAGGCACTAGCAGTCTTGATGGAGGTTGTGCTGGTAGGTATACTCAGCAGCAGCGGTGAAATGCTCAATTACCTATTTCTACACTACGTAGCCCCTTCGAAGGAAGCCTCCTATCGCTTTATTCAACTCCCTCTTTCTCTCTCTCTCTAGTCTTGTCCTCTCTTCTGCTTGCTTTCTACTTATTCGTTCGGGCCCGCAGCCCCAGGCTCCGGTAAAGCTTCGAGGGTCGTAGCACTGACAGGATCTAGCCTGTCGGTGCTCGTATTGGTGAGGGCACACGGAAGCTCTCCCAAAAGGGAATGCACAGCTAGATCGACGACCACCAAGCCACGTAACTATGCGTCCCCGGACCACAGCAACGGTATGACGGCATGAATTTTATGACGGTAGCCGAGGACAGGTACCACGTCTTGCCGGTCGAGTGGAATGGGCACGGTGCGTCGGTGATACAGCTCGGTCTCTAGCATATAAACGTCGCCGACGTACATGTCGCCCATCGATTTTTGACACCCCCCGCCGACGTTACTCCCGGGCAGCGGCCGCGCTTGCTGGGGCCCCAACAGGGAAGGTATCTCAGTGGCGCGGTCAGACACGCCGGTCGTCTCTGAAGAAGGCTGCCTGTCCGACGAGTAGCCAGTCGTGGTGGCGTCGGAAACCGTGGACAGCTGCTGGTTCTCATGAACAGACCTCCTTTGCGGGCTTGCCCCCTGACCCGACCGGGCGCCGGCGCGTGCGCGTTGTGTCTGTCTCGCGGCGCCGGCGATCTAGACTATCTCCGACCCAGCTTCCTGAATAGGAAGCAGCCAGAACATCTATACTTGGTGATGGTCTCACAGGCAAAGGGAGCATGTAGCGGCCGTATCACCGTCTCGCCATTGGATAAGTTTCGGTTGACCTTGTTGACAGGTTAGAAGGAGCCCATCCTTACGCAAGCTGCTGGTATCACTTCCGGGGAACCTGTCCTCCCCTAGCCCTTCTCCTCTTCCTCCAGAGTGAGTTGAACCCATGTTGTGCTAAAGTGCCACTTGGATTAGTTTCGTAGGTAGATTTTCCTGATATATCTGTGCTAGCGTATATATCCGTACGTACGTACTACTGCTGGGCCAATGCGTACAAAGTGCCCATGGGCTTCATCACGTCGTTGAAACGGGCGAGCTGCCCAGGGAAGGGGGGGGGGGGGGGTGTCGAGTGTGAACTCCTCGCTCCCTAAGCATAGATATACTTGCTGAGTTCTTCTCCAAACGAGGGATCGATCGGGCTTACACAAACCCAGATACCTCGAGGGGGCAGCTTGATATGTTGGGGGGGAGGAATCCCAGTGTTTAAGAACCATATAGGTGCGGCATAGCTCACGCAGCCACCACTTGAGATTCCTCCAAGACACAGCATAGCTTAGGAGCTCTCTGAAGTAGCACCTCCTAGCGGCGCTCTGGGGGACGGTGTACCCTTCTGTATCGTCCACAAGCGGTCCATGACGTCTCCAGAGCCCTAGAAGACCTTTTCTGATTGTGACGACCCCGATAGGTGGGGGCGCCGTGTCTCAGCGGATTGTGACTCCCTCTCCACGACTCCCCATAACAATTAGGATCGCTACTATTGCGAACCGGCCGCCGGGAAGAATACGCAAGCTGCAAGCGCCGTTGACCCGATGGGTGGTAGGGGAGACGGCAAGGTGGGTTCGCGACGCAAGTACGCTGCATATCGGCTCGCTGCATAGAGCGGAGGATGGACATATAGACCCTCATACTCCGCGAAGATGAAACTTATCGGGTATACATACGGTTTGTCTGCTGAGCTACCCGTCAGCCACACCTCCGTGAATCCGCGAAGCAAGCTGCCGCCCTTTTCGACTATCTCCGTCCCGCACGAGGGAAGGGAGCAGAGGGGGACTCGTCAGACTAAATGGCGTCACAATGAAGGCGTTTATCCTGCCGACACGGGTACAGGATGGTTGGCTTTCACGTGCCCGGATTCCACGCGGAGATCGAAGGACATCTGGGTAAGTAAGTAGCGTCACCAAGAGCGACAGATCCTGTCGCCTTTACTTGATACGGAGGTTGTAGCCAGGCCAGGTAAGTCAGTCCCGCCTACCGTATACCAGAGCAGCGGGAAGTTGTCTGCGCAAATCCTTGATTCAGGGGGTTGTGCCTCCTCGACAACCGAAACAACATTTGCCTATTCACGGCATCCGCTGAGGTCAACGAGATTGTAAACCTCACACGGAGGGGGGGAACTCATCGGGCATGTCGTATTTTTTAACCCCCCAAGCCAATGTTCACACCCACTCGTCCTCTTTCTCGCTCGTTCTCTATCTCTATTGTCTCTTCCTCCCGGCCGAAGCGGACTCATCTCGGCTCTAACCCACCTTAGACCACGCCATTCCGCCCAGGTTTATATTATACATTCTCTGGATACTCGTCGGGGGGGCCAAAGTCCCGTCCAAACACGACCGAACCCATCTCTATTTTGACTTCGTATATCGATCAACCACCACACTACGCCGACGAGAGTGTGTGCGAGCGAGTGTGAGAAGGGATAACAAAAACGACAGACACAGCCAGAGACATACCTAGTAGCCAAGCAAGAGTGAGAGAGAGGAAGGAATAGGCAAGGCGGAGAGAGCAAGCAGGAGAGGACCAGGCCGTTGCCACAATGGCCCACGACCACACGGTGGACGTCGAACTCGCCAAAGAGTACGCCCTGAAGGAGCAGAACCAAGCGGCAGCACAGTACCCGATGCCAAGCGAGACGATGACGACGATGACGCCACCGCCGCCGGCAGCAGCAACGGCGACAACAAGCCACTACGAGACCAGGAGCCACCCCGCGTATACGGGCGTCGCGAAGTCGTGCGTCGTATGCCGGCACACGTTCCTACTGAGCTACTTCCACTGCTGCGCGGTGTGCCTGGGCATCATCGAGAGCGGGCGGGCGACGCGGGACTTGCTGCCGGCCGTGCAACCTGCGGCTCCTCCTCCGCCGATGCCGCCACTGCCGACCCTGCACCCGCTGACCCACGTCGCCCCCGCCTGCTCGTCCGCGCCGTCCGCCGCGTCCTCGTCCAACTCCTCGACCACCGCCGTCGACGACGAGAGGCCGACCCGCCACGACAGCTACCGCGAGGACGGCGGAGACCGCAGCAGTGGCGTCGGCGGCAGCACCAGCAGAACCAGCACCAGCAGCGCCTGCTGCAGCTACTGCGGCGCCGGCCGCAAAGACGCAACCAGCGCCCCCTCGCCTCCGCCCCCATCCCCAGCCCCGGCCCATTGCGGCAGCTCCTTCTGCCGCTTCACGCACCGGCGGTCGCTCATGGTCTTCTTCGGGGTGTGCGAGCTGGTGCCGTCGGCGGGGGGCCTGGCGCTGGCCAACGCGGCGCTGTACCGCCGCGACTGGGGCCAGCTGCGCTACGCCGGCCTCCTGCTCGTCCAGTGGTGGCAGATCTTCGTCCTCCCCCGCCAGTGGCACGCCGGCCGCCCCGTCGTCGCCGGCCAGCTCGTCGCCTGCCTCTTCATGGTCTGGTTCTACATCGCCACCAGCGACCACTGGCGCTGGTGGGAGCCCCTCGCCGTCAGCACCGTCCTCCTCAAGATCGTCTTCCCCTGGTGAGAGCGGTCGGGGGAACGAAAGCCCTGCCGCCCCCTCCTCCTCATCCTCCTCCTCCTTCAGATGGCTGGGTATACCTTATCGGTCGTGGCATGGATGGGAAGAAGGGGAGGGGGGAGCGGGAGCGGGAGCGGAGGAAGTGTAGTTAAGACGCAAGAGCGTTGTGGATCAGTGGATATGTTGGAATAGCCGCTCCTATTTGGCCCTTGATTTCTTAGCTCAGCCTTGGGTTCCGTTTCGATGGACGGAAGCGAGGGATAATGAAGCGGCTTCGATGCCGAGATGGAGGAGACATGCCGGACCTTTTACAGCTATAGGGCCCAGATGGTTGAAGAATGTGCCGCTGGTTCTCTCAGGTATAGGGACTCCACGCTTTTGTTTCGTGCGCGAGGCGTTGGGTGTTGTCAAAAGCGTAGCAACTCTCTATGGCTGTTATTGCCCCCCCCTCCTTTGGCGGATAGAGACACGAGTTCAAGAATTATGATTATATTCCCATCAGCTCAAGCAGCTCATATTAGCGGCCGGATTTCATGAGGCAGTGGACGAAGAGGTTTTTATTTTTATTTTCGTTCAGGTCCTCCCGATTTTCAGACCTGGTAACTTCACAGGGTACGGATTCGGGTAGTAGACATTGGAGAAACAAATGCGCTTTTACTTCTCCATTCCTTTACCACCAGGAGATTACAAACAAAGCATCCGCCAAACTTTCGATATCCCTATTACTTACCTAGTATCATCATGGAATGATTTCGCACCTAGGAAGCCCTCATATCCTCCTCGATGTCGGATTACCTCAGCCCAACAAGGTATCGTAGAATGCGAACAGATGGAACACTCGCGACCGATGTACACATCCGTGTGCGCTCAAACCACCCACAATATCGCTGTAACGCCGCCGTGATATATCGGTTGAGAGTGAACCAAATAGACACTTCCCGCGGGTTACTTTTTCAATTCACCCCAAGAAGATATTTAGGCAGGAATGCCCAGACCGTCCCAACAACGGAGATCGCAAACGACAACATCATAACCGACCAGGTGAGTATGTGTTCTCGTACGCCTATCTCGTGTCCAAATAGCTTCAGATAAAATGCCAGAGGGAGACTGAGAGTGTTAGCCACGCCGCCTTCTACCAAATACTTGAGTCCGATAGAATCATCATAGACTTACGTGACACAAATCGTGAAGCATAGTGCGCTGCCCATGAACGCCATAATAGCATCGAATTCCGGGAAGAGGATGGCAATCACTAAGAATACCAAGAGCGTCAGGATCCGGACGAGGGCCTTCATCAGTCTCCTCGAAGTGTTAGGGAGGCCGACCGGCGGCGTTTCTTCAGCAACTACCTGTTGCCGAAGACCACATATAACTTCTAGCGTCGTAATAATGGGCTGCGAGTTTAGGGGAATTTTCGTTAAGGGTATAATAGAGATGAAAACTACGAGCAGGAAATTCAAAACGTTAGGGTATCCCGAGGTTTGGAAGATGTTTGCCGTGATTTCGTCGCGAACTTCATCCCCAAACATGACGAAGCCCACCACAGCTATTGAAACGTCCACTATTAGCTACATTGTGTTAGCATGGCACAATATCTAAGAGCTGCCGCCGCAGGAGGCTTACGGTGAAGGTAAATGTATATGCGACGGCCTATAAGGCGCTATTAGCTGACGTCTCTCCGTGAGTCAAGACCTTTACATACCTCCTTGTAACGATGCGGATGCCGCATGTCCCGATATATCTTTTGTCATGTCAGCCCAATTGTTTCTCCTTTCTGGACGTCACAAAACACCTACGTTTGGGAAAACACTATGGCCGCCCCATGGGGACATCAGCAGTCCGAAGGACAGCGGCAAGGTCAACCAGTTAGCGGGAAACAGATACGTCGTTGCGGGTTCTATGAGAGAGCCAGGCGCATGCACTTTGAACAAGCCATCGAGTATGACGATGAAAACAACTTGAGCGCTGCGTTAGAACGGCCGCGTATCCTTGGATATGCGGAAGACTTACTACCCAAGCAGCAAACGATGCCAACAAAACTGGTAAAGCTGAGAAGAGCCAGTGGAGCAAACTGCAACGGGACCATGGCTAGAGTGCAGAGAACCTTCCATTCGGTCACGGTTAGAGTGCCAGGCAAGAGGAGGGCCAGCGAGTCGGCGAAGAGCACGATGAGGGCTACGCAAGCTGCGAGCAGCTCGAGTGTGAATAGCACGGCCGTTGCGATACGCGCTTTCCTGCCGAAGGAGATGAAGGCTATGTCGGAGAAGGTGATCATACTGGGGTCAAGATCCATGCACTTGGCCAGCAACTTCGCAGTCCAGCTGGTCACGGCAGCGCACAGCAGTAAGATACTCAGTCCGCAGATCCAACCAGCATACTTGATGCCCATAGGTAGACTCAGGAGGCCGATACCGATGAGGACACTAGACGAAAAGGGGGTTAATAGCAGATCCGCTGGACCGAAGAAAGCCACTCACTTAGTGGAATTCACAACTGTTTGCGGCAAGGTTGATTGGCCAGACACTGCTAGGACAAGCCGTCCCTCTTGTTCAACTTCTTTCACGACGATGGGTGGGTGGCCTCCATCGGGCAGGTTTGCGCTGGATTCTCGCTGCCGGTGCCAGAGCTCTGCGGCATGAATCATGGAAGCACGGTAGGCCGTCGATTCGATAGAGCCGTAGCTCTGTGTCGACCCGTAGCTACCGACCGGGGGGGTCGTGGATAGGAGAGGCGGGGCCGAGAATATCGAGTTGCTGCGGAAGGATCCGGACGGCGACGCGGCTCGGAGCAGGTCGCTGCCGCGATGCTTCCGCTCGCCTCCATGGCCATCGATCCGCGGAGAAAGCGTGTCTGTCGACCGCGGCTCTTCCTGGCCGACATGACCAAATAGTGGGGCACTCTCAATATCTCGCCGTAGGAGAGATTCCCTAGGCCCGGCCTCGATGTCTCGCCTATTATATGGGTTAGGGTCAACGGCTTGCACTGGCTCCTGGTCGGGAGCGAAGACGAAGGATGGCTGCTGCGGTATTATTTCTGGGAAAGCGGCGGCCCGCTGCCAGCTCCGACCAAAGGACCTGATGCTATTGACGCCACCGATATCGGTGAGTGCGACGAGGCGGTTCGTTACCGAAGACCTATAATAGAGAACGATGCGGTCAGCCTCTGCGATGACGATCCGGGGGGTACAGCTGCAAACCTCCGCCTAGCTCTCCTCGACTGGTCCTCGTGGCTGGTGGCTTCAAAGTCGCTTAACAGAGCCTGGTCGTCAGAGGCGGTGCTCTGGTTGTTAACGGACGACAAACTGTCGCTCCGGCTTAGTGGAGTCCCGCGATGGTGTTCATTCCATGTCGCCGATTGCCCCGTAGCCATTGGCTGACGTCTAGTCTGCAGAACTGGCCCACAGGGGGGAGAGTAGATAGATATGGGTGGATTTATCCTATTTTGTCTAGCCGAGTTGTACGGATTTGGCCCGGGAGACTTCGTCGAGGTGGGTTACCGGGACAGGGGAAAAATGTTTACAGATCGCAGATGAAAGCGAGAGAAAGAGAGAGAGGCAGGGAGATAGACAGAGAAACTTATAATGCGCCTTTGCCTATCGGGATTCGATCACCTGAGCTCCGTATCCTAGTTGATTATGGTAGGTGGTGGGGAGACGGGAATGCTAATTGAGACGTTAACATGGTGCCGGTTGAGACGTCGGCGCTTCCGCTACCATGTGTTCCGCTATACTAAGGTAAGGCTTGGCTCGCGGACCGCTAAGGTATGCACGAAGATACAAGGAGACGGACTCGAGAGAAAAACAATGGTGACGATAACAGAGGTCTCACGATTCGGCATCTTCGATGTTGCGTCTCCTCAAGATCTCGAACCACGGAATGGCGGAGAGCGTTCGCATCTAGGAGGTAGGTAGCGCACGTACCTAAGATAAGGAATATAGTAGAGGTACATATGCAAGTTGGACAGTAGGAAGTTGCCACCAGCTCCTGGCACCACCCCGTTTTGGCTCCATGGACGGATCTCATTGGCCAATGGGTCGGGTGTGGAGAATCCTAGCAGCCTGGCAAACTCAAATTTTAAGGGCTCGTGAACGAGGTTGCGGCTGTGGATACGTACCTCCGTACCTGCGAGGCATCGACGGGTGACGGAGCTGCACCGAGCGTGGCTGGAATCGCTTGTCATCGGCTCATTCCAGACGCCAGCAACGAAAGGGGGAAAAAAATTGTTACGCCGGGTGGTGAGGAGATGGCGGGTAGATGCTAGAAGTTTCCCACGCACCTTGCTCGAGGTTCGGAGCGATCCAGACCTGGCAGCGAAGGGGTAAAGGGCGAGTGATGTCACTATCAAATGCGGGCAGAAAGACTGGGCTGGTCCCCCCCTTGTCTCCCCTCCCTTAGCCCCCCCCCATTCCACGGAGGTCGCCATACACGTAAGGTGTAGGCACGTAGTACATGTATACAGGAGAGATAATAGGTACGGTAGTAATCCCGCCTCCGCCTCAACTTCGACCAAACTCCTACTTATCATTTGAGGAACGACCTGCTGTGGGCACCTGCTATCTCCTATAACGCGCCGTAGCATCAAGAACTATCTGCCCTCTTTGGCTTGATTCAGAGATGTCGCCAATCCCAGGCATCTGCCGAGAGATCAGAACCCGATCTGGTTACCGAACCCGCATGTTCTAAATTCTATGGATATTCTCGCCTTTTCTTTCTTTCTTTTTGGTTTCGGGGATCGTAAAATATCCTCCTATAGGTATAACCTATGTTTGTAATTAACCTATCCTACATCTGCTCAACCGGCTGCCGACCGGCTCCTTGAACTTTTATGGGGATAGGCTACCTGTTGCGAGGTCCTTGCCTGATAGGTAGCAGCAATACTCTCTCGGGGGATGCTGCAACAAGATGCTCTCCAGTAACCCTGAAGAAGAAAAATTTTTCCCGTCCTCCTAGGCATACGGCACCCTATTCAAGTGGGGGTGGCGACGGTGTAAATAGCTGCCTGACATCGTAGATCCGTAGTCAGTTTACATATCGCCGACGGGCTTGCCGTTGCGAAGGAGCCCGTCTAAGCTAGATATAGGCAGCTAGTTGATAGGGTAGACGCACGGGCCGGCATGTGTGTAATAGATAACCAACATGGACCTAAGGAGAACAGGTGATAGCAATCTGCAGTCTCCCACGGGTTCTCGTTCTAAAGAGAGGGAACCAGTCGTCCCATGCTGCGAATGAGACACTCGGCTCAGCTTCCTTGATATCCGCTCAAGCAGTTTACCCGGTTCCTTCTGCCCAGCCACTGATTATCAAGCCACAGTTTCTGGGTTCGGGCACGATGATATCCCTCACGCAATGAAGCTTTAGGAAGGACGGCCCTCAGGGCACCAGTATAACGAGGGCATCTCCAGACCTCTTTCGCCTTACACCCTGTAGCATCACCCTCGCCGCCCCTAGAACCTCCTTTACCAGCAGAAAACGGCCTCGCGCGGCTTTTGACGTTCGGGTATTCCTATTACTAGAGTTGTTTCCCCTTCTCGGGCCAACCCGGTGCCTCGTGTTGGTTTGACCGAGGACGGACGCTAGCCTACGCTGATGCGTAGTTCTCGGGTAGGGGCATGCTGTTAAAGGCGTACAGCGCAGAACGCTCCTGGTGGGATTCGGTCCTGCTGGGTAACACCAGCCATTTTGGCCTGGCCACGGGTTAGTTGACGACTATGGGGTTAAGTTGAGGTTTGTTTCGATAAGTGACTGATTAAATTATAACGTTGAGGCTCTAGAGGCATTGAAAATTAGGTATCATAATAAGCTTGCGAGCAGAAACGACCCTTGATATAATACGTCCGAGCTGTCCGAGGTGACGGCTGACTTTGGCTAGGTTATGGAAGTTTTTTCAGAGCCTAGCATCTTTTCGACTCTCGTATGTGTGGTCATCGGTATGGCGACTACTAGCCCCCTCCGCGATAGCAATCTGCCCAGCCTTGTAGGACTGTACTTTCTTGGGAAACGCATAGGGCCTCTCTGCCGAGACTAGAGCATGGCCGCTGGAGTTCGGTTGCAGCACTGAGAAGTGCTAGGTACCATTTCCCCGCGAGAATACGCCCTTTCGTTGGCCTTGTCGATTCGTGACGTGTGGTGTGTCCTTCTCGACCTGACAGTCTTCTGGCGTTTGTTCATCTTGCTATTTTCGGCATACCCTGCAACAAGTCGAGTTTACTCGATGCAATTTCCATGAACACAATTGGCAGTTCTATGTAGGTACCTACCCAGGTAGGGCGGGCGATCGGCTTAATGTATGGGCGGCGAAGGCCGCGTTTCTCATGATTCACAACATGGTTCGCATCCGTATACCTCTTGACGCGTTTAAGATATACCTCGGTATGTAAACGGTATAAGCTTACCTGTCTGCCTGCCTGCCTATGTATAAAGGCGGCCCAAACGTATCTATGAACCGAAGCTATGTATTTAACAGGGCGAAGACGGCGATGGCACTGTATCAACACTGCGAATCAAATTGTTAGTTATCCTTGAGGCAGTACCAGACCACGTAACACCGACACTTACACATCCCTAGATACACGTATGCGTATTCTGAACAGATACGTGTGTGCATGTATAGCAGATAGCGACGGGTACAGATCACAGATGGGAAATGCTGGTTTTTTCTTGTATACAAAAAGCAGGAGAGGAGAGGAGAGGGAAAAAATACGCGCGAAAAAAAGAGGTTGTAGAGGTTAGGTGCGTTAGGGTAGGCAGGTAGGTACCTGTAGGTACCTAAGGCTGGGTACGTGGATGCGGGTACAGCGTCCGGGTCTGGATTGCGTAGCGGGTTGTCTGCCTGTCGGTACCAGGCAAATCAGTCAGCAGCAGCGTGTTGCGTGTGCGTGCGGGCGCCTGCCTCAGGGAGATCTGGCTTCTAACGCTCCTTCTATCTTGCTGTGGAAGGCGTTAGAAGGTGTGGCGTCCCTACCAATTTGACAAGCCCACCTGGTCCGAGCTCCCTACACCTCTCGTCATCAACAGCTCAAACACATTAGCACGGAGAGAGGACGTTCAAACTTCCGATTTTCAACCTCTTCCTCAGTTTCCTTCTCCCCTTCCACCTTTTTTTTTTCATCACAAAACCCCCTTCGGCCCGTAGGAAGAATCGCCCTTGGACCGTTCTTGTCAAGGACGAGGCCCAGTTTCTGCGGATATCCCCCCGCATCTCCCCTCGCCCACCTGCGTTCGTTCCCACACCTCCACTGGCAAAACCCGACGACCCTGACCTCAAGTAGACGTCCTCGCCTCCCCGAGCAGCAGACATCACCATCATGGCGCCCGAGCACGAGCACAAGAAGAAGGTGAACTTGGCGTGAGTGTTATTGTCTCATGAAATCACGCCGCTGGTCCGTGTTCGAGCTAACCTCTTCTCTCAGCGACGTCTCCGGCGCCGAGCCTAAGGACGTAAGATGAGCGAGCCTAGTGCGGATACGAAACCTCGTGAGAACTAACCGCCGCTTTCAGGAGAATGATGTTGCCACGGCCATCCTCAAGAAGAAGAAGAAGCCCAACCAGTTGATGTATGGACCAGCCCCTCCATAGCCTGTTTCGGCAACGCTCGTCTAACTCCTTTCTGCCAGGGTTACCGATGCTGTCACTGATGATAACTCTATCATCGCCCTGTCGAATAACACTATGGAGCAGCTCCAGCTGTTCCGGGGCGACACTGTTCTCGTGCGAGGCAAGAAGAGAAAGGATACCGTTCTGATCGTCCTAGCGGACGACGATCTCGATGACGGGAGTGCCCGGCTTAACCGAGTCGTTCGCCATAACCTACGAGTAAAGCATGGCGACATCGTCACCATTCACCCGTGCCCGGATATTAAATACGTAAGTAGGCCCTCTCGGAACGCGGCGAGTCGATACGACTAGCTCACGCTGACCTCGCAAATAGGCCAAGCGCATTGCCGTGCTTCCTATTGCCGACACCGTCGAGGGCCTAACTGGCTCGCTCTTCGATGTCTTCCTAGCACCATACTTCCGCGAAGCCTATCGGCCCGTCCGCCAGGGAGACCTGTTTATTGTTAGGGGCGGTATGAGACAGGTGGAGTTCAAGGTTGTCGAGGTCGACCCTCCAGAGTTTGGCATTGTGGCACAGGACACCGTCATCCACTGCGAAGGCGAGCCGATCCAGCGTGAAGAGGAAGAGAACAATCTCAACGAGGTTGGCTACGATGATATCGGCGGCTGTCGGAAGCAGATGGCCCAAATTCGTGAAATGGTCGAGTTGCCCTTGCGACATCCACAATTGTTCAAGTCTATCGGTATCAAACCCCCGCGTGGTGTACTACTCTACGGACCCCCGGGTACCGGTAAGACGTTGATGGCTCGTGCCGTTGCCAACGAGACCGGGGCTTTCTTCTTCCTGATCAACGGCCCCGAGATCATGTCCAAGATGGCCGGTGAATCCGAGTCGAACCTTCGAAAAGCATTTGAAGAGGCCGAGAAGAACTCGCCTGCTATCATCTTCATCGACGAGATTGACTCCATCGCCCCCAAGCGAGACAAGACGAACGGTGAAGTCGAGCGACGTGTAGTCTCTCAACTGCTTACTCTTATGGACGGCATGAAAGCTAGGTCCAATGTTGTGGTCATGGCCGCTACCAACCGACCCAATTCGATTGATCCCGCCCTGCGACGTTTCGGTCGTTTCGATCGCGAGGTTGATATCGGTATTCCCGACCCCACTGGCCGTCTAGAGATTCTACAAATCCACACCAAGAACATGAAACTCGGTGACGACGTGGATCTCGAGCAGATCGCTGCCGAGACTCACGGCTACGTCGGCTCTGATATTGCCGCCCTATGCTCGGAGGCTGCTATGCAACAGATCCGAGAGAAGATGGACCTCATCGATCTGGACGAGGATACCATCGATGCCGAGGTCCTCGACTCCCTGGGCGTCACCATGGAAAACTTCCGATTTGCTCTGGGCGTCTCCAACCCATCTGCTCTTCGCGAGGTTGCTGTGGTCGAGGTCCCGAACGTCCGTTGGGAGGACATCGGCGGCTTGGAGGAGGTGAAGCAGGACCTCAAGGAGAGCATTCAATACCCCGTCGACCACCCCGAAAAGTTCCTCAAGTTCGGCCTTTCCCCCTCCCGTGGTGTCCTGTTTTATGGTCCCCCCGGTACTGGTAAAACCATGTTGGCCAAGGCCGTCGCCAACGAATGCGCAGCCAACTTCATCTCAGTCAAGGGCCCGGAGCTTCTCAGCATGTGGTTTGGTGAATCTGAAAGCAACATTCGAGACATCTTCGACAAGGCACGCGCTGCTGCTCCCTGTGTAGTCTTCTTGGACGAGTTGGATTCGATTGCCAAGGCTCGCGGCGGATCCGTTGGGGATGCAGGCGGTGCTTCAGACCGTGTCGTCAACCAACTTTTGACCGGTAAGTTCTTCTTACAGCCCTCTGCCAACCGGAATTTGGCTCGCTAATACCGCAATAGAAATGGATGGTATGACTTCGAAGAAGAACGTCTTCGTTATTGGCGCGACCAACAGGCCCGAGCAACTCGACCCGGCCCTTTGCCGACCGGGCCGTCTTGATTCGTTGATCTACGTGCCGTTGCCCGATGAGGCTGGCCGTCTGAGCATCCTCGCGGCTCAACTCCGCAAGACACCCGTTGCTCAGGACGTCAACCTGACCTACATCGCCTCCAAGACCCACGGGTTCTCCGGTGCCGATCTCGGATTCATCACCCAGCGAGCCGTCAAGATCGCCATCAAAGAGTCCATCACCGTCGACATTGAGCGGCAACGTGCCCGCGAAGCTGAGGGTGAGATGGATGTCGACGATCAGGAGCTTGAAGATCCGGTCCCCGAGCTTACTCGGCGTCACTTCGAAGAGGCTATGCAGATGGCCCGAAGATCCGTAAACGACGTCGAGATCCGCCGGTACGAAGCCTTCGCACAGCAGATGAAGAATGCCGGCCCTGGCGCGTTCTTCAAGTTCCCTGCGGCTGGAGGTACCGGTGGTGCAGGCCCCAGCGGCGACGACAACTTCGGCCAAGCCGGTGACGACGACGGTCTTTACGACTAAGCTCTGATCACCCATCAAGATCCGGGGGTTTAGGACATTTGCCTCCATACTCTTAATCCCTTTGTCGCCGCGCACCTGCGTAATCAACGGCCCAGTGCACTACACTGCGAGCTCGGCGCCTACGATGTAGCTTTTTGCGGTTGCGATAGGGATTTGCGTTCACGATAGACTCGGGCCATGACAGAATTAGGGTTATGATGCAGCTAATAAATATCACGCAACGACAAGCACGACCGTTTGGCCTTCTGCGGGCCTGCGGGACATACCCCGATTCTAGTCGGGGTGGGGGGAAGTATATGGCCATGTCTACTACGTCGTGGCGTATTTCACGATAGATTCACAAATCGAAATATTTCAATAAGAGTTTCCTCACGTGTGATACTTATAAGTTAGGTATCGACAGTATAAAATGCGAGGCTGTATACCGTAAGAGTCTGCGCCTAGTGACCATACCAACACTATCTGTCATCGTTATTCCGTAGTCCATGATGTACGATCTAGTTTGTGCTATAGGTAATCGTCGTGGCTATCAGATATCAGTCAGCGTAAAGCCTTGTGAAAGCCCCCTTGCTATTACATAAGCAAGGACCACCACGGTTGGGCAACATCACCTCCGCAAATCTAGTTGGCCGGGCGACCCGACGAGCGAAATCAAGATGGGGAGAAAAAGGGGCGCCTCGGAATGCTCCTCCTATATTGCCAACACCTGATAATAACGTAGCATATGATGACGATGATGACGACGATGACAACGGTAGAGATAACAGTAGTAGTAAAACAAGCCCAGCGCTCTCTCTCTCGTAACGCCGATGCCCCAAAACCAACCCCCCTTTGCCTGGCTGTGTCCACCGATGCCCGAAACAGCTGTATGAGTCTGTATGTAAACTAAGTGTATCAAGGTTTTTTTTTTCGGAGGGTGGGGGATTCATTCTCCTATTCTTGGTGCTTTTTGTTCCCTTTTCCCCCCTCGGCGCCGCCTAGGGGGGGGGGTAGGGGGGGGTCTGTCTCGAGGGCCCCGGACGCTCAGCGCTCGAGGCACCCCGGGTTGGACCCAGCCGGCGAGCGCCGTCGTTCGTCGCGGCAAGGGATAAGAAAGGGAAGGGGGTAGGAGAGGGTGGAAAGGGGGGCGCGAAGCATGCGTGCCGTTGAGCGTGAGTGGGTGCGTATATATATATATACGGCGATATAGCGTGGCAGAAGATGCGCTCCGAGGCAAAAACAGGTAGATCGGACGGGCTGGCTTCGCACTCCCGGGTCCTCCCTCCTCCCTCCCCTTCTTAGTTCTCGCTCTGGGCCCCCTTCCTTCGAATCAACAACTGCTGGCAACCCGCTCCGCCCCCCCAAAGATAGACAGAAAGCCCCTCCGGTCCCCATGGTCTACTGCTCCCCCCTACCCAACGACATATCCGTATATTACCTCTCTCCGCCTCCGACGTATCCCGCCCGCGGGCCTGCGGGCCCGTCGCTGCCAGTCTCTAGCCGGCGGACGAGCCGTCGTCGACCTCGCACACGGCCTCGAGGCACTCGCGCGTGACCTTGAGCACGGCCTCGACGACGGCGGGGGGCACGGCGAGGCTGCCGTCGCCGGCGAGGGGCGGCGGCGGCGACGACGACGACGTCGAGAAGGACGAGGACGTCGCGCCGCTGCCGTTCACCGCCCCCGACCTGCCGTTGGTGGCGGCCGCCGTGCCGTTCACCTCGCCGTGAGTAGTGGCGGCGCTATTGCCGTTGTTGTTGCCATTGCTATTGGTGGGTTCGTTGGTGTCGGAGGACGAGGACGAGGACGAGGCGGCGGCGGCGGCGGTTTCCTGGCGCACGTCCTCGAGGACGCGGCGCACGAGGGCGGGGAAGGTGGTCGCGTCGCCGTTGCGCAGGAGGGCGAGCGCGTGCGCCTGCACGTTCGACGGCCAGTTGGAGGGGTGCGAGTTGAGCGCGTGCAGCAGGTGGTCTTGGATCCTGCGGTTGCGTCGTCGCCGTCGCCGGGCGGACGTCGGTCAGTTAGGTGCGCGATGCGGTGCGATGCGACGCGATGATGCGGCGCGTAGCTTGAACGATGGGCTCTCTCTCTCTCCCCTCCCGTCCTCTTCGTTTCCTCTCCTGCGTTCCTCGCGCGGACAAAAACACCCATCCGATCTCTACCCGACCTCGCTCGCCCCACCCCCCCCCCAGTTCTGCCACTGTCGTACGCGATACGAGGCCGGAAGAGGATGGAGCCGAGGGGATGACGAGGAAGAGAGAGGGTGAAGGGCGAGGAGGAGGGGAGGGGCGAGGGAGAGAAGAGGAGACATGACAGAAAAGAAATGAAGGGGGGGATGGAATTACTTAGTAATGTGGCCGTCGCGTATGAGCAGCATATTGATTTGCGACCGCAAATCCGGATCCAGGGTCGCGGGAGTATATGTCGCTGCCGACGTCGGCACCTTAACCGGTGTAGACGGTGGGTGTGACATGGTGGCGTTGGTCGGGCTGGGTCAGGAGGGAGGGGTCTGTTCCTCCTCCTCCTTTCTACAGCAGCTATTTCTCTCTCTCCGCGCCGTAGGTTATCGGAGAGGGGTGGCGGGGGATGTGAAAAGCAGAGGCGCCGCAGGCGGGGAGGGAAAGGGGGGCTCGGTACGAGAATCGGATCGGGACTCGAGGATCGATGATGGTGGTGGTGGTGGTTTGGGAGGGATGACGGGATGACGACCGTGTTCGCGGTGACAAGAGTCCGGGAGGCGCGAGAGGGGCTCTTCAGCAGATCGTATCCCGAGTTGGGAAATTGGCCCTTGGGCACAGCGTAATTTATATCGCGTCGGATTCGCGCGATTGGGCGGTGGGACGTCGATGGCAATCCGTGCCGCGCGATCAGCTTCTTGTTCGACGGGGGAACGCTGACGAGGCTGACAATTATCCGGAAAGTTTGCAGACACGAGGCTGAGGGAGGCCGTCCAGACATTCGTAATAAGCGGATCGTTTGGGGCGCGACTGAGTGGGTCTCTGGTATTGCAAACAAAACCGGCGTGGGGCTCGACCGGCTTGCTTACTGTGCTACCCACCTAGGTAGGTACCTACGTCGTACCTACCTATACGTAGGTAGATACGAGATTCCGGATGACCGTGACGCTTTCATTACATAAGCATGACCTTCCCCGCTGCCGTCGATAGCTACCTCCAGGAGGTAGGTACCTAAACTACCCTAGGTACCTAGGCACCCGGGCACCTCACATGTAGTACCGCCCAAACACATAGGTACCTCTACCTCTCTGGTACCTACACCTAGGCCCCGACATCCCTCTTGGTAGCCTTAGCGGGAACGACCTTCATAGGAGGCTAGGCTAGGTTAGGTACTTCCCAAGATACCTAATGTAATATCAACCGGCAACTTCCATTACTACCAGCCTATGTACCTATGTAACTTACCTTAGGTAACTACAGGTATGTAGAGCAACGCGGTGAGCTCCGGGCCGCTACTCCTACACCTACAACATCCCATATCCATGTAGGTAGAGCAGTAGATCGATCACCTTATCGGAATGCCTACTTCGTTGTCCCTACCTACAGCCCGCGTACCTAAAGGCGGACGATCGCATTTTAGGTGCCGTCCCTTTTTCTACATATCGATTAATACAGCTCATTAGTTAGGCCTTTCCGTCCTGCGCATTTCCTCGCACAGCCGACCCGCCGTTCCCGCCGGCTTCGTCGTCTTACCTACCTACCTACCTGGCAGATGGAGGGTTTCGCCCAACAGGGTCGACGGCAGGGACGGGCTACCCCATAGGCATATATTGGGTAGCGGTGGCACGACGCGCCGTGTCAGAACTCACGGTATCAGGCCTTCCGCGGCGCCTCTTGCCCAACGTCTCAGGAGAAGACGACCGCCCGGGATTCCCACAGCCCCCCTGAGCGAATCGTCGCGGCCGGGCCCGCCTGCGAGCGCGGCAAAAGTCCACCTCCAGGGCGCGAGGAGTTGCCTGCCCGCCCACCCAGATAGGTTGGCATTATAGAAGAGCCCTCCATGCATGCAGCTACGTAGGCGTGTGTGTGTGTGTGTGCATGCACGCGCGTGTCTCCGTACACGCCTCTTCTACGTGTATCTATGCACGCACGCACGTAGGACTCGGCAAGGTGGAGGTTACCTATCATATTTCCTGCGCAGCGCATCACGGCCCGGCTCCAAGGCGGCAGGAGTACCTCGTTTATCCCTACAATCCTATATGACTATCGACAGTCGTCTACGGAACGGCGACAGGATCGGCTACGTTACACACGGAGTTCCATGGGCGTTTGTCCCTAGGATGTAGGGTGGGATCGAGGGAGATACCGTGGATGCTCCTACGCATGTACGCGAAGGTCTATACCATCGCTTGAACTGCAACGTAGCTACATATACGTCATCACCAGAGACGTCGATCAGGTATTTGACACCTAGGCTTTATTACGTTGGTGGTAGTAGATGTAGATGCGTTGGGCAGGCCGGTGAACCAAGATGCTTGTATACCTAGGTAGGTAGGTATAGCTTCCCCTATCCGCCCCCCCTCTTCTTCTCAGCTTCAAATTGCCGTATATATGCACGTAACCAACGGAGAGCGTGACCGGCGCGTATATCTATTGAAATGTACAACTACTAAGAAATGGCTTCGCAATATCCAGTCGGCTCCATCGGCTGCTGCTGGATCCTATCCCCCTCGGTCGCACCGGCCTAGCTCCTCAACTCAATTACAGTCCGCATGACCTACCAAGTATCAAAAAATTGCACATATGCTTCTTGATATGCCTACATGATAGAGCGAAGCTCAGGTGCGCGCATATATCTGTGGCGACAACATCTGAGTCAAGTTCCGATTTAAAAGGGGGGGAAGGGGGTGAAAACGTCTTAATTAATCGATAAGTCAAACACCTTGTTTTCAAACGAGACAACAAAAGAGGAGAGAGAGGGAGGGGGGGGCCCGATGTTTCCTCGGCGCGCGTTTGTGGACGGTTGGCGCTCGAGGGAGACCGTATCGAGAATTATTCGCCCGAGCTTCCGACGGCGAAAGCTCAGATGAAGCGATGGTCAGAGAGGCCCGCCGCGGTCCTCCAATTGGCGGTTAACGAGAGTCGTCGTGGCTCGGGCATTGGTGCCGGCGAGGTTTTCTATCATGGGAACGGTAGGGGGAACAGGCCAGCCTGTCTAGTCCGTGTATGTAGGCCCAACTCTTCCGGCTGCCAGCGATGGTGAGGAGATATCCCCTAGAGCCTGCCCTAAAGCACCAGCACATCATTGGGCGTCCCCAGACTGGGAATGCAGCCGACACATACGACGGGTCTGGTGGGTGATTCCCAATAATTAGGCCGCTATTATTGATGGCCAACTCAGTCCTCGAGGCACGTCAGACCAGGCTTTCCTCCTTTTCTTTTTCGGACCTGGCCCTCGATTCGGCGTCGGGGAATGAGCAGTCCTCGCTTCACCGACTATAACTTCTCGAGCCCGTCATGCGCTGCGGCGTAAAGATCCTTGCATTCGACTCGGCCTGGGAGACAGCGAATCAATGTTAGCCGGATCAGCCGCGATCGGTTCGCCATTCGCTAGGACTATACATCCCTGATGTTCCTTGACGCGGTTGCGCGAGAGGAGTATTTCCCTGGCCGATTCAACTCACCGATGCTTTGCAGCATTAGGCTCTCCCCTCTAAGAAATATGATATATGATCTGGCAGATCCGCGTACGCGGCCAGGTATAACGACCCCGGTCGCGATGACGACGTTTTTCGTAGTGCGGGCATCGGCGACGAGCACATGGCAACCCCGAAGCTCAGAAAAGAAAAAAGTCGGTCTGGACGGGACTTCTGATGGCGGCGGTTACGGTAGCATGGCCCCCTAGGGTAGGTCGAAGGCGATTGGCCGTGGAGATGGAATAGGCTGCTCGCATCCCCGTTTCCTGCCGCGGCCGGCACTAATTTCTTAGTGTATCCCGTTCTCCCACTGCCGCCGTGGGCGTAAGGAGATTCCATGACCCTCACTAGGTATCTGAGACACACGTAGGTCAAGGGGGAGGGGGAGGGAGAGGGGAGGGGGGGGGGGGGGAACTCGACCTACGTGTGTTATTATTGCTACCATCTCATTCATCATCATCCTAGCCGCTGCCCGCTTACCTACCCTTATCACTGACAGGCTGGCAGGCGCTTTTCGCCTCACCCTTCTCCCTGCATACACGATTTTTCTTTTGGGGAATCCGCCCCGGAAGTATCCCCATAGATCCCGACATCCGACCAGGCTGACCGACGTCCGTCTGCAAAAGGCTACCCACGGATTGGAGTGCCCGCCAGCGGCGCTTAGAACAGCACCCTCCCCGCACCGCATATCCCAGGAGCGCGCCGTGGGACGACCTAATATACGAGCGCAACCGTGAACGGCGTACAGAGCATCCCTCGTGTGCGCCAACGCGGAGCCGTGCCTTTCTCATCCAACGAGGCCGGGGACCGGGCTAGACCCAGAAGTGTAGTCGGTTCACGTGCCAACCGGTGATCTTCGACATTATCGTATTCCGTCCTTGTGATCTCGAGTACAAACGGGCTTCGGGTAGCTGCGTGGGCTCGAGTTAGCCCCTACTCGCGTCGGCGTTATAGATGTATAGGAATTCGAGATGGTTCGTCGCATTCCCGAGTAGCTGTCCGATAGGATGACGCTCACGGGGTACCTGATCCTGCGGCAGATGACCAAAGCGCACATCCAATAGTCTTATGTCCGCATGCCTGAGATGACTGGGAAGTTATACCCAGTCCCAGGTGGTACGAAGAAAAAAACCCCGATCTATCACGCGCAGCCGCCCCCGAATGTGTCGATGAGGTCGCGATTGGGTGGCCGAAGAGTTGCGACTGGTTCTATGCAGAGACGGCGTCTCGAGCCAGACCCTACCAGCAGCAGTCAGCACCATCGGATAGGGGGTACCATGTCAGCTCCTTCCAAAGGGCATCACAAGCTCTTTTGTACGGGAGGATGGACTCGGCCTCACACACCAGCCGTGTGCCCCCCACGACAATATTACCCGATCTTAGGCTGGCAGCTACCCCCGCGCCGTACTCCTATCGTGCTGGCTCCTGAGTGGCCTGGGCCAGATGCAAAACGCACGGCCCAGGGTCATAGCCAAGATCCGGGGGTTGCAATATGCAGAGTGTCGGTGTGTACTGTGGCGCCGGCTGGTTCCGAGTTGCAGGAAACTAAACTTGTGAGGGGGGAAGGGGAGGGGGGGATCGGGGGACGGGGGGGGGAGGTATCAGCCACACCGGAGTGTAGCAGAGGCGAATATGATCAGACGCAGCAGACATGGCCGCATAGGAGGCTACCAGGTTGTCGGAAATCGAGAGCCAGACCAGGTAGGGCGGCCTGCATCTGCAGCAAGCTCAATGAGGAAGCAGAGAAGGCCTTGTCGTCAGGGAGCTGTTACAGGCAACCGCTTCAGCTACGTCTACCGACCTCACGCCTTCGCCAATGTGCGTCCGTATCGGGACGGAGAGAGGGGAGGAGGGGGAGGCGAGGGAGGCGAGGGAGGCGGAGAGGCGATGATGCGGTACCCCTCCATCGTCAGCCCCTCGGTGATGCAGGGTGCTTGACCGTATCTGCGTGCCCGGGGTAGCATAGACCATGGAGAAGATCAGATCGCACGGCAAGAACAAAGATGGCGGGAGCGTCGATGCGCCCTCTGCGCGTAACGAGCCCAGAACGAGCCCGGACGGAGATCCATAGAAGCATCCTGCACGGGCAGGTGGGTGTGTACGTGTGCCTCATACACGCATACGGCTGTGCACACCACGTATTCTGCCGGCGTGGAGGGGTCTTGGATTGGCGCAGGCAAAGCACACGACGGAAGGGGGTTCGTGGCCGAGGGCAGACGGAGACAGGAATAGATAGGCCCGGCACCTGAGGTAAGGGAGAGGCAACTTTGCCTGGAAGAAGCCGAGATGGCTGGCTGCCTCGCAACTCACCTTCCCAGCGACGAGCTTGTGCACCCCTGGATGTTGAGGCGTCGGCCGAGTTATGCGCGTTCACATCTCCGTTCCACCACGCGCCCGAGGCCCTCGCTGCCTCAGGCAACCCCTCCTGCGACTCACGAGAGGGCAACTCTACGGCATCTGCCTACGCTGGTCCCGCCCGGCCTCTATTCATACCGCCCCTCGCTCCCCTCCTACGCCCTACCACCTAGGTGCCGCCTCTCGCTGGCAGCCACCTAGGCACGTAGCCAGCATGCTGTGCGTACGTGCAACCAGCTTCCTAGAGGTGGGAGTTAGGTAGGCCAGCTGCCTTCTTTAGTCCCTAAAGCATGTCCACCGCAGAACCCGAGGCCCGAGTAGAGGCACCTAAGACATGTAGGTATATTCTAGGCTTATAGGGGCGGTCGGCAAATAGGAGAGACCGACACCCTCGTCTAGGTCGGCGAGACGCCTCTAGCGGGGAGGAACCCAAACCCAGCAAGCCACGCGTAAATGCCGGTGACAACCACACACAGGATAGCCTCGTACCCGGCGGATCACACAGCCAAGTCGGAGTATATACGGCAATACATGGAGCTAGGTACCCGCCCGACCCTACCTAAAGTACCTGAAGCATCTACGAGAGGAGGCGCCTCGCGAGCCCGCCCTAGGTAAGGCCGTCGGGTAGGTGATGTATGAAATGTGTGATGTCGGCTCCGGGTAAGGCAGGTAGGGCTGGCACCAGCCAGACCGCCTGGGCAGGTTATACTCAGCCCGTTTTGGACACGCGCAGGGTTGAGTCATAGATAGTTACCATGTGCCCACAGATCTACTCGGTATGTGAGTAGGGGGCGTAGGGGGCGTAGATATAGTGAGCGGGCGGCGGCATCCCGTGGAGGTCCCGAGGGGGTGCGTACACACCTGCAGGCAAATCCTGGAGGTAGATTAACTGATGTCAGCCAGGTACCTAGGTATGGAATGGATGAGATCTGGGGATTCCACAAAACAGCTCCATCGATCAGCGTGAGAATCTAATATCATATGTGCCGTAAACGCCTCGCCTGGTAAGCACAGCTTGGCTGCAAGCTGGCCATTGGCCGCTGTTGGGGGGGGGTTGAGGTAGGCAAGCTACCTCGTTTCTACTTCCTTAGGTACCTACTTGTGTCCCGTCCGATCTCTCGGCGAGTCCATTGCATAATAGTGCAGGGCAGAGGCGGCTCGCTCGACCGCTGTCCCCAACGACAGCGCACACTCCCGGGGGAACGAGGGGCGAGGGGCGACCATGCAGTTAGTTAGCCCATGCATGATCAAGCCCGAGGATGCGAAAGCCTCCTCAGGTCTACGGCTTGTTGACCTAGCCTTTGCCACGTCTTTTCTTTTTCTCTGTCGTCGCCCGCAGGTCTAGATCGCCGACGAGATCGGGCCGCAATTCGGCAGATGGACGTCGCAGCAAGGACTCCTCCTTCTCCACTCTCGCAAGTCGGGCTCAGCTCTAAAATCTGACAGTGTTGAGATAATGGATGAAAGCAGGACCTTGTGTGCCTGTATCCCGAAAACACGTGGTGGGCATCGGCCCCGTCGAGAACAATTGATTCCACTACCTCGGGGCGTTGGCCCTGTCAAGGAAAGCGACGGAAGTGCGGTGAAGCACGAGGCGCTGGCATCTGCGGGCCCCGAGCCTGGAGATACCTACCTGCGGCTTCTTCACAGCAGAAAGGAAGACGCTGCTCCCAGGGTTGGCATGACCTGCAGGTTTCTTGATGTCTTGCGTCTGCTGGCTACTGGTTGTTATTCTTAGGAGCACAAACTGAGGATTCGAGGGACAAGGGCTGGCTATCCTCGTGGGAGGGCTATTTAGAGCCTCCTCCTTCCATCTCTCCCTATTGGGAGGGTGTAGCATCGCCTAGAACTGGACCCTGTAAAATGTGGTGCTCGCAGAAATCTGCTGCAGTACATCTTCGCGACGAGTGTCTCCAGACGTCATCATCACTGCCCACACTGAAATCCAGGCCGCCTTCGGGGTTGGGGAGGCGCGTCTGCGCGAGATTCTGGGCAACATCATGGGTCGTGACGTGGACGGTGGCACCGCATGAATCTGGGAAAATGACTCCGGTTTGGCTGGCTTACTGACTTCACGGGGTCTAACCCGACCATCACTGTCACCCTCATCGAAGGGTCGGGGTCGTCTTTTCCCCGCAAGGACTTGGCAGAAGTCCATCGCGCCGTTTGCTCTTTAGAATCATTCCAAGTTGTCCCAGGCAGTCTCAGCCTTGTAAGACATGAAGGTCGCTGTTCTTTGTCCGCTCGCCTGAACATGCAGGGGGTGTCTGGTAGAGGCGCCAAGACTGGGCGAATCTACGTTCCAGCTGCGAAACATAGGTGCGCTGTGAAAGACTGATCGAGCAGTCTAGCCGAGATGGCCGATGAAACGAACCGGGCCTGACCTCCTTCGACTGCAAGTCATGGCACGCCCGTCCAACTTGTGCGATGCGGCAGAAACCGCCAACAGTCCCGTGTATGTATATGCTCGGTGTGGATGGCGACACCCAGTAGTGAGGGCTACCTCTGTGTGAGCTATCACACGGACGCTGTAACCGGGCCCCGAAGTTGCAAGTCAGCGTACCAACTCGGACTGCATCTGTACCCAACACTTTCCGCGGAGGAGTATAGCGCTCAACGGTGAGGGGCACCTATTATACTCGCCAATTTACCACGACGGCACGGCACGGGCGCCGGGGTGGGGAGAGGGGTTACCATTGCCATCCTAGGTCTGCAGATGCGCCGCTGCGATTTGCCGGCGGCTTGCTGTATGACACGTTGTGAAGTCGGAATGCATGGCCGAGAGGAGAAGTGCGGAATCTGCGAAAAAGGTAGGAATCCAAACCCAGGACGTCGAACTGCCCTGAACCAGCTCGGCGGACGGATACCACACTTTTTATGACAACGGACACGGAGCCGAGCTCCGTAAAGGGAAAGCTGGCGGACATAACCAACATGGGATTCTGGTCGACAGGGCCTGGGTTGTCGATTCTCTCGAATGTGACTGCATGGGGGCCGACTCCACACCCAGACCGGTCGCCAGGTTGGGATCTTATCGCTCCTTATCCAGCAAGTCGGTCAGGGCCACTCCCAATAACGAGAGGCGTGCCAAGGATATGCGACCCGGCGTTAACAGCTTTCGGGACAGCAAGCGACCTGCAGGGAAGCTGAGTTGCAGAAGCTTCCTTGGTGGGATGGGCGTCCCCCCATCCGTCCGGTTGAAGTCGGCGAGCGTGTCTGGGCTCGCGAAATGTGACGAGGAGGGGGTGGGATGGAGGAGCAGGGCTTGGGATGAATTAAATGGTCCCGAAGCTAGGAGAAAAGCGGTCGGGGTGAAGACACAACACGGCAATATGCTGCCCCGGACGCTACGCAGGCAGTAAGGTCTGTCTGGTTTTTTGTTTTTTTTTTCTTTCTCTTTCGCCTTCTATTGCCCTTTCGTCCCTCTCTCTGTTCCAGATTAGGTAGCCGGTCAGTTTGGTTGGTATTCCCCAAATGGGAGGGGGGGGAAACCGGTCAAGTATTTCTCTGAGGAGAGACGGGATCTCGGAGAAGACACGCGCGAAAGGATGGCAGACGAGACGGCAAGCCGGTGTCTCCTCCACCACGCCCTCCCCAACCCCCGCCACGCTCACTCTCCCGTATCTCCCTCTCGACTCCCCGCCTCCTATGGTCCCTGTGGGGACTCTCAGGAGGACTTCTGTCCTTCTGTTTCTCTCCCCATCTATCTCATTCTCTCGTTCTATAGAGGGGGGTCCGTAGGGTAGCTGGTCTCTTTCCGAACAAAAGGCGGATGGAAGACTACGGGTAAGGTACCTACACCAAGCTGTCTATTCCTACATTGGGTATACATAGACCCAGGCCCGAGGGGCCTATCGGGGTTCTTGGAGCCTGGAATGTCGGCTCCCCTGGGCTCTTGACCCGGGCCAGGGTCCTGCATCTGGCAAGTGCTTTTACGTACCTGTAATTGTATAACGGCTGTGCCTGTATCTGCATTGAACCGGACAACTGTCCCGCATCCATCCCGTTAAGCTTTACTGGTCGCCGAGCATCAGATGATCTAGCTGATCAGCTCCTGTCTCCCTAAGCTAACATCCTCGTGATGTTCCGCGGAATGGGACACGGGGGGGGGGGGGGGGGTTACCCAAGGGTACCCAGCATCGTACCTAGGTATGCACCCCATGCCCCCGGCGGATGGATCGTGGAAGTGTCGGGCTCGACGAGCATCGAAACAGATACCGCTGCTATACTTGCCCTATAGGTATTGCCTTGTCAGACATACCGACGGAGGGGACGTCGCACAAAGAGGTGCAACCCCACGGTGCAGCAACACGATACACAAAAAGGCCTCCAGAATGCCGCGACGGACGGCGGCTGGGAACAGAGCTGTCGGTTACACCGGGAACTCGAACGAGAAACTCGGCGTGGCAGTAACAGGTAACGGATATTATAGAAAGCTCTCGGGCTCTCCTATAGCCTAGCGACGTGTTGCGAATCTACCTATGTAGTAGGGATCGTCTCAATCTCTCTGGCATCCATCGTAGCCCGTGAGTGACATTCTCGGCTCGCAATAAATAGGGTTACAGCAGTCCAAAAAGGCTATTATCGTCTACCACACGCGAGATATCTGAAACGTCAACAGCCTCTTGGTTGTCTACCTGAGATGCCTGCCGGCGCGGAGCGCCAAAGTACGGCGGTGGTACAACCAAGGTATTTTTATAATGCCCTTGTCCCTCTTCCCCGAGTTCCCCCCCCCCCCTCCACGCATGTGCCTATCACCAACCGACGCGGACTCCGAGATGGCCACGGCGATGACTGCTTGCCTGCTCACTTCTCGTCTAGCCGGCCAGTAACCGGACAGCCTAGACGTCGGATGCATACAGCATACATATAACGGCCGCACTGGCGCGCATACCTACCTACACGCCTTGCCTCTACAACTCCACCTCGCCCGCTGCCCTGTTATTCCCTCCACCAACTGTCTCCATCACAGTTCCCGTATGCAACAGCTACTACAGCTACAGCTACGCCTACGCTCACAGCTCTAGCTCTAGCAAGCAGGCTCTAGCAGGCAAGGTCCGGTTCCGTATTAGAAAAGCCGGGACTACACGAGCACCAAGACATAGCCACCCCACCACACCTGTTTGTGGGAGGGAGCGCGTATAGATGTGGTGTGTGTGAGGAGGGGGGGTGGCGATACCTACCAGCAACCAGCCCACAACAGGTCCCATACATATCGAGGACAGCTTGGTTTATTATTATTCCATTTTGATTATTAGACTAGACCAGAGCTGTCTAGACCCCAGAGGAAAACCAGTAACTTTGATTCCCACTCCCACTACCCCTGTCAGCCGAATATAATTCCAAGACCTCTCATGCATGCAGGTGCGCTGCAATCACAACCGCGAACGTCACCCAGGAGTTAGAGCTAGATGCAAGGCGGTGAGAAGGCTATGAGCCGTTTGGCTGCTGAGTGTAAGCCTCTCAGGACAAACCACATCCTTCTATTCGGCATTGGGATCACAAGCGAGAGGAGGAGATTTTGGGCTTGACAGGCTGCACCTAATTTATCTACTTGTCCCTGCGGACCGGGTTTGACGATCCCTCTAACAGTTAGGATATACCTCTAGGACTGCCGACAAGTACAGGTGGCTTTCCGTCTACGTCTTGTCATCCATACCACATGCAGACGCGCTTACACAAGTACCTAGTCACTCACATATACTTAGACGATATACAGCACGCACCGCACGCACACAGACACACACACACACGCACGCACACAGATACCTACCTACCTCGCAACCATCACGCACAAGCACACACATATACACACACTCACATACGTACGCGTACACGTACACAGACGGCCGATATCTTTTTCTTTCCCTCCGTCTCCCTCTCCCCTCTTCTCTCTTTCTCTGTCTCGCATGCATGCATGCACACACGCTTGTATATGTGCACACATTCGCTTTCAGTTGTGCCCCGACTGAATTGCCCTGGTCTGCCCTAGCTTGGCCCTGGCAGCCCCTAGAGGCTACTTAGAGCATCCACCGCGCTCGGGTATCAGGAGGGTACTTGGTACCCAGAACGATGCTGGAGGAACCTGGAGAGGACTTGCAAGGTACATCTGAATCACCCGCATCCCAATGCTCGCATGCCACAATACATCCATCCTACCTATCTACCAACTGTTGCTGCTGCTGCTGCTGCTGCTGCTGCTACTACTACTACTGCTACCACTACCGCCGCTACCACCACCTCTTACCGACCTAGATACAACCTTCATCCCATCCCATCCATCCATCATCCCGTCCCCTCCCATCCATCCATCCGTTCGTACATACATACGTACAGACATACATATGTACCATACACACCATACATACATACATCATCACATTACAGCATACTGGGAATCCTCCGCTACCCGTCCTCCCGTCCTCCCGTGACATTGACTTTCGCCGCTCCCACCGCGACTACCGACAGCTCATCGCTGTTCGTCCTCACCTCTCTCCCTCTCTCGCCTTGTTTTCCTGTCAGCGTGCCCTTCGAAGCCTGGGTCTAGCAGCCCGACTATCTCATCACCCTCGGGCCTCTCTCAAAAGCACCCGTACTGCCGTCTCTTTCCACTCGCCTGCCCGCCTACCTATACAATACGACGGCCCATGTCTACATCTACGCCTCATATATGCCTGCGTACATAAACACCTGGGTACATACATACCTGCCTGCATATTTAAGCTGCAATATATCAACATAATCATATCCTCGTATGTCTTCTGCTGGTTCGTCTTCTTCTTCATTGCCCTTCCCAACCCCCGGGTCGCCTACGTCTTTCTCGCTTTGACGGGCCAGAGAGCCGTCTTCTTTCAAGCAGCCCTAGCACTTTCCCCCCCTACTAGTCCTTTCTACCGCAACAATCCCTATCAGCCAACCTGGCAAGCAAGGATCTCTTTTGCCTGGGTTCGGGTTACCTGGTGTGAAATTTAGGAAGAAATCAAGTCGAGCACATCCCACCCCTCTAGATCCATTACCACCTTGTCCGCCCACATACCTACATAACGTACTCGATCCCTTGTCTGCCAACTTGCTCCTTCGTCGAAATTTTTCGAGTTGTGTGTGGAACAGCGCTGCAACTGGCAATCCTCTCTGACCCTTGGACTACTTCGCCGGCCTCCGTCGACGTCGTCTCTTCTTATCCTTCTCCTTCTCTGTTGTCGTCCCTCGCTCGTTCCCTATGGTTGCCTAATCAGAGTCGAAAGCATCCCCAAAGTAAGAGTTACTTACAAGCCTGATCGTATCCGCTTCGGCCGCCGGATTGGGAGCTTTGGATCCCATCCATCATCTGCTCACCTGGCCCCAACCCCGAGGGGAGACTGACATCAAGGGGTCCCCGCCGCCAGCTTCTGCATCTGTCACCCCTGGCGCAGATCTTGGCTAGACCGAGCAGTGCCTCATCGGCCGCCCGAGGTTCGCCAGACACATCCAAACAGAGCCCTTCTTCTCCCTCTTGTCTGCTTGTCGACCCAGGTACGCTAGTCTCGAGTCAGGTCCGCCCAAGAGGCGTGGCTTTTGCCACTAACACCGTCTGGTGACCCGCCCCACCAGAACATGGGACTCGGTATTTCACTAACTCGACCTGATCGTCAGACAACTTGCACCTTCGTTTCTTGTTGATTCTCGGAAAATCATCACCGTCGCCCATTTCCACTCCATTGCTGCGAGCAGGCACATCAGAGCTCTGCTTGTCGAGGCAATTGGGAGGTCGTGATCTCGTGCATCTGCGGCAATGACCCAGTACGAGCACTACCGCCAGTAATATGTACGTCAAACGCGCCTTGCAGCATGCGGTGCAATGCTCTCCCTCCCTCGCCCGACTTGCACAGCTCTATATCTGTCCGTCTATCCACGGAGGCCAAGTCACGCTGACTCCCGCCTCCCGCAGTTCAAGATGGCAGAAGGCATCCCTCCCGACTCCCCAGCGGAGAGGGTTCGATCCATCACTCAGTACCTCTACCCGGATCTCCTCCTCCTGGTCTTCATCCTCGTCGGCGCCACCCACTCCGTCTACACCGCCATGCGCAAGGAAGATGTAGTCGTGCCCACCGTGACAGGCCCTGGGGGGAAGCCGCTACCCGTCACCAAGCTGCGAAGATCGGACGATGATGCGTCCGAAGCTGAAGAATTCAACCCCCACTCTAGGAGGTTCTTCCAGTATAGCATGATCGTCGCGACTTCGACCTTCGTCGCTGCTGGCGCCGCGATTGCTACCCGTGCGCTCATTCACCGCAGCGCTGATGGCGGGGATGGCTGGTGGTGTGGCGAGCCGAAGACTGTAAGCAAACCCGCCTCGCTCCTGACGCCTCTCCCGCTTTCTTTGCGTGGACGTGCGGTTCACCGATGGCTTCTCCTGTTGACGTCAATTTAGGTCTTTGTCCTCGGCTCGGCGTCGCTGTACGTCTACCTGACGCTGACCCTGTTCGACTGGAAGAGCAGCCCGGGCCTGGTCCATATCCTCACCTGGAGCCTGGCGCTCTGTGGGGATATCATCATATTTGTCTGCGATGCGGTCGTCCTATCCCGACCCCACAAGGTCATGGCAAATCTGAACCGCAACAAATATGTCGTCGTCGACGGGTTGAGCAGATGGGACGTGATCGATCTCAGCTTGTCTCTGGCGAGAATCGTTATCCTGGCCGGTATGATCGTAGTGTATTTCGCCATTATGTGTCTGAAGAGGCAGGTGGCGCCGGAGAAGTACGAGCAGGGACATGACTATGAATATGAACCCGACGAGGCCACACCCCTGCTTAACGGCGAATCGAATGGTTACCATGCAAACGGGCACTCCCTCCGCCCGGGCGTCAATGGCGCCGCCGCGGCGAACGGCCATGGTGCTGCTGATTCGAGCCACCCTGTGGTTGACGAGGATGCCGGGTTCTACCGGCCCGAGAAGCTGCCACACACTACCTGGCTCGAGTACCTCCGCGGGTACTCGGTGTTTTTTCCGTACATGTGGCCGAACAAGCAGCTGAGGCTACAGATCATCGTCGTCATCTGCTTCTTCCTATTGGTGCTCCAGCGATGGGTCAATATCATGGTCCCGTATCAGATCGGCGTCGTGACAAACCATCTCTCTGGCGACGACCTTCCGAAGGGCGAGCCGCACACCATGCCCTGGCTCGAACTCAGCCTCTTGATTCTTTACAAGTTATTGCAAGGGCCCTCCGGGCTTTTGGGATCGGTTAGGTCTCTTCTCTGGATACCCGTATCTCAGCACACCTATCGGGCCCTCACAACGTCGGCGTTTGAGCACGTGCATTCTCTGAGTCTCGATTTCCACCTAGGCAAGAGAACCGGGGAGGTCCTGTCCGCGCTGAACAAGGGTTCGGCTGTCAACCAATTCCTCGAGCAAGTTACCTTTCAGGTCTTCCCGATGCTCATTGACTTGTTTGTAGCTATAAGTTACTTCTACGTCAGATTCGATGCTGTTTACGCCGTCATCGTCTGTACGATCACGTTCTACTACTTGTTCCTCACGATTCGCATGGCGTCCAAGACCGCAGATCAGAGGCGGGCGATGTCTAATGCTGACAGGGAAGAAGAGGCAGTCAAGAACGACTCGATCATATCGTACGAGACAGTCAAGTACTTCAACGCGGAGACGTTCGAATTCAATCGGTACCGGGAGGCTATACGCAATTTCCAAGTTGCCGAGGCCGAAGTTACCTGGAGCATAAGCACGATGAACATCTGCCAGTCGCTCGTGTTCATGATAGGGATGCTGATCGCCATGATGCTCGGCGCTTACCAAGTGACGACGGGCAGCCGCAAAGTGGGAGATTTCGTCACGTTGATGACTTACCTCGGCCAGCTACAGGGGCCGCTCAACTTCTTCGGGACATTCTACCGCACCGTCCAGCAAGCCATGATCTCCGGGGAACGCCTCTTGGAGCTCTTCAAGCAGCGCCCAACCGTCGTCGACCGCCCCGGCGCGGTCAATGTCACCTCGTGCGAAGGTCGTGTCGAATTTTCCAAGGTCAAATTTGCCTACGATAAGAGGAAGCCGGCGTTAAGGAATCTTACCTTCACGTGTGAGCCCGGGACGACGACAGCTCTGGTCGGCGAGTCGGGCGGCGGCAAATCGACGCTGTTCCGATTGATGTACCGCTATTTCAACTGCCAAGAGGGTAACATCAAGATCGACGGCCAAGATATCAAGGATGTCACAATCGATTCTGTCCGACGCTACATAGGAGTGGTGCCTCAGGATACCGTCTTGTTCAACGACACTCTCATGTACAACCTAAAGTATGCCAACCAGAGCGCGACCGAGGCGGACATCATCGCGGCGTGCCAAGCTGCCAGCATTCATGACCGAATCATGTCCTTCCCGGATGGTTACGATACCAAGGTCGGCGAGCGTGGTCTGCGTCTGAGCGGCGGTGAGAAGCAGAGAGTGGCCATTGCGCGGACTCTTCTCAAGAAGCCCAAGATCATCATGCTCGACGAGGCCACCTCTGCGCTCGATAGCCATACCGAGCAACAGATCCAGTCGCGACTCGCCACCATCGGTCGCGGCCGTACCTTGCTCATTATTGCGTAAGTCGTCGCGCGCTTGCGTAACGTACCGGGGTCCGATATACCAACTAACTTCATCCGTAGGCACCGTCTCTCCACAATCACGCACGCGGACCAAATTCTGGTGTTGCACCAGGGAACCATCGTCGAGAAAGGCACGCACGAGAAGCTCCTCGAGCTTAATGGACGGTATGCGTCTATGTGGAATCGTCAAGCCAAGGCGGAGAAGGCGGCCGAGGACGCGCGCAACGCCACCCGCAAGGCGGAAAAGCTGCTGCGCAAGGCCAACATTCCCTCCTCGTCGGACGAGCACCACAACCGAGCGGAGCACCGCAACAATAGCAACAATAATCGACACGACGACTCAAGCAGCTCGTCTGATGAGTCGGTAACCGCCCAAGACCGAGGGGCGGCCCAGTCTGACTCCGTAACCTCGGCCGAAGGATGCCCTCGATCGACCCATTAATCGTAATGATCAATCCGCCGGCCTGGGCTCGATCCGTGCCCAACAACTCCTCCCCCCCTTCCCTCTCTCCCCCTCTCGTTCCCTCGATATATAGTTTTATTACTAATGAGCTTCATCACGTCCCGGCCCCTCCTCCTCGTCCCCCCCCCCCCTGCCCCCTCGGCGGGGCCTTGCATTACAGATGGCGTTTGGTGGCATATACAGAAAAGGACAGCTCTACATCGGAGGCTGTCCGGCGGCTTTGCATTTCCGGTTCTCACGATTTCGCAACGATACCAAAGAGACTTTATTTGTCCTGTCTTACTAATTCAACCATCGCTGTGTTTTCGACATACTCGCACTCACACTTGACACACACTACTTATACACAGTTTACATATTACCGGTCGTGGCCTCGATTCAGGTGGGAAAAATTCCGGCAGCGGCGGGGTGGAACGGCAACGGACGGAAACGGAAACGAACCGGATGTCAGGAAAGAGGGAGGCTCTGGCTATTTCTTGTTCTTAGTTTTCTCGTCTCGTCCTTCCTCTCTCCTTTCCTTCCGTCGGGTTTCTCCCGCCGATTTCTCTTTGCGTTGAAAAGCAGATCTAGGTCCGGTTTGGTCTCTCGGCTTTGCTATCGTTTTTTTTTCCTTACTCTTTTTCCCTTTTTTCCAGGTGGTGAGCGTCGAGACCCCACCTTAATGAGATGATGATGACGGACGGCATCTGGCTGGCGAGCAAGGCGTGCGGCATGTGATAACGATGACGACGACGACGAGATTGGTGGTAGCAAGGGAGGTAGTGTGTGCATGTGTGTGTGTGTGTGTGTGTGTGTGCATGTGCAAATCATTTGGCTTTAGACCCTACGGGTGGCTTAACCCTTCTTCCCCTTCTCTCTCTCTCTCTCTCTCTCTCTGTCTCAAAATCGACAACGGACCGACTCATAGTACCTAATACCGGAAACCCCATTCCCTTCGCGACTGGGTGTGACGACAAACAGGACACGGTATGCATGGGGGCATGTGTGGGTGTGGCCGGATTTATGTGTAGTTATCGATGGACCCTGCTTAGTAGGGGAATATGTGTTCAGATGCGGCCGAGAAAGAGACCCGCCTACATAGCACGTAATATGCCTACATACATACATCCACACATATATACAAGCCTGCCCAGTTCCCATGTCTGTCGTCTGCCTACCTGCTCCTTGTCTGCATACATACGTACCTCCGTCCAGGCATGGAGGGGCTTTTTTTTTTTTGCTTCGTTTTTGCCGATGCAAGCTCATGCCGAGTCATATATTCCCGAGGCAACCCAGCAGAGAAGTCAAGCACGTGTGGATACGGGCACATGACATAGGTATACACTTCCGTACGCTGCCGTACCATGCCGTACCGTGCCGTACCCTGCCATGTTCTACCAGATCATATATAGATACGGTAGGGACCCGCCCTTTTTTTTTCAAATCTTTTTTATTTATTAGTTTCTGCCTATGTAATGTGCCGTTGCTTGGTGGTCTGTGTTGTGCTGCGTGTTTTCGTTCCGTTCCAGCCCGTCTCTCTCTCTCTCCTCCTCCTCTCTCCTCCTCCTCTCTCCTCCTCCTCTCTCCTCCTCCTCTCTCCTCCTCCTCTCTCCTCCTCCTCTCTCCTCTCGTTCTCTCTCTCTCTCGTCTCTCTCTGTCATCTCATTCTCTCTTCTCCTGTCCCCCCCCCCCCCCCCCTATCGATGCCCGACAAGGCAGACATCGGCATACGTGGTGCACACGTGCCCACCTACCTTACCTGGCTAACCGACCTAGGCCAGGTGGGTCGGGGGGGGGGGGGGGGGGGGGGGCGGTGGATCCCTCGTCTCTCTGCTTCTTCGCGCCTCTCGGGTCCCGCCGGAGGAGAGGTCCTGCTCCGCGGAGGGGACCAGGGGGGTTTGTCTTTGTGTTTTTTTTTTCTCTCTTTTTTTTTGTTTTCCCTTTCGTCTCGGGTCGGTACGGTACGATGGGCCGAGCCGGTTGCTGCGGCGGGCGGGCGCGCGGGAGGTTACGGGTTGGGCAACGCGCGAGGGCTACCGGGAGCGCGGGTTGCGGTCTGCGTTCGGCTCGGAGTTGTGCCGCACAGCGCGCCTATCTATAGGTACTTACTTGCCTTATGGTTGTTCGTAGGGTAGGGTGCACGCGCTGTGAGTACAGGCTGGAGTGAGGCGTAGACGGGGTCCGCAGGCGTTCGTGTAGGTATAGGGCTATATAGGGTGAGAGAGGGAGAGAGGCTGGGGTGACGCAGGTACGGCATGGCACGTTAATGTGTGCTGTGCCTCTTATCGCCTGCCACTGCCATCTACCATCTATCCTCTGCCTGCGCTCACAACCACATGAATATGCGGACGGGGTCCTCGTCGTAATACGGCGGCGCGACCTGCGCAGTATAGTACATGAGAGGGCGTAGAGGTGTGCGTAGGGTAGGTTATGCACGTCCCATGAAGACAGGGCGGGATCGGGGCCCGTCATGCAAGGTACCTTTTTTTTTCTTTGCCTACTCCGGGGCCTGGGAGAATGGCCTCGACCTCGGGCACACTTAACCTAACCCACGAGTGATACGGTGGCCAGGGCGGGGAAAGGGGACGAGGCGTAAATAATAATAAAAAGGAGAGAGAAAAAAAATACGCATCTACTATACCCTACCGGGAACGAGATGGGACGGGACGGAGGAGAGGGAGAGGGAAGTTCCAGGGGCCGTCCGCCGAAAAAGGAAAATATACCCTGAACAGCTTGTCGGGTCCTTTTTCTTTTCGTTTCCTCTTCCGTCCGTATTTCCGTTTTTGTTTTCCTTCGCAAAAAGGGGGAAAAAAGGGGGGGAAAGAGGGGGAGGAAAGGCGGGGAAAAGGAGGGCCCCCCAAAAAGGGGGGAAGGGGGAAGCACTACTATATGTTGGGCTGTTGAAACGAAGGTAGGTAGGTATATCGCAAGTACCCGCGGGCAGAAGGGAGGTAGCCCAGCAAGTACCCGCTACGACGGGCGCTGTGTCAAGTTACCGCTGCGCCGACAGAAACGGGCCCCACACCCACGGCGCTTACCTCAGCTAAGCGCCGCCGCCGCCGCAGATCTGGAGGTACCCGGGTACCTACCCGTCCGCCTCTACGCAGGTACCTGTATACCTCCGGCCTACTCCGCACGCTGCGCTACGCAAAATACCTACATCGCTGCCGTGTCGCCGGGCGTATAGGCGACGCGCCGCCTCGATACCTCTCACAGCCGCGGAAACCCGTAACCAGAGCTGCCCCCCCTTCCCCTCCCCTCCCTGCACGGTAGGTAACGCGATCGAGGAGGGTAGGGGGGGGCAGACGAGGCTAGGCTCTGCTGCGCGCAAGCCAGGTAGGGGGGCCAGGCCAGGCCAGCACTGCCGCAAGCAGGCGGGGGAGGGGGGGGGGGGTTATGCTTATCGTCGGCCGCGAGCAAGGTCAGGCGGGCAGGGCCTGCCCCAGACCGAGCCGGCGCAACGCGCCCGCCAAATACGAGCGCCGGCGGGGGGGCACGAGATCGCCTCCGCGAACACCCCTCTCTTCCCTCTCTCGGGCTAGATGAGGGGTAGGGTGGATGGGCGGAGATGAGGCTGACGCGCGGCAAGGCGGCTGACCGCTCAGTCGTCTTTCTCCCTTCCTTTCCTCGTGCCTCAGGGGCCGGGTAGGTAGCTTGGCACGTGCCTCGTCGCATCGGTCTGCCTGTCTACTCACGCGGTCCTCTCGTCTGCTTACGGGTCCGGCGGCGGGTGGAGGCGAGCAATGTCAGCCCTTCCCCGTTTGGGGGTTAGGTATACGCGTAAGGGCGTACACGTAAGACAGGAGGCAAGGTAGGTAGGTAGGTAGGTATGCCCAGCACACTCCACCGGAAGCAAGGGACGGGGAGCGATACGAGCGTTGGGGCTGACCGGCGCGTACGCCGAGACGTAGTCTGCTTCCGTACGCCCGTCGCATTCCGCACCTTGCTTGCGTGCCTCGCCCCGTCGTCGACAAGCCCTGGCGATCACCGTAGCCCAGAAGGCGGCAGGTAACTGGAGGATCGACCGGATCGAGGCCGCCCCCCCCCCCGCCGGATACTGGCGGCCAGCCCCGGCGCTGCCGAGATGCGAAGAAAGACGGCGTGCTGGAATACGAACGACCCTGCGTAAAGCATCCCTGTCGCACGCGTCATCGTTTGTCGAGGCTGTATATAAAAATAGATAGATACCTATATATTATATATATACACAGAGAGAGAAGGGGGGAGGAGAAGAGAAAAGGGGGAGTGAAGAAGTATTTATGGGCCGCGCCTCACCTAGTTTGGCGACCCTCTATATCCCACTACAGCGGGTATCTTATACGCCCTGCTCCCTCCACCATCCACAGCCGTCGGTCATCACTGCTTCAAGCAGACTGTACTCTCTCTTCCTTTTCTGTTTCGGTGTCTCTTCATTATCGATTATATAACGGCGTTAACTATCATACGGAGGAATCGGAAGCGAACTATAGACCAAGGCAAACCGCTCTTCTCACCACGCTGCTGCTCACCCGGGCCCGCCGCACACTTTATACAGACAACCCCGCCCGCCCCCCAACCTAACCGCCATCTGCAGACGGCTTGGCTGAGACACACACGTGCGCGCTTTGTGCGAAAGCGCCGTGGTGGGCTGAGACACCGGGCAACGTAATCCAAATACGGGAGGCATCTCGTCATCATCAGTCTCGTGCTTTCTCCTGTCCCCTTCCCCCCCTCGAACCCATACCCAAGCAAACCGGGAAACCACCGTACATTACCAATTGTCTCTGGTCGGTAAGAGACTGGCTTGGTATGCTAATCCGCAATCCCCTTCCCCCAAACACCTCGCCCTATATGATGATCTGAATGCCGATTGGATGGCGGCTGCCAAAAACCGACGACCCTGGCAGGATGCCGGGAAGGCCGTCCTTGAGTGTCGGCAGCCCTGGCTGCGCCCGCCCATATATGCTGGCTCCCCCCGCCTCTATCGTATCGTACATGCTAGCCTCCCCTCTGGCGATGTCTTGAAAATTTTACAAGCGAATGTCGAGAGCGTGTGCTAAACGATAAAAAAACATCTATCGGGAAGACGACTTTTTCGATGGTGACGATGCCACACCATTGGGACGGGCCTTCGCGGTGCCGTTCGCAGCACCATTGGCGCTGGCATTTCCGTTAAGCAACGGCACTGACTCGGCATTCTTGCCCTCCAGTTTCTCGTTCTCCAGCTCCTCGGCTTCCGAATCCTCCGCCTCGGAGCGGTCGTCCTCTGCGGCACTGTAGACAACGAATCGGTAGGCGATCCGAATGATGAAGAACAGCCAGAACAGGTTCAGGGCCTGCAGGGACGAGAGGAGCGTGAGGGTGATGTAGAATGCCATGTCGCACTTATACTGCTGGGTCTCCCAGTTGAGCTCGTAGGGGCCGACCGTCTTGAACTCGTTGAATAGAGAGTACAGGATGCGAAGGTTAAGATAGTGGCGCAGGTAGATCCAGGAGCACATGAAGAAGAAGAAATAGGGGCCCACGAGAGGGTGATCGATGTAGTTGAGGGTCTTGGAGGTCTACCCAGGGCGCCATTAGCAACTAGCCGTGACCTACGAGAGATATAGCTGCTACTTACCGCGAGGAAGAAGTCGCTGATGTCGTGGGTGATATACACGGCCAGACCCAGGTATGTGAAGTGAAAACGGTAGCTGAGCGCGATGAGGGCCAGACTGACGATATGATGGCCGACAAGCTCCTTGAAATCCTTGCGCGGCTTCTCCATGCCGAGCAGTAGCACGATGGCCTGCTGCGCCCAATACGCGGCCTGGAAGAGATAGTAGAACTTGAAGACAGCCTCGTGCGTCTTGTGCGGGAAGTTCTCGTACATGCCGTACGTGTTGAAATACCAGACCGGGGTTCGGCTCATCACGTACATGCCCGAGGGCCCCAAGACGCCGAAATAGATGGCGGTGTACATCTGCTCCATGAAGCGGGATTGCTTTCCGCGCGACTTCAAGCCGGCATACCTGGCGAGGGGTCGGAGGAGCTCTTGCATGATGAACTCGCGCGTGAAAGACAGGACGACGGTGTAGAAAGACACGAGGGCGAAATCCCAGGGGCCCTTGCCGTACTGGACGGGCGCGCTCGGGTCTGCGCCGGGCTCGCGGGGAAGCTTATAGGAGAGGAAGATGAAGTGGTAGACGGGGTTCGACTCGGTCGGGTTGATGGCGAACACGGACAGGAAGAGGGTCAAGACGATGAGAGGCAGGACCCAGGTGTGCTTGACGGCAAAGTGCTTGCAGCGGCGTAAGAAGGAGCGCGCTTTGCGACGTTTCGAGCCCCTTTTCGAGACATCCTTATTCTCGAAGGGCTTCTGAGCACCGTTGAGAGAAGCGGAGGAGGAGGAGTTGGAAGAGCTCTGCAGGGTCGCGAGACTCGAGTGCAGACTAGGCGCCCCCGTGTCTCCGGCTCTGATCTCGCCACCCAGTCCGCTCGACTTCCTTCGTCGACGCGCACCATGGTCGGCTGCCGAGTGCAATTGGTCGGCCGAGGTATTGAAGATGGGGAAAGGCTCGGATTCCTCCATTTTCGCGAGACTCGATCGATGTCGGAGCTAGAGAAAGAGAGGGAGGGAGGGAGGGAGAGGGAGAGGTGAGGTGAGGATGGTGGATAGGAAAGAAGAAGCGGGATGAGATTAGCGAGGCGGGTTTCAATGAGGATGCGATCGGCGGAACGCTGGGGATGTCCAAACGACCAAGTAAAAGCTCTGGTTCAAAGTTGCGTGAGTCGACCCTCCGAAGGTTTATCCCCGAGGATGCTTAAGGAGTGAAAGCGACCTGGAGATCAAATGGACCCGGGAGGAGAGAAGGCAAGTTGAGAGGAGAAGAAAAGGAGGAGTGGTTGCAATTTGTGGTGGTGGTAGAGCGAGATGGGGATAAGGCCGACACGTCGATTGGCGGCTTGTCAGCCCGCAGAAAACCAGGATATGCACGTATGCATGTAGGAGGGGTGTGCATTTATCTATATATCGACATATCTACCTACGTATCTGTACATACATGCATGTAGTAGGGTATCTACGTGTAACGTCTATAGTAATGAGGATAATACGTACAGTTTTCTGACCTAAATTGCCTACCTCCAAGGTACCTGTAAAAGTTGCCTTCGCTCTCCTTGGCTCCGACGTGATTCAGATATCCGGTATTGGTAACCATCGCCATCCATTACGTGAGTGTTATTCTACTACATGAATATTACATTATAGGTAGGTACCGAGGTGGCTCCAACACATGTCTCATATATACGTACCCAATTACCTCACCTATGATGCCCACTGCAATTGTCTTCGATTTTGTCATTGGCCACAGCCGGCCGACGAAACCCCCTTCTCTCTCTTTCTCCTCAAACCCTGGATGGATAAGGCGTCATTTACTTGTCCAACTTCTGACTTGCATCTACCGAAGGTAGTATGTGTACGTCCCTCCTCCGTGCTCGTTATCAGATGTATGAGTATGAGTATGCACCCTGCGTACCGCGCTGAACCCCATTCGCCTCTCCTCTATTATTTTTTTTTCTTTTCTCTGGCAGGAAATTCAGGTGGGCCATGCGCTGATCGCCGAGAGTAATGCTCGATATTACGCTGCCGTCTCGCCCAATCACCACCCCGGGCTCCTATAACGAACTTCGCTAAAGGTGGGCAGCCATTTTCTCATCTCATAATACCGCAGGCAGCGGCTGTTTATTACCTCGCTCACCGCTCAGACATGTGATGCGGTTGACCCTATACGTACATGCGTAAGATGCGGTCCACGTAGCACGCGTAGAGCGCCCGGCAACTTACCAAAGCGATGCCTACATAGTTCTTCAAACATCCCTCTAGCCTCGGCTGGACGAGACAAGATCAGGCAAGGTTGGAAATGGGTATCATTAAAAAAAAAAAAAAGTCATCTCGCTACCGATAACCACATCATAGTCCCGGACTCCGTCTCATACCGTATCAGCGGCCCGTGCTACATCCAGCCCGGACCCCTCAGCTCAGAGTGTCGCGAATCGCTCGTCGCGCAAGTGTCCGTGGACCCTAAAACCGTCCTCTCTGGTCCAGTGGGGAACGATCCCGTGCGGAACCCATACCTATACTAAGCGGTAGAGGCACCTTCTACATGGTGTCTTCTGTCTGCCTGCTCGATCCCAAAGGCGCCGTGAATGCTCTCAATCGCCCGCGGCCCGGTCGTGACGCCGAATACGGTCGTATATGTACAGTAGTCTTCGTGTCTGCGGCCGGGCACCGGGTAAGCCTGCCCTGCGTATGTGTTCCCTCGGCACGCAAGATGCTGATGCATCATGTATTCCCCGGTCACCTGTGCCGGATAGGTTAATCGAAACTCCCAACCAATACTTTTTAATACAGCCTTTTGGAAACCCGTGCGCCGTGTCATGCCCTACCATGCGGTCGAGGGCACCCGCTCCCCAAATAAAGCAATCCGATAACGCCGCGCTAGCGTCGTATTACGTGACCCAAAATATCAAAGAGGCAGAGACAGAGAGGCAGGGGAGGAGGAGAGGGGAGGAGGCAAGAGGGGAGACAATATTTTTTTTCAAGCTGGCGGCGAGTTCGGAGGCTCGTCCCGCATAATGTCATCCGCCGGCCGCGTCTCGCCGCCCGTTCTCTCCCGTTGATCGCCGCTCCTGGTACCCGGCGATGAGCTGTCTCGCGTGCTAGATGACCTAAGAACAAACGTGTCGTTTCTTTCCGCCGGTGACAGGGCCGCCCTAGGCGGATTTGGCGATGTGGTATTGCCTCTGGTGCCGTTTGGGAACGGTGGGACTGGTCTGGCCGTGCTCCCGGGATTCCTCGCCGCGCGCCGGGGGGGCACAGAGGCTGCCGCGTGCTGATCCGGGGGTTGGGACTGGGACTCCTCTTCTTCCAAGAGCTGGGTGAGGGCTGCGCCGCGACGCGGGGGGGCGGGTATGACGGTAACCGGCAAGCTATCCGTGTCAAGCGTCGGCTTGACCTTTTCCAGAATTCTCTCCGCCTGCGTAGCGGCGAAGATTTCTATCCGCCCCCTTAGGTCCCATCTACCTAGGCTATCGGTATTTAGCTGCGGCTCGGGCTGCTTCGGAACCGTATGCGGAAGGACCTCGGCCGGCGGCTCCCTTGTACTCCGGTGGAACAGGTTGAAGTGGTGCCACCGGCCCTGGTTCCTCTCCTCGCCGCCCATCCTCTCATCCATTTGCGCCGACGAAGGCTGCCGCGATGGAGGCGAGCCCGCAGACTGTCCGTTGGCCTCCGATATGGGGCTCGATGACGAGTCAGTACTGTTGCTCCTAGACAGCGGTGGTCCCTGTCTATCATCCGTGGTCCTCGAAGGACTCTCCGTAAGGGGTTGGTACCGAATCGCGTAAACGGTACTATCAGCACTCGCAGTCTCCGTCCTGCTTACAGGTGTAACTGCCGGAGGCGGCCGAGAAGGCCACAGCGGAGGCTGTAAAAACCGCGCTGCCGATCCACCTACCGACGACGCATGCCGCCTCCTCTCCGGACCATTCTCGGGTTTCGATCGATACCGGCTGGCAATAGACGACATGGCAGGCCACATGTTACTCCGGCCGCCAGGCGGGGGACCCTCGCCACTTTCTCCGCCGTCGTCGCCATCGCTGCTTTTCCTCTTGTTCCTTCGCCGGCGCGGCCACGAAGGATCTGAGGGTGACACCTCCATCATTTCGTCGCCGTCAAAGACTTCCCTGCCAAGGACGCCATCCTTCTTCTCCTCGCGTTCCAAGGCTTCGATACGTTCCACCCATTCCCACACGACAACACTTGCTGCGGCGGCACCGACCCACCTGACGTAGTCACCCCAGCCGATAAAATCAGGCTCCGCGATGTCGAGGACGAAGAAGACGACAGGCACGAGGATGGATATTATGGAGAGTATGGCCATCAGGCAGATGTTCTTCATTAGGGGGTGATAGAAAGCATATCGCTTCTTCATGAGCGAGTAATAGAGCACCCAGGCAGCGTACAGCAACCCTAGGGACAATTGGAAGAGATAGCTGAGCGCCGGCACGGCATCGGTGAAACTACGTGGTCTCGTGTTGCCGGGACCGGTGTAGTGGAAGCTATTGAGGGCGCCGAAGATGACGTCCAGGGAGATAAGCGAGAAGGCAGTCCATTTGATGATCACTTTCTCACGCTGCCGGGGGAATAGCCGTATCAGGGTCTGGGCTTGGGCTAGCCAGAGAAAGGTATCGGAAATGAGTTGGATGACCTTTAGTTGTGTCCCGCCTAGGACTCGCTCCTGGAGCTGCTGCGCGTTCTGGATTCCCCATGCGTACTGCTCCTCGGCGACGCGGAAAGTATCGGCTGTGGCAATCGTTAATGAGATAGCGACGGTGAGAGCCGCCACTTTCTGCAGCCACGGACGGCCGCCGATGCTGATCCCGTTCGTCGGGCCATTCGTGAAGCCGCGGCGGCCGAGAACAACGACGCCGCCGTCGAGAAAGGATCGAGGGGCGATGACGAGCATGATGAGCAGGAGGTAAGCGAGGACGGTAGTGGCAGCCAAGGCGTAACACTGCGGGAAGATGGAGGCGTGGAAGGGATCACGGAGGTCTGAGAATTCGGGATCGGAAGGTGACGCGGTCTGGTCCAAGTCGAAGCCTCCATTCGCGATGATGGCGGGTTGGGGTTGAATAGTATCGGTACAGAGGGGGGAATACACGGCGCCGGCGAGTAGCGTGGTCGGGTCGGCTCCCGGGATTTGCAGTATACCGTTTGCGGGGAGGACGAAGGGCGTGCAAGAAGCATCGACGGGGACGGTCGTAGTGGTAGCCAGTCTCGGCTGACGGAGACGGGTCGAGTCCATCATGATCTCCAACCGACACCGAGATTGACCAGCCACGGAGAGCGACGAGGTTCGGGCGAGTGCAGAGCGCTACCGCGAGACACTCGCCATGGAAGAGGGAATAGCCTGCGAAGGGCTATCGGGAGGGACGCGACAGACGGTGTTAAGTGGTGGAGGTATCGCCGACGACTACGCGCGTCGGTCAACGAAGCACGGCGTGGGTGCGGTAATATTCAGGGCACAAGGGAAGCCGACGGCTCGGTCTCGCGCGCAATCGTTATCGTCGTTGTCGTCGTGGACCCGATTCGTTAGTGTTTTTTGTATATACTATACATATGTGTGTATATATATATATACATATATCTCGGCCCCGTACCGTCTCGCAATTGATTACTGTCGGATCGACGAGGCCGAAGAAGGTGGTCGAATGATAAGTTGCGAATAGGTGACCAGTTAGTTGGCGGCGGGGGGAGGGTTTGGTTTGTCCTGAGGGTTGAAGCCTGGGCGCCCAGAGTCTGATCTTGGGTGCAAAGAAAAAACGGGAGAAGGGAAGAATAGTAGCACAGAGTTGGCCGGGTGGGAAAGGGGAGGCAGGACGAGGGGGAGGGATTGGAAACTCTGGCAAAGCCGCAACGGGAAGGGGTCAGATCGTGTTAGGTGGTTCAACGGCGGCGATACATGTAGACGGTACGTGCCGCTACCAGAATACGCCAGCGGGAATGCGTGTGCCGAAGCGTACCTACGTGGTATCAGTACGCGCGATGTGATTGGGCGTGTCCAGGTGCAGGCTTGGTCAGACTTCAGTTGCTTGAATTTCCCCACGGCTAAGAATCCAGTGGACCGCCTCTCCCCTGAAAAAAAAGCTCCTTGGAGTTCTGGGTCTGGGTGGGGAAAAAGAACATGCTACCCACCTACCTACCTAGGTACCTCTAAGTAGACACGCCTGATAGGTACCTCCTACAGGCAGGTAGGTAGACGCCTACACGTACTCATATATCCCTCTATGGGGCCGCCTCCCTATACCACGTTACCTAACAGCGTACATGGCGCCTATGCATGGTGGAATGTAGGCCAGGTTAGGTACCTTAGGTACCCTATAGGTCAATACCTGTGTATCTAGGTATCAACCTCTAGGCGGGCGTCGGACGGATAGACATAAGCGACAGACGGATATAGATCTTTGTAGGTTTCCTACCTCCTAATTTACAGCGCGTAGGGCAGTAGATACCTTGGATATTTAGCGCGTGTGTGTCGGCTCAAAACCCACTTCTCCGGTTTAGCGTGCGTAAGGTTAGGGGGTAACAGTGGTCTCGGTGGTGGCTGAAGGCACGCCTACGGCCTGTGCAGGGTACTAGTAACCCACGTCGAGCCGTTTAGCTACCTAACCTACCTTACCTACCTGGTAGGCAGTACCTAATGCACCTAAAGCAAGTATCTATAGCTCAGCTTATCTCTCAGCGCTGTAGCGTTGTGGCACGGAATGCCTCGGCACGCTCCCCCGATCCGCCCGTCCCAAGCTTGATGCAGCAGCAGAGGAAAAGAAAATACGGAGGTGACGAAAAGAGGGGGAGGCGACGAAGTGGGAGAGAACAAGAAAGCGACCGATAGGCTCGAAGCGTTCGGCAGTGCCACCGGCACGCCTCTCCCAAGCGATATACGTACGGTGTGGTGCGCACGCATCCTGTCACATCAAGTAATAGTAAGATTCCCCGTATACGGGCTACAATGCACGATGCGATGCAGAGGCTGGGTGGCAACCGCCCGTACGTCTATGCGACCGGACGCGACGGGACGGGCCAGCTGGACTCGGCCGGCAGTTTCACGGTGCGTTGGAGATGGGGTTGTGCCCAGCATCCAACTGCCGGGCACAGTTTGACATACCGCCGCCGCCGCGTCGACAATATCCAAAGTGCCTGCCCGTATAGGCAGAAGGCCGGGTGGAGTGGCACCCTCCTCGACCAGGCCGACGCGACGCGACGGACCCGCCGCTGGAGGATATTCGAGTCGCCCGGACCGAAGGGAAGACGAGGAGGGGGGAGAGGGAGAGGGAGAGAGAGAGAACTAACTGCACACATACGAAGACACACAGATTCCACACACCAACACGCGTCCATACATGCATGCGACAAACAGGGTGGGTGGATTGATGACCCGACCGGAGATGTGTAATGCACATACGGACACGAGCGCACACCTCTATCGAATACTTAAGTATATATATATATCGTTAGTGCCGCATACTTAGGATAAGAGGCAGGAGATGTATGCACGCACGCACGCGCGCACGCACGTTATCGACATAGGCTGCGATGTGCCAATACACAGACACGGAAAAGAAGTAAAGAGGACGACAGGGAGGGTGGCTGCTGATGAAGCTGGAAACCTGTTTCAGCCGGAATTCCGGGGAGGGTGTTATAAGAGGTAACATTCCCACTCGCTTAGCATCAATACATATGCATATCGAGTATGCCCGTGTTAGGAGAGGATAGAGGTAGGATAGGAGGTTAGGTACCTAACCTACTAGGCAAGATGCCGATGGTCTGTAGGGTTAGAGAAAAACGCGCGCAGAGAGCAGCCGGGTATGACGGAACGATCGAGATGACGATGAGGAGAGGGGGAGGATAAGATCGTAACCGGGTAGGTGATTAGCGACGTCATTTATACCTACCTCCTCTTAGGTGCCGGAGGTACGTCTAGGCAACGAACCTACCGAATTCCTAACATCTATCACTCTTGACAGGCCTTTTTGGAGGTAGAACTTAGGAGGCACCCCCTACGACGGGCGTAGGATTAGGTACCTCATATTACATGTTACCACCTCCTGAGGTTCACGAGGTTAGGTACCTCCCGTCCCCAAGTACCTGCCTGTCCCTGACGGGGTCAGGTTATGAGGTCCGAGCGCTAAAGTAGAGCGAACATCTCGACAACGATTGGCTGACAGGGTAATTTCCGAATTGGTCCTTCGCATTCAATACATATTGGTAGGTACTGTATCGTCCCAGCCCAGCCCAGCCCAGTCAGTCACCCCAAATCCTGTCATCCCTCAACCATTCGAGACGACGACCGGAGTACCGCCGCTCCGAAGCTCCAAAGGAGAGAGGCAGGGAGAGAGAGACGAAAAGAGTGTAATGAAGAAGCATAAAACCCAAAAAGAAGATTTATCCCCACGATGCGACCCTCGCCTTAGCGGCCGTTGCCAAGCCGCCCCCCTAAGAGCCCCCAAGAATCCTCAAGCCTCACCAAGCAACACCAAGCATCCCCCAGCCGTCCCCAGGAATTTGCTTGCCTTCGCCCGTCGACGCCCTCTTGGCAACTTGGCAAAGCTTGTTGCTCGTGGTCCTCGCCTTGGCACCTTTCCCAACGGCCCTATCCTTCCCGTCCAACGGGTCTGTCAGCTTCCCCTCAAGCCACGGGGACGTCATGCGCGCTCAACACACACACATACCCAGTACACGCAATCCCAGTTCCGTGTGCGTGGTAGCGCTCGCCATGGTCTATTTGTCAGTCCGCCATGCTGCCCTCCTCCGCAGCCGACATGGATGTTGTTCTTAGGCGATCTTCGCCACGAACAACACTGCAAATTCGGCCGGACGATCATTCACCCCGAGTTCAGCAAGCCTAACGAGATGGACTCCCCTGCCCCCATCGATCGTTGAGCCATTCCGGGCGCGTCTCAGTGGCTTATTTTTCCTCTTCCCCTCGCGGGAATCGATTCTATAAGCTGTGTTACAGCACTTTGCCCACTGCGGGGCATGTAAGCATTGCTTGTCGCTTACCTCTCAGAAATCACTGACCCGCGGCTTGGGGCGTAATCCGGAGACAGGGCATATCTCTGTACGAGCCGCTGAAACTGCCTCTCGTCTTGATGCCACCCTGTTTCGTCCGGTGCCGTCGCGACCGTCGAGCATTAACGCACACGTACGTGCTTACGATCCAACGGGCGCTCATAGGTTTACGAGGTGCCCCCACTGATGTATACTCACGTACATATGAATCCCCCTCAGCAGTCTGCGGAATCCGCTCGTGATCGAGGCTCTGGCCGCGTTCCAACTCGTCAGCGGTGCGTCTCGTCTGATTGGACGCGTCCGGTCATCCGACGGCGAGTCTAAGCCCAGACCTCACGACAACCAGTCAGTCCTCTTCCGCACTATGCTGCCACCTGCGACGCCAACAGGTGCGGCTCCCGATGCGCGCGTTAAGCCCGAGCGCTGAAGAGGGAAAAGGGTCGTACACGCAGGGCACGTAATCTGACCTATCGTGTTTGCCTGGCGATGGTTCCGGGAGGGGCAGAGGTGACTCGGTCAGACCAGCCAGGCAAGGCACACGTCGGTGGAAGCCCAGTCGACGCCAGACCGTGAGGCGTCCTCCTCATCGCCAACGAGCTCGCCATTGACCCGATTTGGCCCTTCCGGGGAAGAATTAACTGAGGGATTTGCTAGTTACTAGTGAGACACAAACGCACCCAGGGCCACGATCACAAGGGACGGCCCACTATGCGGCGTCGGGGTAGCTCTGCTTCGTGCTTGCGGGGCTGGACCTGTGCCCGTCGACATCAAGACCCCGGAGATATTGCTGGTGGCACGGAGAATTGGGTCAGGTCCCTCGATGTTCGCCCAGAGCCAGTGGAGATGGACCTGACGTGAATCGGGTAGCGAGGTCCACCAAGCCACCCGTAACGAACTTAGGATCGGGAGCGGTTGGGTCGTTCTCGCCCAACTCTGCGACGTTCCGTAAGACGTCCGACAGGCGTTCTGGACGCTGCGGAAGCGTGCGCCAGCATATATTATGTGCATGCTCGGCCATCGGACTCAACTATGTTAACTCCGTGCGGCGTAACCGGTCAGTCAACGTTGAGCATGGCAGTTATAAACAAACTGCCATGTCTCATGCATATCCCTTGCCGACAGCTAGTACCCGTGGGTTCGAAGCGTACAGCAGCTATCTACCAAACCAGCAGGTGTCTTCCCTGCCCGTCTCAGATCCATAGCGACAAATCCCTTTCCCCGCGAAGCAGCATCCAGCCACGTAGACCTCCCGTCGCCACTCCATCGCCTCTCGGACGACGACGGCGGAATGGCCCGTCTACGAGAGCCCATAGCAACACCCGGCGTGCGCAGTCTCCGGAAGTCGGTATGCGGCCCGAAGGTAGGTAGTATTGCGACACAGCTTGGGGTCTTCAGAGTAGACGTGCCCCCGTCCCCTCAGATGTGGCACACACCCGATGCGACCACAGATACCATTGTTAGGGCGGAGGCGGCTCACCAACGTCTGTTTACAAAGGCTTGCCAAGCACATCTAACTACTCGTCTGCCCGTCCATCAGCCAGCTGGCGTCTATACATGTGTATTTATATCTATCGTGTCGGCATATATGCATCTAGGTATATACACGCGCGTGTCCACGTACTACGCAAAATGAATCAAGACGATTCAAATAGCAAAAGTGCGGGAGGCGAAGGCTGCTATCGCGATCCCGATTATCCTCAGGTACTCGCGAGCGACTGCCAGCACGCCTGTTGCCGGACTACCCACGGAGAGGTAGATAGCGCGGTGAGTCTCGTTTGCGCTGCTATTCGAATGTGAACACACGTATAGATATTACCTGCCAGTGTCCCCCGCTCAACCCCCCTCTCTCTCTCTCATTCTCTCAACCTCACCGTAGCCCAGACGAACAATAACGCCCCCCTTCCCTCCGCCCCGGGGGTGGCACAGCAACGGCCACCATCCAACCCCCCCGAGATACCTCGGGACCGAAGCACCCTAGGGCCGTCGGCCCCGCGCGCTGGGACCGACCGTTTCCCCAGAGAGAGGCGTGGCCGGGCGAGTGCTCCGTGCGTCGCGCAGGAAGACGTCGCGCAACGTCCTCAACCCTGCGACGTCGAGCCGCTGAGCCCTGGTGGTGCCGGATCGGGCAGGCGCACGGCTACCCGCAGGGCTTTGGCGTGCTTGCCATCCTGACGAGCCGGTAGAGGTAGAAGAGAGGGGCGGGGAGGGGGGGCCTAGTCGTTGCGCGGCGCGCGACGTAGCCCGACGGGGAGGCGCGGAGGCGCAACTTAGTCGCGAGAGGGGGCGTTCGCGGGCCTCTAGAGGCGATAGTGGGGGTTAGTAGTTAGGATCGTCGGGGGGGAGGCTGCCTGGAGGGGGAGAGGGATAGGGGTGTATCCTGAGCTGGCTTGAGGCGCCCCGGCGAAAACTGCCAGATGTAGGGGCGGGCGTAGGTGTTTCTAACCACGATCGGGCGGCTCTATACCTACGCGTAGCCCTCGGATCCGTGTAGGCCCGTGACCTCGAGGGCGATGCACGGCTCTGCTCTGCGGGCGTGTCTCCGCTTGCTCACGTCGTTCTCTCTAGAGGCAGCTCCGTCAGCGCGTCCCTGGGCGCCCCTCGCCCTCCCCGCGTCTAGGCCGCCTGGGATGCAGGTCGCCCGAGGCGTGTAGGGAAGAACGGGGGCCTGCTTCGAGGCAGGCCGGGCCGAGCAGGTCGATGGCTGGCGCGTGCTGCTTCGTACGTAGGACGGTGCCGTCGTGGTCACACTCGAGCTGGGCCGCTGCGCGACGACGCCTTGCTTGTGTGTGTCTGTACGCCGGCAAGTCTCCTCTGGAAACGGGGTAATCCGGTTTGCTGCCTTCCGACCTGCAAGTCTGGAATGATCCCCCGTCTCCCCTATACACAGACAGGCTAGGCCAACCCCCCCCGAGCTCCTAGGACGCTGTTACCGGCCCTTGCCACCGAGATCGTTTGATTCCCTCCTCTCTCAGCCTCGAGCCGTGACTCTCGACTCGGCGCCCGCTCGACAGGCTATTGGGGGATAGGGGTGCGCTACTACAGAGCTATTTTACTTTCACCGACCCTGCTGCATAGTGTCTTGTGCTAGGTGCCTGTGAGGCTTGGTTCGAGAGCTCGTCGAACAGGACATAGGTACCCCGCACCGTCCGATAGCACAGACTGGGCGGCGCGGGGAGCCCGTGTAGGTGCTAGGGCTAGGACGCCGAAAGATGTATGCATGCGAGGCACGACCGAAGTTTGCTCCAGGGCGGATGTGACCGGGCCTCTTCCCCAAAGAGGCGAGTCCTCGCTAACCAGGCGGCCCCGTGTCACGCCACTCAGCTTGCTCGCCGACCCCTATAGCGCACACTGTAGTTCCTAGTTGTGCGATTATCAGAGTAGTTGGCACGTCCACGGTGCCTGGAGCTGCCCGAATTGGATCTGTTCTGTCTACCAGGCCGGCCGCTAACCGAAGAACGAGCGGACAAGAGTTCGGACCTGGGTCGAGGCCCTCCAATGCTGGGGAACTGAGTAGGTCGATATTGTGGGTCGAGACTAGACCTCGACAAGAACCCGGGCCGGTCCACCGGGAACCAGAGACCCGTGGCGGCCGCCTTTTGAAGTCACTGACTCGAGTTCGCCCCCCTCGAGAGTGTTGCTAACTGGGCTGGATGGGCCGATATGTTAGCCATACCCACGATCATACGCTCCTTAGTCATCGCCTAGACAAATATCAGCGAACGGCCGTCCACAGTCTCGCGACGTCGAAGTCGAAACCCCTGGGTGGAGTCCTTAACCGATGACTCTCGTGGTTTATCTTGGGTAATACATTTCGGCGTCTCCGGCAAGATGTGAACGGGAGGATGAGACCTATAATTCTCATGCTAGTAGGCTGCCCCATGAGGAAGAGACCGGCGCGACTTGGGGGTTGGCTGGTCTTGCTAGAGACAAACGAAAGAAAGGAGAGGTAGCAACACCGCAACAGGGCGAGCGCTAATCGTTTACTGAGAAGTCACTGTTTGCGTCATACGTCTTCATGTATGCACGGTGGAACGCGTTGGCAGGCAGACGGACCTCGAGAATGCTCAATTCATTGTGCGATCGGGCGCCTGTCTGGTAGAACATGTTTGTGATGTACAAGTTGCCACTGTAGCTTTGCCTCCGTCTCTCCCCTCCAAGGCGTGAATGGTGCTCTATTTGAGGACAGCCTGTAGGCTCTCCAAAACCTGCGATTACCCGTTAGTGGTCGCCGTCCCGCGGTGCCGTAGATAGACGGATGATGGTGGTACCTCTAATTCGATCTTCGCTTCGGCGATATCCTGCTCGCTTCCGCCGCCGTTGGCGATCTTTTGCGCCTCGGCGATCTGGGACCGGACGGCGTCCGCGCTGAAGTCCTCGAGGGGGTAGCCCTCGACAGCGTTGATGCTCAGGGACGAGTCTGGCTGCACCACGGCAAACCCGCCGGACACTGTTTTGACCCCACGATCAACACGCAGTTCTCATGCCCCGATCGATCCCTGCCCTATATACGTACGGAAAAATTGCTTGCTGCTGCCGCCTTCCTCGATGACCTCGACCAGGCCCGGCTTCAGTTGCTCGATCGACGGCACGTGGTTCGCGAGGACGCCCATCTCTCCCGACTCCGCGGGGATGTTGACCTGGACAACATCCTGGGACTTGAATATGGACTGTTGCGGGAATTAGCTAGGCCGAGCACGGGGGTCGCGTCGCGGGGCGCGCCGAGGATGGTAATCCGCTCTCTCGACGACGACGGCTCGGTCGAACGGTATGCGGGGGCGACATCAAGCTGCGTACCTGGTGAGGGAGAGACAAGCTCAGCTTGATCTAGGGGAAGTTAGCAGAGAGAATCATCGGATCTGGATCCCAGGGCAGACAAGCCTTGTCGGGTGCGGCATCCGCATAGGTTCTGCGCTGGAGGGGCTGAATTGGTAGCCGCATAGCTGCGGGACGGGCCCTCAGGGCTGCGCGAGCGACGCGGAGAGTGTTCATGATGACTGGTGCTGCCACTTGGGGATATGCGACAGGGCAAGCTCACGATGACCGTGGATTTCGAGCAATTTGGAACTTTGGCGGTTGATCGGGCTTTCGGCAGAGAGGGACCTAGCCCGATCGGGCATAGCATGTAGCCGGCATACGATCACGTGCAATCTGCGGATACACTCCCCCGCCTTAGGTAAGCCGCAGCCACGATGCGGACGGAGCCGCAATCACAGCCCCAGCCACAGCCAGATTCGGCGAAGTCAGGTCACATGACTTGTCATCATTTTCCTATTCTAATTCCATCTGACTAGTCACTAAATCGTTCCACCAACCTGTTCCGACATTTGGAGCGTGGTGTATGCACCCGCATACTCGCTCGTTCCCGTGAGAATTGCTGATCAGTGATCCAACTTCAACATAGCCATCAGCAGCATCGCACTTCCGCCTGCTATGTTGACATGTCTGTCTATCGCTTGTGTTGGTCGTAACCGTGGACTCATACCCGTGCTTTAATGGCTTTCATGCACATACCGTCTGTGCTCATACCCTTCGTTCTCTAGTTCCCTCGGCGCCTCCCAACTCTACGTGATGCTGTCGAATCCGTTCCCAGTCGCGGATGACTACGGAACAGTAACTCGGCACTGACGGATACCGCGCGAACTAGTGGCAAAGTCGAAAGAGGCGGCTTGGCTGCCAACGAACAACAACTCTAGTGCAGTATTTCTGTCACGGCGAACTTCTTCCCTGGCCAGGTGAGGGTATTCGCAATGTGTCACCTGCCTCCCCACCAAGGGTCTATTTGAATTTGCATCCTTTGCGAGGGCGAATTTGGGGATCTGGCGGGTTGGGGGCGCAGATTCCCACGTTCTTTCATGTCGAGATAGTGGCCCTATTTCAACGCACCACTGTGCCAAAGCGGGGAACGCGCTCGACTCTGTACGAACGTCTGGAGAGGATGCAACCTCAATTAGGAGGGCGTCGAGTATTACATCATACTAGTAGATCTGAGAGCACGATTCACGGTAGATAACCGCGTAACTCGACGCTGAGGGTATGACAATGGCAGGGTTTAAACACGCTAGACCCTGAAGGATCCGACGCGCTATTTCGTGCTACGCATGTTTCGAGGCATCACGAGCGAGGGCAGCAGGACAGGGATTCCCACTCTGCCTGCGCCGTCTCTCCTGTGTATACCCGTCTACGTATACACTAGCAGGAATCCGAGGTCGTAGTTGTCGACGGAGGATTGCCCGGACTGGGGCTAGTATTTTCGACAATGCGCTGCTACCGCGCGCTACCACCAACTAGCAGCACCAACGTGATGAACCAGCCGTGGGATGCGGGGTCTCTAAGCTAGCGACGACGACAGCAACTAACCCTTTGGCACGATCCGACGTAGGGTAGGAGGCAGAGGGAAGAGGAGGATCCAACCTCCAACCTCCAACCTCATTTCACCACACCCGAAAGGGGGCGCCGCTACGGGATGGCTCCAAAAACAGGTTTGGCCAGACAGGCCGCGCCGTGTTGTCTGACGGCCGAATGAGAGCACACGCAAACCAGCGGCGACGGACAGAATGGTGGGGGAGCGTCGGGAGACGCTCAGTTTATCGGCTAGGAGGGAGGAGGGCGAATAGAGTACGTAAAACGCAGTCAGGCCGTTCGACAGATTGCACAGTTACCCCTCCAGCGCCAATAGATGGCGCAGGGCAGAGGTGGTGGCATCATGGTGCTGAGGGGAGAGATCAACCTCCCTATAAGAGGGCGATGGGCGATAGGCGATGGGGCCGCGTTCCATGTCTGTATGCCGTATGGTACATAGCCTGATCCTCTCTTCTTGTCTGTACGCGATTGTATTACTCCAACGGGATCTGGTTCGTTGGAGGGGTCGAGGGGGGGGGTTTTCGAGGTTGGCCATGGTGCTGATGGGGACGTAACCACGGATCGCCACACGCTATCCCTCGCTCTCTCACATCACGTCAACTAATCGAAAGACTCACATGTCCCAGCAGCGCAAACCCAACACGTGTTGCTGCGACTTAGTGCTGCACCATTACCACGTAGCGGGTATCCTTTGAGCCTAGCGAGGACACGATAGGGGCCGGGGACTAAGCCCTCTTCTTCGTGATCTCATCTGGTTTCTGATGTCAGAGGGACGGGAGAAGGGGGGGAAGAGGAGAGGCGGATGGGTGATTAGGTGCGGACGAGCGGCAGCGCCCTGCCCGTTGCGGTATTGCGGGAGCGGCGTCGCGAGTTTGCATGGGACAAAGCGAGCGACTAACACAAACCCACATGCCATCGAGGGCTTGCTTTATTTATCCCGAATACCCGTCGATGGCCCGAATTGGGCTTGCATGCTACCCGCCTGCAGGGTGGGCGTTGCGCAACGGTACCAAATGCCATGCCAGACACAGGGAGGGCAACGTCGGGTCGGCCACGGGCGAATCGCAGCGGTCGGCGGCACCAATGCCACGGATCAAGATACGTACCTCTCTTACCTGCCTCAGGTGTATGTAGGCACACACCTACATACACGAGGTAGCCGTTGTACCTACGGACCGTACAGCACATCCTGCGTACTGTACAGCGCTTCCCGTCTTCCATCCTTGGGGGTTTCCCGGGTGTCTCCTTTGGGGGGATGGATACAGCAACGGCTTTGTCCCCTCCTGTATCTCCTCTCAGGTGCCTGGGAGGAGGTGCGTTGTGCTATGTAGGATGTAGGGGGATGTACAAGGCATGCATAGAGAGGTGTTGCGATACATGCTTCCTCTAAGGGGCATCGGATGCCTCCCCTCTCACTACCTATGTACCTATGCATGTACACGCCTACACGCATATAAGTTAGGTTATAAGTCGGGGACTAACTCCTCCAGCAACGACTACATTTATGGCATAGTATGTGCGCAAGTCGGGATGACCGTGGGGGCAATGCGTGGGCGTGGATGGCGAATGTCGGGAACCCGAGGGCCATGAACCTCACGGATCGGTAAGGAGGAGTTCACCGCCTGTACCGGATGGACCAGCCACCTCTACCCGCTGCCATGCAATGTACGATATGAGGCAGAAAGATCGATCTTTTGGGATTTTGCATGTAGTCAAACCATCACCTCCTGCAGGCGGTGGATGACGGTCAGACCGGGGCTGATGAGCATCACGGCGTGCACCTTTCAAAAATAGGGCCGCTGATTGGGGGGGGGAGAGTGAGACGCTCGTAAGTCGGCTTGTACGTACGGGTCGCATCCCAGCCCGCTTCTCGACAAAGCCTACCTACCTAATAAGCCGTTTCTGGCTTCTGGTCTTAGCGTAAAGGGTCTTATTGTGCTTACATGGCTATCCCTTCTAGCAAAAGCGGTTGACTAGGTGTTTCTAGAGTGATTATCCACATGAAGCAAACGGCGCCATTCGAATTACCGGCCAACTGATACGCTAGCAGTGAAGAAAAAAAAACTTTTTTTCTTTCATCTCTGCCGTCCGATCGCTCCGTCTCGTGCCGGCCGATTATGTAGAGAAGAATGAAGAAGAATGTTCTCCGGCCTGAGCGACGGACGGCTCTAGATCGATCGAACCTCCAATCGCATGCATGTATCCGATGAATAGACATTTTATCATCACAGGCCATTGAGAGATTGGCGGATGGGGCCGATCGGCTAGATGGGTTGCATGCGGGTTTTTTTTCTCCTCTCGCTCTATATTGTTTATTATGTACGTATGCAATTACTAGGGGAGGCGAGGCCGCGGAATGGGGGTGAGAGTAAGACTAAGAGTAGACGAAGACGACGGGGAAAGGCAGGGCAAATTGGAAAATTGGGGGAAAATGAGCAAGAAAAAAAATTTAATAAAAAATTTGCACCGTGGCTTACCTAGTAATACTCATAGTAGCACAACATGGAAGAACCCGTGCGTGACTTCAGCCCATCTAGTTCATGTACGTACAACTTGTCATGATAGTGAAATTACTTGCAGGTCCAGATGCGCCCGGACATCTTTCGCCAGCGGCCTCGGCCCCCGCCGTGCTACGGGCGCACCTTAGACTATGTCGCAATGCATGTGCGTAAATGCACATAGCCCGTCAGATGGGAAAAGCGAGATCGGTATTCTATTCCCGTTGCCGTAATAATGGCGGGCGGAAGGTTGAGTGAGAGTGTGCGGTGGAGGAGGCCCGGATAGAGGAGAAGCCCGCTACGCAACGACACTCTATATATACTTATCCGCTCTCTGGAATGGGCTTATCGGCGCATTCCGTTCTTATTCCTTTCGCTGTGAGCAGGTCTAGCTAATAAGAAACGAAGCATGTCAAAACAACCGTTCCACAGTCTACGATGCTCGTGCAATAGCTTAGATATTACCTGGGTCCCGACGCACTTTATGCCTCTTTGTGAACGTTACCTCGACTTGGTCCCTAGCCGCTTTAGGGGTCTGCGTGGATCCATGCGTCTAAAGGTAATACGGTGATTCAAGAAGGTTATACGCCCCATCCGCACCGGGCTCCGCTATCCGCATGCGCAGAACTAACACCTTATATAATATGTGCATAGAAACGAGGGTCGGCGGGTACCTACGATATATATATATATATACATACATACATGTATGTATGTGTGTATGCTATGTTTGCATGCATGCATGCGGGTATAGTCCTAGGCGGGTATGCGTATAGCGACATGTCTGGTGACCGGGCCTGTCTCGGCGATGGGTGGCTGCTGCTGAGTCTGGGCTGATAAAAAAAGATCGAGGGGAGGCGAAGAGCCGTGAGGAGGAGAAAGGGAGTCTACAGATCAGCCCAACTAGTCCCCTGAACCTCACCCCAAAGCGGGTCACGGCTTCCTGAAGATTCTATTGGCTCTTTCCTACGACCGTACTCCACTAGTTGGTTGGGGTGAGATCCTTTTGATTACTTAAGCCTCTACCATAGCTACTACCGCCACCACTGTCACCACCGCTACTACCGCTACCACTGCCACCACCGCTACTACTGCTACCACTACCACCACTACCAAGTTAACTGCACCACCAAGTTAACTGCACTACCAAGTTAACTGCACCACTACCGCCGCTACTACCACCACTACCGTTAATCTGATTATTTATTGGATGCTCCTAGGGCAACTTTTGATCACGAAAAAGAATAAATCAAGTGCACGTTCGTACGGTGGTTAGAAAGGAGAATTTAGTGACCCTTGTACGAAAAGTTTGGGTGATAGGGATAAAGTTTGGTTGACAGGGAAAAAGCTCGGCAAAATCGCCTAATCCGGTTAGAGGTTGGGGTGAGGTACAGGGGACTAGTTGGGCTGATCTGAGACCTCGGAGAAAGGATAGGGAAAACGGCTTCCCCCTTCAGAGTTCGAAGGAGATCCCGGTCTCCACTCGATAGTAGCCAAGATTCCCAAGCCTTGATTATCCGTTGGCAGGCCAGGCTAGTAGGGAGGGTTTGGAGACCTTGCCTACAGTGTCGCGCCGCCGGACACGAGCACTGGGTACATGGGGCCGGCGCTGTCTGTTTCTTGTTCTCCCACGCGTCCCCCCCCCATTCATTGGGGTGTTCCGCTCAGGCAATAGGGATTGCTGCTCCGTGACATGGGCAAGTCTGGTGAGCGTACTATGTAATCATGGTTGCCGAAGCCACCCAGTGACCGCATTTCATCAGGTTGGGCCGTTACATCATTGCCTCCCACCCAATATGTACACGCATAGACGTTATGTGAGGGTAGGATGGGAGGTATTATGATGTAGGATGGCACTGGATTTGGCTGGCAACGCAACGTGCGATACGATGTAGGCGTCTATTTTGACATCAGGATGGGGGTGCCGGCCTCTACCTGTGCTAGGTACCTAAGGTAGTAGGAGGTACGGTACCTAATAATGCAGTGATGCCTATGAGTACTCGTATACGCACTTGCTTAGGTAGGTACCTCGTCTAGGAGGCAGAGCCTGGGTATTGGTACCGTACCTACCTACCTAGGTAGGTACCTACGTGGGAGGCATGCACCTAGGAGGTAATGTAGGTAATACGGCTGCAACGCGCCAGCGAAAGGCGAGTTGCCCATACCGCTTGTTTTCGTTTCTAGGCTCGCGCTCCCCCAACTAGACCCAGTCGGTTATAGGCAGGTAATATGTATTTCCCACCGCTCAGAGACGATCAGAGAGATCTCTGGTACTACTCATACGTAGGGCGTCGCTCTGGGTTGCAACATATGATTCTGCATACTAACCTAACCTGAGGTAGCCTCTCTTTACTCATACGGCGTCCGCCCCCCCCTTTCCGTCCTTATCCCGCGCCGAGAGAGAAGAGCGAGTGTCCACATGCAAACAAAAGCCCCCCAACCGACCAGCAAGATCAAATGCTACCTACCTCTCCTACGTACATACCTATACGTATACGCATACACATGTCACATACACATACGCATACATACACATATCCACCTCCTCCTCCTCTTCCTCCTCCATCCACCCACCGAACATCCATAACTAACATGCCTTCTCCTGCCTGCCTACATTAGTACCTGATGTATACACCTGCTCAACACAGATATACATAACTTACTACTGCATTCAGGTCTAGTGTGCGCACACGAGCACACGCACACGCACACACACAACATCCTCCTCACTCGGGCAGACCTCCAGGTCCCGCCCTGCTGCGGTTGTTGCTGCTCATCATTCACTTAATTCTCTTTGCTCACCCACTCCTCCATCCGCCCATTCACCCTGTCCGCTCACTCGCCTTCATAGGGTCCCCTCCTCTCCCCCCAGTCCCCGATTTCTCCTTTCCCATTTCTATCGTCTCCCTTCGCCCTCTCTCTGCTGGTTCGGGTCCGGCATCTACCTGATTCCCTGATACGCAGGTATTTACATAGTTGTCCTTGTCGAGTCAGTTCCTCAGGTCCAGAGCCAGGGCTCTCTGGTCCTTGCACGCTGTCGAGCGAACTCGTTCCGAACCGCCCCGTCCCTCCAGCAAATCCACCGCACGTTAGAGGCGGCTCGTACTTCTACAACTCTTTGTCTGACCTGCCCGGCGTTGGCACCTTCGCCCCCGAAGCCATATTCCAATAGTTGAGGCCAAGAGTCTCCGAGGCGTCCACGCCTCCCATATCCAACTCAGCAGTTTCACATTTGGCAGCGCTCGTCAGGCCGTCTTCCTGATTGCTGACGACGACTCTCGTCCCCCCCCGGCCTTCCTCCAGCCTACCAGGAAGTCCGGGTCTCTCGACTCAGCACAACTCACCACAGACACCTGCCACCATCCAGGATTCGCCGCCCATATCGACCACTCCGAACAACATCCACGTCTTGGCATTGCCAATACCCGGATCCCAACAACACATCAGATCACTAGCATACTTTTTCTGATCGACACTATGGGCCGTCAATTATAGCGAATCGGTCCCTAGGGACACCTCTTCAAACTCTCCTTCTCTTGGGGACTTGGGCTTGCGCCCGGTGCCACCTTCGAAACTAGTTGATTAAACCGAAATCCAAATCTATATCCAAATCCAAATCCCATCGGCCCTTGCCGTATGCTCCCTTGTTGGCATTGTCCCATCGCGAGATTGAGAGACTGCCTCGTTGGGAGGCTTTTAAAAGGCCTTGCTTTGGCGACATTCCCGCACCAAACCCTTGTTACCCACCTATTACCCCTCGGCCGACCTCGAACCCCCCCAAGTTACCACGTACATTCCGAGTGGGGTTCCTGTTACTATATTGATCAAAATGACGAACGAACCGATACACGACTCGACCACATCCAATGTGTTCGCGTTGTCGACCCATGGGGCGCACATGCAACACGCACCGGAAGAGGAGGCTGCGGCTGAGGCCGACGAACCCCCCGACGACCAGCGACCCCGTCGTGCCGCAACCCCATTCAAGAGAAGTGCCGTCCGCAAAGTCCAGGACCATTCCGAGTCGCTGTTGACGAAGGCCCTTCACCATTCGGAGGAGGAACCCATCCATCTGAACTTCGACTTTTCCTCGAAGCGTCGGCCGCTGAACAGCAGCGCCAGTCTTGCATCTACGGCTGACCTCACGAGCGACACCGGTTTCACCAGCCCTGCGCGCACCGTCACTCCCAGTCCTCCGCCACCCGTCATATCATTGAATTCAGACATCTTCTTCAACTCGAAGCAGAAAATCGCTCTTCCCCACCTTCATACGACTGCGCCCGTGGCGACGTCGCGCGACCCCATAGTCAACAAAGAGGGGCTAAAGGATCCTGCCGTTGAAGCTTTGACCAGGAAGCGCTGCATATCGTTCGCATGTGGCCCGAAGGCGGACGCGAAGAAGCCCGCATCCCCTCCGCAGATAATTGAACCGAAGCCGGCGGCTGATGAGCGGCCGCAGAGGAAATCGTGTATTAAATGGGCAGGCCCGACGAACCCGGCTAGCCGGATGTCGAAGCTTGACGGGCAGCAATCGGTGATCTCGCCAGCTCTCGGGGCGCCAAAGGCGAGGAGCGACTCTCCTGCTGCTGTGCGCAAGCTTCGGTCACCATCAACTGGTCGCGGGCGAGCGTTGCGATCGTCGACTCCTCGACCATCCTCGCGAAGCCCGATACCGGTTCGCCCGTCAAAGTACTTGACTGCGAACACGAATGATCTGAACTGCGAGTCGTCTCGTTTTCACGAGTTTGCTAGCGATGAGCCGCAGGAGGAAGACTGGATCCGCCTGAATCTGCCACCAGCTGGTCGTCGTTTGACTATTAATGACACGCTGCAGAAGGAAAACGAGATTCGACGGTTAGGGAAAGAAGCCGAAGAGGAAGAATTGGAAGAAGAGGAGGAGTACGAAGGGGGGGAGGAAGAGGAAGAGGAAGAGGACCTCGGCGAAGACGACGAAGAGGACGAGGTCGGCCACGCCAAGTATCTTCCCGAGGAGAAGGACGACGAGGACGAATACAACTATGATTTTGACGACGACCAGTCAGGCTACAGATCTGGCGATGACGCATCGGATGGCTACAATACGGATAATGAAAATGGGTTTGCTGACTCGGACGACGATGACGACGGCGGAAACCTAGAGCTATGGACTCCTAGCCGTGTACCCGCCGCTCGTTTTCCCGGAGAGACACATATGTACCGTCGGCCGTCTCTATCGGGCAACCGGTCCGACTCGTCCTGTTCGGACGTACCTAATAACCGATCAACGCGACCTCGCCGGATACATATGCGCCCGGGCACGCCTGAACTGCCGGATAGCACCGACTTCGTCTGTGGCACGCTGGACGAGGACCGCGCCCTGGAGGACGCTTACATTTCATGTATTGCCGCTCGACGACGCGAAAAGCTTCATCCAATCCCCCAAGATATCGACCCCAGCTTCCCGACCTCGGAGCCGGAGGACGAGGATGTTGAGCCCCGCAACCCGGTCCACGAGAGTGATGGTCATCGCTCCGAGACCGACCACGGAAGTGAACGGTGCAGGAGGATTGACCTGACGTCGCCGAAGCGATACCATTCCCCTCCGCCTAAGCGTCACCACGCGTCGCCAAAAGCTCGGGGCCGCTCGCCTAAGCGACTCTTCGATCGGCACTCGCCTCGTCGGCTCATGTCACCACCTCCCGGGCCCATGATGCCGTCGCCCCCGTCGTCGCTATTCCATGATGTCAGCCGCAGGGAACACGACTTCCAAAGTCTTGCCTTCCGACCCGGCTTGACGCACACAAAGTCCCTACCTCGCGCTCCAGCAGTGTTCCCCCAACACTTGAAGGCGCACCGCCGACCTGGCAAGTCTACGACTACGAACGGTCACGTACGGGGTGCTATCGACATCGTCAAGGGCCTCGAGCAGAAGCGTCAGCGCCGGAGAGAGAAGTTCAAGGAAAAATATCTCCAGAAGCACTGCAATAAGGCGCGCAAGGGCCAGATCCCCGAGAAAAAACCGCAGCCCGGCCAAGGTGCGGAGAGGATGAGGGAGATCGGTCTCCTCATGGCGGGTAAGCTAGGCCCGGACCAGTTCGTCCTGTCCATTTAGGTGGAGGCCCGGCTGCGCAGCTGCATCTTGCCGCTAGCGACCACTCTCGGTGTTTTCACCATTCGTTGCATTTATTTTTTATTATTATTATTACTGGCGCACTCCATGCCTGAGCTTCTAGGGAGCTTGCTGTTGTACATAGTTATGTGTCTCTTTTTTTCTTCTTCTTCTTCCTTCCCCTGCTCATTCTCGGCGTGCTTGGTGAAATGTCACGAACAGCGTTCTCATAGGAAGATGCGTACTTCCCATTTCTCGGCATTGGGCGGACAGCATCGTTGATCATTCAGGATACCACTTTGGAAGGGCAAATTAGCATAGGGCGGCGATCCGGTGATACTTCCCAAATTGAACATATATGTTACTCGTTGATTTATTTGTCTTGGGAGATAGTCGTCTCAGGTGATAGATGATCGCTTCGCAGCGACGGGCAACTTGGAGCGAGTCGAACGCGCCGGTAGTTGTCGCCACGTAGGTGATCTCGTGGAAGACTGAGGGGAAGTCGGCGGCAGTCTCGGCCTTTGCCCGCACGGGATCTACATGAGGAATGCGATAGTAGCGTCCGGAAAGTGTTTCCCACTGCAGGAATGGGCAGGAAGTGATGGACATTGGCATCATGGAGAAATTTTTGCTCATGTTGGAGCTGGTCGACTTTGATTGGGTTCGCCTTGTGCGATGGTGATGGTGGTGATGGTCACGATACCCCATACCCCATTCCCTTCTCCGGCTGGAAGCGGGCGTTGGGCATTGTCGAGAAGGCCATGTTGCTGCTGTGTCGTACAGGACACCGGTAGGACGGAAGGGAGGAGGTTAGGTTGGGTTGGGTAGTAGCTACCGTGCCATTATCACAATACCAAGAATGCACCACCGGTGTGTGCGCCGTGCTGGAGGTAGGTACCTACCTAGGTATATGTATAGGTACCTGAATAGATTTACCATTTCCCCCGTAACTTCTTTCGATCGAAGCCGCCAATTATATGTGTCCGACTTGAAGTAGGGGAACAACCTCCCCAGGTTTTGGGGGCTAGGAGGTAGGTACGACAGTATGAGGCGCCCACCTAGGTACCTAGGTACCTATGTTAGGTTAGGAGGTACTTACTACGCCTATCCTGCCTACCTACCATACAGGGAGGGGGGGGTCTATTGACACTATGTCAGTAACCCTTTCTATGACTAGACATAGTATCTGCCTCGTGATAAGAAGGAGTTAAACTCTAGGCTAACATTATTATCATTTCCCGACATAGTTACCATCCGGATATAATGTTATTATTTTAAAAAAGGTATATTTTATAGGATTACCCGGTTACCTCTATGTTACTAAGTACGTACCTTTGTACCTTTGTATCTTTTACGTTTGTTACCTTAGGTACCTCCTAACCTCCTACCTACCTACCTACCTACCTCTTCCATAGGTTCGAAGATAGGTTCGAAGATAGGTAGATAGATTCTACGTACGCGAACTAGCTCCCATAGGTTCGAAGATAGATAGATAGATTCTACGTACGCGCGCGCGAACTAGCTCCTATAGGTTCGTAGATAGGTAGATAGATTCTACGCGCGCGAACTGGCTCCCATAGGTTTGAAGATAGGTAGATAGATTCCACGTACGCGAACTAGCTCCCATAGGTTCGAAGATAGATAGATAGATTCTACGTACGCGCGCGCGAACTAGCTCCTATAGGTTCGTAGATAGGTAGATAGATTCTACGCGCGCGAACTAGCTCCCATAGGTTTGAAGATAGGTAGATAGATTCTACGTACGCGAACTAGCTCCCATAGGTTCGAAGATAGATAAATAGATTCTACGTACGCGCGCGCGAACTAGCTCCTATAGGTTCGTAGATAGGTAGATAGATTCTACGCGCGCGAACTGGCTCCCATAGGTTTAAAGATAGGTAGATAGATTCTACGCACGAACTAGCCCCTACAGGTTCGAAGATAGATAGATTCCATACGCCTAAACAACCTCCTATAGGTTCGAAGATAAATAGATTCCATACGCTTAAATAAGCTCCCATAGGTTCGAAGATAGATAGATTCTACGCGCGAACTAGCTCCTATAGGTTCGTAGATAGGTTCGAAGATAGATAGATTCTACGCGCGAACTAGCTCCTATAGGTTCGAAGATAGATAGATTCTATATACCTAAACTAGCTCCCATAGGTTCGTAAATAGGCTCGTAGATAGGTTCGAAGATAAATAGATTCCACGCGCCTAAACTAGCTCCCATAGGTTCGTAGATAGGTTCGTAAATAGGTTCGAAGATAAATAGATTCCATACGCCTGAACTAGCTCTCATAGGTTCGAAGATAGGTTCGAAGATAAATAGATAGATTCTACGCGCGAACTAGCTCCCATAGGTTCGCAGATAGGTTCGTAGATAGGTTCGAAGATAGGTTCGCAGATAGGTAGTAGATCATAGTATTTATAGAAAAAAGATAAAGACAACAGGTCTAGGTAGGTAGGTGGTCTAGGTAGGTAGGTAGTCTAGGTAGGTAGGTGGTCTAGGTAGGTAGGTAGGTAGGTAGGTACCTATGGAATATATAGACATTATATCCGTTTGGACATTGGTTTCTACGTAGTTATAAAAACCATCCTGAAATAATAAGAAGGGAAGGTAATAAGGTCGGTACCGTAACCCTTGCTATAATTCTTTTAGCCCTTCCGAAAGAATGACTAGCTAAGGTAACCCTTACTAGATTTAGTTACCGTATCGGTACCCCGACTCTATTGCTGACATACTGTCCATAGACCCCCCCCTCCCTGTATGGTAGGTACCTACCTAGGTAGGTATGTATAGGAGGTACATGTACCTCGGGTATGAAATATGAAACCCTCCAACCTCAAGTGCATCGGGTGCTGTGGAAGGTGACACGCGGTGCTTGGGTGAGGTACATTGGTACCTACCTCTACGTACTACGTGTGTAAGAGGTACACAACACCAAATGAGGTCGGTAGGTACCTATGTACCGATGTACCGCAGGGGCCCACTCTCAGGTTGAGATTTACTAAGAGGTACCTCAGAATGTCCCTTCAAGCCACGTAATCAACTCTCTGGTGGCGGTGGCTGTGGCTCGCTGGCAACCACCGCTGCTCAGCAATTTTCTTGGGACGCAGCAGTTCTGTCTACGTATCATTCCTTGGTCCATCATCCCCATCATCCATCATCCGCCATCTCCGTGAATATCCTACGAAGACTCCAAGTTTCCCCCCCCCCCTCCCCAATCAGACGTGCGCCCTCCACTAGACGAACCTCGACTATATTACCTATTCGCGGCCACTCGGAACCGCCAGGATGTGGATTTTCCAGTGGTGTCAGTAGCATTGCTATCCGGCCGCCACCGTATGGTGGTATTGCTGGCAGTGAGTCGCTGACCATGTCGCCCTGTGGGCTCAACAGTCTACGATGTTCTGTCGTCACTCGGCTTGATGAACAAGCATGCCAAGTTGCTATTTCTCGGACTCGACAATGCCGGGAAGACGACGCTCCTACACATGCTGAAGGTGCGTGGACGACAACCCCCTCTTCTACCCGCATAGCCGTCTGCCGCGCGTTCATGCCGATATAGGAAGGCTCCGCATCCCGCCAAAGCGCGGGTCGGACTTCTCGACGGCCGAAGGCTAATACAGTCGAACTACAGAACGACCGAGTCGCTATCCTGCAGCCCACCCTGCATCCCAGTATGTCGCACACCCACAGGTCTCAGTATAACTAGGCGCACGTGCGGGTTTGCTGATTCGGCCCCATCTAGCATCCGAGGAGCTTGCTATCGGAAACGTGCGCTTTACGACCTTTGATCTGGGAGGTCATCAGCAGGGTATGTTTACCAGCACCACACTTGCATCCGGGGTCTCGGCTTAATATCCCTCATCCTGTGTATAGCTCGCCGACTATGGAAGGACTACTTCCCGGAGGTGAACGGTATCGTGTTCCTCGTCGACGCCAAAGACCACGACCGTCTGTCCGAATCCAAGGCTGAACTCGACGCCCTCCTGTCCATGGAAGAGCTCGCCAAGGTGCCTTTCGTGATTCTCGGAAACAAGATCGACCACCCCGACGCCGTGTCCGAGGATCAGCTCCGCCACGAGCTAGGCCTGTACCAGACTACCGGAAAGGGCAAGGTTCCGTTGGAGGGCATCCGGCCCATCGAGGTCTTCATGTGCTCCGTAGTTATGAGACAAGGTTCGTCCCTCAACCCAGCTGCGACCGCGGCGATACGGCACGCATTTTAGAAGGGGGAGGCTAACGTCAACCAGGATACGGTGACGGCATCAGGTGGCTCTCTCAGTACGTCTAGGCTACCGCTGATGGACGACAGACGTGGCCACACGAAGACCGGCAGCAGATGCGCTGGCGAGATATTGCGATGGCTATACGGAAACGCGGAGTTTGGCAGCTTGCTCTTATCATACCGAAGTCGATGTTTTCCGGGATATTTCTTTGGAGTCAATGGCTAGAGGCATTTGCCAGATCCCGATAATGAATTACTGAGTGTCAATATAACCTCTTTCAAACCAGCACCAATACCGGGCCGTTCTCTGGCCGATTGTCGTGGCGTGGGGAAGGGGGAGAGGAGGAGGTGTGGCAGCACAACCGAGCATTTACCATTGTGTAGGACGGCGCCAACGCGGCGGCTCATGAGGGCCCCGGGACTATCTACTCCCGGGAAGCACGGAAGATAGACGACGACAGGCCCACCTGAGGACACCTACGCTGATGGGGTAGCATATCTAGACACTGTATACTAAGAGAATGTACGTAATGTAGTTTTCTAGCAGATTGCCATTCCGAGATCTCTTACAATTTCCACCAGTTCTATCGAGGATATCTAAGAACGCCTAGAGCTCAATAAGCGGGAATAGCTTCAGCTCTACACTACCATCAATACACTCAGTACGGTCTTAAATGTGTTGGGGGAGTGTAGAGAGGGAAGAGATCGAAGAATCTAGAGACATCAGATGTTGTCGTTCGGTTCGTCGTCGTTGGCCAGCCTAGGACCCCGGGGGCCAATAGGATGTGCTAGAAAAGATTGACACTGCACAACTACGGGCATGTACCTCGGTACAGACACGGATTGTACATGACATCTACGATGCGGCGGCAGGTGGTAAGGTGTGGCGGCGTGTGGCGGCGTGTGGCAGATTCGCCTGCCGGTATAGGCGGCACATCAGGTGCTCTATGTTGTACCTATGTGTGTACCTTAGGTCCCTGTTAGAGGTACCGTAGTACCCAAGCATGTACTGGCGAGGAGGAGGGGGGTACATGTGTGCACCACGTCCTATAGTAGGCATCTTAGGTACCTACGAAGGTAGGCAGGTACCGCCTAAATTGCAGTGGGTTACACTGGAAGGGACCCCTGTCGGTCAAGGGCGCCCCAGTTCGACGTCATCCTAATCCAACCTGGCCGTTCCCACCTCAACATATTGTTGAGGTCCCGTTCCCGCTCCGGGCCGGCGTCGAATGAATTCAACAACCGTACCACGTTGGTCTGTCTCTCACTGAGACCAGCGACTCCAGCTCTCAGCCACCCAGACGCTGTAACTTGTCCATCCTTTGCATCATCGCCAACTATCCCAACCTGCTTCACCATGCTCGTTTACGTCGTCTCTCGATCGCGAGCAGCATGACAGGCAAATCTCCAAAGCTCCGGTTGACCTTCCTTCGTGGTAGGCGCCGTCACAACTACGGATTTCCGCCCGAAGCTTTCGACTACACCAGACTTCCCGACGTCGACCGCGAGTTTGTCCCTCCCGAACACCTCGCTGCCTTCGCCTCCGCCCTCAGCGCCCCGGACCCGGTCAGCAGCCATACCGACGAAACCTCGCTGTTGCGAAGCCCCGTCGCTCGAAGCGCGGCCAGCCTCGACTTGACCCGATCGATTTCGGCCGCATCCGTTGATGTAACAGGGGCCGCCGAGTCCGTCGCCGGCCAGAATAGCGCTCAGAATGGCATGTTCATCACCGCGCAAAATGACTGGGCCCCGGTGAACCAGAAAGTCTCCAAGCACGGACGGAAGAAAAGGAGGAAGGCCACCATCCTCGGACGCCGCACCGTGGATGAGACCCGGGAAGGCTATCTATATGGGCTACTCAAGTGGCCGTTTCTCTTGTTTGTGGGGATGTGGATTGTCGGGCTGGGCGCTTCGTATCTGTTGACGAGGCTCTACATCTTTCTGTACGAGCACTTCATCGCCTGGAGGGGGGTTAGGGAGAGGTTACGCCGGAACATGCGGGCTACGAGCAACTACGGTGACTGGGTCAAAGCGGCAAAGGAGATGGATGCGTTCTTGGGAAACCAGCACTGGAAAGAAGAGAACGAATATGCCTACTACGACTCTAAAACGGTCCGCCGCGTTTGGGAGCAACTTCGCAATCACCGTAAGGCCGCTGAGTCACGGGAAGCGAACGGCTCGGGTGCCCCCGGCTACGAGAATGGAGACGAGCCTAGCTGGCCCGCAGACGGCAAGGCCGTCGAGGAGCTGAAGGCCTTAACCGAAGCCTGTGTGAAAAACAACTTCGTCGGCGTTGAAAACCCCAGACTCTACAGCCAGACGTATTATGGGACGAAAAATCTTGCTCAGAATTTCATAGATGAAGGTGTGCACTACACTACACTCTCCTCCTTTGGGCCGCCATGAAGGCGCAAGCTAACCAGATTATTCGCCAGTGGAGAAGAGTACCCGCTTCCTAATCCATACCGAGCAGTTATCCTTCGACGAGAAGCGTGCCTTGTTCAAACGCATGCATGCGAACTACGGGCGCACCGCCCTCTGCTTATCCGGCGGCGCTGCTTTTGCCTACTACCACCTCGGGGTCGTGAAAGCGTTGCTTGAAGCGGATCTGTTACCGGACGTTATTACCGGGACTAGCGGGGGTGCCTTGGTCGCCTCCCTCGCTGCAACGCGGACCAACGACGAGTTGAAGCAGTTGCTGGTGCCGGCGTTGTCATGTAGAATCAAGCCCTGCTCGGAGCCAATAAGCACGTGGTTCCCGAGATGGTGGAAGACCGGAGCGAGGTTCGATTCGGTGGATTGGGCTCGGCAAGCGAGTTGGTGGACCCGCGGGTCGATGACCTTTAGGGAAGCATACCAGCGAACCGGACGCATTCTCAACGTCTCGTGCGTCCCGGCCGATCCCCACTCGCCCACGATCCTCTGCAACTACCTCACGTCCCCCGACTGCGTGATCTGGTCGGCGGTCTTGGCGTCCGCCGCCGTGCCCGGTATCCAGAATCCGGTAGTCCTGATGATGAAAACTCGGGACGGGTCCTTGACTCCGTATTCCTTCGGTCATAAGTGGAAAGATGGCAGCCTGCGAACGGACATACCCATCAAAGCGCTTAACCTGCATTTCAACGTCAACTTCACCATCGTTAGCCAAGTGAACCCGCATATATCCCTCTTCTTTTTCTCGTCCCGGGGGGCGGTCGGCTCCCCGGTGACGCATCGAAGGGGTCGTGGGTGGAGAGGAGGCTACCTGGGCTCCGCCACGGAACAGTACATCAAACTCGACCTCACGAAGTGGCTCAAGGTGCTCAAGCATCTAGAACTGCTTCCGCGACCGCTCGGCCAAGACTGGTCCCAGCTATGGCTGCAGCAGTTCAGCGGCACCATCACCATCTGGCCGCAAGCGACGCCGAGCGATTTCTGGAACATCCTGACGGATCCCGACTCGGACCGGCTAGCACGAATGATACACGAGGGTCAGCAGAGCGTCTTCCCGCGGCTCAAGTTTATATCGAATCGGCTCAAAGTGGAGCGCCTGATCGAGGAAGGCAGGCGGCTGACGCTCTCCGGGGTCAGGAGAGGCAGCATCGAGAGCATCATAGACGAGGAGGACATACGGAGCCTCCTACGCTCGAGCGGCGGCTCTACGGACGGCAATGAAGACGACGACGACGACGACGACACCACAGATCCTGACGAAGTCGACGAGGAAGTCAAACGGGGCTAGGTCATTAGGAAATACAGCCTAATTCTCCGTTCCTTATTCACATTCGAGACTGAAAAATTTTTCATCGAATTTTCCTGTGGGGGGGGAAGGCTTCTGGAATTCGAAAACAATTGCCAACTTGATTAGAATTGCATTGCGCAAACAGCGGATCAAGGCGTCATTATAGGAGGCGACTCCTTGGGAGGGGAACCTCCGGGGAGGCGTTGGTCGTTTGGAAATATAACCCTTTCTTTCGGCGGGCGTCCATTTCCATTTCCTCTTCGGTTGGCGGCAGCGTGGGAAACCTGGCTTTCTTACTTGCTCATCTACCCAGGTAGATACTATTTCACGTGGCTACCTACACAATGCGATCTTCCTCTCCTGCCGCATTCCGTCCCCATCTCGCGCATCTAGGCACGGTATATGCGGAGTAGTATCCGTTATTGTCAATATCATTGCCATTTTAGGGAGGATTCTTGGTGACCCCCCCCCCGGGAACGCCAGCAAATTTGCTTCAGGGGGTTTTTTTTCTCCGCCCGCGAAGCCACTTTTACTGTCGGCTGAACGTATCCTGCGTCTAATCGCACGCCGCCCTCGTCACGGGCAGGACCGAGAAAGGGAGAAAGGGAGCAAGGGGCAAAGAGAAACAACGTGAGTCGACTAATCTGGGTCACTAGATATAAGCCACAGCCCCCTGGTGTATCTATGTCTCAGTATCTATCTAGCTCTCTAGTAATATTCCTACATACAGGTTCCTCGATCCCATCAATACTATATAGATCATATCTCCCCAACAGATTGACTGCGTGCGGAATGGTGTCAGCCCATGTCGGCGGCAACGCGGCCTTGCCGGCCGCGCTGTAGCTAAACGGAGGCAGGTCCACTTGCACAACTCCGTGATCTCCCCCCTCCGCTCCCCCTCGGGCTTTTGTCCAGACGCCCGATAGACCGCAGGCTTCTGCCGTTCTATTTTTTTATCAATAGCCCTGGTCTTGAGTGGCTCTACATCCCCGTGCGCCCGGCACGGGCCTAGACTGAGGCTTCCCGACGGGCACCTGCGTTGCCCAGCCGGGAACGCCTTTAGCTGGCTGGGGTTGAGTCGAAGTCGAACGCGTGGTGCAAGCACCCCCTGCACCACCCCCCTCGCAGCCGGGCGCCGGACGACGGCAACCCGCAGCGGCAAAGGGGGTCATGGGTAAGCTGGGGGTGGTTGGGGAGCAGAGAGGAAGGTTGGTCAGATGGGTTGATGTGTCGGTGAAGGAATAGGTCGATCTCGACGGGTAGATCTCTTGAAGTGGGATGGGGGGGGGGGAGCCGAAGAGGGGAGAGAAAGGAGGGAGGAAGGGAGGGAGAGGAGAGAGTAGAAAGAAAGGGGGCGAGAGGAAGGACGGAAGAGAGAAAGGGGGGAAGGGAAGTACTAGGTAGATGAGCCCGGCAGCGCCCTCTCGATGTCTCGAAATGCCGAAGCAAGGGAAGCACGATGGACGGACAGCGTCGTGCCCCCGTGCTTGCCTTGGCTTGTCGCGATATACAACCGCCATCCGTCCTCCCGTCATCCGTCCTCTCGTCCTCCCACCATCCGTCCTACCACTCATCCTACTTAATACTTTGGTCTCGCTCCCGTTCCCGCCTACTAGGTGCAGCAACATCCCTCGTCTCCCCGTCCTCGCTGCATCAACTCCCGTGGCCGATATTCATCGACGAACTCCTTCTTCTTTTCTCCCTTGAAGACTTCGCCCTCGTCCAGAGCAGCGACGCCTTACACACGACCTCCTCCCCATCCACTAGTAGAACGGTCGCACACGGGCCGCCTTCGGCCCTCCCTCTAGCTCCGCGAATTTCTCGCGGCACTAGTAGCCTAAGAAGAGGCATAGAGTATCTGTTTCGACCATTGGCTAGGCCGCATCAAGCGTGCATCGCGAGATGGCAGCGGTCGAGGGGCGAGATGCGGCGGCGGCGGACTCGGGCGGCGTCCAGCCCAAGTATGATGCTGAGTTCACAGACAACGTCATCGCCGCTACGGGACCCAACGCCCATCCCCGGCTCAAGCAGATCATGCCTAGTCTCCTGCGGCACCTACACGATTTTGCCCGCGAGGTTGATTTGACTGTCGCGGAGTGGATGGTCGGGGTTGACCTCGTAAGTCGTTGAAAGCACCCATTGCGTGCTCGCCGGAGAGGAGATGAGAACGGTGCTAGATCTAGTAGAAGCTAATTCGACGCCGCCCCTAGATCAACGAGTCTGGCCGCATGTCTGACGATAAACGCAACGAGACGGCCATGCTCAGCGACGTCCTCGGCCTCGAGTCGCTCGTCGACGAGATCACGTCGAAGCTACTTATCTCCGCCAGAAGCGGCGGTGACGGCAGCGGGAGGCCCCAGGTCACACCCTCGACCGTGCTTGGCCCCTTCTATCGCGTGGACGCGCCGATTCTACCCAACGGCAGCAGTATCATCACCGCGCCGCAGGACTCGGCATGGTACCAGAAGGCTGCGCCGATGTTAGCGTACGTGTCGGGGCGCGTGACGTCGGCGCAGTCGGGGCGGCCGGTGGCGGGGGCGTCGTTGGACGTGTGGTTGGCGGGACCCAACGGGCTGTACGAGCAACAGGACCCGGACGTGCCGGATATGAATCTCCGGGGCCGCTTCCGGACCGATGAGGCGGGGCGCTATGCGCTGCGCTGCCTGCGGCCAACGGCATACCCGATACCGGAGGACGGTCCGGCGGGTCGCCTACTCACGCTACTCGACCGTCAGCCGTACCGGCCGGCGCACATCCATTTCATTGTCGAGGCGCCGGGGCACCACTCGCTGACGACGCAGTACTTCGACGCGGATGACCCGCACATCAGCGATGACACCGTATTCGCGGTCAAGAAGGAGCTGCTAGTCCGGTTCCAGGAGCGCACCGGAGACAAGGACGCTCGCTGGTCGGCGATGTGCGACTTTGTGCTGTCCGAGGGGTAACGAGAGCCGGCGCGTTAATATGGAGTACCTATGTTGCGTAAGGTGCAGGTTGCTGCTCTTATTGCTCTCACGTAAAGGTACGCCTATCAGAGAGGCGAAGGTAAGGTTGATGAGGAAGAAGGGAGAATGGGAAGGGGGGGAACTCGAACTCCCGTTGGCTATTAGCTATCGCTACCGCAGTTCCAAAGTGTCTACGGGACCTCATCTCCGCGAAGTCGCGCCTGGTACCGATGTCGCCTGCCTTTATGCGAGCTCTGCTCAGTCCACTCATAATCACATCGCCGTATTAATCTATATCCCTACTAGGTATAGGTACCTAGAATGCATCCGCTTTCCAGCCTTCCGACGGGTTACCGTGTAATGCCCGGGGAACCGTACGAAGTGTAAAGGGAGCTCCGGGTGCTAGTGAAACCACAGCCACGTTGGCGATTTGCGCCTCGATAGCTGAGGCGCCTTCGTTTCGTTTTCTCCTCTCTCCCCAGGTAACACACGCAGCAACGACAACTCATACCCATGAGGCTTACTTCGGACGCCTGTCGGTTAAAGACGTGAACGAACAGTGACAAAGCTATCGTCCGGGCTCCAGGAATAGAACTGGTCCGGTTCTAAGCTAGGTAGCTGTTACGGGGCCGTCGTATTCGGTATGAGGGTAGGTTAGGAGGTATCATAACCGCAGGCTGGGAGTTGCCCGGGTCAGGTACCTGATATATTAGGTACCTCTTATGGTAATAAGCCTATACACGTAAGCCTTCATTACTGGGTAAGATAAACGTGGCAGCAGCTGTAGCAGGTACCTAGAATCAATCGATTATAGGTCCTAACAGCGACCTTGGGTGCTACGGAACCCCTCCGTACGGGTGCCTGTCGCAGGTAGACAGGTACCTACCTCCTTATGTACCTAAGGTTTCGGTACGGTACTACTATACGGTACGGTACGGTACCCGTCATTATGCCATAGCTGTTATTATTGCCAGCTTCTGCCTCCGGACCCTGCTGGGTACTTTCGTCATCAACACCGACAGGGAGGCGAAGAACTTCTGTTCTTTATCTTCTATTCCTGGCATCATCGCCGTCGTCGCTAAGCCTTCGCCTTACTTACTAATCTACAGTCCACTCTATAATGTCGCTCTAATTTAGTCTCCAAACAGGAAACATGTCGCCAAGCTAATGCGGATGCTCTCGCGCATTTTTCTCTCTCCCCTTTCTTCTGCCTAGCACTCCTCGATCGACCAGCTCGACCGCCACAATGGTGAACCGCATACCCCAGGCCACCATCACGCTCTCCTACCCACTCTACGCGTGCGCCTTCGATCCAGCCGATCCCGGCCAGCTGGTTGTCGCTGGCGGCGGCGGACCTGGACGGAACGGCGTAGGCAACAAAATAGTAAGAAGCTGGAAAGCGAGCCGGCGCGCTCTTGTTCCACGCCAAAGTGGCTAACCAGACCCCGGTTGGGCCTCGTAGACTGTCCTCGACACCGCGAACCCTGAGAAGCTGTCGGAAACGAGCGAGTACGAACTGAGCAAAAATGAAGACAACGTGACGACCTTGGCCATCGGGCCCCGGAAAGAGAAAAGTCTGACTGTGTACGCGGGCATCAACTCGAGCCCGGACGAGATCAAGAAGGGCAAGAATGCCCATTTTCGAGTGTTCGGCATCAGCGAGCCCGGCCCGTCGGCCAAGACTAGCGGTGTAAGGATTTCCGAGGTCGCGCGCGATGCGCTGTTCGTGCATAAGGACGCCAGCGCCTACCAGAGAATCCTCCGCCTGTCCCACCCGTACGAAAACCTCTCACAAATCGGCGCTGTCGCCACCGGCCTCTCCAGAGAGCCAGAGATCGCTATTTTCGATGTACCAGCCGCAGGCGGTGGGCGGTGGAAACGTCGGGCCAGGCTGGACATCCCTAAAGAAGCGATGGATCTAGACGTCGTTCAGACTGGTCCCGACACCTACCAATTGGCGTACTGCGACGACCACGACATCTTCACCGTCGAAATCTCCAAGACCGAGGTCTCAGACCCGAAACGCGTCTACACCATCACCCCGGATGAGGGCTCCACGGCCAAGGCCTCCTTCAAGTCGCTGCGCTACCTGACGCCTGGCTTCCTCCTCACCGTGGTCAACAAACCCAATTCCCAGGGCGTGGCCCTGCACGGCTATCGCCTGCCCGCCACAGACCAGGAGAATGCACGGCTGGCCGTCCAGGCCAGGCTGCCCAAGGGCGTCTCCAAGGCCACCGGCCTCGCCGTGAGAAATTTATCCCCCACATCGTCCCCCATTGACAAGCAGGGCGAGGCACAATTCGTCGTCGCCGTGGCGGGGAACGATTCGTCGATATCGCTCTTCACTGTGGAGCACAAGTCCGCCGCCAGCGTGGACCTCCTATCGGATCTCGCACCGTTCGAGGTCCTCCGATCTGTCCATCCTACTAACATAACTAGCCTCTCCTTCTCCTCACTGCCAGCGCCGAAATCCTCATCGGAAACCGCCGAACCCACGGTCAAGTTGGCAAGCGTGGCCGTCGGTTTCACGACCGTCGTGCACGACATCCCGCTCAAGAAGCACGTGGACAAGTCCGTTTCAAAGGGAGCAGGGGGCCCTCCGAGTCCGTCCCGCTACGTCGTCGCCCTGAAGTCGAAGGGCGAATCGCCGGTGACGGTTATCACCCTCTTCACTATCCTAGTCCTCATTCTCGCCCTAGTCGGACAGGCCTTCCTCGAGGCGAAGCAGATCGGCAGGCCCATCTTGGGCGTTCGGGAATACCTTCCGGCCTCGTGGACGACGCCGCTGCGGAAGGTTCCGCCAGCGACAGTTATTGAGAGTGCCACCGTGAAGGCGGCTACGAACATCGAGGACCTGCTGTCGGGCGCCGGCGCGCGTGATGGCCAACCCGTCGTCGTGCGGCACGGCGAGGCCAACGACGAGGAAGGGGGTGAAGGGGGACTGCCGCCACTGCACGTCGGCGTGCACGACGAGGAGGCGCACGGCCCCGCAACGTCGTGGGAGAAGCTCGACCCGAAGGACCGGGACCTCTGGAAGCGGCGGCTCAAGAAGACGGGCCACTGGGTCGAGGACATGGGCGAGACGATATTCCAAGGCGTGCTCTTCGGCGAGATCGGCGGTGCCATCGGGAACATGATCGGCGAGGCGCTATAAATTGGAGGGAAAACCAGGGGAGGTAGGGGGAATAAGACCGGAAGTGCCTCGGATTGTTTCGAATGGACGAGATCATATGAGCACACGCGTATGCCGGAGGGAGAGAAGGCATAAGAATACTCCCCACCCACTCACTATCCCCCTTTATCAGAGGGCGTGGGAGGTGAAGTTATTTCGACATGAATGTATCACGAAGACGACAAAACTTGTACTATGTATTATGTAATAGGAAAAGAGCGAAAGGAGAAGGGGAAGGGCAGAGGAAGAGGAGGTTATACCTGATCACCGATCCTGTCGATAGAAGCTGCACAATGAAATTCGACGGTAGCATCACCGGGAATCATGTGTCGGGCCTGTAGAAGGCGTAACTTGGACTCCTCCCAGGTGCTACGGGATGCTCGGCCTGCGGATGACGAGACCTGAGGGCGTCCACCACCAAGTCTGGAACGGACAAACGCAACCTCGTCGGCGGATCGGTCGGCGGTCGGGCAGCTACCTGGTCTGCCAAGGGCTACGGGGAAATAGAGAGGGGCGTCTGATGGTTGGCAGTCCTGCGCGTGTAGGTCGTTAGGCCTAGAGAAGGGCCTAGCGGAATAGGATGGCCATGCTAGCAACTAGTAATACTAAAGTATGCGTGGTCACCGCCGGCCGAGCACTTTAAGGTGTGGGCCTCTCTCTCTCTCGGAGCCTCAACAGCTACTAAGAGTTACTCACCCTAACTCGTATTACACTTGATATTAAGCTTAGGTGCTAATAAGCGCTATGGAAACGAAGCGGACATGTAAAGAAGAGTTAGCAGCCCCACGACTCCTTTCTTAATTAACCCTGGCTAGCTGTCTAACAAGACCCTTTGATGTGCTGCACTCTCACGTAAACCAGTGATGCTTAATCGAGGCATACATGCCATCTGCTGATAAACGTAACCCGCTCTAAGTCCTCGGTGAAACAATGTGTCGAGAGTTGATCGTGGTATTACGGCTCAGTTGTTCACACTACAAACCTCGCATTGCCCCCCGTAACCTCGGCGTCCCTGGTTGCATACTCAACGTATTGTAGCGATCCTCTCATAGGCCTAGACCTCAACTTGGCTCGACTCTAGATTCCAGCTGGATATTTCTGTGTGACTTACGAATAGAATACGAGGAATCTAGGCCTGCCTCCGGTCATCATAGGTTACGGGACTACATACTACCGTGACCTTGCGGCTTGGAGAAAACAGGGCTTGCCAACGCGGTCATCACAATAGAACTATGCATAAGCTCAATAGAACCATGCATAAGCTCAATAGAACCATGCATAAGCTCAATAGAACCATGCATAAGCCTCCACAAGTCCCAGTTCCTTATAGTCGTAAGAAAGAAATGAGGGACCAGCTCTGCGGCCATCGACGCACTTAGGATGGGTGTCGCAGGAATTAAGGATTGTAAGGCGTGTTCGCTGACACAAAGTCGGCGCACACCTCTCATCACGAGGTAAGATCGTGGCAGACACGATCAGTAATGTGAACATATACACAGGAGAGGGGAATTATACAATCGAGCATAACGAAAAGACGGGAAGGCGATGCATTCAATCCCTATTAACTAAGCAGAGCATAAATATCGGGTCGGACATTGCTCCTAAGCACGGGATGAAAGGGGTACCTTACTAAGTGGTGTGTAGGTAGGAGGTAGGTAAGTGATGATTTGCCAAAATAAAATTACATGAAATACAGGAAAGATTGAGCCGTAACGGCCTCTCCTTATTCCGTCAACGCCAGAGGCCCGTGGATCCCTCTACTCTGCGTGTCCACACCTCCAAGTAGGTATAAAGACGGGTAACAATTGACGATGGCACGTTTCGCCCCAGGGTTACAGCACTCCTGCAGCTTGCAGTACCTACCTACCTTGAAGGACCATCAGCCCGTCAGCCCCCCGCTATCCTACGGAGCCAGCCAGCCGAGACTCGTCATCTCCTCGAGCGACTGATCTCCCTGTCCTTCGCCCTGGATCCGAGCGGCGCGATGCCGGCACTACTAGAGCACCTAAACACGCGAGGTGCTCGCGAGAGGGGGGGGGATGAGCCCAGTGGCTGCCTGACAGAGAGACGTAACGATACATGCTGCTTAATATATCGCCCCATTTATCTCTCTAATGCAAATTGGTCGGGAGAAAAAGGCTTGCCGGCAGCGGTGCTCCTACCTAGCAGGACGGCGGTCCGCGGGGGGCTCCAAGGGGGGACCCCAGGGGGAAAGGATGGTGATGTGGGCTGGAGGCGACGCGGGCGGCAGGACAGGTGGTATGCTGCTTTTAGGATATTTTGAAAGGAGGGAAAAGGAATATACCCGCCCCCCGTCACTCCATCCGAGGGCTGGACGGCGAGGCGACTCCCAGCGGGCCGAAGGAATTCGATCACCAAACATGGCCTTTTCTCCTCTCCTTTCTGGCCCGGGACGCGCTCCCAACCCCGGAAAAGTCTCTACTGCACTGTCACCCTCGATGCCCTCCTCGTCTATCTACCTCCCCTATAACCCCCTTCTGCCGGCTTGCGGGAGAGGTAGTGATGACGAGTCGCTACCACCTCCGGCCTAACAATCGGAAAGCCCATTGAAAATCATATCCCCAGCCGACATATTGGCTTAGCAGGAGCCAACGAGTCCCCGCGAACGTGGGAGAGAGACGGAGTACCTGATATGTGAGCCTCCTTAACGTCAACCCGCGAAGCTCTCAGCTCGGGGGAGGGGGGGCCAAAAAGCGATGTCCCGTGGCGAGAGAACACGAGCCCGTCTCCGCGCTCGAGACGCCACACACAGCGTTAACATGGGGAGAATGCTATTTTTGAGAAGTTTGACGCAGGTGTCGGTGTATCGTACCTGTCTGTGTAGTCCCTCCCCCCCCCCCCTTGGACCTGTAGCATCGACATCACATGTTGTGCGAAGCCTCTCAACGCCACGGCCTCAACGCCATGGTCTCGTCGACATAACGGCCAGGTCCAGCCTTTCGCAGGCCCTGGTGACCGCGGGTGCAACTCCCATGTTGGGATGTTTACGACGTCTCGCCTATGACTGGCCCAGCTGTCGCTAGGGTAGCATCCGGCTATATATGACATGCTCCCTTCAGGGTCGCTTAAGCTCCGATCTGGAAGCTATGCCTGTATTTTATAGCTGATCTTCGGTTCGTCATCTATCGGAGATTGTCGGTTACGCGTGGCCTTATGTACTGCGTCGTTAGATCTCTCGCGGTTTAAGGGCCTAGTTAAAGGCGGCCAATCGTGCCCCTTTATTCGGCTTCTGGGTCTCCTAAACCTGTCGTATTTTTCACTGGAGGCTCACCTGCACTCCGAGCGCTCTCGGTGCTTGGCCCTGACATTCGCTTTACGTTCGGGATCGTCCCGTATTCTACCACGATGCGCTGGTGGAAGACCCTGGCCTTAGCTGCCTGTATAGGTCAGGCCGCGGCTCATGCGCGCCCGGACGACCCCCATCACGGCCTGCCGAAGCTTGCTGGTGCTCGGAAGTTCCTGAGTGATTTTAAAGGGGCGAGGAGATGGGAGAGTCGGCCACAGGCCGTGCGAAACGCGAGGACGGCGGAGGCACGGGAGGGACAGGGGCTGGAAGGCCGGGGCGAACTCGATCCCCGCCAGAGCAGCGGGAGATGCGGTGCAGGCCGCGGTAGTTGTCAGGCTGGCTACTGCTGTTCAGCTGAAGGGTTAGTCTCCGTCGCGATCCACCGGTAGCATCAGCTAACGTGATGAAGCTGGTGTGGGCTAGGGGACGAGTACTGCGTTTCGCCTGATTGTCAAATCGACTACGGCCCGGGATGCGACGGGAATCAGAGGCCTGACGGTGAAGACATGGCGGCCATTCCGCGTCCGAAGCTGGGCCGGCTGCCCTATGGGGGCGAGGGTATCTACGACTGCGTCAACCCGGGCGATATCGCCATCACCTTTGATGACGGCCCGTGGGAATACACCGGGGACCTCCTCGATAAACTCGCTGTACGTCCTACTGCCAGCTGCCCGATGCTCCGGGGAGCAAGCTGACATAGGTTCAGAAATACCAGGCAAAGGCGACGTTCTTCATCACCGGCAATAATTTGGGCAAGGGGAAGATCAATGACCCAAGTTATCCTTGGGCCTCTCTCATTCAAGTATTAGAAGCCCGTTGGAACGTCCTGAAGATGGCTTACTGACTTGTTATAGCGAATGGCTGCCGAAGGCCACCAGATCGCGAGCCATACGTGGTCGCACGAGAACTCCAGTCAGATCTCAACGGCTCAGTTCAACAACCAAATGATCTGGAATGAGATAGCATTGAACGACATCCTCGGATACTTCCCCACTTACATGCGGTTCGCACGCTGCTATCCTCCCCACCCCCCCCCTATGACGAGGAACCCGCCAGTGCTAACGTCTGCCACAGGCCTCCCTACTCCATCTGCCCGGCCTCGTGCCAGACGCAGCTCGCCAACCTCGGGTACCACGTGATCTACTTCAGCCTCGACACGGAGGGATACCTGCACGACGACGCGGGGCAGATCCAGACGAGCAAGGACATCTGGGACGACGCGGTGGACGGGTCCAGCCCGTGCGAGGACAGCTACCTCGAGATCGAGCACGACATCCACTACCAGACCGTCTACAACCTGACCGACTACATCCTCGAGTCGCTCTTCAGCCACGGCTACCGGTCCGTGACCGTCGGCCAGTGCCTCGGCGACCCTCCCGAGAACTGGTACCGCGCCGGCACCGGCACCGTCCCGCCCTACGACTTCCCCGTCCGCGCCCCGACCGGGACCTGGCCCTGCCTGACCTCGTCCGCGACGTCCACGGGGCCCGCGCCCACCAGCACCCTCGTGCCGTCGATCGAGGGCAACTGCGGCGACGGATACACGTGCGTCGGCTCCGAGTTCGGGAACTGCTGCTCAGTGTCAGTCTAGACCTCTTCTTTTCCCCTTTCCCTTCCTTTTCATCTAGCCGCCTCCACCCTCGGCCTGCTAGCAAGTCGGCTCTTTACGAGCACATAGGTCGTGGAAGCCGAGAAGAAAGAAAAAGAAAAAAAAATCGCCGCAACTTTGCACATCCTCCGCCGTAGCCCTGTGCGCTAACTCCAGCCGCAGATACGGCTGGTGCGGGTCGACGATAGACTACTGCGGCGAGGGCTGCCAGCCGGCGTTCGGATCGGGATGCCAGGCGGACGAGCCGCCGGTTACTTCCACCACCACCACCACCACCACCACTAGTAGTAGTAGTAGTACCACGACGAGTACGGGGACGAGCACCAGCACTAGCACGGGCAGAAGCACCAGCAGCAGCACTAGGAGGAGCACCAGCACCAGCACCAGGAGGAGCACTAGCAGCAGCACTACTAGGAGGAGCACCAGCAGCAGCACGAGCAGGAGCACTAGCACGAGCAGGACCAGCAGCAGCAGCAGCAGCAGCAGTACCAGGAGGAGCACCAGCACCTCGAGATCGACGTCGACGAGCCGCTCCACCTCGCGGTCGACGTCGACCTCGCGCTCCACCAGCCGGACCTCGACGACAACCCGCGCGGCCGCCGCCGTCGCCGCCGAGGAGACGGGAGGGCCGGGTCAGCGTTAGGCGCCGCGGCGGGGTTGGGGGTAGGGGGGAATCGCTGTCTGGGCGTATTCGACCGTGTTCGGGGAGGGGAGCTCCTGGTGTATGCGTGTACTTGTCCTATCCGGAGGATCGTTATACGACCTGAGACTTTACGTGTATATATATGTATGTATGTATGTATGTATGTATGTATGTATGTATATATGTATGTATGTATGTGCACGCGCGGATAGTCACAAGGGTCTCTCGAGCGCGGTACTCCAAGTCTCACTTCTAGGTTCTGTTGGGGGGGATGAGAGGGTGTTCGCGTAGATTCCGAGATGTGGTAGCGATGGTGTTAGCTATGGTAGTAAATAATAGGCCAAGACATATTGCTACGCCGCTAGGTTCTTGCCGGCGAAACACATGCTGTACTCTAGACGGCGTCCTCTAGCAGAGCGCGAAGGACCATCTCCTCGCTCCCTTCCCTCCGAGCCCAATCTCATTCCCCTAATCCGCAGTGGGAAAGAAAGCGAGCGGAGGGGAGGTAGACGTAAGTAAAAAAGGGGGGGAGCCAACTTAACTTCGAACGGGTCAGGCATCCTCCCACGAAGCTACACTTCGCCGTGGCTGGCTAGGCAATGCCTAACCTATCTCTCTCCCCCTTTCCTCCTCAAGTTGCGCTGCTTCACGAGACAGAGATAGACGTAAATTCGAACTGCAACGCGTATTATTATCAAAAAAAAAAAAAGCGATGCTAAGCTAGCCCTCGACGTCCGCTACTTCTTTTTGTCTACCTACGGGAGCCACACGATCAAAAACGACGATCAAAACGACGGCGAAACACAAACAAATGGCAAAAGCGCTTCTGCTCCTTCTCGGCTCGATTCTTCTTACTTCCTCCTCTCACCCCCATCCAACCTTCTAAACTCCATAGGCTCCATTTGGAAAAAAGGAAAATTGAAAGAGAAATCCATCCTCTTTTCTAGCCGCGTCCCGCCCCCCTTCCGGTCTTCCTCTGCCGCAGATGCGATAAGAGCGGAAGGGGAAGAGAGTGGTGGGCGCGAGAGTAGTGCCAGCTTTCTAGAGCTGGGGGGCCATATAAAAAAAAAACCATTACCAGGGTCGTAGCCCTCCAGGGCTACAGCGCCAGACAAAGAAAAGAGATAGAGAGATAAGAGAACGGAGCTGGAAAACACAGCGCAGCAAGCGAGAAACAAGAATCAAAGCAATGCGGTAAGGTTCGGGGAAAAAAAACAACCAAAACAAAATCCACACCATTCTCCTCAACCCCCTCACGCACCCGCACCTGCGCCTGGTCAGCCATGAGATTCCCGTTCGCCGGTTACCCAGTTCTAGGCTTGGGGTACATGCTAGCGGTATGGTGGAAACGACAGCAGCAGACCCTAATATCTGCCGTACGAGGATAAGGCACCTTCCGGAAGAAAAGGAACCCGCGAGAAAGAGTAGAATAAAAAGGCCCGCCCCTCTTGTCTTTTTTTGGAGGGGGGGTTGGTTGTGTGGGGGGTGCCGTGGAGCTCGTCCGTCCGGGGCCTCCGTGGCTGAGGTAGGGTACCCTGGCCGGTTTTATACTAGATAGGCCACGCTACGTAGTCCCGGGCATAATTAGGGCCCCGAAGACCACCCCGACGAGAGGGCCAAGGTTGGCGGGTTTCGTTGTCATGTCGCATTAAGAAAGAAGGTAAAGCCGGGTCTCAGATAAGTCCTGCCCACGGTGGTTGTTCGACGGAAACTGGAATCGGAATTTCGGAGACTAAAAGGAGGTATATATAAAAGGTGCGTGTATGTACGATGGATATGCAAGAAACTAGGAGCGAATATGAATGTATAGAGCTAAATAGGAGTTGTTTCGTGGAAGGGAGATAGGATGAAATAAGTAGTAAACGAGGAGCGAAGCCAGCCAGACTTCTTCATTACATCGTATGAAGTTTCTCAGAGATCGCAATGCTTGGGTATCGTGGTAATCGTAGTTGCTGCGCACGAAGGAAAGAAAAAGCTTAGACTTCTTGGACCCATATCTGCGATTTCATTGTTAGCCAGATATCGACTTGCCGCTGTGGCCGGTTCTCATGATACTTACTTCCATCTTGCCAATATCCTGTCTTTGTTTCCGTGCCAAAGACTTCACACTCATCATCACCATGTCGAGATCGTCCTGGTCTCCCATGGTGATCATATCCGACTGCGGCGCATCTTCGTCCCGCACCTTGAGCTTGAAGCGCTGTCGCAGGGCGAACTTGTCGCGAATTCGGTCTACCAGGTCGGCGAATTCCACGGTAGTGCTGACCATGATGTATCGAACGTCCTCCGAGTGCACCTTGACGCGCACCTTGCGAACCTCAGGCCTCCTCGACCCGCCTCGCATCGAGCCAGAGACGGAAGATGTCCCCGGGCGCCGGTTCGAGACCATCTCGAAGTCGCCTTCGTCGAAGGAATCGTAGTCACTACCCTCCTCTTCCTCCTCGATGTACTTCTGCTGAGCTCGTCGGCCCTGCCCTGGCGGCTTGCCCCCGCCATTATACATATCGTAGACATCGTCGGGGTATCCTTCATCCTCATTCCTGGAACGTCGAGACCTGCCCTCGCTCCTCGAGTAGGCTCGTTGAGGCGGAGATCTCGCTTCGGACATGGCTCTCGAAGGCGCCTTGCGCTCGCTCTGCGGGGAGCTCATCTTATCATAGCGGGTGCTCTTCGATGGCTCGGGGATGTTCAGCCTGGCCGGCATCGGCTTGGGCCCGTTGCGAACTGAGGCGGCGCGACTCATCGCACCAACAGGCTTGTCGTTCTCGGGGGGTGGCGTCGGGGGGAATGCGTTACGCCCAGTGGGGGGTTCCGATTGCTGTCTCCTACTCTGCAATCCAGGCTTGACGAGGTTTGTGGCAGCAAATGAGATATTGTCGGTCGGGCGGTCGTCCTTCTCGTTGGTCCTTCCCGCATTCTTGATCTCCGATCCGGCGAAGCCCGTGAAAGCATTGGCCCTGTCTGAAGCAGCGACTAGGCGCGCCTTGCCTAGATAATCCTTGGTCTTCAAGTTCCGCACCTTGGCCTCGTTGGGACGATAGACAACCCCGACGGGGATGGAGAACACCGTGTAGCCCTGAGACATGTTAGATTTCCCTGCCGAACAATACGCATATGCGGCTCCGTACCTCAGCTTCTTCCCTGATGGCCTCGTCGATAACGTTATGATCCTCAACAACCTTTTCCTTCACCGCGTAGTTTAGGTCCTGTAGGCCCGCCTCCTTCTGCTGCAAGTAGATGTAGCAAAGACCTCGGTTGAACAACACCTCGCAGGAATACAGCTTAAACAGCAGACCCAATTGCGCGTAGTCGATCATCGTGTTGCCTCGCAGATACAACAGCGTATCGTTGAAATTTGCCAAGGCTTCTTCAAAGTCACCCAGTAGGAAGTTCGAGACACCCTGCTGGAAGTATGCTACGGCGAGGTACTGGTCCAGACGGATAGCCTTCTGGTAGAGCTCGACCTGGATATGGGAGATTAGCATCGCCGAACAGGAGATCTGGGGGGGACATCTATGCACTTACAGCCCTCTCATGTTCACCGAGAGTTGCATGGATGACACCCATGTTAAACAAAATCTTCGACGTATCTGAGATATTCTCGAACTCCTTCAACGCCTCCTCGAATTCATTGTTATCGTACCGGCCGAGGGCCGCTACCCACGTCTCTATTTCCTGTAGGCAGAGTGTCAGTGTTCCGATCCTGTAACGACAGCCCAACGTCTCGAGCCATGAACCTACCTGCTTCAAAGACATTTTGTCGAAGGGGTCGGCCTTGAATCAGCACCAGTTGCTTTGTCCAGAAAGCAAAGGTAAGGGCCGCTCCTGGTGGAGGTTCCACAGCCGAGGGTTTTCGGCTCGTATGCGGATCGACTGGCTGCTTAGATTCGCGTGCCACCTAGAGTCGCGGGGAGCTTCTGTCGGAGACGAAAAAGTTTTTTGGATTTAATAGCGCTCGTTCTACAAGTCTGGCGTGTCCTAATAGCACCTATCGGTAGGTAAAGACAGCTAACCTTCTCTCTTCTTGACCGTTTGCTAACTATAGTCGTCGTGGTTTGGGGAGTGGGCGAATCGCTTCCCTCGTGTAAAATATGGCTGGCAGGCGGTGTTGGATTTCTCCTCGCAGCGGAAGCAAGCTCAGCGGGTTTTGCCTGGCCGTACAACCAGAGAGACACAGTTTGGGAACTAGACAGTGTCCGGTTCCTGGCAGCTCGTCGGTGCTGGGACGAAGATGTTTGCAGCACCTTGTGGCGGGCAAGAAGAGGTTGGGGATGAGGGTTGGGTGGGATATGTAGGTACAGAATGCACGACTACCACGAGCCAGCAAGGCGAACCGGCGTATCGGGAAACGACAACGAGCGTCTCTTATGTATAATTAGGTAGCTATAGCCAGCTGAGATAGCTTTTTAGCTCGTTCGATTTCTTTTCCGCGCTGCAAGGAATGGATTAGTTTGGTGATGGGAACAGCAGAACCTGCAGTTTTGGGGGGGGGGAACGAATGAGTGGATGGAGAACGACGAAGCCAGCGCGTACAGACAGACGGAGAGTGGGCAATGGCGGAAAAGACAGTGATGGGTGAGGACGAGACCTTAATGCCAAGGAGGCACCGGTTGCATTGGGACGGGAAAGACTGGCAAATCTGGGCCGGTAAGATACAGGCGTGGTCCGGGGGGAATTATGCAGTATTGTATGTGCGAACGTGTTCGAGTACGTACTCGGTCGGCCTGTGATGGTTGGTGGGTACGGAGCACCTCTTCGCGGACAGCCAAAACGACGATGATGCCTCTCGACCAGGGTCCAGACGTAGGGAGAAACAGGGGCCAGGGGGGTGGTCGCTCAGCCGAGGGCTTGGACCCGAAGGGAGGAGCACAAGAGAACGAGCGCCGGCCGCCCTAACTTCCAGTTCCCCCTCTTCCTCCTCCTTCTTCTTGTCTAGGTAGCTGAGAACTAGAGCGCCGAGAGGGGAGGTGGTTGGTGGTGAGGCTGCCGTTCAACCCCCCCGACTTAGGTCATTAAACTGGTCGTTCGCAGTCGGACGATGATCACGGTGAAGAGGCTATTGGGCTACGTCTCATCTTGAGTGCGTCGGAGGTGAAGGCGTCGACAGATAGGCTGCGCGGTTAGAGCACTCCTTCACGATATTTTCGACGTCGAGCTCTCGAAGAACAGGCGAATCTTTGGGAATATGGTGCAGAGTTGCGACAGATGTGTACAAACAAACGACTCCCCCGGGAGTTGTTTATAGAACAGGAGGATGACTAGCGACGTTTAGGGGGGGGCAGAGGAAGGGAGACGGTACTGGGTACCATTCGATTGGCGATACCACCTACCTCCATCCGCGATTTCCTGGTACGTGTACATGCTCCCGACCGCCCCTCCTCCGTGTCGACGCTACGTGCTTACGTATTTCCGTACTTGACTTATCTCGTTAGATAGGTACCTACCTACTCATTATTGTAAGGTAGGTACCTAGGCAGGCCCGCCCCGTAGAATCTTCTCAGGCTCAGACCGGAGTGGGCTAGGCCAGATGGAGACTAATGTCACGAGTACGTACTGCGCAGTACGCCTACATAGGTACCTTCCCCATTCTACAGCGTGTACTGCGCACCTGTACTGCGCACCTGTACTCAGCAGGTGAGAGTACTAAACGCACCTGTACGAACGCCCCGGCTCTGCGAACGCCCCGGCTCTGCGCCGTAGTAAGTTTGACAAGGTACCTCCGTACCTGAAGCCTCCCCCCCGTCTCCTTTCACACAGCAAATGTTCCATGATGTGGTGAGGAGAGGGCCGACTGATTGGTTAGGCAGTCTCGGGGCCGCCCCGCGGTCCCGGACGCCAGGCGTTTCCAAGGGCGCCTAAATTCTGAGTCGAGCCACCAGAACTTGTCCCCAGGCCAATAAACCAAGTCCCTTTCTATAGAGGCAGGTATGCATGCCTTTTCTCCATTAGGTATCCGAATCGTTAGGCATGTGTGCGTGTGTGTGCCGTGTGTGTGTGTGTGGCATCTGTGGCATGTGTATATGAAATATTCTCCGTCGTCCTGATGAATTACATTTATGGCAGTCCGCACTCTACTTACACATATTTACATACATGCCCACTTTATAACGGACTTGCGACGTGACGGGGTGTATCTCGTGTGTTCTGATAGCCAATCTACAGGCTATATACGAACTATATACTATAGGTAGGATTGATTAATTACGCACGTCAATACCTTCGGCACATCCCATGGCTGAGATGGTATACACGGTGGCTCCCTGCCTCTACCCAAGGATGCTGCGAGTTCGGTTAGGTTTTGGCATGTCTCTGGTGTGCTAACCTACCTACGTAAGACTGCTAGTAGCTCTGCGTATGTATGAAATATCCATCTCTTGGAAACGTACGTCTACGTAGGTCCGGGTGCCGCTTCGAGAACGTTCTCGTCGACCTGTTCCTTGGTTTTGCGCATAGTCGCTGGCCGGCCATTCCCAACCTGGATTCCGATCTGGGCCGTTCGCAGCCATCGCGCTCATCGCGCCCATCGTGCCCCCTCTCTTTGCCCCCAATTGGCCTGCCCGTAACGGCGTTTACGCGCCGACAAGCCCAATAGCTCCGGTCGGCACAATTCCGTCACAAAAAGGCTCTTGCAGCAATGCAGAGTGACACCAGCTAATGGAATGGTGATGGCGATAATTGACTTAGTAAGTGCTCTATACCTATTAGATATATAGCCGGTGGTATCGTAGCACGTTACTACCTACGTGATAAGGTGTGTCCGGCCAGTCCCATAACTAGGCACGCAGTAGCACCACCTGAGGTCGTCCCCCTGAATGGAATTGTTCCTGACATGGCCGTGAATTGTATATCGATGGGGGTTTTCTTTGCATCCCTAGGCTAAGGTACCTACATCTTGACATGTGTGCTCGGCCTCGTCGCCTGCCGGATCTTCCCATATCCTTGATGCGCAATCATGTACATTCACCTCCTATCCCTACTAGCTTAGCTGCGTAAGGCCAGCCACATGCCCGGATGCTTTCGCACATGAACGCGCTACCGATGGGAGGTCTTAACCTAATCTCTCCCCGGACCCCTGGAAAGACATGCACGTTTTACCTGCAGCACTTATCCCATCCCGTCACGACCGACTGCACGATGCCTGAGTCTGTCTGATGTGGTCATGTAGGCACAGTTTCGTCCGATGAGCTTTCACGTCATCTCCCATCCTACCGGGCCCTGGGAGGCATATCGTGATGGATGGGATAGCTTAGCTACCTACCTACCTGCCTACCTAACTGCCTAATCCACCCACCCACCTGTCCCACGTAACCCCTTTACCTTGATGATCGTGAGCACACCTACATGCATACCTGCCTACCTGCACTGCCTGTAGGTATGCATGCGTGCATGTATGTACTCATATGTGCGTACGTACGTAGATCCGACAATCCATACAACCCTCCATCCATGCATATGCGCATACACAGCATGCCCGGGGGTGGCATGCAGGCATGTCCGAAAGTCTTGGAACCCGGCGTCGCAGTCTGTTACGAAACTCGCTTCCCTTCAGCCCGTCTCGCACACGGCGGCCTATACGTACCTACAGCGCCCCTCCCCGCCAGCATGTCACTGCTCGCATAGTATGCGACGGAATCGCGCCGACCCAGAATTGACATCGACAAGGCTGCCCTGTCCAGCGCTCAGCAATGCCGAGGGTGCCGCGCATGACGGGACGTCGACTCGGGCGCGGCAGAAAGGGACCGAGCCTATGAGTACATGTTTGATAGCCCCTTCGAAATCTCACCAGAATCAGGCCCGCAGCGCACCAATCCCATCCCTCCGCCTCCCTCCCGTCCTGGTGCGCGGGTGTCCAGCGAGGATCTGATCTTCAGAGCCTCGATAAAACGTGGCGGTCGAAAGGGAGGGTGACAGAGGACAGAGGCAGAGAGAAGGGGGAGATCCTGCTACTCACGTTTGGAAAATCGAAACTTCAGCGAGCGGCCTAAACGATCCTTCATCGATCCTGCGAGGGTCCTACAACGCCGTCTTACTAACCGCGTCCGCGAGTACTGCCAACCAATTCTGCTGCCTGGAGATCTCAACCCGGCCGGGGATGGGGAGGTTTCGCGGTTCGGAATCTGACCTTTGTGGGTGTCTGTCTGGCTAACCCAGGGCTTGTTGATCCTTCGCCTGCGGGTAAAAGCTGGCGACCTAAGAGCGGGATACTAGATTGATTGATAGATGGAGATAGGCCTATCTAAAGCATGTAAGTAAGTAAGTCCCTCCGATCGATAATCGCGTAGACGGATCGCTTCGACTCTATTTTGCATCCCTGCCCGCGTTAACCCTGACAGCACCCACCGTGATTGGGTTCTTCTTCTCTTCTCCGCGTTGCCTGGACCGATTCCGGCCCGTCTCGTTCCAGGTTACTACGAAGTGGGACTTTCCACGACAAGCTTTTGACATCGCGAGATTCCTCACAACACATGCGCCATCGAGGTTACACGCACTCAGCCCATAAGAGCCGTCGAAGCCGTAGGGCTATCAGGAGGTCTTGTGAGGAGGCCCACAAGGTTATAAGGTTATCTAAGGCTGCGTAAGCTTCGCGTTCGATGCTCTCCCACTCTCTCGGTTCTCAGGCGAGGGTAGCTCGATCGCCAAGCAAGCTTTACATACCTGTCGGTCTTTTCTTGTTTCTTTTTTTGTTCTCAATTCTCTCATCTTTTTTCTTTTGGCCCTCACACGTAGGTCAGGTACATACGTACCTCTCCTCTCGATGCAAAGCGCCTCACCGTCGTTAGAGGGGGATCAATGATACAATATGGCCGACCCTACTGCCGATCTTACATCAGACATCAGACAGAAACGAGAGCACTTGGCTCAAGGGAACAAAACCCCCCTTGCCCACGACGTCCTCTTGCTAGGTATGTATGTAGTGAATGATGAGGCTCGTCCGTTTGACGAGCTCGCAGGCGCAAATCCCACCCACCCACTCACGATAATGTCTAACCCCTTGTCGTTAAGGTGGTGATGGTGTGAAGGCGAGTATGAACGCGGCGGCATCACAAATTCCAATCCATCGTCACAATCCAAAATTTCTTCACCGTCCTGGCTTGTTGGGTGCTAGTGATTGACGGTCAAGCACGGTGGTGACGGGTTCCTAACGAGGTAATTCTTGGCGTAATCCCTTTTTATCTATCACGAGATTATCGTCATGGATGGGGTGGTGCCACCGTGGGCTCATGGTGCCATGTTGTCCAGACGACATCACACGATGCTGCTGGGGGAGCTATTCTAGGAGGCACGCCGGCTTCTTGATTCCGAAACGGCCCCGAAGAGGCATCGATAAGATGTCCCTCCCCCCTTGCTCTCGCAAATCGAGAATAGACCCTTCGTCCAATCTTAATGCAGGGTTGTTCATCCAATATCGATGGCTCTCGCGAAGAGGCACCAAACCTGTGCATAGAAACACAATTACAGCCAATAATACCAACGCGGGTCGCGATGCAACGGGCTGCCGGTACATACTATGTACAGACATTATGTGGCTTGTCGTCAGCGCGGACAGGTAGGAAGAACTGGTCCCTGGAGTCGACTGGAGGTGCTTGTTTAGCCGCGGCAGGGTTCGCTCGACTCTGGGGAAATACCCATCGAATCGACGTTGCTTCGCACGCAGCAAGGTATCATCTAACCCAGCTTCTGAGAGACTCCTTCCACACGCTTAGGGCTTAGGCGGATGCGACGGGTAAACTGCCTGTGCTGTTCAACTTAAGATTGGAGTCTAGAAGATGCCGGATTTGATCATGACAAGGTCTTTATAGGCGCTCGCTCCTTTTCCACCCCTCAGGAACAGGAACTATGGATGATGCGAAAACAAGCCAACGAACGAGAAATCGGATCATACCATGCCACGTCGCATCATATCATTCCCTTTCTAACCTCGTCTTTCCTTTCCTCCCAGAGTGTCTTCCCAGTGCACGAACACACTGTCTTGTCGTTGTCCCACATGCCGGCACTCCTCGCGATGACGCCCACGACGGTGTTCTCGTCATTCGTCAACCCCGCCCCCGCGATCCCTTCCGCCTGTCTGGATACGACCATCGCATGTCCGATGACTTCCCAGACCTGGAAGGGGTGGTCCAGAAACACGGCACCTCGGCCATCTTCTCCAATCTGTATGGTGCCAAGGATGCCACGAGGCTGACCCGTGCCGCTGCCGCCCGCCCAGACCGGACCCGTAGATGTCGCGCCGAATTTGAGGTCGCCGTATTCTCGTATGCTGGCCGAGTATAGGCCAGGCGCGACGCCGCGCAGCGTGAGGTCCACAAGAGTTGTGGTCGGAGAGACTTGCACCATACGGGCTAAGCCCCGTACCTCCCTGTCGCTGGCTCCTGATCCTCCTGTGGCTGCTTCGGGGTCAGAGGCTGGTACTAATGCCTCGCCGCCTTTCTCGTTGCGGTGGTACGTCTCGAGGATGCATACAGCGGCACCTAACGAACCATATCCCACGGGGGATTTGTGTCAGCCCGGCGAAGTAGCCCTCTCATTTTCTTCTAGTTGCTCGAATGTTTCCTTCTCCAAAGGAGGGAATCTAGGGCCCGGCGTGGGGGCTATGAGGGTGAGGCTATTTAGGGAACGTTTCAAGTCCCACGATAAACGGCTGATGCCTTGCATGAAACGGATTTCGCGGAAGCCAATCAACACGGACGGAAACGGGGCGGTGGACTCACTGTTGGATGCGCCTGACCCCCGCAAGATGGCATCCCGACCAGTCGCTTCGATGGCGCTAACAATCGCAGACGGTGCGGCTATTCGAGAAAACCAGTCGAGCTGTTAGTCCTAGACCGACCCCAAGCGGCCCGTCCGCCGTCCGGCAACGCGAACGGCCATCGGAGATAGCCAGCGGGACCTCACGCGATCGAATGTGTCTTACCGGTTCCCTCAACCGCTACGAGCTGGTCCTTGAGGTTGGCATCGACCTTGGAGATCCCCCCAAGGCGATACAGTGCTTCGGATATTGTGCTGACACAATGATCGCATGTCATCGGCACAGCGAATAGAGTCTAAAGGTGACATGTGTATTCGATCAGTCCGCTCCGTTCTGACATGCTTGAGCTCATATATCCGCCTTCTCGGAGCTACTTATACCATCACCTCCTTGACCCGGACTACTTTTGAAAAAGACGAGGGGAAGCCGGAATGGGATACGATAAGTCGAGCGAACGGACCTGGAAGGGAGTCTTGACGACGTTCAAGGCCGCCATCTTGTCGTCAAGGACGATAGGATGTGGTGTATCTTAGTGTGGCTGCTTCTCCCGCGTATCACAGCGAAAATATGGCTCGGTAGCAGAGCCAAAACAGAGGAAGCTTAGACGCTGCTGCACAGAAATGGAACGGGGTGCCGTCGTGTAAATGTATCAGCATCAAATAAAGTTAACCAGAGGAGGGTGGAGAGAGATGAATACCGACGACCTGCGAGGAACTAGTAGAAGCCATCCAGCTACATAACAGACGATCGAAGTGCCCACCTTTTTATTTTGCCCGGCAGTAAGAAGCTGCTTTGAAATCGCAATCCCACTTTCCCAGGCTTCGTAAAGTCGGTCCTCGGCGCTTGAGATTGGCGGGGTCTGCGAAGACAGTGGCGTGTCTCTTATCGATAAACATGGTCTGCAATGTAAGGTGGGGCCGGCTCTGGAGCACGTGATCTCCCAACTCCCTACCTCCCTAGGTACCTACCTACCTTATCGAATTCTGCTAGACCTTCAGCGAAGTCGCGGAGCCACAGATTACCCACCCACATACATACCTCCTTGGAGACGACGACCGACTATTGTGATTGTGCAGCCAGGGAGTCGCCGAGGCAACTGTGGCGATATACATACGTTCATAGCCCGGTACTGCTGAGCGGATAAACCTCTATTGTTGACGACGAGGGGCCAGAGCTCCTCGAGAGCCATCAATCGTCATGTCGCAGACCATCGGGCTGGTAGGCAGAATCTCTCCGTCGTAACCCTCTACCGCCGTCCCTCCCCGTAGCGCCCCCCCCCTCATCCTGCTCTCTGAAGCTCACGGGCGCCGGACGGAACAGACAAAGCTAGCCTACTCGCGCGTGTGGCACCACATCTCGGCGAAGGACCTGCACCCGACGCTCTCGACGCAGCCGGGCGTGACGCCGCCGACGCTGGGGCGGCTGGCGTCGCGGATCGCCGTGATCCTGATGGGCAAGCACAAGCCGATCTGGGACCCGTCGACGGACTGCGGCGACTACGTCGTCGTGACGGGGTGCGCCGCGCTGCACGTCACGGGCCGCAAGAAGTGGCAGAAGACGTACTACCGCCACAACACGCGGCCCGGCTCGCTGCGCTCCGTCACCATGGACGTCCTCATGGCCAAGTTCGGCGGCGCCGAGATCCTCCGCCGCGCCGTCAGCGGCATGCTCCCCAAGAACCGCCTCCGCGACAAACGCCTCGAGCGGCTCAAGGCCTTCGAGGGCGACGCCCACCCCTACAAGCAGAACCTCCTCCGCTTCGGCGGCGTCGAGGTCGGTAAGCCCGGCTGGGACCAGGCCGTCAAGGCTATCAGGTACGCCGACACGCAGAGGTTATAGTACGGAAACCCCCCATTGGCGAGGATACCACAAGAGTGGAGGGCAGGAGGGCTAGAAAAAGAGGCATTAGCCAGGTTGGGTCGGCACCGGGACTCAACAGAGCAATGATCACCGAGCAAAAAACGCTTAGCCTTGTATATCCAAATTGTACCGCGTCGTGTACACGAATTACGAATGCATCTCATGACAGACTACGAAGCGACGGGGGTCCGCCAAGCCATCGATCACTATGAACCATCCCGAGTATTTTTCCTTGCATGTGGCGTATGTACCTACGTGAGGTGGCCAACGTGGGAACCATCGGACGGAGAGTACCACAGTCGGAAGGTGGCCAGTCAGAGTTCGCACAGTGAGAGCGCAATCCTGATAAGTCATGAATTCGAACATGGATGCCTGCGCGATGTGGTATCTAGATACTAGTAACCGAGCCAGATAGTTCCCCTCACACATTGATCATGAGAATGGTTCACTTCGTGGCCCACGCGCTTTCTCCCCTGCCCCTTTTGCCCCCGAAGCAATTACAATTTAGGAGTAGCCAACAGCAAAATTCATAAGAGTCGTAATCCACCATACGAACGCCGGAGACATGATTTATTTATAAAACCACACGGGGGGGGGGGGCGGGGGGCGATAGATCTAGAGAGAGAAAGAGAGAGAAGGGGAGCTAGAAAGACTAGGTATAAAGAGGTAGGTAGGTAGTCTAATCGCGTGATACTTCGACCTTGATGAGCCCGTTGGGTCCGGACTGAGGAGCGTATACCTCGGCATCTTTACCGGTGTTTTTGAGGCCCTTGTGCCATGACAGGTCTGGGAGGAGAGATTAGCAAAAACAGGCTCGTAGGACGTGATTTCGCCGCGACGGAAGTGGCAGGTCTGACTCACCGATCTCGAAGTAGTGCTTGTTGGGCAGGGCGTAGGTCACGGACGCGACGTCGGGGGCAGCAGCGAGGATCTGCTCGGCCATCTTGTACATAGTGTTCTGGACCGAAGGGCTGCTCTCCTCGGCGAAGGTCTTGAGAGAGATGCGGCGGGCGTCCTGCCAGGCGGCGTCGAAGCGGGCGACGCCGTCGGCGACGGCAGCAGGGTCGGCGAAGGTCTTCCAGGTCCAGGTGGCGTCGATGTCGGTGGAGAGGATGCGGTCCCAGGTCTCGGCCAGGGTGGTGAACTCGTCGCGGACGAAGCCGTGGAAGGCGGACCCGGTGCTCTTGAGCACGAGCAGGCCGCCGATGCCGCTGGTCAGGGCGACGCCGTCGCGGGTGACGCGGGCCTCGACGTTGCGCGTCTCGTCGCCGTCGCGGTAGAAGCTGTGCGGGTGCTCCTTGCCGTCGACGACGATGCGGGTCCACCGCTTGACGGAGATGCTGACGTTGGCGACGGTGATGTGCGCGTACGTGTCGAGGAAGTGCCGGCCGAGGAGGCTCGCGTACAGCTCGGGCGGGTTCACCGGGTGCTCCTTGGCCTTGATGTAGATGGTGTTCTTGATCGAGTCGGTGGCCACGACGACGCTGTTGTCCGCCTCCGTGTACGAGCGCTCGATCTCGCCCTCCAGCAGGCAGCAGACCGTCATCTCCGTCACCGTATGCGTGCCCGACGCCTCGTCCCGGTGGACCTTGTACACGCGGACATTGTCCTTTCCGTAGCGGGCGGCTGATACGACCGGCATGGTGAGCTCAGGAGACGAGTATGCTAATTGGGTGACTCCCTTCTCTATCGGCGTTGGGACCTCTTTCCTTTCCCTCGGGGAGGAAAAAAAGAGAAAAGCTGGCGTAGTCCAAAGTCTTACGCTCCGCAAGCGTGGCACGAGAGCAGCGATATCAGGGGTTGGCTTAGCTCTGTGTGAAGGACGAATCTATCCTCGACGGAGAGGGTGGTCGATAAGGAACAATGAAAAGATAAAAGATAAAAAAGATAAGAAATAGGGTATATGTCTATTACACGCCTGTCTCTCTCTCTCACTCTCTCTCTACAACTCTCACTCACTAGTCGAGTGTGTTCTCAAGGAGAGGTCAATAACAAAGAAAAAGGAAACCACACAGAGCAGGAGAGAGACATGCCGGCGCACTCCAAGGTTTATATAGACGTCTCACCCATGGGGAGCTATTAGCAATCGGGCATCTACATTTCGCCTACGTAAGATGCATGTAGTGACTGTAGGTGTAAGTGACCGAGTGATAACGCCCGCTTCATCCAAAACTAGGGGTCACCGCCAACGAAGCTACTACCGAGCTGGGTCTCCCTCTGACCCTTTCTGCCAACCCCCCCTCCTCCTCTCTCTCTCTCCCTCCGTGATGAACCCCGTCCCCCTCCCCCCCCCCGGATCAAGCTGCATACGCACGTCTCATTGCCCTAACGTCACTAGATCCCGTAGAGCTTGCCTACGGGGACACAGGGGCGTAGGCGTGCAAGCGAGTCCGGGACTTAGAAGTGGTAGGCAAGGAGGAGGCAGTTAGCTTGGCCCCCCTTCCTGCAGTGCTGCGGTGCCTCGGTGCTTGCGGCATTGCGGTATTGCAGCTTCGGAAACCGCCTGAAGCGGCTGCATCTATACGAGCTGGGGGAAGGGGGGAGAAGAGAGGGAGGGGCGGGGGTTGTTTAGGTGGAAGGCGGAGGAGAAGGACGAGGTGGGAGGTGACATAGATCGAGAGAGGTGTGGTGGTGTATGGATGCTGGCTATGAGGTACTTACCGCCTACCTACCTGGACAGTACCCGGGACAAGGGGAGGAGAAGTCCGCAAGTTGCCGATAGGAGGAGTTGACGATCGATGGCTGGTGTGTACCTCCCAACGAGGATGTACTCGGTACGTAAAGCACGTAAGCCCACGGCTGGGTCGAGCGCGTACCCTGGGTAGGCGACTACATGACGGCGGTGGGAAGGATTGAGGTTGTGGGAAGAGAAGACGCAGGTATGAGCCGAAGGTGTGCGCGTGGACGGACGCATAGAGCGTGCATACAGGTTAGGTACCTAACCGAACGTACGCATGCCGATGCGTCTAGAAGGAATTGGGTATTGTCTCGCTCAGAGAGAAGAAGCGAAGAGGGGGGTTCCCAGTAAATCGGCTCCAGTCCACAGGCTTACGGGTCGCCCACGTCGCAGCTCAGGGCGGCCGGGGCTTCTAATACCACCCCGGTCGTGATGGACGCTGGGCTGCAGGCCCTTTACCGCACGCTTATCCCCAATGGCGAGCTTAGCGGCTCCTTACACCATCCTGCATCGCACGGAGGCCGCCGAATCCCCTGAGGCTTTGGCCGTCTCCTCCCGTTGCCGGACCTTGCCTGATGTATCTATCAGGTAATCGACCACACACGTGCGCATGCGGTGCACCGCGCGTTGTACGTTATGCCTATCACCACATGTGCCTAGGTTTACTTACGACCGGCTTCGTATATATACACGTTAGGGAGGTAGGTAGGCACCTAATAGGGGGAGGCATCCGGCGGGTGGAAATCGAAATCCCGCAGGTCGGTCCCCTTTATCCTTATCCCAGCGTCGTTGTTATCCTGCGGTGGCATTCCCCTCTTATCTCGCTCTCCCTTCTCGCTCTCCCTACGAGGAGGTACCTCCCAACTCCCATGCCCCTACAACATTACGTACATAGGTGGGTAGCCTGCCTAATCTATAGGGTAGTGCCGATAAAGGCATACTGATAATGGGAGGGGACGGGGTCGGAAGTTTTCCACTTCCCGCCGGCCCGGCGATAGGCACGACTTGGTGCCCCTAACCTAGTACAGCCCGCCTCACTGTCCGAGAGCTCCATTTTCAACTCGATTGCCACGAGCGAACACCGGAACAGACGGTCGCGAGGCGGTCACCTCGTACGATGTTATTGACGCGGGCGAATTGTCCATTCTCGATTCGCTAGTGTGACGAGAACGTCGCTGGCTTGGGTACCGCCCCCGCCACTCGTATCTGCAAAGGAGACTGGCCGCAACCAGAGACAGCCGGGCGCCACGGTTGCTTGATATGTCAAGTTCTAGGCTGTCGCCTTCACCGGGCATATTCGATGCTGCTGTGGATTTGCAGCCGGGACTAGGTATTGCTGTCGAACCAGTCTCGTCGCCAGTCTCGGTTCCCCTCCGTTGCCGGCAGCGGTGTCTCAAGGAGACAACCGGTACTGTCGATGACCGATTCTCTTCCCTACTCGTCGTATCTCGACCGTATTCTGCAGTACCGTGCCACTTCTCCGTACCGCCTCATCCCTAGGTGAACTCGGGATAGTTGGCCTAGTGTTCGTGAAGCCTACCCATTACGGATGAGGTCATCCAACTTCGAGGATAACTTGGCAAATATATACGCATAGGCAAGCTCTTTTAATCTTCGCAGGGGATCACCTGCTAACTCGTTCTAAATGTCTTAGCAACGTCATATACAGACTATATTTAGAACCGTCGTGCTTGAAAATAGAGACGTGTCGGTCGTGTCTAGTTGCTGACGCCAACGTTGTCGCAGGCCGGTGAATCGCCCTTCCTGTCCTTCCTCCTCGACGACGGGCAATAAAATCCTCCGGAAAACGAACTAAGTGGCACTTAGACGCAAAAAGAACTGAAGCGGTTTGCAAGCTTAAGGCCCCTGTCCATGCGAACGGCATGGCCTTGGTATCCGGCCGGTATGTTTTGGCATCTATGGTCTTCCTCGTCGTGAGTATACCTGGGTAATACCTCTTTTTTCGTCAGCGAGTGGAAGAGGATTACTATACTTAGCCTCCTGTCTTCCTGGTGTCCATACACACATATATATGCATATATTGGCAATTAAGACATCCTACAGGGCTGCGGCCGAACGGGCCCGCCAGACTCAGATGGGCGATCTTTACGGTACAGGACGTTTGAGGAATAGGGGCTGACAACTCCCGCTTCCACCTCTTATGTGAAGCTGCTTCTTTATGTGTTCGTGCGACACAACTCCCTGAGGAAATACATTAATATGACAGATACGGATGTTCTAGGAAGGTCGATCTATACACCTTTACTCATCACAAGGTCTACTTCCCTTGCTTACCCCATAGACATCTCGTACCTACGGCTGATGTAGGCCACATACTATATCGTATGTTGACTTGGATGGCCATATTATTGGGGATAGTGTGGTCGGGGGTAGCCATGAAATTTATCTATATATTCTGCCTTCTCAGGCCTCAATGAAGCGGCCCTCGAATTGCAAATCGCAGAATACCCAACTACTTTACGAAACCACATCTGGCAGATTTGGATCAAACCTCCCGCCATGCGCGCCTTCAAAATCACGGCGCTGGCACTCCTGGCGTCTCCCCTACTCGCCTCCGCCACGATGGTCTTCAAGAACAGCGGAACGAAGGCCGGCTGGGACGGGATAAACCAGGAACACCAGGGCACCGTGTCCCAAGTCAAGGACGAGACGTACCGGTCGGACACGGCGCTCAGGATGGTGCAGGTGTATGACGCGAACTACCGTGGCCGGTACCATTCGGAGGTGTATAAGAAGGACGTCTATCGCGAGGGCGACGAGGGGTACTACGGGTTCGCGTTCCGGCTGGATCCGGGCTGGGACACATCGTCGAAGCAGTCGTTCAACGTGGCGCAATTCATCGCAGACCTGACGAAGCACCCGGACAACCGGTGCGGCGACGGCTACATCCCGTCGATGATGCTGTGGGTCGAAGGAGACAGGCTGCAGATCCGGCGCAAGGGCGGCGACATGTGCGCCGCTAGCATGGAGAAGTACACGCTCGGGCGCGTGACGCCGGGCGCGTGGCACCGCGTGGTGCTGCGGGCGCGCTGGTCAAGCACCAAGACGGGCTCCTACAGGGTCTGGCTCGACGGTAAGGAGGTGCTCGCGCGCGACGGCATCGTCAACGCCTACCGCGACAGCCAGCGCAGGTTCGGCTTCCAGTTCCGCGTCGGCCTGTACGCGAACGGGTGGCACGACAAGGGCCGCATCGAGGGCACGCAGCGCACGCGGCGCCTCTGGATCGACGAGGTCGGCATCGGCAACACCTACGCGGAGGCGGACCCCGGCAAGAGACAGCCCCGGCGGCGCAACGTGCAAGACGCAGGTGCTGCCAAGGAGGGGGAGGGGAGCCCCTCGACTCCTCTGGGTTTCGATTCTTGAATATTTGGGGTTTGAGCATGGATAGATGCTTGGATTAGAATGCTAGGAGTGGTCGCCTAGGAGGCGGCCTGTTGTATATAGGTAATAGATCTATACCCACCTACGGCGCCTTGGTCGTCTGCTTGTAAATTGACGCTGCCGATGTCTGGGCGTGCTTGTCTCTGGGGTACGAGTATTCCTTTCCGGAGCATGGGTAGAATAACCTTTAGTATTGGCGTACCTATATTTTGAGGCACAGCAACTTGCCCATCCAATTGATGGATACGTCACACTTCTACATGCGTACATGACCACTGGATATATGTCGCAGCCTCAGATGGCTTCGGGAATAATCGTAGATAGATCGCCATCCTGTCGCGGGCACCCAAGATATCGGGAGAGAGACCTTAGGTACCCAAGGTTAGGAGGTTGGATGTAGGTCTTAGCCTCGTGATCGTGTAGCGTTAGGTACAATAGGTACCTTACCTAAGGCGCGTATCACAGGTACTGCTCTGCAACCTCGGTGGCATGGAGATGTAAGCCAGAGACAGCGGGATGAACACGCGTTTCTGTGGACGTACGCACCTGATGTATCTGGGTCGTACTGCGCAATGTACTTCCCGGCTCGGCCTCAACGGTCTGGAGTTGGCAGCGCAGCCGGTGTACCGGGACAACCGGGCCCGTGCAAAGCCCATGCGGATTCGGCGTCCGAGGTAGGGGTGCGGCGGTATCGCTACATCGTCGAGTCCTGCCTAGGTACCTACCCAGGTATCTACCCAAGGTAGACATCATAAGGCCTGCCCCGCCTTTTGTCTCAGCTGAGGAGATGGCCGTCGATTACATAAATATAGATACTTAATTAAACTTAATAAAGCTAAAATCTTTATAAAGTTCAGCTAGTATTTAGATAGATTTTTTAAAAATTTTTTTAAATAAAATAAAATAAAATAAAGTTTAATTTTTAGATATTTTTAAATACTTTTTATTAAAATAAATTTAAAAGCTATATATTTAGAATTACTTAAATTCTTTTATTTTTTTTATTAACTTAAAATATAAATACTAAAAAAATATTTTTATATAATTTTTTATGTATAATAACCTTTATTAGATACTTTTCATTTAGAAAGAACTTGTAAACGCCTTTTTTACTACCCGGCTACCTTTACTTAGTAAGAGCCGCTCGTTTCTTATTGATTGAAGGCGCTACTAAACCAGGCCCGTTTTTGCATCCTTGGAGCCTTAGACGAATTCCCTAGAGGAATCTCTCCCTAATCTTTTGTCCGCTATCGATCAGCTGTCCCTTCGAGCTCCAGGTCCCCTCCATCCCTGCTGGCTGGGCTCTTGGCACAGGCGGCCGGCCATCCGACCCCGTCTCGGTGCTACCGCTGCATTGGGTGGGATCGGTGGAGGGCTGGATCGATACCAAAACCAGACATACACGAGCACCTCGACGACGCCTTCGAGAATCCCCTATGTGCCTCTGATGTGATAACGGCCAACGCTTCTTCCTCCCTGCTCAATCGCCCTTAGTTGGACACCCTCTGCAAACCCCTCTCTTGGCGCCCTTCTTTTGCGCGTTCACTAGCGTCCCTGCCGATCGTGAGATCCCTTCCCTGCGACGGGTGGCAGCCCAGCCCGTTCCTCTGGAGCAGAGCTGTCTGGCTGGCTCCTTGTTGCTCTCTGTCTGCGTCGGCGTCCAACTTGGCAATTTACCACACATCATCAGCTAGGTCGTGCACCATCCGTCCATCCATGCACCGCATTCCGGCCCTGTCTCAGCTGGTGGGCTTGTCGTCGCTGCCACGATGCTAAGCACCTCCGCCTCCGCCACGCCGACCCAAAAGTCGTTATCTTCGCAACCTGCCCCCTCTACCAACTCCCCCGTTGCTACCTCGCGACCGAGCCTCGATCGAGATGGCGGCCTTCGTCCACCCACTACCGCCGCTGACGGTGCCCGAGCCATGTCCTCTTCGGCCATCTCCTATGCCACAAGGGGCGCCTCCCTGAACCCTTCCCAGCCTCCGGGTAGTTTCAGCTCCGACTTGCGCGGCCAGGCACTGCAGTCTAGGGCGGGTTCGAGGGCCGATGTCTATGGCCGGGACAAGCTAGACGAGGAGGAGGAATCTGTCGCCGAAAATGCCATCAATGCGCTGAAGGACTCGCTCAGCCGTGAGATGAAGATTAAGGAGGGGAGCGAGAACATGCTGGAGGCCCTGAATGCCAAGAAAGCGAAGCAGACCAAAGAACAGCGCCAGCGGGTCGAGGCCGAACTTACCGCTTCAAACACGAGGATAAAACAGCTAAGGCAGAAGATTACAGACGCGCAACGGTCCAAGGCTACACCCAGCACGCCGACGAGGAGCCGGAACGAGGGCCTACTGCGGAGCGATGGCGTGCGGTCACCCCCGAGCGCGTCGAGGAGCGGCGCCGGATCCGACCTGGACGAGCCGACGGAATCCCCGACCTATGCTCTCGCCGAGACACTGCAAGCGCTCGAAGTCGAGGGCATGCCGCCCGAGTACTACGTCGGGTGCGCGAACAACCTGGTCGATCTCTTCAAGAGACACCCTACACTCAAGTATGACCTGGTCTGGTCCATATTCGGGGACCGGATGCAGGTCATGTTGCTGAGCGGTAGCAGGGAGGTTGTCGCGTCCGGATACCGAATGCTGCGATATTCTATTTCCGACATCGCCTCGCTCAAAAAGATACGGAGTCTGAACACGGATTTTATGGTGGTCGTCTCTCTCGCCAAGGATCGCAAGGCTGACGTGGAACGTGAGCAGGCCCTTAAGTTCGTCCGTGCCTTTCTCGACGTCAAGGATGGCATTCGTGAAGTGTCCAGGGCGGTGGTTAGGACCATTGCCGCTGTCGCCGAGCAGGTTGAAGACCGGCTGCGGCCGATCTGTCTAGAGACTCTTGCCGAAATCCTCCTGCGGGACCCCGCGCTCCTGGTCGCGTCCGGAGGCTTGGTGCCGTTGTCAGAGGCGCTCGGCGAAGGCACTTATAAGTCGCCTGAATCTTTGTCTGCAGCTTTCCTCTACCTACTCGATTCGCCGCATACCCGTAGGTATCTGCGAGCCGGCTACGAGCTAGAGGTTTTGTTCACAGCTTTTACCGATGCCTTGTTCTCGTATGAGACGGTCGTGAAGCAAAACTCTAAAGCCATTGCCTCGGCCCTGAAGAGCTGGTCGGGGCTCATGACCTTGTCTATGTATAACTTCCGGGCTATCGGTTCCTTGATATCAAGTCTAATACTACCAAATCCCGCCATAAGGGATACCGTAATAGACTTGCTCTATTCCCTTCTTCGCATAAAGCCTCCGGCCTGGGCGACCTCGTACCTTGCCGGACGGCGCTTGACGACGTACGGGAGAGTCACGACGTTGAAAGCTTCAACACCGAATAAGGACGAAACCGTCTACGAAGACGATGGGGCCGACCAGAATTTCGTAGAGCATTACACCGCGCTGCTCTTGGCCATATTTATTAAGGCGGGAATGATGCCGAACCTACTTCGAGTTGCTCAGGACACCGACGATCCTACGCTGAAGCGGAAAACGACCTTGTTGATCGGCGAGACCTTGAAGCTCGCCAGTAGAATCCTGCCTCCTTCGCGGAGCAGCGAGCTTCAGTTGCTTCCAGAGCTCTTCACCGCCGCTTCCAAATTCAAAGACGAGGCGCATTTCAACGCAACCGGCATCGTCTACCAGATTAGCAGTGTAAGCCGAACGCTCTACCGCTCATCCCCGACAGGCTACGCACCGGGCTACCTCCCCTCTAGTAGTATGCTAGAAAATCTGGGCAACGCTGAAGAAACGCCTAAAGCCAATTCCCTGGTCAACACTGATGACGCTACGTTCCGTCAGTTGCTGATAGACTCGGGAGTCCTTGGTCATTCAAACCCTTCTAAATGGAATTGGGATGTTGTTCTCAAGATTATAGAAGGCCCACTCATGAACGGCAAGCGTCTAGAGGAGGCCATCAAAGCATCGAAATTCGCCAAGAGAATTGTCGGCTTTTATCGACCCTTCAAGTTTAAGTTCTCGGAGATCAAGAATACGCGGAATACCCAGAAGTATGTCAGGGTCGGCTGTGCCCTGATCCATACGCTGCTTCAGACGGCCGAGGGGACAAAATACCTGGTGGACAACAAGTTACTGAGACAGATAGCCGAGTGCCTGGCTCAGTGTGATCCGGTAAGGGCAATCGCCATGGTTTTCTGGACAGGCTTGCTCACTCTTTCTCTAGACCAGCGGCTTAACTGCTCAGTACCCGATGTTCTCGAAAGATCGCCTTACTGACACGTTATGCGGCGGCTACTTTCCCATGCTCGGTGTTTTGAGTGGTGACCCCAGGGGGCTCCAGATGCTCGAGAGGTGGCGGATTTTTAACATGATGTATCACATTGTCGATTTCAAGCAACGCCCGGATCTCATCAAGCTGCTTCTCGCAAACCTCGATTACAGTCTCCAGGGCCACCCCCGCGTACTCCTATCCAAAGCTCTCACAGCAGGCACGAAAGAAATGCGGATACACGCCACCACGATGCTGCGGAAATATGCGACGAGGCAGCGGGTTGCGCCAACGGGTCAGCTCATCTCGGACTCTAAATGGGCAATCCAACTGCTTGTCACCCAGCTTTACGACCCGGAAGTCGAGGTATGTGCCACAGCTGTCAAGATTCTGGAGAAGGCTTGCAATAGCAAAGCTTTGCTGGAATACATAGTGGAATGCCGCCCTGCGCTCGATCACCTCGGCGAGATCGGGGCCCCCTTGCTACTCCGCTTTCTGTCTACCTCCATCGGCTATCACTACCTGGACGGGTTGGACTATATTAGTAATGAGATGGATGACTGGTTTCTCGGACGTAACGATGCCTACGTCGGCCTCATCGAAGCCAGTCTAGCGCGCTCTTTTGTAGACACGCAGGAAGACCAGCCGCATCGCCTTAGCATCTACGAAGAGGATCTTGATATAGAACAAGATAACCACGTACCGCCTCACTTCTATCGAGAGTTGTCCCGCACCAAAGAAGGCTGCAAGCTGCTCGAGGACAAGGGCCATTTCGAAGAATTTGCTTCGACGATTCGAGAGTACGGAATGCAGTCAGAGGACCCGGAACTTATAACGAAAGTCAAAGGCTGCTTATGGGCGGTCGGAAACGTTGGTTCCATGGAACTTGGTGCCCCATTTCTAGAGTCAACCGACGTCGTGGAACACATTGTTAAGATCGCCGAGTCTCACGATGTGATGAGCCTGCGAGGTACCGCCTTCTTCGTGTTAGGACTGATATCGAGATCGACCCACGGGCTAGAAATACTTTCCGAGTATGGTTGGGAGTCGAATACAACCCCGCTTGGGATGTCGCTGGGGCTCTGCGTACCCTCGAACCTGTCCAAGCTTCTCTCATGCACACCTTGGAAGCACGAGATACCCGGATCCATCAGGCTCCTGGATACGCAGAAAACGATCCTGGAGCCCCCGGAGGTGGAGATCATAGAGGACGACGAGACGAATCGGCGGATCCTAGAGCTCATGACCGAGCTAGGCAACATGGTGCTCTACAAGAAGGCCAAGGTCGAGCTGTCTCAGCTGCGCCACAACAAGGCTCCCGGGTTCCGGCAGCCGGCCCTCTTCCGCAAGGTCCTGGCGCTGCTGGAGTGCCACCATTACCGGCTGACAGACCGGCATCTGGTGATCGAGCTGTTCGACAAGAGCGTCCTGAGACATATCGTCTACGGCGAAGAGGGCAGCGACGACGCCGAAAGCAGCTCGGGGGACGAGCAGAGGACGGAGCGGCAGCGCAGCGTCAGTGACCCGGCCGAACTGGAGAAGATTTCGTTGCAGGCTTACCAGTCGTCGATCTAGTATACCGACGTTGAAAGAGCGCGAGGGTGAGCTTTTGGGGGAGGGAGGCTCGAGGGGCCAATGAAGGCCTGGATACGGGACAGGCTGTACAAGTCGGTTTTGGTTTGCCTCTTGGGAGCAACGGTCCAGCTGTAAGATAATAGACCCGACATGATATCAACACGCTTCATTGCACCGCGCGCATCGGAAGGGGGGAGAAGGGGGGTCGGGGAAAGAGGGGGGGATTCGTCTTTTGTCTACTTAGTTCTCTCATCCCTTCACTATTACCGTCACCACTATCTCCCCAGGTTCAAATAAGGAAAATTGGAGCGTGGGCGTTTTTTGGGTTTGAACGAGGGAGACGCGAGGCCCTACCCGCGCCAGGAAACGCGAGGACAGAAAAGCGCCGTCTGTCGCGTCCGGCTGCCGGCGTGTATGTATATGTATATATTTACACCTGTTTCCGCGTCTTGTCTCTTCTGATTCTACGTAAGAGACAGGGATCGGAATATTGAAGGCCCTGCGTGAGAGGTAGATCTAAAAAGAACATACTAGCACCACCTACTTAGACCCGTGTGGTGGCGCGCGCGCGCGCGCGCGCGTGGTGCGAAATGGTGCCGTGTTAAGAGATACCTAGATCGGCTGGACGGGCATCTACAGACGACGTAGAGAGCAAAGAGGGAGATATACTGCTTACGTGTGGGGCGTAGACGCGGCGCGCAAAGGATATTATAACGAGCAGCTTTTCCATCTCCGTGCTCCAGCTGTATACATATATATATATACACCCTCAACAACGCAGGCGTGAGTACTTACACGCCGCAACCCTCAGAATTCTCCTCTTTTCTCAACCTCACAGGCGAACCACATGAACGTGATGGTATATCGGCCGATCGATAAAACAAAAAACAGCACCCATTCCGCTCTTCACCCTCCAGCCTACCTGGGCAGCCCCCTCTACTCATCATCTTCGTCGTCGTCGTCGTCGTCGTCGTCATCGTCGTCCTCCTCTCCCTGCTCCTCTCCCTGCTCCTCTCCCTGCTCCCCTCCGCCCTCCTCGGCCCTAGCCGCCTGCGCCTCGGCCCGGTCCCGCACCCACTCGGCGGCGCGGGCGCTGACGCGCTCGCGGGAGCGCGCGTCGCCGTGGCGCTCCTCCCAGTCGGCCCAGCGGCGGAACCACTTCTTGGCGGCGCGGGGCTTGAGCCCCTGCGCGCGCGCCGCGCGCTCGAACACGTCGCGCACGGCGGCCGGGTCGGCGCCGCCGGGCGCCGCGGCCTCGAGCTCGAGCAGCCGGGTCCACAGGTCGAACCGCCGCGGGAACGTCGCCAGCAGGCCCTCGAACATGGTCCGCCCCAGCTCCGGGTTCCGGTGCGCCGACGTGAACTCGAGCCCCGCGAACCGCGCCATCACCCCCAGCCGCATCCGGGGCGGCAGCGCCTGCGTCGCCCGCGGCAGCAGCGCCCGCGCCCGCGCCGGCTCGTTCCGCACCGCGTGCAGCCAGTGCGCGTAGTTGTACCACACCTTGGGCGACTGCGCCCCGAACTTCTTGACCAGCGCTTGGAAGAGCTCGTCCGTTTTCTGCATCCGAGATATGGTTAGCTCTGGTACTACTGCCTAGCAGGTAAGGGGGGTCAAGATGCGACTCACCTCCGTCTTGTCTTCCTGGATGTAAATGCTGGCCAGGCGCTGGTACACTTCCTCCTGGTCGTTGACCTGGCAGGCGCGCTTGAAGACTTCGCCGACGCTCTCTTCGGTTCCGAACCGAACTTCGAGATTCAGATACGCGACCCAAGCGTTGAGCTTCTCCGTCTCCTCGGAGCTGCTGATAGTCGCCACGGCGCGCTCGGCAACTTCGCGGGCTTTTACGAGCTCGCTGACTTGCATCTGGAGGGCCATGTACTCGATCCATAACGCGGAAGAATTCGGCTGCCGATTGAGGAGCTGCTCGTAATCGACAGCTGTCCTCGGGCCAAATGCATCCAGATCACCGCTCCTATCCACCTCGATCTGGGGCTTCCGCCGCTTCTTTTTCTTTTCGGCGGCACCCACATCCTCGTCTATCTCCTCGTCTGCCACGTCTAGCTTGTCAAGCGCATCGGCGGACCAGTCAAACCCACCGACATCGAGCGGAGCAATCGTGGCATCCTCTCTGTCTACCATCTCGCTATCTTCGTCTTCTAATCCTTCATCTGGGTCGTGAGCAGTTCTTACGATAGGTAGAGAATCTTCCGCATCCGCCATCTCATCGTCGTTATCTTCACCGTTGCCCAACAGTGCGGTGCCAGCATTATCTTCATCTTCGTCACCGCCCTCAGCATCCGTATCTTGGCCGGCGTCCTCAAAGTACGAGGGTTTTAGACCGAAGCTAATTCGCCTTTTTGATTTATCAACCTCCAGGACGATTGCTTTGACTACGTCGCCTTCACTGAATAGCTTTCGTGCATCGCGGACGAGCTTCTCAGCCATCTCGCTGCGGTGACACAACCCGCTGACATTTGCCGAACCATCAACCACGATGAATGCGCCAAATTCTTCTACTTTTCTGACCTTTCCCGTGACGATCTGGCCTTCGCGCAGGTCCTCATAATTTATGAGCGGCACGAATTCCTTGTCAACGACCGAAGCCTTGAGGCTCATTTGTACGTGGCCTATGTCTGAGTCGATGGACACTATTCGGCCTTTAACGAGCTGATCAACCTGGTATTCATCCTTCCAGTCTGTAAGGAATTTGTCCGAAAGATCGCGAATTTTGACCATCGCTGTAACATCTCCGCCGAGACGCACGAAAAGCCCCTTATCAGAAACGTTTTTCACGAAACCTCGAATCACGTCTCCTACGCTGACTTCGGATACTCCAGTGATCTCACGGTCCTTGACAGGCACCGAGGAGTTCAGTACTCTTGAGTGACGGGTTGAGAGCCGGATCTTCTTGTTGCTATTATCGACATCGACAACCGAAACTCGGATTGTGTCGTTCTTAGTATAGGGCAATGTATTCGCCTCACTGTAATCATCACTGAGATCGATGAGATGAACCGGCCCCGAAACAACGCTGCTGAGTTGCACTATGACCTGCCGCTCGTCGACTTTCTTAATCCAGCCGGGGAGGACCATGTTCTGCTTCACGGTATCCCACGTGAGATTCGGTGACGAGTTGCGAGGGCGTGCCGAAAGGTCAAGACGGCGTTCGGCCGCATTAACCGCTAGCACGCGTACTCGTAAGGCGGATCCAATCGGAAAATTTGATTCGAGTTTCTCAAGCTGAGATACATCGTCGGATATTTCCAAGGCGGTGATCCTGCCTCGAATAGTAGGCGAAAGGGTGACCCAAAGTGTCGATTTCTCGATGTTGTTGACAAAGCCTATATGGAAAGAGCCTATTTCGAGTTCCTCAAGTGACAATGCCGTAGAATTTTCGCCCTTTGTATCGCTTGGCTTCGCGGACAACTCCAGGACCGAGTTAGCCGACCGGTGTGTTATGGGGAGGTAACGGTGGTTTCGAGCATCGTGGACACCCAAAACTCGAACCGTGATTGTGCTGTTCACGCGGAAGCAGCTCAGTGGAGCCTTGTGATCAGGTATCTTATCCCAAGAATCAAACACCTGAGACACGTCTACACGACCCTGAAAGCTATCGAACAGCTTGACATTGAGCTGTGTGCTCTTGATCGACACGATCTTAGCCTTGGTAATTTTGCCAATGGATACGTCCATCGACGAGATCGTTCCGCCTACTAAGTTCTCGACGTTGTTTGCCGCAGCAGAGGAAGCACTGGGTCGCGAATCCTTTTCCCTCTCCTCCAACAACGAGGAGGAAACGACGATTCTGCGGTGATCCTTGTCGATCGAATCAATCTTGACGAGGATCGGGTCATATTTTTCCAACCCGAAGTCTGTTTTCTCCTGATCTTCTCGAGGCAACTTCGATTTGGGCAGCAACGCGGTAAGCAGACCGCAAAATTGAACGAAGACTGCCGTGCTCGTAATGTTTCTCACGAAGCCTTGTCGAGGCTCGCCGACTTTAGCCTCCTCCAATGAAGTGAGGAGCTTGCCATCCCGGCTAGCTTTGACAAAACTAGGCTTCTTCGTCAGGGCGATGAACCGGCGGCCCTCGTTCTTGTCCAGGACGACAAGGTCATTAAGGGTTTGTCCCACGCGAATTCGCTTTAGGGCGGATTGGCATTTGCCAGGTCGATCGGCTAGTTGCCATACGGATATGATGGCTTTTAGCGAGCTATCGACCAATTCAACAAAGACGTCGTCTTCCGTTTTCTGCGCGACTTTAGCGGCGACAATATCCCCAAACTTGAGCTTCTTGAGTGCCGCCTGCTTATCAAGGCCAAAAGCAGACGGGTCTTTGCAGGAGACGAAAAGCTTATTTGCCTCGATGTCAAAATTCAAGATGTGGACGTTGACAACTTGTCCTGCTCGGAAGTGCTCCTTCGGGTCTTTAATATAGGCCTCGCTCATTTCTGAGACCGGCAAGAATCCTTGGAGGGGGCCATAGAATTGTACGATGGCACCGCCGGGGAACACCTTGATGATAGTGCCTGGGATCTGCGTCCCCACGACAGCTTCTTCGAGGGACTTCAGGGGGATCGCATCGGAGTTGACGAGGGTTTTCTTTAATGTGAGTTTGACTCTCCGTTTGGTCAAGTCGGTGGAAAGCACGCGGGCTTTGACCTTGAGTCCTTCTCGAAATTTCTTCTCCGGATGCTGCAGCCGAACATCTGCTAGATGCATTTCCGGCACAAATCCAACGATGCCTTCTGCGAGCCTAACAAGCAGACCACTGACACCATTTTGGTCCACCATCAACTTCTCGATCTCACCATTCACAACTTCGCCAATGGGGATGTCTTCGATCCGCAAAAATGGCTGTTCTAGGACGTGTTTCTCGAATGACAGCTGGAACATCCCATCGAGGGCGTTGTACCCCACGATCCGGCCGCGATGCACGGAGCCTGTCTTGAAAGGGCCTGACGACTCGGAGAGTGAGTCGACCTTGCCGTCCTTGACTCTAGAGATGTGCACAAACCCAGACACGCCGTCAACACCTAGATCGACGAATAAGCCGATTTCTGGATCGACCTTGGTAACCGTACACTGCTCTACTACCGAAGAAATGGGAAGAGCGTCCAAAGGCGACGTACTTGAAGCTGTCAGCTTCGACCGTAGACCCAACACATGATCGAGTAGAGAGATGCCAAGTTTCGGATCCTTAGCCGTGGGAAAGTTGCAGATCACTCGAGCCTTGTACTTCTTGCCAACTTTGTACCGAGACTCCAGATCCGCGACCTGCGGACCAAGACCTGAATGGACAAGGTCAGCCGTGACGTCCAAAGAACCCATGACCTTGCCTAATACTCCGCGCTTGGTGATTTCGGATACCATCAATTCCACAGACGATCCTGGTAAGAAGGTATTGATCGTCGTCGCTGTAGACGCAAAGTTCTGAACCCTTCCGATTTTGCTTGAGAGGGTGGTCAACTGCGCAACTTTGCCATTGGTGCTCTTGCCCGTAACGAGGCACAGAAGGACACCCCCGGGTTGCAACTGGGATTCGTGGATGTCCTCGGCAACCTCCTTACGGGGGAGAAACCCTCGCAGGTCAGAGTCGGAGAGTTGGAATTCCATGACGAAGCCGTGGTCTTCGGCGCTGACAATAGTTGACATGATGGTGCAGTTTGTTACTACGTCTTGGCACGACAGACCGGTGTTGGCGAGGTCCGGGCGCAATGACAGTTCGATGTGTCTCCTGGGCTTAGTCGAGGGTGTAGCCGACTCTTCAATAGTGGAGGTAACATAGGCACGAAGATATTGTCCGACTTTGAAGAGAGCCTTCAACTCAAGCCTGTCCCCCCTGGCATCCTCTTCGGCGTCCTCCTCGCCATCATCGGCTGCTTCGGCGGCTATCCTGTCGTTCAGGACATCGCTGATGGCTGTGATTGGTACGTGACCGGTGAGGTTGTTTGGCAGAGCAAGGGCGAGCTCGAGCGTGTTGATCTCGGCGACTTGGCCGAGGACTAGGGAGCCTTTGACAAGACGCTGGCACAATAGTTAACATCTACAAAAAATCCAGACGGGGCATTCTGTATGCTCGATTGAGACCAACCTTGTAGTTGAGGCTCTCGATCTTGGCGCCTGCCTCACGGTGGACCGGCGTGGGTTTTTCTGCGCGTGACACCCGGAGCTTTCTTTTCTTCCTCGACGGCTGGTCTGCCCCTCTCGCGGCCTGTCCCGTACCTTGCTCGAAGAGGACATCCTGCTTCGCCTGAATCGAGATCTGCTTATGCTCGAGGGGGGTGAGCACGCTACCGCCTCCACGAGGAAACAAGGGCTCCTCCTCTCTCAGACGTGACGTGACAGGGGCACTAGGCAGCTTCGACTTTGTGCTGGGTTTCGTATCGCTTTTCGTAGAGGTCTTGTCGGATTTGGGTCGTTTCGACGGTCGAGATTCGGCCTGCGGTTTGGAAGACTTTGAAGCGGATGCCCCAGGGGGGTCTTTCCTTTTGAGAGAGCTCATTGTCTCATGTCTATGCGATTGTCTGGCGTACGTGCGGGCGGGATGGAGGCAGAGAGATCCAAAGGCCGGAATATGATGAGAGATTCAATTAGCTGACGGACCCGGAGAACCTTTGCTGCGATCGACTGGCTGTATCTAAGTGGGATGGGATGTGTCTATGTGGGCACAGCTTCATCTTTTTTTCAACCGAAAATCTCTTGGTCTGATTATCGATAAGCCCCGTCTGCAACGTCAAGCAGGTACGTACTTGGGAGTTTTAGGAGCGATAAGAGATGATGCGGTCCATGATAAGCAGCTTGCATATGTACGTGCATACACGTACTAGTACAATATGAGTACAGGTACCTTAGGTACCTAGTTATGTCCATAATGTACATGCATAAGGTGTCCCTGAGACGGAGATTTGGAGATACATTCCCGCACCTCAACACACTATTAGCGGCCGGGTTCCAGGCTCCAGTTTTCCAGGGCAGGGGATGTACCTGTGTAGTACGTAACGTGAACCCATCCCACACTGTAGCTTGTCCTTCCGAGGTCCGTTCTAGCAGGCCCAGTTCAGTTAAGTAGGTGCAGCACACGCCGACGCGGGAGTGGAAGTCGGTTACAATACAACTCCGGAATCGACAACAACAGAGGGAGCGTCTCATGGAGTTGCACATCCAACCGCCGGGCCCTCCATCGTGATCCCAATGATGCTCCCACGAAAGCGTGCGAGACCAAACCCCTCCGACGGGGGAGGTAATGACGCACACAAACCTGCGACCCGGCCGTCACGAGCTGCCGCCCGTGTTGCATCACTAGAACCGTCCGAAGCTGCGCCCGCCCAGGCAGCACCACCCAGGAGCCGACGTGATCCCGATGCAACCACGACTGCCGACTCCGTCGATACAAAGCAGGTCTGCTATTTACTAGGCAATCTAGCCGTGTTTACCTCGAGCTGCTGTTGACCTCGCTTTGCATCTTTGATAGGTTCGCAAGTCTCCGAGCTGGTATGGCTCTTGGCCACGAGCGCCCACGCCCAAATCATCTGCCTCTACCCAAGTCTCACATCAGACGATAATGGGTGGCACTCTACGACCCGGAGCCGCCGCAGACCTTAGTCGTTACGAGTCCAAGAGGAGCGACAGCCCTGCCGGGGCCGATGCTCGATCGATCCGAACGATGTCGAAGATGTCGGAAACGGTTAGGCCGTCCGAACAGCAGGATAACGAGTCTAGAGGGAGGCTTCGAGATGAAAATAAGTCAGGCGAATCTGATAGAGATACCGACCCAAAGGACCAAACCCAAACGGGTCAAAATGCGACCGCGAGCAGTAACAACGAACCTCCCCCGACGGAAACGCCAATCCTCCAACCGCAGGCTTCCTCGGGCTGGTTGGGATGGTTTAGCAGGCCGTCGGCGCCTGACGTCGTAACACCGAAGGACGAGGCGCTACAAGATGTGACATTGAACGACCAAAACATTGAAGTTGACTCTCCTAAAGAACCGGAGAGTGCACAGCCGAACGCCGCCCAGCCCGAACCTGAACAGGCACCACGAATGGAGCCCGCGGAGCCTACCAAATCGACCACCTCTTGGTTTGGGTTTTGGTATTCATCTACCGCGCCACCAACCCCCGACGACCCCGCGCAGACAGCCATCGAAGCACCGTCAGCTCAAGATCCCACCCCTAAAGAAACACAGGATGTGGTGATGGAGGATGCGCCACCACCGAAGCGGACAGAAACGGGCAAGCCGGCCGCGAGTTCCACCTGGGCTTTTTGGTCTAGGGACACGGGCCAGAAAGACAGCGCAAAGGCGGCGACCGTCCCAGAGCCTGGCGAGCTGGCTATCATCGGCGACGGCTCAGAAGCACACCCGAGGCGCTCAACTAGCCTAGAGATAAACGGAAATGATGTGCCTCCGAAGGAGACTTCGGTCAAAGCCCCGAAAGAGACGGCAGTTAAGGCCAAGAGGAGCAAGAGGGTACGGCCGCAGTCCATGGATATAGACGAAGCGTTACCGAGACCAGAGACTCCCCAGTCAGACATGTCTGCTAAAACTGCGCCTCTCAAGTCGACGACTGTTCCGGGCCCCGGCAGATCCTCAACCCAGAACCTGCTTCTGCCGTCGTTTCGAAGCACCTATCGGATGAAGGACAATCCGTCGATAATCAAGCAAATCACCCAGCTACTGCTGCGTATACAACAACCTCCCGGAAACCACGTATTTCTCGTTAAAGAACCGCCAAGAATCAAGAAAGCGGTTGCTATAGGTATACGGTATGTACGAAAATCATTACGGATATCGATTATTGTTTTCTGGAGTTTTGTTGTTCGCGGCCGAAGCTAACGTGTTTGCAGTATGTCACCACTCTCCCGCTTCATGCTCTTCTCCCAACCTCGTACTAGGCAAAGCCGATAGATTTGATGGCGGGATCTTGTCTGCCTCGTGTGTGATGTTAATTTGTGACAGATGGTCTTTTCCCGGCTGCGTATCTACGCCCGATGATAGGGCAACCGACGGGAACCTCGATCCGCTTCGCGAATCATTGTGCTGAAGCGATCCGGAGGTGGGCGGACAGCCATGGCTGTGGCGACTGCGAAATCGAAAAGATCGCTCTCGAGGGGGAGGGCAAGATTGCGGATAGAGTCGACAACCTCTGGAAACTACTGTTGAACTGGATCGACCATATTCGTAGGGCTGATCTCATCGTTCTAGCCTGCCATTCTCAGGGCGTCCCTGTCGGTTTGATGCTGCTCGAAAAGTTGATAAATTTGGAAATTATCACGCGCTCTAGGGTTGGCGTTTGCGCTATGGGTTCGTACACTACGCCGATGATACCACCGTGACCCGTGGTTCTCGCCTCTGACTTTTGACTATTAGCCGGTGTATCGCTAGGACCTTTCCCCGACTACAAGTCGGGCATGGGCAGTGAGTTTTTCTCGAAATCGTTTCTTTTAAGACATGCCGTTCCATCTACTTCTGATGATAGTCGGCGAGCTCACCGAGCCTCCGGAAAAGCCGTGGAGACTGCTACGGAAGGATGCATGCTAACTGTAAGTGTTACAGTGTTGATGGGCACCGCTGCCGAACTTTGGCAATTCGCGGACCCCGAAAGTGAAATCTCTAAAAGATACCAGCATGCACTCGAGGCTGTTATTGGATACGGTGCCCGTGTCACGGTAAGTCGAGGAATTCTGGTTCCGGCCCCATCCGCGAGCCTTGGCTGTTTACGAGTACTGAGTGCCGATATACAGTACATTGGCAGTATCGATGATCAGTTGGTTCCAATGGAGTCGGCGATCTACTCGCCTGCGTCACATCCTTACATCTGCAGGGCAGTATTCATTGATGGGCGTATCCACGCGCCCGACTTCATCGCCCACCTCGTTGGGTTCGCGTTGAAACTTCGGAACCTGGGCATCAGCGACCACGGGCTCATCCGCGAGCTCTCTGTGCCACTGGCCGGGAGTCTCTATTCCGGCGAGGGCCATTCGAGGCTCTACGACGACGAGCAGGTGTACGAGTAAGTTATACACATCTACGTCTACAGGCTACCTAGCTAGCACATGGTACGACCCGAACCCTGCTAATGTGCCGAAGCTTGGCGATATCGCATGCGCTCGAGACGACCAACGTGTCGGGAGTGCCGTGTCGGGTTCATAAGCAAGAACGATTGGCAAACCCCAATCCCTTCATGTTGCCGTGGATCATGCGCGGGTTGCTGGAGGAGGAGTTTGTTCGGACGGAGTTGTACTCGGAGACGGTCGAGTTGCTGCAACAGTTTGACGATTGGTCACCGACCACTAAGGCGCTCAAGGATGTCAAATATAGGTTAGAGGCGGTTCGGTCGAAACTATAGCACCACCAAAAGGGGGGGAGTATTGTTATGGCTTAGGATTAGACGGGAATTTGGCGACCTGTGGTTTTCTACGGGGCCGGGATCGGGACCGGGTAATTGGATGCATATATTAGGCGTTGCGTGGCCCTGACTTAGCACGATGTGCAATCAATTCTACCTCATGAGTACACGATCGATATCCTCTTCGGACACCAGGCACCTTACCCACGGACGGGTAGCCGGTCAGAGTGCACACGTACCTCCGTAGTATACTCATATACGCGAGATGTCTGCGCACCTCGTAAGACTCTCGATGTGGGGTCTGGATATAGGGGGGGAGCGCACGGATTTAAGAACGGTGAGGCAAAAGCGGACGAAGGTAAAGAATGGGTTAACCTGGTATAAATTCTGATGGGTCGGGCATGAGGCCAAAGGGCGGAAAGGAGGATGTGCAGGGCCGGGACGAGCCGGTGGGAGAGGTTCTCTCATTTCCAGCTCGTCCGTCCAGCACATACTGGCCAGCCTCCTTGGTTCCCCAAAGAGGTACCTATTATCTGATTTATATCTACCTGTACATAGGTACTTATAGGTCTCGTAGGTGCGCATTTCTGCCGGCAGTTAGGAGGTGGGAGAAGGCAGGTTTGGTACCTTAGGTACCTAGGTACCTGGCAGGCAGGTTCTGCACGATTTACCCCCCCAATGCACATACGCATACGTACATATGTCACTATGGAATTAGCTCTTGTAAGCCTACATCTGCGAGTCGTAGAATGTATGCGTCTACGTTTTACGCAACAACATAAATATATATATAGGAAAGGGGCAAATTGTACGTGGGATACTGTCGTGGGTAGCCATCCGAACTACGAAGGCGCGCGCGTATGCACGTACCTAGCTATAAGATATGCACAATATAGGGACAGAAGGTCGAGCAGAAGAACCTTATCTGGGAAAAGTAGGGGTTGGTCGCACCGGGCTATGCAACTAACCACGATAACCCCACGCGGCGAGGTAGGGTTGAGTGTATAATTATGTACATATGCGCACAAAGGGGGGCCACGATGACCGGGTTCCTGGCCAGGAGGCGCCGAGCTTTCGGCGGATTTGCTTGTCGTTTCCACGTTGCTGTCCTTCCCAGCGAACGGGTCCCGATGCTTGGGGTCACTTGCGCGAGCTCCCTGCTGGACTTAGCGTGCCCTCGACGCCTGAGGTCCCCCCCCCCCCCTCTGCAACCTGCTTCGACTTGTACCTGGCCAGCGAGGAATGCATTGTGACGTGCATGGCCATGTACATGCCTCTATTCTTCCCACTGCTAATCCCCGGCAGCCCGTCCGTCTCCTATCTCATACACCCGCCCGCCACGCTTTGCTGCTCTCCTCCAGTCACACACGGCTGTAATACTTCACCGCACCCGAAGCCTCGCGCGCAGTTGGCCGTCCTACCTCTGACAGATCTCGTACGCGCATACACCGCAGCTCGAGAGATCTCGTTGTCCCGTATCGACCGGCCCAGTTGCGTTACCGACGCGAGCAAGCTCGTCTCCCTGCCGCTACCCTAGACATACCCGGCGCGCAACGTGATGGATCGGTGTCTGACCCGGTGACTTGGATGATGCAGGGAGCGCACGAATCTGAGGCGACAACGTGAGCATGCGAGAGATCTCCCTGGGCCGTCCCTGCCGTTGCAACCTATGCTGACGTTTCTTCTTCTGCTAGTAGGCAACGCGGAGGAACGCGCCTTGCTTGAGGTGCCACTATGATGGCACTCCTAAATCCGACTTTCATCTTCGGCGTCCTCGTCCTCCTCTACCTATCGTCCTTCGTCTTGTTTGCCGTGCTTCGCATAGCCACCGGTATATCGATACAGCGGATCGGCTACTTCTCGCTCCGACGCTTGGCCTACTCTCCTAAAGATGGGATCAAGATCGAAATCCGGGGCCTCGGCCTCAACCTCCACCGCCCGACCTTCTCCCAGCCGACTTGGCTCAGCCTGGTCGTCAGCGAGCTCGCCGTAACCGTTGACATCCAGGAGCTCGAGGGACAGAAGCACCTCGACGTCGAAGGCACCGAGGGAAACAACGAAAAAAACAACAATAATGTGGGGGAACGGGGATCGCAGCATGTCAAGCTCAAGGCTTCATCCGAGAATCCGGGCCAGGCACGGGTTGAACCAGCCCGTGGCGCTACTTGGAAGCAACTCACAAAAATTAAAGAACGCATAAAGAAGCTACATCGGAATGTCAACTGGCTGCGCATGGTCGATGTTGTAGCGACTGATTCGACGCTTCACGTCGTGGACACTGGCAAGGTCCAGTTCGGTAGTTTCACCATGGCCCTCGACACTCGGAATCGTATGGTTGACCGAGCCCGTTTCTTCTTCCAGGCCGGATCTGCTAAGAACCGACAGCAGCAGTCTGCCGAATGGATCGTCACCCTTCGGAGCGTTCTCTTTACCGCCAAAGGGGGCGAGGCCATTGAGGTCTTGGACAGTGCCACGCTAAACGTCCACGGGTTCCTCTACGATAACCTAGACGGGCTTCGGGACGCGGGCATAGCTCTGAAGCTGGGTAGAGTGCATGTCCCCTACGACGACATACGGAGCTGTCTCGACCTCTACCGGAAATCTAAGCGTCGATCTCCCACTGCCTACACGCAGGCCGAATCAATCGAAGTACTGGTTGACAAGGTCATCCAAGAAGTCGACCAGCCCGGAAGCACCGATCAGGAATTGATGCAAACTGTGTCTGATTCTAAGAACTTCGCGAGCTCTATTCTCCGAGGCATCAAGGAGGTCCAGTTCGCGGCTAGCTTCGTCAGTCTCACAAAAAGGTTAGATATCGTGAAGTCAGCTGGCTCGCCTTTGCTCTTGAACGCTTCGATGAAGGAGGTCGGCATCGATCTGCATCGCCTAGACCCCAAGTCACCGGCACACCGCATGTATTTCCCGTCAAAGGATATCGCTCATGAGGCTCTGGCGGCGGCGTTGTCAATCTCCGTTGGTCTCGATGACGGCCATGGGAAGCCAGAGAGAGTGGTGTACATTCCGATGGCCACCACTACCGTAAAAACTACTCTGCCCTCGAAGACTGTCGAGCTTTCTGAAGTCGGGAGCGCCGAGGAAAGAAATGCCAACATCCTTTTCGCAAACTCCGTCGTCACGTCGCCTTCCGTTGATCTAGACCCGAAGCATCTTCCCGTACTCATTGCCCTCCTCCAGCCTCGACCGAAGGCCCCGAGAGCGCGTGTGCAGCAGAGGCATATGCTCATCTCTCGCCTGCTGCCGAAAGCTAACATCAAATTCTCCATGCACGAGCCGGTTCTGAGGATAGCCCTGCCGCCAGTCCAGAAGACGCAGGACCCGGATGATTTCGACTTGATCATCTCTTCCATCTCCTCCATATCACTCGACCTCGAATCTCTCCACTCCGTGATGGAAGACCTGCACTACTCTTTAGTGTCGTCGATGCGAATACAAACCCATCAGCTTTATTACCAGACTACTCAAGGCAGCCGATTTGACTTGATCGAGACCGACTCGTTTGACCTCAAGGTCCAGCTCTCGGCCACGCCCGATGTCCATGTCGTCGCGAATGGGTACCTCCAAACCCTTGCGATTCGCATGACGCGGCCAGAGATAACGGAGGGCCTGCGCCAAATAGTCCGCCAGCTTAAGCTGGACGTCGAGCCCGACAAGCGGGTAGGGCCGAAGACGCAAAGGTCGAAAAACGTCATCCGCGCTTTTCCGCAGTGGCTATTTCATTTCTCGGTGCAGGTTGAAGATTTCAGCGCCGAAATAACGGGAGTCGACGACGACTTCCCAGGGAGTCCACGCGGCGTCGTGCTTCAGATGGAGTCGTGGTCGACGGAATATCGTGCTCATAGGTTGGATACCTTACGCCAGAGACCGCCCTCGAGGAGAAGGGCAGTCAGCCGGTCTTTTATCCCCGATCCAGAATTCTTAAGTGCCATTTCCACACCTCTCTCTCCGCGCAAGAAACAGCAGTACGATGGGGATGGGCGAAGGCTTACGGTCCATATACGTGGCCTCGAGGCATTCATAGCCGAAGCCCCGGAGAAATGGGAAGTTGACCCCTTCTTCCAAATACCTCGTTTCGAGGTAGCGCTCTCCACGCACAGCGACGCTCAGGGCCCGATACTGCACCTTCATTCCCATATGAAGACGCTTCTTGCCAAGTATTCGCTCTTCAGACACTACTCCGTAGGCGTCGCCATCATGGTTCTGCGAAATGCGTTCACGAGCGGGTCGACATCCCAGCGTCCGGCGCCAGCAAGCCCGAGGGCAGGGCATCTGAGCCCTCCACTCGTATCACCTGACTCGCCCGCCGCCGGCCAGACAGATGGCTTCGGCCGACAGCCTAAAGAGCTTGTTACTTTCGAGGTAAAGATTTCTCTGATCCAGCTTAAGGCGGATATGCCTTCCGGCCCCCCCTTAATGCTGCAGGTCTACGGCATAGAGGCTGGCCGGCATAGATGGGCACCCCCATTCGTCTTCTCCAAACTAGTGCGCTTATATGCTGGCGCACCTCGAATGAGAGGAGTCTGGGCGCGCGTCGTAAGCATCATGTCGATTCGTCTAGATTATCGCGAATCCCGTCGAAAGCTATCTGCCGGTGGCTTCCACAATGAGAAGATGTTCGATGTAGTGACGGATGCCGTGCGATTAGCTGTGCCTCATGAGCTTATCATCCACGAAATATCCGACAGTCTTGTCAACGTGTTCAAGGCGACCCAGCAGCTTCATCATCGCTTTAAGACTGGCACAAACGAATATATCTTGGACAAGGGGCCGGAAGGCCCGAAGAATGTGCCCAAGGTGTCTCTAAAGGCTCGCACTTTCTTATTCGAACTCGAAGATGGTGCTTTTGAGTGGAAGCTGGGTATGATTTACAGAGCTGGGCGTGTTGAGCAGCTACAGCGACTTGCGCGTGAGGATGCTTTCCGTGTCAAGGCGAAGAAGATCCACGAAGAGGGTATGAGGAAAGGATCCCGGAAACGCAACCGGTCAGCGAGGGCGAGAGGGAGAACCGCACATTCGAACGCTTCCTGGGCACGAAGTAGGAGCGAGGACGACCTCGGCAAAGAAGATCACGATGAGCGTCCCCACGCTGAGCTGGGCAGGGGAAGAAACCCGCGGTACGATCCGGAGACGGTTTGCGGTATGAGCGGCAACGCCCACGTGTCGATTCAGGAGGCTCGTGTCAAACTTCACGAGCATAACGCCCAGAGCTGGAAGAAGCGCATCGACCGTGATTATTTAACGGCAAAATCTCAGATGAAGGAGATGCGTGGCTCGTTCTGGGGCCCGGATCACATTCCCGACGATATCGAAGACAACGAGAAGATCCTAGAAGTACCGCAGCGGCCAGCACTGATGGGCACGATCATAACGGATCTGCACGTCGTGATCGACAAGCCATCGTTCTCGATCCAGAAGCTGCCAGATTTCCTCCACGAAGTCGGAAAAGGGATGCCAAGAGACATGGAGTATTCTCTCCTTATCCCTATGAACGTCCAAGTTCATATGGGCGAGGCGAGAGTTAGTCTGCGAGATTATCCTCTACCTCTGTTCCACGTTCCGGGGATCAAAGTTGGCCAATCGTCTAAGCTCGCCGCCTTGTCACTCAAGACGGATTTTGTCATCGCCGAAGAATACCACGGCAATGAATCTACTCGCAGTATCAGAGTACAGATCACTCCGCCTAGTAATCCAGAACCAGGCGTGTCGAGCGGGAGGGGATTCGCTATCGACGTTCGCCGCACGATAGGACCAGTGAAATCGTACTCGGATATGCACGTCGACATCAATACCGCGCATCCTACAAGAATTACCTGGGGCCCGTCGTATCAACCGGTTATTCAAGACATGATGATGGCTATTGAATCATTCACCAAGCCGCAGTTGGATCCGTCGGAACGCGTAGGGTTCTGGGATAAGATAAGGCTCAACTTCCACTCTCGGGTACGGATTGCATGGAGGGGAGGTGGCGATGTCCATCTTGCTCTGAAGGGCACAAGAGATCCCTATAATGTTACCGGCAACGGCGCCGGGTTTTTAATGTGTTGGCGAAATAACGTGAGATGGGACGTTCACGCTGACGACGACCCGAAGAGATTCATGACTGTTGAGAGCGGCGACTACGTCCTCGCAATACCCGACTATAGTCATCAAGTTAGGGAAGCATCGCGTCGTATCGGAGAGGACGAAAGCATGGTGAGCGAATCAAGTCTCAAATCCAGCGCTGCATTCAAGAAGGTAGTCATGAAGCTGTCCGGTAACGTACAGTGGATGGCCGGACTTGTCTTCGAACAGGCCATCGAAGACGGGAGACGCAGCTTCCAGTTCGCGCCGCATTACAACGTTGTTCTGAAGGCGCCGCAGCATGCGAAATCGCAGGACGGCGATCTGCCGTACGATGCCTTCAGGGGCTTCCGGAGCGAATACATCCACCTTTCAATCGCAGTCAGGGCCCCCGCCGGCCGCGATTGGGCATCGCCGGACGTGCAACCTTCGAAGAGCTACAACACGGTGCATTTAACCCCCAGATTCTTCACTCACTTCTTCGCCTGGTGGTCTTTATTTAGCGGCCCGATGTCACTGCCTGTTCGTCAAGGCTCACTCTGGCCCTTGAGAGAAAAGAGCAGCAAGAAGTTTGGGAGGCATCTGGGTACGATCAAGTATAACCTCCTCTTGGCCCCGTTGTTCCTGAGCCATATATACAAGCATAAAGATGTCGACAAATATTCCGAGAGCTCCGTCTCGGCTACTGGTATCAAAGTCAGGTTCGACAGCTTTATGCTCGATATCCACCAACGCCGGGAGGAATTCAATACTCGAGACCGGGGTCACAAGACAAACGGTAGAACGACTGGTATTAAAATGCACGCTGCTCAGCTCGACCTGGTATCCGCAGATGTTCGTGCTGTCTCTGCTAGTGTCGGAGGTACGGCCGCCGCGGCGGTTAAGAAGGGTTCAGTTTCGACTCTGTTATCGCAACAAGATGACGACGTCCCAGACTACTCGAATTTCACCATCCCTGACAACGATTTTAGTTGGATCGATATGGACGACTTTGTCGAACTTGACTGGATTCTGCCGTCCAAACCAAACCCAGATACGCAAATTCTGCCTTTGGTATACTCGCCTCACATTACTTATTTCAGACAAACCGATATTGGCGGCATCATTGATGGGGACCCGGACCGTACGAGCCCTTTCGGGGACGAACCCACGCATCTCTGCACAATGAGCCAAGATGACGATCCTCGGAGGGTTCAGTCGCAGCTCATCCAGACTCGTTTAGAACAGTTGCGAACTCAGATCGCGGTCAACTCACGCAACGCTGGCGAAGCCGAGTTGCGCTCTCTCCAAAACGACTCCGACTCCGACTTCAGAGTTGACTTTGAAAGACTCAGCAGGCATGTCGCCGTCCTGAAAGACAAGAGGTCATTTATGGAGAGCATGCTAGAAGAAGTTACTATCAAGGCACTTGCCAACGGCCTGGGGATATCAACAAAGGACTCCGAGCCTCAAAGCCTGGGACTGAACGAGCCGGCCGACAAGGGAGGGGAAGTCAACGGACAGCCAGGGGCGGAATTTGCGAGCGACTTTAAGAACAGGTTCGTGATTCACAATATGCAGCTAAAATGGAACAACCTCCTGCGAAACATCATTCTCCGGTACAGTCATCAGGTCAGCCAGCGGCGCGGCTTTGTTTACTATCTGTCTCGGCCTGCCGTCAAATTCATCTTGGACATCGTCGAGGAGCAGGCTAGGGCTAAGCAGAACGGCAAATCCGCAAACGCACCCTCCAGCGACGCTCCCCCAGCCTCCGACGGCGGCGGGCAGTCTAGTGACGTCGATGAAGATATCGAATACCGCATCAAGCAGATTCTCCGAGACGGCAGGAAATATGTCGACGCGGACGGATACTCTTCGTCCGAAGGCCCTAGCAACACAAACATGGAAGACCTCACGAGCAGTATTGCAGACGAGTTCGCGCCTCAGAATTCCTACCACGTCCGTTTAATCGCACCGCAAATCCAACTCCAAAGCGAAAAGAATAAAAAGCATGTGGTCTTGATCACCGCCAAAGGAATGGATCTTAAGGTGGTTGAGGTTATGGAGAAGGCTAGACTGTCCGACCAGGTCAGCGGTTTAGTCCAACGGCGTTTCCTCCTCAGAATGGACAGCGCTCAGTTCTTCGTTACGCACCAGAAGTGGTTCTCGGGTCAGTTATTATCTATGTATTCCGGAAACACGTACGGGACGCCTTCCGGTTCGTCCTGGCCGCCCTGGGTGCCCATGGAAGTCATGTACGATTTCAAAACGGATCCTTTCGGCTTCAAGCGAGTTGTGCAGAAGACATCAGCCATGCTGAGATACGACAAGTTCAACACTCTCCGACTGAAGTACAATGACGAAGTCAACACCGAGGGCAACAATCCGACAGCAGAGAGCACCGAGACCAGGATGGACAACCTGTGGGTGGAATTCCCCCAGGCTCGAGCTCTATGCAACTCGTCTCAGTATTACGCCGTGTACGTCATCGTGCTTGATCTTCTCATGTACAGCGAACCGCTAGAGAAGACCAGGAGCGAGAGATTGGAGAAGATCATGCTGGCGTCAGACTTTAGCGATCTGCGAGGAACCCCCGAAATGGTCACCCGACTGCAAGAACGCATTAGGCAGCTGGAGGATATCAAGACTCATTTCCAGGTTCACTCGAAGTACCTAGACAGGAAGGGGTGGGAAGACAGGCTGCTCCTGGAGCGTGATCTCTCAGCCTGCGAAGATGAGTTGTTCTTCATGATGAAGGCTATCACCACTTCGCAGAGAAAGTACGACAATGCGTCGCAGAGCAATGCCTTATTAAGATGGACCATCTCGGCAAAGGAAATTGTCTGGCATCTTATTCGAGATAACAATGAGCCATTGGTCGAACTACAGCTGGGCGATGTCGAGTACGACCGTACCGACAACTCAGACGGCTCTCATATCAACTTGATGCAGGTTGGCAAAGTGCTGGGCCTGAACCTCATGCCAGATGCGATCTACCCGGAGATGGTCGCGCCCTTCTTCGAAGACGGGAAGGCCACTACCGCCAGCCCAGATGAGAAGCACATGGTCCGTGTTTACTGGCACATGCTGGAAGCCATCGCGGGGATACCCGTGATGGACCACTTCGAAGTGAATCTATTTCCCATGAGGATTCAGCTGGAACACGAAGTAGGGAGGAAGCTTTTCGAGTACATCTTCCCTGGTATGGATGGAGATGGGCCAGTTGAACAGAGCGACACGCCCTTCATCATAAAGTCGATGTTCCCGGGCGAAGCGGAGGACGACGAAATTGCGGACGATGCCATGTCCGGCTCCAGCAGGGTCGGTACTGCGGTCTCGGACAAGGACTCTACCTTTTCGGCCAGGGCGGGCTCCTTGGAGCTTCGTCTTCAGCCCACACTGGCTCTCGATTCACGTGCGCCCGAAGATCAGAAGTCCAAGGCCGTCAGTATCAACTCGGGCGACGGTAGTAGTAGCAACGTACTCCGGTTCTTCGGCTCCAAGACGATCAGCAAGAAGCCGTCCTACGAGTCCTTGCATGCTACCGGCCCCTCACGACAGGGGATCGGGCGAACCCCGACTGCCACCTCGTTTGCTACCAACGAAACCAAGAAAGCTGGACGGTTCGGCCTTACCTGGAAACCCGCTAACTCGCAAGACAAGCCTTCGGACGACTTGACAAAGATGATTACGCGTGCCTCCAATTACATGACCTTTGCGTATATCAAAATGCCTTCGGTGGTCCTCTGCCTCAGCTACAAGGGCAAAGGCGATCGGAACCTCGAGGATGTACACGACTTTGTCTTCCGTCTGCCTACGATTGAATACCGGAACAAAACCTGGTCCAATCTTGACCTAGCCCTAGAACTCAAGTCTCGCGTGATCAAGGCGCTGATCTCTCACACCGGCGCCATCATCAGCAACAAGCTTAACAAACACCGGCCCAACATAGCCCAGCAGAGCAAGCAACGCGAACTAGCAACCAGCAACGTCCTCCTGGCGACGCCAAATGTATCCAACAGCGGCGACAACAGCGATGATTCGGCGAGCATATTTGGAACGAGCCCAGTGGACTACTCACGATCGCCGCCCAGGAGCGTAAGGGGCGTGCAACCGAATATCTCCGTGCCGCAACGGTCCAACAGCCGAAGCTCTAGCATCGCCTCGTCGCGCTCGTATAGCCGCTCGTTCCGCGACGGCGTCGAAGGCAACAATAGCATCATGAACAACAATAACAACCGAAGCACGCCCCCCCTGCCCTCGTTTGTCAAGATGACGCCGGCCACGCCCGTGGACCGGTCGCCCACCGGCTTCGGAGCCGACATACCGCGGCCGAAGACGAGCAGCGGGATCAACGCGCTGAGCCCGTTCCGGGCGGCGACGACCATCGGCAGCCCGCGGGTCGACGCCAGCGGCCGGCGCAAGTCGACGTCGACGGGCTCGGGCGGCTTCTTCAAGGGCAAGCTGAACGCGCTGACGAGCCGGCTCATGGACCGCGAGAGCGGCGACGCCAAGAGCGTCAGCGACTTCAGGGCGGGCGCCCGCGACGACGAGCGCGACGACGGCCGCGACGAGGACAGGTGGATAGGCTAGCGGGTCGGGGACGCGGACGGGAACGGTCGGCCGCGGCATGCCGCGGGCTCCTAGTTCGCCAATTGCCCGTCGCGCCACGAGAACTACTAACTCAGCGCCTGCACGGCCCAAAGAGGGGAGCCAGCACACTGATCTAGGGAACGGAGCGGGCTTTCACGCACACACAGCAGGCCCCGAGCGCGCCAGGTAGCCAGGGCCAGAGTCCAACGATAGGAGAGCATACATAGTAGCCCTAGCGCCTAGTAGTAGTGGCGCACAGCAAACAAGACGAGCGGTAGAGGTGGTGATAGATGGTAGTGGTAGCGTTGCATTCTTGCATGGGAAAGGAGCTCGGAGAAGGATACACAAAAATGGATTTGCTTTTTCCCCCGATTGGATAGCTTAATGAGAAATACAATATTAATCAACGAACGGCCTGATGCCCTCGCCGCCGGACATGTTGGCTGGGATAGATCTAGACGCGGCAGTTGCAAGGGGGCAGCATCGCAGAGGGAGTGGAGTGAGCAATAATCTTCGGTGTGTATGCGTGTGTGTGTGTGTGTGTGTGCTAGCTATCCAGCCATCGTCTAGATACCATTTATGCTTTACCAAGCTAGTCACAGCCTCCCCGCTCTGCGGAAGATGTAGTAGGCCATCCCGAGCTGGTTCGTCTATCTGGCCTCGCAGAGAGACCTTCGTTTTCGAACACATGGCGTCGGCTATCACCTAGTCGTAGCTAATTAGGTCTGCGCATAGCAGGTCCGAAAGCAGGTAGTAGAGCATGCCTCCTCACCTGCTTCCTCTACAGGCCCCCTTTGCCCGGTCCCCTACTATCGTCAATCCCAATAGTGTGAAGAGATAGATAGACCACACCCGGATCGCGCGTTCCTAGCGCGGCGGCTCACAGGATTCATGCTCCTCGTCGGGCCCGACTCTCAGATCGGGGAGACACCTTCCAATTACATAATATGTCTCCAGGTCTCGTTCCTCGGGGGTGGCGTGCGAGGTAGGGGACTGGAATTGTGCTGTGCGTCCCTTGCTGGGGTGATCCGTATTAAACGGGCATACAAGAGTCGCAAGTCAGCCAACCCGGCCCGTCTCAGGCAGTCAATCCGGCTCTGCTCCGCCGGCGGCCGATTCCACGATCATCTGCCTTTCTTATCGCGACGCCGAATGGTGGTCCTCACCCGGTAGCGGCAGCGGCAGCAGCGGCAGGGGCGGCGTCGAGGTCAGTCATGATGAAACCGGGGCTCCAGTACTCCCACTCGTCCGGGGCCTGCTTGTCGACCCAGAGCATGCCGCTGGCGAGGAGGTCGTCGACGGCGGTGCGGGCGCGGGCGCGGGCCCACCCGAGGCTCGCCATGAGCATCGACGCCGTCACGTAGCCGAGCACCTGCGCCGCCTCGAGCGCCGCGCTCTGGTCCGTGCTGAGCTCCCTCGGCACCGACCGGATGTACGGCTTGTTGCCCACGCGAACGATGGCGTGGCTCGAGCCCAGCGGTTTCAGCGTGCCAACGGCGCGGAGGACGTCGTCGCTATCAGGTGGGGTTGGTTAGCTGATCGTGTAGCGGCGGCGGCCGGGTAGGTAACACATCACAAAGATGGCGAATGGTATTTCGAGGGTAGACGGGTCAAGAACGGGCAGGGGAAGGAGAAGAACGACGTACTCGGTGATCTCGGGGGCGCCCTCCATGCGGCCGCGCATGACCTTCTCGCGGACCTCGCGGACGCCGATGAGGCCGCCGTTCTCGGTGCGGGTGGCGCCGCAGACCTCGACGACGCGCACGGCGAGCTCGAAGTAGAAGTCGTTGACGCTGCGGCCGAGCAGCTGGGCCCACATGCTGCCCCCCACGCCGCCGCCCGATGACGAGGAGGACGAGGCCAGGGGGTCGACGCCGATGGCGGCGCACATGCGCGCGAACTGCGCGCGGAACGACGGGTCCGACCGGATGTCCTTGGCGTGCGTCTGCGCGAACTGCTGCAGCAGCGACCGGAACACCGAGAGCTGCGTCTCGAGCGCCTGCGCGTCGTTGCTGCGCAGCGAGCTGCCGTGCGAGGCGAACTGCGCCGAGGTCAGGCGCGACCGGTCGAAGGCCGCGAGGCCGACGCCTTTGCGGGACATCTCGTCTTTTTCTTGCCTTCTTCCTTTTCCTCTTTTCGGTGTACAGTTTCTCTTATCCCAGCTTGTCCCAAGTTCTCACGTACGAGTGAGGTGGCGACGGGGACGAAGAAGGCGACGATGGCGGTTCGTAGTAGCGGAGGATTCTAAGTTCCCACGGCTGATAAGGAGGCCAAGAGAGGAGGAGATATTAGAGCGGCATTTAGCTTTCAGGTTCGTAGATATCTCGATGATGAAGGTAGGTATACCTGGACTATAAGGACACGAGACGACCAAAGGGCAAGCAGACCAGCTGGGCCGGCCAGGTCTGGCGGTATGCTGTATGGGTGAGGAGAGAGGAGAGGGGAGGGGAGAGAAGTGCTGGGCGATGATGTAACAGAGTTGCTAAATATCTGGCGGAAAGGGGCCTTAGGACAAAATGTACAAGGTACCTATCCCTCGGCATTTCTTCGGTCGTCCGCCTTCACCTGGATCCCAGTGGATACACCGAGCCTCCAAATCGAGACTAGCGTATTTCCAGGGCACAAACCCTTTTTACGACCTTCTCGGCAAAGCCAACGCGAAAATTGTGTGTCTAAGCCCGACATCTCATCTCCATCACCACCAATTCCACCGACGCCGTTGCGAATCCCTTCACCCTCTCCCGCCCACACAACCAGACGCGACCGCAACCATGTCTAACCAAAGCGTACAGTGCTTCGGCAAGAAGAAGACGGCCACCGCCGTCGCCCACTGCAAGGTTCGTCCACCGTCAACCCCCCAAGGCCGAGACGAGGGAGGGGGGAAGGCCACGGCCCCAACCTCGCCGTCGCTGCATAGCTAAATCGCGTATACCCAACGAGCGAGCTGCTAACCGGCGTCCCCGCCATCGTACAGACCGGCTCCGGCCTCATCAAGGTCAACGGGCGCCCGCTATCCCTAGTCCAACCGGAGGTGCTGCGCTTCAAGGTACGCAGCGGATATACCTATATCGACGCGATTCCGCGCGGTCGCGGGGCGAGAAGCCAGAAGCTAACTAACGCCGGGGGCGGCCCTCCAGGTTTACGAACCGCTCCTGATCATCGGGCTAGACAAGTTCGCGGAGGTGGACATCCGCGTGCGGGTGACGGGCGGCGGCCACACGTCGCAGGTCTACGCGGTGCGCCAGGCCATCGCCAAGTCGCTGATCGCGTACTACCAGAAGTACGTCGACGAGCACAGCAAGAACTCGCTGAAGCAGGCCCTCGTCCAGTACGACCGCACCCTCCTCGTCGCCGACAACCGCCGCTGCGAGCCCAAGAAGTTCGGCGGTCCCGGCGCCCGCTCCCGGTTCCAGAAGTCTTACCGTTAAAAAAAAAAAAGGAAAAAAAAGGGCGTGGCGCACCAGCCGGCTGGCTCTCGGTGGGAAGAGTTTCGGCTGGAAGACTCTCGGTACGTTGGATGGTGGGGGGAAAGGGAGAGAGGCAAGGCAAGGCAGGAGGAGCCAACGCCTGTTGTTGCGGTTGTTGGCTGGGGATATTGGACGATACCATACGATACGCGGGGGCGCAGCCGACCAGCCAAATACGGCTCACCCTTTTGCCTGGTCTTCCCCGGTTATCATTACCTCCCCTCCTCTCTCCCCTTTCCCCCGCCTCTTTTAGCAGCTGGGACAGGTACGGCTACGGCGGGCGGGCTGGTCGTACCTCGCGGACTGGCGTCACAAGACAAATGAGAAAACACGGATTTTTTTTTAATCAAAGCAAGGGCCAATCTGTTCTGGAACCACCTCTCTCAGATGGGGCTCTCTTCTACGACCATCATCATCAAACTATCCGCCTATGAAACTGCATTTGCATGGCGGGCTCTCGCTCCCGCCGGGTTGTAAGAGGGATTAGGCGAATGAGGCGACCGAGTTTTACTGACACACAAGAGAACAAGAAATAAGCAAAAAGCCCAAAATGCTCGTGACTGTGCTAGTTCCGAGGGAGGACCCTCTTCCCGGTGATGGTGAGGGTGATAGCTATCTGATAAGCGGCGCCGGTGAGTTGTTCAACGTAGAGCAAAACGCACCCAAAAAGTGCAAATATCGAGGAGACCCAGCAATAAGCCCGTGAAAGGCATAGGTATGTGAGGAACCGGGATCCAAGGACAGTGGAATATCCCAAGATCGCTTAGAAACGTATGTAATTCCTCACTTGGTTCCCTCACTACCGGCGGCGACCTAGTAACGGAAGGGATACATCTCCGGGGCACATAGACACACATATATAGCCTACCCCTTCACCCATACTCACAGGTCGAGGGGGGCAGCATCAGTTGAGCCATGTCGTGGACGCTTGTGCGAGTTGTACCGTGTGTGCGCGGTCGCTACGGGGCGGTGCTCCCTTATTCTACCGCCCCCGACGAGCACCCATAGACACACATACATATACGGCTTGACCCCGGGGAGGGCGTCTGTCCGCGGTGCGATCGATCCCCGCAGACGACACCGACGAGGTAGCACCCTTCTCTCCCGTCCTCTCTCTTCCCACCACACCCCAGGCAAGCCGGCGAGCCAACAAGCCGAGTATATCAGTTCGCCTGCGCTCTCGCGGCGTGTGTCGCACTCTAACCCATCATAATCCCGTAGCTCCCTCACCTCCACCCTTATTCTTATTCCCCCCCCCCCCTCCTTATTGCCTCCCCCCATCCGAGCCGTCATCCGCCCAAGACACGAGGCCGACCTCGCGGCCGCGCTCGTCGAGCTCGACGACCGCGGGCGCGAACTCGCCGCGGTCGTCCTCGCCGTCGTCGACGTCGCGGGGGTCGGCGCCTTGCAGGACCTCGCCGTCGTCGAGCGTCGCGCCCCCGAAGCGCAGCGCGCGGCGGGCGCCGGCGCCGCCGTCGCGCAGGTCCCAGCCGCGGGCGCCGCGGGCCCAGGCGGCGAGCTCGGCGAAGGCGGCGCGGGGCTCGGCCGCCGCGCCCTCTTCTTCGGCGAGGCGCGCGCCGTACGCGGCGAGCGCGCGGCGCAGGGCCGTCGGCGCGCCGGCCGGCATCGCGTCGAGGAGCGCGTCGAGGCCGCCCGCGAGCCGGCGCTCGCAGTACGCGAGCTGGGCGCGGAGGGCGCGGAGGAGGCGCGCGGCGAGCGCCGGGCGCGCCGCGGCCAGGCCGTAGCTGCGCAGCGCGACGCGCGTCGCCGCGAACCACCACTGGTCGAGGCACGCGTGGTTGCCGAGGTGCGCGCCGGTCAGGAAGGCGAGGGCCAGCTCGCCTTCGAGGCCTGCGCCGTCGTCGTCGTCGTCGTCGTCGCGCCGCGCCAGAGTCTCGAGCACGAAGCCCGTCGCGTCGAGCGCTTGCCGCGTGCGCGCCTCGCCGGTCGCGGCCGCGCTGACGAGGGGCGACCCCGAGGGGAAGCTGAAGCGCAGCTCCGACGCCCCGCTGCCGGCGTACAGCGCCGCCTCCTCGGCCGACGCCGCGCGCCCCTCGACCCGGTCCATCGTGCTGACCGGCAAATCCCGGCCCGCCGTCGCGCCCGCGACCCGGGCGAGGAGGCCGGCGTCGATCGCCGATGTGAGCTGGGACCAGAGGGTTGCGTTGTCCAGCGGTGGCGGGGGCCGGCCGGCCGGCGCGGGATTTGACGGGATGGGGGATGCCCCTGACGAAGAGATGAAGAAGCGGTAAGGCACGAGACTGTTGTAGATCTGCCCGAGTCTCTGCTTCTGGAGCTGCTGCTCGGCCTCGCTGGGGACGGTCAGGATCTCGTTGGCCTTGTCCCACTGCTTGACGTAAACCTGCAGTTCCTCGCCGTCCTTCCGCTCGGGGGTAAAGATCCAGTACCCGCTCCGTGAAGAGGTGAGTTCCGAGGGAGACACCCAGATGAGATGCGCCCCCGGGGGGATCTCCCGGAAGCCGGGGAAGGGCTTCTGGGCCGAGAAAGACACGCTATCGCAGCCAATCGTGAAGTTCGCGGGCAGGCCGTTCAGGATCAGAACATCGCCGCCCGTCGGCAATGAAGGCGGCGCCATGGCGGCGCCGTGGGATGGAGCTTACGGCGTGTCCGCGCCCGGTTCGCGTCCACGCGGCTGCCAACTCGAAGAGAGCCGTCGGGTAGGAAGGCGGTCGCGAAGGTTCGCTAAGCTTGGCGGGTCTGATGAGGCGCAAATCCGGGTTGTGTATCGTCTCGACGGCCGCAGCGAGATGCAGGATTCCGGGGTCGGTAGAGGTGGAACCGGGAAGTTGAAGAGGGACGGATCTCACCTGCGACCCCACCCTGGCCGGGTTTTGGCGAGCGGACTTACCTGGGCGCTTCACTGTGGGTCTCCGCGGTCTCTGTTCGTTCGGGATCGATGTAAGTCGCCGGCGCGCACAATAATATCCGTAGAATTCGTACCCTACCAGGATACGTTCGAGATACTTCCAATATGTGTGTGCATCGTATTATCGCACTACCGGTAAATAAAACCCAGAGGTATGCTCTTTTCTCATGCATATTCCTCACAAACTCGGTGATGTCGTCGACTATGATAATACCTTCGCTAGCAAATTCGTCTAAGGGTAGTACTCTACCATAAATCACTGCTGCTCTCGTCGTTTTCAGGGCCCTTTCTATAACATTCCGGTGAAGAGGTGTGGGATTATGAGGGAGGGGAGTACTGAAGAGCTAGAGGCTGGAGGGGCGGCAGGCGACTTGTGTTGAACGACGGATAAGTGAGAGCTTCACACTTATGCCAGACTGCTACCGAGCTCAAAGGTGGGAAAACTCGAAGCAAACCCCCTTCATCCTGTCTTCCCCAGTCCCAACGGCGCGTTTTTCTGCTGGCGCTTTGCGTCCCTAGTCAGTATGCCACAGTGTTTGCAGCGCTACTACCCCCAGTCGTTCTCGACGAGGGTTGTCCCAGTGGGCCAACAGTACGCACGACGATCCCGAAGCGGCTGCGATATCGACTCGACGACACTAGATCAGCTCCTTGGCGAATCTCTTTCACTACAGCCGAGAAATCCCTCCACGAGAGGCTCGGGCGAGGAGAGCCGCGAGGGCCGAGGACGTAGAACGTAGAGCTTGGCTACAGCACTCTCCTTACGTGAGAGGGACTACCAGGTTAAGAATCGGCTCACATCACTTAGTCCTAAGGGATTGCACTGGTACGGCGCAGCGGCGCATGGCGCCTACCGCGCATAGTATAACCCGTCCTAAAAATGCGGTTGCTTGCTGGGCAGGTGGATGGATAACGGGCGGAATGGTGTGCGCGCGGTAGAGCTGTGGGCTCGGGTTGCTGTGTAGTTAAAGTCGTTCGGGGCGGCTATGGGAAGATAGCGGGGGAGAAGGAGAGAAGAGGGAGAGAAGGCAGAGACAGGAGAGACTTATATAGGCGAGACGAACACCCGAGGCAGACTGGGCCCTGGGCGAGCGGGTAGTTATTACTGCCTGATAGGGCTGGCGACGAGCACCTCTAACCGGCCTAGGCTGGAAGATAAATGGACTGGTAGATGCGATAGGTAGATTGAGGACCCAGGCCGAGAAAGTACCTCTGGCACCTCAGTCGAGGCACAGAGATTCCCAGGCGGGTTAGATAGAAGTCGATAAATCGCGTCTCCCGCAGGATCGACTTGGATCGTCGGGGGGGGAGGCAGCACTACCCATCTCAGCCTGGGGCGGGAGACTAAAATATCTGGACGCAGAATTAAGCGATCGAAAAGGGGGAAAAAAGGAGGGAGAAAAAAATTTTAACCAGCGCGGGGGAATAAAATGACATAAAAGAAAATCAATACTACTAGTAGTAAGGCCCGAGGCCAAGGGGCCTTGCGTTAGACGGGAAAACCCAGAAGAGTCCGTCCCATGACCATGGCCGCGCTACCTATCCCTGGGGTTACATCGACAGGTTTGACCGGTCCTCAAGTCCAGTCGCGCCCGTGTGCCGGGTCGCATACAGAGGTTAGAGCATCGTAGATCGGTTTTGGCCGGTGAAGATGGGTTAGGTTAGGTGGTCTTAGGCAGGTCAGGGGGGGGAAGGCCAGCGGCATGGATGTCATGGATGCTAGTCTAGCCCGGCGCCGACGCACGTAGGCAGATCATCACGTAGCGCGCGCGTGTGGTGTGGTTAGTAGGTAGGGGTTTATAGTGTAGTATAGTCTGGTTTAGTATGGTATATATATAGTATGGTATATAGTATGGTATATAGTATGGCATATACCTAGCATGCATGGCACAAGGACAGCGCCGTTAGAGCAGTAGCATTCCCAAACTGCTCGACTCGTCGGCTAAACCGCCTAATGCGACACGTTCGTAGGCAGCGGTAGAGCAGCCGGTTTAGTAGCAGCAGCGGTTCCGTATCGTAACGGTTTAGCAGCGAGCACGGAGCTGGTTTAGGCTCGACAGCAACCCCCTCCAGGACGCGCAGGCCGCGCCAACGCACGGGATGTTCTCGTTGACAGCTCTGGTGGGCTCCATTATTTTTGGCGGCGGCCCGCTGCGCTGCGTGGCTAATGTCGGCCAAGGGTCAGGGAGCGAGAGAAGGGTGTAGAGGAGGGCGGCGGACCGGGGGGGGGGCGATGACAGCCTTACCTTAACCTATCCACCCTCCACCCCCCTTGTCTAGTACGGCTGCTGTCTCCCACACCAACCTTACATACACATTTACACGCTCTTACACGCGCAACTTACACGCTCTGCCTCCTCTGCACCCCGAATACATACCAACCCATATAGGCATACACACATGCGCATGTATACGCACACCGCCGTCGCGTCCGAAGCTGCGGTAACTCCCCCCCCCCACTTGATCTATATATATACCTGTACGCACGCGTTAGCGAGGTAGGCATCTGCCTGCCAGACCTCCTTGCCCTCTACCTCCCCTCGCCGTCGCTCGGGACCACCTGCATCTGAGCAGCAGCACCCATGGGTTCGAGATCCCTGGTAGACTAGCCTTGCCGCTAAGATTTCGACACCTGTAACCTCGCTAGCGACGTACATATGTTTCGCGGGCTGGGCCACGCATACATAGGCTAGGTTGCGGTGTGTGCGTGGTACGGGTACCCCCCCCCTCCCCATACCCTACCTCTGAACCTACGGGTACGATATCCATGTATGCATGTGTGTGTATGCATGTACATACATACCTGTACATGCTCTATCCAACCTTGTCGGGGGGGGAGAGGGGAGGGAGCGTGGGAAGATACGGTTTCGGTTCGGGTCTCGGACGTAGACGCGCGCGGGGACGAAGCAGGAGGGTCTCGAAACCACCGATCCGCCGCGCACAAACACTGAGACGGTACGGACGGTGAGCCTCCCCCTTCCTCTCTGGCCACGAATAACAGGCCTGCCTTCTCACCTCTCACCGCTACATAGCTCGCCTACCTGCTCGCCCGCACCCGGCAATCCCGGCGGCCCAGATCCCGAAGCGACGACGACGGGGAAAAGGGGTGCGGGTGGGGGTGGCGAGCCTGTTGTTCTCGTGGACGCGGGAAGTGGTTTCATGATAAGACGACAGGCGACAGCATTCACCGGTCCCGGGACCGAGGGTGGCCTGCTCCCGTCTTCTTTCTCCCCCACCTCTCCTCGTACACCGAAGCGTGTTTTCCTGAATGCCAGGTCGCACGTACGCTTGGTGCGAGTAGCACGTAGAGGCGGGCTGGGCAACGATAGATCGGACTTAGGTCGACTGGCTATTTTCGCAGCTACGTGGTGAGCCCACCCGGGTATAGGACGGACGGTCCTCCGTCTGGGATGCCCGCTCCTGGGCCCCCCCTGGGCCGCTCGCCCGCGCGGCCGTGTCGGTATACCGGTTTCTGTACGTACAGATGTAGGCAAGCCGTCGTGTGAGCGAGTGGCACCTGGGGTGTCGCTGCCAACGGGGTGGAGATTCGGGCGCGATCGGTCGGTAGGACGAGGCCTCGGGGAGGGCTATGCAGATGTTATCCGCACGGCGCACATGTGCATAGGGAACCGGTGGATCACGCGGCGGGCGAGGAGGCGAATCGTGGCGAGGACGAGCGCGGGACGGGCGTCCCGGACGGGCGGTTGGCAGGATGGGCGGCGGGAGGGATGGCTTTGGGGATGGGCGTCCCGGCTACGTGCCTGACGGGACAGGAGGCAGGGAACGACGCGATGTACGAGTACAAGTTAACGGGTTGCATCGTGCGCGCGCACACGTACAGGCGATGAATGCAACGGATGGAAATCCATGTACGCGCAACGCATTCCGCACCTCTGCCTCGCTCCCCAAATCTGACCTGGGCAAGGCCGTGCCCGTGTAACCACACCAGGAGAACACCTGCAATACTCCCCCCCTCGCTCGTCGCTCGCTCCCCTCCCCCCCCCGCGAAGCCTCCCAACCTACCTAACCTACCTTACCTCTCTGCCTACACCACCTCCGGCCAGATCTTGGGTACCCTTGATGTACCTACCGCTTAGCCTGGCTTTGGGTTGCCCTTGTACGTACATATCCGGTGGCCCTGGTACCCTGACGTGCCCGACCGGTCCCCCTCTCCCACCGGTCACCGGTCCCCTCTCCTACCAGGTAGGTAGCTTAGGTACCAACCGAACCTACCTCTGGTACCCGAGGTACCTACCTGACCTCTGCTGCCTACCTGCCTCCTCTACCTACCTCCTGCCGCCCTTCCTCCTTAAACAAAACCCCCCTTTTCCCACCCCTCCCCTCCTCTTCCTCTCCCCGCTAGCAGCCCTACCGAGGACCCCAACAGGACGGAGAAAAAATAAACCACCTACATACATACGCACATACATGCTACAGGGCACTAGGGGGGGGAAGGGGGGGGAGGCACACACGCACGCACACTGCTTCCACCCATTCTTCCCTCACCACCCAACCACCCGCTACCACACACACCCTTCCACCCACCCCGTCCTGCACCCGCAGGGGCACCTCGTGGCCACGGTGGCACAAGAGCCGAGTGGGGAGGCAGAGAGAAAAAGAGAGAGAGGAGAGAGAGAGAGAGAGAGAGAGCAAGGGTGGAAAAGGGGGACGGGGAGAGTAGTGGTGGTGAGTCGGCAGACAGAGGACTAAACCACCTCCTAATTTAGACCCCCGTTCCTTATTTCGTCCTCCAATTTTCTTCTTCTTTTTTTTCTCTCCCATTTTCTGGCTTTTTTTACGTCTCCCTTTAATGAAGGAAAAAGAAAGTAAAAATCTCCGGCACCGGTCTGTCTGCGTACGCATACGCATACAGGCGCCTAGTCCCGAAACCACCCCGTTCGCATCCTTGGTAAACTAGTCGCTCTCCCCCCCTCCCCCCTCAGCCCCCCCCCCAAATGCATCGACGAGATGCATGTCGGCTTGCCGTAGTTCCCAGACCAAACCAGACTGTCGGGCCCTCCCGTACATCGCCATTTACAGGGTCGATCCACACAACCTCCTAGTGCTATAGAAACACGGGTACTTTTATATCTACATCATCCTCCCTTCCCCCCGTGGCCCGCACCCTACGGCGACAACGACAATCAACAAAAACCAGAACCAGCGACGGGGCCGTTCGTTCAGCAAACGCATGTCAATTACTGGGTAGTCCGTGTATCTCTAAGGTACAGCGAAGGGTTATTACAGCTTCTCATCTTCGTGAGCCATCTCCCCTGTTGCCTGCTTGCCGGTCTGGGCTGGACGAGGCAGCATATCCCTTCGGTCGAGGGAGAAACGTAGAGAAAAAAAAAAAAAAACCGCCACCTCACCCGCTTGCGCGTCCACCAGATATGTTAGGCGAAAATATGTAAGGGAGAAGAGAAGGCATGCTGGGAGCTCCATCCTGAGGGCGAGAGATAGAGAGAGAGAGAGAAAAGCAAGTCGCTTTTTTTTTTTTGCCGATTGGGCCAGATCTCAGATAAAGCCGCACCTTGACCACACACATTCCTTATGTCCCGAGCCTAGAAGCTCCGCCGTCCATTTGTTTCGTACCTGCCTGCCTGCCCAGACACCCAACCCAAATGCAAGGCTCATCCCACGCCCTCCCCGTCCGTGGCCTAGAATGCTGTACGTGAGAAATCAACAGTCGTAAATAAAAAAAAAATTTCTCTGCGCGTCCGGATGCCCCGAGCCACTCTCTCCATCCGGGCCGCGCGAATGCTCCCAAAGACGATGCTGTCGTGAAACGTCCATAAAAGCACCGGGTCTACTACCGTCTCGAGTGAAAAAAAAACATATGCAAGTCAACCACGACTTGGAACCCCGAATCGACCCGCCGCCTTGCGAAGCGGCTAATACCGCTGACGACTCCGCCCTTGCTGTCCCGACCGCCCTACCCTCATTCGCGTTGGCTATACATCTGCGGATTTTGGGGCGCGTAGGGCGATGCCGGTTGTTGGTACCCCGAATACAGGTGGCTCGTCGGACTATACTCGGGCAGCTGTTGCTGTGCTACGCTGGCCGACGATGGAGCAGGATATTGATTGGTTTGGTATCCGATAGGTGGTAGTTGAGGCCTGCCGGCGCCGTAAGACGACGGCGCCGGACCGGAATCGCCAGCCTGCGGATCAGCTCCTCCATTCTGAGCCTGCGCCGCCGCCGCCGCCGCGACCTGGGCGTGGCGTTGCCGTTCAGCTTCTTCGGCCGCCTTTCGTTGTTGTTCCTCCTCCTTCTTACGAGCCTTCCACTCCTTCCGAATCTCTTTAAATTCTGTACTCCGTGTCGTTAGTAAGCATTCAACCGTAGCAGGTCCGACTTGGGATTCGTAACAATGAGAGCCGCCCGTCTAGCGCAAGGTGAAACGGTCGGCGTGCCGGATCGATCGCGAGAAAATTAAGCGCGGAGCGGCTCCAGAGACGAACAAAGCATGCAGACAGACAATTTCGGCGCCCTTCTTTGGGGCACACCACCAAGTGAAAGAAATAACTCGGCTTCGCAGGACGTCCCATCTTACCTTCGGGCGTGCGCTTTTGCCCGTGACTTTGCATCGTCACGTGCGCATTCAGATGGTTCAGCGTGCCGTAGGCCTTCTCGCATCCGTTCCAACCACATTTGTACATCCGCTCGATTTCCTCATAGCGCCGTCGGGGGCGTTTGTGCTGTTGGGCTCCGGGGATGGGAACGAACGAGTAGACCTGCTGCGTACCATACTGTCAATGAGATCAGTTACTTTACATAGACGGCGTCGGATGGATTAAAAGTTAATCCGTGACCTGTTCCGGGGTGGGTAAGGGTAGCGCCTAGACAGTGGGCGAGCAAGCACCTCTAGTCTCCCGTACCCGTCCGGTGACACATATTAAAAAACCCCCCAAAAAGATAGGCTCCCGCACACTCCATCACCGTCATCACTATATGCTACGCGGAATAACTTCGTGTTACGTCGCCCCGAGAGAAAGGGAGGGAGGGGAAGGAGGAGGAGGGGGAGATGAACACCCACCTGAGCTGGTCGTCCCGGCGGAGCGGTTGTCGGCGTATGGGGGTAGACTTGATGCGGATGCGGCATCTGCGTGGGCGCACCCGGGTGACCATAGTTGCCCCAGTCGGGTCGCGGTTGCGCGTAGAGGCTACCGGCGCTCTGGGGATAGTTATGCGACATTTCTTGATGCGGCGGCGCGTAGGGCGAGTATTGGCTGGCCCCGTACGTAGGGCTGGGTGCCGCGATGGAGGGATCTATGGGTACATCGCTGTCAGACTTGACCTGTTGGGACTGATGGTTACGTCCATCTTGCATAGGCATGGACGGACTTGTTGGTGTTTGCGCCATACCTCCGCTGCTGCCGCTGTGGTTGCTCGCTGGATGGTACTGGCGAAGACTGTGATCTGGGAACGAGCCAGTCGACCTCGCCGAGTGCGGATAGGCACCGTACTCCGACGTAGGGGTGGCAGACGCGGGATAATTGCTCCCCCGCGCTTCCTGGTTGCCCTGATATTGTGCAGCAGATGCGTGATCTGCAGAGCAAGAAGCTTCAGACTGAGTGTCGCCGTAGGTGCTTGGATAGGGCGAAGGCAAACCTGACTGCGAGTATTCGGGGATGCTCCGTTCCATGAAGCTGTCGCCGGAATGTAGGCGAGTTTCTGTCTAGGCCCACGCCTGGATGCTGATTCCCAGGCTAGTGCAGAGGCGCGTAGTAGATATCAAGTTCGTCGTCAACAACACGGCTGCGAGGCTGATGCGTTAACACTGAGAGACATGCTACTACTACTGCTTGCTTCTGCCAGGGACGACGGGAGGTGGGCGGCCGGAGAATTTTAGTCCTCGAACCAGTGTCGACCTCAGGATAGTATAGTAGGGCGGGAAGTGGGAAGGGGGGACGGGGGGGGGGTGGTTATCTTTGACTGGTAAGAGAAGGAGGGTAGAGTTGCGCCAGGGGGAGGGGGGGGGGGGGGAGAACCAGGTGCGGCTGCGCTGGCGTATTTGTTGGCGGCAGTTCAGTCACTGACGGAAGACTGATCCAGAGGATATAAGTGTAGATCTGCTAAGTCTTTTTTTTTCTTCCTCTCCAGCGTCTACAGACGAAATAGTCTCGAGGCAGATCCACCGAGCCCACAAGTTAATCAGCCACCGGGGTGGTGCTGAAGAAGTAGAACACCGCCGCCGCTATTATAGTTTTGGACCCGCCCCCGACAAGAGGGATGGATGGGAAGGGCTAGAGAGGTACCTCTGGGCGAGTACCGAGCGCTGGGAGAGTTACCGGGCAGAGAGAGACCAGACGGCGGGCGCGGCGACGCTGTCTTCAGACGCCGGGCACCGGTAAGTTAGGTAGAAGTATATCGCACGACAGCTGGCCTGGCACCCGACTGCCGTTGATGCAGGCGGAGGGCTTTTTTAACTCAGGGAGGGGGTGTTTATCAAGAACGCACGGCGCACAATCTAGAACAGGGTGCGATCGAGCTCCGGCTGGAAGAGGGAGAAGTGAGCGAGGTGAGCGAGGAGGGAGGAGGAGGATAATGCGAAGGGGTCCCCCTGGTACGGCGTGAGAACGCGTGCGCAGAAGCGGGTGGCCGGGAGTCGAGGGCCAACCAAGGGTAGAGAGGGGGGAAGATGGTTGACTAAAATAGTCGGAAGTAAAATGGGGAGGGCTAAGCAGCAGAGCGATCCCCGAAGCTGTCTAGACTGCGAAACTTAGCGCGTCTTGTCAGATACCCAGCCGATACCTGGTAAACGCCTAGGATCACGATTGGCGACAGGGGGCCTCCAGAGCGTTTGGGCCGGTTCGATGCTAGGTTTTCCGGATTGTCCAACTCGCGAGCCGCTAGGAATGGTAGAGAGATGGGGACCTGCCGGGGAGCGCCTGAGGCTGGATACGCTAGGGCTCTAACTAGACTAGACTAGACTTCACTGGCAGACTCGCGTTCTGGCGGTTGCGATGGCGCGGATGACTTGGGATGGCAGCGGTGGTAGTTGGTGGTGGTGGTGGTGGTGATGCTGCTGCTGGCTGGTGCTGGCCGTCGCCGTGGGTGAATTGGACCCTTTGGCGAGCAGTGGTGGCAGCGGTAGCGGTGGTAGCGGTGGGATTGCCCGTCTTATTCGTCAATGTGTGGTGCGTGAGTGTAGTAGGCCCAAGTGTGGGCTCGGAATCCATGTATGACCGCGGTGGTCGTCTTCGGGACGCAAGTTCGTCGATGCGCTGCCCGGCTGGTGCTCAGCGTCGCGAATGCTCAGGTACAGTGTCTGGCTCGCTTCCGCTTCCCTTGGTCGTGCTGCTCTCCTTTCCGTATCTCCCTCCTCCTTTGTTTGTCTGCAATTTTTCTCCCAACGTCGAAGTGAGGGAAGGTGACGTGAGAGTTAGAGAGAGAGAGAGAGAAAAAAAGATCGAAATCAAAATACAATAAACCGATTTAATAAATAAATAAAAAAAGGTCGATAAGCTGGTTTGGTAAAAGCAAGCGTTCTGTGTGTGTTGTGTACGTATGTACGTAGGTACTGCAGGGCAGCGTGCACGGGTCTGAGTTGGTGGTAGCAGTGCGAAGATGCGTGGAGGTAGGGATGGGTTGGGTGGATGGATAGATAGATGTAGTCGAGTCCGCCCCCCAGGTGATTAGGCGTGTATGTAAGTGTGTGCGCGTGGGTACGTACGTACCTCTACGTACCTTAGGTGAGTACGCGAGCAGGTACGTACTGTAGGTACGTGGGTACGTGGGCAGGGAGATGGGTGGGCACGGGGTGGGCACGGGGTGGGTGTGTGCCTACTACCTGCTACCGGGGAGGAGGGAGTGGCAGCAGCCAGTGAGAGCAGTACCGGTCCGGTGGGAGCAAGCAACGCAAGCAAGCACCGCCAATCCCACGGCCGCCAGCAAATGTGGCAGAACCGCGGCAAGCACCGTTCGCGCTCAAGTCTCCTCCCCCCCCGTGAGTTAGTTAGTCAGGCAGTCGGCGCGACGGGCAAAGCCAGGTCGGAAACCAGGTCGGAAAACCCACCACCACACATACAGCACGCACACAGACACGCCTAACACGCTCGCTCACTTACACACCACACACGATCGACGGTCTAAGGCAGTGACGTGCAGTTCGTAGTGCGCAGTGTGAGTAGCACGCAGCGCCTCGCCCAGGTGTGATCGGGCTAGTCCCAGTCACGCCTAGGAGGCCAGGACCCGGTGACGACAGAATTGGCGAGCTGGTACGCCAGGAGAGAGAGCGGTTTAGCCTCAACTCGAACGATTCGCGTCCAGGCCTCAGGCAGGGTTAGATTGGGCTTAGCGACTGGTTAGTGCCGAGGGCATGGGAAATAGAAATGGCCAGTTTTATATGCACGTCCGAGGCACCACGCTGCAGCGCTTCAGAACTGCGCGTGGGAGGGAAGATGGGGATGGGGAATTGGGGTGTACAAACGTGATTTGCCGAGCCAGCATAGGAATGGATGGACGGCCGAGATGGCTGGTTTGGTAACGGTGAAAAGGTTGGGGGGGGGGGGGGGGAAGAAAGAATGGGAAATTCGGCGAGATGGATCTGGTCTGTCTATCTGTCCGTCTGTCTTTCTGTCCCGTCTTGCTTCTTTCTTTTTTCTATGCCTCTCTCTTTTCCCATCTCCCATGTCATTTGACCCGGCCAGGTATGAGGTAGGCAGGTGTCTGACGTACCGAACCGAACCCAACAGAGCGCGGGCGGGCGGGCGGGCAGGCAAGGCATTTCGCGAGGCCAGGTACCGGCTACTTCGCACCTCTGATCTGCGCATAGGTATGCTTTAGGTACCTGTGGGTACCACCAGGTAAGGTAACAATGAGATCGGGTACTTGTGTATATGTACCTAACCTGATGTATCCAAGATATGGGTCCCGGCCCCAATTCTAGAAAGGCCACAGAGAGGCTACCCAGCAGAGGTGCTCCCGGGCTTGCCTAAGCAAACGACAGCAAAAAAAAAAAAAAAAACCGACATAATACGGGTCACCGGGAGGGAACGATGATACGGAATACATCACCGGCCGGTGCCACATAGAGCGAAGGCAGCAAAAGTTAGCCACGAATTATACATACACATGTCTGTGGATATGTATACAGCCATGCGTGTGTTTATTATACTCGGTATACACACAGTACACAGTGTATGTATACCCCAAGATAGATGGTAACAGTTCTTTTTTTCCTTTTCTCCTGCTTTGGTTCTGTGGGTTTTTTAGCCATGTTCATTTCCGCACTAAATTTTCGGGATCTGTATGTATAAAAACAGGAATTGCCGCTGCTATTTTCTGCTCCACTTCCGAAAGCTAACCCTTCTCTCCCCCCTCCAGCTTCCCCTAGTTACTCGGAGAGGGGAAGCCCAGAAAAAGTGCGGTTGTATGTAATCTGCGTAGTCGTGGTCAATACAGCACCAACCGTACGGTTCCATCCACGAGGCCAAATCGCCGCATCGAAGCGGACAAAGCCCACATACCTACACAATGCTTCCTCGTTATCTACATATCTCCCCCGACAAAAAAAAAAACTTGGCCGCTTCCGATTCCCTGTTCGATGTGAGAAAGCTGAATATTAAACCCCCTCTTCCCTGTCTCCCCCTCGTCTCTTTGCCTCCTCTTCGTGTCTTTCGACCCGCCGTCTTCCTTCGGAACTCCTCGCTGATGGCCCCGACCCCCCCTTTTCGAGTGAAACTGCAATTTGTCGAACAAGGATGGTGACGACGTCGGGTCCAGGCACCGAGGGAAAGCAACGCGGCACTGTTTTAGTTCTAAAAGCCCCAGATCCCCCAAACCTCATAAGAATAAATGGCAGAGTCAAGAGTGAATCGAACTTCAAGGCGAGGACGAGGACGTCTCAGATGAAGCTGAGCGCATACGGAGAGGCTGAGCGGTGTACCAGGTTGCATGACACGGAAAGTCAGCGGAGGTGGAGGGGGGAATGGCGGAGGCGGGATAATTCCATACCCAAAAGGCCCAGCTCTTCCGATAAAGTCAAGCTGCGTCTCCAACCCCTGATCATACTTATTAGTCAATAATCTCTGCAGCCTAGAAGGAAACCTCAAGTACCATGGGTGAGTTATACGTCGATGTATGGAGCATTATGAAAAGTGGACACAGTCGGGCTCCTACTTGGTATCCGACACGTCTCGACAGCAGTCCACAGGATGTTACCTGGAAGTACTGAGGCAAGAAATGATTACTGAGATTAGTGTGGGTAAGGTACTCAGAGGGTACACGAAACCCCGGAGCAGGTATGATGTATGCGATGGGTCCCTCAGCTACGTACCTAACCTAGATACATCCATCATTGGTGTCAATGTATGCCACCTGCCATGTACTTGAGTGGGTGCATGGGGCAAGGTGAAGGTATCCCGGCGCGTCGTAGCTGGCGCTCTCTCCGTTGAGAGAAATACAGAGGTACCTACTGACGGAAAGGAGAAGAAGAGAGGGGGGGGGACCCACACCCCGTTCCATCTTCAATGCGCATAGGAATCCCTGCATTCCCAAGAAGTCGAGAAGTCGACGCGAACATGCATACATGCATACCTACATACATACATATGTACAGGTATACATATCCATATACCTTCATTCGGATTCCTTGTCGGCTTCGGTATCCACACACACACCACACACACACATACACGTCTTTTTCTCTCCTTCTTTCGACTCAAGCAGGAGGAGTCATGAGTCTTGGGGGCGAGACGTGGATCGTTCTGCCCGTCCCCCTATCGTACTACCATTATGTAAACTTATCATCTTCTCGGGTCCAGGATACCGTTGCTGGGTGCCTAACACCATCCCGGCCTAGCGCGCTTCCCGTGCCAGCCCGATGTTATCGATCCAACCTTCAGGGTGCGCAGGTTGTTATCCCCATGTCGGGTTATGTAATCACACACGCCTTTGACTCGGGCCAATTAGATAGGCAAGATGCTATAAATCTCTATTCATAATACTGAGACCTACTTTACGGTCCAAAGACGGCGGCTAATACTTCGTTCGCACTATCACCCTCGATAAATCACAAGTGT